TATTATAAGAAGAAATATAGCAGCATTATTATTAATATTAATAAGTATTGCTATAAATAGCTAAAAGGGCTAAGGCGCTTCTTAAGCATTTTTATAGCTTAATATTAAGGTAAATTAAGGAATCCTTAGCTGCGCGTTTTATAAGAAAGTTAATATTTTAAATATAAGATTATTTACCTTTATAATATAAATATTCTTCTTAATATAATTTAAAGATTATAATTTAATATTATAAGTTAGCTTTAAATATTTATTAAAAGGTACTTAAAAGGAGTTATAAATTATAATATTTAAGAAGTAAATTAAGCCTTAAAAAGGCTTAACTTTAAATTTATCTTTTAAATATATACCTTATTACGTAAAAGGGTTAAGTGCAATATAGGCCCGGCATAAGCATGCATTACGGCTTAAGCAATAGCTTAAGCTCATTATATTTATTAAGAATTTATAACCCTAAACTTACCTTAAATAATTATAGCATTAAAAAAAGTATTTATAATAAAGTATAATAATATAAAAGATTATAATAATAAAATTAAGAATGCTTATATTATAAAGAATTATAACTTATTATAAAAAGGTATAATTAATTTATATAAAGGCTATAATAAAAAAAGCACGTTTAATAAAAAATTGCTAAAGGCTACCTTGCTTATAAAATACTTTATATCTTTATATAATACTTTTATATCTTTTTAAAAAAAGCTTATTTTAGCTTTAAAATTAAGAAATATATTAAAAAGTATATTAAAAAAGCTTTTAAAAATAATATTAATTTTTAAGTATAAGTTAAAGTTATTAAAGGCTTAAAATTAAAGTTAAAATTAAAAATATTAAAATTAATAAAAGAAGAAATTATTAAAAAGGTTGAAAATTAACTCTTAAAGTATTATATTATTAATATAAAAGCTAGGAAAGCTTTTATTATAAATATAAAAAAAATACCCTTTTTAATACTTAATAATACTTAACTTAATAAATATAATTTTAATTATAAATAATAATAATAAATTATTTAATATAAAATTAATTATATATAATAATTATTTATAATTTAATAATTAATAACTCCTTATTTTAAGATATAGCATTATAGCAATTTATTATAAATTAATAATTTTCCATTTAAAAAATATTATTTATTACCTAAAGATACTTATTACTTTTATATTATTAAGATAGCTTTAAAGAAAGGGCTTTTATTAAGATAATAAATATAACTTTATAATTCTTAAGTAATAAAATAAATTAACCTTATATTAACTTTAAAATATTTATAATTAATATATTATTAAATATTAAACTAAGGAAATAAAAGGTATATTTAATATATAATAAAAGAAATATATATTTTATATTTAATGAAAATTACTTATTAGTAAAGCTATTTTTTAGCATGGCTAATTAAGCTACCTAGGCTTATATATATTAAAATACCTTATTTCCTTATCTTAAGGAATGCATATTTAGGAATTAATAATAGTTAAATGCAAGGTATATATTTTAGCTAAAATTATAAGGTAAATTTATTAAGCATTAAGAAAAATTCTTAAATAAAAAGGCAAAAAAATTGCATTAAACTTTTATAATTATAAACCTAAAATTAATAATTATATATTATAGCTGCTACTTATATATAAAGCCTTAAGATATACTTAAAATTATTACCTTAAAAATTAAAAAAGCGAAATAATTTTATAAATATTTAAATCCTTTCTTAAAATAATAAAAGTTTAATATAAAATTATTATTTAAGTTATTAAGTATAATAATAAAGTTTTCTTAAAATAATAAATAATTAAAGACTTCTTTAAATTTAAATATATTAAGATTAAGCCCTTAATATTAAATATATAAGCATAAAATGAAAAAGCTAAGCGCTTAAAAGATATAATTAAAGAAAAAATATAAGTAATAAAAGCAAGCTTAAAACTTTTATACTTTTTATAGCTAAAAATTAAATAAATAATAATATACTTAAATAACTAAATACTTAATTATAACTTAAATTAAAAAATATTATATTATAAATTTTAATTAATAATTATAAAATGCCTTAAAATATTATAATTAAATTTATAGCTAAATTAAATATATTTATAGGTTTTTAGCTATAAGATATATATAATAACTTTAAATATATAACTTAAAAAGAAGAAATATAAGTATCTTAAATTATAAGCATAAATTAAATACCTTATTAAATATTAATTATTAAATATTTATTAAATATAAATTTCTTTTATTAAAAAGATAATTAATATAAGAAATATTATCTTTAATAAGTATTAAGTATTTAATAGAAATTAAGAAGGGTTTAAAGATAAGCTCTTTATTATTAATATTAATTATTTAATAAAATAAATAAAGAAATATGCTTTTTTAAATAAAAATAAAATACCTAAATAAAAAGGGGAAAATCTTTTTAAAATAAATATATAAGGGAATAAAACCTTATTTAAGATTAAAGAAAAAAGCAATGTTAATAATATTTTAAAGAAAGATATAAAAGCAAAAAAAGAAGAATGCTTTAAGGCGGATTAAGAAAATAATGCTTATATAAATATAAAATTTACCTTAATGCTTATATCTTTATAAATATTACCATTAGCCTTCCTAATTTATATTATTTAAATAAAGATAAATAAAGAAATATTATTTAATAAAAAAGTTTAAAAGATTATTATTTAGCAAGCTATATTTCTTATAAGCATAAAATCTGCTTTAATAATAAAATTAAATAAAAGAATCCTTAATAAAGCCTAAATTAAGAAATATTTATATTAAGAAATAAAGATATATAAAAGCAACCTTCTTAATTTATTAAAATAGCATAAAGATCTTAAAAACTATTTATTTAAAGCATTATTTAAGCAAGCAAAAGCTAATTATTTATAAAGCTATAAAGATATAAAATTATAAATTAAAATTAATAAGAAAAACTTTTATATAATAAAAAAGTAAATCTTAAACTATATATAAATATATATTTATAAATTTAATAAGCATAATATATTTTAAAAATATAAAGCATAGCTTATTATTAAAGGAAATTAATAAGCATAAGGATAAATATAAAATACTTATGCAGCTATTTTTATAAAATAATTATTTTAAATGCTTATTATTATTACATTAAAATTTAACCTTAAATTAATTTAATATAACGTTATTAATATATTTATTTATGCTTTAATTAATTAAAATATCTTTATAAGGATACCTTATAAATATAAAAAGAAGAAAATAATTTTAATGCTAAATAAAGCACTTTATAAGTTATAAATCTCGCCATTACTTTAGCAAAAAAAGTTTATAAAGATATTCTTTAAATATAAATATATTTAAGTCCTGCATAAACCTTATTACTATATTAAGGATAAAATTTTTATATTTTTTATATTAATAATATTATTATAGCTTATTAAAAAAACTAATAAGGATAAGTTAATAACCTTACTTAATAACTTTAGGAAAAGTATAAGATTAATAAAAGGGAACTTATATAATAATTCCTAGATATTAAAATTATTTAAGATTGCTTAAATAAAAAGATTTAGCTAATTTAAACTTTATATATTAAAAAAATTATTAAACTTATTAATAAAAAGAAAATTTCTTATATAATCCTTATAATAGTTAAAAAGCTATTACTTTAAAAAGATATTGCTATATAAGCTAAAGTATAAAAATATTAATAAAAGATTAGCTTTTTATTATTTATTATAATATTTACTTAATTAAATATTGCATTTATTACCTTATAACTTGCTTAATTCTTAATAAATTTAAACTTAAAGTATTAAGATATTGCTAATTAAGTTCTTTTATATTTTAATAGCACTAAATATATTACTTTTTATTTTAAGAATTTTAATAATTTTATAATTATTAATAATGCATTATTTATAAATAATTCCCTTAATTAAAAAAGCTTTTAAGTATTTATAATATAATTATTTAAAGGCCTTATAAATTAAAGAATAAATAAATAAGATATAATTATAATATTAATAATTAAAGCTAAGCTTTTAATACTTATATAAGCTGTAAAAGAAATGCTTTTTATAAGCAAACTCCTTAAAAAACTATTAATAAAATTAAATAATAACATTATTTAAATTAAGTATAATAATATTTAAATTATTAAATTAATTATTATAAAAGTTATAACTTTTAAAATAAAGTTATAATATATAAATATTTATAATTATTAGCTAAAATAAAAAGTTTAAAATAATAAAATTAAGGTAAAATATATATTAATAGCATAAATAATAATAAATAAATTAATAAAGGCTTTATTAATTAAAAAATAAAATGGTTTTTTTTAATAATTAAGGTTAAAAAGTATAAAAGAATAAAGAAAAGAAGATACTTTAAAAAAAAGCCTTATAAAAAATAAGCGTAATATAATAAAGAATTAAAATTATTTAGCCTTGTAATATTTATAAGTTTAAGAAGGTATATTAAATTATTAATTTATTGCGAATTAACCCTAGAAAAGCACTTAAATTAAGGGTGCCTAAAGTAATTATATTAGTTTTAATAAACAAGGCCTAACCATTAAAAAAAAGGGGGTTAGCCAAAATAAAAATAGAAAACAATAAATAATCAAGTCATTACCAAGACCCATCTAATTATCTCAATATACCGGTGATTACGTACAATCTGACACATATAGCTAATTTCCTTATACTGGGTGGGCCAACGCTGGAAGCTGGGTGGGCGTACTGTGGAAGCTGGGTGGGCGTACTGTGGAAGCTGGGTGGGCGTACTCTGGCTCCCCAATGCCCACATTAGATGCCCCTCCTGTCTCCAAGACCCCGCCCCCGACAAGTGTCGCCCTCTCGCTCACCATCCCCACTTTGTGCTACCATCTCCAATTCCTAGCTTGAGTACCTCCAACAGTGACTTCCTCAATTCCCGTCTCCTTGATGCAAGCGGTCGTCCCTCCCCACCCGGTCACACTTGCAACCTCACTCCCTGTCAGACCCCAGATGACACCGTCCACGATGGAGCTCCCTTTCAAGCTAACAGACGCCACCCTCTTCTCGCCCAAGTGCTACGTCCACGGGCAATGGGTCGGCACGAAATCCAACAAGACCTTCGACATCGAAGACCCGGGAACGGGCAAGGTGTGGGCGTCCTGCCCGGACAGCGAGGCCCAGGACGTCGACGCGGCGGTGCAGTCTGCCCACGAGGCCTTCGGGCCGTACAGCAAGCTCACGCCCCGCAAGCGCGCGGAGCTTCTCATGAGGTGGCACACGCTGATCCTCGCGGCCCGCGACGACATCGCCCGCATCCTGGTCTACGAGACGGGCAAGCCCCTCGCCGAGGCGCAGGGCGAGCTCGACTACAGCACGGGCTTCACGTGGTGGTTCTCGGGCGAGGCGGACCGCGTCCAGGGCAGCGTGTTCAACAGCGCTGCGGCGGGGCGGCGCACCTTTGTCATTAAGCAGCCCATCGGCGTCGCCGCAGCGCTGTGCCCGTGGAACTTCCCCATCGCCATGGTGCTGCGCAAGGCGAGCGCCGCCCTCGCTGCGGGTTGCACCATGGTCGTAAAGCCGAGCCCCGAGACGCCCATCACGACGCTGGTGCTGGCGAACCTGGCGAGCCGCGCCGGGTTCCCGCCGGGCGTGCTGAACGTGCTGACGACCAGCCTGGACAACACGCCTGCCGTGGCCGAGGCGCTGTGCCTGCACCCGCTGGTCAAGAAGGTCACGTTCACGGGAAGCACGCGGGTCGGCAAGATCATCTCCGGGCTGTGCGCCAAGAACCTGAAGAAGGTGACGCTCGAGCTCGGCGGGAACTGCCCGTTCATCGTCTTCGACGACGCGGACGTCGAGCAGGCGCTGGGCCAGCTGATGACGCTCAAGTGGAGGCACGCCGGGCAGGCCTGCATCTCCGCGAACCGGCTGTTCGTGCAGGCCGGCATCCACGACAAGTTCGTCGAGGCCCTGGCGGCCAAGACGAAGCAGCTCAAGGTCGGGCACGGCATCGAGGACGGCACCACCATGGGGCCCGTCACCACGCCGCGCGGGCTGGACAAGGCCGAGCACTTGCACTCGGACGCTGTGTCGAAGGGGGCCAAGGTTGTCATGGGCACGGGGAAGAGGAATGAGGGCGTGAACGGTGCGACGGGCTACTTCATGGCGCCGACCATCCTGACGGGTGTGACGGACGAGATGGAGCTGGCAAGAGACGAGATGTTCGCTCCGGTCCTCGGTATCTTCAAGTTCGAATCCGAAGATGAGGCGGTGAAGAGGGCCAACGATACGAGCATGGGCTTGGCGAGCTATGTCTTCACAAAGAATGTTGACCGTCTGTGGCGGATGTTTGAGAAGTTGGAGGCTGGGATGGTCGGTCTGGTAAGTAAATGGGCTTTCCCCCTGCTTATGTCTCAAGACTTCGGCATTTTGACTGACTGCATTTAACTCAGAATACTGGCAACCAGTCTGCCGCTGAGTCCCCATTCGGGGGCATCAAGGAGAGCGGCATGGGGAAGGAGAGTGGCAAGGATGTCGCGATCAACGAGTTCTTGATTCAGAAGACCGGGACGTTGACGCTGCAGGATCACTACTGAGATGCCTCTTTTACCAAACTGTGAACTTGTATATTTGCATGAAATTGGGCAAAAGCAGCTGGGGATGTTGGAGAGATAATGTTCGCTGGGCGAAGGTATGCATGGTAGGGTTCATGGGCAAGATGCCCAACAGATTGCGCAGGACCCTTTTCATATTTACGATGCGTAATACTTATCCGGGCTTCTTTACTTCTTAGCCAATCTTTACCCGAAATGTAGCTTACTATCGTTCTATCTGTCTATCTCGAGGAAAATGACTGTCGATATTTACGTTAAACTCCCCGGAGCAGGGCCCAAGCACTTGGATGTATCCTCAAAATTCGTTCGATTTCGCCAATATGACCCAACGCTATGAGCATTGACCTATGTTATCGATGACAGGTATCAAGAGGTTGATCTCTCCCACCTACATATTCTCGTTAGCGACGCTCAGCTACGAAACCGCGTTGTACTCACAAATCAAGGAAGAGCTTCCAAAGGATGGAGAACAGGATGCCCTGCAAACCGTTCGCGATGATACGTGTCTTGAGGCCACGGCCAAATAGGCCCAGAACGCCGTCTTGCAGAATGACCAGCCTAGCAGCCTCGGCTGCACATCCCGCTGTCAGCTTTGTCGGACCGAGGTGGAAACAGTCAACTCACTGTAGGAGACCTGGGTGTCGTTGACCTGACGGTAGGTCTTGATCACCCTCAAGGAGTTAGAAACACTGTCAGATATAATGGAGGCACAGAAGCCGATGAAGGCCAGTCGGGCGAGCCACACGATCAGAGGGTGTTTTGGGGGCTCTGCGATGTTCTCTGACAAGAAGTTGTACTACCATCATGCATAAGTCATCAGATACGGGCTCTCAGGCTTGACCATGGAACTTGCGTTGCGAACTCACCGTTGCGAACCAGGGGTAATGCCCAACAAATGTGGCAGCAGCCGTCGCGAAGGCGCCCCACCATAGACTGCCGATGCCATTCTCCTTGACACGCCTGCGGAGCAGCGCAGTGCCTCGAGCACCTTGGGCCTGCATCGTGGTCTTGAAGGTGTCGATGGGGGTCAAGATCATGCGGAATGCCGCGGCACTGTGTTGATGGCGTCGAGTCAGTCTGCGAGCTCTCGCGCAAATATCAAACCATGGAACGGGCATAAACTCACCAGACAGACGCAAAGACGGTCTGAATGAGACTGGGCAACTGGCTCAAGTAGCCGTTGGACTGGAGCAGAGCAAGGATACCGGCGTTGGCAGCTGTGTCCCCGAACCTGGAGACCGGGCCTTGGATCAGAGCCCAGCCGGCGCCCTGGTAGAAGCGAGGGATGCCGCCTTCGGCGTAGAGGGTCTTGGTGGCTGTGGTGAGAGAGGAGCCATGACGATACTGATAGTTCATGATGGTTCGAATCCACTGTGAATTGTTAGTGGCTTGTCGTCCCCTTTGGACGAGATGATGATGTTCAAGCCAGCAGGCACACATACCATCAGCAACAAGACCTGGAGCACCATAGCCGCAGCACCGCTCAACCCGCCACCGAGGGCCCGCTTCAGAGCGCCCTTGAGATCAAACTGCACAAAAGGTCAGTTCAGCTTCGTCATATGGGAATTTTAAATGGACATTTGAGGATCCTCACATCAACATCCTTGGCATCGATCCACCCCTTGATGAAGACGGCAAGCACGAGTGCACCGAGGACGGCCCACAGTATCCGCCAGAACCACCAGCTTCTGGTACGCTTTGACTCGTTCTGAGGCGGCTCGAGCAGCGCAGCCTGCTCATGCTCATCTCGTCCCTCGTCGTGCGCGGCGGCGAGCAGGGGCGTCTCCTCCGTGTCGGCGTCCCAAGCAGGCCGGGTCGGGGACCGTGCCGGGGATTTTTGCGGGGGTGACTTTGGTGGTGTCTGGGCACCGTTAGCCGGGGCGGCTGTGGAAGACATGGCTCGGAATGGACGGGATAGAATGAGCCGTCCAAAGCTACTAAGGATAATGTGCTAAGGAAATGAACTTGTCTATCAGGGCATGCTGTTCTGGTGTTCTTGATGAGTCCCCTAGTATCTAAAGTTTGTCGTTGAGTGATGAGTGACGCTTAGAAATCCATCCGGAGGCGGTGCACAAGTCGTCATCCAAATCCGAAACCGCGCAAGGAAGATAGACGGTGCGGGTCCCGTTTTCTTATCTCCGTCCCGTGACAAACTTTCCTGCTGCCTCCCCGCGCTCGCCATCTCCCGTCCAGGTGGCGTGCGTTTCAAAACGGCAATGAGCTTCTCAAAGCCCATTATCGCATGCCTGGTTTTCAATCGCCGGCAGAACCGTTCATTGCAGCAATTCCCTGCCTGTCATATTCCCACGTGTGCTCACTGAGAGCCTCCGCAACGACCTTCTTTGTCCGGCTCTCCTAACCCTAGCACCTACAATCCCAGGCTGCACCGTGGGGATCTCAGCAGTCGTAAGTCCGAGTTCTGCTTGGAATATGATGGACTTGCTTGATTACGGTGATTACGTTGATCACTTGTCTCGAGAGCTTCACAACGCAAAGCCCCTTCCTTCACTAATCACTCGATATTAAACTGACTCGATGTGTGACGCATTTTTGAATTGACAATCACTAGCCTTTACGGTTGTCACTGCCCATCGCAGCTGTTTCAAACTCCCAAGCTGTCAGACTTGCCAGGCTACAGTAGACCAGTGTTCAACTTATGCGCCAAGCCACAGCGAGAGTCGAAAGATTGGGACCCGTGCTCTTGCTTGAATATCCCCGTTGCAATGCCCAATGAACCACCCGGCACGTTCTGGAATCGACGTCCACCGTAAGAAGACTTTTTACCAAGTCCACCACTTCATACGCTTCGGCCTCCATCCACCTGCAAGGTTCATGTCAGCAAAATCATACATGAAGTAGTAGATGAGGGGTGGAACTGACCTCCAAGTTGACACCAGTGATGAAATTGGCTTCGTCACTGGCAAGGTAACAGCAAGCGTTCGCCACGTCGTCGGCCGTGGACCCGCGTCCCAGAGGCACAGTTGCCACGAACGCCGTGCGGTTCTCTTCAGTATCAGGCTTGCCCAGGAAAGAGGCCGAGCTGAAGATTGTGTCTCAAAGTAAGCCACATGTCTAAACCGTTAAACCAGGGGTGGCATGCACTTACAGGCCCGTGCCACTGCCAAACACCGGCGAGACAGCATTGAACCTGATCTGCTTCGGTCCGTACTCGACAGCCATCGACTTTGTGGCATTGATGACTGCGGCCTTGGATGCATTGTACCACGCCAGGCCCGGCCGAGGCCTCACGCCCGCGGTCGAAGCCAGCGAGATGAAGGATCCCGGGCGCCCGCTCCCGAGGAAGTAGGGCAGCAGGACGTTGGTGCAGAGGTAGATCGACCTGACGTTGACCGTGAAGCACACGTCAAACTCCTTGTCCGTGACCTGCTCGGTGGGCTTGTTCGGGTACGTGGTCCCGGCGTTGTTCACCACGACGTCCAGGCCGCCGAACTGCCCGGTCGCCGTCTTGAGCAGCTGCTCCCAGTCTTCTCGTTTGGTCACGTCGGCCCTCTGGAAGGCCGCCGAGGAGCCGAGCTCGCTGGCCACCGCCTGCCCGGCTTCTGCTGACAGGTCGGCCACTATGACCTTGCCTCCCTCTTGGATGAACTTGGTGGCGATGCCCTTGCCGAAGCCGGACGCGCCGCCGGTGACGATTGCGACTTTTCCTTCGAGACGGCGAGACATGTTTGTGTGATAGAGTACTGTAGCGGCTGTTCTGGAAATTGTGTCGGTATCCTCGGCGGATGATGTCTCCAACGTCGAGGGCGAGCACTTGCCCTCTCTCCAAGTGTACTACTGTAAAAGTAGTGCTGCATGGGGATGGAGACGACCGACCCCGCACAACCACGCGCGACAACGCTTGGTATAACCGAGGTCACCGGAGTCGAGCCAAGCCATGAGGATCACTGCAAAGTCATCCCAATATAAGTAGATGCAGGTAGGCGGACCTACCAGGGGGGAGGGGGGTTTCTGACTGGGTTACGCAATGCACTCGTATAACACCCCTCGTGGACAGGTGGACAGTCCACCAACTCCGATTGCGGACAGCAATCACACACCTCTCGAGGACACTTCTAAATATCTATTCAGCTCTCAACTAAACACCCATTCAGCTTTAAACTAAATATTAAATATCTTTTCTTAGGAATTTATTTACATAATATAGAAAGAAAGCTCTTTATAAGGCTTTATCTCTTTATTTCCTTTCTTATTTATTTTTAAGAAATAAGAGATTTAAAATATTTTAATCTTTAGTTAAGAACTAAACTCCATAGCTCTTAGAGTTAGGGTAGCCAAAGGTGCGCGCCGAAGCATATATTTAGCTCTTGGCTATCTATATGTGTGTCCACCGGTGTGTTTACAACCGGTGCGGGGGTGTGATATCCTTTATATATTTTAAATATTTAATTGAAATTTCATAATTTTAGCGAAATATTAATAAAAAACTATTTTAATATTATTAAAAGGAAATTATATTAAGATTTTAAATTATATTTATATTAACTTTATATTTATATTAACTTTATATTAATTAATATTATTATAATTTTAAATTTATTTTTATTTTTAAATATTTTTATAATTTATTAAATTATTTTATAATAAATCATTACGTTAATAAAAAGTAAATTAATAATAAAATTATAATAAAAAAAGAAATTCTTTTTACCCCTTATATTAAGGGTTAATATTATTTTAAAGGATATTAAGAATAATTATATATTAATAATATATAAATTATGCAAGATATATGTAAAAAAGGCATATTAGAAACTTAATTGCATATCACTATTATGTCACTATTCCATTGATATACTGATGCGATGTTGACAAGAAACCCCCCTCCCCCTGGTAGGGAGGGTGGTGATGGCTACACAAGGTGGTTCTGGATTGGTGCAAGCTCGATGTGCATGCGAGCTGCCCAGAGTCCCCCTCAATCGTTTGTGTCCATTGGACCAGTCGACGTCGAGCGGGGTGCATATCCCTCGCAGATGGAGTGCTGATGTCTTGATCACGGGATAGCAATAGAGTGGAAAGTTTGGAAAGTCCGAACGAACCAAGATCCAAATTTCGCGAGAGACCGAAGGATGCATTTGCAACTGCCCAGTGGTTCGGGAAATAGCCTGAGCAGATGGAATAGTATCAAAATCGACTGAGGCGACCTTGTCTGCTTGGGTTTCGAGCAACCATCCCTAGATTCGGAGAGCAGGTCTTGTGTGGAACAATAATCCGTGTGAAATTGCAAGGGAAATGGACTTGTCGCAAGGTTCTATAGTCGGTGCTCAGTACCTATTTGAGAATGACAACAGTTCGGACATGTTGCGAAAACTGGCCAGTCCTTGCCACTGCTTCTCAAAGTCTTGAATTCATGTAAAATCAACGTCTTCATCCTCACTTTCAAAATATTCGAACACAGGTACTGCTTCAAATGGACCATCCTCCTCTGGGTCATCGTTCCCGAACATTGCCCCCTCGGTCACATTTGCCGACTTGTTGATTCGCTTCTTCCGCCGAGAGTACTGGAACTCCCTTACTCGATATGCGAAATCACATTCCTCTACCACCTCACGCTCCGTGTCTGCCGAAGAACCCTTCTCTCTGGAGGCACCCATCCCGGCTTCCACGCCTCCAACAGTGAGACTCGCATCAAGATCAACAGATGCTGACCTGGCCTTGCTGGAAGCATCGCCTACGTATAGCCCTTTGCACGATGCGACCCCGACAATCATGTACAGGGGGTCTGAAAACAACCCCTTCCGAACATAGTCGACGACCCTTGGGGTTTGCAGAGCTCTTTCCAGGTATTCATGGGCGGTCTGTGGCAAGACGGCCACTGCTCGGACGCCAGAGGCCTCGACGGTGGCATCCACACTTCGTGATGAAGTCGCACCCACTCCACCACCGGCGCTGACAATGGGAGAGAATGGTAGCAGAGCCTTAATTCTTCCCCCGTGTGTCTTGGAAAGTTCGGATCGCATGAAGAGGCGGACCGCCCCGGTCTGATCCTCAATCCTCTCCGGCGGAAACGCCTCGATGCCGCTTGCGTGGTTCAGCGAGGACTCTAGGTCATCTGGCTTCGTGAGGATGCTACCGAGAACCATGAGCGTATTAGGTCTCTGCGGGTAGCGGTAGACATGCCAGAGCTTGTCGCCCCTGAGGCCCGAAGAGTTTGTCATGGTGGTATACGAAGATGTTCAGTGGCTCAAGAACAGCTTCGTGCCCCGATTTGAGAAATAATTGAACTCAGCAGCACAAGTTAGACGTGATGGTCAATGATGGCTGGAGGCATATGCTGGGGATAAGAGCTGAATTGTCTTCAAAATGAAGAAGAGCTTGGTGTAGTTACATCGCATCTCTCAGCCTGCATGGATCCTCCAAAGCGTAAGCACGGGAGTTACAAATCCTGCGCTAAATATCAATCTTGCCGGCGGGGCTTTTGCGGCGTTCATTCACTGCGGCTGATGGCACTTTTCGTAAGCACAGACGAGAACTTTGGAGAGGGAAGTGAGAACGATGCTCATGACCTAAAAGTGCACAGATTAGATATCATAACCAGCTCAGACCACGCACGATATGACGCCTTCGGATGGAGACCTCAAGCCCGACCCTCAGGGCACCCGGTCACGACGGTCTCCGAGTCCCCGGGCGCCGGAGGGCGACGATGCCAGCACAGCGGAGAAGCCGTCGCCTGCGATTGCATATAGGGTCAAGACCCCCGGCCAGGTCCTGCACGACGCAATCGGTCGCAAAGACCTAGACGGAGTGACACGCATCATTCGAGCCTCGCCAGATTGCGTCAACGCAAAGAACGATCGCGGCCGGACGCCTCTGCATGTCGCCGCACAAACCGGCCAGAACGACATAGTCAAGCTGCTCATCTCGAAGGGAGCAGAGGTGGACGCCCGGTCCGGTTGGAAATATACGCCCCTCACCTTAGCCACCGAAAGCTCTCATCGAGACGTCGTGGTGACTCTGCTGGACTCGGGGGCGGATCTGGGGGCGGTGACGAAGGAGGGCTTCACACCGCTGCACAAGGCGGTCCAGAAGGAGAGGAAGAACACGCAGGATATACTTGCGATTCTGATGATTCGCGGTGCAAAATGCAACGCACTGGATAAAGAAGGGCTCACTGCACTGCAAGGTGCAGTGTTAGCAGGGAAGCTCTCCAACGCGCGGGTACTGTGTGTATTTCGCGCAGATCCATATTTCAAGAACACGGATGGCAAGAACGCATTTGATTATGCGAGAACACTAGAAAAGGATGTCAGGGACGAAATGACTGAGATATTGTCCAAGTGGGAGAAGTGTGGAAAGCAAATGCGAAAGATACTACCGCAACTATCTCAGTTCATCAAGAAAGAAGGCCAAATCGATGCGTCAGCCATGCTATCGTGGGCATCGAGGGAGGGACACGCGCTACTTGTTGAATTCATCCTCAACTTCATGGCCAAAGATACCCCTGACATCGTCGAATCCGAGGGCTTGAAGAAGGGTTGGAAGCCTATTCATCATGCAGCCTGGGCAGGTCAAAGCAATGTTGCCGAGATACTTTTGGCCCATGGATCCGACGTTAATGCCAGGACGGGCACGCAGAAATGGACGCCTTTACATCTGGCTGCAGGAAAAGGGAAACAGAGGACGTTGAGGGTTCTACTGGACAATGGGGCAGACATTCTTGCTATGACTGAGCAGGCGCCACGTTGGGTGGCGCACGAGGGATCTCAGTCCTCTGAACCGTCTGCGGGAGTCACTGCATTTTGGCTTACCGCAGTAGGCCGCCATCCGAAGAGCCTGGACGTTTTGTTTCAGTATATTCTTCGCATGAAGGATGGCAACAGCCATGTCATGGCTCTCAACCATTATGAAAAAGCCAGAGATCACCTCGCCAGTCTCAGTGGCCAACAAGATGACGAGAAGTCTGGTCATGACGATGACTACAACACGAAGCCTGACTCCGAAGTTGGCACAGCAACATCTGTACTTTCCCTTCTGCCAGAGCTTGATGTGCCTGGCGCAGTTGGCTCGTTTGATGGAACTTTCTTCTCCGGACCTACCTCAAAGTAAGCCAGCAGAATAGACTATTGAAGGACTTGCAACGGCTGACACAACCTTAGCCTCCAATTATCCCATTCGGCCACGTATCAAATGCTACTCAGTGTCTGGGACAACTTCGACTTCAAGAAGAAGTACGACCGACCAGTCAAGGTTGCCGTCCTAGACACCGGACTAGATGTTACCCATAAGAACTTCGAGAATCCGAGGTTGAATCGTTTTGTGGGTGGGAAACCAGTATGGTCGCCTAAAGAAGAGCCATCCCAGTACGAGAGAATCAAGGCCTGTGAAGACTTCACGGACACCGGTCCAATAACGATAAAGGACGATATGAGAGATCTTGACGGGCACGGCACCCAGGTCGCAGAGTTAATTCTCCGGCTTGCCCCAAGATCAGAACTATACATAGCTCGCATATGCGAGGGGGAGATCAACCGCGGTACACCAACCCCGTCCGCGCCGACAGGCAATCGGGTCAAGCGACCGCGGCCTGATATCGTCGCAAAGGCGATCGAATGGGCCCGGGAGCAGAAGGTGGACATCATCAACATGTCATTCGGCTTTTACGACAGTCACAAAGAGGTCAAGGCAGCCTTGAACCGTGCAGTGCGCGACTCCAAGATTCTTGTGTTCGCCGCCATGTCCAACGACGGGAACAACAGCCAACACGCGGCCTGGCCTGCAAGAGATCCGAATCTCGCGATAGGCGTGCACTCCTGCGACAAGTGGGGGCGGAAGACATCGGGATTCACGCCGAGATATGTACACGGCTCGCACAACTTCATGTTTGTCGGCGAGGAAGTCATCACCCAGTGGCCGATGGCCAAAGGTGGTGATTTCAGACTTGACCAGGGCACCTCATTTGCTGCGCCGGCCGTTGCGGCGATGGCTGCTTTGATACTCGGGTTCGCATGGCAGCACATGTGCAGGAAGGAGAGGGAGGAGGCCGAGATTGACCTCGAGGAGTTGCGGGAGCTTGGGGGGATGGAGAAGGTGCTTGAGCGCATCAGTGAGAAGGATGAGACGTTGCGGTACTCGTACATCCACCCCAGGCTTCTGTGGAAGGACTTGAGCCCGAGCCTTGCCGAAGATAAGAATAAGGCTAGGCAGCATGCCTGGAAAGCAATCGTGGACTCCCTCGGGCTTTGATGGGAGGAATATGGAGAGCGGTAGGGTTACAGTAGAAAGCTAATTGACAGACGCTGTTGCAGCAAGACCCCCCGAAGCATTCCTTTGTCCATCGGTTGCTGCATGGGAGGAGGGGGGTCCACCTAAGTGCGACTGTTCAGGTTCTCTAACCCACACTGAACCAGAACAACATAACCAGCCAGGATCTACCTGCACAGATCCGTCATTGTATCACAGAGAGCAAATGTGGGCAGGTCACCCGAATTCATGAGCTACGGACCAAGGAGCAGGCCCATACCGTCCTACTGCTACAACAGTCTAGCTACTTTAGTAAAATCACCCACTGCATTTCATCCAGAAAGATCTTCGATGCAGTCTTTTAACGAGTGACTGGTTTGCTACTACCATAACTGATATTATTGGAATGAGGAACAATACGTCCGAGGCATTTTTCTGGCAAAAAATGCAGTCTGCAATACATAAGGAAGTTGGGCTACCCGGGTGGCGTAATGGGAAGGGTATAGATACCGTTTCAGAAAACGGCGTTTCTCCGTACGGCCAACACTGCAAGAAAAGTTGCAGCGTTATAGGGACGTACTTGCTTGGGCAACACCGTGTCGAACACCTTGGCATTTTCGTCTTGCATAAAACCGCCAGGTGTGGAGGGATGCTGCACGCCGCCGGCACGTTGCAGCCAGTGCGGCACAGCGCAGCCAGTCAGTGTAGGGGCAGCAGTCACCCCTACCTCTTCCTGAAAAGGTATAGATTAAATGTGTTTGCAGGGACACATTTGGGATCCTTGCGAGGTGTGTAATACCGTGTACCCGGGCGGGGCTGAATAATCGCCAAAACGGTGCGTCATGGCAGCGACCCCACCACACAGGTGACATGATTGGAGGTTTTGCGCAATCTCACCCCAGCAAAAACGAGAGAAACCACAGGGGTGTTTGAATCCTAGACACTTGCCCTGAGCCCTCCTCGCCGGTCTGAATCATCTCTGCCCAGGCCAAGGATCATCTGCGATTCACCTCAGCAAGTGCTGCGGCCTGTCAATGCTGGCTATGTCGGTTCACGCTTCAACCCGGCCGCCTCACGTTTCTGGTATGCCTGTTTACGTGGGCTGTGATGACATCAAGTGGAAAGACACGGTCATGTCTCCTCGTTCTCCCTTCGTTGCTGGTTCACTGGGTAGTCGCCAAAACACCGCGCGGTCGGAGCGGTACCACCACTCAAATGAACATGATTGGAGATTTTGCGCAGAGTCGCCCTGCCAGGAGGCCACAGAAACCCAGCCCATAGGGCTGAATACAGAGCTAGCGTTGGACGCATCGAAATTTCGGGTCACCTTGTGTCGAGATAAAGAGGAAGCCCCTCCCCCTTCCGTGCTGCCCTTTTCTGTCACCATATTCTCAGAAGTGTGGCCTCTTGTCATACGAACGAGGACTGCCACCACATACGAAGATGATTTCCCAGTTGTCTCTCTTCTTCCCTTGCGATACCAGATCCCTTCCCTTCGCTCTCAAATACATCGAACAACGCTGTGAGCGTGGGTGAGATTCCGCCATGACTGGCTCTCGGTCCATGGTCTCTCGCAGTCTTTGCGTCCTCCCGACGACCTGCCCGAGCTTCTGTGAGTCCTAACTTGTTCTATCGTTCACCTCAACTATCCCATCTTCCTCTCGAGCGATGGGGATTATTCTTTTTCTTTCATCCCCCATATTCAATTCACCAATTCACAGAGTATGGCGGCGGATGCCTCCCCATCCTCCTTTTTCTCGTTTTCTGTCTTCCACTTTTCCACGTGGCCGCCTCTTCACTGTTATTGGAATGGTCAGTGCAGTCCATCAACAGCTGGAGTTTCTACCTCAGCGGGCATCAACATGGAAACACGACAACACCAACACCAACACATTTCGGCCCCCAAAATCTGCAGTCAGCGTCACACAGCCAGAACTTCGGATTCCGGGATAACACCATTTCCGACAGGCTTTGTCATCGACTCTGAGCACCGGATCTTTCACCATCACAAATTCTCTTCCGAGGACGCCAGACAAACCAAGATGGGACACGCGATCAGGCAGCGATGGGGCGCATAGCTGACGTGCGTCTGCCTTGGAGACTGATGGGCTTTCCCATGGATGCCTCGCCGCCTTGTTGCCTCGTTGCCTCAAGCCAAGGGCTCTCCGCCGAGGTCTGGCCGGCGGCCGGCGTCTATACTGCAGCCCTCATACGCCCAGTCTCAAGTGAGGCGGACGCCGTGACGACGCCTGCATATTCAGGTTTTTCTCTCATACTAGTCGGGCGAAATTACCCCTCTTTGTCCGCCTCACTTTCATGAACCCCTTTACCTTGCAGGCCTTCGGTCTCACTTTCTTTCTTCACTTTTGACCCCTAACGTATTATCTTTTGCTCCCCGGGGTCTGGTCTCAGAAGCCTGAGGACAGTCGTGATGGCAGAATCCGGATCGTGGCAGGACTGATGGATTACATCGTGGGTGCAATTTTCACGTGCAGGAAAAGAGTGTTCATTGTTCAGATCGGAAAATCTTGGTTTACACTGAGCTTCTATGTGTACTTTCATTGCACACACCAGAGCATAGGTTTCTCGAGATTCGGGACGAGTGTCGTCAAGAAACCAATACGGAGAGGAGGCGCCACCCGAGTATGTGCAGACAAGCGTTGAAAGGCATGCCATGAAAAATTCGAAACGGCATTGGTCTGAAGGGCAAAGCCGTCGTTTGAATGGCAGGTACTTGCTCGCAGAGACACAATTTTGTTGATCTTGTGTCTGGTGTCTTGTGTCTTGTGTCTCGGAAAGAAGGCCTTCCAGACATACCTTGCGCATTTCGGATTGGATTAACAACTCGACACGAAGATTCAATCGAACACCAGACAACGAAATATGTCTAGCAGAATACATCCTCGATCCAAATGCCGCCTGGTCATCCACCCTCGCAATGGGCTTGTTTCCACACCAGCTGGAGATATCAGCATAGCAGCTGTCGGGATGGCATGCCTATCGATGCTTCGATTTGCTTTCATTTTACGATCACTGCACGAGCTATTCATCGCCCAGACTTTTGTGGACATTTGGGTTAAGCAAAGAGGTCGTTCAGGGGGAGGGGGCTGCTAGCAACAACCACGCAGCCTGGCGGTCGCGGGCGGCGGAATACCTAGGTAGTGATATTGCGGGAGGGCAAGGGGGGAGGGGGGATCCGACCTCTGACGTCTAGCCAATGACAGTCTCAAAAGAGATATCGGGTCAGAGTATCAACGCCTCCGAATGCACTCGCAGACCTCGCTCTGCATTGCGACCGATGTGTTAGTTGCATCGGCGTTCGCCTTACGGACCATGCTTTGCAGCAGGTGTCTCAACTGCGCATTCTCGAGAAATTCATATTTAGTAGATTTGATGCCCTCCGAACATCAGCATAGTCAAATCCGCGTTTTTCACACCGTCAAACCCTGGGATCTTTGCACCTTCTCAAAATTGGCTCTTGATTGCATACGTCTTTTCGTCCCCGTCAGGGCGATCCGCTATATCCAGTACCCGTTGAGAATATACACCGCGTTTCGACCTTCCTCGACCCAGTCAGGTCTGGCTTTGATCAAGCTTGCTTCCGGATATCTCCACGACGAAGCTAGCTCCGTCTCCCAGTCGCGATTTTCATCCTGAGACTGGGCACCGGCGTTCTCTCCACCTGATTTTAGCTAAAGAGTCATTATGAGCTCTCGATCCACTCAGTCTACCAGCGGGTAAAGCTGGACCCCTATTTTCTTGCCTTCTTCATCCTGAATCAATGGGCTCCACTGACGACTTCGACTGCTCTCAAGATCGTCTCCCGGTACTCACGCCTCTACGGACCCAAACGTCGAGCAGCAATCCTACCTCCAACAGCAACGACTCAGTACTTACATGGCTGAGCCTTGGGCAAACAGCAACCGTCTGGTAGCCCTTCCATACAGATCCGTCGTTACAGAAGCCTCGAGGCTATCACAGAGCCCGTCACTTGTCAGACAATCCCAAGACCTGAGGGGTGTGGGGTCGTGGACTGCCTCTCAGGGAGACAAGTGACAGTCCTGGGAGCCTCTCACCGTCTCCCCAACACAGCTTTCATTGGAAAGAAGACCTCCATGAACCTCATACCATCGTGCTGGTGAGATGGATGGTGTAAAGTGGGTGAAGGCTACAGAAAGATCTAAAGACGCCGGGCAGACGGCGTCCCCGACTCGTTCGGGCTTTTCATTTCCATTGCCACCCACACATATATATCACTGGCAACTTCAATCGATGTCATATTTCTCCGTTTCAAAGGTATCCTCTCCAGAAGTCCTGACCTACCAACCCTTCAACGGCCAGTGTTCATTCGTGATCCCAAGTTCATGGCGCTCATCTTTTCCGCGCACTCCATTCTTGTCTACACCTTCCTTGCCCTGGACGTTCGAGAGTTTGTCTCGTTCGTTTGATTCCCCCGAATGATCAAGCCTTCCTCATCATCCATCGTCGCCTGCTGTACCAGGACTTCGACAACCGTAGATCCAGCAGCCCGACAACAGATAACAACAGCGCTGATCCACACCCACACAGCCACCGCCGTGGCAAATACCCTTGAACACCACTCCATATCAGACAGGAACTTGTCATGAAGTTCTTGGTCTGACGGTCGCGTCGTGCTTTCCCCTCAGCCCGATCTCTATCATCAACACCTCCGTCTTCCGCTCGGGGAAAACGACGTGCTACTCTGCTCCCGGCGCTGCGTCGACGCCCTCCCAAGGAGTAAATCCAGGGAAAGGCAACACACCCGTCTGGGGAACACCATGGTGCCATGCCTTCGGTATGTCATCCATATCGGCGTCGTGGATCTCGTGTGAAATGTACCCCGTGGAGTCTGCAACTGCGCCAGGGTAGCCCCGCACGTAAACTTCTCCCACTGAGGACCGAACAAAACAAATCCGCCGCAGCTGTGCACACCGGTCGAATGTCTTCCTCGCCAGCTTGGAGCGATCTTCGTTTAACGGATGGTTGCGCGAGAGGTCCTTGATGTACTTGAGGCGCTCGCTGGGCAGCACAGGTAGCCTTTTACGCAGCGTGTTCAATCTTTCGCGTGAATTCTCCGGGACTTTCTGGCACTCTTTCATCGCCTGCCCATCGGTGACGTCGACATACTTGAGCTTGGGAATCTTTGTAAGCTGTTTCAATAGACGCGAGACTGGAAAATTGCACAACTCGCCAACGGACAGAAAGATATTCGAGTTCTGGCGTCCTGTCTGGGAGATCCAAGCTCGAAATCTCTGAATGCCACCAGTCATTTGGCTTGAAGGCCTGGCGTGGGTCTGAACATGTCTGGTATATCCTCAACTGCGTCATGTTTGGCACAACATATGGATGATGGAAGTCTCCCGGCATCAAGGTGCAGACTGCCTCATCTGCCGCTGTTCCGTCGAGGCAGTAGGCTTTCAGCTGGGGCAAGGCCCCAACAAAATCAACCCGGTACAAAGTCTGTTCCCATGGTTGATCTAAGCATCCCCAACTGTCATGTGACACAGTGAGTGATCTGATGTTCGGCTCTTTTCCTGCTGGGCACCAATGCGCCACAGCCCGAAGTCCCTCCAGGCACTTTCTGCCTTGCTCACCATCCATGTGCATGTACAGCTCCGTAACCTCTTGCATTTTGGCGAGAGCTTCAAAGAGCTCAGGAAGGATGAGGTAATGATATGGCTCTGCAAGCCTGTCATCGCCTACCGATAGATATTTGAGGCGATTCAGATACAGGCTGATGGATCGAGCGTGACACCACACCTCAGGAGCCGCCATGAATCGCCTGATTGAGTGAAGAATCTCGTCACCTGGAGACTCTGGACCATCGCGGAAGCGGATTCGCTGAAGCAGTCTGGATGCCGTCACGTTTCTGAGGTACTTATTCATGACAGAAAGGCTGAGCAGTGTTGCCCGGCCGACAGAAACATCATCGGCACAGATTTCAACAATCCCCCGAAGAATTTCGGGCGGCAGATTCTCCAAGAGCGTGACCTGACTCTGCTGGGCAGCCGCGGCCATATCTTGAGATTCCGCTGAGTGAAACTTTCGACGGGGTAGTTTGACAGTGGCGTCTCTGAATTTTGTGCGTCGCGCAAATAGATTACGCTTGATCAGACGCTCTCGTTTCGTATGAATGACGGGTTCTTCTGGCTGTGATTGTGAAGGTGTGATTTAGGATGGTGCAGTGTTCCCACGGCACCATTGTGACCAAAACGTATCTACCGCAAGCAGGAGCAATGAGGTTCTCAAGTGCTTGTGAATTTGTGACGGATTCCAGTACCCTTTGTGTCAATTTTTTCATTAAATAAAAACTCAGCATGGAGAATGAGGACTGGTAAGACTTCATTCAACAGGCGTCCAATCGTACACTTTAGGGAGCTCGACGCCTCCCACGTATCTGCCATCTTGCCATCCCCACTTCTTCAACTGATCTACCGTGAGAATTCCCACCTGAGATGAGTTTCCAGCTCGGTGAAGATTTGCCCAATCCCGAAGAGGCTCATACTTGTGGCATACTTGAGCTTGGTCATATTTGGGTTGTCGGTCTCCGTCTTCCAGGATGTGCCATGCCACGAGATCCAATGAGCCACGGCAAAGAGCCACCTGACGGAGGTAATCGAGACAATGACCTGCAAATACCTAGTTAGCAAGGAGTATCGAGGAGCTTCCAGAATAAAAAGATAGTGAAAGAATAGGCACCTATATGCGCTTTTTGGTGCTCTGGCATTTTGTCCCACAACACGCGACCTGACTTGAACTCGGAAAGGGCGTTACGCAGCCTGGACTGAAACCAGTCAGAAATGTGGTAAATGTTAAGCATCCCAGAATTACCACACATACTAGGCAGTGTATGTCGTGCCACATACCGACAGCGTACACGGTGTAATCCTTTTTTTCTATGTCTGGGTTGGACTTGACCTCCATGCTCATCTGCTCCTCAGGAGACAGACGAACAATTCCAACTGAGTTCCGGGCAGTTACAAGTCAGTTGTTCCACCTCCTCGCGCTCCAAACAGATCCCGGAACAAGGCTCTCACCTTCTTGCAGCTCGTTCCAAGCGTCGTCAGCTTCTTGAGAAAACCCCATGTATCTTGTTCGTTTTCCGTGCAAGCCTTCGTTGAATCTCACTCTCTCATACTGAGCTAGTTGTTTTAGAGGTGCTATCATCATTTAGCATGGATTTGTCAGCAACGGATTGACCCATCCAGCGCACAATATACTTGGGGTATCTCGCGCTTCGTCCATGATCGAAAAGCCATGTATGCAGTTAAAGCGGCTAAAACAAGCGTCCAGATTCCCAGGACAATCTGTCCCCACCTTATTTGTGAATGAGGCAATAGTGGATTCAGCCCTAAAGGTGTTGATCGCTCTTCTTCTCCTCCGTCCCCTTGAGAAATTTGGGTATACCGCGATTTCGCAGGACGTCGCGTGTCCAGGCTGAGTTCTGGCTGAAGCCCCATTGTCGCAGAATATGTATCCTATGCCGGTTTTGCAATATGCACCGACGTCTCCTTCGGACGGACAACAACTAATAAAGGCATCAACCAAAGATTTTTGAGGACGCCTGATGGTGGACGTCGCACGCAATCAAGCTTTGTGCACGGCCCGGCGGCTCTATTCAAGACTTAAACCGGCCATCGACGGGAAACTCCCAGTCACGGGTCAGCTGAGTTGATACGGCACTTTGAGCCGCCTTGGCTCAAGGGGCATGTCTTTATGGACTTGATTGCCATCCTTCCGCCTCGAATAACACATCCTCCGGAATTGACAACATCACACTTTTCAGGCCGTCGGCAAAGCCTCGGACTCTTTTTAATGAATGAGTACAAATACAGGATGCTGAACGCCTGGAGCTAAAAACGCAATTAGGATCAAAGTCGGATAAATTGATGCTAGGAGTGTACACTTTCTGAAAAATAGTCTATTTTCATGTAATGGATTCAGCGCTGAATACCGAGTGTTCATCAGACTTGCAGCATTCAACGGCCATCACTCCGAGATCGATATATCCAGATTTGTGTCTCCTGGTCGCATCGCGCGAGGCACCTAGTGGTTGCCTTGAATCGTCAGTACCTCCAAGCCTTCCGCTGTTATGAAAAACAAGGTGGAACTGAATGAGAGGGCCTGCATACTGTCGCGATATGACATTGACTTGTTAAGGCACCAAGTTCAGCAGTAAGTTTCAATGTCATGGATATCAGGATCTTATTGTGAATGAACAATCTACCTTTATTTCAGCACTGTAAGATCCGCGAACGCATACTTCAGCAAGAACAAAGTTCGGTAGCTCTTATCCCGAGATGAACCAGTAGTAGGGAAAAGCACAGGGGCCCACATGTTTGGAATTGTACTGGCAACGTACGTCAAGGCGCATTTCATTATCTTGGGGACCCAGTCTTGAACACACTCGAATCCACCCGGCATGCCCGGGCCCCGGGGCTCTTGGCTTGGGGCGGTCAGAGAGGTGCGTATCCCGTGGGCAAGTTTTGAACCGGACCGAAGTTGTCTTCCGGGAGGGTCTGCATTTTCCGTATCCACTCTTCCTGTCAAAAGTCCGGGGGAAAACCTGAATCGGGTTATGTGATCGTGGAGAGATCGCAGCCACTCAATGCAAGAGCCAAACGCGGGGAAGATCACCATTACTAATCTGGGGATGAACGCGCGAAATACGGCACAGGAGGCCGGCGTACAATTGTCAAAAACGGCGGTCAGAACAGCTTCTCACAAGTCCCATTTCCGAGGGCCCCTATCCGACATCCACAGGTGGAGCACTACGATGTGACGAAGGGGCAGAGGATATCTACAGACACGCGCCGTCTTCCTGGGTTGTGTAGAAATCTGGGGCAGATGCAGGATTCGACCGCAGTTCCACCCCAAACACATCTCGTGGATCTGCCCGGCAAATCTCTCAGTAAACAAGCATCGCCGTCGAATTTCTCTGGAATCAGAGCCATGGTCATGTTTGGTCTAACTGTAGTCCCTGTACTTGGACTCTTTTTCGCACCGGTCTTCACCTCCCCCGTTGGCGCGGTCGCGCATCCAGCTCAAAAATGCAACAGCGACGCTATCGCTAGGCCCGTCGTTTATGGGGCACAAGTCACGTCCATTATCGCCGGCATTGTACAAGACTGGCAAGGGGTTTCAGGCAACGATGTTTGTAATGTCAACATTAGTATCACCCATCCTGGCACCGGCGACCTAGTCAACAACTTTTACGCCTTACCTTTGAGTGGGTGGAACGGAATCTTTCAAGGCATTGGTGGTGGTGGCTATAGGGCAGGCAAGTTTGAGCAGGGTGCCAGTCAAACAGCTCTTGGCTACTCTGTTGGATCTACGGACGCTGGGCACTCCGACACCGCGTCTTCAAAAGATGCCTCGTCGTGGGCACTAGCCTCACCTGGCAACGTCAACCAGCACCTACTCCTCGATTTCGCCCGGCTCTCCGTACACGACATGACGGTCATCGGGAAGTCTCTAAGCGAGAGCTTCTATGACCGGCTGGTGGAACGATCCTACTGGACCGGATGCAGCACCGGTGGAAGACAGGGACTCAGTCTTGCGCAGTACTATCCAGATGACTACGATGGCATCCTCGCCAACGCACCTGCTATACATTGGAACGACTTCCTCCTAGCCCAGGAGTGGCCGTTCATCGTCGAAAACAACGAAGGATATACGCCTCCGCCTTGCGAGTTCGACTTCGCAGCAGCCGCAGTCATCAAGGCTTGCGACGGTCTCGACGGCCTAGTGGACGGTATTGTCTCAGCACCCGCACTTTGTGCGTTCCAAGCCCAGAGCCTGGTCGGTCAAACACACATATGTGGTGCAGATGGCTCCACACGGACGTTTAGCCAGAAAGCCGCGACGGCCGTCGACAAGATCTGGCAAGGCCCTCAAACGCCGGAGGGCCAAGTATCTTGGTATGGCTTGATCAAGGGGGCTAACTTCTCGACTGCTGCCCCAAATATTGCTGGCAATGACACCGCTCAGCCGTTTGGAATCTCGGATTCCTGGGTCCGCAACTTCCTCGCCAGAGATGTGGCTTTCGACACTGCGAATGTGTCATATCAAGAGTTTGCAGGTGAGTCTCTGTTCCGCAGATATCAAATACTTGTCACTGCATCCATTGCACGTGCTGACAAAATTTCAGACTTAACTCATCAAGGCCGCCTAGAGTATGAATCCATCATCGGCACAGGAAATCCGGACCTTGATCGCTTCAATCGTCGAGGAGGCAAGATCGTCACATGGCACGGGCTAGCGGATCCAATCATCCCCCCACAAGGCACCATGTTCTACTATCAAAAGGTTCTTGCGTTGGACCCGTCTGCGGCAGACTTCTACCGACAATTCTACTCTCCTGGAGTTGGCCACTGTAGTGGTGGCACCGGTGTGCTCCCGACAAATGCACTGGATCAGTTGCGCGCATGGGTGGAGAACGGAACCGTCCCTGAGACTTTGCACGCCGCGAGTCCATATCCTGGCAACGCCTCGAGCTCTTTGCCCGTCGACCCCAGTGAAAACGTGCGGTTTCTGGATTTGTGTCCCTGGCCAGCTGTGGAAATTTACAGTGGACAGGGAGATCCCGCGCTGGCCGAGTCATGGGGTTGTGTTGGCGGGACTAACTGGAGGTCGTTCCTAGGCGTAAACCCCAATGACAGGTATAGTCTCGTTAGGGGCTCGAACTAGTCACAGCGGCTAGAACCAGTGAGCTCCCCTTAGACCTACACAGAACCAACTTCACAATTTCATATCATTTGTTCCTGTGATTATTGGAATAGAATTGAAGGTGTGAGCATCGAGCATTAGTCAAGTCAGTTGACATGCTCTAACGTGTCTCGAGTCTGTTAGTGGCCAAACCACCGAGTGTAGCGCTCCGCACGCACAATGTAGAGTCCACCTAATTGCTATTGCTGAGGCACCAAATTGATCACGGCGTTTTGTCGAAACATTGCTACAGCATCCTTCCGAGAAAATAAGTCTAAGCTGCTCATCATCATACTCAACACGATACTCCGCCATTACCTAAATTCTGCTCTCTTCACGCTGATCAAAACGATCAAGTCTTTATCCCAGGCCACCGTCACCCAAAGGAGCACACGGAACATCACTGAAATGCCGAACGAGGGTGATCCGCACGAAGTCCGGGAGAAGACACGGGCTCCTCCCTGCCTAGCTGATCTCCCACTCGAGCTTCTCTTCTCCATCGTTCGCTTTTCTATTGCGGCGGGACGAGAGGCTGACGCATCTGCTCTTGCCAGAACGAGCAAGAGCATGCGCTTCGACCTCAACGATGAGCTTTACAAACTTGTCGTCAAGAACAGGACCTTTCACATTCTCCACTGGGCTGTGCGGCGGAACCAAACGGCGACTGTGAAGATCGCATTTGCAAACGGCGCGAACGCAAATGAGATGTGGACAGCGGGCGCTGTCCATGAGCCGCGCCTGAACATCTTTCGCCCAGCCGGCTGGGGTCTCAACACAGCCCAAAAACTTGATCGGGCTGTCCGGGCACAGCTCGGAGTCATCTTTTGCCGGTATGCTCAGCCACCACAGGCAACTATGAACTGGATCTACGCCTGTTTCTCTTCGCCCAGCTTCTCATTGCCAAATGCGGCTCAATTGCAGCGTCTCTGGCACCATTACTTCAGTACTTTGACTCCTGACAGGGAGACGGACTACGAGACGGATGATGGGAATGACGAAACGAGCCTGGAATATCTCTCAGGTCCGCTTAAGGATGACTTGCCCTCTCCTGAAAACATGTCTCCGACAGATATGGACGAACGAACCGTGAAAATTGCCTTCTTGCGATTATTCCGACAATGGCACCATCCGCTTCATGTCGCGGCCCTTCACGACAGAACTTTGCTCACAGCGGGTCTACTTGGCCACGGAGCTGATCTGGATAGTACATCTGTCCACGTATGCACTTGTTCCAGAAGCAAGATGCCGTCCAGCGTGCCAGGCCGCCCTACCACAAACTGTATCGTTGCCTACACACCACTCCATGTTGCCATATGCTCCGGAAACTACAAAACGGCCAAATTGCTGGTCGCCCACGGCGCGCATCGGATGGCGAAGGTGTTCAGTGGTAATAACGTTAGGACCTGGCTTTCCGAGAATGCTCTCCACACAGCGCTGTCTAACCGTCCTGGGCACCATGGGCTTGATTACGACTTCATCGAATTCCTTCTCCGTCACGGATTCGCGGCGCGAATTGAGGAACGGAACCATGAAAATCTAACACCCCTCTTAATTGCCTGCAACGCCAATACCGTCGACAACGTGGAACGAGATGACGTCGTGAAACTTCTCCTGTATTTTGGTGCAGAGAAAGAAAACCAAGGACCCTGCCCTCCCCGGACTTCATTCTCGGGTCCCTTTTCTGTCAATCCTGTTGAGTTGGCCACTCCGGCTCTTTGGGCTGCTAGGAAAGGTCAATTCCGACTTGCCAAGTTACTGCTGGACAGCGGTGCGGATTTGAACACAAAGTCTTCAGCCATGCGTGTGACGATGCTCCACGCTGTGTGCTCAAGATCGGATAACCCGGGGTCTTCCACGAGACAGGATGGACTTTTTGGACTACCTGCTGGCTAGAAGCACAGAAAGTAACGTTAACGCCGTCGATGCAACAGGATGTACCCCCTTGACGATGCTCATTAAATGGGACTTCTGTGAAGATGCTCGATCTTATATCAGCGTCATGGAATCCAAACTTTTCAGGAAAGGAGCCAACATCATGGCCGGAAGAGAACTGGGAAGGGAAACACCTTTAGAGACCTTGATTCAAGAGAGCATCAAAGCGTGTACAATCGCAATCATACCGGGAGGCGCACGGAATGATGTTGGGCACAAGGTGCTGGCTGCCTTGCAAGTGTTCAGAATCAATCAGCATCCGCAGAGGCCAACAGCATTTCTCAATGAGTTCTGGAGGTACATGGATAGGGCACTGCGTGCCGCGCAGCCCGCGTACCAAATTACATATGGGGCCATCATATATGAGATCATCTGCTGTGTGCTGCACGCTCTCATCAAGGCTGGCTTCAGCCCAGCAGAGGTCGACAGGCACGGCGACACCGCCATGACTTCTTTCCTGAGACTCCTCCTCGACAAGCCACTTTTTGCGGTGTGCGACAGGAACCCTTTCGGCGACCGGGGCTGGCTCATCCAGTCAATCATGGCACTGCTGCAGGAGCACGGGGCTGCGCTCCACGTGAGGAATAATGAGGGGTATACGGCTTTCGACTATCTGAAGAAAATCATGGAATACGGCGGCGGCGGCGAAATTCAACCGCACGTCCTTCCCAGGGTCGTGAGTAACCAAGTACAGCCTGGCCAGGACGAGCATGGCAACATGTGTTTCAAATTCCACCCCAACAAACACTTGTTTGGAAGTTTGGGCGGAGGTTCCACCCTACAGATGATCCATCAAAATCCATCAAGATGGCTAGTCTGCGAGCATTGGTGTCGTTACTATTGTGGCATTTCCGCAGCTGCAGACGGGCCGTGTGGTTGTGCGAGAACTCCCTTCCAGACATTTGCGAAGTGTGAAGGTGACTGTGTGGATCATGACCCTGTGGATTATTAAAGTGGACAACTAGTTGTCATCTGACTTCTGTAGTTGCTGGGATGGTGGAGACACGGATATCTAGGGCAGGATTTAGCAGAGGCAAGAGTTGATGAAGTCAAGCTGGATGCATTGTCAGTAGTTGTTGACTGGTGCAGGAGAATAATTGTAGGATCAAACCAAGTTTTATGTACTGTCGTCAAATTGCCAACTAGTTCAATGTCCATCTCGACCCATCTTCCTCTCTCAACCATGACAGTTCAAGCTGTATGTACCTGGACCTTCCCCCATCACACCCGATTTGATAAAGGCCTGCAACTCCTAGCTGCAGACCGAGATCTTGGGCCTTATTAAGTACTATCCACGCTGCCTTTATGTTTCCGCTACCTAGATACACTAGTACCGTCCAGCTCAGATATGCCATGTGCCTCCTGGCTTCCAGTGAGCTCATTCCCGCGGCTTCCGTGTCTTCCCCACTCTTCGAGCAGCTGCGGCCTCTCCTGCGGTGACAACTCAGCGAGCGGTTGCTCATGGCCAGTGTTGCCATCGGTCAGGATTTTCAACTCTGAGTCTTTTGTGCCTTCCTCTCCTCCAGTTGCAGCCGGCTGGTCGGGTTTGTCACGGGGATGATTGTTGAACTTGTCCATGAAGCGCGAGATTCGGATCAGATGCCGCGTCAGCAGCCACCCCAGTCCCACCAGGAGCAAGAAGCCCACGACGGCCCCTGCACTGATACCTCCGATTTGGCCTGCTGTTAAAGTGTCCCCAGCGCTGCTGTCCCCTGTTTGACTTCCCGTTGGACTGCTTCCAGTACTGGTGGCCCCGGCCTGACCATCTGCTGAGCTGTCGCTTGAGGCGTCCGTGAAAAACAGGTTTCTTGATAATTGAGGGACTGTTTCTGTCGCAGCGATTGTGGTTGACACTATGGAGGTTATTGGGCTGATTTGGCTGGACACAGCCTCCAAACTAATAGTGCTGGCTACCGTGCCGGTGATTGTTGTCGTCGATGACATGTATGCGGTGCAGACTCCCGAGCCGCAGATTTGCCCTCCTAGACAACAGCCTCCTACACCGATGGTGAGTTTCTTTTCTAGAGTCCCAAGATACGGGCGCACCTACCTCCTTGGCTCGAAGGACAGGGGAACCACCCTTGATCGCATAGTACTGTCGCGGTGGTAGAAGTAGTGGCGCCAGCAACACAAACGCCGCCGCTCTGACACTCTAGTCCCTGAGAACAACATCCCCCGCCAACCCAGGGTGGACATCCATTATAGTCGGCATGGCCGGAGCATGTTCGCCATGGAGGAGGACCCTGAAACCCAGGGGCACTTTGCGGGTAGCCTGTTTGCCTGGGCAAAAGACTAGTCGTCAATTCGCCAACAGCACTCCCAAACTGACACAACGACCAAGCTATCGCCCAGAACGCCGGCTTGATTCGCGAAGGAGTTCGACCCGCCATCCCTACTAGAGCGGGAATTGAGCCAGGTGCTTACTTGCCCAGGCATCAGGGGAGAAAAGCTGAGTTGCTCGAAGTCACCAAGTCGTCCAAGTCGTCTTTACTTGTACCACACTCGAGGCACAGTACCCCGCTGCGGCACGCGTTTGTGCGACGGCCGATCCTGCCTGATATAGGGGGATTCAGAGACCCAATTGCGATGCCGGTGAGGGACATTTTGGCGAGATGACAATTTCGGACCCCGAGCCTGCAGGTTTTTGGCCTTAAGAGTAATGATCTGGTGTTCTCATTGCCCTTTGTGGTCAGTAACTACTGGTAACCAAATGCAACGCCCTCGTCCTGGCATACTCGCTTGTCGACATTACACTACATTACACGTCAGTCTGACAACCAGGCTGGGTTGCAGTATATGTTTATGACATGAACCCCATTCGCAGGACTTGCTCTTGGTTGCCGCGTCAAAATTTGTTCTTCAAGTCACACAACTTACCCAACCACTGATTGCAAAGCCGCAAGGGCCGAAGGATTCTACATTGTCAAATTGTGGCATGCTTGAAAAAGTAGAAATTGCAGGTCAACAGAGTGTCCCGAAGGTGGACATTTCCTCCAAGCAACAATGCGTCTCCGTTGAACATGGATAGTGTTCCTTCCCTCCTCTCGGTCACAGCTCTGGACCTACTGTTTGTAGACTAGTAAAAGCCAGTCCCAAACTCAGGGTTGGCCGAAGACCTGTCGGGTTCTCCATTGGCTGTGTTAGCGCCTTAGTCCTGTCTCTTCCCAATTTCCCACCACTGCCCGAACAAGTGCCCATGCAGACCTCGCCACAACAAGAGCATACAGGGACTTGGGCGGAGAGAATGGCTTCCGAAGCGCAGGAGGTGCAGCCTTCAGCGCCCTTTACCACAGCCTTGTACAATGGTTTCTTGACGCGGCTAATTCAGGTCTTGGCTGCCGGAGGGCGGTGGTATCAATGGGCAACCCATCCCCTCTCCGACGTCGCACCAACATTCGTCAAGTCCTATGGCTGTCGCCCGTCCCTCACTGTTCGGTACGAAGTGGGCCAGACGTCCCATTCCGTTCCCAAATCCCACGTGGATCTGCAGCTGATCGAGATCGAGCATTTTCTTTCCAAGCACATGCGACCTTTCTTCGTCTGAGCGCCTGCCATGCTACTTCAACATCCACGGTGGAGGGTTCTGCCTCGGATGTCCAGAAGACGACGACGTGTGGAACCGCGCCTTTTCTGATAAGCACAACGTCGCCGTGGTCGAACTGGATTACCGCAAGGCTCCCGCCTACGCGTTCCCCACAGCTATTCATGATGTCGAGGCGCTCATGCTGGCCGCGTACGACGACGAGAGCATCCCATTGGATAGGAATCGCGTAGCAGTGGGTGGGTTCTCATCGGGCGGGAACCTCGCCCTCGCTGTATGCCAGCTGGAAACGATCCGGGACACTATCAAACCGTCGGCGGTATGCCCGATATACCCACTGGTCGACCTCGCCACAAAGCCCGACAAGAAAGCAGCGACGCGGTACTACAAGCCCGCACTTGGCTCCGGCCTGCGCGCCAATGCCACTGACATGCTATCACCTGTCTCCCGATTTTTCGGGTGGGGCTACCTGCCCTACGGTCAGCCTCTGAGAGACCCTCTGCTGTCCCCAATTTTTGCACCGCGCGAGCACCTCCCGAGGAAGGTCTTCATCGTCGCGGCGGAACTCGATCGTTTGGCTCACGAGGCGTGGCGCATGGCCAGCGTGCTCGCCCACCGACCGGAGCCATCTGCAGACGTCAAGGTCGGCCAAGAAGAGCCAGGCGCACCGGGAGAGCTGATCATGGATGATGAACGCTTCGCATTCCGGCACCTCGACGGTGATGGCGAAGAAGTGCAGTGGTTGCTCATCCCTGATCAGATTCATGGATTTGATCTTGAGCCGGTAGGTTTTCATGGCAGCGAGGAGGCATTCCGGGATGCCCAGGTGAAGACCGAGGCTTACCAGAAGATTTTGGGGGATTGGCTACACAAGTCTGCCTGGAGTTAGGTCTGTCCGTAACTTACTCACCTGAACCCTCTTGTCAAAGCCTCTCCTGCCATGAACTGCTTCACTTGCTTCTGGAATTTGTGCCCAATGCACTGCGTATTATTGAGAGAACTTGAATTATCTCCGGTGTTTCACGATAAAAGCCACTGTCTTGTCCACAAAGCCATCCGGATTCTCCTCAGCCAGGTAATGACCCGCCCTAGGCACCGTCGCCACCTCAAACGTCCCGGCTTCATGCACCCCAGCAAGCATCTGCCTCGCCTGCCCACAATGCGCGCTTTCCTCCCCACTCAGACAGATAGCAGGTACCTTGCACTTCCCATGAGTCCTGATCCACTCCCAATTCTCTTCCGCATCTTCCAAGAACGCCCGGTATACCTCAAGGGCACACCGCATAGCTCCAGGCTGCGAGTACGCCCTCACATAATGGTCCAGATCCTCCGACCCAATGGCCGCCGTGTTGAACGCGAGCTTGTTGAAGAAGTGGCTCAGGTAGACCTCCTCCCGCCCCGCGATAAGGGCCTCGGGCAGGTCGCGCACGCAGTGGAAGATGAAGTGGAACTGGTCGACGGCGCGGCCGGTGCGGTCCTGCTGGTGGGCCGACGTCCCGGGAAGGGGGCACTCGCCCCAGTTGACGGTGAGGACGCGGTCCGGGTGGCGCGCGGCGATGGCCCAGGCGACCATGCCGCCTATGTCGTGGCCGACGAGGTGGACCTTTGACCTGATGCCGAGGGCGTCCAGGAGCTGGATGATGTCGTCGGCCATGATTGATTTGGTATATCCCGTGGCTGGCTTTGAGGAGCGTCCCGCTCGTCTATAGTTGGGGGCAATGACACGATACCTGTGTGCTTGTCTTGAGCTGGTTGTTTCACGGGCATTGGATGTGTAAATGAGGGATACCTCACCCTTCTTCTGCCAAAGGCTGCAAGACATGGCGAAATTGGTACGCTGTCTGAGGGAACCCATGAAGCAGTACAATGATACCATTGAATCCAGTGGGTCTGTTTGATTCTCGCTTGTCAGTATATTCCAACAAGAGGCCGTTGGCAAGTTTGGCCACTCGTTGCTGAGGACGGTCCATGTCTTTCTGTTGATGCGATCTGCCGTTCTATGGACTGGGACTATACTGCTATTTTTTAATGAACTTGAAAGCTTTCTACATTTTCTACATTTATATACATTTAAATGTATTGTATGCGCCTTTTGATAGACATGGCAGATGCATTTGAAATATGACGCTGCAGATGACGCTGAACATAACGCTGAAGTTGAGGACCATCATTTGGGGTCCCCACATCTGTGCCGGCTCAACAGCGTCATCATGAAGCTGATCATAGCTTTTGCGAATATCAGATAGACACAAACCCGAGGCCTTTTTTTGGTGTGTATTTTCAAATTTTCATCTGGTTTCATTCCAAATGTTCTGATCCGCGTGATTGACTTTGGTGGGAATCCGTCTCTAGTTCTTGTGGCGGCCGTCGTTATCCAGCCCCGACCTGATCCATGAGAGAGTATGGGCAATTCAACTACAATGCCGTAGGTGGAAGGCCGAGCGTCGATAGTGTTGTGCATCGCTCGTGTGTGATTCTCATTCCCTTACGTTCCCAGAACTTGAAGAACTCCATAACCGAGTACAATCAGTGGCTCATTACGATCTGCTCATGTACACAAATGTCACACCGCAACCGCCAGAACTACAGCCAATCTAAAGATCCTACCACCTACCACCTACCGCTCTATCCCTAGTAGCGGTAGTTTCCAGTAGAATCATCCGAGCATTGGAGGAATTCGTTAACCTGGCGGCAAACGTGATGCAGTTCATGAACTCTTCCGACGTTTCGCCGAGTCGGACAACCAGTTGGTGTGCTTGGGTAACAATTAGGGTCGGGTTGGCCCGCGAACGCACATCGGCGTCGCTCCGAACTCCAACTCTCTTCTCATTACTACTCACAACAACCGACTTTGGCATAATCGACTCTGGTGTCATCCTTCTCAGATACATCGCGTAACTAGGAGCAGCTCTTCGATATCCTTATTAAACCCGAAATAGCACTGGTCGTTTCTGGAGAAGTGATTGCTTATTGAGAATTACATCGTTATGCTCGCTTGGGCTGAATTGTATGAGGTATGATTGTCAGTGTACACTAAGATGGGGGATCACGTTGATGGGAAGAAGCACATTTGTGAGGAGGGGACGCACAAGGAGCGGGATTGCTATAGGGGCCTTACGGAACAGGAGGCGAGTACTGCGGTGCTTGACGAGCATCATAAGAGGCGGTCTGAGATTGTCAGATAGAAGTGGGAATAGCAAATTGTCATGACCAGAAGATAGTGGTCATTGGTGAGCATAAGTCTTCTAAAGCTGTATACAATTCTCCAAGTTCCTTTGCGCTGCGCTAATCTTTGTGTCCAGATGTCTACCTATCGACACTTTTCTATCCCTTATGATGATGTCTTGGACCCCTTTTTGGGGGGGTAGGTAGCTACAATCCACTTCACGAACTCTTTCCATCGAGCCTCCCATTCAGCCCGCACCATTTTTCTGACTGTGTCGTCCTTACCATTGTCCTTACCATTCCACACAGAATGCTCGAGGCTGTCCGTCATGAGCTCCTTCCAGTCCTCAAGCCCGAAGTCGTCCTTGCCCACCATGACTTGGTAGAACTCGTGGGAAAGAGTTGAACTGCAGTTGATCGTCAGCCACGAACTACTCGCCCATGATTGGCCCAAGTGCATGGAGATCGGTTACTTACTTGAACAAAGTCGGATTATCACACGACACCGAGCAAGGGATATCCATACTCCTGAGCGAATACACTGCCGCATATCTCGCATCATAAGCCAGCCCCAGGATCTCGTTCGAGCTCGGGCAGGTCTCGATACCGCACTTCCGCAGCTTCGCCATGGCTTGCTGGCTGAGATTGGCGTTCTTGATCGCGTAGCCGTGCGCGAGCCGATGGGGTTCCAGATTGTCCAAGGCCCACTTCAGGTTGCCCTCCCAACGGTCGCCTTTCTTAGGCTTGTCAATAGTGGGCTTGTCATAGACGCTCTCGCCGCAGTGGAGGATGAACTTCAGCTCGGCTTTCTTGTAAGGTTCCTTGAACTTGTCAAACTGGGGAGCGAGTTCTTCGAGGGTGCGGCCCTCAAACTCGGGACCGACGAAGTCAAAGCCTTCAGACGAGTCAGTTCCATTCCGTTTTGGTGCATGAGAGACTTTGGCGGCTTGTTTTGTGAGGGCAAGGGTGGTGGTTCAGCTTACCGGCAATCCAGTTCTTGTACTTTTCCTCCTGCTTCATGTCGAGGCACTCTTGCATAGTGGCCTCGATGAATTTGATCGGGTACCCACGGGACCGAGGTGTGCACATGATAACTTTCATAGACTTAAAGGTTGCCCCGGGGTTTGCTTTCCGCCATCTGTTGAATTCTCCAATGATCATATCCATGATCGCCCTGTTGTTCATCGTTTTCGTAGGGTCAAATGAGAAGTCCCCGGGATCTTTTGCATCTTTCTTAATTGATTTCCGGTACTCCTTTGAGGTGCGAATAACCTGTTATAAAGTCAGTCTACTTAGCAACGCAGCACCACTACGGCAGATAGCTATCCTTGGCAAGACGATGGAGCTTACCGAATTTGCCGCCATGAAGTTCGGACGCAGTTCGGCGTACTGAATTTTGTCTTTTTCAAACGACGAAAAAAGTGCTCGGAGATACTCGCGGTACGCAGTCTCGGCCAGGAAGAGGCCCTTCATCATCTGGGTGCGCGTATTGAACATGGCCCATTGCCTGTGCCCATCAGTATCAAAACAAAAATTCCATGACAAACCTGGTCACATACCTTTCGATAGCCGCAGGTTCAGCCTTCTTGGCCTTTTCATCCTGGTCCTCCGTGAACACCACCTCACCCTCCTGGAAGACCAGCCTCTTGATTAGCCAGTCCATGCAACGAACTTCGGGCCGGCGACCTTTGTAGCCCGGAACATATTCGCCCTTCGCGTTCCTGCGATTCGGGTCACTGTCCTTGTGGATATGTGTATCAAAGGCTCTAAGGAAATGGGTGAACTTCATCACGTCGTAGGTCTTGTCCTCGGCCTTCTCCGTGGGTTCGATACGGCCATGATATTTGGGATCAAAAAGACTGCGCGTGTGGAGGCTGTCCCACCCGTACGGCAGGAAGTGAAATTGGAATTTCGCCTTGTCGATATTGGCGTCCGTAAGCGGCTCTGGGTACTCATTCTCGACCTTGTCGTTAGGGATAGGAGCGGGGGCAGGGGCAGGTAGTCCTCTTTCCTCTGCTTTTTTCTTTTCTTTATCTGCCTTTTCCCTTGCTTCATCTGCCTTTTTCTTTGCTTCGCTGCGCTTGTTCCGCATTTTTTGAACTTTGCCCGCATCTTGGAGGTTTACGGAGATGTACATGTTGTTCTTGAGCTCTTCGGAAGCGGCGAGCTCTAGGAGGAATGCAGGTTCCTGTTATAATGGCGCCACAAGTCAGTAATGAGATTCCAACCTGATCCCCGAAAATATCTAAACTGCTCTTATCACGCTTCAAGACAACGCAGAGATGGAGGTGAGGCATATGAAGCGCTTACCAAGCAGGCATTGAGATGGATATGGAGGTGAGCTCCCTTCGGGGCCTGCTGCGCCACCTTGAAGAGGCTCAGATGCTCGAAATGCTAGAGAAATCATGTCAGTAAAAAATCTATGCTCTTGATCTGTCATGCCTCCGAAACCCGGGAATACACACCTCTCTATTGTGAAGGAACCGGCCGCCATATCGAAATTCCTTGCTTTTTTTAACGCTCTTGCATTCATCGCAGTTCGTTTTGTAGGAATTCTTGGCCTCTATCTTCAGTTGTTTTACAGACTCAATTGCATCCTTCTCGATATCCTCGAACTTGCGAACGGGAGTGTCGCTCTTAACGTGATTGCCGCTCTGACCGGTAGTGTTACTCTGACCTGTAGCGTTCCTCTGACCGGTAGTGTTGCTCTGAACAGTAGTCCTGCTCTGAACGGAAGCCTCGCTCCTAGCGGCAGGACTGCTCTTGACGACAGGACTGCTCTTGACGACAGGATTGCCTTTGTTGGCAGGATTGCTCTTGGCGGCAGGACTGCTCGTGGCGGCAGGGTTGCTCGTGGCAGCAGGACTGCTCTTGGCGAGACTGCCGCTCGGGACGCGAGCGCCGCTCGTACCGGGAGTATCGCTCCTGGCGGGCGGTGCGGCCGCGTGTGCTCTCGGATCAGCGGCACGTCTAACTTTTGGCGCGCCAGTGACCGGCATCTTGCCCTTCTTTGGTAAAGTTTTTCGGAGGGGGTGTTGGTCCGGCAGAGAGACTCTGAAAGAAGACGGCTCCAGGGGATGCTATTAGGTCCGGAGTTCGAGACACAGGAGAGCCTCTAGCAATGAATGGAGGTCAATATACAGACAACCACCGGGGCAGTCTGTGTGGTATCAGTGTAAAAGAAAAGTTTAAAAAAGCTTGGTTGGAAGCACGTGAGGAGAATCCGAATCAGTGCACAGATGCGCATATCTTTATGCTAGGTTCGGTTGTGTGGCGATGGGTTTGGGCACCATTTATACTTTACAACCGATCCGTCCTTTAAATTCCGTTTCGTCAAGAGACGCGTCCTTCCCACCGTGGTCGCTGAGAAATACAGCCAGAAACCACTGCCATGGTGGCCTCGTGGGCCAAGGCCTGACCAACCCATGTTTCACATGGCCTCATGGCCAGGCCGAGTGGTATTCCCGGTGAAGAACTCCACAGGTAAGCTTATTTCTCAAGTAGTCGACCTAAGGCTGGCAACGCAAGTTGAAGGATAGAAAGTGAAATGTGTGATGAGAGACCGCGATTGTGGTCTGAGAGGTCCAATATCAGCCCCTTGGCTCCCGGCAACAGAATGATCAATTCGTGGCTGGCTGCACAATATGAGGCCGTCATCTGGTCATAAGTAGTCGCGCAATATCGTACCAGAAAATTATGAATGATTGATTGCAGCAGGCAGTTGTTGGTGTAATGTGTTGTCTGGTGATACTCGAGGATGTTTGGATGCTGTTAGTTTTGGAGGTGCAACCAACTTGAATGTAGTTAGGCCAGGGTGTCAGCATTCGATGCTGAGATGCTTCTATGGAATCAACTAGGATGGGCAGGACCCTCGCAGAATGAGATTCTAGGTGAACCCCTCAGCAGCTGAAGGACAGATCTGGTGGGATAGCATAGCACGGCCAATCGGCCGAAGGATGCGTCTTGAATAGGATGTTGGATTCCTGCACGAATCAGGCCCGGTTGCAGGCCTAGGCCATTCGTCACCAACGCCAGCCATCAAAACAGGAAGGAGTCTCAGTGTGGGAAAGGGAGTCTTCCAACAAATCGGAATTATGGAAGTGGGAAACGGCTTTAAGATCTATCCGATCAAGGCTTGCAAGTGATGTCGCAAGTTGCACAGTGAACAACGTGTCGGCAGCAAGCCGTGTGGTGACAGCTTCCTGTGGGATCGCAATCAGGGGCCTATCAGGGGCCTATCAGGGGGCCTCCCTGCCACCCAGGTCTCCCGGCCATAAACACGACCTCCGAAAGCTCACACACCCCATCCATCGGCATCAGCATGCACCAAGAACCACCAACGACCAAAGTCGTGGTAGACGAGGGAGAAGGGATCCGCTGGATAACTTTTTGGCCCGAGTGGACCTCGCTTGTGATGCAGCGGCTGGTCTCGTGATCTTGTCTCTGCATCCGGTGGCCGTCGACAGGCGCACCCAGCTCCATAACGAGAGGTTCATGTCTCTCGTGCATGATTGGCGAGCTTAGGCGTATGCACGAAGACACCCTTCGTCGTCGAGGATCTAAGCACGGAAAAGCGTATCGAATTCCGGTGGTCCTGGGTCCGGTTAAAGGCGGACTTGCATGTTGTGGGCCGGACTGTCCCAGCAGATAGATACACCACCCATGGAGAGGGAAAGAGTCACGAGCCAGGTCCAGCCATAATCACATCCTCACAGGGTTGCCTTTTAATTCTTGCCGGGTATAGGTAATGAGTACACAGCAGACGAAAGGGAGCCGACCTAGCCCACCCTTCTCCATTGCCCGTGTCTGTGCGCCTCTGTCCTCCCTCAGTCGGTCTCGATCCCATCTCCACCAGATAGAAGGCGCATTCCAACATCATGATACCTCGGCAGGCTGCCATCTACAACAATTTCTGTTCCAGTACTCTGCCCCGTAAGCCACGGGCCCATCCCATTCCAGATTGACGTTTTGACGCTCAGCCTCTGCAGCTTCCTCCCCCGCAAGACATCGGCGAGGGCCCTCCCGACTTCCAAATACCACTCGTACACAAACTTCCAGTCCTCATCGACCTCTTCTCCCCCGTACGCCCCTGCACCCTTGTCCTCAAACAGGCCCCACGCCGCGCTTCTGGCGTCAACCTCCCAGTCCAGCTTTGCAAGGTCAAAGTTCTTGGCTACGAAGCGCAGCAGCGCGCGGAACTCCTCGTCTGGGGGGTGTGCTGCCGGCCGCCGGAGCCGGGTAGATCCGCGCGTAGTCCTCGACGTCCTCGTCGTCAAACACCGCGCGCGCTGCCGGCCAGAGGGATCCGTGCCAGTAGAGAACGTTTGGCTCGGTGAGGACGATGCGCAGGGTGCGGACGGCGAACAGCTCCGCGGCGGGTGTGGCGCGCAGGGTGCCGAGGGCGCGGCCGAGGTCCCTGTCGCGGATGGTGAGGACATGCGGCTGTGGTGGTGGCTCTGGCTTTGTGAGCCCTACGAAGACCATATTTCTGCCGATACTCATGGTGCTTGTGGAGTCTCCCGCGGTGGCCTTCAAGTGTGCTTGCGAGTGAATCTTGCAGAAGGTGAGTGCCGGCCGAAGGTCTGCTCAGTAATGTCGTCAAGTGTAGGGCTTTACTGCATTGTGAAAAATTGAGGAAGAGATTCAAAGGACAGAAATGAGAGCGAGGGGTTTTCTCGAGAATTGACCAGGTTGATAGGTGGATATATGCCCTTTAAAGATAAGCTTTTGATTATGATTCTTTAATTAATTTGTTAAAATGAGTTGTTTACTTCTTCAACTTTTCCCCTCAAATGCTTCTTTCTTAATGTTCTTTAGGATGGCAAATTGATGCTTCCAAGGTTGCAGCTAGCTTCAACAACTTGAACTACTTGAGCTCAAACTGTCGCACCTCTGCTAGCCCATCTTCCAAGAGCTGTGCAGCTTGTCCCTCCATCATACCTTGGACCTTGGTCCCACCAACATATATGAAGTGGTCCCCGGTCTCCCTCAAAGCCGCAACGCTTTCCCAACCTTTCAGAACGCACAAGGCATCCCCACGGGTTATGGTCCTTCTGGGACCAAGCCCGAAATTCCCGCGTGATGTCAGAAACAGGCAAGCACGTCGCATCGCAAAACCCTCTAATTGGTCGGTGATTCGCCGCAGATGGACGGCGAGCGTGCCGTCCGAGTCCTTCGGCATCCCACCAGTGGCCTCGGAATCCACCAGCGCCTGAAGCCATGAAGAGGGGACTTCATCATAATCTGAGCCACTTCTCACTCCCAATTCCTCCTCGGCAACCTCCTCTAGATCCAGGAATGTCTCGCGCAAGGAAAATACAAATCCCGCGTTCGTGTCTGATTCGAGTCCCAATGTCTCAATTGCAGTACGATACTGAGACCCCCCATTAAATGTGGGAGTGCAGGACAGCGCAGTTGCATCACGGTCGTGGTTCCACTTTGACTTCGTACTAATCATGGCCCATACAAAAAGGAAGGCAAACTCAAGATAGTTGAAAGAAATGGGGTCGGATACATGCAGCCGGGCATCGAGTATCGAGCCCCTCAGGTTCTCCCAGAAAAGAAGCTCGAAGAGATCCCGCAGTAGGCGTCTTTTAGGCCTCACCCCCGAATATTTGGATGCATTGTTCCGGAATAGACCTGAGATCAAGTCAGAAAAGTCGCTGACCTTGACGATTTGAGGATACGTCTCGTGGACGCAGTCAACGTGTAACCCAGTGACGAAAAGGGAGGAGTCCTGTATATAGCTCAATTCCTGGTTTTGTTCGTCTGAGAATACGCTGTAGTCGGCATTGCCCGTGTGGAAATAAAGGTAGTCGTCCATTTCGTGATCGTAGTGCAGGAAATTAGGCGTCCATGAGGACCAGTGCTGGCAGTCGGCATGCTCACAATAATGTCTCAGTCCACCGTATCTAAGGAACCACAGCTCCCTCGACCCAGACCCCACAACTTTGGAAGCCGTATCCTCCTTTGTAGATGCGTAGTCTTGCAGCCAGGCTGCGGTCATGTCGCGGAACACCTTAGCAACAGATGTCTGATCGGAATAGTCCGGCCGAAGGTCAATACCAGTTACACCAAGCATACCATACACCTTGTCCTTCGGGTTGGTCGCGGCCAGCGAAAGACTAGTCATGCGAAACATATCCCAGGATTGTATGGGGGCTCCAATACCCCTTCGCCTCCACGGGTCAAGGGTCAGGCGGACTACAGCTGCGGACACGGCGTAGCCTGATACCAGAGATTCCCAGAAGTCGGAGAAGACGAAGCTGGGAGTCGGGAGACTGCACATTTGTAGCCAATCGAACCAGCGGTATACACGATCGACGGTCTCGGTCAGCGATGTGCAGCTGGACTTGCACATCAGTAGTGCCTCCCTGGACAGGACAATCTCTTGAAAAATCCACACTCGCTTCCAATACTGCAGATCGGCAAGGTGTTTGACTGCCTCCCAATTCTTGTTCCAAGCCGTCCATGTATTACCAGGGGCAGTCTTGATCAACTCGGGGTACTTTGCAAGCCACTGGACCAGTCTCTCATCATCAAAACCGATGCCATGCCAGTGTAGCGTCTTGTGTAGTCTCTTCAAGTTAACGCCAGCTTCTTGCTCCACCAACCTTAGCTCCCTATTGATAAGCTCGAGGGTCTGGAATGCGGTGCTCAGGACGTCATCCTGCATGTTTTCACTGAAGGTTTGAGGATCTAAGGAATGGCTGATCCCGTCTGGCATCCAGCACACGACCAGCTCTGCACCGGAAAAAATGTCGCCCATGAGCCGCACCTGCCGCGACCTCTCCTCCAGGTCACGCTGGTTTATACATACGGCATCCGCCCAGAGCCGAAGCTCTGCCAACGCACGCCCGGGATATTTGGTTTGCCAATGACGGGGAACGTAGCGCAGGGCCCGGGCTAGACTCGGGGTGGCCTGGAAGGCTCGGCCGTCGACCTGGATTTCTTCCGGATCGGTCGCTTGGCCCCAGACGTAGGAGAGTGCAGCGTACGGAGGACACTCGTGAATGGGGACCGTGACAAGACGACAGGTTACGCGGTCCTCGGCGTCGACGGCGATGGCTGTTAGGAGGCGTATTTCATTGATGACCGGATCAAGAGCCCTGTACAGGGAGGAAGATGGTCGATCGGACATCATGAAATTTGAATAGGAACGCCCCGATGAGAGTCACCTCTGTTGACTTGCATAGCCGGTGGGGTTGTGACAACAATGGTGGTCGGCCGGGGAAGGGTGATATCTCCTCTTCTGCTCACCGATGCTGTAGTGAAAGAGCAAGGATAGTGAGAAGGCAACCCAAGAGACAGGCAGCAAAGCGGAGGTGAGAGGTTGCCTGTTGGTTGTTGGTTGTTGGTTGTTGGTGTTGGGCAAGTGGGTGCTGTGCAGCCAGCCCCCTTTACATAAGCAGCTGACTAAGTCCCTTCGAAAGATGCCTCCCTCTAGCTCTCAGGATTACTTCTTTTTCTATTGAAAGAGACATTGATATCTTTACCACCACTAAACGAGATATGGTAGCATATACACCCATCCGACCCACGCACACCACACCGTCAACGCCAGCTCGTCTACCCTCTGGCCCTTCCTCGCCATCAACAACCCCCCCACGCCAGCACCCAGCCCAACACTTACTGCCCAGACCCACCACGCACATGTCAGGCCAGCGTCCGCAGCGAGCGTTGCAAGAGGGTGTCCCTTGAACGCCCAGAATGCCGGCGCCGCGACAGACCAGAGGAGGACGAAGAGGGCACAGCTGCCCCGGGCCACGGCGGGCCCGAACAGCAGGGCTATGGTCCTGCGCCCGCGCTGGCGGTCGCCCTCCTCGTCGCGGAAGTCCTGGACGTGGATGGTGGTGAAGATGATAGAAGCCGTCATGGCCATCCAGACGGCGGCCTCGTGCGCGGCCATCTGTGCCGCGGGGCCCGCGAGGGCGGCCAGCGCGCCCCAGCCGAAACACGTCAGGCCGAGGGCGTTGAGCGCGTTGCGGGCGACGATGGACACCGAGGACCCCTCGAGGTCGTTGTAGAGCCACGAGAGGCAGATGAGGGTCGTCGAGGGGACGAAGGCCGCCTGGCCGGTCCCGAGGAGGCTGAAGAGCATCGCGGCGGGGATGGCGCACAGCAGCATTGTCCGCGCCTCCGTGGGGGACAGCCGCTTCGCCGGGATTGGCCTCCAGGGCTTGTTGATCGCGTCCTCTGCGACTGAGTCTGGGAGGCGCTGGTTGGAGAGATCAAGGATGATTAGGTGTAGCCAGAGCCAGGCTAGCATCTGGCAAAGACGCCATGCTGTGGAGGCGACGATGCTGGCTGGACCGGTACGCTCCGAGATGATGAGATCGTGGTGGGAGTAGAAGGCTGACAGTGCGAAGATGGATTGCGGAATAATCACGGCTTTGATGTCAGAGTACGTGAGGAGGAACAAGCTGTAGATATGGTGGAGAAGACCCCTTCTGGGAGATATCCAAATGGGTGTTTCAAGTGGATCGAGATCAGTGGGTTTTTGCCCGGGGAAAGGCTCCTTCTCAGTGGAAATGGGGACAGGGGAGGAGTGCTGCTCCGACGGAGACGGCCACATGTCTCGAAGAAGAGGACTGGCCATTCTATCAATAGGAAAAGTTCGCACAAGGAGCTGGAGGGCGTGAAACACCTAGGAAACAATAACGACAAGGGCAACAAATATCCAGGACGCGAGGCCCTCCATGATAGCATACGGCTGGCTAACTATATATGCTGGCTGCGAGACGTCGCGGCATCACTGGCAATTTTTGGCTTGCTACCGATGACCTTCTGTCTTTTCTTCTCACTCGGCTGTGGGGTCCATCTTCCTACTACGACGTGCCGAGCCACGAACCAACCCTTTCGGGCTTTTTTGCTACTTTTGTGGAGAGGATATGCACCGGTTGCCATGACGAGGAGGCACAGCAACCAAACTGCAGCTGGAGCCTAGTAGAAGACCCAGAAATTTCCCATTCAAATAAGGCCTCCAAGGCTCTGGGCGCTTATCTCGAGCCAGTTGTGACTGCGCTTGCTGGTTGTGCTTCAGTGGATCACCAACATGCATGCTTGCTGTGCCCCTGGAATCCTGAACTTGAAATCAGTGCCTAGGTATTGGCTTGGAGTCTGGCCGAATACGCAACTTCCCCTCGATTCCACGCAAGCTGCGTGAGCAGGTCATAATACTTTTTAATATGAAAACGTCAATTTAAATATTTTAAATTGTTTCATAATTGTGTGGATCCCTGAGGCACCCAATTTAGGCAGTATTTAAGCCCCTTTGCAGACCCCCCAAATAGCGGCAATTCAAGCAACCTACACACCACGAGGACACACAATTGGATGGTGCAAATTTTACCTACACTGTCTTACCAGGCTCGAAAATCGGACTCGACCTCTGTACAAAACGCCAGGGCGGCCGGGGGCGCTAACGGCGGCTGCCTGATGATAACGTTGCGCCGCGGCTCTGCAGAAGCCTAGTATGGTCCTGGTGATGTCCATCTGGGATGATGCGTTTCGTTTCTTCTCCACTGTAGCCAACTGGTCAGTCGCAACTCTGCCGCGTCGCCCCTCGTCGGTTTCCTCTTCCCTTTTTCGGCGTCGTGTATGTGAAGCAGATTTTGTTTGACAGCCGCAACTAGAACCTCGAGCAGGAAAGCCTCTTCTTGTGCCGTGGGGGGCGATGTCTTGTCGCATCCTTGCTTCAGTCGAGCTTGTCTTTGATTCAGATCTCGGTTTTGTCCTCGTCGAATGATGGTGCAGTAAAAGGCCAGCCAGCAGCTCCCAGCTCTCTTGACCGTTTCCATCTTCTCGTATAGCATTTGAGATGCCAGCGACACCCGCGTGTAACTGATGGAACCGACATCTCCTCAATCGTCCCCGGACAGGCTCGTTCTTCTTCCTCTTTGTCGCAAATTCGCTGCCTATTCGACATGCGTGCACTGTACACAGTGTGGATGTGATGGTGGGTCTGAGATCTGCAGGCTAGGCTCCTACAGTCACGTCAGCTTGCCTCCAACAATTGTGAAATTTTCTATCATGCTGGTTCGACAGAGTAGCACTATTCAGGGAAACCAGCACAGGTCCCCTCCACTTACACGGCTTCCTCAGTCAGGGTTGTCAATCCATGTTGCAAAGTTGAATATAGGATTCATTAGATCTTCGCAAAGTAGCACGTGGCTCTGCTCGTAATCTACTACCAATCTTGGTGAGTCTCCTACTATTTTCTTTTTACATTTACCCACAACGGTTTTTTTAGCAGAGGTTATGTAATACTGCAGGACAAGTCTGCAGAAGGTCCCAACTTCATCGCATAATTATACCTAGTGCTAAGGCAACGACACAGTCAGAGTACCCGATTTGGCCCCTTCCTCACTGTAGTAGTATTATCTCCTAATGAAGGACTTACCGGCTGCTGCCGAATATATAGCAGCTAATAACAAACATGGCCGTCGACGCATAACCACAGTACGCTTTTCATCTCATGTAATTGGTTTGTCTATTCTGCCTGCGCAGGACGTGCATGGGTTGCACCCGAACCGTACTTCTCTCCAACCAGCCTTAAAGATTCAACTGAGTGGCAATGTCTCGACACGCATTCCCGGCTTTTGTCTTCGCGCTGGCCTTAGGCCTTGTCACTTCGAGACTTTTCTGGAGCAATTAGAACTCGCGTGCAGAGCTAGCCATCATTGCTCTCCTCGACTGTGTACGTTGGATTGGTTCTCCAGCGGGTGACTCGCGATTGAACTCCTTGCTACCTTACGGTGCTAACATGCCCCACAGGTTCTCGCGGTGCTGATCTACCGTCTGACCTTGCACATTCTGGCCAAGTATCCCGGCCCTCTCCTGGCGGCTTGCACGGACTGGTATAATGTCTATTGGGTAGCGAGCGGCAGCAGATATCTTGAATTGGACCGGCAGCATAAGGAACATGGTAAGTTGCTGGCACTCTTCATTTACGAGCCCCTGGCTCACACTTGAAACTACACAGGCACGGTCATTCGCTTTGGGCCAAACCGTATCTCGGTTTGCTCGGTGGGCGGCTCCCATGACCTCGGAACTGTCAACGCCAACGTGCTCCGTTCGCCCGTCTTTCCGTCATTTAGAAGATTCTTTGGTATCGGCTCCTCCAGCAAGTCTCTCGTGGCCCGGCCTGTTTGCACTGCTCAAGTGCTTCGACACGCAGGACCACTGCCGTGTCTTTGTAAAGCCTATGCATTCTACTCCTGGTCTGTGCCAGGCTCTTTTTCTTTTTGATATCTCTGCAACGGAGTCCTTACGACGCCGTCAAGCCCACGCAACTCACATGCCCTCATCGTCATCAAGCGGCTCGACACGCACCAGGATCTCCTCTAGCAGCCCCTCAAGGAAAGTGCTGACATCCTTGCCCATGCCCACCGGCTCCGCCTTGTCGAAGTGGTCGATCTCCTTGCACACGTGCGCCAGCTTATACACCAGCTTGCGGATCTTCTCGTGCGACGCTTCGGCTCTCTGTTGCTTTGGTGTCGGCGCGCCGCTGTTCGCACTGTTCGGTCGGCCCGGGTACAATTGTTGCAGATGGATCTGGCGTCTCTTAAGGCTCTCCTCGAGGGCGGGGAAGATGACGTCGTTCAGAGCGTCCAGGTCGCCGTTCGGGTTGGCTGGTGCAGGCGGTGGGAAGGACAACGGGGTGGGGGTTTGGGGCTCAGGCGTGAAGGAGTGTGTTGACGAAGGCGTTCCGCGGTTTCCTTCCTTGGAAGTCAGCGGGTTGATATTCTGGGTTTGTATGGCTCTAGGGGCTTGTGGGTGTTGGTTAAAATAATTTGGCTGCTGTGGAGCTTGTACGATAGATGGGGAGTACTGTCTCGCGGCCTGCGGCTGGACCGGTAACGGGTGTTGTTGGTTCGTGGTCCGCGTCAGCGGTGATTGTGGTACTGCGTACTGCTGTTCGTTGGCCCGGTACGGTGGTATTTCGGGCAAGGTCAACGGGCCTAGCTTCGATGGCTGTCGTTGTATCTGGTGGTGCTGCATTGCTGACGGGGGCATCATGCGCGGGCCAGAGACACGTCGTTCTGCGTTGATGGCCGAGCCCAGGTTCAAGTGTCCCATATCCCGCTGAAGCTGCTCATGTAATGACCTCTCATGTTCCGGAGAGGTGTCGACAGGCTGCGGAAGAGGCTTCATCTGCGAGGCCCTCGGGGTTGCATGAACCTGGTCTTGCGGCCTTGTGTTGGTTTTCGCGGGGGATGGAGGCAAGGGCACCTTGGCCGGCGACTGCGGCCCAGAGGTTGAACCAACGGGCTTTCGCTGTGGTGATACCTGCCGTGCAGTGCCGGATGTCGACCCACTCGCCTTGAATGTTTCTCGCTCCCTCTCCAACAGGGCCTTCGTCGGTGTCGTCTCGTTTCTCGAATCTCCATATTCACTCTCAAGTGGTCTCGAAGACCGCGCGTTTGTAGCCGACTCGCCCATAGCATTCAAGCCCGGATTCCGTACAATGCCTCCTTGGTTGCCTACTAGCCGTACCGTGCCAAAGTCCCACATGTCCTCATTGACCGGCTCCCGATACGCAGGCTCGCCAACGTCGTCATACGCGTCATCGTCATCTGCGCTCTTGTGAGTAGCAGACCATCGGGTATGCCTCTCGATCAACTCGGTCAGGTAGCTCGTCTTCTTGGCCTTCCGCACGAACGGGTGCTTCAAGAGGTCCTTCGCCGTTGGCCTGTCCTTGGGGTCCCTCTGTAGGCAGCAGGCAACAAAATCCTGGAACGCCTTGCTGAAGGTGTCCTTGTCAAGTCTTGGTGGTGCGTTCTTGGGGATGAGAAAAAGGACCTTCATCGGGTGGATATCTGCATAGGGCGGTTCTCCATTGGCGAGCTCGAGAGCGGTGATACCGAGTGACCAAACGTCCGCCCTGTGGTCGTAGCCCGACTGCTTAATGACCTCGGGTGCCATCCAAAAGGGTGTGCCGACGAAAGTGTTCTTCTTGGTCATGGTCGCTGAGAGTTGGCCAGAGACCCCAAAGTCGGCGAGCTTGACCTGGCCATTAGAGCCCAGGAGCACATTGGCAGCTGGGAACGGGTCAGCATTTCGATATACGGGGCGAGTGCCTTTTATTTCTGCCCCAGGGATGGCAGGACCTCGACATACCCTTCACATCCCGGTGCAGCTTCTTGTCTGAGTGCAGATAGTCCAGCCCCAGCAGTAGCTCCCTGACAATAATTGCAATGTATTCCTCCTCAATCTTGCCCGGCTTCATGAGGTCGGCGCAGCTCCCGCCGGAGCAGAACTCCATGACGATCCATAGCTCGGCTCCTTTGGCGTAGGAACCGTAGTATTTCGTGACGTAGGGAGACTGCAGCTCGGACAGAATGGCGATCTCTTGGATAATGTCTTCGACCTCGTCCTCGGCGCTCTCAATATCAATAATCTTGATAGCTACTGCCTGACCGGTACGCTTGTCGACACTGATTGGAGGGAGAAAGCAATGTCAGCTGGACCTGCAGGGCAACGAGTGTGGGCATGGCGGGCTGGTGGGATACGAGGGAGGGAAAGCAGAGCAATGCAAGAGGAAGCGTACCCTTTGAAGACCTTGCCAAAGCTGCCACCACCTACACAGTCAAGTCAGCCCAGATGTTCGGACCTCCAATTGCTTCTTCCTCCCCCGGGGCGGCCATGATGCATGTGACGAACCAATGCAGTACTCTTTGGTGTAGAGGGTCTCGGGGTCTGGGGACCCATGGGCATTGTCGTCCCAGTCCCTCTCCCGGCCGGCCATGATGCCCTCTCAGTTGACTTTTCTTCTCGGGAGAGAAAGATCAATCCGGTTCGAGGACCGGCGGTTTGTAGGGGAAAAGGACCAGCAACTGGTGACCAGTCTCCCTGGCGCGAGCAGATGCTCAGATCGGGAGAGTGGGGATCGTCCGTTCGGCTGGGAGTGGGTACCTCTGTGTCGAGGGATCGGGGGGAGGGGCTTGTCGAGGCCGAGAGCTCTGGTGGGTTTCGCGTAGTGGCCCCAAGCCAGCGGCTGGGCGGCTGGCCAGTGAAGCTGCAGCTTTCCCGCAGCGGTGCTGCTTGTCGGGGGTGCAGTGCAGCTGTTTCCCTGGAGACGAGACGAGACGAGAGATCAGAGATCGACAACAAATCCAAGGCGAAACGAGTCGAGACGAGCTGTGATTCCCCACCAAGAGGGGAAGGTTGTGGACGCGAGCACGGGATTTGCCGTCTGTCCTTGGAGTGCACACGACAGTGCAGTATTGTAGGGACTGCTTGCTGGATGGGACAGTCACCAGTCGGATGTCAAATCAAAAGCGTCTAGGTAGGGGAAAAGAACGTCGGAGCGAGCGTCACAGTCGCACGGGAATGGCTTCCGTAACAAGGCAGATCGCGGTTTCCAGGGTTTCTCTAGCGGTACAAGCTTTTTGGGCCCTGCTTATTAGACAGGCGCTGCTCTGCTGATGAAGAAGGAACAGACACAGAGAGAGAGAGAGACAGAGAGAGAGGGAAGGAAAGCTCGGAGACAAATGAAAACTAACGATTGAACAGAACTGAGCGTGAAGACGGAGGTGTGGTAGTGAAATGAAATGGAAATGCAAGAGGAACAACAGCACAGGCAGGACAAGACGCGTGTAGGGCAAGCAGAACAGCAGTTCAGCACTTCCCGCAAGAGGAGAGCTGAGGGTGAGAACAAGTGAACGGAAGGGAAGGAAGAAAAAGGCGTCCAGTTCAGCTCAGCTCATGGCCGAGTAAGTGCACACGAGCGTGCAGTGACAGTGAAGAGGCGGATGGCATGACGATCAGCTTGTGATCGGAAGGAGGAGGAGCTGAAAGTGGGCACCCACCGAGTGGATTCCAACGTTGCCAACCTGCCTTAGCTGCCTCTTTTACCCCACGTTCTTCACTCTGGCTGCCCTGCTGGCCCCCATCGCCCGGAACCCAAAACATAACATCCCCATCCCAGACCGACCCAGCTTCCCTCCCACCCATTGGCCAGGATGCTCCTCGTGCCTGGATGGATCAGAGAGGCGCTTCCCTAGTGCCGCCCAGGGGTTGGGAAATTCGAACAGCAATGCGGCTAATGCTGAGAAACTGGAAACTGGCTCTTGGAGGGGTCTCAGTCTGCCGCCCCTCGGGCTGGAACCATTGGCTGCCGCCTTCCCAGCATGAGAAGGAAGATTCACCCGGGAGCACGCTACTCTTCTGCCAACTTCGTATCGTGATGTCAGTCCGGTTTTTCATTTCCGTGTGTGAGTGCGAGTGAGCATCTATCCCTCACTTGGGCGCAATGCTAAAAGGCCATATCTCTATGCTAATGGAGGCCGGGCCTGGTTCAGGCCTTCCAGAGTTCGTGTCTACCTGAACCGAATTCCCAACATTCGTGACCGTGACGCCTTTCAAAACATAACAGTAAAAATGATCGCGGGGTCCAGGGGCCATGGCTGAAGCGCAACCACTGGAGCACGACAGGCACCATATGATATGTGACCTGTGATCGGTTTCGGGCCATACCCTCCTTTTGTGCCGCCTCTCGTTTCTCAGATCAGTATCATCCCATGCCAATTGGCACAAGAAGAATTCGGCGCGAATCTGCGCTCACCTCACTTGTCTCCACGATCAAGCTTCAATGTACTCGATCATCACAGTAGCCTGCTTGAGACCAGCCTCTTCGATGGTCTGGTCCAGCAGCTCAATCAGGTCCTTGCCCTCGGGCACTGTCTTGAGCTCAAATTCCACGCCTGCCTTGTCCGCCGTGATCGGCTCCGATTTCAACCATTCGTAAATTCGCCGGATCGGCTCCGTCACGTTGAACCGCCGGATCACTCGGCCCTCTGGGTGTCGGAACTGGATTCTCGTGACCGTGGGGCCATTGGCAGGCTCGGAATGGGGCTTGTCGGAGGCAACGGAGGCGAACAATGACGATGATGCCGACTGTGCTTCTTGTGACTCTGCTTGTGGAGTTCCTCCCATGATCTCGTCCGAGCTGGACGTTGCAACCGCCTTACCCTTGCCCTTCTCCAGCTCAACTGACTTTGTAAGGTCGTCGGGGTCCTGCAGCGCGTTCAGGTTGCTGGCACTTCCGTTTCCACCATTCGCGTCGAGGCTGTTCCGCAACGCCATCTCCAACATCTCCTCCTCCGTCATTCGGTTCACGTCAACAGCCGGCTGGGGCCGCTTCTGCTTCGACACAGGGTTTTTCTTGTTCTGCTCCAGCGAGTACCGGTCCAAGAACTCCACCAGGTCCGCATGAAACGCCTGCGCGTTGGGAAAAGGAATGCCTGACCAGACCTTGACTTGCTCTCCCGTCCGTGGATCGATAATTGACACGTGTGGGAAGTTGTCCTTGTTCTCCTGTGCGTGTGGTGGGAAGTAGAAGGTGTTGTATTCGCCTGCACGTGGGTCGTCCTTAGCGTACTGCAGGAAAATGAAGTTCTCCTTCACAAGGGCCACGATGGCTGAGTCCTTCCAGATGTCTCGATTCAACGCCTGGCAGTTGAAGTCGTTCATGTCCTGCACATTCACCAGGATCCACTTCTTGTCCTCCTTGCCGACGTCTCTGGCCTCGTCCCAGGCCAGGTGTTCCATCAGTTCGTACGGCGGGCGGAACAGATCCGCCAGGCGCTGTGCTCGGTTCTGCTCCCCGCTGGAGCCGCCTGCTGCAGAGGCAAAAGATGTTGGAGGGTGTGGGCTGTCGGAGTCCTCCCAGATCGACTGGCCGAAGGGGTTACCGGTAGCTTTTAGTCACATGTTAGCCCAGTTGAGCCGCTTCAGAGCAGAACAAGAAAGCCACAGTGAACTCACGTCGAGGCCGAGTCTGTCTTCGGAGCTGCTCTAGACCGCCAAATCCATCATCGTCAATCGGTGCGCCGTATCCGCTGGGCGCAACCAGCGTCTCCGTAGTCCTAGCGATGGGAGCCCGCACACCGTCTGCGGGAGGGGGGCCGCCACCGCCATACATCTCCTCCTGCAGGCGGCGGGCCATGGCCGCATCGTCGCTCTCCTGCGCAATACGTTCGAGGTCAGAGTGATCCACATCATCGACATCGTCATCGTCGTCAACTCGGATGGGTTCATCGTCGTCATCATCATCATCATCATCTATATGGATGACGCCTTGATCATCCTGCCGGCCCAGGTTCCGGCTCGAAGATGCGCCTTGTGGTCGGGAGGCTGCGGCAGTCGAGGAGGAGGCAGGTGCGGCAGAGGAAGCTTGGGCAGAGAAGGAACTCGCGATTTCTGGATTCTCGAAGAAGAGGTTGACAGCGGCCATCACGTCGCCCTCAGTCATGGACAGGCAGCCAGTGGCGACTGTATCGTTGGCGCCCGTGATGGACATAAATTGGGCGACAGGATCGTCGGCCATCTTGACGGTTGCCGATGTAGGTTCTGTGTCGTGCTCTTGCTTTCAAGGGTTCGTTTGCGGGCAGCCGAGATTGGTAGGAAGTCGGTGTTTTCGTGGAGTAGTCGAGCTGACGGAAGACTGGGTGACCAAGTATCGCTGCGTCGAGTAGATGAATCACAGCCTGGGGCGTCTTCTCTTATGGGCAGCTGAGGAAGTGGAAGGAGAGGTGAAGGTCAGATCCAAAAGTAGATCGCTTGGGTTGGCTTTGGGTCTGGTCTGGTTGGGTCGGGTTTGGTTCGGCCACACGAAGCTCGGCCCCTGTTTGATCGAGCCTTTGGTGGGGTTCAAAAAGACGACTGAATTGCAGCTCTGGGCGGGGACGGCGGCGTCAGTAGAGCTTCAGATCATTAACAGCTAACTGCAGATGCTTCGCAGGGTATGTTCGGAATTTGTGGTAGTCACTCGCAGGGCGTGACTGTGTGGGAAGAACAGGCACTGGGTATGGTGTTGAAGATGAAGGTTGCTTCAGAAGCTCCGACTTGCCCAAGCAGGCCGCCAGGAGATGGCGTCACGGGAGGGTACCTGAGTACATGAGGAGCTACCCAATTAACTCAGCGCCGCCACCCGTGCCCACTCATGCAAGCACTCGCAGGGGTCCCTTCGCGGCTTACTAAACACGGCAACCTTCCTTCTCTACGAGATGCACCTCTGGGTCTCCTCCTCTTAACAATCCTTTTCGTTCGCAGCCAACATCACAAGACTCAACAGCCAAAGCACCGCTCTCGCCGGTTCGTGTGGGGATTTTTCCGATCAGGAAGTGTTCAAATACGCCTGTTCTCTGCAAATTGAAAGCACGTGTTGACTGCGCAGCAGCGCATCGGCGTCGTACAGAACAAGCATGTGAAGAAGGCTCAGCAGGTTGACATTGGCCACGTCTTCGCAAGTCGTTGGCGGTTGGCAGGAGCTACTATTGCTCTCCGACTGGGAGATTTGTCTGGCATCGTGAGTTGACATGCTGGACTCTCAGTACTGTCTGTCATTTCCCAGTCTGAGCTCATCTCAACACTCGTCACCCTCCTACCCACCCGCCAGCTATTGTCTTGTGCCTGCCTATTTCCCATCCTCCTCAAGCCCCCGCCGCTGATGCGTCCTCACAGAGAAGTATAGAGAGACACTGTATGTCTGAGGCGGAAGGCACGGAAGGTGCAGGAGGTGCTTGAAAAGGATGGCATGTCCTTCCGTGGCTGCCATCACTGAGCGGATGAGACCATCCCCAGCTGCGGTTGGGGACACCCTGACCTGCCTCAAAGGTGGTAAGCCGGATTGCGGTCCGGAGTTCAGGTGTCTAGTAGGTGGTTGGTGGTTGTTGATTGTTGGCTCGGGGGTCTGCCTGCTCGCGAGAGTGGTAAGCCAGAATCGAGTTCTGGCGCAGACGGCTTGCTTTGCTGTAAGGCAAGCTCGGTGGACGACGAAGCCTGTATTGATGCTACACGGTGTGTTGTCAAGAGGATGGGTGTTGGTGTAGCAAGCCCGCCTGCTCGTGAGAGTGGTAAGCCGGAGTTCGCAGACTCGGGCGCAGGTGATTTGGCTCACTCTTAGGCGGCTAGGTAGGCGACGAAGTCGGACTCCACACCTCCTCGTGGTGTCGCCTGGTAATCTGGCTTGCAAGAGCCAGAGCTAGCGTGGGGACGCAACCACGTATCTGTTTACTTGTTCCTGTTTACAAAGAGATGATAGTCGGAGAGAGATCTCGAACTTGGGTGTGTTCAGCCAGATTAATCAGTCCTGACTACGCGTCTTCACATAAGTCTCATATGTCATAGCCTCCTGTGGGATACCTCCCATTGGGATAACCTCCTGTCGGACACCTCCTGATGGGATAACTTCCTGTATGGATATATTCTGTGGGATGATTCCCCATGAGAGAGGCCCTTGTGGGATTGTCGTTAATGGGATAATTACATTGTGATAATCCTCTGCCAGTTGGCCGTTCTGTGGGGGAATCTTCTGCGCTCAGAGAAAGCTTTTTGTGTTGCAAAATGCAAGATAATCGATAATCTGTGGGGTGACATTTAGATAGGGGTTTCGTTCGCTTTCAATGTGCTTTCGCTACACGGGAATTTGGTATAGAACGGAACTGAAGCGACTTTCTCATTCCGACATGCTAGAAGACAGACAAACTCGATACTTCGGTAAGAAATCGGGCGAGGATATGCAGTTCGTGTGATCCTCGAGCATCGAGGGATGGCCCCATTGAATGAAAAGAAAGCCAAAGGGGCCGCCACGTGCTTTGTCTGAAGGCAGTAGCAACAGAAACCGCAGGTCAGGGAACGGAGACAAGCTCTCATGTGCACTGAGACCTGCATATACGGCTCTTGGGAATTGAAATCAATGCAGCAGTGATTCAATAGCAGTGCCATCTACTCTATCTTGAGATTGATCCTGTTGGTGACGACCAACACATCGTCTGCTATCCACCTGCCATTCAACGTTATTCTCGGAACCTGAGACTGCCTCGAAGCTCATCCATCGTATCCATACTTCCATGCTCATCTGTCCCTGAGGTTATAGCAGCTCACAGCCCAAGACCTTCAGAACAGGTCTTGGAACCAAATTTTCCTCGTCGTCCTCAACGTAAGAACCGCACGTGAGGTTGTTCAGCCTCTTTATGAATTCGAATGCTTCTCTGCCGAAACATTCCTTGCCTGCCTCATCGCAAACAATCCACCCAGCATCCCGAGGAGAGACCTCAACAAACCGTCGATCTTGAGCGTAGAAAACTTTCCGGTTGGCCTGGAGGTGCTGGCTCTCCTCTGCACTCACGCCCTGTGGGGCCCTCTGGAGCCTGTAGTCCACAAACCATACTGTCTCGACGTGCTCCATCCCACTGGCTCCTCCGAAATGCGGGACATACTTCTCGGTCTGGTAGCACCACTTTGTATCAAACTCGATGCCGATATTCCGCGGCGCACAGACAACACAAACCGGCACGCGCCAAGTGAGGAAGTCGCTCCGGGACAGGAACCACCATCGATCATCAACCAGAGCGTAAGCGTGAAGCTTGTGTTCGATCCCGCGATCCCATGACATACATGAGCTAGGCGACGTCTGGATGACGATGAGATCCTTCATTGGCTGTATCGTAAAGTACTGCCGTTCACCGCACTCTGTTTGCAAGGCTGCTGTCACCGTGGCGGCACCGGAAGTCGAGACTTGCCGGTGTGTCTGCAAGGTCTTCGAGCGAACGATTCGACGGCTGGTCTCGGCTGGTCGAAATCTTTTAAGCATTTACCTTCGTGAGTCGCGACAAGTTGTCCAAAGAGCCGAGTCCTCCATGTACGTCGAAGGATTCCATTGGGTCCACGAAAGGTTACCATCCGGGTCACAGAGAGGTGCAGCGAAGTCAAGGAATGAAGACTCGGGAAGTCCATCATTAGAGCTGTAATTGAAGCTCTTGGCTGACCAGGGGGATTCCACCAAGTGGATGTCCTCATCGGCATCGTGGACTGTGAAGAACAGGACACCTGGTCCTTCGGGCCGTACCGCCTGTTCCCAGGTAATATCACGAAGCTCTTGTGGAAGATCCGAGAAGTTCGCCATTTTGGCTGTCTTGATGCGTTTTCAATTGTTGAATATGATTGAACTCATGTATCCGAATGGTTTGTGGAATTGAATCGATCAGTTGATTAGCCTGGGGGTGGAAGAACTCTTAGACGTAATTTTAGAATCGTCTATCAGAGAAAGCCTCGATCGTAGAGGGATATCTGCACCATGTTTGTATCCAAATTAATTCTAGGTATCGGAATACGGAAAAAGCTGAACGAAATCCGTCAAATGACGATGGTCTGTGACGCTAGGAACAAGTGGTCTTGAAGCTTGAGAACCGCCAAGACCACATCAGTGCACCCTAGGGCCAAAAGTCAGAAGGCATCATTTTCAATACGTGACACGGTCAGAGTAAAGAAGGTAAATCACTCAGTGCTTCGTATTTTTGTATGACCCTTTTTGGATCTTTCGTTGCTAATCCCGTGCGGAACGTTGTCAACCTACAGAAGAGAAGTTCGGCCTGGCCAAATTCACGTTTGGCTGAGGATTAGACAATATCTCGAATGGACACACTAGAGGTGAGCAATGCTCACTGTGAAATAAGTATCTATCTAGCCTTCCTCTGGCGGGCTGTGGCATCGTCGCCAGTAGCAGAAAGCCTCTGGGATATCCTCTCAGCATAAACTCTTGTACAAAATGTGATAATCTGCAATATACGTCTGCATGACAGGCTTGCTCCAGCGACCTCATACGGACTTGTGACTATTTGCACGGAACTTTGGTATCTCGTGACCCGGAAGGGATGTGAGGCAAGCGGCTCTAGACTGGCAACATCAGTCTACGGGTGACAATCGTACATGGACAACATCCACGACACAGGAGTTGAGGCTGGGCTAAGAAGGGGTCTCAAGAGGATCGCTCAAGCACTGCCCTGTTCCCATTGTTTATCGTCAGACTTCAAATTCCAATTCTACATCGCAAAGACGAACAACTATTCCACACGGCACCACCAAAATCATCTATATCTGCCCCATTAAAGCTCAGCCAACGCCTCATCCATGATCCTCTTAACATCCACACTCCTCTCCGCTCCCCGAGCCTCAGTGATTACCCCCCTCAAAGTCCCAACCACGCCGTCCTCTTTCGACGCAGCCGAGCCAAACACCCCCTTCTTGACACCCTTCGCCAGCGCGACCGTCGCCTGAGCGCGCACAACCCGCTGCGTTTCAACCCCAAGATCCGGCTTGTCTACATCCAGGCTCTCAAAGTACCGCCTGGCAACACCCGACCCACCAGAAGCCTCCCCCTCCTCGCTCGCAGCACCATCAGCGTCCTTCATCAAGTCCTCGACAGCCTTGTACCACACCTCACGGCGGATAGAGTCAAACCTCGGCTTCTCAAAGAACGGCCCCAGGACATCCAGGATGCCACGAGCAACATGCACAGGCCGCCGCCTGAGCAGCGGCCGGTTATACCCCCGCGCGACGACCTCCACCGCCCCAAGCGCGGTCTTGTACACAAGCACCTCCTTCTCCTTGGCAGCCTTACCGCTGTCGCCATCGACATCCATGCGGTCCTCATCGACATACTCCTCCAGGAAGGGGCGAGCGATGCCCACCGCCTCCTCCCAGAGATCCACGTCCTCCCGTGCCGCGGCACACCGCCACAGGCACCTGAACGCGTGCACGCGGTACGCCTCGTTGTTGCGCTTCGCCTCGCGCAGGACGACCTTCTTCATCTGCGCCGCGACCGCCGCGTCGCCCTCCCAGAACGCCTTGCCCTTGGAGGCCACGTCCGCCAGCGCGTCGAGGAGCTTCTCCTTGCCAGCGAACGTCTTGAGCGCGAGCGCGCGGTCGAACGCGGGCCACAGCCGCGCGAGGTGCGCGACGCTGCCGCTGGAGCCCGGGTTGTCGCCGGCGACTGCGGCCACAGCCGACATCGCGCTGGCCGCTGTTAGCGCGCCACCGTGCTTGAGGCTCCACTGCGGCGTGTCGAGCGCCCGCTGCACGAGGGCCTCTATCTCGGGCACAAACCGCGTCGCCGTCCTGCTGCTGCCCGCGTGGGTCTCCCATACCTCTTTGAAAGCCTTGGCCACGTACTCGTCTAGGTCGTGCATGCCCAGGTAGCTGAAGGGAAGCAGGCTGCCCTCCAGGGCGTTGAAGTGGTCCGGGCTGATCTTGGAAAGCGACAGCACCACGTCCGCCACCTTCTGCCTGCGCGCCTCGTCCTCGGCGTTGAAATACAGTGTCTCAAATTTGGAAATGAAGCGTTCTTTGGCTTCCGATGGGGCGTGTCGCATGATGTACGCTGCTGCCTTGGCATACCCCTGGCTGACCTCGTCGTTGCGGTCGATACATTGCTTCTCCAGCAGCCGCAAGAAACGGTCTGCATGTGGCCGGAAGTCATTTGTGTGCCGTGTCGCCAATGTTCCCAGGAGCCTCGCACATCCGACCTTCGTAGGCATGCCTAGGGCGGACTTTATCGCTTCCTCCAGGCCTGAGGCAAGATCTGGCATGACGCTCTCGTCGACATTGCGGAGGCAATTTTCGATGGCCTGAGAGATCGGGCTCTGGTTGACCATCTGACTTCGGATCTTGTCGATCTTCTCGCGATCATCCTCACCGAAGCGCTGATAGTAGTAGTTGATTGCGTCCGGCTCGATGGTACTCAACAGTCCCAGCAAGTGTGTCACGATGGTGGCAATGTACGGCCTCAATGCACTCCCGCCGGTCTTCGTGATTTTGATAACGGTGTCAATAGCAAAGCCCTTGACCTCGTTCACGTTGCTCTCGATGCCCTTGTCAGAAAGCAGGAAGGGCAGCGTGGAGCTCATCATGTCCTTGGCGGAGGCCGACACGCCGCCCTCTTCAAGTTGCCGAGTCAGAGTGTTTGCCATGCCCATGCAGAGCTTCAATGCCTCGTTGCGAACCGTGGCCTTCACATCATCAAGCACCTTGAGCGCCTTGGTCCAAATATCGCCGTAGTACTTCTCATACCTCTGGAATGGTCTGCCACTGATGAGATCAGCTATAGCAGAGCAGCTGGCTTGCCGAACTCGCCACTCCTTGGTGTGGATGCTCTTGAGCAAGTCATTCATTATGGCGTCAAAGTGCTCCTCGATGACAGCATTCGAGTCCTTGACGAGGGCTTTCCAGATGTCGTTCATCGACCGCTGGACGTTCGTGTTCGGATCGAACCTATAACGGAAAAGCTTCGGGTAAAGCTTCGGGTCGACCTCAGATTCGGAGAGGATGTTGCTCAGGCCAAAACGCCCGAACGCAGAGCGGGTCGACCACGTCGCCGCGTTGGACGCGAGGGACATGAACTTGTAGACAAGACTTTGGTCACCGACTTCATTGGCCAGGTTCATGATGTCCCTGTACGAAGTGACGGACTTTCCTTCACCTGTTGGCAGTGCGCCGGCTTCGAAGAGCTCCGTGTCCTCTTCGACCTTCAGCTGCGCACCTGTTCCGGTGAAAGCACCGACAAGGTCCTTGACAAGGCTCTCTTTGAGCGAAGGATCACCCTTCTCATACACCAGAGACAGGCCTCTTGATGCTGTCTCCTGTACGAGCTCGTCGCGGGCGCTGAGCAGGCGCATGAATGCAACCTGACATTCGCGTAGGCGGGCCTGTATCTCGGGCAGGTGAGAGCAGTGCTGGATGATGGAAAACAACCAGATTCCAGAAGCCTTCAGTAGAGATGGCTTGGTGGCTTTGCAGTCGGTGAGGATCTTGTCGAGGACTTCTTGGACCTTGTCCGCTCGCTTCTCGACACGGTATTTGTCTATTTTTGATTCCACATCCACGGTGAGCTGCACGATGTCCGAGTCCCAGCGAGCAATCGCGGCCGTGATAGCTTCGCCAATGGCGAAGTGTACCTCGGGTTGTTTGAGCTCGTGCAGTTCGTAGAGTTTCGACAATATAGTATCAAGGGCAGCGTCGCCATCCTTCAGCCCCAACGCCAGACGGCCGAGGGCAGTGATGGCCCGTTCGTTTCCTTTCTTGCATTGAGGCACTAACACGTCGATATATGTCGTGATAGAGGCTTCTTCGGGCTCAATTAAGGCCGTCCACAGCTGTGTGAGGGTGTCAAATATTACTTCTTGGAAAGACAGCTGCGCGCCGCCCAGATCTTTGACGGGAGGCAGCCACTCCTCTGCCTTTGGTTGACTCGCGCGTGGTGGATCGTTCCCTTTGAGGTACTTGTTTCTAAGGTCGTGCGACAGGGTTGTGTCGTCGACGTAGGCATCCTGTTCTCAATTAGCAAACTGTCTTCTGTGCTCCTTCAAATGATTGAATCTCACCTCCTTGCTCAAGTTTGTGCCTTCGCTATCAGCGGCAAGAATGGGATGTGGGTAATACACAGCCCGAGACCACAGGTGACCCAATGCAACGAACGCTCCCTGCGCAGCATTCATCTCAGCACCGACAGCCGTCCGCCATGATTGGGATTGTTGACGCAGCACGTGGCTGATGACATTGAACAGCGATGAGGGCACGGATGGGTGCGCCGCAAGAATGCCAAGGGCCCTAGCTGCAAGACTCCGGATCTCCTTCTTGTTTGACGTGACCACTGCCAGAAGCCTTGGAATCCCTTGGAGGATCAAAGGTGTCAGTTCTGACTTGGGCGCGAGAGACGCGACCTCGACGAAGCTGCGTGCGCACTCTTCCGTGGTAGGCTTGTCCTCCTGGATCCCCTCGAGGGCAGCCTCCAAAAAGGACTCCAAGACATGACCGCTTAGGCTTCCCAAGTATTTTCGAATGGACTCCCTTGTCTGCTTGTCAGACTTCATAAGCGTGTCCAATTGTTGCTCCCATCCCGGTTCGACGTTGAACTCGTCCTTCAGTGCTGCAAGGAAGAGCATGCGCTTGCAGTACGTGACGGCTGTCGGGAAAGCGCTCGGGGACAAGTCGACAAAGTTCTGCGTGATCGAAGGCCCGTCTGACATCATGGCAGAAGCACCATAGCCGAGGGGCTCCTTGAAGAAGGTCTGGACCAGTTGCTGCCAGTCGGGGAGATCATTCGTGACTGTGGCGTCGTTGACCCTGTATGTCCAAGGGTCCAAGCCCTTGCGGCCTTCCTCGATTACTTCCATCCTCTCCTCGCCGCGCCCATTGATGGCCAGGATATCAACCCATCTCGCTATGGGGTCTGAAAATGCGAGGCACTGGTTTGCCCATTTGGTGGCTGCGTGTCGTACGCTTCTCACGGAATCTCCACCATCCGCAAGTGTCATGTATGTCAGAATTATGGTCCGTAACCTGTCGACCTCTCCGCTATCGGGCTTGAATATTGAGGTCATGACAGACAGCGCGCCTTCGATATTAACCACAACCTCGGGCGTTGGATCCTCTGAGAGCGAGCGGAACAGCCAAGCAACCAACTCAAGCAGGTTGGCCTGTTCCATAAACGAACCCCTTGCCAGTACTCCAATGGTTTCGTATGCTCTGGCTCGCAGATTTCTGTCGTCAAGCGGGTCCAGTGCTCGTTTCTCCTGGCTAGGTTTCGGCCACCCTTGTTCCTCAGTGATGAAGCCTCGTAACAACTCGATTAATGTGGGGCCAATATCGAATTTCCCTTTGCCTGGGCCGATCCGGGCAACCCAGTTGATGTATTCGAAGAGTGCCTTGTGCAGCTTGGTCAGCTGCAGTCCATCCACAGCTTCATCCTTGGGCTTGATGTCCCGCCGCACGACGTCAAGTATTTCTTTGGTGAAAGTTGTCGAAAGGCCCGACTTCGACAGCAGGTTGAGTATCCGGATGCGATATGTAGGTGGCAACCGAGAGTGAGACTCGAATAGCAGCTTGGCCCTCCCTTCATCCTCCAGCGACACCTGGTTCCTCATCAACATGGCATTACCCACAGAGTTGATGCGGTAGTCGTTGCTGGCGGCGGCATACAGGGCGGGCATGAAGCGCTCCTCGTCTGTGAATGCGCCGCTCTCCAGCAGTTTGGCCGCTTTGATCATGGCGCCGGGCCAGTCCGCGACCAGGGTTCCTTCGGGCTTCGGCTCGCCGGGCTTGCCCAACGTGAGAAAAGCCATGTCATCGTCAGTCAGACCGGGCGGCTTCTTGTGTGGACTTGGGGTCAGTAGAAGTTTCCCCAGCCATTTCGCGACAGATTCAGCGTCGTTGCTGTCCGTCAAGCCGACCTCTTGTCGAAAGGCCTCGTCCTCCTTGCTGCCTCTGGGCGGGATGTTGATGTCCTTGAGGGCGTGCAGGAACATATTGAACCTGGCAGGGGTGGTGTGTGTTGTTGCATGGATGCCGTTCAAGATGGTGGGTACAAGCTTCCTCCTTTCATCGGCACTGATCCTCCCTATGCTGTGCTGGATGAAGGTGATGTCCAGCTGCCTGATGACGGGGTGGTTATTGGCGATGTACTGGTCCAGCAGGGCGGAAACTGGCAGGACTACCTCAGGTGATTTGATGAAGACCTTGAGCCGCTGGCAGATGGTCACGACCTTTGAGCGAACCGAAGCATGGTCGCTGCCGGCCTTGAGCAGCAAGGCCGGGAGGTATGGCTTCAGCAGCTGGGTGAGTTTAGGGGCGTCGTTTGCGACATTGAGGATGCGCAGGTTGACTTTGTCGACGAGCTCGAGCTCCCTCTGTTCGGTGGAGGCCATGTTGTTGCCGGCACCGTGGTTCATAAGCGTCGGATGCACGCAAGGTGGACGGTGGGGTGGGACGAGAGCGACTGTGAGCTGGAGGAGCTCGACAGCGGTAAGTTTACAGCTGCAGTGTTTCCTCCCATGCAGCACCCACAGATGATGGCGGCTCGCGAGGATGGCAGACGGAGGATTGTTGATATAAGAAACGAAACACAGTCGCTTTCGTCATCAGGTGGTTTGCCTCGAGTGGCACGCCCCCTTCGAGTGTTCGCCCCCGAGTCGGCCACGAGACGGCGGCCGCGTCGAGCAGTTGCAGGCCTGAAATCTGCTTACGTCAGGCACATCAGGTCCAGAGCCCGGGCAGCCGACGTCTTTAATCGACCAGACACATTCCTTCCGACTCGGTCGATCTTCATGGTATTGAGCACAAGCTTTGTGTGAATAATTAACACTGTCGCCATATACGAGCGAGTTTTCGAACCTTTATTTTTGGAGGTTTTGATTTCGGGTTCATCCTGCTGTCCTCTTCCCTTCAGTGCTCTTCCGCTAGAAGCATCAGTGACCGCAACATTCAGCACCAGAGACTGGCACTTGGGAAGCCAACCTTGAAACCCAGATCTATGCAAAATTGTGACTTTTGGGTCAATTGAAGCCAAGCGGACTCTACTCTATGTCTTTGGGCAATGGTCCTGGATGCCGAGATGTCTAGGACGGCTCCACGACCAAACAGACAGACTAACGTAGGGTTTCTCAACACCTTGAGTAACAACCTCGCGCTGCTTCAGAAACTTGGTGAGAAAATGCAATGCATTGATATATGGACGTCCTATTTATACACGGTATTCTTTATCCTGCAGGCGCAAAATACCACCCCGACGCCCACCATGCACCGTGTCATTCTACCGACAATCCGCCTCGCCCGCAATGCCTCGCGGCAATGCCATCATCCCCACACGAGCGCGCCCACCTGGCAATTCCGCCCTTGCTTTTCCAATCTGTATCGAGGTTTTTTTTGTAGTTGATCTTCCCAAGGGGAAAGATGCGTAATATCTAATGTCCCACGCACTGGCAGCATTGGCCAGCTTACAGGGTCTCCATCTTGTCCAGGATGGCCTTGGTGAACTCCTGTGTCGTGGACTCGCCGCCCATGTCGCGGGTGCGGACCTTGCCGTCGGCGATGACGGCGTAGATGGCCTTGGAGATGCGGTTCGCGTGGTCGTCGAGGCCGAGGTGGCGCAGCAGCATGCTGCCGGACAGGATCAGCGCCGAGGGGTTGGCCTGGTCCTTGCCCTGGATGTCCAGGCCGACGTGTCGGCAGCCGGGCTCGAAGACGGCGACGTCGCGGCCCATGTTGCAGCCGGGCACGATGCCGGGCCCGCCGACGAGGGCGGCGCCGATGTTGGACAGGATGCCGCCGTACAGGTTGGGCATGACCATGACGTCGAACTGCTGGGGCTTGGACACGCACTGCATGGAGGCGTTGTCGACGATCATGTCGTTGGCCTCGATGGTGGGGTACTCGGCGGCGGTGCGCTGGAAGGTGGAGCGGAACAGGCCGTCGGCAAGCTTCATGATGTTGGCCTTGTGGATACAGGTGACCTTCTTACGGTTGTTGGCCAGGGCGAAGCTGAAGGCGAACTTGGCGATGCGCTCCGACTTGGCGCGGGTGATGATCTTGAGCGACTCGACGACGCCGCCGACGGACTGGTGCTCGAGGCCCGAGTACTCGCCCTCGGTGTTCTCGCGGATGATGCACATGTCAACGCCCTTGTGGCGGGTCTCGTAGCCAGGGACGTTCTTGATCAGGGAGATGGAGGCGTAGATGTCGAGCTCCTGTCGCATGGCGACGTTGAAGGACTTGTGGCCGGACCGCTCGAGCGGGGTGTGCAGGATGCCCTTGAGGCCGAGCTTGTTGCGGCGCAGCGAGGCGACAGACTCCTTAAACATGTCCTCGGCCGACCTGCCGCTCACGCTGTTGTCGAGGCCGGATGCGTCGATCTGCTCCCACTCGATGGGCACGTTGTCTGCCTTGAAGAGGGTCTTGACGCTCTCTGCCACCTCGGACCCGATACCGTCGCCGGGAATCAGGGTCACCGTGTACTTGCCGCCATACTTGGCAGGCTTGAAGACGTCGCTCTGGACGGTGGCGTAGGATCGTGCCGCGACCGAGGGCTGCGCCTGCTTGGAGGCTGCTCGCAGGAGGCTCTGGGTGAGGAAACTGTGGTCAGCGACTGTACCTGCCAGCTAGCAATCGGCGCCGACAACGTCCGCCGAAGCGCATGGACGCACAACGTGATGACGTGACAACGTGGACGTGGATGTGGACGTGGATGTGGACGTGGCTCACCTGGGCCGTTCGGGTCGAGTTTCTGGAGAGCATTTTGGCTGTGACCGGCTCGGCCTCGGGAGTGGAGGGAGGACTGTCGAAGGTATGCTTGGTGACGTCGTCTGGCGCTGTCCAGCACAATGATCACTCGCACACACGGGCGCACACAAAGGAAACCGGCGGAGGAGAGGAGAGCGAGGAAGAGTCGAGTGGGGTGAAGTAGAACGGAATGGATGTAGTAGGTAGGGGAAGACAGAAATGCAGCCTGCAAATGCCGCAGAGAAAACAAATTGTCGATAGCTATCGCGCTGGTCGTGGTCGACGGCTGGAACAGGGATCCACCAATTCGGAGCTCCTCGGTTTACTGCCCTGCGCCGCTCGCTCCAAACTCGGCCCAAAGGCTCTGCGGCTGCGTCTTCCGAGCTGCTGGTGAAAACGTTGCTCCCGCCAAGTCTCTAGAGCCGCCTTAACCCACTATCACCCATTCATGCTGTTGTTGCTGCTGGTTTGTTAGCAGCTTAGCGATCAGCAATGCGTTAGAGCCGCATGTGAAGCTGCCTCGTCAAGATTGACCTCGTCCTTACTTCAGGCCGTTTAGGATGGTATCTTCCATTTCATTTGATCAACAGTAAATGCTGTAGGAACGAAATGACATGACTGTGCTTTTTTGGAAAAGGATTCTCATTGAGCGATCATGTATTATTCTGTTGGCTTCTGAAGTTGTGCCTCAAGCTGCAGGAAGTCTGTCTTTGCAATTTGGATTCCGAAATGTAAACTGAAGCCATCACCACCATCCAACTCCAATGCCTTGATTCACGAATGGAAGGCCCCGGTCACGTACATCAACGGCAAATAGTCGACCTATATACACGTGATCCTTCGCTTTGCGGGCTCAATGCCCCCAAGGTTGTCTAACCAGGAACCTAGTGTTGACCTCGGCGTTTTCAATCCTACGTCCAAGCCTAGCCAAAGCCCAGCCTGTCTCTCTTCTATCGTTCCTGTAATAGCTGCCATCAGTATCTTTGGCACACAATTCCCTCGGGGCATCAGGCTCGACCAGACATATTCTCATCGTGGCTGTTGGAGACTCCTTCCTGCAGAACCTCGCCCGGACACAGCTGGCCAGCCAGCGTGAGTACCAAAAGACAACACAAAAGTCTCAGGCGGTCTTCATCTCCTCCGCTTTGACTTCAATAATTCATTGCCGCAATGATTTCAAATAATGTTGCTTAACTGGGAAACCTCCATGGCACGTCCAGGGCCGGCCAGACCATCAGGCACGCACAGCCTCGCCACATCTTTCGCCGTTCTGGTAGAGCATCACCGCCAGCTGGACGATGCCCACTCCTCGGAAGAGTACGGCAGAAGCGTTTCGTCCCGGGTGGGGGTGGTGGCATAATCTACTACACTTACTTTCCCATCTGTACCCGACGCCGTATGCCCTGTGACAGGAAACCCTCGAGACGGGCCAGCATGTTTGTGACCTGTATTGATTGGACTTTTCTACTTCCAAGTTCCTTCTCTCCCCAATAGCCCCTTATTACCTACCCAGACACCAAAAACAGCCTCTAGCCTGGCCTGTAGATACCTACATCTCGATGCAAGATTTGAGTTCCGCCAAATGACAAACCTCTCAAGTCAATGAGCCATGAGCGCCTGTCAGCCCAATGAGGCCAGCCTCTTTTCAGGAGCTACCGCGCCGTTGCTTTCCACGACACCTGCCGTTGGGTTCCGAGGCGCCTGCCCACCCGAAAGCTCTAGACAGAGAAACAAACAAAGTATCTAACTTCAGAATCAAGTCGACTCAAAACAAATCTTACACAGGATCTGCCCATCTCCAGGAATTGTGGCCGTCTCCTCCCTCGCTTCGGCGTGCGCGGGAGAAGAGGGAGTGACTGCTATCGGGTTCCACGAAACGAGCAGCGAAAGCGATTCCTCGTCGAACAAAAGAAGCTTAACAGTTGCAAAGCACAAGGGGAAGTGAAACAGTGGGGTTAAGAACGGGTACTCGCCAAAGATAGAAACTACGCAATGACGATGCCGGGGTATGCAGCAAAAGAACGGTATACATGTTAGACGCTCGCATTTCAGAATTGGACAACAAAGAGACATTGTAGAAAATCAGAAATCATCAATTTCGAGTCCACCGACGCAGCTCAACGAAGACGAAATCAACGCCATAGAGAGCAGCTACGCCGCCGCACTCAACGCACTACCTGACTGAATGTGAAGAATAATACAAATCCCCCTAGAATATTCACCTGCATTGCCAGTCGTCGGACCCGTTCCGTGCCCAAGTAGAGCGTTCGGCAAGATCCAAGCCGCACAAAGACAATGCTTCGGAAAGTAGAAAGATGTACGACCAAGGAGAGTTCTTTTTCGTGTTGTTTTTTCCGCCTTCACTGATAAGCTGAAACGCCACGTCGCCAACACTCCTGTCCTCTACTCCACCCTAGTCGTTGTTGAAAAATCGTGGCATTGTGACGTTCGTGATCGATCATGAAAACTTTCGAGTCAGAGGTTGTCGTGAGCATTCGTGTCGTCCAGGAGGGGGACAAATGACCATAGAAACGATCGTGACCGCGGGGGGAAGAACTGCTTGGAAGGAAGGAATGTCGAGAAATGGTTCGAGCATAACCAGAACGGCAGAACGCAGGAAGCATCCGGTACGGTAATTTGCACGAACTCAGGGGGTATCTCGACGCTTGAAGCAGTTGACGACGAAGCGGACCGCAACGAAAGAAAGGAAAACCGGTACAGGGAGCGTAAACTCCGGATATCATCGTGACTTTTTGTCAGCCGAAACGCCGCACGCCCAACGCCTTCTGCGATGCATCAAGGCAATGTCACGGCTGAAGCAGGACGCGATTTACTGTAAGAGAACAAGTCAGTCATGGGTTCTGATGAAATGGAAGATGGGGCGAGGGGGCAGAGGGAAGATTCTCACCGCCATCGGGGGAGGAGGAGGGTTGCCACCACCAAAATGGTGGGGACCGTAAGGGCCAGGACCACCGTGAGGCGTCATGCCGTAGTGGGGAGGAGGAGGAGCAGGACGGTAAGGAGTACCCACGCCAGAGTTATTCTGCGAGCGACCCCAAGAAAGGCGGACGCGAGAGTTCCCAATAGGATATCCCTGCATCTGGTTGATCGCCATCTCCGCGGCGTGGCGGTGGACGAACTGGACAAAGCCACAGCCCTTTCCGGGGGGGATCTTGACGTAAGTTATCTCGCCGAATCCCTGGAAGAAAGAACGCAGCTCGTCCTCGGTCACGTAGCCCGACAAGCCGCCAACGAAGACGGTAGTGTTGTTGGGGTCGGTGAACTGGTTCATGGGAGCTTGGCCCATGCCAGCACCCGGGTAGCCACCACCGCCGCCACCGTAAAATGGACCAGGCTGAGGCATGCCCCAGCCCATGCCAGGCTGCATGGGGTTCGCCATCATCTGGCCGCCGTGGCCGCCGCCGTTGTAGGGGTTCTGGTTCCTACTGAAGGGATGGACATCAGTGGATATCCTCAGTAATCACGAGCAAGTAAGACTTACCGCTGCTTTGGAGTAGCAGTGCTGATACGCATGGGACGGTTGCCGCAGTAGACACCCTGCATCTCGTGCAAAGCTCGCTGCTGGTCGCTCTCATCGGCGAAGCGCACAAATCCGTAACCGCGCGACTGTCCGGTCGTGGCATCCGTCATGATCTTAGCGGACTTGCAGGAGGGGAAACGAGCCTGGAACAGAGACACGAGCACGAACTCGTTGACCTCAGGACCGAGGTCTCCGACAAAGATGGAGAACTCGGGACCACGCTCGTCACTGCAGTACATGGTCAGTGTTTTGAGGCGTGGCAATAACGGGATCAAGAAGAGCAACGAACCGTCGATCAACCAAACCGCCACCGGAGGCCCAGTTCAACTTGAAGTGTCGACCGTTGGAGCCAGAGATCGGAGTACCATTGAGAGTTAAGGCCTTGTTGGCGGACTCAGGGCTGGGGAACTCGACGAAGCAGTAGCCGGCGTTACTAGAAATGATTGTTAATTGTCAACTCAACTGAGTGAGGTTCCGAGACTCTAGGGAGGCGGGTCCCAGTCAGGAGGAACGAGTGTTCAACCATTACACAGCGGTGCCAAGTCTACTTGTCGTTGAGCGCAATGGAAGGAACCCAGACTGATGCGGAAGTGCGCTGATGGTTGATGACGAGGCTCGAAAGGCCCATTGAACTGTGGAGATACACGATTTCATCGTAATCAACGGTACCAGTAACAGCGCCGGATCCCACAGAGACACGACAGAACTCAACGCCAATTCGCCGAGAACGTGACAGTGTATGTAAGGGGAGTATGAACGGGCCCTAGAGGGAGCGACACGGGCAGGAAAGTGCCAGTGGTGACGGGGAAAGATAGAAACTTACCCAGTGCCGCGGTCGCGGATGATCTTCACATTGACGTTGTCGCCAGTCTGGTTCTGGTAAAGGGACTTGATGAACTGCTCGTCCATCCAAGAATCAAGCTCGCCCATCCTGGTGATAAGTTTGTTAAAAGATGTCGAGTATCAATGATTCGAGGGGCTTACCATAGGGTACGGGCAGACTCGTTCGCAGAGTTCTGTCCCGAAGGAGGGCCCTGCATAGCAGGAGCGGGGGGGAACTGGCCGTCCATACCGCCGCCGTTGATAGGAGTAGAGCCGTCGGGAAGGCCGTTGTTGGTCTGAGGGAACGACATTTCTGTTGATGTGAGCTTTTCTGACTGAGCAAATGTCGTGGGTTTTGTCAAATCGGGGTGATGACCGCTGACTGCGACGGTGGGACGTGTTCGAGTGTGATGAGGTCCAAATACTGCAAGAAGCAAGAACCTCAATGTTGGGAAGGAAGGATTGGAAGAGAACAGAAGTGGGAGATAGGGAAACAAGTCGGAGATGAAGGGTGCTGCAGAAGGGTGCTGCTTGGGAAGAAGGGGTTGGAGGGAGGGTGCCAAAGGTTTTAGGCTGTGAGCCGGGTTGTTGAGGGCAACGGAAGAAGGCAGAAGAAAGCAGAAGACGGGCCAAAACTTTGGCACGAGGAGTATCGTGCTGCTGTCAGCCACGGGATTGTGAATCAGTGCTATGTAGGGCAAGGGGTCCTCGGATGTTGAGTAGGGACAGACCTTTGTGCTCGGGATTAGAGCAAGAGCGTAGATGGTGATGGCCAGGAAGATTCAACATCGGTAGTGGTCAAGGACAAGAAGGGAATTCTGGAGAGCGTGTCCCGAAAAAAGGTTTTGTGTCGCCTTTTGGGCACTCTCCACTTTGGGAAAGATCGTGAGATTGAAAGCTGTTGGGTTTCAGGGGGCTCTGCAGAAACAGGCAGTCTGTTCGCAAGGCTGGCTAGGTTCGAAGGGGTTTGGGTGGAAGCAAAATGCCCGGCCGGGCTATGATGAAGATGGGCCTGTGGTCTGCAATGGAGCAGCCACAACTGAACAGTCTCTCTCTTCGAACCAATCCCGTATGCCCGAAGCTTGACCGTGATGGGACCCTGTTCGCACAGCTACAACACACTTGTGTGTGTATGGACTTGCCGCACCAAAACTGCATGGCGAATGCAACTCCAACTCAGAGCACCAAGACGGCAATGTAGATGTTGGGTTACGCAGTGTAGGGACATTACCCTTGTCCTAGGCCTCAGTACTTTCGAGGGCTCATTGAGTTGACACTCGACTGTCTTCCGTGCGTTCGCTAGGCCAAAAGAACGTGCATATGGTCATTGGTTACAGGGTTGGCAGACACAAAGGTCAGGGGAAGAATGTGAACACTTGAAGGCAAGAAAATGCAAATAAGAAAGAGATATCACTCACTGGTTGAAAGGTAAGACAAATCTGTGAAATTGACTCGATGTTTGTCTGCAGCAGTGTTAGTTCCAACTTCCAACAATCACTGACGGACAAAGCATATTGGTGGTGGGCACAAAGGCAAAAACCTCATGCAGTTCAGAACCTGGATTGTCAAGCCGTTCTCAAGTACTGTACGTGATTGTGCTCGAGGAGTGGTGGTGAAGGAGATGTTTGTGGTGTGCGAGAAGTACTGGACGTGTCTCGAGGAGTATTTGAGGATCCATGTAGATTGTCCGCGAGCGGGTCTCTGGTGGAAAAGGGGGTATGGCACAAATTCGAGGTCCTATCCTCTCAAAGAGGCGTGGGTGATGTTGCGTTGATGCAATCTGCAGAACTGTCTGCGCTCAGGGGAGTCCAAAGCCCATCCACAAGATGGCCGCCCGGAACGTATCAGGGGCTGTGGTGATTTGATTCAAGCAGAGCAGTTGAAACAATTGGGCTCATGACCTCGTGGCCTCGCAGCCTTGTCTTAGACAAGGTGGTGTGCCTGACCCCAAACCGCACAGACCGATGAAGGTGTGGCCATAGCAGTACACAGCATCAAGGAAAATGAATTCTGGTAAGAGGCAGAGGAGATCCAGAGTAGTGCTCGACACCCATCTCATGGGGTCAAGCGACTCTGAGCCATTGGCTCACCACTCGGCACCACCAATCTAGGAACAGAAGCAGAAGAAAACCATCAACATACCGGCAGGAACTTTGAAAATTGGTTTGCTTGAAAGTGATGCTCAAATTGCAAAGGAGGATACCGTGATGTCGTTCAGTGGGGATATGAAAGCTGCCAGGAATCAAAAATTAGCATTTCGGCAAGTATTGTGTGATGTTGCACGCCCCAGAACAACCCATAATGCAGTCAGGCCGGCAATAGCTCTGTACCAGAAGAGGGAAGCATTTCTCCTTATCCAAAGGTTATTCGAGCTCACACTTGCTGCGAGAGATGCCTCAAACGAAGGGCTCCAGTCATACGCATTCCGAGTGTTGGCAAAGACTGTAGGGCGCAGCAATTGGAGAATACCAAACCGGCCCTGGCGCCACAAGTGAGCTTGGCCAGCCCAAGGGGCCGTTCCCGTCCAGAGAAACTTGTGGTCTCGAAAGACAATGCCATGGCAAACGTGGGTAGGAAAATGAAACGAACGGGCCGGTACCTACCAGGATAAAAGGGGACGTGATTGAGTCCGTTATTGCCAAATGACTCCCGAGATACGAAATCAGCGACTTTTGAATACGTTGACGCCACACGCCTGGAAACAGACAGAGTCTTGTGCGGAAGACTTTGAGCGAGACAATGCTGAGAGACTCGAGTCGAGGGATGAGAGGCTGTGGTCAAAGAAGAGTACGATTACTCCCGGAAAATGTTTGAGATCAAGTTTTGGCGGAGGGTAACTGGAACGCTGTGTTAGTAAAGATATGTGGAAACACCGAGAACTCGACAGAATAAGAGCAATCCAGGAAAAGACGAGTGCGGATGTGTGTTCGGCAAGTAGCTATGTGTGCGAGTGGTTCCATAGAGTGGCAGTCCGCCACGTTGCAAGGTCCCGAGCTGTTGCCGGCTTATAAGATCCGTGAACTGAGCCCGAGGCCGCGGTGCCGAAACAACCCAACATGGTACAGCAGCAGAGTGCAATTCGAAAAGCCCCTTGACCTGCTTGGAGGTCGCCGCTCCGGTGCGCGTCGCCTTCTCAAGTGGCCAAGGAGACAAGAGGCGAGCCGACGACGAAGGGCCGTCAAAGTTGGAGGCGGTACGCAAACTACGCATAGCACCCCGATTTGGGCGGGCTACCCTCGTGGCCCGGTAACAATCAGACTGCCTAGAATCAAAAGGCCAAGGACGCGGAGCGACGGCTGCCGGGAATTCCCGCATACTGTGCTGTGCTGCGAAGTGGTCTTCAAAACCATGACGCCGTGGTGCCCGCTGAGTCTGGGTGTCGAAGGATGCTCGACTGGCCAAAAACCGAGTTAAGGGCCGGCGCACCATGTTGAAATCCAGAATATCGATGGCGACTCGTGGAGAAGCTTTCTGCGGCTAAGCTCGGAGAATACTTCGAAATTCGCGTCCATGTAACCGATAATCGCAGAAAAGAAGTTCGTGAAGGCACTCTGTCCCCGGGCTAGCACTTCCCCGCAGAGTCGCGTAGCTCGCTACCACATTCGAGCCTTGCGGCCGCCATTTCGTGGGCACTCACACCGAGGTGTATAGAGTCGCAATCAGGGATTTGTCTTGGTTCTGTCAACCTCGAGAACGGTCGGTGTCGAGGTATTGCTTGCACAGCCTTTCCTAACTGCTGGATACTGGTTCTTGCCTGGTCTGAGGCTGCCATCGGTCCCACAATCTTGTGTATTTTTTTGCAATTCTCCCAAAAACATCCGTAAGATTCCGTACATCATTTGCGACGCGGGATTGCTCCATGGTAGCAGCGCCTCTCCCCACCCTCGAGGGTCCGACATCGTTCCCAGGCGGGAAACATGAGGGGCGAAGTCGAGATGGTCAAGTATCGCGCCCAAGCAGGAGTACGTCGCGCAGGGCCCCTTGGCATATCCTTTGAGCTCGATCGGCGGGGTGAATCTGGGTCGGATCTCGCGAATGCGCAGACTAGGCTCCACATATCCAGGGCTGTATAGAGAGCCAGGTCCATATCTCCGGGAATTTTGTGATGACGCACACACAAATGACACGGGCAGAAGAGGACAAAAAACGCGACGAAACTATGGAAAGGCTCACCTTGGCTGTTGGACAGCAAATCAAGCAGTCTGCTGCGCCGAGAACGAGATGGAACGTGACAGATGATTCAACTACCGGTGTGGCAGAGAGGTGGACAGACAGAACTCCTCGGGTATGTTGGCCGAGACGAAAATAGCCTTCGTGATTCTTGTTGGAGGGATATTGAGTCGGTCCGGAAGATTGCGGCTCTCGGATGCGTATGCGCAGGTTCGAGGCGAGCTGAGACTGAGAGGCGCGGAGGATGTGTCGCAAAAGCAGTGCGGGCAGTGGAATGCGCCGGTTCGGATACTACGGCTCGCGGTCGGATCGAAAGTCGTAATAGCCGCACAACGTGGATCGGATCTCTGTGGAACTGCGCGAGGGCAAGCTCGTAAGCGTCTCGGTCGTTGTAGTTTTGGACTTGTATTGACCCGAAAATGCTCAAGGCGCGGCAGGGTAAATGGTCACGGCGAGGAGAAGCCTGTCGCACAAAGGGCGCAAATCAGGGCACGAGAAGAGGATGATGATTTGATCTGATGAATTTTGCGCCAAGGGGGATACGGTCGACAAAAGGCAACAAGGACAACACACAAGGCACAAAAAGGATGCTTGTACAAGCAACGCTCAGGGCGGAAGACGGATCGCGAGACGAAAGATTGCACAACGAGAGGCGGTCGTGATGATGATGAGGTGGAGGTGGGGGGAAGGAGAGAGAAGGGAGAAGAAGGGCGAAGACAGGAGGAGGATAGAGCCGGCCGGGAGAGGGGGAAGTAAGTCTGGTGGCAGTGGCCGTGTGTGAGAGTGTGTGTGTACCTGGGATGATGGTCCGGTCTGGTCTGGTCTGGTCGTAGCCCAAGGGAGTGAGAACACGACTTCTCGAGTGACTGAGCAGAATTAAGCGCACGACGGAGGCTTTTTTGCGCGTGCCAGGAGCAACCAAGCACAGCTAACTAAACGTAACGGAGGTCGCTAAGAGCCTGACGGACAAGGAAGGGAAGGCACAGCTCGGCAGATGCTACCCAGGTTGAGCCTGCAAGCGCGACACGGACAAGACGAGGCAGCGCGAAAAAGACAGCCAGCGGCCAAAAGATTGACGAAACAGTGCAAGAACAGGCAAGGAACAGGAGCAGAAGGAGCAAGCAAGAGCACGAACGCACAAGCAAGCAAGCAAGCAAGCAAGACGGACCGGTGGTGGGATGGTGGGAAGCCGGAGCGGAAGAGTAAGAAAATCTCTTGAGCTAAAAACTGGATGGGACGCCTCCAGGATCATGGATTATGGACGGGCACCTCCCCTGCCCGCATGTACATGTACATGTTCCCTGTCCACCCTGCTGCCCTGCCCTGCCGGGCCCTGCTGCACGGGCACCGGCCTACTGTGGTACCCAGGTACAGTGTGTCTGGTATATACAGTGCAGGACCGCACATCTGTCCGGACCCGGGAAGCAGGCATGGGCAAGCTCCTGCAGCAGGCTGTCCAGCAGCTGCCGTCGCCGTCGCAAATAGCTGCATCCGTGCCGTCGTTGTATGTATGTACCTTGGTAGATATGTACGTCAGTGTGTAGGCTATATGTTAAAGATTCTGGCTGGTGGCCGGGCTCAGTACAGCGTCAGTCGGTGTCATCAACAGTAATGGGGGTCAAGTCGAATCCCACAAATTACGCATCTACCCGCTGGACAGTCATCAAGTACTATTGTGGTATGATTCCAGCAATGCGGTTCCTGCAGCCTGCAGGATGACACAGCACAGTGCGCACAGAGCACCCAGGTTGTCGAAGTGCACTGTACAGGTCAACGCAGAGGCAGGGAAGGAACGCTGGCAGGCTGGCAAGGTGAGGCACGGCGAGAATGATGCACATTGCACAGCCGCACGGGTCCCAAGCCAAAGGGTGGAGACGGCGACAGTGCGTGAGACGAAGAGGAGGCAGAGAGGGGGGGGGGCGAGGTGAATAAGACAAGACATGACAATACAAGGGAAAAGTGAAGTCACTGCGCGCTGCATTCCTGCCGCATTCAGACTTTTGAGGATCGTCGCTCGTGGAGCAGGAAGGAAGCAAGCAGGCCGACAGGGACCAGGATATCTGTCAACCGGCATGGGAAAGAGCCACCCTGATGACGGAGCACAGTAGCGGTACAGTGGATGGGTACAAGCGTGGGAGGGGCAGCTGGCCCTGATCGTTAACATCCAGACGGCCAGATCTGTCGGTGGCATTGTTAACGGAGAGCATTGCATGCCTCCTAGTCTGCTGTACCCCGAGCTGGTCATCTCTGTACCTAAATACTACTGTGTAGGTACCTAGACACCGAGGTAGAAATGTGCTTGGGAGAGCTACAGTATCGAGCTATCCTAGGGTCTCATCCATGGGTCTTGTCCACGGGTCGAGATTCTCGATACTGTCTTCATTTATGATCACGATGTGCCAGCCAGCAAGGCGAGCCAACAGCCGGGCTCCTCCCACGATTAACTCTCGACCTAGAAGCATGCCATCAAAGCTTCTGAGCCGCCCCAACAGCCCAGCCCGCCAGCCCTGGCGCGTCAGTGGTCAGATTCGGATGCACGGCCGTTCAGCTTTACCACGATGATCCAAGTCTCACGCGCGCGAAGCTACCGTCAGCGCCATGCCCATGACCAGCCCAGGCCGTGCTGCTGCGTTGCCTTGACTGGGCCTAGGCACCCGGAGGAATCGATCTTCAGTCGCGACGGCAAAACACATTCGTCGCAAGAGGCTTATCACGAGCCAGCTGGCAAGTCCCGGCCCTTTGACAATCATGTATTGCCCATCATTAGCCACGAATCCTCTGACGGAGGCAGAGACTGTAAAATACAGTCCTCGAGAGCACCCTGCCGAGACATCTCCCTCGAAGCCGGCGTCGCGAACAAGAAACGAGACGGAGATCTGGCCTTGCCACACGGATACCGGGCGACCGGCCTGCCTGCCACATCCGTTGTGAGCAGCCCAGGTCCGAGTGCGTTCTTCATTCGCGGCGCGGCAGGCAGGCAGGCAGCCTGCAATAAAGAAAGAGCACGAAAATATGGTTGCTTGCACTCCAGCTGAAGCGGGCTGCTGTCGCGAAACGACCTTGGGAAGAATCGGATGACCCCTTCTTGACATCCCGACCACCAACTCCAACTTGCACTCCAACACACCATTCCTTCACGGCCGAAACCAACCAGCTACCATGCCAAAAACCCAAGGGTGTGTGCCTCACATGCAAGTGATTGCCGTCCGGCCCATGATTCAAAATCTGTTGGCCTCGCAAATGCAGCCACCCTTGCTTCCAAACCCCTGACTGGAAGAGCTCGCACTGACCAGGCATATTCTGCCACTGAATAACACTGTGATACTGTACCCCGTACGCCCTGTGTCCCCGCCGCCCTGTTGGGCCTGTCAAATCACAGCCAGATCTGGCTGGGCATCTGAAGGCGGGTCACGAATGGGGGATTTTCTCTTGGGCTTCGGGTTGCTGCCCTATGAATTGCCCCTGCGCCGGCGTGTGCTGCCTCTTCTCTCTCGCACCCCTCCAGCCTCTCGGGCCCGATGCCCGTTCAGCCAAATTTCAGGGGCCGGGGCCTGTCGTGCATCTGTGGCATTGCATCATCATCTGATGGATAGATGGATAGCTGCCACAGCTTTGCCCTCCTCGCAACGACCTCCCTCCCCCCTCCCCCCAGATGCTCCGGCACGTCTCTCTGGCGGGCAAGGTTGCACAAGCGTGCATACCGAGCCGATTCATCTGGTCAACGTCAATACTGTGCAACACCGCGTCTACGGTGGCTTCGCATGGCGCCAACTATCAGCCTCGAAGGGTCAATCTCCGTGGAATAATGCGCATCCTTGCCCATTGCATCGACAAATAAGAGGACGTTCATCCAATGCCTTTTGGCAGCGACAATGCCAGCCACCGACCGGAGAGCCGCTGGCCCAGTCCGGTGGAGTCTTCTCTGAATCGAGACCCCCCAGCCTAGACTGACAGCCATTTCTCGTCGATTGTCAGGCTTCGCTAGCCTTGGCGACCACGAGAAATCGCAGGATTGCTGACAATATTTGCTGGGCCTCGCTCGGGCTGTCAGAACATCGTGCACTGTATTTGGGATTCCCAATTGGCTTCCGACCAGTTGGTCATGAGTGGCCCTACTGGCGCAACGACAGGGTATTTACACAGTGATGGTCAGTGGACTTAGCACCTGGGGTGGTCCGTCTATTTCAAGACGCAACCGGAGCATCCAATCAGCTCGTCAGTTTGCCAATTCTTGACCTGGCTTTAATAGTACTGTACACAATGTCGCTCAACACCCGGAGTTCCCTCGGGCCCAACAATGGAATTTTTCCCACAATGGTCACGCGTGACCGGCCACAACCGAGTCAGCAAACTTTGCGCCGTTTGCTGCACCGTTCCAACCCTCCTTGACACTAGCGAAAAAGATGCCACCTGTCAATATTGAGGTGACAAGGATCGCGATATGCCCAGTGGTGAGTATCAAGGGCCTAACAACTCAAGAAGGAATTGAGGGACATGTAGTCGAACAATCAGGAGCCTCTTGAGCACTGGAGGGGTTCAGATCGCCAAAAATCCCCGCGACGCCAACAAGACGCGATGGTCCCGGATCGACGTGGATCCTAGTCAAATGCTGCTTGGGCCATCCAATGGCATATGCTCCAATTTGCTCTTTGCGGCCATGATGAAGATGCTCGTCAGCCAGGCGGGCCTGATGATTCCAGATGAACAGACTCTATGCGAGTCATATTGCCGAAGGTTCACGATGATTTGCCCTCAAAACGCATGGGGATGCGTCAAACTTTTCCTCGGTGCCTTTCCAACCGGTTTTTCTGTCACATCATCTCGGACGTGCAGGGCTTGAAGCTCCACGGACCAAGTACCAGTTGATCCAGCGCGATTCATCTCGATCTTCGCCGATTGCCGGGTTGTCTGAGCTCCTGCACTGTGCTCTCGTGGCCGCCAGCGACGTACAGTCAGTCACATGGCTCGCAGGTGTTCGCAATCCGAAGAAAGGTTTCAGCGTAACTCCATTTGTGAAGTCGGCCCTCATGCCGTCACCAGGCCGGACCCATCCACCGTGCCGGGGGATCCGGGCGGGTGAGCGGACCAATGCGTGGGATCGACCTCGGTCCGGCACAGGTTGATCTCGGCCCATGACAAGTTCTCCAGGGACTGCCCAGCGACAGTGCTGAGCGACCGTTCTGTTTAATCAAGGTTGTTTAGACGGTGGTGAGGAGCGCTGTGTTATACACGCTGCTCCCTGCTCCAAGACATCGTGGAACTTGTCCATCAGCGCGGCACCCCCAGCCACACTGCCCACATCGGAGCTCTCCATGCCAAAACAATATCCTAAAGGCATTCGCGAAAGTCAGCGTCGTACTGGGAAAGTAACCACCCTTCCCAAAAGATCATTCGCCCCTGCATGCCTGCAGGCTGCAATATGCACAGTGATCCTCCAGCTGCACGTGCGGCAAGTCGCACCGTGGATCTATGCCCCCTTGTCGGGCCTGCTGTGAGGCGGCAGTCGGCGAATCTTGACTACGAGGCCCGAGTATAGATTCGTCGAGGACCTCAAGTCTGGCGGACGAACCAGTGCGTTTCAGAGTGGACTTTAATAACAGATCATCGGTTCATCACGCAAGACTGGCAGCAACACGTGGCAGTTTGAGGGACACTGATAATTCTCCTATCCCTTCTCTTCCATGCGCTCGCGCCCGTCCTCTGCGCTGGCGCGTACATACATCGCTGTCGTGCGCGCGCGCAGGGACCTCCCTCGCTCCATACCCGTCAACCTTTGGGGGGCACACATGGGTTTCTGGACACATCACCGTCCCATCGATGTGCTGTCTCCTGGGTCGACGCTGGCTATCTTTTGATGGCTATCTGCCTGCTTCCCAGGTCACGACCACGGACATTGCGAGCCACCCGGATTGCCTCGGCCTAAGCGGTGGCGCGCTGGCAAAGAGTCATCACAACAGTCACGCCCGGATCCAAGGCTCGACAACCCGGAGCGCTCGAGACACCCCGACCCGAGTCGGGCAGCAGGGCGCGGGGCGGTGCAGGCTGCCATTTCCACACTGCCACCGTCGCATCCCCAAGGGTCAGTTTCACCCAATTCATCGCCCTGTTTAGCGGGCAGCTGGCCGTCTCTTTTCTGAGCGCCGAGCACCACCCACTCTGGCGCGGATTTCTTCGCCCTCCCACGTCTGCCCCAGGGAACATCGCAGCGTTGTGACCCCAGTCATCATATCATCATAGTTACGTGCCACTCGAAGACGGTAGCCCGGATCCCACCGCGCGACCGAAACCTCCCAAATGGGGTTGTCTCGGCCGGGTCACGCTGAGCCCATAGTCTAGCTCATCGTTCTGGATGGCCTCTTGCGCAGTGACTGCATGCGTCCCCACGATTCTTGCAGGAAGAGCGGCAGCTGCTCGACATCCCACATGCAGGCGCGCAGCTGAAATTCCTGGATCTAGACCTGTCTAGCGTGGCAGGCCGGCTTGAAGCTTTACCACCCCTTGCGCGCCACCTGCAGCATGCGAGACATCCACTCTATCTGATGCTGTCGCGTTGCCGGCTAGCCCTCGTGAGGCTCACCTGCAATGAACGAATATTAATGCTAGACAAGTGGAATGACAGTGCCGGCTAATGGGCCCACCGTGTCCTCGACACGAAGGTCAATTGGGAGACTCGAGATTGCCACAGGCTGAAGACGGATGAACTGGTTTCCTCGGACTGGACGGACTGTCATCGTAGCCAGGTAAAGCCCTGGATTACAAGAGCAGCCCTCCATGAGGCCTTGGCTAATTATCCGGGGCTCCCGCGTATCTCGTCTCGGCAACTGCCGATGATGGTGAGCACACCCTTGGACGAGGCCAGTACACAGGTAAGTGCCGCTCATGTCACCGAAGGGAGAGGGAGGAGTGCTTGGCGCGCAGCAGGTTGGCCTTCGAGACCAGCTCATGATGGGTGGGAAATCACCTTCGTATCGGTGAGACGACTCGAAACGGGCAAATGGCTGTCTCGTGGTTCACCAGCACATGGCACAGGACAGGGCACCGCATGTGCTGTGGTCGGCGGCAAAACACTTTGGTGAGCTCCTGATGTCTGTCTGTTGGTACACTGGATTCGACTCCCGGGACTGTTGACATGAACGTTCTGGAACGTTGAGAATTCGGCCGTCCACCACATGTCCAGATGGACAGAGACACTTGTTTTGTCGTATTTTGGGCAATCTCTAGAGCCCAGTCTACAGCTCTCACCCCGTTCGCCTCTCGTCCCTGATTCACATAACGGAGACGAGGTATGCGGAGCCGCCCTCAGCCAGTGGCAAGTCGTGCGAGTGTCTGCTGCCCTCGGTAACAGAGCCCACTTGCTTCCTCGTGTCTCCTATGTCATCACTGTGCCAGTGCTTGCCCGTGGCCTAGATATCAAGGTGTCCTCGGGAGATGGAAATCTTCGTCACAGACTTCAAAAATGGGCTCGTCGGCCAACGTTCTCTACTGGTTATACGATGTTGATGGAAACACGACAAAGATGAAGAACCTAAATCTGGAAAGCAGCATTGGGAGAACAGGTGTCTGCCCTCCAGGGCTCAAAGAGTAATCACGTGTTTGACGGCCGCTTCATTCCGCTGGCGAGAACGCAGTAGTTACGAATCTAGTAATCCACTTGGAAACCGCTAAACCTAGAATAGGATCAAGTCTCTGTGTTCTGCACTGTGATAATGCTTAAAATGCCGGTAATCGTCAGTACCTGCAACGTACACTTCCAAGAACAATCACAGTCACGGTTTGATCACTTTGTCATGCTTGACGAAGAGACTCCTACGATGACCATGACAATTTAGCGAATCTTTTCCCACATGTGGATGTTTCAGGGCAAGCAAGGACATATAAAATAGTTCCCATATTTTCTGATTCCAGGGCGAAGCTAATGACTATTCTAATCACAGAAAGACAACATGACATGTTTGATGTCGGTCGTGACAATCTCGAGCCCAATCTCGCCTCACTCCATAAGCCTAGAAGCTTAGCAATACGAGCCCTCGTGTGCTGGCTCTCATGTCGGATGGACCACACGAAAGCTCTGCTTCCTAGATTGACCGTCGGTTTAATTCCACCATGAGGGACCTCGCTTATTCATCCTGCTTTCCGTAAGCATTGCTGTCAGCCGACCACGGAAATTCAAGAGACCTCTTGCATGCAAGCATTCAGATCAGAGTTTGAGTGATCCACGCCGTCGGTCAGCTCATCCACATGGTCCTTATTGGTGCCACATGTCGGCCAATTGAGGCGAAGACGTTCAAGTCGGCTGATTCAGCGAGCTTCATGGTCGCGAGAGGGCAGTGGTGAACTAGAAACAGCTCGCAGTGATTGTAGATGATCAGTATCGATCTGGGCTGCAGTGTTGATATTTTGGACTAAGCCGTTGGCGGCGTCGACTTGGTTTGGCGTGCTGTTGGACGAAGACTCAACCTGCGAAATTTGACGCTGAGCGATGGGACCGACTGAAATGGCACGAGGGCCAGCAAGATACGGCCAGCACGAATTTTGCAGACTAGGCATGGCCATTCTCATAGCCTTTGGTTCTGCAGGCACCCCACGAAGTCCTTTTGGCTCGGTAGGAATGGTGCAATGGGATTGTTTAGGCGCTGCGGAGGTTTCGCGGGCAGGAATCTCGTCGACGGATGAACCTGGGGATATAGGAATCAGCGAGATCACTCAACTCCAGGGTCTTTCCCTCCTTGCGCATCTGAACCAGGGGCTGATTAGATGGGCACTCAAACGGCTTACAAAATTGAATGTCCCCCATGGGCTTGCTTTTGCCTTGTCCTGTCAAGGCTACTTGAGTGTCTGTGACGCCGTCTGGCTCTCGGGAAGGTGAGTGGAAGTAGTTCGGAGAAGCCTTGGGATGGTTAGAGACATGGATTGATGCCGGGTGAGGTATTGGACGCGGGTTCTTGCTAACCTCTTGCCTTTCCTCAGTCTCACGCTGAGCCTCAAGAACGCCCCCAAACCGCTCGATGGTGATTCGCAGTTTCTCAATTTCTTCGATTTCCCCGCCAACGGTGCTTTCCTCGCCCCGGTCGACGCTGTCTTGAAGCCGATTTCCAAGTCGTCGGAGTTGCTCCCGAAGCTTGTGGAGCTCTCCGATAGTAATCGCGCTCGGAGGCGGTAGAGGGTTGAACGCCTCAACAGAGTCTCGCTTACCCCGGTGTAACGACTGAGGCAGCTGCTCACCCACCTCCGTGAAAATCTCAGGAGTTGAAAGCTTCGGCCTTTTTGCCATTTGGACCTCCTGGTCAACTGCCGACAGAAGGTGCTTCTCACGGCGACGAAACGTAATACTCTTCGGCTGCCCGTCAAGCATGACGAGATCGCTGTCTTCGCTATCACCTGAGAAATCTTCAAGGATGCGTTGGTCGGTCAGCCCGAACGGGAACACTTCAGCTTGCGCACCATGTACTTGGGGCTGAGTGTCTGTGGGGCTGTCCTGCTCCAGTGAAGGAGAGGGAGAGCGCACATCTTCAAGCTCTCCTCCTATTGCCAGCCACTGATTTTGTGTCTGAGAATCAGGGTTGTCGTGGCACGTTTGGTCCCTGAGCTCCTTCAGCCCAGCACTAAGGGCAAGCGTTCGCTGGAACAGGGACGGCTGGGGTGATGCTAAACTCTTCAGCACGGCTGATATGTCCTGTTGCTCAAGGCCCATGTCATGTAGTGCCACGCAGGTCTTCGGGAAGCTCCTGGCCACACTCACTGTTTTGCCTGACTGCTCTGATACTTCGGAAGGTGACATCTGAGGCCATGATACTTGGCTCTTCGAATGGGGAATCTCGATAGATACGGGTGAGCTTGTTGTATGATTTTGTTTGATGACTGGGAGCATGCCCTCGAGAATGACCCGTTCGAGAAGATAACCGATGTCCATGAGTGTGACAGTGTCTTCGGTAAGCACAATGTCTGCTGAATTGTCCGTGAGCTTGCATGCATCTCAAGGTCGGGATGAATACCTCTGTTCCTTCATTATTACATACCAGTAGAAACACGAGCTTTGCGAGCACCGGAGGCAGTGTCGAAGAACTCGGCCCCGATTACTCGGTTGCCTTGATGGTAAGGACGGGCTATCACCAGTCTCCGGTTGAGTTGTTCTCCCTCTGACTCACCGTCATATACCTCTTTGTTGTTTGAATACTTCAGCGGCAGGGACACACTTTGGATCAAGGTTTTGTTCTTCTTTTTTGACGGCCAGGAGTTTCGGTAGTGCTTAACAAGCTTCTCGTGGAGGTCATCACAAGCTTTCTTGCTGACTTCTGCCACTGGCCCTGCAATTCGGGAGAGAAGGTAGTTGTTTCGGTCTTTTAGAATGCAAAATGCATTCCAAAACAAAAGCATATTCTGAACAGAGAAGTCAACCACAATGTCTAGACGCTGCAGCATAGGGATGGCCATGTGTTTGTTCCCTTTCCAGGAGAAATATGTGAAGTTTTTTGAGGAGTTTCTGAGCCGGAAAATGATGCGTCCGCATGCAGGCACCGTCTCAAGGAATTTCGAGAACTCTTGGCCCTGGAGACGTGGCGACCTCATAAACAACATAAGCTTGGAACTTTGGGAGACGAAGTCGGTCGGTGAGCCTTGAATGTCCGTAATCCACTCCCGCAGCTCATCGCTTTGCTCGACGCTTGATACATGGCCAGCTGAGGGGTGGTATATTTCCTGGTCATCCCGAAGTTTTGTGGATGTATGGCCAGCGTTCAATGAAATTTTGCCGAGGCTTGGCACAGGTGACTTCATGCCCAGAGAAATGGGCACGATACATTGCTTGATGCACCAACAGAGAAACAGGGCTAGCCTGGTGAAGACGAGCCTGTCTTCAAAAAGGACAATTTCTTCATCTGCGTAATGATTAGTAGGTGTGTGTGTGTGTGTGTGTGTGTGTGTGGAGGGAGCAGTTGCTACTAAGATCAAAACATGAACACCAGTACAGAGGGCGCACTAACCCTTGTCTTGACGAGTTGTATGAGTGTCGCTTCCGACATCGAAGAACGTCACGCCATTGATACTACCACTGGTGTCGTAGCATGGCCGAGCAATTAAGAGCCTCTTTGGAATCACCGAGATGTCAGCATCGGCAGCGAAGAGAGAAGAATTGACCTTTTTCGTGCCAAATTTGTCAGACACCACGTCTATATGCCTCTTTGTTGGTTCCTGGGAGAAACGGTCATATAGAAAGGAAAGCTCGGCGGCGGTAAAATCGGCTCCAGGATCGGTATTTCTTTGCGGCAGAAGCCGATCGTTTGTGTCCTTGAGATAGCAGAATGCTTTACCCATCAGCGCAACATTTGAGGGGGTCATCTCTATGATCACGTCGTCCTTGTGTAGATTCCGTGTGGTAGAGGTGACCGCTGTGAAAGGTCGACACTCAATTTTCCCAACGTCGTGTTTGTCTCTGAACAACAAGCGCGGGTCGTGCTTAATTTTCATGAATGACCGAATCTTGTGTCCGAGGCTCTTGAAATTCTTTTTACTACACCCGTTGCTGGTGATCCATTCCTGTCGGTTGAAATGCGATGTGGACTGCGAAGAGCTCGCGACTTTGATACTGATGCATGCCACTCTTCCATCCGCATCAACCTCCTTTTCGACAACCTCTTGGGGCGCCGAGGGAAGGTCTGGGTCGAAACGACTTCCGGCTTCCTGTGGGCCTTTCCAGAGAAGAGTTTCTCGCTGATCGTTGTTGGGCTTAAGTGTGCCCTCGCTGAGGGCTGACCAAAGCTCCTTGGTGGCATCTCGCCAGCTTCGAGTGTATTCTTCGAGCTCGACCAGGCGTTGATTGTAAGCTCGAACCAGCTTCTGCTGGTGCTCCTCGACGCGAGCGTTGAATGCATTCTGCAATAGGCCTCCGACCGTTTCGTTCTTCAACAGGAGGGCTAGAGCCTGGTTGTCGTTGAGCGCGTCCAGGCCCACAGACGGGGAAGGCTTCTGGGGCGGCGGAGAAGCTTTGGGCTCACTGGTGACATTGCGAGCTGGGATTTCTGTGTGGGTTTCTGCCACAGGAGAATGGGCAAGTCTTGGCAGAAAGGCCGACGAGGGTATGCTGGGTAGCTTGCGACTGGCGCTGACGGTAGATTGTAAGCGTATGCATGGTGGAGGATTCCGTTGGGCCCACGTACCTCTTTCGAGCTGATGGCTGTCCAAAGACAGGCGCATGCACTGAGTTGTTCCTGGCCAGCATCCAGGCTGGGATGCCAGACTGGGATGGGGTCTGGCAGGCGATCGCATCCGTGGAAGGCCTGAAGCCGATCTTGCCAGTGCCTCCGTCTTTTGGGCCATCGTCCTCGTCCATGGTGTAGATCTTGTTGACGTAATTGGCGGGAAGTCGCAGAAAGGTTGGCCGGGAGGTGATGGAAGAACGGTGGTGGGAGAGGTGTAAACACGAAGGCCTACAAGGTTGGTAAACAGTGAGGCAGAGGACGAGACTGCAGCGGAGAATGGGCCCAAAACAAACTGCAGTGTTTTGCTAAGAGGTGGCAGGGATGGAAGGGGCAGTGACTCCCAAGAAACTGGAAAGCAGGTGCAGCCCAGGTTCTGTCTGGTTGCAGCAGGTGAAGGCAAATGGTACGCCCCCCCCCCCGACAAGGGGTATGAGGCAGCTCAGCGAGGGGCCGATGCTCATAGGAAACCTCCCACGGCTGTTTGGTTCCCAAATCAATGGTCCGCTGCCTGACTAACTTGTGCAAAGCCCAAGTGAACAAGCCTCAATGCAACAGGACTTGAAATGGACGACCTCCTCATCAAAGCATTCTCTGCCACTGATTTAGTCCAGAGGCTATGGAATGGCAGACTGGACCTTGGCTTAGGTGCTGAGCCTAGAGCTTTGCATGCATCAGAGGAAGGCCCACCTGAGTGATTTGGTCATGTACAGGTTGCGAGGAAATGGAGAAATAAGGGAAGCAGAATCTTGCCTCAGATCTAAAGTGCAGCATGTGCCTGCCAGTAGTTTTGGCTGACAATGACCATGATTTGTGCAAGGCTTCTAATGCCTGTACTACCGAAGAGTGGCAAGCGCAGTAAACGACAAGCTGAGCACCTGCTTTATCTTTATATAGACCTGTGCATGTCTTTACCCGGCTTCAGTCGCTCGAGAAGTTTTAACAGCCATCGTTCTGTGCACATGCTACTTACTTCCAAGGTTGTGTCTAGGACCTGGAATTATGGGAGTAAACTTAAGAAATGTACAAAGAATGCGTACACGTGTCACAGAGACTCTAAATTCGGAATTGATTCGCTGCATCAAAGAATTTCAGAGCATGTCTTGTCCATTATCATCTCCATCAAGACTTGGCTACTTCCGAACATGGGCAGCACAAGCCATCCCATAGGTACCACGACGCCGTACTAAGGAAACCTGCGAGCACCAACTTCCATTTGCCGGAGAAAAGGCAACGACTTGTCTTGTTACCCCAAAGAGAGAATCAGCATCGATCAACAAAGCCCGCTAAAACGTATGCCCATGACCCCACAAACACCGGACGCCTTGCTGAGCCATCAAAACATCAGTTGGGAAGACGCTGATGTGATCATCCACCTCAAATAACCAGGCTTGCCATACCCTCCAAAGCCGAGAGTGTCCTACTGAGGCTGGGACCTGTGGCGAGGAGACTGCTCCTGCTCGGGACCGGGACGAGGACTGAAGGCAAACTCGTCCAGCAGCCAGTCCATCATCTCCTCATCACCGGTAGAGCCACCAGCTTCCTGGTGAGAAGGGCCGGCAGGGGCGATCTGGTTACGAGCAGCCTGCGTGGTGAAGGCTGCAGACGTGCCACCAGTGGTACGCCCTGCAAGACGGGCACTCAGAGCCGCCTCCAAGAGGGCATTGTCGTTGGCTAGAAGGGCCTCGATGGTGGTAAGACGAGCCGCGTGGGTGCGAGCCACTTCGTCATCGAAGTGCTGACCACGGCCAGACTCATCGGCATCGTGATCAACGCTGAGGGCAACAACATCGTCGAGAGCGGAAGAGAAACCCTCGGGGTATGCAGAACTACCAGCAACTGCAGTCCCGGTCTCTTCCTTGACGGAGGTCTCTATAGCTTCCAAGGCAGCCTGATTGACAGCAGCGTCAGCAGCGTCGGGGGAGACGAGCACCTGGGATGAGGTGGGTGTCTGGTCATGGCCAGTGGCCATATCTGCCGACTGCCCTGGAGAAGCCTGGCCGGGATCAGATCCGGCGACGCCAGCAGTCGATGAGCTGGGAGAGTTCCAGCTACGACTGGCGTCAGCAGGGCCCTCAGTAGCCTCAACACCAGGCTCCGCCTCAGCAGCGGCAGCGGCAGCGGCAGCGGCAACGGCACCCTCAGAGCCTTCAAAGCTGGACATGTTCTCTTGAAGGGCCTCGTGGTATGCACTGGGACACTCAACGGTGCTGAGAAGCATGGCAATTTTGATGGCCAGGACCCTCTCTGCGAAAGGATCGTTCTTGATCTTGGGTGCCGAGGGTGCCTCCTTGGCGGCCACGTCGCTCTTTGCCATGTTCTTGGCCGTGGTATCATTCGCGACGTGGTTGCTGGCGTCCTTCACAGAGCTATTCGCGGAGGTCGTCTCCAAGGTCTGGATTTCTTCTCTGCAGGCTTGGTGGCATCATTCTGGGGGTTCTAACATGAAGATCAGTCAGAATCAGATTCTCAAGTCCGTCGTGTTGTCACAGCAGCGGAAGCGGTCATGGGATCCATACCAACAAAGTGGCAGCACGCGACTCTTTCAGAGGGCTGGGAGGCCCATAAAGATCCTCCTCGCGTCGTTGATCATCCTGTGCGATCTCTTCGGCGGTGAATGAGAACTGCGGGACTTCACCAGTGTCGTCGGGGGATTCACGCGTATAATTGGGGACTTTGGTGTCGTCCTTTGGATCTTTCCCTTGCTCCTGTGCAAAGCTCTATCGGGCATATAATCAGCATCGAAGGATTGGCCATCTGGGCCTTTGAGGCCATCGTGATAAATGGAGAGTCAAGTCAGTGAGACACTGGGGGAATAAACTCACCTCCAAGCTGTTCTGGAGGGCTTTGGCGAAGGCCATGTCCTCAGCTACTGCGGGGTCCAGATCTTTCAGGTCCTCGTCCCCATCCTTGTCCTCATCGTTGGCTTTGTAAGGGTGGGCCATTTCGAGGTCGAACTGATTCGTGGGAGGTTTATTTAACAAGGGCACGGGCAGGATGTGGGAGGCAGGTGAATGTTCCTGACTGTGAAAGATCGATGGAATGCCAGAAAGGGGATTCTCAAGGAGCAATCCAAGTCAGACGGGAGAGATGGAGGCGCGTCACTGAATAACAACACGCATGGACTCAGTGGCGTGACCTGCTTCGTCGTGTTTGTCGTCATAACTCAATGCCCCGCACACGAAGATATGGAGAAAAGGAGGCAAACGAGTTATCCAGAGTCGAGACTGGGCCTGCATGAGTTTGCATATAGAGGGTCTATATCTGGGTGGGCATTCTTAGACAACAATGCTGCCACAGGCTATACAGGCACAGATACTAAGAGTATGGTACTCAAAGGCAAAGCTATTGCTGTCACGGCCAATCGAGGGATAGAAAATATTGAGGATGCAGTACGCTGACCAGAGACCAACCTGCACCTCAAAGAAACAATACACTATAGGTCAAGGACTCGATGCCAAAACTTCTTCTAGGCATCTCCTGATACGTAGAAGAGGACGTGAAGCTGGGGAATAAGAGTGGTGCAAAGAGACGCATTATTTGACTGCGGAAAATACAGGGGCAAAGAATTTATGCAAACGAAATCAGTCTGTGTCTTGAAATAGACCTCAGACTGTTATAGAACAGCCTCTTCAGTGCTCAAGAGTCCGAAGCCAAGGGCTCAGGAATGGGAACACGGAAGCTCCAAAAGAAACCTGTAGCACAGCATCGAGAACTGGAGAAGAACGAAGGAGATGGGCATAGTGGCTAGCATAGGTGCCGCTAGCTCCACATATGGCGGCTGGCACGAGGACTCTGGCCCTTCATCTCAACGTGTATTGGAAGAACACCAGAGCACATGGTAACCACTCCCAAAAGTTAGCGGATCATGAAACTCGGACAGTGGCTCATCAGCCAGGCCAGCACTTGGTTGTGTCCACTTAACCGATGACCTCCTGAACTGATGGTCTTTCAGACCGCACAGCGATTCTTAATCCGCATGGCTAGAATGTCTTGACACAACCAAGCTACCTGTTCTGCTTTACTTCTGACTTTAGGACGGCGCCACCGTTCTCGTTTTCATCTGCGGTCTTCTCGACGTGATTGGGACGGAGAACGGCAAGTCAGACAGTAGAGGCAGGCTAGGGGGAGCCCGAGTGAAAGATCAAAGCAAGAGAATGACTGAGGGTATCTTTAACATTAAAGCAAGTAAAAAATGAGTAAGCACCCACACCATCTGAACGCCATACCATGCAAAAGAAACAAAGAGCCGTGATGTCGTGGGACGGAATTGGGATCGCAAGGAATAATCAGAACTGCGCCCGCCGTTTCCTTCCAGTATACTTGGAAGTGGCCTTGACGATCTTGCCCTTGCGCTCCATCTGCTCCTTTTTCTTGACAATCCAAGCCTTGCTGCCCTTCTTGATGTCACCCTTGCCGTTCTTGCCCTGCCTCCTCGAGTCCTGGACGTCCACGCCGTCCATGCCCTTCACGACCCCCGTGATGTCGCCGCTGGTGCCGCCGACCGTGAGCACCAGATACAGCTTGACGTTCTTGGTCTCCGGGTCGTCCTCGAGTATACCCGCGCCGAAGCCCGCTTTGACCGCGGCCTGGGTGATCATGTGCTTCTGCTTGTCGTTCTTGGGGTAGAACTGGCACACGGCCTTGCCGCCCCTCTTCAGGCTGGCGTACAGCCCGTTGAAGAACCTCGACAGCCTGCCCTCGGGGCTCGTCTCGCTGCTTTCGGCGTTGCAGAGCCACTGGATGGCGCTGATGCTGATTGCCGCGTCGAACGTGCCCGCGCGGAACGGCACGCCCTGCCCTATGTCGGCGAGCAGCAGGTCGCCCTCGACGTCTCGCTGGAGGGCCACGTCCAGCATGGACGGTGAGACGTCCATGCCGACCCAGATGTGTGGACCGCCCTGCTCCTCGGGTTCCGAGGTCAGAATCTCGCCTGACAGGCCGCTGCCGCAACCGACGTCGAGGATGAAGGATGGTTCTTCGAGGTCGAGGAGCTCCAGGGCTCGGCGGGTCATGGAGGCTTGGATGTTTTGGATGCGGCTGCTTGTCGTGTACTTGCGGGCCTCAGTGTCATTGTAGTGGACATCGGCCGCGCTGCAGAGATGTCCATTGTCAGTGACTTCTGTCTGGTGGTAGTGAGGTGCCAGAGAGCACTCACAGTGTGTCCTCGGGCCGAGACATGGTGGGCAGATGATGTTGTATGCGATTGGAGAGGGCTTCAGAGTATGGAGGGAGAGTTGCACGTTCCACAAATGATGCTGCCGGCTTCAATGCTTCAAGAAGCTCCAAGATAGCGCAATCCTCCTCTGCGACGGCATCTCTCTGTCGTTGAAATTTCGGTGGGCTGTTTCGTTATCGCAATCGATAAGCCGTTATCGCCCGGCCGAGCGTTCTGGTGTCCGTTTCGGCCGTTGGATGTTTGGTCCGTCGTCATCGAAGCTCGGGCCACGTCTCGGCAGGGAAGGGAGCAGTTGAGCTCGACGCGATTTGCCAGCCTGGAGATTGAGAACACGGTTGTAATGAGGCGAGTGGCCAACGTCACTCGACCTTCTCCCGGAAACAACAGACACAGTCACATTCAATGATTGTTCCCGCCAGACCTTCAAGATGTGGATTCTACCTCTAGTCGGCATACTCGGCTCCATCGTGGGCTTCTGCTTCCTGACGCTGGCCATCGGCAAGTCCCCACCCCAAAGCCGTGACACTGCTTTGAGCTGAAGCTTTGTGATACTAACGTTGGACTGCCCCTGCAGCGTCGGGACTCTACTACCTTTCCGAGCTCGTCGAGGAACATACCGTCATATCAAAGCGACTTTTGACCCAACTAATCTACGGCATCATCGGACTTCAATTGTTACTATGCCTTGTGGACAGGTTCCCCTTCTGGCTGACCTTGTTTGGGGTCGTCTCCCATGTTGTCTACCTGGGAAACATGCGGAGGTTCCCCTTCGTCACGCTGACGGACCCTTTATTCATTACGTCCTGCGGTACGAGCAATCAAACTTGCGATCCTCCGCAGTTCTCCGGCTGACTCTAGTGACCTGACAGTTCTCGTCCTCATCAACCACTTTGTCTGGTACAAGCACTTCTCCGGCCTGCAGAAGAACGCTTACCAGAACATGGCCTCGTACTACGGAACACCTGACGACATGCCCACATTTACCGAGATTGCTTCTTACTTTGGAATCTGTGTGTGGCTCGTCCCCTTCGCGCTCTTCGTCAGCCTGAGCGCCAGCGACAATGTCCTACCATACGAGAACCCAGCTGCGGCAGCGAGTGGCGACGGCAGCAAGAGGAAGGCACAGGGCATGGCCAAGGCTCTGGTGGATGGAGTACGCAATGGGTTAAGCCAGGTAGGGGGCTTAGCGGGTTGGAAGAAAACAGACAAAGGGTTCTGACGCCTTGGAGCTATTGGGTCCCTGAATGTATCCCAGCTGTGATACTCTGGCTTGCCTGGGCATGTGGCCCCGGGCTTCGACAGCCTGCGAATTGGTGAGTACGGAAAGCTCTGGCATTTCTTTTCTGCTGTTGAACTCTGCTATGATGCTCAGCATTTCTTGCTATGATAGTATTTGAAGAGCGCTTTGCTCCGAATGTTATGAACCCTATGAACTGATTTCACTCTGTTCCACTTGTGCTCTTCTCGTACTGCGGAAAGTGGCAAAGAAGTTGGCTGACATTGAACCAGACACCCTTCATCAATACATACACTGACCGTTCAGAGACTGTCCGCGTGTCCATTTTCCTCGAGTTCATTCCTGATAACCGAACCTCGGCCCTTAACGTCCTTCCGTCTACAGACAACACTCTGGCGCGTTTGTCTCTTCCGACGTACTTGTCAGTCAGAAATATCGAGTGGGCCGACAAAGCTCAAACCAAGCCTGTGGCGTGAATCCCTCTTCCGCCGGGCAATGCTGATCCATATCCAGCCATGTGCAACTTGGGTATCATCGATGGCATATGACGCTCAGCATCATCAGTTTGCCATTGCATTGCGCCTGGCATGCGACATGATCATTGTTTCTTGATCACAGATTTCCGTAATAAGGTGCCTGGGATTATTCGTTTGACATCTCCCAGGATCCAGATGCAGACAATCGTTGCGAAGGCACCTCGACATCAGGCAGCCGTGCGGGCTTGGGGCACCGGCTTTTCCTGTTCCTGAGCGGACGATGGCGGGATTCTTGACCTCATGCATAATTGATTAGCAGGCACTGTACTTGTGACGATCTTAGCCGGGGCGTCACCTAACCTTCTCCATTGCGGCGAAACAAGATAGGCGATGCCAGTTTTTCGGTGGGTTGACCAGATGAAGACAGGTCTGAACATCTAGCTTGGCTGGAAACCCCCAGATCTCAGAGCGTCGATGGCTTTAATCTACAAGGCCGCATCACAGTTGGGCCTAGACTCCTGCTACTCTCTTCATAACCTTCATAGGCAGGTGCCGCGAGACAAGCTATCGGACATGTGCGGCAGGTCGCACGAACACATGGTGAACAGCTCAGCCCCTTGGATACACGTAAATAGCTTCGGCCTTAGCAGCATGGAGCTATGGCGAGCAAGATCAATGAGGTGGTAGTTCCGACACAAGTTTCTTCGGCCGCCGGCAGGATCTCTGCAACACTTCCCATGCTGGCCTCAGCAGTATCACGACGTCCAGTCTGGTAGGGTGACGGCGAAGATCCATCTGGAACAGCGGAGGAGCTCTACTCCACCTACACCGCTCCTTGCGTTCTACAAAGCCGACAGAGTTCACGTACTCACCAGTCTCGGTGAGACGTCGCCATTCACCAACCACACCTCAAATCAGTACTCGCAAAAATAGTTGCCGGCTTTCTTTCCGCTTGGCGCCTCGTCTCGAACGTGTGTACGGTTTCTCGGCAGTAGGGCCCTGGTCTACCTTCCGTTTTCTAGCTCGGCAACACACCGCAAAGTAGGGCGGATGCTGTGCCTCATTCTTTTGTTCATTCGAACATGACGAGTGTTCTTAAATTGTCTGCATACAATGAACCCGCTCATCAACTCATTTGTCACACTGCCGAGCCTCACAAGCACTTGCATCTTTGATTATGAGATGACTGACCTATCAGCATCTTTCTTGATAACGACCTGCATTCATTGCCAACCGTCTCCGCGGTCCAGACCTGGGAATGCTCGCGAATGCGACTTTCAGAGAGCTCCTTTCGGCGATGTCACTCTCAAATGCAACGCAGAAGGCAGCATGGCGTGCGGCAACGATCGAGGCGACTTGACGTCACCAGGCTATTTCAATCAAGTAGCTCTGGAGACTTCAATGCCGCATTCTTTTGCACGCCATATCCAGGCGGCCTCATCGCGTCCTCTCCAGCGAAGCCGTTTACATACACCAATCATGCAGATCAAGGAGATCAAGCATCCTGCTTGTATGCAAGAGGAGCACAAGCCCCATACCTCCACTCCTGTGTGTGTTACAACGTTTCTCCATGCGCCGTATTTTCGACCCAGCCGGCAAGTCTAGACGCTGATCCTGGTAACATGGCTCGAACTCTAGACGAAGGGCTCTTTGCGACCATCTGCATGACATGCAGGCTCCTAACAAAGCCTGCGAGAAACACGCTTCAGCTGTCAGCTGTCACGCCCGAGAAAATGTCAACTCTTGGCGAGGTGCAACGTCGTCAACTCGACACGCCATCTGTTCCACGCCATTTCCGGCTGACTTGCATCAGCGGTAGCGTGGCCAGTCAATTTTAAGGACGAGCAGCGAGTGTCCCGGCCATGTGCTTTGTGCCCAACGACATTAGTATTCTGGTGTTTTTCGTTTCCTCTGTTAATTTGCCCTGAGCCATGTCCTTGGTTCGCGTTCAAGATCACTCCGGGCCAGGAAGAAAATTGGTCTGCAATTTGGGCCAGATTGAGCCTTCTACGAGAGGATTTCCATTAGGCGGCCAGTCTTTTACAACAAGGGTCTAGTTGACATTCGAAGACGCTTCTAGTTCAGGTGCCTGCGACAAAAGCATTTATCCTGCCCTCAATTTGGGGGCGGAATTTTTACGACACGGCCTGGGCGGTTGCAGGATCTTGTGCCATTGAACGTCAGAAGAAAAACCAATTAGCCCGTAAGCTCGCGGCGCAGGAGCCTGATAGCAACGGCCACCACCCAGTGGACGTCCAATCGGCACCGGCAATCAATGTTGAAGCAAACAGGCTGCATGTTGTGGGGTCATCTTGCAGGAATCGGATCTCCCTCGAGTTGCCAACACGGTATCTGCTGCATCTCGCCATTGCCATCTCTCCTCGTGGAACACTGTCCTAGCCCACCTAGCTGATTGGAACACACCGGCTTCGGACCGTGCGATTCCGACCAATCAACGTCGTCCAGCAATGGCCTGTCCTTGACGAAAAGATGAGAGGACTGTCCAGGGCTCAAGGTTGTGCGAGCATCATCGAGCCCTGTGATGGCGTTTGATCCTCGAAGAGTGGCCATCCTGTGTTTCACCGAGCTGACGGTCGCATACCGAGCCGGTCGATTGCTGCTCTCGCATGATCAGCAACGTTGGTGATCGGCTGTGAGCTGATTCTGGCAAACAAAAAACATCTGATTGTCCTGTGCTTGCTTGAGCGAGAGGACTTGCGGAATGGCATTTGAGTGTTACCGTACAGTCATGCAAGTCAGCTGTACGCCGCGGGATGCATCGACCTTGCGTCAGCTTCATGCATAGCCTGTCTCAAAGAACAACGCAGACGGGGCTTCAAGGTGGACTGGTCTCTGGTGTTCGAATATACCGGGAAGCGACTGATCGTACATCGAGATAAGAACTATCAACATCGGTGGTACATTTAAGAGAAGATTGTCCCCAGCAGAAGACGAGCCCCCACTCTCTGGGTAATCTACATGCAGCCATTCCAAAACATGCCCAACAACACGACTGAGCTCATGTTACATGCCTGATCGTTTGGCCAACCGCGATTACATCGCTTCGCTTTCGTCGAGCCCGAGCCTGCAGACAAACAACTTGATTTTTCAAGGAGAGCACATTGGCCCGCCCCCAACCTAATTGAAACCTCCCTCGTTGTACAAACCACCCATACAAGGCGGCGCGAACCTTGGTACGACGGTGTTATCGAAGCATGCTTCAACGTGCCTCATCCCGCCTCGTTTCTCCTCCCGCTGTCGCGCCCGTGTCACTCGACGTGGCGGGCCTACGCTTCGGATGGGACTCGTCCTTTTGCCCCGAGTACGCTGGTGCGTCGAAACCGTGCCAAGGCCCCATTCCGGGAGGCTCACGGAGCCAGCGAGTCAACGGGTCCGAGCAGGGCTTGGGCGGGGAGGGGATCCCGTTGGCCCCCTTCCCAGCTTGGCCTTGACCGTAGACCGGTGTGAAAAGCTTCGGGGACTTGAAAGAGGCCGGAGTGCTGGCTTTCTTGGCAGTCTGGCTGTTCGGTTGGAGGCACATTGCGTAGTGTTTTGAAGTGCTGGTTTCACCTTGACAGAAGCAGGACGATGATAAGATATCCCATTCTCAAAGACGCCAGACTAAACTGGAGAAGCTGGTCCTTTATAATCGCAAAGATCAGTGTTCGACCAGGGTGGACTTCGATCGACTTGACCAGCACACTTCACGATGACAGACAGTTGCTGCCAGCACGGAGCGCCTCTGAGACCGGTCTCGAGAGACGGTGAAGCGCACGGGATTACACATGTCTACACAACCTGACAGCTGCCGTGTATCGAAGTGCACGATATACACTCGGCCCTCCACATTCCTCGCCGAACTACTGCCAAACAAACTCGACCATTGCTGTACAACAGCAGCACCAAGATGCTGAACCACCCGACTCACCACTCACAGACTCGTCGATCGCTCCTAATCTCCGCCAAGCTTTCAACCGCGTACATGAGGAAACACCGCGACTGGTCACATGAAGTGACTGACGTCGACGCGCGACTCGCACATCATTGACGTTGCGGAGTCGCGACACTGCAAGGGACAACCGAAGCCTATCACTGGGATGGTCTCAATAAAAGCAGGCAAATGATCAGGATGGGCCCCAGGGGCAGACATAAATCATGAGATACATGCTCCAAGAGAAACCGAGACGTGAACCTCAGAATTGAGATCCACCGTGCCTTATTGGCTGCACGTGCCAACCGCGTTGTTCCTCCGAAGATTTACCACGATCCACAAGTGGGCGGTTACGGGGATGCCAGGAGCGATGATTCGACGAGCCTGCCGGTCAACCTCGGAGAGGCGAGCTTCCTCGTTCGTCCTGTCTGCCAGGGACACGTCGCGGAGACGACCACCAGCATCCGAGAACGTGTGAGGACCGGCCCGGCGTTTACCGGAAACATTCAAGGCGTAGCCGACATGCTCGCGTTCAACAGCCGTCGGACTTTGCCCGAAGGAACACAGAAGGCGAAAGAATGTTGGCCAGGACCATGCCCCGGCGGGCGCGTGTCACGCACGTGCTGTGTGAAGGCAGTGGCTATCCGCGTCGCATCATCTGTACACCGCGACGTGGAGCTCAATCAATTGAGCAAATACCCCCCGCGTGTAGCAACGCATCGAGGAACGGGAAATACGTACAATTTGAGCAGGCCGACAAGAAGCGGGCTTAGTTGCCTCCGGACTCCCAAACGCATCCGCAGAAGATCGGCCCGTCAGGCACTGAGCAAGCCCTCGCCTCCCGGGCCGCATGTCGCCGAAGACCTCAGGATCGGGCAGACGAGCCATGCGTCACTGGTGCCACCAGTACCACTTTGCATGTCACTTGAGAGGGGCCACCATCATCTTTACCCAGGCACCGTGCAGTTACGGACTGGATGTTTGTACACAATACAATTGTCTTCCTATGTCCTCAACTTTAAAAACAAGATATTTACACTGAAAAGACGTTTCCTCGTCCCGGATTCCACGCTATGCAAGACCCAAATCGTACACAGAAACATATGAGCGACCACGCGCTTCACCTTCTCCTCCACCTATGATGTGATAGCGACACAGACGAGCCGCTTACAGCTGCCTGGCGGCAGCGCGCCTGCGCTTGCAGGAGGAGCCGGAGCCCGAGGCGCCGGTGGCGGCGGGCGCGCTGGCGCTGGCGCTGCCGGCCGAGGAGCCGGAGCCGGAGCTGGAGCTGGCGTTGCTCGAGGTGGAGGCGCCCGTGGAGTCGGCGAGGATGGCCTTGGCGGCGTGCTCGGCGGCGACCATGACGATGGCCTGGGTGTTGCCCGTGGGCAGGTCGGGGTGCATGGAGGCGTCGACGACGTAGATGTTGTCGGTGCCCCAGACCTTTGTGTTGGTGTCGACGACGGACTTGCCGTCGTTGGAGGCGCCCATGCGGGCGGTGCCGACAAAGTGCGAGCCGGTGGTCATGTTGTCCTCGGCGATGAGGGCCTCGGCGGTCGAGTTGAGGGTGAAGGGGGAGTCGGCGCTGTTGACCATCTCGATGAGCTGCTTCATGAAGTTGGTGATGGCGCTCTTGTCGCCCGTCGACGTGAGGTAGGGCTGCGTGGTGATCTCGGTCGAGCCCGACGAGGTGATGCCCAGGACGCCGGTGGAGGTGATGCCGTGCGTCAGGTAGACCTTGATCTTGATGGTGTTGGCCGAGGGGGCGTTGATGGTTCCCTGGACGTAGTAGGTCGCGCCGTCGTCGGACTCAACAGTGTTCCAGATGTTGATACGCTGGCCGGCCTGGGCGAGCAGACCCGCGGACTTGGTGTTGAAGTCGGAGACGACCGTCGTGTTGGGGGCGGTGAAGGCGGTGCTGGGCAGCGCGGACAGGCCGTCCTTGACGTTCAGGCTGACGGTGAAGATGGGGTGGTCCTGCAGGTTCTCGCCGACGGGGAGCTCGATCCAGTCAGCCTCCTCGGGCAGGGTGACCTTGACGGAGCCGCTCTTGACGGTCTGGATCTGCGCCTTGGGGCCGATGCCAGAGTTGATGAGCATGCGGGGGGTGACAGAGCACCACCGGCCAGGACGACCTTGCCGCTGGAGGTGAGGTTGATGATCTGGCGGTTGCCGTTGGACAGCTCAACCTCGACACCAGTGGCGGCGGAGCCCTCGCGGATGACACGGACGAGCTTGGTGTTCAGGGACAGCTTGAAGTTGTTCTTGGCCTGGGCCAGGGGAAGGTACGAGCGGATAGGGCCGCCACGGAGACCGTCCTGAATCAACCAAGGAGGGTGCGAGAAGACCTTCTGCTTGTCGTCGGGGTTCTCGAGAGCGTTGGTGTGCGACCAGCCCTGCTTCTCAAGGAAGCCGGACATGACGGTGAAGGCGTCCATGTCGACACCAGTGCCGTTCTCGAGGATGTAACCAGGGCTGCGCTCGTAGAAAGCATCGGCGGAGGAGGACACGTCAGACCACTTCCAGCCCGTGGGCCACTTGTCGTCAAAGTCGTGTGCCGCAGGCTTAACGAACATCAGAGCGTTGACCATGGTGGAACCACCGAGGAGGCAGCCGGCCATGGAAGCGGTGTCGAGGCAGTACTCGGAAGTCTCACTGGCCGAGCTGAGGTAGTAGGCCATGGCGGGAACGTCGTACTGGGTGATGGTGTCGTTGTAAGAGACGGTAGCATCACCCCCAGTGGAGTAGGTGGAGGCACCACCACGCTCAAGGAGGAGGACAGAGGCACCAGACTCAACGAGACGCTCAGCGACGACCAGACCAGCCGCACCGCCGCCGGCCACGATGTAGTCGTAGGTGGAGTTGCTGGTGGTGGTGGTGACGTTCTGAGCGCTGCCACCAGTGGTGGAGTTGCTCGCGCCACCGGTTGACGAACCGCTCTCGGTCTTGGAGGCCAGAGCAGCCCAGGTCTCGTAGTCGGCAGACTTGGCGTCAGCCAGGCTGTGGCTGTACTCACCGAACGCAGCGCCGTGGTAGTTGAGAGTCGCCGAGGCGTCGCTGGTGTCGGTCAGGGCAGTCTTTGACAGGGCGTATCCGAAGACATCAGCCTCCTCGTTGATGGTGAAGGAAGCAGTGTCGTTTGTGATACACCCCTTGCAGAGGAAGGTGTATTGCCAGCCGGTGGAGTTCACGGCAGTGCCCTTGGAGATCTCGTACATGCCCATCGAGTCGTCGGTGACCGGGCTGGGGTTGGTGTAGCCAGTGGCCTTGCGCAGAGAGCCGACCATCTTGTCGCCGTCGGCCCACGCGCAGACGAGCAGGGAGTTGGCCATGGGACCACCCAGGGAGACGGCAGCGTAACCCTCGACTGTGTTGGACTGCAGGATACCGATGAAGTCACCGCCCGCCTCAGGGTTCTCGGGGAGAGCCAGACCGAAACCCCAGCCAGTCTTCTCGTAGTACGAGAACTTGATGCCGGACTTGTCATCGGTGTATGTGGTGGATTGCTGACCCAGGACGCCAGCGGCCATGGCGGCCGTGGCCAGGAGTGTTCGAGGGACCATTTTGGTTGTGTGTTTCTGTGAATGCCTGGATCCTAACTTTTATGTGTTTGATTCCTGCCTTGTTTTTCTCGATTCCAAGGCTTCAAGCTTCTCGGATATCGCTTGGATGAACGGGTTGGGGAAGGAAGGACGGGTTTGAAGGAATGAATGTGGCACTGCCACTGGAAAGAATGTCTTCGAAGGAAAGAATGACTTCGAGGGAAAAGAACGTGGTGGTTCAACCAAGCAAAAGGAGCCTGAGAAGAAGAATGAGAAGATGGGACAGGAAAGAGAGTCTTGGCAGCTGGTCGAGGACGGCTTCTCTTGCCTTTATTCTTCTTCCATCGACCCCCTTATCCGAGCAGTCGGGCCCGGCTCCCTGCACTTGACGGGGGAGAAGGAGGAGGGCCCCAGAAACAGAGCAATCGTCGGCATTCTGCGATGGGTCATGATGGCCCACCACGCCAGCCCTTCATCACAAACGATGGCGGCTGTTTTTTTGTGACGAGAGACCCTTGACCATGAGGCTCCGGTCGTCAAGGCCAACTTCAGGCCCTTGCCTTCGAGGATAGCCCCGATGGGTGGAGGGATCTTCGAAGGGAAAACAAACACGGCTCCCCTCCCTGAGCCAATGGGGTATTGTAGATTGGGGCAGGGTGACCAAATGCGGCAAGAGGAGGCTGAGGATTAATCCACAAGGGATCTAGGCCTAGTGTTTCTTGGGTACGCAATTAGCCTGCCATGACCAGAGAGCGCACCACACCTGAGAGCCCTGGGCAGCGGGCACGCACCGCGCTGGGAGAGCCGAAGCTGATTTTGAAGACGCCGAGGGAGCCCCGCCGAGTTATGGGTCTCGCGAGCCCCTGGAAACAACGTGCCAACATGACTCGTCGGCCAGGCTCCGAATAGTAATCGGCGCACCGTCAATTGGCCGTGTGGCGCCTGGGGAACCCATTGCAGCGCCCATGTGGACGCAGCGCCTCGTCGCGTTTAAATTGAGCACTGGTCTTTTGTTTCAGGCGACTCCCACTGGGGCCCCCCTCTGCCGCCTATTGGCACCGCCGCCCCCAAGCGAACCCCGGATGAACATTCTCGCTCGCATGAACCGTTTCGAAACTTCCTCAAGAGAGTGGAGCGCCAAAAATCATCGACCAAATCGAAAGGCCGCCAGCAAGGACAGAAATGGGCCGGAAGGCGTTTCCTCTTGAGCAGGCGAGCTGGGTTCGTCCCCTTGATTGCTTGTTTGTCCAAATTGGACAGACGTCAGCATCTCCGAGAGGCCCCCATTGTCCTATTAGCCGATGGTCCATTTCTGCCATTCCGATCCGACACTATCATAATGTCCCCATCGTGATTCGCTTCGTGCTCGGACGGGGGTGGTTGGACAGGATCACCACTGTCAAGTCTGGAAGGGGAGGACACTCCTGTCGATCAGCCGCAACCATGCTGGTTGACGATCGCTTAAATCAAGATTGGGAAGTTTTAGCCTCGGTCGACCGTGAAGACTCGGTGCTTGCCGGATCGCCTGTTCTTTCTCTGGGCCAAACCCGAGGTCATGGTCCTTCAGGGGTGAGGCTTACGTATGTCCGTGGAGATGCCTGGGCAAAGAATTGCCTTGGTAAACGCTCCTTTGGAACCTTTGGAAGCATGCCAAACCGTCCTAGTCGGTGCTGACCCTCCCTGTAAGAGCCGTCGGTTCCGAATCCGCGGGCCAAGTGCACCCCTTAGGAGGTGCTATTAATTTCAGGCAGCTCCCCTCACCTCCCGCCCCGAGGTCAAGCCATCATGCCGCTACCCCTCGTCATCCGCCGTAAGGCAGCTTGTTCAAATAGACGTCGTACCCATTAACAAGTCTCGAGGAGCGCCCGACTGTTCAGGCGGACGCTTCGAAGAGCTCGCCCCGTAGACCATTGGAGTGCCGAAGCCCGATGATCACCTCGCTGCCCCGCGCATGCCTTGGGTCTCTAGCTGCATCCGGCAACACTCGCCGGCGGCACCGGCTGCATCTCGTAGTTTCATTTGGCGCCGACGTGCGTAGGATCAATTGGCAGGACCAGTTGGCAGGACCAGTGCAGAGGCATTCTGACCCAAGTGACCCTCAAAATGAGGGGAATAAAACATCAGAGGACATACAATTCGATGACAGTCTTAACTTCCTGACCGAATAATTTTGCCGGATCACAAGCGAGAAATCTTTCACAATGCAGGCATTCAAGACGTCCCTCCCCAATGGTGCAACTCTATCGGGCCACCGCTGCGATCCAGAGACGTCGAGTCCGGCCTACGCGGCCTTAGACGACAGCAGGCGGCCTTTACTTGTGGCCATCCATGGGGGTACCTACAGCTCAACCTATTTCGACGCTGATACCAAACATACTGCGGTTCTATGCAGCAAGGGCCTCGGCGTGCCGGTAGTCGCCATCGACCGCCCTCTGTACCAAGAGACATCCTCATTCTACCCCATCCCGGAGGGCAAGACTTACCACGAGGGACTGGCTGTCCACCTCCACAAGCACATCCTGCCCACCATTTGGAGGGAGTACGGCCAGGGCTGTGGGAGCATGGTGCTCGACTGCCACAGCCTGGCGGTGCCCAGCGCGGTCATGTTGGCGGGGTGGCATGCCCAGGACCGGGCCCGGGGAGACACCCCGGCGTACCCGCTCTCCAGCCTGATCCTATCCGGGTTCGGCAGCCAGAACACGTCCACCATCGTCGAGCAGAGAAAAGATGCCCCGGAGTACGTCGAAATGCCACCCGAAGTCAAGGACAATCAGATGTTCGAGCAGGGGACCGTGGATCCGGCCATCTACAAGCAGAGCGAGAGGCTGAACAACCGCATGCCGTACGCCGAGCTGGGCGACTACGAGGCGGTCTGGGCTGGGGACAAGTGGCGGGCCCTCTGCGGCGCGGTCGAGGTCCCGGTCATGATCGGGATTGCGGAGAGGGACGCGCTGTGGTCCGGCACGGAGGAGCACGTCAGGGAGTTTGCGGGTGGGTTCAGCAGCAGCGAGAGGGTCGACGCGAGCTTGATCAGGGGCGCGCCGCATTGCATCGAGTTGAGCTACTGGGCTCAGGGCTGGTATGCGAGATGTTTTGGCTGGGCCCTGGAGTGTGCTGCTGCACATGCTGCAAAGGAGCTCACGATCTAGGGTGTATGATGATGTGGCCATGATTACGAATAGTATCGCGATATGTGTGACTTACACGAATCCATGGGAGGTCCCTCTCTCAGTTAACAATTGTAAACAATTATCCACTAGAGTGCTGTTGCTAAAATGCTCGAGGACTCATCAGAAACCCCTCGATGTTCGGGACAGCTGGCGTCAATAGCTATTGCTCAGTAGGCGTCTTGATGCCAGAAGACCATTGTCTTCCGGAAAGGGTGCTGCGGCTCCGCCCACAAGACAGACAATAGCAGGTGCCAGATCTTCCATCCAGTTGGCTAGAGATCGAGTCACAGACTATCACACCAAAGTGTTGTCACGCGGCTTTCACCCACAGAGCAAGTAGCCTTTGTTGGACAAATGCCTTACTAAGTGGCAGGCGGCCCAGTCCCTTTGTCCTCGCACCGTGGTCGTCTCTTGTCAGACTCGAGTACAATACCTCTGTATGAATCTGAGTAGATTTGAAGAAACAGGTATGGTCGACGGGGGTTTTCTATATTTATTGCTGTTCACTGCCATCAGCCCATTTCCGTGTAAAAACTTCTTCGCACCCGGACCATTCACTCGACAGTACAACACCCCTCTTGCACGGCACAAACCACTATCGACAGCCCTCCAGCTTAGATTCCCCCGAGCCTCACCAGATCAAAATGATTCCCACCATCTTCGAACAACTAGTGAGTTGCCGCGACTGCAACAAGGCCGTTCTCGTCGAAGACCCATCTGTCATTCGCTCAACCGCGGCAACAGTGGCTGGGGATCTAGTGGGACTCGTCATTCGACATGGCACAACAGAAAGCGCTGGCAGTGTATCGGGGCTTAAAATCTTTCCCTTCGCAGCCGCCGACCCGCCGCCGCAGTGGGGTGCCCAAGGGTCGAGCACCGTTTCCCGGCAGGTCATTTTCATGGAGGACTGCGCAACCCCGGCGGCCCGCCGACAGATTTCCAAGGACTGGGGTCTGAAGTGGCTAGACTTCGAGCAGCATTTCGAGACCATCGCCGCGTGGTCGAGCAGTAAGGTGGTGGGCGAGTGCCCGTGCAAGTGCCATCACTGGGACGGTGGCGGAGACGAGTGCACCTCGGTCGACACGACGCTCGCCCTTGTGGGCCAACAAAGCGATCGGTACATGAAGCCCAAAGTCCCGGAGACTGAGCACGGCGCCTCTCACCCTACTGACTTGCCAAGTGAGTTGCGTGGACGAGCCCAGAGTGAACAAATCCCGCAGACCGACCTTTACATCCTTTCTTGGCGAGAGCAGTGTCGGAGAGACAGTAATTAAGTTGGAACGTTGAAATTTCCGCCGGGAAACTCGTGGCCGGGACGTGTAGTATTGGTTATGGGCGGCACAGTCTTTTAAGCCCCTGCTGCGTGAATACTTGGTACCTGAAAAGGTATTCCAGGAGACGCTCACTCAACACGTGCGGGGCATTTTGATAGATTTCATTTGTTTCAATCATCATCATTTTGCGCCGTGTGCACACTGTTCTAGAACATAGATTAATCTACATCTCTGCTGAAATAAAGTCTGGGCCTGGCTCGTCACCTGCTTACGCTGCCTTGTACCATCCACTCCCCGTTGCCTGGGTCTTTGCAGGTCCCACGTATCTAGTGACATAGTCCTGCCACTGCTTCGTAGCGTCGCTACCAGCAGCATCCGGGAAATTAACATCACAACCCAGAGCCTTATAGCCAGGCGCAATCAACCCCGACAAAGCATTCACGACTGTCTCGAGCAACACGACCGAATTATACAGCTCGGAAGGGAAGTTCGCGAAGACAGCATTGTACAGAAAGCACGAGAGCCCCTGGACGTTGTTGGGCAGGTCAAGCGGGCCCACGACCCAGCTCTGGTCCGCGCCGGAGCCGCCCAGGGCCGGAAGCGCGTACAGGTAGACGTCGAGGATGCCGCCCACGGCCTCGACGACGGTCATCGGCGTCGCGCGGCGGTACCACCCGACCTCGGGGATTCTCTCGGGGACGTGCGTGTACGTGAGCGCCGGGTCGTCCCACGCGCCCTCGCGGCTGGGCTTGGCGCCGTAGAAGGAGGTGACGGACGCCTCGTTGGCGACGCCGCCGGCGCCGATGGTCCCGTTGGAGAAGAAGCCCGGGATGAAGTAGTAGGCGCCCATGACGACGGCGGCGCTGGGGACGTTGAAGTAGAACTGGCTGTTGGCGGCCCTGGACGCGGCGTAGCGGTTCTTGAAGTGCTCTTTGATGGCGGCCACGCTGTAGGTACCGTTGCCCCTTGCGAGGGCCTGCTGGTGCAGCTGCTTGAAGAGCTCGGGCTGGAACGAGATGTTGTCGCCGTCTAGGTAGAAGTCGTTGCGTGTGGCGGAGGCGTCTCCCTCGTTGAATTTGCCTTTTTGTTGGGGTCAGAATGGGGTCTCTTACAAACTTGATAGGTGTGATTGTCTTACCGTGGCCTGAAATCCCCGAGGGCGTGCCGAAGATACCGTTCAGAGCCCCATTCAGGAGGCCGACACGGCTGTCTGGCCCACCAATACTCATTGTTTGTGAGAGGATGTCGCCGCCGTCGAGGGCACCGCCGGTGGCTAATAGAGTAGATAAGTCGGCGCCCATATTAAATACTCTCGCAGTAGCAGCATTGATTTGTCCAATGGTGGCGATGCCAGTACGTGGAATGTATCCATGATTCGCGAGAGTATTCAATCCGGGGCAAGGACCTCGCTGGTCGGTAGGGCCAGGTGCTTGGAATGGGTGATCGGCTAAACTCAAGTCAATACAGAGCAGGGATGAGACGATTAGAGAGAATAGGAAGGTGTGATATACCCTCAGGAAATCTTCTCAAGCCGTTGACTGACTCAGAGGTAGGAATGAGACCAAGAATGTTGTCAAGAATCGCTTCCAGCGTACCACCAAAGTAAGGTAACGACACCGTCTAGCAGGCCAGTACCCAGCTGACGGGTCTCGCGATGCTGTGAATGTTCAGGGACTCGGCGGCCAAGTTCTTCCATTCGTCGGTTGATTTCCTGGCGGGCCTCCGGGTGGTTAAGCAGATTACCCATCCCTTCAGGAGTCATCCAGGGGAAAGCTAATGCAAAAGGCGCCCACAGCGCGGCGTAGAGAAGAATGAAATGCATCGTCAGCAACTTAGATAGAATTGAAACACAATTGCTGGACCAGAACCACCGAACTTCCGGAGACACTCGCTGATTCTGATCATGTCGACATGCCCGTATTTATAAACCCCTTGCGGATACATTAACGTCGCCACAACGTCATAGTGTACAGTACTAAACAGGTCGCATGGGTCGATCACGATGGGGATTTCAGCCGCAAACAATTGTCCCAGCCTTTGTGTAATTAGAATGTGCTCCGTAACTCTTGCTCTGCCATTGGCTCCCCGTCAGCCGGAAGGTCTCCTTCCCGCCAGTAGTCTCTGCGGCCCGCAGGAGATCAACCTGACAAAGGCTAGGGCGGCTCTAAGTGGCGCATGGGATCTGCATCCCTCATCTGAGACGGGCACTACATCTGTATGGCGCACATGCACAAAATTTACTGTGGAAGTACGGTGATTTTCGTTCAATACTGTCTAGCTAAAAAAAAAAAGCTCTTGCCGAAGAAGGGCCGCTTTGGAATGTAGCCCTTTTGAATGCAGCGTGCGGCCAGCCGAAACTTATCGGTAATGGCCCCGTCTTGCCGGCGTAGCGTACTTGCAGCCACGCCCTCACGTCATCCACAGTATACATATGTTTGCTTTTGTCTTGGAATGTAGTGGATTCACCTCAGTTAACGCGGAATCCTCATCCCATTATGTCAACCTCAGTTTGCTCACAGAATTATATTCTCAATGAAGTAGATTATTAAAAAAGAACAACAGCTACTTATTAAAAGTATCTTTAACTGGAAATAAGCTTTTGGGTAGTCTGAATTTGAATAGAGACTTGATAAAGGTATAGTATACGGAGGAATTCCCTCTGTGGACCCCCTTCACGCGCAATAAGAGGTTTATCCGTTACTGGTACATAATTTAACTCACATTCTGCTTTTAGCAAAAGGCACATGTTGGTATTCGCTGCATATAATTTGGCCAAATAGTTTTACATGTGTACACCGCAGCTATAATGCTGTAGAGGCAGAGGAAGTGATGAGCTGGCAGGAGTTCAGGACGCCCCCCTCACGCTGTAACAAGGCCACAGGAGGGGTTCGTGACATTCCTGGCCTCTGGGAATTTCTCAGAGAGCAGAAGGATGTGCAAATGGAGTTCAAAGAACCTCGATTCCCTGCCAAGGGGTTTTACCATCCAGATGTGGATCGGCCGGGGACAGCCCTGGCCGGCAGCGGCTTTGTCCTTGAGGAAGACCCTCGCCTGTTTGACCCAGCCTTCTTCGGGATCACGGACATCGAAGCAGAAACCATGGATGCGTCCCAACGCAAGCTTTTCGAAGTTACGTACGAAACTTTTGAGAATGCCGGCGAGACCTGGGAAAGCGTCTCGGGGTCCCGTACCGGGGTATTCGTCGGCGATTTCGCCTTCGACAATTACATATCACAGACGCGCGACTGGGACTATTCAGGAAAGCATTCGGCCACCGGATCATTCCCGAACATGCTGGCCAACCGCATCCATTATGTCTTCAATCTCAAGGGGCCGAGCGTGCTCCTCAACAGCGTCTGCACATCTGCCATGTACGCCCTTCACACGGCCATCATCTCCATGCGCAACGGCGATTGTGACTCTGCCATCGTAGCAGGGTCCAACTGGATCATGGACCCAAACTCCCATATCGCAATGGGTAAATTAGGTGCCCTATCTGCGACTTCAAGAAGTCATACTTTCGACGAGTCTGCCGACGGCTATGCTCGTGGCGAAGGCTTTGCCGCAATCTACCTGAAATGGCCGTCGACGGCTCACCGATTCGTGCATTGATCATGGGCACTGCAGTCAACGCAAATGGCCGCACAACTGGGATTACCAACCCAAGTGGCCCTGCGCAGGAGACTGTTCTTCGGGAAGCGTAAGCTCTCCTGATGCTGCCATGTTCTCCCGCGGAAGTCTGTGCTGACGGTACATACTGACGTAGGTACAACGACGCCGGGGGGCTCGATCCTTCGCAGACAATGCTACTAGAATGCCACAGAACCGGCACACGCGTTGGCGACCCGATCGAGGTTGAGGCTGCCGGCAATGTCTTCGGTCCGCATAGATCTGATTCATACGAAGACCGCCTGGTAGTCACCTCGGTCAAGACGAATTTCGGTCACCTTGAGGGTGCATGCGCCTTTCCAGGCATCTTGAAGGTTGTATCAGCCATCGAGGCTGGCGAGATACCGCCTATTCTCGGGTTCAAGTCACCAAACAAGCGTATCGACTTTGACAAGGCGAAGGCTCGCGTGGTCACAAGCGTCGAGCCCTGGCCTTAAGGACAAACTAAAGCGAGCCAGTGTGACGTCTGCAGGCTTCGGAGGGACAAATGGGCATTGCATTATTGACCATGTTCACAACTACATCCCGGGCTATGTCAAACCTGGAGTCATCCACGACTGCGCCAAGAACGTGAACGGCGTCATTGGTGTCAATGGACATGTCAGTAACGGCACCAATGGCGTCAACGGACACACACCGAACGGGTTTACCAACGGCACGATCAACGGCACGAACAAATCCAACGGCGATAGCCACCGGAGACATTTTACAAAGGCTGATGCAGCCACTCGTCAGCTGGTTCTGCTTCCATTCTCGGCACATAACCAGGCCTCCCTCCTAGCCAATGTGGATGCGCTGTCCGGGGTTGCACACAAACACTCGCTGGCCGACGTGGCCTACACATTGTCTGCAAAGCGTTCGCGCTTTTCCCACCGAGCTTATGCCGTGGTGGATAAGAGCCATATCGGAGAGTCCGGACCCGGTCTGAGCCTGGAGACGAAGGCTTTCTTTTCGTCCCAGGCCTTGCGCGTCGGATTCGTCTTTACCGGCCAGGGCGCACAAAGGCACGCCATGGGAGCCGAGCTTTTCGAATACGGCACATTCCGGGACACGATCTCGTTCCTTGACCTCGTTCTCGCCGGGTTGCCACATCCCGCGCCATGGAAAATTGCCGACATTCTTGCAGGGAGCTGTGAGAGAGAACTGATCCAGATACCTGCTGTGTCATAAACACTGTGCACAGCCCTTTAGATTGGCCTCGTTGACCTCCTCGCATCTTGGGCTATCCGACCGGTCGGCGTTGTAGGACATTCGTCCGGGGAAATGGCAGCGGCATACGCAGCATGGAAGCTTTCCGCTGCTGAAGCCATCACGGCCGCCTGTTATCGCGGCTACATCGTTGCTCTTAACCAGAAATTGGGTGCCATGCTAGCAGTGGGCCTCAGCTCTGCCCAGGGGGCTGAATATCTGCGACAAGCTGGTTTGGAGGATCAAGTCAAAGTCGCAGCGATCAACTCCCCGGACAGTATCACCATGTCTGGTGACGCAGATGCTATAAAGACGCTGCACGCCATATTTGACCAGCAAGGTGTCTTCAACAGGGTACTGAAGACGGGCGGCCTCGCATATCACTCTCACCATATGCTTGCACCTGGGCAGGATTATTCCCAGGTGCTTGAAGCCGCATTCCATAGCCTCTCCAAGACTGAAGTCACACTGAAAGACCACAAGTATCCTTCAGTTCCATGGGTCTCGTCTGTCATCCCTACTAAGGACATGGCCGCTTCCAAGGAGGCCACCACGCCTTCGTATTGGAGAGCAAATCTAGAATCAGCGGTTCAGTTCAATGATGCTGTGTCAAATTTGGTCAACCTCCCGGACTTGTCTATCGGAGTTGTGGTAGAAATGGGCCCTCACCCGGCGCTCAACAGCCCTTTCGTTCAAATCATAAAGACCCTGGGCAAGTCTGTACCGCACATCGCGACGCTGAAGAGAGGTGAAGATGCTCGCAGTTCTCTGCTGAACCTCGCTGGCCCATTATTCGCTCTGAATGCGGATGTCGATTTAGTAGCAGTGAACGCCGTCGAGGCAGAGGACCATCAGGGAGTGCCTGGGCTGGCTCACGGCTGTACAGCTGTTGACTTAACCCCATACCAGTATACATACGGGCCCATCAGGTACAATGAGAGTCGTCTCAGCAAGGAGTATCGCCTGCGCCAAGTCCCCCGCCACGATCTGCTCGGATCCAGAATCCCCGGCACTACGAGACTGCGACCACAGTGGCGTGACATTATTCGCCCAAAAAGTCTACCTTGGCTGGATGATCATCGTGTTGCGCCCCACGTCCTACAACGGCCGACTCGTCGACGCAGAAGATTGGTATGCTCGCTTCGCGGACATGGGCCTCCAGTTCGGCCCTTCGTTCCAAGGCTATTCGAACATCCGCGCAGACCCTCACAAGAACGTAGCCTCGGCCAAGTTAGCTCTCAAGACTACGGCTGGCATGTTTCCGGGAGGCGAGTCTCCTTACCCGATCCACCCGGCCCCTCTAGATCTGGCAATTCGCCTGGGCATCATGGCGTGCAACGGCGGCCAGGCGGATACTGCCAGTGTCCAGCTCCCCATTCACTTCGATCAGATGCAGTTCAAGTACGGCCGCCTGAGCGGCCTTGATTGGGCGACTGGTGTCTCTCGCGGTGAGCTGCGGGGACTGCGTGGCGCCTACGCGCAGATACAGATGTTGGGCGAGGAGGGCGATGTCATTCTGAACGTCGACAACATGCGCTTCGCAAGCCTTAACAACGAGCAGCAGGCTTCGCCAGGCAATCCCCAGTCCAGGAGCAAGGCCTTCTCCAGCCCTTTCGCGCGCCTCGTGTGGATGCCGGACGTGCGCACCATGAGCAAGGAGCAGTGGCGAGAGCTTTTCGCTGCTGGAGAGCAGAGCACCGATTCGAAGTCGCCCTGCCTGACCAAACTGTTCGACTTGCTTGGCCACGTGCAGCCGGATCTTCGAGTGGCAGAGGTCAACGCTGGTGAGGATAGGGGTGTGGCAGAGAGAGTACTTAAGACGCTGACTGGTTCCAACGGTATAAAGCGTTACAAGGAATACACCTTGGCAGATGCCTCGCAGGAATGTCTTGACAAGGTCCAGACGGCCACATCAGGATTCAGTGACGTCGAATACGACATTATTGACATTGCAAAGGACCCCAAAAGCCAAGGTTGGGTGAACGAAGCCTTCGACGTTGTCCTGTTGCCTATCTCAGGGCATCAAGATAACTCTGAAAAGCAATCTTTCGTGAGAAACTGCAAGTCGCTCATTAAGCCAGGTGGACACCTTGTGGTGATAGAGCACGTTCAAGGGCTGGCCAGGTATGAAAAGTCGTGGGAGGATATACTCGTATCATCTGGCTTTGAAAGTGGCTCTGATTTGACTGTGGAAGAGCCCGCCGAGGGCGACTATCGATCGGTTGTCACATTATGCACTCTGGGTACCATGGCAGACAAGTCCAACGGGCATAGCACAGAGGAAGCCGCAATCTACCTGCTCTACGGCAACAAAGGGCAGCCAGCGCTTCTGCCTCTCCTGGCTGGGGCAATGGAAAAACGCGGACTTCCCACCAAGTCTATTACTCTCGATGAAGTAAAGGGCGCCCTACCACCGAACGCACGAGTGGTGGCATTCCTGGATGGGGAGAATCTGTTGTTCGATGCCGACCAACACCGTATCAACGTATTTAAGTATCTTGCATCGACTGCATCCAGCATGCTGTGGATCACCTCCTCCGGCATGGTGAAGGGGCAGAGTCCGGACGAGGCCTTTGTGGCCGGCCTGCTGCGAACGCTGGGCACGGAGAACCCTTCAGGACACTTCCTTTCGGTCGACATAGATGCCAAGGACTTCAAAATAGAGGACGAGCACGAGTTGAGCGAGCTGGTTCGATGTCTGGCTGATCAGGAGTCTGCACTGCAGCACGTTGCACACAAGAGCAGCGGGGGCGAGGAGCCTGCGGCGGACGAAGTGAACCGCGAACTCGCCTGGCAGGACGGGCTCATGTGGGTCAGCCGCATTGTGCCCGACGCCGGGCTTCAGGATTACGCCGAGGCAGCGTCCACGCCAGAGGACCAGGACTTGCAGACGGTTGCCCTGGGAAGCCAAGGCCCTATCCGTGCAGCCTTCGGGGTGCCGGGGATCCTCACCTCGCTGCACTTCCGACCTTACACCGAGCTGTGGCGACCCCTGCCGAAGGACGCGATCGAGGTCAAGGTAGAGGCGGTTGGCCTCAACTGGAAAGACCTGGGGCTGTGCTCTGGGCGGTTCGACCAGAATAACCTGTCGAACGAATACTGTGGTATCGTTTCTCAGAAGGGCTCAGACGTCGCCGGCCTTGAAATCGGTGATCGCGTCTACGGGCTCGGAAAAGGACACTTTGGAAACTACACACGAGTGCCCGCGGCTCTGGCCCAGAAGCTTCAGACCGGCGTGGACCCCGTTGAGGCCGCGACCATGCCCCTGGTGTACATGATAGCAGTGTATGCCTTTGAGCACGTGGCCCGGCTGCGGAAAGGCCAGAAGGTGCTGATACAATCTGCCTCTGGCGGCCTTGGCCTGGCGGCTATCCAGCTTGCAAGGTCCAAGGATGCTGAAGTGTTTGCTACTGTTGGGACAGAAGAAAAGGCACGCTTTCTGTCCGAGGAGATGGGTGTTGCAGCCGACAACATTTTCTCGTCGTGACCCGTCAGAACTGCCTCGTGTAGCCGGAGGAATCCAAAGCGGAGGTTTCAACGTGATTCTGAGCACGGCTCATGGAGACATGCTTTATGAGTCTATCAACGCACTGGCGCCTTTGGGCTGCCTTATTGATGTGGGCCGGATGGACGTGACTAGCTCCAAGACGATGGCCTTGGAGCTCTTCCAGAAGAGCGCGGCCTTCACCTCGTTTGATCTGGGCATCCTTGTTGACCACGATGTTGGCCTCGGCTCTGAGCTGATGCAAACGGTGGATGAGCATTACCGCGCTGGACGCATCGGCCCCATACGGCCTCACACCGTGTCGAGCATCTCAAACCTTGACAGAACCCTTCTTGAGCTATCCAAGGGCAAGCATACTGGGAAGATGGTGGTGTCGTATGAGGACCCAAGTTCTATGATCAAGGTTCACCAGCCGGTCTCCCATGCTTATTTCGACCCGGGAGCCCGCTATGTCCTTGTCGGCGGGCTGAGTGGCTTTGGCCGCTCTATGGTGAGGTGGATGGTTGGTCGCGGGGCACGAGACATAATCGTGTGGTCCAGAAGTGGCGCAACAAACCTCTCTCGAGAAGCTGCCGCTCTGAGTGATGAGCTGAAGCTGCAAGGTGTCTCTGTCCGGGCCGTCGCCTGCGATGTCAGCGACCGAGACCAGGTCATGCGCGCCATGGGCGAGGCCAGTTCTGGAACAACCGTGCGAGGAGTGTTCAACTTTGCAGTATCCTACCAGGACGTCTCTTTTGACAAGATGACGGCGGAAATGTTCCACCAGGGCATGGCCGCTAAGGTCCTCGGAACCAGAAACCTCCACGACGCCACGGTCACGATGGGGCTGAAGCTGGACTTCTTTGTCATGACCTCGTCTCTTGGCACGATGTATGCGTTCCCGACTCAGAGCACCTACTTGGCAGCCAACAACTACATGGATTACTTCGCGCGCTACCGTCGGCGTTGCGGGCTGCCGGCGACCACTGTGGCTCTGGGTTTCATCAACGACGTGGGTTCTCTAACGACGCCGTCACGGTCAATGTCATCACCCGAGCCAAGGCTCAGACAGTAACAACCAGCCAAGTTCTTGGGTTGTTAGAGCCGGCGTTTGTTGGTATTGATGACCGCAAAAGATGCGACCAAGAGCAATGGCTTGGCCAGCTGCAGGATCCGCTGTCGGAAGCAAACATCGTAACCGGCATAGATCCGGCTGTGCTAGCGACCGTGAGGAGACATGAGGCCAAGAAGTCCAAGTCACAGTACCAAGGATCTGGCTCGACTCCGCGTTGGTATAATGATGCACGCGCGTCCCTGATGCTACACGCGGTAGAAGACGCACGGAGAGCAAGAGACGGGGCAGCTGGTGGGTTGCGCAACCAGAACAACGCAGCTGACCAGTCCCCAGCCGCGCAGCTTCGACGGCAGTTTGAGACATCAGTTGCTTCGATTCGAGGCCGGGCTGGCATTGACAAGAATGCCATGCAACAGACGGTCAGGCTTGTTTCCGATGCCATCGTGGCGTCGGTGGCAGCAATGCTCTTCGTCGACACCTCGGCCGTCAATGCGAATAACACGGTGGCCGATCAGGGCATCGATAGCCTGCTTGCGGCTGAGTTCCGAAACTGGCTGCATGTTTCTTTTGTTAAAAGCATCAGCATGTTGGACCTGATGGATCCGAGGACTACCATTAACGCTTTAGCCCAGGGGATTGTTGCGGAGGCCGTTGGGTCATAAGGCTAAGCATTCAGGGAGGGTTGTTATCAAAGGGAACATTGGGTGCCAAATAGTTCTGCCGCTTATATAAATCTGGCCTGGTCCTCGCAGAACACCATGATCTCCACTGATGCACGCAATGGCGGGTATGTATGGAATGGTCGTTGCAAATGTCATCAGGATTGAGGTCCACAAACTTGAACATTGCAACTTGTTCAACCTTTGGCAAAACATGTTGACAACGGACCTAAGTTCATTCTGCAAGTTCAGTAGGCTGTCAATACCCCCAAACATCCCCACCCCACTGCTGCACTTCCGTCGCGCATACTCTCATTTGCACTCAATCGTATCGAAATGGCGCTAATAACCTGCACAAGACACACCACACCCTTTTTCATATGCACTTCTTTTAACTCTCTTAATTTAACTTTAATTTATTGAAAACTTATATAAAAAGAAAGCTACTTCTTTTTTAATTTTATTTCTTTTTTTTATTATTAAATTAAGTATATAAAGGAGGAGAAATTTGCATTTAAATTAAAGTTAAATTTAAAAAGAAATAAAAGGGGGGGGTAAAATTTAAGAATTATATAAAATCATTAAGGGACTTAAAGTAAATTTAACTATTTTTGCTTAAAAATATACCCTCCTTAAAATTTAAGATTCTTCTTTAAAATTTAATATTAATATACCTTATACCTTTAATATTCCCTCCGCCCTCCTTAAATAAATATTAAAAGAATTTAAAAAAAAGTAGCTTTCTTTTAATATAAGTCTTTATTAAATTAAAAAGGTATATATAATATAAGAGGTAAAAATAATTAAAAAATAAAGTGCATATAAAAAAGGGTATGGTGTATCTTATGCAGGTCATTAGCGCCATTTCGATACGATTGATTGCAAATGAGAGTACTGTTTGAGGGACTAGACTCGCCCGATACCCCACTTACGCAACTTTTGACGGGCTACAGGTAGCGGTTCGAAGCAGTTTTCAAGTATCAGACCCTCAGTGAATCGACTCAACTCACTTGGGATCTACGTTTTCCCAATCGCCGACGTCTCAACTTGTAAAGCTGCCGTCTTTGACATCCGACCTGTTGCCAGGCGGCAATAAACACGGATCAAAATTTGAGTCAGAACCGGGGTCCACTTGTGCCCGGCATTTGATCATTTGTCCACTGCTTGGTCTTCCCGTCAAGCTATTTTGGTGGTCGAAATATCCCAGGGCTAGCTCTATTCTTCGCTCTGGAAAAGAGGGTGCGAGCATTGTCGCGCTCAGGACGCCATCCATCTTGTTACTCACACAGAGAAAGACCCTCGGCGATTGATTTCTATATCTACACAATGAGCCCGCATATGCTGGAGCCTGAGGTCGTAGCCCCGCTCCCTCCGAAGAAAGACGTCCTACTCAATGTGCGTACCGGCAAGGTTCGGCCATTCGGCGGTGGCAAGCTCCGGTCCGCTATCAAAAAGCATCCACGGCAAGGCAGAGTGCAGGTGACAGAACTCGGACTGGTTGGTGACGAGCAGCAGTATGCCTTGCATGGCGAAGTGGATAAGGCGCTTCATGTGTACTGCGAGAGCAATTACGCGAAGTGGAACGATCTGATTCCAGACCGAAATCAACAATTCACCGTCGGTGGGATTCGGCGAGAATCTGTCCTTCAGTGGCCTGAACGAGGGGAACGTCTGCATTGGCGACAAGTTCCGGCTCGGCGCCGAGGTCGTCGTGCAAGTCAGCGAGCCGCGCCAGCCGTGTTACAAGCTGAACCATCGGTTTGAATACAAGAAGATGTCGAGGCTAGTGCAAGACACGGGCATGGCAGGCTGGTCCTTCCGTGTCCTGAAGCCAGGGTTCATCCAGGAGGGCGATGAGCTTGTCTTCGTCGAGCGCATGTACCCGCAGTGGTCGCTGAACCGCGTCCAGGATTTCCTGTATCGCGAGGTCGACAACATGGAAGCCAATGAAGAATTGGGTGGCATGCCAGAGATCGGCGGCGAGATTTCAAAACTCTTCAGAAATCGGGTGGAGAAGGGCGTCGAAGATATGAGCAACCGCCTGGATGGTATCCCCGGAAAGAACCGACTTCATCTTGCTTGGCGGCGCTACAGATTAACTGAGAAGGAAATGCTCACACCGAGCATCACAAGACTAAGTTCCAAGCTTGATGAGGCAGACGCCGGCATGAGTGACGAGGAGTCCCGCCTGGGGAAGTTCCACACGTTCGAGCCAAGTTCGGGCCGGATGGCAAATTCTCCAGGGCATATTCTGTTATGGCTGGGGATATGAGGTCATTCGAATTAGGAGTCGCCAGGGATGATTACTCTAGGGGCGGCTCGGAATATCTGCACAATCTGCTGAAGTTCGGAGATGTTATCCAGGCCAGCAAAGGCTATGAAGCGCCACATACGGCCCAGAAGAAAGAGAATGGTAAGCATAGACGACACATATTTATCATCGGGGGCATCGGAGTTACCGCCTTCTTGCCTGAGATTCAAAGACTTTGGCTAGCGGGCGAAGACATCGAGGTACACTACGCCGTCCGCAGTCGGAAAGATGTGGTGTACTCAAGTTGTCTCCCTCCAGAGGGTGAACGAACTTTCGTTTACGTAAGAACCAGGGGAAAAGGCTCTGTATTCGGAGCATTGTACCAAGCCTTGGGAACCACGACAGATTGGAGACTTCCGTTTACACTTGCGGCCCGGCATCTTTGATGAATGAATGCCGTGAGTTGACAAATGAGCTCCAGTACCCAATGTCCCAGCTACACTTTGAAGAGTTTGGCGGGGCAAATACTGGTACCGGCGACCCTTTTGAAGCCGAGATCGGAGCCACGGGACAGATATTGCAAGTTCCCGGTGGAAAGTCCTTGTTGGATGTGCTAAACGGTGCAGGGTTCGACATCGAGCCATCTTGTATGGTGGGTAACTGCGGGACTTGCATGGTCGAGTACTGTCAAGGTGAAGTCTTACACCAAGGCCTCGCCCTGGATAGCTATCAGAAGGAAAGCACATTGCTGAGTTGTGTCAGTCGAGGGAAGGGAAGAGTCGTCATTGATTGCTGAGTCTTGTAGTTTTGATATGAGCAGGGGCACGTTGTAAATGAGAAAATTCCTGCAGCATTTTCCGCCATGTAGTATTGTGCTAGTGATCTGGTGAACTAACTGAAGCTCAATATCAGACAAATTGCCCGCTACCAGGGGTTCTTTTCACCGTTGTGCTGGTCCAATTTTGCTCCTTCCGCACCCGTGGTCTGTTCTTCATCCCCAAAACATCACATTCTCTGAGCCTGGACACCCAACATCACGTAGTAGGCATTCATCCACTCGATGCGATCGTCATGGTGTGTATATACCGAAGCTTTCCCTTGACCATGCGAAACTCATGACTGTCCGGAGCGTTGCTCAAGTGCTGGAAGATATTGATCACATCAACCGAACCAAACGACTCATCGATAACGTAGCGCCTGTTGATGTTTGGCGCCTGCGCGTTGTTAGTCGGTATCCCGGGCTTGCAGCTGTCGGTAGGGGACCCGTTGCCGGTGTACGCGGAGCCCTCGAGCCGGGCACAGGGCGTGCCCCAGGGCACGGCATCGATCGCGCTCTTGTTGCTCCACATGTCCAGGTAGGCGTCCGCGGCGTTTTTGAGAGCCTCGCGGCTGTCCCGCTCGCCGACCGGTATCATGCCCCAGTCCTCCTTCAGGACCCACTCGAGCGTTTTGCTGGCGTTGAAGAGCCAAGACCCCGTCGTGGAGACGACCGAGTCGACCAGGTAGACGAGCATGTCGTTGTCCGGGTCGTGGCGAACCTGTGTTCCCACGACGTGGGGAGACGCACGATCGGTCATGATCATTTCTGTATACGTAGCACACTCTATGAGGTCCGTGATGGTACGGTTGTGGTCTACGTGCAACCTCTTGCCGAGAACGCCGGTGGTGATCTCCCTCGTTCTGTTGTTCTCTATGTAGGTGAGATTGTGAGGGTTTGCGCCTTCCAAGTTGCCGAGGGATCCATTGTTCTGTGCGTCGACCAGACCGTGGGCAAACTGTAGCATTCGCGTCTGGTTACACTCGGCACCAAATACGGCCACGAAGAGGGAACTGGCAACAACGCAAGGCGAAAAGCGGACCATTGTGTCTGGTGGCTGTATGTTCGGGACTGGTAGTTTCTGGTGCGGATCTCTGGCGTCCCAGCTATTCTTTCCATGAAGAATATGAGAGTCTTTTATCATCGAGCACGTCACACCCAAACCATCCAGCAGTTCAAGTGCCGTCCCGCCTATATTAAAGTAACACAAAATCCGGTAAAATGTAGATCTTTGAGGAGGCCCGGGTGGTCCCAACAAATTAAATTATAGGAGCTTTTCGGCAACGGGCTGAAAGAATGAGCAATCTAGAGTTAGATGGCCTAACAGAAGTACGGCAGATGTTGGGATGCATTAATATTTCCCCCTTCGCAGCAGTTCATTTGCAGTCATTAGAGATATACAAAGGAACAAAAAATGGTCCTCAACACACCAGTCCATGATGGAAGATTACAATTGGATGTAAACACGGGCTTGCATCTGAAAGACAAAAAATGATTAGTTATGTAGTTGCTGCGACACATCATGGGGCATTACCCATGTGAGTAGATGGCTTGAGTTGCATGTGCCAAAAAGTGTTGCCAAGCGCCATGGCATACCGATCCGTCTTCTACAACCCCGGTAAGCTCTTTACCCCAGCACAGTGAGAAGCCCCCGAGAGCTGAACGCTTAGTGTCTGAACCAGACCCAACCCATCAACATTACAGACCCACCCATCTTCAGTACTGGCCCGAACACCACCGTACCCAGAACTACCCAGAACTGTAATCCGACCTCAGAGACCTTGTCATAGGCTCTACCGCTCCTCTGCACACGATTCAAGGTCATTACGAACGATCATGTCCGACGGTTGGTTTTCTTCCAAGCTCGCCCCGGACGGCGCTGTCGAGGATGGATGCCACCCGAAAGAGGCACAGGCAATGAAATACTACCTGCGCCAAAAGAGGACCGTAGCCGAAGCTGCTCGAGCCATTACCCACCCCGTCGTGACTGCGGACAACCCCGGAGAGGACCTTCCCCGCCTCTGGGGGTTCCTGATGGACTCTCTCCTAGATCTACCAGCAGAACACACGGATTCATTATTAGAATTGCTCAAAGCAATCGAGAACCTCCCAGAGCCCGATTTCACGGCTATCGACGGGAGCAGACGGCCCTGTGAGAAGCTTTGGAGAGGTCTCCCGGGATTCGGCAACCTGTGGTCCGATTCATATCAATCTGGGAGCTGGAGAAGGACCGCCGCGGCGACCAATGGCCCGGCGCGTCGCGCGCTACGAGACACACACGTTAGAAAGGCAGAGATTGAGGCGCGGTTGCTCACAGCTGGCCTCGGCGGTATTCCGATTGATTGGGGATATGAAGTCGTTGCGGACGCTCTGGAGAGCAGTAACGCGCTGCTTGATTTCGAGGTCCCAGCTGCGACAAGGTGGCTTGTCATCTGCGGCCAGCGGTTCCGGCAGGGGGCGGAGAATGGAGAGGAGAGCTGGGCATTGAGGCCACATGTTACAACGTCATCCATGACCCCTTCGCGAGATCTCTGGGAAGCGTCTTCGGACCAGGTATTGAGTCTGGGCCGATGGTCATCGTGGGAAGGGCGTTTGAGGGAGTTACAACAGGGGAAGCGGGGAGTCGTTCAGGATGCGGCAACAACGGCGCTCGATGCCATGCGCAAGGGAGTCCATGCGCCATCGTGAAGGAGGGAGATAATTACAGAGAATATTCAGGCACACTGAAGAGAGGTCGACTCTTGAGAGCCTATACAACACCACATCGAAAGTCCTCTGCTATCCTAGGATCAACGTTGCGGTTACGTAGGATGCCTGCTATAGATGGCTATTCCTAGTATGGTGGTTACTGGGACGCAGAAAGTGCCTCAGCTTCTTCACCGTCCTGGTGTTCCGGTGACTGATGAAGACGAAAGCGGGCATCGTTCCCGGCCCTGCCTGTTTAAGTGCCGAACAATAATGACCCGGATGGCGCAAATTAATTGTTGATTTGCAGGCTCTGGAGCGCAAGATCAACGCGCCTTTCATGATGGCCGTGTCTAGCATTTGCTGAGGACCAGGCTTCCGTCTCCATTCTCTCATTGACCAGCTCCTCTTTTTGCAAGGTATGGGAACCAAGACACAGTGACCGGCTTTGCTGATGTGTCAGCTTTATCCGAGTACTGCAGCTTCGCCCGCAGCTTCCTGTAGTCGTCCTGCAATACCGGTGGGTACTTCGCCGGGTTTTGGCCACTGGCGCAGGCAGGGAGGCACTCGATGACGGATTCTGGGTCTGGGCTGACAAAGTACGGGATTGAATAACGAGCCCTCGTCAGGCCTTTGCCACCCTCGGGTTGCTCCTTCATCACAGGTGGGAGCGTTACACGATGGAGTGTCGACTTCAGGTAGTCTGGCAGGAGGAATCAGCCGATTGAACAAGGGAAACCGAGTCTCTGCATCCGCGTGCCACTCACCGTTGCTCCACCGCATGAGGAGGTCTCCGACGTTCATGACCAGCGCTCCTTTCATAGGCGTGGCATCCACGAACTCGCCTGGCTTCTTTGGGTGCTCGACCTGCAACCCCCCGCAGTCGTCCTGGAATAGCATCGTGATCGAGCCCCAGTCTGAATGCGCCGGCATCCTCGCCATCGCGTTACTCGAGAGCTTCTCGGTCTCAACAGGTGGGTAGTGCAAGAGCCGCAGCTGGTTGTTCTCGCCGCTGTGGAATTTCAACAAGTAATCCGGGTCGTCCAGCCCTATGCCCATAGCCATGGCTCGCAGGAGCTCCTTTGCGGTGTCATGGCAGGACCAGTAGAAACCCGTCGTGAACTCCCGGAAACCCGGGAGAACCTCCTCAGGTAGCCACTGGTTGGGCTGCTGGGCGAACGTCTCGCTTCCGATCTCATAGGACTCCTTGCAGTCCTGCACCTTGCGGAGCTCGGCGTCCTCGTGTCTGAGTCCGCGTCGTCCTTGTGGATGTACTGCGAGACCTTCTCGAGGCCTGGCCAGGAGTAGCCTCGGTGGACGTTGGGACCTAAAAATAGGTGAGCAGATACGCATCACTGAAAGAAAACGGCCCGAAAAAGCACCGAAAACCTTACCTGGGGGGTGAGGTGCCAGCATCTTCTTCTCCTCCGGCAGATCAAACAGTTTCTTCGACCAGCTAAAGGCTTCGTCGAGGAGCTCTGGGGTGACGCCGTGGTTGACGATATAGACAAAACCGACGCTCCGGCAGGCTTCGGCGAGGTCCTTTGCGACTGCTTTCTTTTCCTCTGGTGAGCCCTTCAGCCACCTGCTGAAGTCTATTACTGGCAGTGACGCAGCCATGTTTCATGCTCCGGTGAGCTTGCTAATTGCGTCCTGTTCCTTAGTTGCGTACAATGAAATGTTGTGCGCCCTCTGGGGCGTCAGGATATCCGCTTCCTGACCGGCTCTTGAACTGGGACTGCGCACATGTGTGTCGATACCGTGTAGCACGCTAGGTGACGTGGAGGCGTGGAGGGAGGGGATCAAACTACCTTACGTTATGCCGGACTGGAGCTTGGCACCAATAGGGCGCGGGGGCAAATGGAGATTCCACATGGTTGCCGCCGTCTTGCGTTGCCGATCTTGGAGATTGTCGGACGGCCCCGAGTGAGGATGTTATCTTTGGTACGGGCAACATACTTAGAGGAGAAATGGTCGCCGCTGCCTACATTGGTCGCGAGCTTATCGGTCGACACATAAGACTACGGGCATTTGCAGGCCAACTCGCCGTGAGATAGTAAATCATCCGAGGCGGGGAGAGGTCGAGGATGTTGGATGGCATTGCCAGCACATTAGCGCCACTGCCGGGTTCTTATTATCCTCTGTTGCATCGGAAGCAATGACCTGACATTTCCCCAACCTCTTTGCTCTTCAACTGTCGATGGTGATGACCTGCACCAGCAAGACATCCGTGATGCCCGGCGACATAGAGTCCCGCGCGTCGTACTGGGCAAAGCGGCTCGAGTGCCCAGTCGATGAGGACGCCAACTACCGCAACACGTTCTGGTGCAACCGCGACCTGATCCCGATCCCCGAGGACAGGAGGACTTGGACATGGCAAGGTTTCGCAGGGTACTGGGTCATCTGCGGGTACGTGAGTCAGCTGGAAACGGCCTCCCCAAGTCGCCATTCTGCGGCGCATCCGTGCTCACCAACCAACTGTGATTCAGCATCAACACGACGGCATGGACGGCCGGCTCGACATTATTGTCTCTGGGCTTGAGTGCGCCTCAGGCCATAGGCTGCATGGTCGGAGTCGCTTTGATCTCTGCTCTTGTCGCCGTGCTCGCAGGATGGCCCGGGAGTCATCTTTACCTGGGATTCACCGTGCTCTCGCGAGCTTCTTGGGGCATGAGAGGTGGTTTCTGGCCAGTGCTTAACCGCATTGTGACTGCATGCGTCTGGATGGGTATACAGGCATATTGGGGCGGACAAGGTAAGCCAGTGATACCGTTGCTATCACCCCATGATTGAGCGCCTCCTCTTGTCAATTACCCGATTCTTAGCTGACCCTCTTCAGCGGTCAAGATAATCCTCAGGGCAATCATCGGACCCAAGTTCCGCGACCTAGCGAACACGCTCCCAGCGTCAGCCAACGTCGACACCGCCAGCCTGATCTCCTTCTTCGTCTTCATCGTCATCTTCCTGCCCCTCCCCATGATCCCGCCCGAGAAGCTGCAGCTCCCCTTTCGGATAGTCTTCGTCATGATCACGGCGACCATGTTCGGAATGGTAGGCTGGTCCGTCCACGCGGCCGGCGGGGCAGGCATTCTCATGTCCACGCCGGCGACGGGCTCCGGCTCCACTCTCAGTTGGGCCGCCGTGTTCGGCCTGCAGTCCATCGTGGGCTCACAGGCCAGCGGTTGCCTGGGCCAGTCCGACTGGACGCGGTATGCCAGGACGCCCAATGCCGCACTATTTGGACAGTTCATCTGCGCGCCTATATTCATCGTGCTGACGTCTGTGTGTGGCATCATTATCACCAGCGCAGCGGCTTCCATCTATGGAGAGTACATCTGGAACCCATTCGAACTCCTGTTGACGGTGCAGTCTCACTCGATGTCACCTGCAGCAAGGGCGGGCACTTTCTTTGCTGGCCTTGGCTTCTTGGTCGATCAGCTTGCGCTGTGCCAGATGCTGAACGGGATCTCGACAGGAATGGATATGGCGGCTCTCTGCCCGAAGTGGATCAATATCCGACGAGGCTGCTACGTCCTGACGGTGATCGCAATAGCGATTTGCCCTTGGAACTATGTGACCAACCCAGGGACATTTATCACTGTGCTGAGCGGCTGGAGCATATTTCTCAGTCCAATGACTGGCATTGTCGTCTCCGACTACTTTCTTTGTTCGACGAGGTCAGTATCACATTGGCGATATGTATATGGGAAACAGTCGCAGCACATATTGGTACAGCCATGGATAATTGGAGATGCTTCTTGGCCTGGGTACTAGGAATGGCGCCTCTACTGCGTAAGTGTTTACTTACTATCCTCTCTGGCAATATCAATCGCCCAAGTTCTCTTTTGGCTACCAAAGATCGCCACATTAACCCATTATGTAGCCGGTTTCGCACGCGCCATACAAGGGCTTTCGTCTGGAAATGGATGGGACCGTTTATACCAGATCTCCTATTTCTACGGGTTCTTTGTCGCCTTGGCCATGCACTGGCTTCTGCACACGATCTTCCCTACGGCGAGACAGCGTGGCACTTCACCATTTGTGCTGGAAGCACATGCGGAAATGCTGAATACAGCTGAGAGCGACGATGTCACGGTCGACAGTTCGGAAGAGGAGAAGAGAGCGCCCGCCAAACGTGCAGAACTCAGTCTACAGTCGCAAAATGTATGATTATTCGTTACCATGACGCTGAAGAGGAGCTTGAAGATCGGCTTGATGGCAACTGGGATGAAGGGCGCCCGGACAGCAAAGAAGCAGAGATGCCGGGGGTATGTGGACGGGAGCCTGAAGTCCCACGCCACAGACACTGCACTCGAAAGAGGCTCAGGCTTGTGAAAACATCTCCAGCAAGGGCAAAAAGAGCTCGAACGCGTTTTTGGGCACCGCCGTGAGGCATGCTCGCCTACTTTCTTGCAGATTATGAATCACTGCTGATACCCATTTTAATACAATTTTTAATACAATTTTCTCAAAGATGGTATCTCCTCCCTGAATGTCGTATCGCCCTAGCTGGAGATAGAAATGTTGAGGGCGATGTCCGAGATGCCGCAAAAATTGCTGTTGTCTGTGTTCTCTAACACCCGACGACACACGATGCATGAAGCACTGCTGATCTCCTCTGTTCCGACGTCAATACCGAGCGAAGTCGGAGTTCTGACCCGAGCCCTTGAATCTTGGCCTCGGGAGAGGGCAGGCAGCCGGTGTCTAGGCCATATCAAACACCCCGTACAAAACAAGAGGATTTGTTGGTGTTGATTTGGAGCACGAGCATTTCATCCCGTCAAGCATTGTTTTCCATGGTCAAGATCAACGTTGCAGGCGTCTAACGTCGGTGCTGCGTCATTTTACCCCGAGGTCACAGATCATCAGCTCACATTTCCCCAGTCATTCGCGCCCGTGAGGTTCTCGAGCCGCACGATGTGGATACTGACGCAAGGATTGTAAAACAGGGCTCGCTCAGCAAGAATCGGCCTGCAGACTGATTCAGACCCCCATAACGAGGCGCCCAAGCCATGGATCTCATTGCTTATCCCAACAACCCATAACAGGACAGCCAATTGAGCACATTCTACCGACATAACCCGTCGGATTGAGCATATCCCGTCACAATACCCTCGGCTGCATACATGCACGATGCGTCTGGGACCGTACCAGTATCTCGCGGACATGGTGGTCATGCACTACCACAACTCATTCCTCAACGACGGCGAGAACAAACAGCGGCGCCGGTGCCTCGTCGCCATAGCCGGCGGGCTCGGCAGCGGAAAGTCCACCATCGCAGGGCATGTGCGCGACAGGGTGGAGGAGCAGGGTCTCAAGTGCCAGATTGTCACGCTCGAGGGGTTCCTGAGGCCGCGCGCAGAGCTATCAGAGGAGCAGCTGAACCAGCGAGGGGCGATCGACACGCTGGACGGCGACGCAGTGCTGCACATGGTGCAGGACCTGCGGGAGAGTAGGCCGGGAGAGGACGTTCACCTACCAGGGTTCGACGAGCACACGCGGGAGACGGTCCCGGATGGGCAGGTCATCCTGCCCGGCACGCAGGTCGTCATCATCAAGGGGACATACGTACTGGCGAACGCGCAGCCGTGGCGGAAGATCGGCAGCCTGGTCGATGAGAGGTGGTTCGTCTTCGTGATGCCCGATGTGGCGCGCGAGCGAGGGGCGAGACAGTACCTCGATAAGGGCATCGTGGAGACGGAGGAGGAGGCGTTCAGGAGGTATGATGAGATTGGGGTGTACACCAACAAGTATGTCAATAGGCATTCTTGTCGGGTGGACGTGGTTATCGAGAACAATGACGACACTGTGCCGCTGACGGAGTAGCCCTTCGCCGATCAAATTACGAGCCTTGGTTATTGTTCAAAAGCACCGCGGAGTCTGATGGCCAGCCCCTGGGCATGACTGTGATGTAACTCGAATCTGGGCGAGGGTCCTGCCTGAACTCAGCCAACTCACCTTGCGTGCGCTCTTTCCCCGATGAGCCATCCCCAACCACAGCTTCCAGGCTCCTTCCCGCTCCCGCTGTGAGTCTGATATGGGCGTGCCTTCTCTCTTTGGGGCAGACTTTCAACTGAAGGAAGCTCGAAGTGCTTACCAGGCAGCAGCGTGACTTAACCTTGAATCTCGATCTCGACCTCGACTTTGAGCTCGACTTTCCCAACGTCACTTCGTCTCCACCTTGTCTTTTTGACCATTTCCGTACAAACCCATCAAACTCTTCTTTCAACCTCGGGTCGTCAGTCGAAAATGCCTTCCAGAGACCCTCCTCCTCACATGCGCGCCTTGCTCGAGGCCCTCCAGCAAGAGTATGGCACTACCGACATCCTGGACCCCACTACGCTGCCCCAAAGTGGGTTACAGGCCACAAGCTCCTCCGCGATGACCCCAGCCAGTGGTTCAGGGGCACCCAGGTTGACGACAGAGACCTCGCTCTCATCAATGCCGACCCCGTTCCCTGGATCGACATTGGACAGCAGTCATACTTGAAGCATGTTGTATGTCAGAACTTTTCAAACGAGAACCTCGAATTCAATGAGAAAGCTGACAGCAGATCCAGCACCACAAGCTCAAGGACCAGCCGTTCAAGACAGTATGCACCCCTCTCGCCCCCACCTGAATTTGGTCTCCCACTGTTGCTCACAACCTCCAGACCCACTGGACCGTCGAGAACGACAAGGCTCTTCGTGGCATGATCTCTGAGGTCGGCGCTGGATTTAATGGCGGGGCCAAGCCCCCTGTCCACCTTCCCGCACGCGATTGGGAGTCGATGATGGGTAATTAAGCTTCCTCGCTCTTCCTCCCTCAGGGTCTCGAGATTAGTGGCTAACCTTTGCAAACCAGTCAACGTCACCATCACCGGGAACATCGCGCCAGGCGTCACCTGGGGTCTTCTTTCAGGCCGGCCTTCCAAGGCACGTGTGCTGGCTGGGCCCTGCTCGACCTGCACTGCGCACCCTTGGGACATCATGATCCTGCGCGACTTCCACACGAACACCTCGGGCCTCGACCAGGTTTCTTCCATCGCCTCTCGCCAGTTCGACATCTTGCTCATGAAGATGTGTGAAGACATGGACTGTAAGTCATGACCTGAATTGGCCTCAATCCGCACGACTGTAACTAACCCTTGACTTGACTTCAGACCCCTGGGTTGTTCTCGCCGTAAAGGACTCTGGCCCCTGGAATCCCCAGCCTTGCAGCTCGAACGGACATTGCGACAATAGTTGCCTGGGTTTCTAGGAAGTTGAGCTCACATGCTAGAAGGAGCCAAGCCGCGTCGGAATCAGATCTGCATTTGGGCAGTAACACAATGGCTTTTTTGGTCGATCATCTCGTGGATGAGTTATGCGGTGGATTACAAGTCGATGCTTTGCTATACGTCAAGTTAGTTGAGATGTCCAGTGGTCAAGGCTCAGCCAAAATACTTCCTTTCTGCGGCTCACTATTCATGTGAAACTGCAAGCCCTAAGAAACGATGCTTCCCGCAATATCCACAACTTGATGTCTTCTCGCATTAATGTCTTGATCTCAAGCCTTCAAACCGGTCGGAGAGTTTCTGACTCGTCTACTTGTAGACTCTTTGCCTCGCTGTATCTGGTGATGGATGTTGCACACAGAGTGGAAGACGCTGGTGCTCACATGTCAAGACGTAATCATTATATGGGTGGAATATCAAGCACCGGATTGTGCTCCCCGTAGACCCATCATCAGGGCTGCCACGGCTCCCACTATTGTGTAGGCTTTGGCCTCAGATAGTGAACGTAGCAATGGCCGTGAAATGAACTGTGATCTAATGTTCTCCAGCTTGTCACTCATTATGGGAATCATCTTTGCTTGCGAACTTTAATCCTCGAGTTTAGGCTAAGAGTATCTACTTTGGACCCTAGTCTGTGCCAAGGGGCCTCCTCTTACGCTGCGTGTGTCTATATGCAAGCGAACCTCTCCCGAAGGTGGCTTCTGATGTTCCTTGATGACTGGACATCTCAACAGTCTCTCCTGGACCGATCGTCAAGCCGAGAGACAGGCTGTGTCTCCTGTCAGGACCTTCCCTCTTCAACCGCCTTCCCTGCATGTGTCTGTGCCGTGCGGCTTCTAACTCGATCTGGGGTATCTCTTCTAGTGCTGATGTATATGTAATTCAAATGGCCACCTGTGACCTGTCGGTGAGCGCACCCGTGAATCTTTCGCACGCCGGATGTTCTGCGTTCATTAAGGCTCTGCGGTCCATGCCCTGCAGGTCGCATCCATTATCGCTTTGGCTGTGCGTGTGGAGTCTTGTGTCCCATTATATTGGGCTTGCCGTTGGGTAACATCAAGGCCTTCCAACCCGTGTGGCAGAGTTCATCGACAATGTGTATATGTGTTCCAGCCCGGGCTGCCTCGTCTATTTGCTCTGGACCTTGATGGCGTAGTACATATAGCCGCCCACACCAAAGACGATTGTGAAGACTGGAGAAAGGATTAGCCAGCGAGATGGGACACCGAAGTATATAGGAATAGAACTCACCGACTGCAAGTGTTTCTAGGACACGATGATCTACTGATCTTGCCACGAAATAGTTGAGGTGCTCTCCCAGCTCCTGGCGGATGACGCGAGTGTCGATGGCAGGCATTATTATTAGTTGGGTGCGTAGGATGCTAGCCGGCTTGGCATACTAGATAGAAGGGTGCGAACGTGTAGATTGGCAGCAAGGTTCCGAGCACATGCACGATTGACGGGAGGAGGATTAAGAAAGAATGGGCTCGCCGCCGATCAAATAATAAACGACATCCTTAATTCTTTTTCCGGAGAGAGAGCTGCATCCCACAGAGGAGGGCGAAAAAGCCCCGGACTCAGAAGCCCCTAGTTAGACGCGCCCCCGTCGGCGGCGGGCTCGACTCATGATCAGCTGACGGCCAAGCAGCCAGTGTCAGAGACTGTTTCCGACCTGGGCGGCGGGCGCCCAGAAATGAAGCCATATCAACCCATTTCGGGTTTCATGGCTCGTGTGTATATGTTTCATGCTCATCCTGCAGCCCCACTGGTCTGCAACAAAGGCCAGGCCTCTGGGCTGTTATCTCTTCCATTTCTTTCCCTTTTTGACTGATAGCCGCTTACTCTACTCGGCATGCGCGCCGAGAACTACCTCCATAAGCATATAACCCCTGCCCGCCCCCACTTCGACTTGTCGCATCAGGCCCCGGGCTGGCCCGACGTCCAAAGTTGGTATCTCACCATGTTCGCGGCCCCGTGGATGGGCCCGTACGCGGCCTGGGTTTTGCCCCGTCTACCCCGTAACACTCCAGATGGGGACAGACGACCACAATGGGAAGAGTATAAAGCAGGGAAAGGTCAGAACAGACCGGGGTTAACCGGCCCTGGCATGATGACTTGACTTGTCAGAACTTCGGTCGCAGACTGTGAATGAATGCATCAGGGTCTGCTCTGGGCAGGACCCTCTCTAAAAGAGGTATCCAATTCCAGGGGCCAGTTTGCATGGTCGGATTTACATAGAGCCCATATGAAACTACCAAGAATGCATGCTATGGTGCTCACTACTTCAGGACGTCCTCAGAAGCAGGATGGGCATTTTATTACGGATTTACGGCAGCTGCATCCCTGGCAAGTGTGCGGCTCATGCCGGTAGCTCGGGAACTGCAGCTCGTCGATCTCACCGGCAGTCTTATTATTAGCGCCAGGCACACCAGGCAAGTGCCGGACCGCCGAAACTATCTAAAGGCTGCGGGCCGGAAAGTTGCAAAGGCTGCAGAGTGCCACACCGAAGCCACCATCCTAACATGTCGGGGACCTCGTCACAAATACGAGAAGATACCGTCAAGTAAATCGCATTTGTGTTAATTCTTCGCGGTATACCTTGCGAGCAGTACTGGCTGGGCGTTGTGCATCACACGATCAGCAGCGCGCTACATGGGATGGCACATCACCATGACTGCAGCTGAGCATTGCCACGGGATGATCTGGGTAGTACCTTTCCGAGCAATTTATAGATCTCATCACAGTTGATTATGGCGCTTGGAAAGTTTGAAATGAGGCTGAGCCGGATTGCGCCCGCAAAGCGTTGCGCCAATAGCTAGGCGCGTTTCACTATGGCTATTCAACAGGGGCGTTTCTTTTGCTAACCGCGACGGGTTGGTCTTGGAGTCTTGGTAGTCTCTATCACAACGACTTGGCTTACTGAATATTCCTACCATCGTAAATGTAGATTAGGACTCGCGTTCGCTTTCATGTTTACCCATTTTATACTACTGTACCATGCTGAAACAGCAAACTCCTGATCAACATGACGCATTCCAGTATACAGCACCTGCTGAAGCTAAGAGATCAATGGACTTGGGTTTTGCACCGTGATCTAGTGTTTAGCACCAAATTCATATAGATATTGGACCCCGAGCTTAGTGTTGCGTACATTTCAGGCGTGACCATTGTTCAAGAACTTGATAAACGAGACTACATAGCCACACTATGTGTCGATGATACCGATTTGATACTTTCCTGGGAAGGTTAAGAAATCTTCCGATTGCCCTGGAATGGAGTCAGCGTACGCCCACCCAGCTTCTACAGTACGCCCACCCAGCTTCCAGCGTTGGCCCACCCAGTACAAGGAAAATTAGCTGCATCCGCATTAAAATGCAAGTACTGCGGGGTTTTTAATAAGCCAGGGTAGCTATTTTCCAATTTAAGCAATACTTTAAAAATACAAGCCTAAAAAGCCCAGAGGGCCCCAGAGCGCCCAGAGCGCCCAGAGCGCCCAAAGCGCCCAGAGCCCCCAGAGCCCCCAGAGCCCCCAGAGCCCCCAGAGCCCCCAGAGCCCCCAGAGCCCCCAGAGGGCCCCAGAGCGCCCAGAGGGCCCCAGAGCGCCCAGAGCCCCCAGAGCGCCTAGAGGGCTGCAGAGCGCCCAGAGCCCCCAGAGCCCCCAGAGCGCCCAGAGGGCTGCAGAGCGCCCAAAGGGCCGTAGAGCGCTTAGAGGGCGCAGAGGGCGCAGAGGGCCGCAAAGGGCGGCAGAGGGCGGCAGAGGGTAGAAGTAACTTTTAAGTTGCAAATAGAGGGGTAGCTATGGGACCCCTCTAGGGTAGCTATGGGACCCCTCTGAGATAGCTATAGCTATGCTTTATTAATAACCCCGCAGTACTAATATTTTATAGCGCATGCAACCAATTTCCTTGTACTGGGTGGGCCAACGCTGGAAGCTGGGTGGGCGTACTGTAGAAGCTGGGTGGGCGTACGCTGACTCCCTGGAATGGCGATTCTAGATTATCTTTAAGGTGTGTCTTTTGTTGTTGAAACATCTAAACTCACTCAATAGCTGAATCTATCTCGCCTCCGGGACTCTCCCTTCCAAGAATCCCGCCGCTTCGTGCAGGCTACGAATGAGGTCTTTGAGATAGCTTAATTCTGTTGCTCGATGATGGTCGTGAGACGGCGGGCGGGCAGGGAGGCCGTTGTCCCCGAGACTTCGTGTAATATAGGTCTTGTGAGAGCATAATATCATTTCAAAGGCCTTCTTGACCCGAAGTTCAACGCCGGCCAACAAATCCTAGTGGCCGAAGACTTCGGTAGAAGAACTCTAGGCTACCGTAGATCCACCGCGTGTGAACGTCTCTAACGCTGAGGGCATATGGATACGACCTACTCCACGCCATTGCGCGTCTAACCAATCCAAACTGGGATCGCCACAAACGCTACTCATCTATACTGTTATGACCTGGCTCGAAGTTGCTGATTAGAGGGGGGAATTTCCGCGGAAAGTAAATGTCCTTTTCATTTTCCCAGTCGCGATTGTGAACAGGCTGCCAGCTGCCAGAAAGGACATGATTAAAACTTGTCACTACTTTATGTCCCAAACCCTGAACATCTGTATCTTAGGCTTTTTGTCTGGTCTACGGGACCCTTTTGATGTTGGCATCATGAGCTTTAGTGGCTGGCAGTGAACAACTGTACTTCAATCCGGTGATAGTGGCAGCATGAAGTGAGGCCCCATGCCTTTGCTTGCGACTACCCAAGATGTGTTACAGAAGCTTCAAGCTAGGGGAAGATCCCAAATACAAGGCCAAACAACTCGAGATCGTATACCCGGACCACACCTTGAAGTGGAAGAATGAGCAGCAGGCCAAAGATTTGCCCGTCCAAAAGAAAAGAAAGAAAACTTAAATAAAACTTACATGCATTGTAGAATCAGTACAGTGGCTATCGTTGCGGTGCAAATCCTCCCGATCTGTTCCTGACAGCCGCAACGACTTGACAACCACTCCTCTCAAACATCACTTGTTGCACGCGTGGACATGAGACTGATATCCACGCAGAGTCTTAAAGTGGTATCAATACGCGAAGATGAGATACCGCCATATGCGATCTTGTCCCACACCTGGGATAAGGACGAGGTCACGTTGCAAGAGATGCAAGGCTTCGGGGCAGAATTGCTATCCACCGCCAGTCGGATCGATCTTCTCAAGGCGAAGCAAGGCCTTCGAAAGGTGCTTCACGCCGCAAATCTCGCTGCGTCCGAGGGACATGATTGGATTTGGATCGACACTTGCTACATCGACAAAACCAGCAGCGCAGAGCTTTCCGAAGCCATCAATTCCATGTACAGATGGTATCAGGGCTCAGAGATATGCTATGTCTACCTGTCAGACGCAAGACTGGGCGACAAAGAGCTTCAGAAGTCAGGCGACGAATCGTTGGGGCGACTGATCCAAGATAGTCGCTGGATCGCGTGCGGCTGGACCTTTCAAGAGCTGATAGCTCCTTCATCGGTATTATTTTACTCAAGCGATTGGTCATTCATTGGGAGGAGTAGCGAAGACCATATAATTCGCACTCTGGCAGAAGCAACTGGCATCGACATTGGCGTGCTATCTGGCGACATTGCCACGCAAGAGGTCAGCGTTGCCAATCGTATGAGATGGGCATCCAAGAGGAAAACAACGCGCAAGGAAGATATGGCATATTGCTTGATGGGGCTTTTCAGTGTGAGTATGCCTTTACTGTATGGGGAAGGCGGAGTTCGTTCTTTTATCCGTCTTCAAAACGAGATCCTTCAGGCCACAGATGATCAGACCATATCCGCCTGGTCAACACCGCCTGGAAGCAAAGACAACATCCGAGCATCGGGACTATTAGCCGAATCTCCGGCATATTTTCGAGATGCACCGAGTATGTATCCTATGTCAGACTGGTATCAACCCGAAATCAGCACTCCGTGGAGTATGACCAATCGGGGGCTCATGGTTCAGCTATATCTCCAACCTTCGAAATCAGACGGCAGCACAAAGGAAGATTCTGCAGATGATTTCGTGGCGGTTCTCAACTGCTCTGCTGAAATAAGTAGGGTGGATTATCTCGGCCGGGAGTGGATTCGTGACTACAGTCCAACAATATCACTGCGGCGGCTGTGGGGGGACCAGTTCGCAAGAATGCACGGAGATGAGGTCCGATATTGTCGGAACGCATGATCGGCAAGGAGGCCAAGTCAAAACTCTCTTCGTGAAGCAAGACCAGTCTCTTTCTCTCCCTAGCTTCGCCGTCCCCGAGAAAATTCTAAGAGGCACAGGTAGCTTTATCGTGTCTGGGGTGTATCTTTGAGATTTGTGGGATTCGAAGTCTGGCATTTTCAGGTCTGGCCTTTCCCGACAGCGATGTATTCAAGGACTTTTCAGATTCTCTTATCCGCCCGACAGTGGGATTACTGGCGGCGTGTTTGATGTCGCCGTCGCTCTCCAATCAACGGCACCGGGTCAATTCGAAGCAATTGGCACTCTGAGACCACCACAGGGAAGGACGGTACGCCAGGCTTACGACTTCATAAATAAAGTATGGCTCATGGCTCCTCAGGATTACAAACCGAAAATTGCGAATCAGTACCGGGATCAGATGATTGCATCCCTTCAATTGCGCAGAACCCAAAGACTTGGCGGCGTCTCGAACATTCTTGATCTGCTGGAAAAGGTCGAGCTCCAAGACACCGTCCCCGATCCACAACCGGACACAGCAGCTTTGATCACACTATAAGCGCTCGAGCAATACCGTCCGTCTGTGGTATATTTGAAAAGTACTTGAGCCGTGCCAGCACGGTACCAGCACCGCTCCTGTTAGAAACGATTTCCCCTGTTAGGGATGCTTTGTAACAATTCCAAGTTGTTAACAGCTGATTTCTGGGAGCAGTTCAAAATATGAACTATACACGAGGGTTACAGGGCATAATAAATGTATACGGAGGGTGGAGAAGTAGAGGGAAGAGACACAGAGGGTATAAGAGCATAGTAAGGGTAGTTACAGGAGCAGGAAAGACACAAAGTGTAGAAAAGGTATAATTAGTATTCAGAATAGCCCACTTAGAACTACTTCCTCATTCTTGTTTTATATATAGAGCCTTTTGAAATTCCAACAAAGTCTTAATCTAGATATCCTCTTCTCTATCTTCTTATTCTTCTCCTGGGCACAGTCTAGATGTTCAAGACACAACACATGCGATCGCCTCCTAATGCTCACTCAGCAAGTTGCCGCCACCCTCTATCACCGTATCAAAACGCTTCGCTTCTCCAGATCACGCCGTACGAATACCCTGCTTCACCCAAAGTGGCATCATCAAGTACCTCCTTCCCTCCGTTGACCTCTCCCCCAGCGTTAAAAATTACATCTATGGGAATTCTCTCCTGATTGGTCACTAACTCACTTGTCCCCAGCAAGTCCTTCTTTGAGTTTCATACCAGGAACTACTGACTGGAGTATCTCAATGTTTCTCTCCACACGTTTTTCTGAGCGCACTCGCTGTCTGGGGAAAGGACAAATGGAGACGGTCTGGAAGAAGGCCATTTTGGTCAGCACCCTCTTAGCCCACCCAGGATGCAAATAACAGATTTCGACTCACTGCTTTATAACCTGCTCACTAATATAAGCCCCTCGTTCCGCGTGCTGCAGCGCAGTGTCCGCCAAAGCATGCCCGCCCTCTTGAGAGGACCACGCAAACACCTTGTTGAAAACCGCGATGCCCGAGTGCGAGCGATGCAGCGAGCTGGCACACAGGCCCGGATTGACACCGTTGATGATTACGGACCCGTCTGTCCTGGCGTCCAGCTCGCGCAGCCAAAGCTGGTTCAGGAGCTTGCTGGCGTTGTAGCGGTCCATGCTGTTCTGCTTGAACGAGTCCGGGCCGTCCATGCGGTCGATGATGTTGGGCGCCTTGTGCTCTTCGAATTTGGTCCAAAAATGAACCTCGGAGGTGACTATGGCCCTGCGGAGGGCGAAAGGGGGACTGGCCAATATTATACCCTTCAAACAGGAGGAGACTCAAATCTTGAGATGCCGGGGAAGCCGTTTTGGGCTCACATACATCTTAGTCGGCGAGCCGAGTCGTTGCGCCGTCCGCTGTAGGGGCTCCAGCAGCGCGAGCGAAAGCAGGGCCGTGCCTAGGTGGTTGACCTGCACGTGCGCCTCATGCCCCGTCCCCGACCTCTTGTACTCGAGGAGCTTGACGCCGGCCGACAGCACCACGATGCCAAGCCGGTCCAGCTGCGCCGCCTGCCGCGCAAAGGCCTGGATGCTCGGCCACGACTCGTAGTCCAGCTCCCACACCTCGACGTGCACCCCGCTGTTGCCCTTGACGGTGTCCTGCCGCGCCGCCTCGGCCTTGGCGACGGTGCGCGCGGCGACGATGAGCCGCGACAGCCCGTGCGCCGCCATCTCCTTGGCCGCCTCGTGGCCCAGGCTGCCGATGGTTCCTGCGCCTGTCACGAGTGCTGTTTGGCCGTCGACGCGGGTCTTGTCGGGTACGGGCTTGGGGTGGAAGGCCAGCTGCCTGTACAGGAAACAGGGTTGGCTGCCCATGGTGATTGGTTCCTCACTTCTACTGTACTAGTACCGTTTGATTCGTATTTATCCTTAGGCACTTTCTATATTGCCCCCAAGTCGAAAAGCTTGTAAGCAGTTGTGGAATTGGTAGATACTGGACGTCAAGGTATGCTCTGGATTTGAGGCGATCCCAGTCTTAGACAGCCGCTGTTGCAAGCTTTCTTTTGCCCGAAAACTATAGACATATGAACTGGCGTTGTGTCTAAAAGACTGGCTGATGAAATCAGCAATGTGATGAGATCTGTCATAGGCTCAGAGGCTGACTGGGAACGGATGGTCGGGGGAATTCAGGCGCCGCCCGAAGCTGACTGACTACACAGAAACGAGATTTCACGGCTGACAGGCGATCCAGCTGCATGTTAGAGGCTTAGGTGACGAGACTTCTCACATGAATTAGCCCGCGTTTGACAGGCCACTCCACAAGTTCCGGAGCGGAGGCGGGGACAGGGGTTGGACAACGCAGCGCGAATCCCGCGGCCATTGTAGATGCTGTGACTTTTCAGACCTTTTCTACGATGATGCCACCCTTTTACGGATCCTTAGGCTGTATTCTACCGCGTGGAAAGACTCTGAAGGCCATTGAGCCTCGGAACTCTCCCTTCGTAGGTCCTAGCAAGCCGATGCTAAGCTTTGATTTCCCTGTTACTGTGAAGCAGAGGATTCGACACCCGAAAGGCCCAAGGGCCTGGAAAGATGGGAACTGCTTCAATGGCCAAACTGGGACTAGCGCTATTTGGTATAATTAGACACTAGAGGGTGTCTACCTCACTCACTGAGACTTTGTAGATATTAACCTAATTTGACTATATTCGGTCTCGTGCACTGTTTGTGCTCCCTCTGGCAGCCCTTCAGGCGGAATGTCGCCAGAACTGCAAGCAGCCCTTTTGTGGCTTAAGCACACGGGATTTTGAGCGATAAATTACTATCCCAGAATGAAAAGGAGGGCCAGTTAATCCAAGTTCGAGAGATCTTATAGACTAGTCATATGGATTGGGCTCCAAGGCCAAGTCGGACCGACAATGATTGTGTTTATGGGGCAAGAGACACTGTGTTTTACGACAGTTTTAGGCATGCTTAGCGATAGCCATGATCTATACAACCATTTTATACGTCATAGAGGGAGCTCCTAGGTGTGAACCTGCCCCGTGCCGAGCAAGGATAGAACAATGCCGAACAGAGCCAAACGACGCCTTCCATCCTCGTTAATGGACCGAGACTGGCGGCGCCCGAACTGATCATTTGCTGCTCTACGTCAGCAACAAATCATGGACAGAAACTGCGTCTCCACTGCTCTAAAGCGAGAGATGATACTCGTAAAACTGCCGCGAATGACGTGGATGGCTATTAATATGCTGCCCAAACACGGAGGAGCTGCCGCTTGCGGACGGGTCGGAGACGCAGCTAAATGCGATCTCGTCCCCACGATGGATGGGTGCTCTGGTACTGGATTCGATTGACTCCTGCGTCCAATTCTGGGTGGTTATGTAAAATCGGATGGTGGGCGGACAACACGGGCATGCTTGATACTACTTCATGCCTCTCCAGCGACGATGACGCGGGTTGTCAGATGAACGACCGATCCAGTGAGCTTGGGCCGTGTGGAACCTTGGCTATAGCTGGAGCCTGGAGGCCTTACGATGAGCCGGCAATGCCGACGTTGAGAGAGTGCATTGGGCGGGAAACACTGAAGTCCGGTTGGGCGAGGCGTAGAGGTGATGCGCAGCACATGCTTTGGTGGGACAACTATCTTCTCTTTTGGTTGGGAGTATGCTGATCTTAAGCTCTAGCAACAGCAATGCCTACGAGAAAGATCGTCGTCTTGAACATTGGTCTGTTGCCGGTTTCAAAGTTTCAGCTGCCAAGACTCAAGGCAGACTGCCGACTATGTGCTGCAAACCTTTTGAGGCCATTCCGAGCCGTTACTGCCGTGACACTCTGGAAGGGTCAATGTGCGATAGAAGTCGTGCCCTTTTGCTGCATCCCAAAGTTTGACCACAGCTTTTGAACGGACGTTCGCGTCTGAGAGCGTCTGGCCTTGAGACGAACGATGGTTGCAATCACTGCTTATCAAGTTGGGCGAGAGATGGATAGTCGGCACCAAAATCGGGGGCCTCCACTGGATCCCACGTGAGTTTTGGTCCCACTCGACGTTGTGGTCAGACGTCAGACGGGTGTTGTGGTGTTTCAGATTCAGCCCAGCCCCTGGATCAGGGTTTCGGGACGGCCAAGAGCCGCACTTTATTGGCCCCTGGCGGGTTGATCCACGCCATCCGGGCTTTTGATACTGGCCCCGAGGTGTCAAAACAAGCTTGATTTTCTTGGCCCCACCCTATCGAGACTCGAAAAGGCGGCTACAGCCCAGCACGTCTGCCCTACGGCTGGCTTTGCTGGGACGGGGCCTCCAACTTGCCGGTGCGGTCCTGTGCCTTGCAGAACGTGGCCCCCCGCATCTTTTCCGTACGCAGGATTGTGAAGCCAATGCTGTCTCCGATGTGCCCCCCTCCATATGCCGCCGTCCTCCATATGCCGTGCAAGTCTGGCAAGTGGGCAGGGCTACGTGGTGGTGCACCACAGGACTGCAAGGTTGGAGCTTAACGTGAGTCGGCGCTTGCCCCTGACGATCTGCCTCACACCACACACGGTCTAAATCCGGGGCGGAACCCTTTCTCCTGCCAAGTTCTGACGTGCCGATAGACATGGGAAATGGAACACGGCCACGCTGCTGTGCATGTCGGTGGCGAAATCCGGCACACAATGGCACAGACTGGCACTGTGTATTTTTGGGATCTCCACGGGCATCGTGGCAGCGTTGGTGTGTCAGAATGCGCAGTCAAGAACCCCAGCCGCATTGCAAGCCTCCTGCAGCTAACCATGTCCAGCCATGATCACTGCACACTGTCGTCTATCAGGCCCAAAAGAGCGACGACCAGGGTCCTGGATCGACGGCTAAGAATATCAGGGCCTTTAACATGTCACCGGGCGCCAGTCTTCTAGTGCAAACTCAAGTCACCTAATTTATATCGAACTTCTTTCGACTTTCACTTCTCTACATCGACTCTTATGCAGCTGGTCTGTTTTTCTCCTTATCTGTTTTAAAACATCTACACTTACGAGTCTCCTGGAGAGTACCTAATCAACAACATGTCTGACAACGGAAACGGAGGACTCGTGGGTGGGCTGGTGAACGGGGTCGGCGGTCTCTTGGGAGGCGGCCAAAATGCGCGGCCACCACTACCACCACCACCAAACTCATCGGACAACAACGGCGACAACAACAACAACAACCAAGGAGATGGATCCACAAACAACGCTGCAGATCCGGGTGGAAATGATGGTAAAGGCCAGAACCAGGGTCAAGGACAGAACGGGAACGATGGTGATGGGAAGCAAGGTGGTCAGGGTGGCCAGGGAGGTGGCAATAATGGCAACGGTGCTGAGGCTCCAACTTCGTCTTCAACATCAGCGTCACCCTTACCAACCTCAACGACGCCTACCTCGGACGTTGCTGAGACGACGGCACCCACGAGCAGTGCCGCTGCCGGAAACCAGCAGCAATCCACGGCCCTCCCTGAGACATCCGCAGCAGCGGTGAACACACCCACGACTCCGGTGGTCCAGACCCCAACACCCCCAGCATCTACTTCACTGCTTGAGTCCATCTCATCCCTGATCTCATCTACTGGCACCGCGTCACTGCCACCCGCCGCGGTGCCCACCGAGCTCTCATCATCAGTAAGCTCCATAGCGTCAACACCAGCGGTGCTCAACCCCGCCACGCCGCTGCCCACCACGCTGCTCTCATCAACCCTGAGCAGCACGCCCTCGGCCAGCGACGCAGCCGACACCCCGTCGGCCTCGGCAGCCAGCCTCCAGCAGGAGGACAACGACGGCGCCATCGCGAAGACATCCAGCCAGTCCAACGTGAGGACGACCACGATCGCCATCGCCGCCCCGGTGGGCGGAGTGGTCGTGCTCGGCATCCTGTTCGTCATATTCAAGAAGAACAGGGGCTGCTTCCGCCGCAAGAAGGAGCAGAACGGGAGCATCCTGGACGACGAGGAGATCTCGAGCTGGAGGACGGTCCAGCACCACGACAAGTTTGACCCGGCGAGGAACTACTAGGAGCTCACAAGTGTGTGTCATCATGGCTTCTACTACCATCCACAGTGTACCCACAAGGTAGCATGCCCGTGAAAAGCAGGATGAGCGCCCGGGGTTTAGCGATCGGGATAGAAAACGGGGCATTAGTCAGTCGCCCACAAGAGGAGCAACCCTTTAGATTGCGCGCAATTACCATACATACACAACCACCTACGAGGATAATGATAGTTCATAGTCATGCATGATCCTCCGTGGACAGGCCCTCCAGGTGTCCGTCTTGTTTCTTGACCATGACCGTCTTCCTCAGCGCCGCCCGGGGCGGCCACTTGGCCTCGAACACCGCGTCCAGCTCCTCGAGGGTGCGGCCGCGGGTCTCGACGCCGAACATGAACCACACCAGGCTGTAGACCAGGTTCAGCCCGACAAAGACGAAGTAGTAGTGCCAGTCGATGGCTTCGAGTGCAACGGCGGTGACGTAGGTGTTGTAGAGGTTCGCGCAGTTGGACAGGATTACGTGCTGTATTTTAATTAGACACCGAGTTCAGCTCAAGGCGAGGGAGACAAGACTTACAATTCCCATACCCTTTGCCCGCATGGGGTTGTTCAACACCTCAGCGCAATACGTGGCCGTCAACGGGGTGTAGACAAACGAATACGCACAACCAAACAAGAATATGAACGCCACCCCGCCATTACTGAGTGCAGGCCCGGGGTTCGCCTTGTTCTCAAAGCGGCTCGAGAACCCAGTCACGCCGGCAAACAGCCCGGCCAACACGATGCTGCCAACCCAGAGCTTGGTCCGCCTGCCGATGCTGTCGTTGGTCGCCGAGCCGGCGACGGCCCCGGCGCAAGAGACGATCGAGTTCATAAAGGTCAGAAGGAGGCGGCGCTCCGTCGAGGTCACGCCGAGGAGGGTGTACATGGACGGGAGGTAGTACGTGAGCACCGAGTTGCCCGAGAGCTGCGCGAACACGGACATGAAGGCCATCATCAGGAACCGCCAGCGCGCGTTGTGCGTGCTGACGAGGGGCCAGAAGTTGAAGATGCCCGACGACTTCTGCCGCTCGATGCCCTGCTCGAACTCGTGCAGCTCCAGCTTCACCACCGGGTGCTCCGGGTCGCCGCCGCCGTGGTACTTGGCGAGGATCTGGGCTGCCTTCTCTCGCTTGCCCCACATCGTCAGCCAGCGGGGCGACTCTGGGATGAGGAGGCACCCTGCCATGATGAAGAATGGTGGGACGAGCTGGAGGGCCAGTGGGAGGCGGAAGGCTAGCTCTCCATCGGCTTTGTTGCAGGCGTATGCGACGCCTGTTGCGAGTATGGAACCGGTGTAGAAGACTCAAGTGGTGGTCAGCAGGCTGCATGAACCTTTACGGCAGGAATCACTCACATGTGTTGTAGTAGCCAACGACTCTAGCCCGCCACTGAGGAGGTGCGAGCTCCAAGGCATACGTCGGGGCAGCACTCGTGCCAATGGAGACGCCAAAGCCCAGGACGAAGCGGCCACCGAGGAGGTAGCCGTCGTTCTTCGCTGCTGTTTGCACCGCCGCTCCAACCATAATCAGCAGAGATCCGATTGACATGCCCGCTCGCCGGCCGAACCAGTCGCAAATGGGACCAGTGAACAAGGAGCCAACCATGTTGCCGATGGTATAGATCATGAAGATGCTGTTACAAACGTTAGTAGGCAAACGCCTGGGCTCTGTGTCCCTCTCCAAGGAAGCCGGGTTGCCAAACTCACATCCCCGTGCTTGACCCGAGCTCTGTGTGGTGGAAGTACGTCTGGTACTGTTTCATGGCATTGATGGAGCTGAAGATCGACTAGTCACTGCGTCAGCCACGAGTTAACAGTTTGGAGCCGGTGGTACTTACTCCATCAAACCCTGAGGTCGTCGCATTGAGTGCGGCGACGAGGAGGATCAGGTACAGCTGGACACTGGTCCTGGACCATGGGCTCAGTGGAGCAGCCGTCACGGTCTCATAGAAGTGTGAGTCGCCCTGTACTTCCTTGATCTTGCCCGCGGCAGGCTTGATGTCGTCGACGTCGTCGTGCTGGTGGCTCGTGGTCTGCACCATCTCTATCCCTCGCGAGTCCTTCGCTTGTGCCATGATCGGGGCTGGAACCTCGAATGGTCAGTAGGAGTTGTTATCCAAAGATCTGTCAAGCCTCAATCTTGGTTGGAGGTCAGGTGGGACGGCTGAGGCAGAGATGCAGAAATGATAAGCTTGATAACTCAGGCGACACTAAGCACAACTCAGATGTTACTCGGCATTCACTTGCTCGACCCTGGCCCGCACAACCTCGGAAGGAAGGATCAGAGGAAGTTGCGTCCACGTGGTGGAAGCAGAAGCAGCCAAAGCCAAACTGGCCAGACTCACTCACTACCAGCCGGTCGGGTAATTCAGCCACACAGCGGTGACTGTTCTCGCCATGGTAAACAGGCTTACGGCAACCGGTTTTCGTGGTTAAGATTGAGCGCCCAGGCTAGAAAACCATCACATTCCCCTCCCTTACTCCGCACTCCTTCGATAAGCAGGCTTGTCTTCTGACGGCGAAGATCAGCTTAGACGACGGGTAGAGCTTATCATGCATTGGCAACCTGCATGGAACGTTCCCTCCTCGGCCGCTACCGAGCAGTTGGGTAACCGCGCCGATTCATACGAATGTTGCCGTCGGGCAGAGACTGGAAGTCGGGAAGATTGACCTTTCGGAGGCCCTATCCGACTCCACGGTCGGCTCGTTTTTGGCGTTAACGCACGGAAGCCGGCTCGGGTTCCGTTTCGACCAGCAGCCGACTCACACGACATAGAATTCTCCTTCAATATCAACGATAGCCGCGTTGCACAACAACTCGGGTTTATTGCGACTGAGAACGGGGCGGCAGAGAGCTCCACTTGGACACGAGCAAGCGAGAGAGCCACAATTGGAAATCAGGTGGTCCACTGATGGGAGGCCAAAGAGCCAAGACGGGTTCCACTTTGCACACAAAATGGAGGACAACCCAATCACCTGCAGAACCGCAACATCACGTAAGAAGCCGTTCCCATGAGCCAAGCAAAAGCCGGCCGACTAGCGTAGCAACATATGTCGCGGCAAGCCGGTGGAATGCCGGTTCGGTTGCCACTGATTCATGTTTCACTGCTCCGATCAGCGACCGATATCTCGGCCGTCCTCTCATCACTCTGGCCCGGATCTCATCACCTCTAACGTGTCCACCTATTAGACGCGTGGTACAGTCAACGGTGACACTCACTCGAACGCTCCGGTCACATATCACTACGACGAGTATATATAGCTAAGATTGCTGGTCATTCAGCCTTTTACTTTCTCTTTCTTCCACAGGCGCTTTGCAGCCATTGCTTGCCTGATCGCCCATCTCACAACAAGAAGTATACGCCCACTTTGCTCAATCGCAGAGATATCTTGAAGCCTTAGATATGGGCAGCTCAGGTCCTGACTGGCAGCTTCGGCTGGAACAAGACGGCTTCGTCGTCCTTCCGAACAGAGTATCCGCCGAAGACTGTGCCGAGTTCCGTGAGGAAGCCCTGAGCTGGCTTGAGAGGTTTCCTCATGGATTCAAGCGCGGCGACCGTTCAACATGGACTTCAGAGCATCTCCCTTCTAGCGTAACGTCAGACAAGATCCCAATAAAACCTCGAAGGAGGGTTATGAGTTCATACTGACGGACAAGCTTAGGGGTGGACTCTATAATCGATACTCGGTAGGACATGAAGCATTCGTGTGGAAGATCAGATCGTGAGTTGGCAGGTCGACTGCTTCACAGCTTGGTGGCTGACCATAATAATGAAGCCAGCCCAAGATCCTAGAGGTCTTCGCCCGGCTCTGGGGCACCGACGACCTGATTGCCAGTTTTGACGGGATCAACATCACCTTGCCCATCAACGAGGAAACCGGCAGGACGGACATCAAGCCAACAGGCGCCTGGCCTCGTAAGCGCACACACAATCTTTTCACATGACAATGCCGGGAGACGGAAACTGACAGACAACGTACAAACCCAGACATGGACCAGAACCCCCGCAAACACGACCACTTCGAGCTATACCAAGGCATAGCCAACCTCGCCCCCAACGGGCCCCAGGACGGCGGCCTCTGCGTCCTCAAGGGGTCGCACCTGCTGCACGAGGAGCACTTTGCCGCCACGGGCGGGTTCCGCCCGGCGCAGGACTCGGGCGAGAAGGAGAACGGCTACAACTTCACGGCGGCCGACGCGGACTGGTACCGCGAGCGCGGGTGCGAGGAGGCCAAGGTGTGCGCGGGCGAGGGCGGCCTCATCCTGTGGGACTCGCGGCTCATCCACTGGAACGCGAGCCCTGTTGGCAGCCAGGTGCGCTTCGCGACCTATGTGTGCTACTGCCCGCGGTCGCTCATGGACGAGGCTGGGCTGGCGCGCAAGCTGGAGGTTTTCAAGGAGCGGAAAAGTACGACGCATTGGCCGGTGAGTTGTGGATGTCCCTCCCCCGTTGGTGTTTGTCGTCAGGATCTGTGTGATTGTGAGCTGACCTGGGTCCTACCAGCAACAAAATGTGGTCCCTGTCGATCGCAAGAACAGTAACGCGGTCCCTCGCCGGCCGGACGGCTCGCCGGACCAGGCTAATCGGACGCGTCCGTTCGTGGAGCCGGAGGAGACACCGGCAATTCTAAGGCTCGTGGGCGTGAGGGCCTGATGATCCCTCTCGTGTCTACGGCATGTATATGGGCCAAGAGTTTGGGATAGAATAGACTGTTAGATGGTAGAAGGAAAGCCCATAGAGGAGTGCTACGCGTCGTTCCCCTAACTCCGACTGTCACGCCGCGTGGATGATATTCTAGCGGTGTCTCAGGCTGTCTCCCAATGTAACAGCATATTATCGGCAATAGTCCGAGTTGGGAAGTGCCCATCTCGTCTAGGAACTCGCGCTCTCAACCACAACTCCACCGCCACATCGTGCAACTGGGTCCAGAAAATTGAGACAAGTGCGCCTCGGTTCCCCATCCACGATGAGACATGCCACCTGTCGATCGGCAGCCCTGCCCCAAGAGTGTTCAGATGAACCCGTTCACTATTTGTTAGTGCTGCAACACGATGGGGTGCAGATGGGAGTCAGGTGGCCGCCCGCCCCGGGTCTTGGAAAGGTTGCACACGCGCTTGGACAAGTCCCTCACCCCGTAGCGCGCTTTCCCCCCCAGATTGTGGCACAAAACGGTGTGCGGGACTTTAATAAGTGAACCAGCCATATTTCTTGTCTTATGCCGGCAGAGGGCGAGCGCCACGCCTCGGGATGCTCGGCAGGGACTAGCTCTAGGTCTTGGGGGGGGGGCGGCCCCCAAAAGCGCCACGGGAAAAGCTTGCGGGGCTGGGTGTATGGGTGCCAGGGTACGGGGAGGCAGAGGGGTGTGTTGTGTAAATCAGACGACCTCGCCTTGGCCATCAGAAGACCAAAGACCAAGCTTGGGCCTTTGTTGAGGGATGGGATTAAGACGCAGAGATGGTCAGCCATGAATGAGGTGTCGGGCACGGATAGTTGCACGGATATCAATCACACACATCTCAGGGGGGAATTAAATATAGAAAACGTGCAGACCTCTGGATGCAGAAGAATCTTGGGCGGACGTCCGTTTGGGAAAGAGATGCATGATTCGCATGCCAGTATTTCTTGGAGACCGTCCTGTTGACCTGGTCTCGAGGGCAGATCGGTGTTGCATTTAATCTCGGAAATCTTGTCCGCATAGTCACGAGCGGTCTTGGAATGCGAGTACTCAACATGAGGTTCATCTCTTTGGGCTCCCCCGGCTGCATCAAACTTGGTGGAAACCCTGCCCTCGACCAGACCGGCGACCTCGAAAAGCTACACCTGCAAGACGCGGTATTGGAGCTTTGCCTCCTCCTTCGCACCACGGTTTGCGCGTCAGGCTCCCCTTAATCTCAGGAAACACGAAAGAACACTGTCACCCCGCACTGGGACAGGAGGACTACGCCTGGGGAATTGGCCTGTAATGGTGCGGAACGTTGCAACGTAGGAGCACATCATTTCTTGGCACAGTAGTCTGACCCCAGGACCCTACGAGGATGACTGCATAAGCCGGCCATTAAATTGACATCATCCATGCGCTTTGTTTCTCGCGGATATGGGACGATGTGGGTTCTTCCCGCATGTCTTGCCGGCTCGCCTCGCTCCAAGGCATTCATTGTTCCGAGCGGCTATGTCCTGTTGTCCCAGGCCAAGGGACCATGTTGTGTTCTCTCTAGTGTACTCGTGGGCAATACCGTCAGACCGCCCGAGTAATTCAGGCCGATGGGAGGTGAGATTGCTATATCATAATACCGCACAAGCTCGGCCAAGGGTGACGGGTGCAGGGATCTCCCACATTTTCTATGGGCCGCCTGTGGCTCCATCCCCTTGGCGTCTGGGTCAGGCCCGGGAGATACCCGTGGCTTACGCTGGGGCTACCCCAGACTTTCGCGGGACGCCGGTGGTGGGGGAGGATGGAGTTCGTTATCGACGAGATGGAATTGTGTGTGGCTGGTCAGACCTAGGATGATTTTGGGGGCCTGCTCCTCCACCTCACCAAGTGCTGATTGCTGGCAGTCTGGCAGAGAGCCGTACGGGCTGGATTTCAGTACATAATAAGGCTCCCATTGTGTGTCGAAAATCTGTCTCCTCGGCTATGCACATGCAAGGAGAACGAACCCACGAACAGCGGCCACCCTGCCATCGTCCGATCGTGCACGCTGTCCTGCCCTGCCTCGCCTGCCAAGGGCGTTCGTCGGATCGATTGTTTCCCCTGCAACGATGTCGCACCCACACGAGGTGATCAGCACTCTACCCAACCCACATCACCGGATGCAGCGTCACTGCAGGTAATCACTAGACCAACAAGTTCCTGTCCATCGTGCCTGGAAGGATCCTGCCCTGCTGACATGTCCAGATGGCTCCAACTGCTGTCCTTTGGTGCCTGATTGGAGCCCTCAGCAAATTGTCCACTTGGCTGTGTGCTGCCATGCTGCTGTTGTCTGCAAGTACCGGGGCTTACCGCGTAGTGCTAGTCGTCACCTATCCCCGATCAGGAAAACAGCAGCGCCCATCTTGGAACCAGCAGCAAGATCGCAAGGCTCGCGAGAGAAAGACTCCTCATGTTACTCCAACTCAAGACAACTTTGTCAGCGTCCAGCGTGCCAGCAAGGCCGCTTTCATGCAGGCCGTGCGCATATATGGGACTAACAGGAGGAGCCATTTTAGAACCCCACGGCTATTTCTCCGGCGGTGATTTGCCGCCTGCCTTTGTTCAGCTCGTCCAGAGTCGCAGGCGTCATGCCAGCGTGATGCAGTCCGACCATGCGGGCATTGCGGCCAAGGGCGGACAACCTTTCTGGTCCTTCTGGGCGCAATCTACCAGCGCAAAGCTTCTCGCACCTCGCCCTGTCACGATGATCCCGGCCAAGCTCCCAAGCTCCCCTGGTTCCTGCACGCGGGGCCCATCCTGGTAGTCAGGCGCAGCGGTCAGACTGCACAGAAGTGTGTGCCCGCCAGCCCAGCCAGCCCAGCCCAGCCACTTCTGCCCCTCCTCCTCCTCCTCCACCACCAAGGCCTGGTCGTCCCGACCCCAACCGCACACGCATGGTGTAATCCTGGCATGCAGATGGGATATGTCAACGTGCATCCCTAATGTAAACACACTTCTCGGTCCCCAGGGCCCGGGGCCGGCGAGAGCTCCATCACGGTTGCGCGCCCGCCACCATGGCTCGGCACGAAATATAGTCTCCATATAATAAGTTATAAACCGCCCGGTCGACCCGCTCCCTTCTCGAGCTTGTCTAGTCCGGCCCCAGGCTCCTCCTGTTCTTCGTCTGCCGTGCCTGTCGCGTTGCTGCCCTTCCCCTCTTTACTAGACGCGGTCGTTGAGAGTGTATTGTCGCGAAGGCAGCCTCCCAGAACGACATCCATAGGCCCTGCCTGACCTTCGCTGTGCATTGGAACAAGACAAATCAGTATTCCGCAGACCCAGTCCCTCCTGACGTGAACATGCGTTCCCGAGCCCTCAACCTCCTCTGGCCGCTGGCCGCGGCCGCGCAGAGCCCTCCCTTCAGCAACAGCAGCTGCACGGGCTCGCCGTCGACGCCGGTGCCGTACCAGCTGCAGACGCCGCCCCTCGACACGCCCTGGACGGACAAGGTCGGGCTGAACCCGTGGCCGGAGCACCCGCGCCCGCAGCTCAAGCGCGAGGACTGGGTGTCGCTCAACGGCATCTGGACGTACCAAGGGGCCGGCAACGCCACCAACGTGACCGACGTGCCCTGCGCGCCGCTGCAGTACGAGACGCTGATCCCGAGCTGCATCGAGAGCGCCATCTCGGGCCTGCAGGTGCTCGACACGTCCGCCATGTGGTTCGCGACCACGTTCCAGGTGCCCTCCGACTGGGACAGCAGCCAGAATGTGCTGCTGAACTTCGAGGCGGTCGACTATGAGGCGACCGTGTACGTCAACGGCCAGCAGGTCAGCTTCCACCGCGGCGGGTACTTCAGGAACACCATCGACGTGACGTCGTATCTGAGCTCCAACGGGACCAATGAGCTGTAAGTGACCGATCGTGCCGAGAATCCGGCTAAATTTGGGGGCGAGACCTTCCCGTGTCACGAGAAAGGCCGGAAAAAGAGATGACTGACCACGGTAAAACTGCACAGCAAGGTGTTTGTCTTCGACCCGACAGACCTGCCCGGCTATGTGATCCCCATCGGCAAGCAGACCAAGAACCCAGAGCACATCTTCTACAGGCCCTGCAGCGGCATCTGGCAGACGGTGTGGCTCGAGAGCGCCCCGGCGACGCACATCACGCAGCTGGACGTCAAGGCCGCCGCCGACGGGTCCACCACCGTCAACGTGCACGCGTCGGGCAACAGCACGGGCCAGCCCGTCGAGGTCACGGTGCTGGACCAGGACGGCAGCGTGCTCGGCTCCGGGTCGGGCACCAGCGGCTCGCCCTTTGACTTCACCGTCGACGGCGTCGACCCCTGGAGCCCGGACTCGCCCACCCTGTACAACCTGACCGTCACCCTCGGCGACGACACCGTTTCGAGCTACACGGGCTTCCGCACGGTCGGCCGCGGCGTCGTGGATGGCGTCCAGAGGCCGCTGCTGAACGGCGAGTGGATCTTCCAGTGGGCGACGCTGGACCAGGGCTTCTGGCCTGACGGGATCCACCTCGCGCCCAACTATGAGGCTCTGATCTTCGACCTGCAGGAGCTGAAGAAGCTCGGCTTCAACGCCGTCCGCAAGCACGTGAGTAATCTGTGGGGGCTGTAAGCTTGGTGGTTGAGAATGGATGAATGGTGCTGACGAACCGCGACCCATCAGATCAAAGTTGAGCCTGACCTGTTTTACTATGCCACCGACTCTCTCGGTCTCATGGTCATCCAGGACATGCCATCCATGTCCCCGCGTGTGCCACTGCCCAACGGCGATCAGCAGGCAGAGTTTGAGCGCCAGCTCGACATCCTGATCAACGAGCACTTGAGCTACACCTCCATTGTGACCTGGGTAAGTCGCTCCCCACGGCCGAACAGAGCTGCCCGCCCGCCTTTCCTCGAGACATCGGCCATGAATTAACGTTTTGTCCAGATCATTTATAACGAAGGCTGGGGCCAGATCCGGACGCCGCCGTACCCCGAGTACGCCATCGCCGAGCGCATCAGGTCCATCGACGGCAGCAGGCTGATCGACGCGACGTCGGGATGGTACGACCACGGCGCGGGCGACTTCTCCGACAACCACAAGTACGCGAGCCCCCAGTGCGGCGCGCCGTTCTACTCGATCCAGTCCTCCCCCTACGACAGCAACCGGATCGGCATCCAAGGCGAGTTCGGAGGTATCGGCCACAACGTCTCCATCGAGAAGTAAGTTTTCCTTCCCCTTACCCTCCCCCTGCGTGCCTGCATCAGGCATTGGGAGCGAAAAGCTGACAAACGGCTTCCCCAAAACACAGCCTCTGGAACGTCCAGGCGGCAATCGACACCATCAACCAGACCTACGAGGTCAACATCGACCTCGAGGCGTACAACTACCGCGCCCACGTCATCTTCGAGGAGTACAGGCAGCAGATCGAGCTGTTCGCCTGCAGCGCCGGCGTGTGGACGCAGACGACCGACGTCGAGGGCGAGGTCAACGGCCTCCTCACCTACGACCGCCGCATCGAGCGTGTTGATGTCCAGCAGTGGCAGGACGACATCCAGGCCCTGTACGACGCGGCTGCCGGGAGGGGCGGGGCGGGGAACTCAACTGCTTCGATGGAGAAGATGCGGATCCGAGACCTTGATGGATGAGCGATTTATATGTGGAGGGAATTAATCTGGATGGGTGGTTTTTTGTACATACATTAGCCTTATCAATTCCCTCGTTGCCCCTTACAGGCCCCATGAGACTGCTCATGTGGCAACAGGAGTCTATGGGCCCTGCTACTATGGATCAGTACTCTTTTTGGTGGGACTCCTGCACTCTTACTATAAAAGGAGCAGGCACGTCCAAGCTGTGCTCATTTCTGTACTGCTCATCCTTAGTTAGACCTTGGACCTTGGCAGTACTCGTTTGATTGTGTCGGGTGACGTCTCTTTGTCTAGAAACTCTCCAAGGAAACCATGATCGAATAGAAGCCATCGTGACAAGATGGACGATAAAATCTTTCCTCCGAACTTGGGTGATTTCAAACTTGTGGGAGTTCAGACCATTCAGCCCTTGCCGAAAACCCAAACCAAGTTGGCAATTCCGCCTCTTTCCAACAGTGATGTGCCCAGAGCAAGTGTAATTGACTTTCTTAGAGAGCTCCACAAGGCAAAAGAATGTGAAAGTGACCAGCTCATGATTAAACGAAAATTGACGGAGGCAGTTGAGGTCCCCAGGCGCACTTGGTCTCATGGGGGAAACAGAGGGCATTTCTGGATTTTCCCACAACTCTTCGCAGCTGTATCAAGTCGGATTTGCCCAGGTGGGCTGCAGGCGTTGACACAAAACTTCCTAGAGCTTCAGATTTGTCTAGATCAGTGCTGGCCCTTCAACAAGACCTACATCATCTTTCGCATTCACCTGACTTCGTAACCCATACGGGGAAGTGCTCACCTCCAAAAGACTGACAATCCACTTTGTCCATTTCTGTTAAGGCTTTGCCTGTCACCCGCATTTCAATTCACAGACGCGTGCACACAGGACTCGGCTCGATTATGACTTGAGACCTAAGACACATGCAGTCTCGATCGGCCACCTGACTTCAAGAATTGGACGACAATATCAACCATCCTGACATCAACTCACAGAAGAACAACCATTCCTCAGGTCGACCTCAGGTAACTAACTACACGATGGCTGAAGATGTCAGCACGCTCGATCAAGCCATGGACATCGACGCCGATGTGCCTCGTGTGCCCTCCACTGGCAGCACTTCAGTTGCCACATCTCGAAGCCCCCTCCGTGCTCGTCGCAACCTCCCCAATGAAAACGACAAGAGACGAAACAACCAGGTGGACGACAGCCTCAAGCCTCGTCCCGATGCCAAGGTCCACAAGTCTTCATCAAACGCAAACACCACTCGCCACAACCCCTCTTACCTTGAAAAGCAGAAACGCAAGATGATGATGATCAACGTCCAGCGAAACCGCAAACTGCGCATCCAGAACGCCATCGCCAATGGCACCTTCCAGATACGCCCCCTGGGCTACGACTCTGTCGAGGCAGACCAAGGTGAGCCGCAGCAGCTCGAGCGGCTGAACAAGGACCTCGTGACCCAGGCCCTGTACTCACCCGTCCCGGGCATGGCCTTCGACCCCACGATGACCTCCTTCAGCGAGGCCGACATGGGCGACCTGGTCCAGGCGCTGGAGGCGTTCCAGATGCACCTGGCGCGAAAGGGAACGATCGTGCTCTCGGACAGGGCGGGCCCACTGCTGCGGAGCTTCGCCCGCGACGTGCTGGCCATCGTCCTCTTGCAGCCGGACAAGCCTGGCTGGAACATCAGCGTGGACGACTTCTGGGCCCGTGTGGCCTTGGATTACCAGCAGTCCAAGAAGCTCAAGTGGCTGACCTTGAGGGTCATGAAACTGCTCGAGCCCGCTGAGGAAGACACTGCCCCGAAGCGGGGCAAGGGTCCGCCGTTCGCAGCCCGTATGAACGTGGTCCTGGATGCCCTGAAAGCTCCGGGTAAGGTTCCCGTTCTTGACAAGGTACGTTATGTCGTCCACTCATCGTACAACCTGTGTTTTTGGCATTTATGCTCACAGTGTTATCTCTCAGGCCATTGCTGAGGCGAGTGAGGATATTCCCCCTTTCATCGTGGCCCAGCCGTCCACCCTACGATGCCTCATGGGCCATTTCGAGGCCGCGCGCTCCCGATACCTGGCCAATCTCAACAACTCCCTTGGTACTGGCAGCCAGAGCAACCTCGGCCCTCACAAGCCCACGCCGGGCTTCAGCATGCCTCCGAGAAACCAAGACCAGTACGCCTCCTCTGAGGACGAGGACGATGACTTTCAGGGTGGAATGCTCGACGGCGGTGTCGAAGACAATACCCAGGTCGAGGAGGGGGTGCCTTCCTCACACACCCAGTGGTTCTTGGTGAAGCTTGACAATTGGATGGCGTCGAAGAATGGGCAGCAGCAGGGCGGCGTTGATGTCGACATGCTCTCGGCCCTGGATCTGGTAGATGCCAACTGAGGCTTTTGAGAGGGAAGAGGGATGATGGAAAGGATTCGTGTTTGTGTATTTTTGGGAGGCTGGTCGGGGAAGAGCATCTCGCAATATGCCCACCTGGAGACGAGAGCAGTGCCTTAGCCACCTTGTACGACCATTGCAGCTGGACACCCTCAGGACACGTCTCTGAGGGAAGGGCCCAGCGGCTTTCCGCCCGCTAGGAGGCAGCACACCAGCACGCCGACTGATATCTCATGACACAGGGTCTAGATAGAGCTGAATTGAGACAGAATGCCCCATCTAGGCACTAATCAAGCTTTTAGACCAATCTCGGCCAGCCTTTGTATCTGAAAGGCCAGGGATACATGTTGCATCGGCCAGAGTAGTGGGTGCGTTGAGATCCGCTCGTTTACCAGCGTCGCCTTCTGTGATGTAACACACTCCAATTCACACCTGTATTCCAGAGTCTCGGGATGCTTTAGCCCGCGTTGTAATCTTTTCAACAGGGACTAGGACGGTCGCCACACCTCGCGCCAGCATCACACTATCACGCCTGATGGTTTAGCTCCACGAGTCTCCCAGGATCGGTTCGATACTTCGCTGTGGGAGATTTGACCTTTCCCTCCAACTGTTACCACACAAGTGGCTGAAGGTACAGAACATGAGAAATACGCCTGACCGTACTTGAGTGTGCGGCCTCGATCCGAGTATGCAATTGTTATTGATGACCTGTTGGCTGGCAGACATCATGGCGTTCAGCTATCGATGTCGTTCGAGGAGAAGCTGTCTCTACCCAGGTGTGGGCTGACGGCGCTATTTGGCTAATGTTGCACTGCAAGACATCGGTAGTGTTCCTTGAAGTAGATAATGAACCCGTTAGTGGGGATTTGATTGTGGTTGACGGGGAGAGGTATGATCAATCTACAGTGAGACATCAACCGCCAGCTGAACCGGGCGCCGGTGTTCCAATTGCGATTTGATGGAATATTTTGAGGTTATTGCGGCCAGCGCGGAGCCAAACTAGCACGCCAAGGAGACTGGAGCAGTCTGGGTGACATCGCGATGTTTACCATTAAATGTGCGGAGTTTGTCCGCCGGCGCGATTGGAAGACTGTTCTGGATCACCTGAGGCCAGATCGAGGCCAGATAAAAATAAAAGACGAGCCCCCTCCCCCTTGGTAGTATCCAGGCCTGCCTCTGTGCTCTAGATCTGGGCTGGAGAGTTCCAGGTGGCGAGGCCCTTCCATCGGTGAGCGGCAGGGACAACCTCCTGAAGCGGGGGCACGATGTTTCCGCAGCCAGCCACACCTCATCTATCCCAAATGAAACCCTTCGGGCCCGTGGACCCTGAGACTAACTGCCAGTGGGTAGCTTAAATCAATTAAGGTTGACCCGGTGGCAACCGATGACCCTGGGAAAATGGCGGGTGAACCGGGGCGCCAACAAATAGGCTGCGGTCTGGACTGAGATAGCTTGGGTCCCAGAGCGCCGGAGTTGCGGGTAGCAATATGGATAAATACAACCCAGGCTCGACGGCTTCGCAGACTATCGCAACTGTGGCGACAACTTCTCGAAAGTGGAGCCATGTGATCCCCAGAATTAGTCCGGCCATTCTCTGTCTATAAAGAAGAGGCTCCACTTCTTGGAATCAAGCATTGGTCCCCTAGGCGTTGTCAGACAAGCCAGACGAGGATATTCCCGAAGCGATCACACGGAGATCACCACAGCTTCCAAACCTCACTTCTCTCCCGCCGATATTAGTCACCCATCCGCTGTAAGCAACACAGTCCCGGAGATGCTGTCCAGACTCCTCGCAACCACCCTCTTCCCCCTCACCGCCCTGTGCTCCCCCTTCCAGCCCGGCGTCCTGAGCCCCCGCGAGCTGCCCGCCTCGGTCGGCACCGTGACGCAGTTCCGCTACTCGGGCAACGGGTGCACCCAGGGGTCTAACTCGGTGACGCGCTCGGGCGGCTGGGTCTCGCAGACGTACAAGTTCTCCCAGTTCGAGGCCGACACCATCACCGCCGGCACGCCCACCACCGAGAACTGCGAGCTGCACTTCCAGGGCGCGGGGCTGAGCCCCGGGTGGCAGGTCAGCCTCGCCGAGGCCGACGTCACGGGCAAGCTGGTGCTGGCGCCCGATGCGAAGGTCAACTACTACTGGCAGGTGTACTGGAGCGATGACGCCGCCGACACGGTGAGTCTTGATAACTACCCCAGCCAAATTGGCACCAAGGAGAATGCCATAACGCTGACGGATTTCTACACAGCTTGCGCTGCAAGGAACAATCGACAACACTGGGGGCAAGAACAAGATCACCAACAACAACTACACGGTCAAGGCCAACGTAACCGACTCATTGTGGTCGCAGTGCATCGGCGCGGACGGCAACCCAGGCATCCTGAATGTCAACTTCAGGGTAGCAATTGTTGGCGATGGAAGCTCATTCGACGTTGATACAGAGACGTTGAATTATAAATTCAGGAAGTGCTGATAGCTGGGGGAGGGGGGGGGGACTCTACGATGGTCTTATTTCAAGCGTTTGGTTGACTCATTTTATCTATTTAAGCATGTGTAAGATGAAAATAAATCCTAATTTGGATCTTAACCCAACCTGTGTTCCCAGTTGAAAGGCTCAGAATACCTCTACAAAGTCAAGACCGAAGAGACTTCAACCGGAATTTTTGAGCAGGTGTCATTTAGCTCAGGCTCTGCAGGGCTTGCCACAAAGCCGTGATCATGGACGATGCCCGCTGTTGGGGATCTAAATGACCAGAGGGACTTTGTTACTCAAAGTCGTACCCAGGACGTGTTGTTGGAAAGACGTTTTGAGAGCTCCGTATTCGGGAACGAAATATTTCTTGATGAACTATTTCGCAAGGGCACGTGTATATGAAATACAAAAGTTAAATTTCAAAATAATTCATAGCGTATGCGAGCCAGTAAGAGTTTCACAACAGTGGCTAGCAAAAGGGCACTCGTGTATAACGAAAACAAATCAAACTAGGGCATGGCAAATCAAGTAAGAAGCTGTGTTATTACATAAAGACCAGGCCGGATAAAACTAAAAATAAACTTCAGAGAACATTACCTAATATTTGGGTTACAAATGTGATTAAAGCAAATTTTGCGAATTCTGATTTGAAAGACAAAGAGAAGATTTGGGTCGTCTTGTCTACCTTCATCCACACTGGGAAATGTCAATGCACCACCAGCCTTTATGTTGGAGGAGTGCATAGGATTAGAGGAATTCTTTGCGAATTCATCACAAAATGCCTCGGTGAGCGATTCGTGGAAGAGCCCGACAACGCCAACAGACATAACCACGTGGCGTTTTGAGCCTTTGGTGGAGGCTCAACATCATGCTCGGGACGACACTTCACCTCCACTAAGGTCCTGGCTTTCGCCAGCTTAATTCTCTTGCGCTGTGACATCACGCCGGCGAGCCAAGGGTGGGTGGGATACTGCGGGATACAAGGAAACACATGCTGGATTTCACTTGCCCGGTCGAGATATCAGCGTTCAGCTCATCTCGCATGATAATAACAAGTGGTATATTTTCCTCTCGGAGACTGGCAAGCCAATCGAGACATCGAGTGAGGATGTAAATGCAGCCAAAGTGGGTGTATGAATGGGTCGTTGGTTGGGCTGTCATAGCTATAGATATGCCGCTCCTAGGCACTGCCCAGTTTGAGTCAATGTGGTATTTCGGGAATGGTATACAATGCAAATTGATGGTTGGAATAAATTGTTCTTCCATTTTAGGCAATTGTGCGACAGAGCGCGAGAATAGAGCCCGGGAAGGGATCCAGGCAAGAAACGTGGGAACGATGTGGATTGATAGCAGTAAAGGCATGGCGTGCACTGGTCCGTTAATGCCGAGTATCGGAGAAATGAACGTCGGTTCTCGCGTCATTGGCGACAAAGACAGCACCGGCAATATCTACGCGCTGAAGCTGCGAAGTGCATGAGCCTACACCTCTGCAACTTCAAAAACTTGACATCGCCGCCGCGAAATTGAATCTCTGTGCGCTTGCTCGGCTGCACCAACAATTCATCTCCATCATGAGGCAAGTAGAGGCAGCATCGGCCAGCGGGGTGACCACCACAGAATCCCCCGCAGTCCTCAACGTGGGCGACCACGCGTTCCCAGACGTCGATGGCAACTGGACAGGTTTCCCGAAGCAAGGCGGACAGTCCCTATCGTACTGGCTGCAGGGCGTCCGATGCGATCCTTTGCTCGACCATAGATCGACACCAGAGCTGCCCGCGGCTGCAGACATCGTCGTCATCGGATCTGGCGTGAGTTGGTCCATGCTAACTAGTTGCATCCCCGGCAATACGGAAATCAGGGGTCTTGAGGCATTTCATCCGCTGATGTGTCTAGATTACGGGAACTCTGGTTGCCAAGCAATGCCTAGAGACATGGCCAAAGAAGAGCGTCGTTGTGCTCGAGGCTCGCGAGTTCTGCAGCGGCGCAACCGGACGAAATGCTGGCCACTGCAAGCCAGACCAGTGTGAGCTATGGGTGTCACCTAACTTTGTCACTTGACTAATCGATGTTGTAGGGCGAGGCTTCGGCAAATACGAGAAGGCCTTCGGTACGAAACAGGCCCTGCAGGTAGGGATAGACTTGCATAATATCCCGAAGGAGTCGGCTTACATTGGACCATAGATACTGAAAAACGAACAAGAGACATGGGAGGGCCTGGTGAAGTACGCCCGCGACAACAATGTGGACTGTGATCTCTGGGTAGGCGATACTCTCGATGTAGCCATGACACCGGAAGTCGCAACATTGGCCCGGGACGTGTTTGAGCGATACAAAGCCGCAGGCGGGAAGGTTGACCACATCAAGGTCACGCTTGACCCAACCGAGGCCAGCAAGATCTCTCGGCTCAAGGGAGCCCAGGCGTGCTTCGCATGGCCCGCATCGACCCTCCAACCATGGAAGCTGGTCGCCCATATCATGCGTAGCAACACCGCACAGGAGCCGCGCTTCAACTTGCAGACGTATACCACCGTTAGCAAGGTGACAGAGGGGAACGAGCCTGGGAAGTGGGTCGTTCACTCCGACAGGGGAGAGATCGAATGCTCGCGAGTGGTGCACGCCACGAACGCGTACGGCGCGGCGGTTGAGCCCTCCCTGCGAGGCCTAGTTGTCCCAACGCCACACATGTGCAACAAGGTCGTCCCACCAGCGAGCTTCGCGGGATCTAGAGCGTTGAGGAACTCGTATGGGGTGTTGTTACCCGACGGCGCCCTCTTCAGCGTCAATCCACGGCCAACGTCTGATGGCGTCATAATGTTCGGAGGCTCCAACCCCGGCCAGAGGAAGTTCAGAGAGTGGCTGAAGAAGCACCCCGAGCGGTGGACTGACGATGGTCTTTCTGGGTTCCCGGAGATAACTGCGGCTGTCAAGGCACTCGCCGAGGAGCAGCTTGAGGGCTGGGCTGCGGCGGTGCCGGGGCCGGGTACGCTCTATGATTACAGCTGGAGCGGGATCATCGGTAATACGACGGATGGTGTTCCTTTCATTGGGGAGCTGTCGGGACTTCCAGGGCAGTGGATCTGTGCTGGACATAATGGCCATGGAATGGCGAGGACGTTCACTGCTGCTCCTGGGCTCGTCAAGCTGATGGACGGTGCTCCGTGGGAGCAAGTTGGGTTACCTGACCCGTATCAGCTCACAGCCGAGCGGTTGTCGAGGCTGAGAAATTTGTCGAAAGAGGAGGTCGTTGTGATCTGAGCTGCGTAAGGGACAGATATGCCGAGGTGGTCTTCTTCGACCTCAGACGGTGTAGGTGTAACAGAGGAGGTGTACTTTCGAAGGCCTTGTACAGAATGTAAATGCTTGCTTCTCACTTAGTCAAGAATATGAAAGCAGATCTAGTATCTGGCTAGCGGACCTCCCAGCAATTCACATCACGGTGACTTCGCAAGTCCAGGGTCACAACCATTTGCCTGTTGATGAGGGTGAACCATGATATGGCTTAAATACCCTGCCAATAGGCCCGCATCTGCTGCTTGAGCAAGGCCACCGTTTGAGTGAAAACAGCTGAGTACGCTGAGTGTAGATGTGGTACGATGAATGGCGGTATTCACTCAACCCCCCAGTCACTGATAACGCCGTAAAATAGTTATAGCACAAATTGCAGGCCATTCGGTCTCTTCCTTTCTTGCTGCTATCTTCGGTAACCACAAGCAAGTTCTATTCCCCAGCTCGCCATAACAGTGCTGGTCCTTCTTTTCGTTGATGGATACCCACCTGATCTCCTCCAGTAACGAGAGGAGCGTCAACGCCTGAGAGTATTCACTTCAACTGCCACACTACTTAAACCTTGGACCCTCGATGACCGTCTTTTCCCAGACCAACCAACTCTACTTCCAATCCACTCAACACTTGACACCCTCAACTGGGCAAGTTCCATCTCGTCATAAAACACCTCCAAGATGGTGGTCTCAAATCTGATGGAGTCAATCTCCAGGGTTTGGCCCTTCAGCCGAGTCTTAGAGTTGACCGATGAGGGCTACTTCGTGAACCCCCAAATGAGCGACAGCGACCTCGACACGGAAGCCGACGACGGCGATGCTACCGATACAATTGATGAGGCCATGGCCCATGACACTGCTACAGTGAGCTTTGCAACCTTCGGTGCTCTTGTCTCTGGCCCACGTCTAACTGTCTCCCATAGCCGTCTGCGATCCAATCATTCCTCTCGACCGGGTGGCTTCCTGGACTGCCAGGACAGTACGATTCTTCTCCCACCGCGGGACACGAGGGTGACGCCCAGTATGATGACGACCATGACAACGAGCCAAACGGAACCACTGAGGTTGCTCCAATCAGTGCTTTCTCACACGGAAACTCCAACATCGACGAAATGCACGGCCAGAATGTCCTCAGTGCGCTCGAGGAGAGCGATTCAGACTCGCAAGAGACCGACGAGGACTCCACCAACGACACCAGGATTGCCAAAGAGGCCTCAATGGTGGAGAACGACGACCTCGAATCCCAACTGTTCAAGCACAACCCGTGGCGGACTCTTGCGAGATTCCGCAACCCCATGAGGCAGGCGGACGTCTCCCTGTACTCTCGCTTCCCCATTCTGCGCATGCCAGCCGAGCTTCTCTTCATTGTGGCTGAGCACCTGCCCATTGAATCCGCCGCCTGCCTTGCGCTTGCATGCAAGACGACGTACCTGGCCCTGGGAGCCGGCTGGTTCAGGATGCCGAAGCCCAATCTCTGGAACTTCCTCCTCATCATCGAACACGAACGCCTGAATTCATTCGCCTGTCCCCGTTGTCTCAAGCTCCACCGACCTCCGAACTCTTTCTCCGGGTATCACAGTCACCGGTGCAGCGTTTCGCGTGTGCTGGACACCGGCCTACCTGATACCATTTCGCCCGGACTAGTCAAGATGATTGGGAGAAAGTACTTCGAGGATCCCAGGGCGGCTCAGGAATGCCTTTCGTGGGTCACAATGGCTGCCAAGAAGACGACTCGGCATATCAAGCTCGCTACGCATGTCATCCCGCGAATGCTGGACGGGAGTCTGTTGCTCCGGACTGAGACCTACATTCATCCTTTCCGCAACGGCAATTTGACAGAGCGCTCCCTCATGGAAATGATATACCACATCGTAGTGCTCTGCGGGTTTTTTCACAACAAGCTTCCTCCAGTGTGCGACCATCAGGAGTGGGAATCCCTTCTCCCAAATCTTCCCACACTGTGGAAGTCTATCCAGCCAACCAGATGTGTCTGCGGCAGCAGTACAAGCAGCGGCAAGAGACACATGTTACGCTGCTATCCCACCAAGAGAATGTTCAGCCCGCCAGCTCGTGGTCTCAGGTCGCCAAACATAGCATGCTTCCTCACCCACAAGCAGCCCTGCAAATCCTGCAAGCGAAATGCCGACGATCTCTACGAGGGTGAGATAAAGGGCTGCAAGAAGTGCGCGACCGACTTCTGCATCTCTGCTCGTAAGGTGCCCGAAGTAGGCACTTGCCTGGTGCTCACCTCCTGGAAGAATATCGGCGGCGTCGGACCAGGCGATGCCGACAACTGGGACCGTCACGTCACGAGTCGCCGTTCGCCTTATGGCATGATCGAGGATGACTTTCGATCGGATCGCCAGGTGGGCAAGGTTTACAAGGCATTTGAGAACATCACGGGCGGCAGGGCCGGACGCCTTAAGCCCTACAGCCCGCAGACGGACTCGAAGATGGTTCGAGATCTCACCCGCCGCGTACGAAAGTATAGGCACAACGCGGATGATACCACAGACGCCGAGGCCTTGACGGCAAGTGAGGCAAGTGAGGAAGATGAGGACAGTTCGTGATTGTGCGGATGTTTTTTGGCGGGGTGCGGAAGTGGCACATTCGACGAGATACTTTGCAAACCTCGTTTGTGATAGGTTGAGGGTTTGGTCTCTCGAGCTGAAAGGGACACTTGTGGATGCTGCGAATGGGCGGGAGACACTGCGGGTCGTAGCTTAGCCATGAAAATTCGAGATGAGCTATAATTACAAATCTGTCTGCCGATGTGGGAAGCTTGGTGATTGAGTGTGTGCACATATTACCTAGGTATGTCAACTCATGATACTATTAGCTGATGAGAAGCCCTAGTCATTACACTTTTTTTTAAGCGTATCTTGATGCTCTATCAGTGAGATGGTCTTGCAAAGCGAACGTATTTCAGAGATCACATCCTGCAACATTGTATTCACCCTCTAGAATTTACTAAGTAGGTAAACTCTTGTCTCCTAACCCGCTAGCAGAGAGGCCAGGAACTCACTAATACTAGCCCAATAGTGGGGCATAGGTCATTGGGGCCCTTTAGGTCCCATGGGTTCTGCACCTGGATGGCTGTTAAATATTGCTTGCACTGGAGATTGGGTCCAAATCCGGTCCAGACGCTGACATAGAGTGCCCGGACTGCGTCTGGCATCCTGAGACGGCTCAGTTGAAACCACAGCCTTGTGACGCTATTGCGAAGATAGCGCCTAGACCGGAGGATCCGTCTACAAACATTCATGAACATTTCCCATGGAGCACACCTTCTCCCATATCAGTCCACGGCTTGGTCAACAAGGTACATCATAGCACTACTGAATCAGTGTGCACCTCAATGTCCTTTCTATTTCCTGTATAAATGCCGGAGCCTCCCCCATCTCCAGAGCCTTTCACCCTTCCTTGGACATGCCAAAGTAAAAGATAAGATTCACTAGCTTAACTTGGGCATCCTGTGACTAAGTTTACCTACACACTAAACTCTTGTCACGAAACAAGAACAAGACCAAAGACAACACCTCATTTGTTCACTACTACTCTCTTACACCAACCACACACTACTGTCACCATCTGAACCAACACCCCTGGTGGGACAACAACAGAAAATGTCGAAAGGCAAAGGAAAAGAGATCGCCACCAAGCCGGATTGGAAGGAGCAACTGGCCATGCTAGACCAAGAATTGGGCTGGGATGAGCAAGAGGGCTCGGACTGGGCGGACAGTTGCGAACCGGAGGAACAAGAAGTATTTAACCCAAACCGACCACTCCGAAGCGAGAATGACAAGAAGAACATTGCTAAAACTTTGCAGTCAACTGAGAAGAATCATGGAGCCTACTCCCAGGCCAAGCAAGAAGTTTCCTCAGGCGCCGTCACGACCGACTGCGACTACACCCCATGTCATGACTCACAACAACAATTCGGAAATGGCAGGAATCACGCACATTACGAACCATCAGACTCCATAGAAGATGACGAGGTCATGTCGGCGGACATGCAGAAGACCCTTTGGGAGGCAGCTGTGGAGGAGACTAGGTCTGCCGTCTGCGTGGACACCAGCACCGACGCTCTCTATGACTACGAGCAGGAGGAGGATGTTGATACGGCATCAAAACAACGAGAAGAAGAAGAAGACCTATCTGAACAGCAAGAAGAACAAGACGAAGAACATTTCCAGCCAAAGAGCAGGTTGGAAGCCTACATCTACCACCGCTTCGGTCCGGATATCAACTACGAGAACCGCTGCTCGTGCCACGAGCGCCTCTACGACTTCAGTGAGGAGCAAAACAAGCGCACGAGGGAGTACTTCGCCCAGGCCGGTGGATCGAACCTGATCAAGGACCCCTGCGTCCTGCTGCCATATCCGCAGGATGACCTCCCCGGCACGGAGAACGTCGACAAGCCGGTGCTGATGGTCACTACGCCCGAGGGCGAGACGCTGTACCCGCACGACATGGAGGAGTACCCAGAGCCGCCGGCGGCTTCGTGGCATGGGCCCAGGATCGGATGGGGAGGAGCTCCTACCCAGGGGGGGCATGTGGTACCGTACGAGGATGAGGATGGCGCAGATATTTGAGTAACGCATCAGGCGTTCTTGCATTTTCACCGACACACTTGTCATATTTGAGCGATGGGCGTTTGGGTATAGAGCCGTTGGCATATTCACGTTAGAGAGGACTCAATACATCGTCACTTTGGTCTGACGGAATAAATGAGACCATTCCGTCCACACATGTTTGCCTCCCTTAGATTGCGAATTCCCAGCATTTGAAATTAGATTGTGCAAAGTCTCTTGTCACTAACTCCTTAGTAGGCGTGCCCAAGCGTGCGCCCATGCGTGGCACTTGATAACACTGGTCTTTAGTGCAGACAAACATATAGGTCACGTGCAGCCGTGCTAGAGAACCTTGGGGCCCGGAAAGTGTGGTTTCTGTTGATTTGAGAGTATGCTGTGTCTGTTGGCGTTGTGACTAGATTCGCGATGCTGTGTGAAGCTTTTCTTCCTCCACTGTCCCCATGTGATGTTTCACCACTCTCCAGTGGGATTTCCTCCTTGGCTCATAGGTCGGAGTCGTCGTCAGGAAGGGGGGTCTTGACGGCACTCTTGAAGGTGCGCGCGAACGTCAGCCACCAATTGAGGTCCTTGTCCTGAAGGTAGTTGTCGTTTGTCTTGGGTGCCGCGATGTTTGGGTCGATACGGCCGACTGCTCCGGTCGATGCAGGCTTCGATTGGGAGGTCGAGGAGCCAAAATGGCCGGGCACTGAGGATGAAGACATGTTGACTGCGTCGCTGTGCTTAATGACGGATGTTATTTCGCAGTCTGAAACTTGAGAAGGGTTGAAGTGTGCGGTCTACATGTGGCCGGATCGAGGTTAGCGTGAGAACGACAACAGCCTTGGAGATGGGAATGGAGTTACCGGTTTGTGAGACAGCACGCTTTTCTACGATCCCTCAAAATACATCAACATGTGCTTGGTGACTGTTTTATGTTGATGGACAGAATTTTGGTACCTAAGAAGTGGATAGTTGGATTTGATGTTGATCCGCAGGCAACCGCCAAAACGGGGGACAGAAGTGGCTGCCTGTCGGTTGACCGCTGCATGCGGACAGCCAGCGAGCGGTGAATCTTAGTGGCAAATTGAGTTCACTTATAAGATGTCCTTGGCTCGCAGCTTCAGCCAATCCACGACCGGCCTATGGGATAGTGGGTATGTTAGCACATCCACCACCTCAGCCGTTGGCCATTCCCGTGCCCTATGCATTCAAACTAAGTACTTTGGTATTTATTTAGGTATCCAGGGCCGTTTCAAAACCAGAAAACTTTGGTTCATACGAAACTTAATTTTTGTTAACACAGCCGCTGCACTCTGCCGTGCAGCAGGAGAGGGCAGTCAATACGATATAGGCGTCTGCAGAACTCCAGGAGCGTTGATGGAGATGGACCGGCTCATATTCTTGCAATACCCGCTGCAAAAAGACGAACGGCGTGCTTTAACCCATGTTCAGTTCGCGCCACGAAATCTCCAAGTCCACACAAAGATAGCATAGGATAACATTGCCAGTGAAGACGCTCGTGATACCCCTGATCCCGCCTTACGTACACAAGCACATAAGAATGCAAAATTTCATGCAAACTTATCATAGCAAAATGAGCCACTTTATATTGCTTCTATACAAATCCTACATTAGGCTATAAGAAGAATACTGCCAGGCTAGTCAAAAGAAGTTCGTGAGGAAAGTGCTGTTGTTTATTGCGAAAGTATTTTGCTACAGGTTTCTACAATTTCAAAGACTTATAATAACGTACAAAGCCAGTCTGGACACAGGAAATATTCATCGGAGTTACCCGGAGGTTTAAGGAGCTCTTAGTGGCGAATCCCTCCCTGGATATAAGCCAACCAAAAAGACAGGATCCACGCTGATCCTCCCACGATATTCAAGATTATATGTTCATTGTCCACTCAAGGACTGTATGATCGCCGCTGACGACGGCGACGGCGGGCGCTCGCACGCCTGGCCTGACGGACCGTGGCTGGTGGGGTTGGGACACCTGCCGCTGGAGCCGGGAAATCCGACGGAAGGTCCGGGAAGTCTCCTGGAGTAGTCCTCTGCGGACCTCCTGTTGACGGCGGGGTCGGTAAGTGTCCCGGAGCTGTTTTCGGCGGTGGTGTTTTTGGTTCCTCAATTAACGGCGAGTTTTCCGCGCGCAACTTTGCTTTTGCTGCCTTCCGTTTCCTCCGCCTGACCCCGATAGTCAACGCAAAGATCCTCTTCAGGAGGTCATTGGTCTCCCACCGCGTGCCCTGTTTCGTGCCGCACACCCTGTCCCGCTGGAACGCCTTGATGACGTCGAAATGCCACGCGAAGATCGTCATCTGCGATGCCTTGTTGCTGACGAATGATTATTAGAGGGTCGTCATGTGAAGGTGAGAGGTTGGTGTATTCGGTCTTGCTCTGCCAATGCTTGTCCCGTCGGCGTCTCATGAGCTGCTCAAGGAGGCGCCAGTGCACCATGGTCCAGCGGGAATATCCATTTGGTTCTCGCTTATCCAGCCAAGCTTTGTTCCGATCGATCCATTTGTTCTGTTCGGGGACTGACACATCAGCAGGCTTGGGGATATTTGGCTGCGATAGCGCCCCCGGAAATGCCTGCTGGGTTTGCGGGGCTCTTTGGTCCTGGCCCGGAGGGATGTGAGGTTGCGGGAATGCTGGGCACCTGCAAAGAATATCACCATCTGCGTCACCAAAGTAGTTGACGCCGTAATCAATAAGAAGCTGCTCTCCTGCATCAATGCTTTTTATCGCTTTAAACGTGATGGTCTGTCGACCGCCCAACACGCTGTCGACAGCTTCGACGTTGAAGTCACGACAGCTGTGGTTCACGAAACGGGTCCAGTTTCCATAGTCTCTGGCGGACGAACTTGCAACATTTTTTATCTCGAATATGTAATCATCGTCCTCGCGGGCCGCTGCCATACGTGGGGGGATCAGCTCGCCAAAGTACTCGTCAAGAAGCTGGCCTTCGACAAGATCAACACCTGCGAAGACACCGAGGCCCATAGCATTATTTGGTGTAGGGCGTACTGTGAAATGGAGTATTAGTACCAAAGAAGTGACCATGTCAGTGGTTAGTATAGATCCAAGCCCGAGAGGTCCGGAGAGCCTAAACAATCTGGAAGGAATGGACTATAGCGGAGTACTCACTTTGGAATTGTTGCCGATAGTCCCGTCTCAATCGCTCCCTATGGAAAACGCGAACACAAGAACTCTTCGGACAGCCGCGCGGGCCCTGCTCACAATGAAAGCAGTTCTCTTTCCATTCCGCAGTCCGGTGTCCAAGAATACCTGCGATTGTTCTCTGATTGGCTCGCGGTATATCACTGGCCCAATTTGCCCTGTCGACTTGGAAGTCTTCGGTTTCACACGGGAATCCGTTTGCGTTTCTGGGAACAACGCCACCTGTGGAAATTTCAAATTGCCGTAGATCTAGAGGGTCTCGAAGTACAGCAGGCTGCGACATGGTGTTTGCTTCAGTGTTGCCTATAGCCCTATCAGGAGGATCCAAGAGTGAGTCTGGCATATGGATATATGCGCACAATTTCTCCTGTGGGGTGGATATTAAGCAGTGCTCTTTGTTCACAGTCCTATAAGATTGATTCTTTGAGGATTCTACCAATTTCCAATTTTCAAGGCAGTTAAAAGGCCAGTGTTGGACCACTTGGATCCGGATTTGAAGAACAAGGAGCACATCCCCCGTGTTTCTTTCTCATATGTTCCGACCAGCGGTCCAGCACACAGAGTTGACCGGATTGGGCAAGCCATAGAGTATGAAACGTATGCCTAATGCTGTTCATCAAAGACCTGTATATAGGTTGGGAAGTCTCGAATGACCTTCAAAATTGATGGCTTTCATGGACAGCGGAAATGCACACAAGTTCAAAGAAGTCAATTTCAAGCCCCGTTCCAACGCTCTTGACCTGCTCGGGGGATTTTAGGAAAGTATTTTGACGATATCCACTAAATGGCTTTCTCCCAAACATACCTGCCGATTTGCTGGAGAAGCATTGGAATGCAATGATGGCCGGCTGATCCGAGGCTGAAGGACTTGAAGAGCAATACACTTTTAGTGCACTACGTTGTGTCCTGCCATTTAATGTATGTGGCAAAGCCACTTTTACAAATTCCTAGGTGTTGTACTTACAGAAGTATTTGTAATAGAATACGGAGATTCGCACCTGCAAAAACAGAGGGTACACCGGTACATCAATCCATACCATAGCCATAGCTATTAGAGCACATCACCTAGGTCTAATTCGTTTACCTATACCTAATACCTATATACCTAAGATGACTTAGGTATATAAGTTAGGTGTATAGGTGTTGGGTGTGAGATGTGGGTATAAGTAAGAGTGTGGGTGTTAGAGGTGTGGGTGTATGGGTGTGTAGGTGTGTGGGTGTAGGCGTGTTAGGTGTAGGTGCTGGGTATGGGTGTTGGGTATGGGTTTTGGGTGTGGGTGAGGTGGTGTTGTGCCGGTGTACCCTCCGTTTTTGCAGGTGCGAATCTCCGTATTCTTGTAATAATGGGCATTGCTACATAGCCAGTTAGTTAGAATGCTAACAGCTCTCCACATCTCCCAACCCACTTCATGATCTATCCTGTGCATAAGCCTCATAATAGCTCCTCAGTGTCAGGGGTACGAAACCATTGTATTGATTACCATTTTTATGGGATACTCAATCCAGGAACCATTCCCTCCGGCCGGACGCGTCAGCCTGCAGGTTGGGCCTCAGTACAGCCAAAATTTGAGGCAAGAATAATGAGTTGGCTTGCGTGATCAGTGATGAAAGCCAAGCAGATTCTCGGTCACCAGGTTGTGCTTCTTAAAGCCAAGGTTTAAGGTGGACAGTACAAAGGCGGTTAGGGTACCATTTCAGGCCGATGTCTTATCTTATATGAACCGCATTGGTGTGGGCGGCCTGTGTGACTGACAAAAACTATTGATAGAGTTGAGCGAGATGAATGCTCTATCCAAGACTTGAGTTTACATGAATTCGACGACCGAAGTGTGTGAGGATACGTGCTGGATGACTATTTGGCCTCAAACATTGCTGCCATAATTCTTTCTTCAAGCAGCAGCGCGGCCTTCGCAATGATCCCTTTCTTATTCGTGGACACACGTCAAGGTTTTAATTGGCCGGTTCGCGAAAAGCCTTAGATCAACAGCTTCCCATTCCCTGAAGCACCTTCAGTTGGGGCCGAGTTCAGAGTAGCACCTGCTGTGGCACAGCACAGCTCGTTACCAGGTAAGCAAATGCTAGTGGCGCCCGCAGCTGATTGATCATCGATGCCGCCCATTGACTATTTGACCGACCTCTCTTCACCCCGTTCCATTTACCCGGCTTGATTTCCTTGACGCAATCCCCACTATCACCTCTGAATCAATGAATGATCCAAGAGAATTCAAAGTTACTTCCTGACCTTCTGACCATTTTTTCATCCTGCCTCTGGCTCTACGGCTCTGGTCAGCGATCCACAAGACAAGATGGTGAAGCTTGACTTTGATCTACAGAGGGACGTGCCCGAGCTGACTGGCAAGGTGTTGCTCATCACGGGTGGCAAGTCACTGGCTTCTCGCCCCTCCCGTGCCACGGTGGGATGCTCATACTACTCCCAGGCACGAATGGCCTCGGTGCTGCGGCGGCAAAGATGCTTGCGAGCCGCAACCCCGCCAAGATCTACATTACCGGCCGCAAAGACGCTGCTGCTCAGAAAACAATTTCGGATATCAAGTCCGCCGGCTCGACCGCCGAAGTGACTTGGATACGTTGTGATCACGCACGCCTTGCTTCCGTCCAGGAGGCTGCAGACAAGATCCTGGCCCAGGAATTCCGTCTGGACATGCTCATGGCCAATGCTGGTGTCAGTAAGAATACTTAGGCCCCAACCTACTGCATTCGGAGTCACGGTCTGTCCCCAAGAAGACAGGCTGGTGCCCTTCATCAATCCATGCGGATACCACCGGTCCTGCTGACTTGGACTGGCTCCATCTGGGAGGAACCTTCGTTGGCGCTGACTCTGCGCTCTAGTGGCCCTCCCACCCGGGCTCACCGCCGGGCTCACCGGCGATGGCTACGAGCTACACTTCGGCATCAACCACATCGCTCACGCCCTGCTGATCCGAAAGCTGCTCCCCCTGCTGCAGAAGACAGCCGAAGAGCACGGCGAGGCACGAGTCATCCCCGTGTCGAGCCTAGCGCTCGTCCCAGCGCCCAAGGGTGGGATAGTCTTCAATGATTTCAAGACGACACAGGCGTACTGGATCCTCGGAAAGTGGCAGCGGTACGCCCAGAGCAAGCTGGCAAACCTACTATACGGGAGAGAGCTCGCGAGGCGGTACCCTGAGGTTTTGACGCTGGTGGATGACCCTGGCCCGAGCAACACCGGGCTTGTGACGAGTTTGGGGTGGGTGGACAAGATGATTGTGTACCTGGGGAATTATAACAAGTTTCTCGATGATGATCAAGGCCACTGGAACCAAGTGTGGTTAGTTGGGGTATCTAAGGAAAAGGCGAGCACTGGAGGGTTATATGAGCCTGTTGGAATACCGAGCCAGCCCTATACGGCGTATTGTCTCGATGACAAGCTAGCAGCGAGGCTTTGGGAGTGGACAGAGGATGAGCTCAAGCCATGGCTAACTTGATGGCTTAAATCTAGGAGGTGGGTACCAGACTGACTGCAAGGGCCTTGGACCACTGATTAAAATTGAAACATCATGGACATTTGATTTGCACGTCTCATTAGTATTGGAGCCATACCGACAAGGCCCTGATTCTGACCTCACTGTATTGTGTCTACCACATTTGAGATGTCCTAGGTATCATGGCCGGCCTGGTTGCTGATGAGCAATATCTGAGGCTTATTAAACTTTATGCCTATCTTGGAGTCGCTAATGAGCCATGAGCATGACTAGCCGTCGTTACTGGGACCAGCCCCATTCGCAGATCAAGCTGCTTACTGTTCAACTGGTGATAGCTCTCAAGCATGCATGCTTAATTCTGTTTGGATTCCTCCCATAGTATAAGACCGGTGGTCTATAAATGTCCAACGATTCTCATGAGAGCTACCTGATTTTGGCAAGCTGGACAGCCTGAGCCGGGTATTGGAAAGATGTGGTTGTGACCGTTGAAGAATAAGTTGCACCACAGCCTATCTCGGAGAGAGATCTGACATGGGCCCGGGACGCCATCCAATGAGCCGATTGCGTGATCTTTTTTTCCCTCACATCAGCAAACCCTACAGAGTAGGGATCGTTAAAAACCATCATCCTGCAGAACATTCTGCGGGACAGATAATCACCCTTTGTCTCCACGCATTCACACCAAGAGGCTGAACAAGTGCCTGCCGTCTTGGCTACAGTGCCGACATGTCGATCCCCACTGACAAGTCACAAGTCATAGCGGCATCGACCGGTGCCGAGAAATCGCCATACCAGATGAAAGCCCCCAGTGCCCATGACATCCCAGCAGCCGAACAAGCATTTTCGCCAAGTCCGCCCCGGCAGAAATGATACCAGTGGTTTGCGCCCAACGACACGCCGGAGGAACGTCGGCTTATCATCAAGCTGGACTGCTTGATCATGATCTTCGTCTTCCTGGCATACTGGGCCAAGGTCCTGGACTCCTCGGCGACAAGCACGGGCTTATGTCAGTGGAATGAAGGAGGACCTGAAGCTGTATGGCAACGAGTTGAACTACTTGAATACTACTTACATGTATGGGCACCGTCTTGCACAGTCTGACTGAATCGTCACATACTAGTAGCTTACACATATCGTAGGGTCGGCTTTATAACGTTGCAAATTCCGTTGACTGTCCTCGTACGAAATTCCAACTCTGCGGATCTGGATATCACCATTAACTTGCTGCACTAGATTACTGGATTTTCTGCCACTTACTTTATCCCCGGCGCTGACCTCATCCGGGGCGTTCTCACCTTGCTTCAAGTACGTTACCATTACCATGGTGTCTTGATGTAGAGCTCTTGTGGTGAATCACCGCACTTCTTTGTCCAAATTGTTGACACGCTCCTCCAGTATAAAGTTACCAATGTCCACCAACTCTATGTATTCAGATTCTTTGTTGGCGCCGCCGGCAGTCTCTTCCTAGCCGTGCAATGGTACCTTGGTTGCTGGTACAAGCGTTCCGAGCTCAGTAGAAGAGGAGCACTGTTCTTCATCGCGAGCCAGATAGGCGGTATGAGTTCCGGATATATCCAACGTGGAGCCCATGCCACTCTCGACGGGAAGCATGGCGTCGAGGGTTGGCGTTGGCTATACATTAGCTGTAAGTCCATCCAATGTGTTGATTCGGTATTTGCGGCTCAAAATATACAGGCTTTGGCTGTACCATCCCAGTTGCCCTCCTTGGGTTCCTCGCCCTGCCCGGCCAGCCAGACAAGTGCAAGTCTCGTATCCTCACAGCGCGGGAGATCGAGCTGGCCCAGGCCCGCATGGCAAAGGAGCATCGGGAGCCACCCAAGCCGCTGACCTTGTCGCTGGTCAAGACGGTGCTGTCGGGGTGGCACTTTTGGGTTCGCGTCTCGTTCGCTTTCTTCTTCTCGCAGGCCTACGGCGTCTAGTCCAACAGCGGCCTCCTGCTGTGGCTCAAGGAGGAAATGTACAGCGCCGAGTCGATCAACACCATCACCACCGTCTCGCCCGCCGTCACGATCGTCGCGTCCATCATCTGCGGTATCCTGTCCGATGCGTATGACGCCAAGGTCTCCCTGATCGCTGCCACGGCCGGGCTGAACATCTTTGCGAGCGTCGTCCTTGCGATCTGGAACGTCCCCGTCGGGCTCAAGTTCTTTGCCTTCTTGCTCTCCTTGTCGGCCGACGGCATCGCGGCTGTTATCTATGCGTGGGCTAACGAGATCTGCGCCGGGGACGCGGAGGAGCGTGCCATCGTCATCAGCAGTATGAACACAATTGGAAATAATTTCGGTGCCTGCCTGCCACTATTGTGAGTCAATGCTAATTTCTGGGGATCAGGTGACATCCAGGCTAACCTTTGGCCTCAGCGTCTGGAAGACTGTTGATGCCCCAAGGTATCTCATCGGCTACAACTGGACCGTCGCTCTCGACTTGTGCATGTTGGGAATGCTGTTCGTGCTACGATCGTTCTGGAAGCGTGAGCAAAGGGCATCTTCTCGTTAACACCATGTCTCCCTGAAAGCCAGAGCTTGAAGGGGCAGTCATACCCTGACCTGATCGCCGTATCATTGGGGTAAAGTTGAGACGCAACTGATGACCAGGCTCTCCAAAGTACAGGGTAGATATCAGAGTAATGCGCAAGGGATATATCAGCTGACTTCCAAGACATCATGCCCTTCTTGCCCTGGTCACTTTACCGATTTACCCTGGCGTCATGCGAGTGAATAGGAAGATCTCGCAGCCCCTTCTTAGTAAACTGGGCCCTGATCCCTGCGTAGGTGAAGGAGTTGATTGCAGGTTATTCGGCGGCTGCAGCCTCTATAGACCCTTGACTTTGAACACCCTCGCGAAGTTGTCACCACAGCTAGCAAATCGGGAGCTTTCTGTCCTTCCTTCTGCCCTTGCGTTGTTGTTTGATAGCAGCATTTTGTCCAACAAGTCTTCCCTTTCCCACTCAGCTTGCCGGCAATCCTGGTACCTCGATCAGGTTGCCGGTATACAAACGTCCTGCTTCAGTGTTAAGATTCCTTCGCGGTGCTGCCACTGTGACAACAAACCTGCCCTAATCAACACCATAATCTTCAGCAACAACACACCTCTAGTCGTCTGAAGCAATCGCTATTCCTGGTCAGTTGATTCTAGATCCTCCATCACAATATCACACACTGCAAAATTCTGCCCCAGCCACCCATCACTGCACATTCCCACGCAAATACAGCCCACAAATTTCTTTGCTCTTCACTGACCTCATTTTGCGAGTCGACTGTCCAGCTACCCAAGCTCTTCACTATGGAGACGTTTGACGGCTTCTCGATCCTCCCAACTGGCCCCAGGGATGGAGGTCAGGGCCGCAGGCATGTGTCTCCCGTCTGGTGGAGCTCAGACGAGAGCAGCTTCGCCGTGAGTGGCCTTGACGAGCGGCCGGCCGACGACTTTGTTTCTGGAGACAAAACCGAGGACAGGACGGTACTTGAGCAATCTGTCCAGGCGAAAGCCCCCAACGCCTCCACAATCCATACCACCAAAGCCGAGCCTCATACAATGAGCTTTGCGAATCGCCTGCGACGTCAACCTGCCGCGATCTGCCTCTATGAGCGGTATCTGGAGTCAGGCGGATGCACCATCCACGAGTCTCGCGAGTCTGACGCTGTCGGACAACAAACTATCTGTTCAACCGCCGCGACTCAGGATACTACAGAGGGGACGAACCATCACGCCCGACGCAGCTGTCAGTTGTCAGCGGGCATGAATCAGCCTGAGTTGGTTAAGATATCCTCCGGCCCCCGAAGAGTCAGCGCACAGGCGCTGGCAGCCATGTTGGAAGCCGGCGCGTGGGAGGACGGAGGCGACAGTGCAGGCCAGCAAAACGCCCATAAAGACAACGACAGAACCAGCTCAGATACGGAAGACACACGCACCAGATCCTCAATCGGTTCTGAAGAGGCCGCACCTACAGTGCGGACTGGAAATATCACAGCGAACATCGGCCAAGTGCAGCAGTTTGAGGCCCCGAATTCGTCGCCACAACACGCGGAGTTTTTGAATGTCCACTCGAGCAGTGTACGTCACGAATCACTTCAACTACCCGCAAGGCGAAACATCAGCACCCCTCACAATCACATTGAGAAGCAAAACAACCTTGATCTCCTCAGATCCGTCATGGCAAAATATGACAGCAAAGTGAAAGCTCATGTGAAGGCGAAGCAGCGGTCTCGCGGACACGCCGTGATGCGTGCGGAGACAGCCTCACGTCAGGCGGCAAAGGACCACGGTGCCCGACTCGCCAGGATCTCGAACTCACGCCACTGGCGTGAGCCGCTGGGCCCGAAGGAGGTGCCGCGCTACGCCAACAGCATGCTGCTACGAGGAGAAGATATTCCTGCATATCTGCATCTGCGCGGCCGTGGAAACGGTGGAAGCCGGCTGTATCCGCAGCCCCCACCATTTGCCTCCAGCAGGACAGAAGCTGGACAATCCAGGGGAAACTTCGAGTTGGGCCAGGCACAAGCAATCAGGTTCTCCAAGCCTGGAAAGGCGAGCGTGGTCAAGATCTTCCCGCATAAATCAAGGCCTTTCGACTTCGGGTCTCTGGGCCTTGTGGAGACAAACATCATGTTCTCGGCTGGTGCTGTGGCCAAATCGGCGCGCCGGACCAATATGCGGGCTGAGGGTACGCGGCTTCGTGGCGAACGCAGCGCAGACATTGACGGCAGAGTCAAGTCCGAGTCTCCGGTGCGAGACTATCAGCAGTCCCGGATCCCTCGTGCTGTCCCAGGAACGGGAGAACATGCAGCAGCTTGCCCTTACAAGCGGCCGATCGGCGGCTCTTTGACTGATAGGGACCGGGATGTCAGGTTCCCACAGCTTGTGAGACGGCTCAAGACGAATAAAGTCGAGTCCAACGAGGATGCCGGTCACGCTCCAGTTCAAGATTTGTCCCGACTAGTCCCGTCAGCAGCACTTACATCCGAGCAGCGCTCCACAGTACACCCGCCGAATAATCGTTGGACCACGGGAGGAATTCAATCTTCGATCCTGAAGGACAAGGCTCGACACTTTAGCCTTGACGGCAACGCAAGCCAGAGCCGCATCGCCAATGAAAACGACTCGCCGCTCACGTCACCGTCCAAGATCCAGTCCAAGCTAAACCCTCCGCCTGGAAATAGTGGCTGCCCTTCCTTGATTAGTGATGACGGACAGGAGCCGTACGACTTCCCAGAGGTCGTGGGCGATCAGCATGCTCGTCTTCCGATATTGCAGGGACCGTCGGGAACCTCGGCATGCGAAAAGGAGGACACCTCGACGGCGCTAAACGAGACGTCGTCCGACGGCAGCTCAACTCTTGTTCACATCAGCATGAATGCAAATGAGCTCTTCTCCATGTCTGATACTGAAGCCATCCACGACGAGAACATCCGCGCCGACGAGATCCACGCCGGTGTGGGCGACAGCAGCTACACCGAACGTGGATGGTTATTTTGGGCGAACGAAGCATTCACCGCACCTTTTTCCCTCTACTTCGACAACGGCGACAGCGACATCCCCGCACAACGTCGAGGCGGTAGGAGGGTGACTGGAACGAGGCCTGATGGGCCTACGCTGTATAGCTGCTGTGCGATCCTGCGGTGGTTGATATCCACGACTGATGCTCCTGGGACGCCTGGAATGTGGCACGAGTCATCCATGGGACTGGAACTGCTCACGAATGCTGGTGAATACCAACTGCGAATCGATGATGACGAGAGGGCTAAGATGGTGAGGCTTTTGAATTGCCTCTATGAAGGCATCGAGCTGCCACCTGAGCCATCTGATGAGGTATCGGAATTCATTCGGAGCCTCAACCTGCAGCCGGTGCCGTAGGAAGTGGAAGACAAAGCTTCCGTGGCGGAGAGTCTCCTGTGTCTGGGTCACCATCAACTGTAAGCATGCTCGGTGAAGGAGGATATCACGAGATGCCAAGGCCCAAAACAGCATGATATGGCCAGGGCAAGAAACATATCACACTTGGATGGACACGAGCAGGCAGTGGATACTCAACCACGGGCAAACACTGTCTCAAATGAGCGAAGGGAAGAGAAAGACAGATGTGGGGGCTCTGGTATGATTTTCTGTTGGCTGAATACGACAAAGAGGAACCAAGAAAAGAGCAGACCGGAGTTGAGGAGAACTGGTCCAGGTTGTTGGAGAGGACATATGAGGATGGTTAAGCTGTCGAGGTCGGTGGTAGGCTTTTGGAAGGTGTCTCAAACATTTCGTGACAACGAGGGCAGAGACACCGGCTGTATAATTCGTGCTAGACTCAATATATATACTAGACAAATGCACATGCCTGTGCAATGCATGCTGACTGTATGAGTCCTCTTCACGAACCAAGAGTCGAAAGTCAAGTTAAGGTTTTGAGCCTCTCTCTAGGCGCTCCACAAGCCTGAGGATCGGTGGAATCAATGTGTCTGGCTAGAGGAGCTCGGGCCTGGCGGGGCAATTGCTCCGGAGGGTGAAGTCACTTTGTCTTCCCGGTATCACCAGCTCGTGCGTCACGATCAACAAAACAGCAGCTCCCTTTCCTTTGACCTAGGATCTGTCGAGGTCTTGTTCTCAGACAGGCTTCTCTTTGTCACCCAGACGGCCATTTTCATGAAGCCACCGAAATGGGCCGACTTGAAGCAATCGCACGTTCGATCGTGCAGACGATCCTCAACGGCGCCAAGAAGAGGTCTCGATCGCCAATCGCATACGTCCTGACCCTCATTTCCACCATTTTCTCCTTGTACCAGCTGCCCCTCCACAAGCATCGCCCCGAGGTCTTCACCAACCTGCGCCAGCAGCACTGGAAAGTGGATGACGACGAATATTTGGGTTCCTTCCGTGTCGAAGATGGTGGCAAACACGAAGATGTGCTCCGCCCGATGGCAGACATGGGCTTCTCTGGTTCAGTAAGTTCACTCTCGGAATCCATGGAATCTCCGTCATGTTGGGCTGCTTGACTAACGTCTTTCTTCCTGCAGTCCTTCTTCTCGACTGCCGACCAAAAATACCTTGTCAAGTCCGTACCGCGCCGTCACGAACACACCTTCTTCCGCAATGACCTGCTCGACATCTACGCTTCGTACATGGGAGCCCACCCCAAGACACTGATTATACGCATATGCGACTTCCTGGCCAGCTCTGGCCTTGCAATCGGCCACCAAATTGGCACGGCACCAAATCATCACATCGTGATGGAGAATATAATGTATGGGCAGGAAGAGGCAAAGCAGGCAGGCGCTCCGAAATGGGAGAACTGGGACCTGAAGCCTACGAGCTACTTCTACCCAGAGCGAGATATTGCCGACGGCAGGCTCACGAGCGAGGCAACCAAGGACCAGCTCGCCGACGAGTTTAATGACAAGATCATCCTCACTGCGGAGCAGGCGCAAGACCTCTGGCGCAACCTGGAGGAGGACACGCGTATGCTCGCCCACTACAATGCCGTCGACTACTCCCTCTTCCTCGTGCGAATCAACGCAGAAGAATCCAGCCATGCCATCAACAACGACCCATCGTCGTCCAATTCCGCGGCAGAAGACGTCGTGGACGCATTACCACGCGACCCACCCGCCGTACCCCCCGAGCCGCCGTCGTGGAGGACCGGAGTCCCGAGCGCGGACGGCAAGTATGTTTACCGCGCGGCCATCCTTGATTTCTTCTGGGCAAAGCACAAGACCCAGCCGAAGGTCATGACCTTCCTGGTCAACACGTACAACAAGCTCATTCATCATCACGGCCCGATGAGCATTACAACCACACCGGACGAGTACAGGGAGAGGTTCTTGAAGCTGTGCCACGACATTGTGGAGGTCAGGGACTCCGCGTCAGAGTCGTGATTTCTGTTCTGCTGGATTGTATGATACCCCTCAGCGCGATGGGACCCGTGTCCTGGACGAATAATGAAACTTTGGTCTTGTTCTTGAGCTCGCCCTCGAATGCCTGCCTCGTTGTGATTGATCGCTCCTCGACCAATGTATGGTCAGCCCAGTCTCATTGGGCTCGTATTTCCATGCAGTCCTCCTGCCCTCCGCGTCGTGGCCTGCCAGACTCAACCACAGCCATTCAACATAGCCAACGCAGAGGCAAGCCGTTGAGGAGGGCATGGCGAGGATGCGTTGTGACGTAAGCACCATGGTCGTTAGCCCTCGATCTGTTTCCGAGCGAGGTTCACGACTGGTATATTGCAAGGAGTCAGCCGGAAAATGACCGCTGATGATGTTGCTATCGGGGCCGCTCGCCTCGGCTGGTCTTCCCGCGTACTCGCCCCGCACCTCCGACAGCCTCTGCCCGATGTGGACACGAGCTGCCTCTCCAGTGTCGCGGTTGCATCCCGACTGCCAGGCTTGCCCGACTTGGCTCGGCCTGGACATCTCGGGAATGGTCTAGTTGGGTCATCCCCGCTTAAGGCTGGCATTACCACGGGTTGCTATTCACCTAGGTAGCAGTTGAAAGTTGCGATACGATTTGTACGCATCACCACGGCTTGGCAGATCACTGATATATACGCAGGTACGGTTGTTGTGAGGAAGTACGAATGACTATGTTTAAGGAAAGCTATTACGAGAGCGCTCATAAATTTCAAGGCTGTTGTTGATAACAAAATGCTGGCGTCAATTATCGCCGTCTTGGCCGCTGTGGTTTGGGCCGCCGTCGCGACACCGACCATGGCGCCGGCGGACCACAGGTCATCTCCTCTCGATGCGATCAATGACTTATACTCTGGACAGACAAGAACCATCCCCAGCAAGTTCAGCTGGTCCTCCTCTGTCGCTTTGGTCTGGCCAAAGGACGACGGCCGCAACATCGCGGGCATCAAAGACCCATCCATCGTCTTCTACGACGGCGCCTACCACGTCTTCGCCAGCACGGCGCAGGCATCAGGCTACAACCTCGTCTATTTCACATTCACCGACTTCGCCAAGGCCAACAGCTCGACCTTCCATTACCTGGACCAGACCCCGATCGGCACGGGCTACCGCGCAGCGCCCGAGGTCTTCTATTTCGCGCCGCAGAAGCTGTGGTATCTTGTGTACCAGAACGGCAACGCCGCCTCCTCGACCAACGCAGACATAGCAAACCCGGCGGACGTACCGGCGATCGTCTCCAATAATATTGGTAGCGGATACTGGGTAGACATGTGCGTCATCTGCGACGCGGCCAACTGCCACCTCTTCTCGAGCGACGACAATGGCCACCTGTACCGCTCGCAGACCTCACTTGCCAATTTCCCCAAGGGCATGAGCGAGCCCGTCATCGCGCTGCAGGACACGGCCAACAAGTACGCCCTGTACGAGGCGTCCAACGTCTACAATGTCGGAGGCGGCACACCTACCTCCTACTCGTCGAGGCCATCGGGAGCGACGGCGCACGCTACTTCCGCTCGTGGGCGTCCAAGAGCCTCTTGGGCAGCTGGACACCGCTGGCCGATACTGAGGCGAACCCTTTCGTGGGGAACAACAATGTCGTCTTTGCCTCGGGGAAGGCCTGGACCACTTGAGCAAGAGTATCAGCCACGGCGAGGTGGTCCGCACGGCTGTGGATCAGACGCTGGCCATCAGCCCGTGTGGGATGCGGTATATGTATCAGGGCTTGGATCCTGCTGCTGGGGGCGAGTATAATGCTCTACCGTGGCGGCTGGGTTTGATCACGCAAACCAACTCCACTTGCTGAGAGAATTGGGTGAACGAGTGGTGGGATGTTTAGTGTCATTACTATTGAAGGAGAAATACATCGAGGGCCTCCTATATACGCATTGATGTAATTCGCGTTCTACTGGAATCCATTATGTGTCTGCATTTGCCCCTGCCTGATAGTCTCGGATGTGGAAGGGCGATGTTTCTCGGAGAATGTAGGCTCAGAACAGCAGCCTTTATGTGTGCCCCCTTGTTCTCCATGCATCATGTTTCACTCCTGTTGCTCCTTGTCCTTAGATGCCCATCTGTAGGATTCTTAGCCTTTTTTGGCTCTCCTATAAATACTTTCTGCAATCCAGCTCGGCTGGTGTGGAGTAGGAGGCCATCATGAAAGGTTGTGCATGAAGCTCTCCGGTTGGTGTTTAGGAAAGGACATGCCTACCTATCATGTGGACAACTTTGAGGTTCTCTTCAGTCCTCTGCCCACAAATCACGCCAAAGGTGAGTCCATCAGCTGTTGTCCTCCTTGAGCAGCCTCTCGATCTCCTCGCCCATCGCCTTCTTCATGGCTGCCTTCCGCTCCTCAGTCCACTCAGCATCCAGGACGTGCCTGGGCTGAAATTGTTTTCTCATGCTCATGGTGCAGAGACCATTTCGAAAGTCAAGCTCAAACACATCCAGCACCTGCATGACCTTGTCAATGCCACGGACAGGCACCGCCCTGCGGAGGTATGTGAAAAGGTGGCAATAGACAGCAGCCGCCATAATGTGTGCCACCATGACATCCCATCCGGCAATGCTGATGGTGTCATCGAGGAGCATGTCGGTTTTTGGTCTGAGGCACAGGTAACCTACCCGCGTCATGCCCGGGTCGAAGGTCTCGAGGTTGTCGGCGCCCGCAAGGAGAGCAAACACGCTAGTCATGAAGGTAACTTGGCGCTGGTACTCGCGATTATGGGCGAGGGCCACGTGTCGCAGGAGGCTGATTTGCGAGGGGCGGAGGCCGGCCAGGAAGCTCTGCAAGGCCACCAGGTTGGCAAACATGAGTTTCTGACCGTAGAGGATGGCTCCTGCCTCGGCGTAGACAGCCTTGCTTGTGCGGAGGAGTGCGAGGTTGCGGGTTGAGGCTGCATCCTGGTTGGGGTCGGTGGACGTGAACGGGCTTGGGGAGAGGCTCCGCGCGTTGGGCCTGTCGTTGCCCAGGATGGCTTTGTTACGGCACAGCTTGGCGGAATACTCAGTGCCGATGAAGAAGGTTCCGTCGGGTCTCGTCAAGACGTTGTGGTAGATGATGTTTCGAATCTCGCGGGGCAATTTCCTGTGGGTGATCAGCTTGAGAACATGATGGTACAAATGAGCAGCCGTGCTGGGTGTAAGTTACATGAAGGCAAATGGCTCGTGCTCATTGCCAATCTGAACGAACTTCTTGCAGCGGGGGCGTTGTTGCTGTATTAACAGATTGTCAACTAATGTACTCAAACCAGGATGAAGACAGCACGAACCTTGTGGATGCTTCCAGAGCCATTGCCTATGTCATCCTCTGCGGTGGGAATCTCGTCATCCAAACTGCAAGGCGGACCTCGCTTGCCGTCTGTGCCGTTCATCATCTTGGAAAGGTCAGACAAGCTCATGCTGCATCGGAATAATAGCAGCTTCGTCGGGACTGGACGAAGTTCGCTGGAGACCTATTTGCACCCTCGTGGATGCTCAAAGCAAATTGATGAAAGATTCGGGTTCGAGTGGAAGGTTGAAGGGGTTGGAAAAGTTGCAAAGGGTTGAAATGGCCGAGAAGGTCAAGTTCACTTCACAAAAACTAGTGGGTAGCACTGTCACGTGCGGAAAGGTGAAGTTTTTCGTTTGTATTTTGGATCATGGGAATATGTGATGCAACTGGGATTTCGAGGAACACCCAAGGTGAATTTCTCATAAACACCACGTCCGCTGACTTCAGCCAAGCAAACACGTCTCAGAGACCCTTCTGTTTTATCAAATGAAGTATAACCATCTATAAATCAATGTAACGTAAAAGACCATTCAGATCACGAATCGGACAAGGAAAAAAGTGCTACTTTCAATTCCAAATGAATTCAAAACTACTTCATAAAGCTTCTCCAGTTGACGCCTCGAGTCATTGTTCCTTGTCCAAGTCAGGACTGGCACCTTCAATGTCGTCGGCTGCTATCTCCATGCCCCTCTCATATCCAGAAAAAGAGACCCTCCACGCATGGTCGTTCCTAGGTCGCATCTCAACATTGATGTCCCAATCAGGCACAGGCATCGCATTCACCATCGGCGACTTGGCTGTCATAGGTGCAGCCCACTTGCCACCCACAGGATAAAGGTCAAATCGAGAGAACATGAGAATTTCAGTGGATGCGAAATGCCGCCCGGGGCACAATGTCGTTCCCCCACCAAATCCACGGAAAGCGACCGGGTTGTCTCGTTTGGATCCAGGAACGAATCTCTCGTAGTTGAGTTCATCAACTGTATCACCCCAGACGGCTCGATTCATATGCTGCACCGTTGACGGCATCATGCTGGCACTTCCTTTCTTGAGAAGGTACTGGTCGTTGAGCTGATAGTCCTCCATAGCTATGCGTGTGGCCGTGCTGACGGAATATACACGCATCGTCTCCTTGAATGTTGATAGCAAGATGGGACAAGATGATTTGACATGGGCTAAATCGATGGTACAGGTACCATCATCAACTTGCTGCACACCTTTAGACAGCTCATTCCTGATGGATTCAAGGACCGTATGGTCCAAGAAGATGTGATATGCCATCCAAAAGGTTCATGGAAGAGTTTTCGTGAGGATAGCTTGACTACCAGCGACCTCAATTCTTGCCGTCTCCTTTAGGGGGATCTGGAAATCATTGTTGATTTTTGGGCGAGCTTTCACCAGCTCCGAACCGTGCTGGTATGAGCCCGCTTCGAAATATTCCTCCCAGACCTTGACCATGTATTCGCGTGCTTTGAAACCATCCTTGGCCAAGACACGAGGGAAAAGCTTCAGGATGGACAACATCATTTTCGGTTCAAATGTACTGTCCTAGTCAATAGAGGATCAAATTTTGACTCAGGGATGACTTACTACTAGGCTTTCTCCATAGCAGGATCACGGAATGGGTTTTTAGGCCCATACATACCCTCAGTAGATGCCAACAGAAGCTCATGGCGAGCCCATTGCCACAACTGTATCTTCGTAGCTCCCTTCTGGGACCATTCGTCTAAGGACTTGGCAATGACTTGAATTGCCCTCCTGTTCATGGCATCCAGGCCAGGTCCGGGACTCAAGGCTGAGTGGAGGTATTTGGGGAAGCTCATCAAATAGCCCTCATCTTTGGTGACATCGCGACCTATTATGTCGATGGTCGCTTTCTGGAAACCAAGGAGATTGGCGGCTATATTGGCCTCTATAGCTGTGAAGGAGAGTGTTCGGAATTGAGCTTGGATGGGGTTGAGAAGAGATGGTGAGTTCACCACATACATCCGCAAACCAGGCAATCGCAACGTATATATTGGCAGATTATATTTATCCCTATAGTCGGCATTACCATCACTTTGCTCCCTGTTTCTCAGCATGCAAACCAGATGTCGAGATATTTACCTCATGACTCAGTGAAAGTCCCCGCCCTTGGATATCATGTTGACTATAGGTGAGATGAAGGGGATGGCATTGTTGATAGAAGTCGGCACTTTCGCATCCTGCGTAAATGAAGAAGAGCGACCAGTAGTACATAGGTCGCGGCAGCAAAGCCCACGGCTATGGGGAGGATGGAAGACATGCTGAACGTCCTATGGCAATTTTTCCCAAACGTTTCCAAGTCTGGCTAGTTAGGAGGAAAATTCCTAAAAAAAGGTCTTGGCGGCCGCGGCAGGGTTTAAACCTACGCCCTCCGTGGAGAGAAGCTAGATGCATGACCAGTGCGCCACGCGGCCAGTCTTTAGTTTTAAGTTAAACCTATTAATTAAACTAAGTTTTTTTTTTAAGTTTTTAGCTTTGAGTTAAACCTATCAACTAAACTAATTTCAACCCTGTACGGGCGTTCCCTCCATTTTTGCAGGTGCGAATATCTGTTCTCGTTTGGAAAGTGGTTAGATTTTGCCGTTCGCTCAGGTCTTTGTCTGTTTTCCCAAAGCATCATTGCCCCCACGTTTCAACGTTTCTTTTGATAAACTCTCACAGAATCCTCACAGGGAATCAGCCGCAGCTTCACCTGAGGCAACATGATGGTGTCAGTCTACTGCAGAGTGATTTTCCTAGGGATACTCCTCTCCACAGTTATCTGGCTATTCGTGTTCAGGGAGAGTCTCGGCATGGTGAGTGATCAGCCGCATTGTGCCTCTTGATGTCACAGCAAGCTCACACCTCCCCTGCAATAAGGTCTCAAGCCTAGACTACGCCTCACCAGCTAGCCAGCCCGAGAACGTCACCATAGCAGACCCGGCTACCGCGGTCAACAGAAATCTGACGTCGCTCATACTCTACGCCTACGCGGAGTCTGAGACGGCCCGCGAGAACCTCAGGTTCTTCTTAGAGAAAGGCATCCACGGCGGGGCAGATTTCATCTTCATATTTAATGGCGAGACTGATGCAGTGTCGCTCGTTCCCGAGCTCCCCAACATCAAAATCATCCAGCGCGAGAACACTTGTTTCGACCTAGGCAGCATGGGCAATGTGCTGCGGAAAGATGACCTCTGGAAACGGTACAAGCGGTTCATCACCATGAACGCCAGCATCAAGGGCCCCTTCCTGCCGCGCTACGCCAGCACAGCATGCTGGACGGACATCTTCCTGAGTCGTATCACAGACTCGGTAAAGCTGGTCGGCACGACTGCCAACTGCCAGCCGTCACCGCACGTCCAATCCATGCTCTGGGCCACTGACGACGTCGGCATGGGGATTCTTCTCGACCCGGCCCTGGCCTACTCCGTTCCCCAGGCTGATCCCTGGGGCACGGTAGATGACCCTGTGGGGCTCAGCTTCTGCCACGAATCAATGGACGCGGCTGTCCATTCCGAGCTCGGATCTACGAGGCTAATCACGTCACAAGGCTATGCGGTCGACGTTCTGATGACAGCTTACGAGTTGTCAGCAGGTGCTGGTATCGAGGAATACTGTAAAAACGGTCAATTCGAGGACATATTGTACGACAAGAAGTACTATGGGACCAATATTCATCCGTATGAGACCGTCTTTATCAAGACGAATCGCGATATCGATCCGATTCTTGTGGAGAAAATGACAGATTGGCATCTGAGGAACGGTCTTGATAGTTGGAAGATCTGTAAATGACCGTGTTCAAAGATGATCGATATCTGAAGTCAAATTCAGCACAGTTGAACATCAAAGCTCATTCAAAAATAACTATAGAATATACAGAGACAAAACATGAATTGCACTGCTGATTATCATTTGCGGCCTCTATCTCTTGCTACTCTATAACGTCAGATGGGAGCCGTCAAATGACATTACCTGGTCCATGTATTATTTAAACATGTATTTAAATGTTGACTGAGGCTCTCTTACATTGAAATGTCAAACCAGACCACCCGTATCCGAATATCCAAGGGCAAAAACGGACCATTGATTCGATTCTGCTCAAACTCAAGAGAAGCCTCGACGGAGCCAGCCACGCTGCCAGATACTCTCGAGTGTCCGCACATGGCTTCAATGGCCGCCAGCAGCGGGTCGGTGTCCACAGGGGCTTAGGAGGCCCTCGGCGAAGAGCCGTAACTTTAAGCATCTCACCCCATATGCATGCCGCCCTTAGGTGTAAGGCCCTAGACAAGTATCTGCACGAGCATGGTCCAAGGTCCAAGGCCAATATTCAGAAGTGGCCGCTTTTGCTACCGGGGGATCTTTTACACCGAGTCTCATTCCCTTGTGCTCCATCTTATCTCATTATGATGGTTATGAAGCGCATGTGTGCCACTGTTGGCAGTGAGTGAAGAAGTCTAAGATATAAGGGCTCGGGTTTGCTAACACCAAATGAACCTTGAAACCGAGCAGGTCGGGCGGCCTGCTCTAGTCCTGAAGTCAAGGAACAGTAGCAACGATCTGAATAGACGCAATACGCGCGGCGTAGTGATGACCAGTCACTTCTCACTTCCTATTCCTAATGCAGTACATTGGAGGGCCCCAACGCAGACTCTGTTTGGACTGAGGATTCGAAGTTGGTGGGCCTTTCTTCGAAGCTTGAATCCACTTTGGAAATTTCGGGAGCATGCAAGTTGGCTGCGTGCGCTGGATTTCGCTTCATCTTGCATTTGGAATCTTCATCGTCAGCGTCTTTTGCCATGGTTAACGATCTTCCAAAATAAATACCAACTGCTTCATACCGTATTACGGTGATTAAAGAATCTTGGGAGGAGAAGAAGACTACTAGGAGGAGCTGTAAGTGAGGAGGCACACGTCTGACTACGTTGATCGGCCGAGGCCTCATGCGAGCGATAAGATTGTTTGGTTCATGTGCTCACTTCTGTGTGTCATCTTCGATCACAGTCTGGTTTATGGACCCTTAATGATTGTTGATCCACCTACCTGCATGGATAATTCTACGGTTTCTGCTCATGTTGGTGGATCTAGGTCTCCGCACCCAAACCCGAGGCTACGATCTACGCATTATGTAAAATCATTAGTGCACAGAATAAGCTTTTCTTTTCGGTTATCCTAGGTAAAACAAGCTCACATCTCAAGCTCGGTCTGAATTATTTAGGCAGGTGTTGGCGGCTCATCGATCTTGCTACTACATTGGGTGGCTTTGAGGTTCGCTCGGCTTCAAAAAAAGTTTATGCTGCCAATACAACAAATGCTTCCAGTCGCCTCGGACATTGTCAACATGGATTTCCAGCCGCCGGCCCGTCGTTGCAAATGCAACGTCCGGCTGGCACAATTTCCGCTGCACAATGCTAACAAGGCTGTAAGGACGCATGGCCACGGGTCCAGTCAGCTGCGTCGTCTTGAATCTTGGGTAGTGGCAGATCGATCGCCACGGGTCGGTCTTGTTGGCTGCAGCCACGATATCGTACATCTCGGCGGGAGACTGCATTCAAAGCCCAAATATACGTAGTCTATTGGTTGGCACCCGAGGAGACGGACGATGTCCCGTCAGGCGAGGAGCTGCACGGTATCGCAACACCCTGACAGGGTCGCCACTCGAGCATATGATCAATCGTGTGACATGCTCGGCGGTGGCCAAAATGTGCTTACAGGTCAATTTGCCCTCTGGATAAACACTAGATAAATGGACAAACCGCGGGCGATTCGAGTAGTCAGCCTGGTATAAAGTGTCCAGATAGTCAATCTAATTACTGAGTTAGACAAGTCACTATCTCCAGCCCCTTGCCTGGGGGAATGTAGCCAAGGCTCGGCAGCGATGGGGTCGGGGCTTGGCGCATCCTGCCAGCATCGCTCCATTCGCCAACGCCCTCGAGGCCCGGCGTTCTGGATCCAATTGTTTCAATCTCACGGGTCCAAATGGCTCAAGGGGCGTCGAGCAGGCGCCGTGCAAGACGAAGAGGCAACAATCCAATAGTTCAGGCCGGCGGGGTCATTCGCTGCCCTGCTGGTCCTGCCTGCTCGGCTGTCAGCGGGCGTCCCGGCCGGACAAACGCCAAGTAAGGGGCTAGACTGAGCTTCCTCTTCCGGCCGACGACAAGGCGAACCGTTCATTCGAAGGACGGTGCCGAGCCTTTGCCCAGGCCCAGTCAAGGCTGGGTAATTCAAGTTTTTGCATGGCACTGCAACCGTTATCTCTTGTCCCTGCCGCCTATCGCCCTCTGGGGACCAACCAGCGCCTCTGCTCTGGTGACACGGCGGGTCTTCCTCGGTCTAGGCTGCCTCCACTTTTGCGCTCCCCTCTGGCTGGGTCTCAGTCGTCGAGGGGGGAGGGGGGGCAAACCACCACTTTGACCAGCTCCTGTCTTCCCCAGGCCCGCGGGCGCAGTGGGTCTCCCCACGCGGACGTCAGTATCAGTGGAGCCGACTGATATTCCTCCAGGCGCCTTGCGTCGTCAGTCTGGACGCGATATCTCTCCAACACGGCCAAGTTGGTCGCGAAATGGGCAGATCATCAGCAAAGCCACATGGAAAATGGGTACCTGGGGGCGTTGGTCCCTCTCCTGCTGGGAGCCTGCCCGGCCGTCTCTCGCCAAGCGTGAGAAGGAGGCAAGCGGGGTGAGAATGAGGAAGGTCCTGTCCAAAGCGTATACGAGGCGCACCCGACTAATTCTATCACTCTGGCGCGGACATGTCTGGGCGTGCCACCCCGGGCCTCAAGAAGCCATGGAAGCTCGGCAGAAGCAGGCTAGAAGCCTCTCGCCTCGAGGTCGCCATGGTGGTGCACATGCATAAATGCACGTCAATCCCCGCCGGCGAGACGCATTCCATGTCCTCGTCCCCCTTTGCTTGTCTCTTGTCTCAGATCTTTGTCTTCAGCCCCCGACCGGCCACACTCCTCCCCAACGTGAGCCCACGTCTATCGTCGTGCCCCCCTGGGTCGTATAGGTCCTATTATCTCAAGCTCAAGAAGATCCAAGACACGACCGCCCGTCATGTCGGAGGTAGAAAAGGGCGAGGCTGCCCCGCCCACCGTCCTCCACCGGAAGGACTCGTCTTCCGATGGCGAGGTCGGCCGGATCGAGGAGAAGGAGAGCTGGGCGACCCGCAATGGCTTCAACCTGCGGTCCTTCCAGAAGAAGGACTCGGGTGCCAACATCACTCTTGAGCGGCCCATGAAGACGCGGCATCTGCACATGATCTCCATCGGTATGAGCGTGCTCCCCGTTCCCTTCCCAAGCATTGGTCTCCCAGAGCGCTGACGTGAGAGTCTCCAGGTGGCTCAATTGGTGCTGGTTTCTTCGTAGGCTCGGGTGGCGCCCTGTCAAAGGGTGGCCCTGCTTCTCTGCTTCTCGATTTCGCTATTATCGGTGTCATGATGTTCAACGTCGGTAAGTCTTCGATGGGCGCTGTTGCTCTTCGCTATTCTTCTTTCAGACTAATTAAATCTCTCCCCTAGTGTACGCTCTTGGTGAAATGGCTGTCATGTACCCTGTCTCCGGTGGCTTCTACACTCTGTCAACTCGCTTCATCGACCCGTCCTGGGGCTTCGCCATGGGCTGGAACTACGTCTTCCAATGGGCTATCGTGCTACCTCTCGAGTTAACGGTCTGTGGTCTCGTCATGGCATACTGGACCCCAGATGTAAATGTCGGAGTCTGGATCGCCGTCTTCCTCATCCTTATCACCCTCGTCATGATGTTTGGCGCTATCGGTTTCGCCGAGGAGGAGTTCTGGGCTGCACTCCTGAAGCTCTGCGCTATCGTCATCTTCATGGTCATCGCGTTCGTCTGTGTCCTTGGTGGTGGTCCCAAGGGAGGAGCCTATGACACGTATCAGGGCTCGAAGACGTGGCAGGACCCAGGCGCGTTCCGGAACGGTTTCCGTGGCTTCTGCGCTGTATTCGTCACCGCCGCGTTCTCCTTCTCCGGAACGGAACTCGTTGGTCTGGCGGCTGCTGAGGCCAAGAACCCCGTCAAGGCTTTACCAGGTGCTATCAAGCAGGTCTTCTGGCGTATCACGCTGTAAGTTGATGTTTACCACTAGGTCTGGTCTTTTGTCACCATTTCTGTGTGCTAATATGACCTATACAATAGTTTCTACATCCTTGGTCTCATGTTCGTCGGCCTTCTCATCCGCTCAGATGACGAACGTCTCCTCGGCTCCGGCAGCGGTGACACGTCCGCCTCACCTTTTGTGCTCGTCGGCAAGTATGCTGGCCTGAACGGCTTTGACCACTTCATCAACGTGATCGTGGTCATTTCCGTCATGTCCATCGGCGTGTCTGGTGTCTACGGAGGCTCGCGTACCCTGACCGCCCTCGCCCAGTTCGGCTACGCTCCCAAGATCTTCACCTACATGGACCGTGCCGGCCGCCCCACCTTCTCCGTTGGTCTCATCCTCGTATGCGGTCTCCTCGGCTTCATCAACCTGGACGCTCAAGGTGAGGTGGTCTTCAACTGGCTCGTTGCCTTGTCCGGTCTGGCTGCACTCTTTACCTGGGGCTCCATCTGCCTGGCCCACATCCGGTTCCGCAAGGCGTGGAAACACCACGGTCACTCCTTGGATGAGATCCCCTTCCGGGCCATTGGCGGTGTTTATGGCTCATGGTTGGGTCTCATCCTCTGCGCCCTTGTCCTGATTGCTTCTTTCTACAGCGCCATCTGCCCTGTCGGCGTCGAAGGAGTTGGTACGGCCGAGGACTTCTTCATGGCTATGCTGGCGCTTCCAGTGGTGCTTGTGTTCTGGATTTGCGGATACTTCTGGAAGAAGGAGGGCTGGCTTCGCACCGCCCAGATGGACGTTGACACGGGCCGTCGTGAGCACGACTGGGATGAGATCAACGCCTACAAGGCCAGGATCGCGGCTTTCCCGTACTGGAGGCGTCTGGTATACAAGTGGTTCGTCTAGAGAGGTATGAATAGCGACCATCTACTACCGCGTGTACAAGTACCCATGGGGACGCGGACATATCAATGGCGCGTGGGCCGACTGGTGTAATTACACACAGCCTCTCATGGTTGTAATCAACTTTATCAGAATACACAACTCTGTACTTCTGTTTGCAGTCTTCCAGTTCCTGCTCCACAGGTGTATCTATATTGATTGGAGAACGTGGTCTCCCAAAATATTTCAAATCATGGTCATCTTTCCGTGGTGCATATCGACGTGCTTATGGCAGCCAATAAGCATTCTAGGCCTGCCGTCTCCAAGCTAAGACAATTTTCCGGACAACTCTGGCGAACTTCCAAACATCTCATTGTCTTTTGCTCAATCCGCCGCCGTGTCATTCAGACACTTGGTATGTGTCCGCCGCGAGTCACGGCTTTTGTCAACCCCTTGGTCATGCCCTCGCCCTTCTCGGACCGAGCTAGCCATTCCGAGGACGGCGTCACTGTCAGGTTGACATTTCTGGCCTTGGCAACCCACCAACGTGTCCTCGTGGCCAGGGACAGCGACTCTGCAGTTGCGGCTTACCCTACTGTGATTGCCCCACCAGTACAAGTTCCCGCGGGTATTGAAGGATCCCTGAGACTTAGGAGGCTCGGTATAAGTGCCCGTGTCGCATAAGAGGCTTCTATAGGACCCTTCCTATCTGAACGTGGAAGCACCCCAACCGTTGCCAATCTTGCCGTGCCCAAATGATGCGAAGACTGTCAAATATTGGTTCCACACCTGGAAAATTTGACACCGCCATTCAACCATACCACACACACGCGCGCCTCAATACGACTCAACAGGCCCTCTCTTTTCCGGATTCCGTGCCACAGCTTTCCGGAAGAGGAAGCTACAGCTCCTCGAACGGTCTCACAAGGACAGCAGTGAGGTTGCAATCTGACCTGAGTCGCCGGTGTGCTGGCACCGCCATCCCGCCAGAAAGATGCCGAATCGGGGCCCGGCAATGCGGCAGCCACCAGACCCTGCATGCATATGTGGTGTATGCTGCGCTTACTATTATCTACCTGCAGAGACCAGAGAGAGACAGAGGGAGCATGACAGTTCAGATTCCCGTCCAATGAAGGACACCCATTGATAACCGCGCAGGACCCTGCGGTCGTGCCCACATGTGCACCACGCTCACGTGGCCGAAAGGTCGAGGTGCCATCTTGGTATTGCATCCTGGAATGTAACTTGGCGATGCCGAAAATGCGACGGCATGACAGGGCAGCCGACGTTGCGATCCATGATAGCGGGCTGGATGCAACATTGATCTTGGAATAAGTAGTGGGATGCTATATTGTAAGTCGGGTGGAGCGTCTGGGTACAAAGATCCATGATAGTCCGCTTGAGAATTACTCGAATTGTTGGCAGAGCTGTGTAGCCAGATTCAATATGAGATTTACTCTGTTCTCCAGTGTCCTCACTCTCTTAGTGAGCTTCGGCTCTCCCCTGCCCGTTCAAGATGCCTCCACCGTCGCGGTCTATCCTGAACTGCCACGCCTTGTCATATACTTCCAGACGACCCACGACAGCTCCGGGAACCCGATCTCCATGCTTCCACTGATCACGGAACTTGATATCGCCCTGACCCACCTCATCGTCTGTTCCTTCCACATCAACCTCGGCAGCGAAATCCACCTCAACGACTACCCACCATACTACCCCCTCTTCTCCACACTATGGAACGAGACAATCGTGATGAAAGAGGCCGGCGTAAAAGTGATGGGCATGATAGGCGGCCGCCCCGGGCTCCTTCGACTCGACCACCCTCGACAGCGCCGACGAGGCCACCTTCGAGCACTACTACGGCCAGCTGCGCGACGTGATCGTGCAGTACGGCCTGCAGGGCATGGACCTGGACGTCGAGCAGTACATGTCGCAGGCCGGGATCACGAGGCTCGTGGCGCGGCTGCACGCCGACTTTGGCGATGACTTCATCATCACGCTCGCGCCGGTCGCCTCGGCGCTGTCGAACCAGGGCAACTTGTCTGGGTTTGACTACGAGGCGCTGGAGGCTGCGGCGAGGACTGCTTCTGGGCAAGACATGATTGATTTTTACAATGCTCAATTCTAGTAAGACACGTTTCGTGAAAGTTTGGTTGAACTCAGTTTTGTATCATCAATTCCACTAAGTCAAAAGATCATCATGCTGACACATAATTTACCTCCAACAGCAGCGGTTTCGGCACCATGTCCAGTCCATTATCATACCAGAGAGTGGTCAAGAACGGGTGGGAGCCAAAGGACATCGTGGCCGGCCAGCTCACCAGCCCCTCGAACGGGGGCGGCTTCACCAGCGTCGAAAGCCTCAACCAGACGGTCATCGCGCTAACAGCCGAGTACGGAACGATCGGCGGCATCATGGGCTGGGAGTACTTCAACAGTGTGCCCGGCGGGACGGCTGCGCCGTGGCAGTGGGCCCGGGAGATGACCGAGATCTTGAGGCCGGGCTACGGCGTGCAGCTCGAGGTCACCAGCGAGGCAGCCGAGACTTTGGATACTGCTTGGAGAGAAAGTGTTATCGATGCGCCGTCGAGCCTTGTGGAAGCGAGGCCGAATGTGGATTACTTTGCAATGATCAATGCGTAGGTTCAGGAGATTGAGATCAGAAGTACTATGTATTCTTGATTGATCATGGTCATTGCGTAGAGAACGGATAGTCGCACCCGCAAAAACAGAGGGTACACCCGTACATCGCCAGCTCCAACACGCACGCCTAATTCACACACCCAATTCACATACTTAATTCATACAACTAACACCTATATATCTAATTTATATAAGTATTAAGTATATAGGTATTAGGTATATGGATCTATAGGTGCATGGTATATAGGTGTATGAGTGTTAGGTATATGAGTGTTAGGTATATGGGTGTGTAGGTGTATGGGTGTATGGGTGTTGGGTGTGTAGGTGTTGGGTGTGTTACTGTCTGGGTGATATACGGGTGTACCCTCCGTTTGCACGGGTGCGAATATCCGTTCTCATTACATATCGACATTACCGAGTCTAGATACCGGACCACATAAGTCTATGTCTATAATTCCTTCCCGCAAATTGGTATCGAAGTAAAATCCCAAGAGAGTGAGAGACCGAAAACCTATCCTCGTAACTCATAAAGGCAATACCCTTACGGCTTGAATAGTTGCTCTTTTCTGAAGAACACGAAAAAGCCCACACAAACAAGCAGCTGCAGCAAAAGCGGGACCCAGAGCCAAACGTTATTCAGCCCCTCCCACAGGTTCAACGCCAAATTGGGGAATACAGGGCCCGGGCCAATCTTATCCGGCGCGCTCGCACGCGCAGCAATGGTGCCGATGGACCCGATCACCTGCGCGCCAAACACGGTCCAGCTGACGTGGAACCGGCCCAGCGTCTGCAGCAGGATCATGCCGAAGCCCACGCCCTGCAGGGCATCCAGCACACCCAGCCAGAGCCAGAGGCTGCGGCCGAGCAGCGCGCCGGCGAGGTCGCTGCCCACCCACGGGAGGTAGAGGCCGACGCCGCTGGTGCCCCACAGTAGCTGCGCCCAACGCGGGGCGCCGAGGCCGATGGCGAAGAGCGGCAGGGCCCACGAGTGCTCGTTGGAGAGGTAGGCCATGGCGGCGAGGATGGCAGCCCAGACGACGACGAAGAAGAAGACGGCCAGGACGGCGATGCTCCACGCGGGCGCGACGGCGCTGGACCACAGGTAGCTCCAGCTGCGGCCGTAGGGGGCCGAGAGGAAGTAGTTCTGGATGGCGGCGACGACGAGGAACCAGACCACGATCCTGCGGCGCAGGACGGAGCGGTAGAAGGCCGAGACGTAGCCCGGCCTGCTGCGGTACGCCTCGGGGAGGCCTGCGAAGAGCACCAGGGCGACGGCCCATAGAAGGACCGCGATGGGCAGCGTCACGCACGTCACGGTGCGCGAGGACGACGAGATGAGCGTATAGCCGCTGTTGCGGAGCTTGGCCGAGTACGAACCCCAGTACCACAACGCCGCGATGTAGATCTGCTGCGTGCCTTGGATGGTGCATGCGCGGAACATCCACGCCCGCACTGGGTTTCCGCCCTCAGTCAGGAAGTTCTGCGTGAAGAAGAGGAACCCGCTGGCCGAGCCGACGGCATAGAGGCCTGTTGCGGTGTACTGCAGGGCCACGATGTCGAGTGGCGAGGTCGCGAAGGGGATCAGGCCCAGGATGAGGAAGGCAGCGCCGTAGAAAACAAAAGCCAGGGACAAGGAGATGTAGAGCTTCACGTTGCGGAAGAGCATCCACCAGAATATTGATCCGCAGAGGTAGATGGCCGAGGTGATGTACACCTGCTCGGCACTCTGGCCATTCTGTCCAGTGAGCAGAGTGATTTGGTACGAGTTGGCAGCGATGATCTGTCCGAGGGCGAGCAGGAATGCATAGACCGGCCAGTCTCCGATCTTGGCTAGCATGAGCTTCCTCAGGCCTGTTGGGGGCTTGTAGTCTGGGCTCAGGTTGAACTCGTTGACTTGGACACTTCCGTCATCGCGGCTGCTGGCGGCCGATGTTGACCTGGATGACACATCGACGACGGGCTTTGGAGTCTTGCCCAGCTTGGCATCGTGGAAGCGAGCGAACCAGTTCTTCTCCGAAGAGCGGATGTAGTCCTCAACGCACAGCTTGTCCGCGGACAGGTTGCCCTTGTGGGAATCGATGAGCTTCGAGAACGAGCTGTAATACTCGCCCTTTGGGTCATTGAAGAAGGGCTCCACGTTCTGTAATTTGAAATCACTGCGCCCGCCGACGACAGTGTCAAGGGTAAGGACGGACTGATTGGCTGTTGGCACGCTATGGGTGAGAGACTCATCCGCCTCATTGCCAGAGGATGATCTGTTTGAACTCTGTCCTTCATTGGGGAACTCGTTGGCCTCCATCTGTGACTGCGTCCTGTCAAGCTCTGCAAGATCGTCCAGCCTCTTGGACAAGAGTTTGCCTAAAGCAGAAAATGACTTGTTCCTCGGTGCGAAAGTGGCAGTCGGGGTTCTGGGCGTGTTCGCCCCTGAATTAGGCTCAGATGCTGTCGAAATGGAGAGCACCGATGGGGTGTGAGTGCGTGTTCGCCTCGCCGAGCTGAAGCCACGAGTCGGGCTCGGCGCTCGGCTTCCAACTCTGCTCGGAAAAGCCGTCGAAGCTGCTGTCTGAGGCGTGCTGATCGTCGGCGAATTCGGCAGTGTTGGAGCAGGTTGAGGGGGATGCAACGCAAGTGACGTTACCGAAGACGAACGTGTTCCGGGGAGGAGAAGGTTGAAGGTCGAGCCTCGTCTTACACTGTCATGGGCTTCGATAGACCTGGTTTGCAGGGTGTCGAGATCTTGGACCCACTGCATCACCGGGAAGCGTTGAACCAACGATCTGGCCCTCATCAGGCGCCTCGTCTCCTCGGAAGAAGCGAGGGCAGATTTGATAGTAGACTTGAACTGGCGCAGCAAGTGCTTGGTCTCAGTCGACTCGATTGTAAACCACCAACCAGGCATCTGGCCCAGGCCTCCAACGCGGGATCCCACACAAAGCGCGCCCTTTCTGCCAAACTCAACGGCGACGAGTCCGAATGGCTCGTCTCGAGATGGCATCAGGGCAAACTCTGCTCCACTGAAGACATACGGAGGGATCGAAACGAACTCGGGTTTGGAGTAGACCCGGCCAGGGTACCGTTCCATCGTCTTTTGCAATTTCAGTGCAGCGAATTTGCCATGGTTGTCGATCGTAGGGCCGAGACATATGAGCTGCACGTCTTTGTGCTTGTCCAGAATGGCAGGGAAGACATCCGCGATGAGATCAATGCCCTTCTGCAAAGACCATCGGCCGACGAAAACGAAGAGCTGGGCCTTTTCGTTGGGTCAGCACCAATGTTATAGCCACAAGGATAAAGTTGTTACTCACATTAGGGTTTTCCTCCAAGCCAGCCCATTTCTGGGCCTGAACCCTCAGCTCACCCCTCTTCTCTTCCGCGTCCTCATCAACAGCAACGTCCATGGTCCCGATTTCCTTGGCCATGCCCGCGTTCCAGTCAGCCATATCGTCAGGGTCTGGGTTTGGCAGGGAGCCGATCTCGTGCAAACCCCAGAAGATGGGGTAGCGCTTATAGGCTCTGGCTCCGTACTTCTTGGAGACACCGACGGCGCCGAACCCGCCTTGGAATTGGCGGATGTAGCTGGCGGCCGCGTAAAGCATGTTGAACACCTTGTCGAACTGGATATATGTCTTGACTGTCTCCTTGGGCAGGTTGAAGACCTCCGTGATCTCGTCCATCTCGCCCTTTGTGCGAAGAGACCACATTCCCTGAAACTCTGCATTATGGAGCGACAGGGAGACTGGCACCGTCTTTGGGAGTAGATAGAGCGGTGCAAGGGTGCCGTGATAGTCGTTGATATGATACAGGTCGACGGGGAAGCGCCGTAGAGTTTCCGCGATGCACGCGTTCCAGGCGCTGTAGTAGATTGCAGACTCAATATCGTCCATGCGAGCGGGATAGGGGTCGGCTTTAGTCTGAGCTCTAAATACCGGTGCGTCAAGGAGGACAAATTTGATGTTGCGGACCTGATGGTACTGGACGTTGACGATGTACCGAGTTTTGTTGATGGTGACTACCATTGGCTCGCCAACAGTGTCCACCGGATACTCGATGCCGCCGACACAAGGGACCACCCAGATGAGGTTCTGATGTGCTAGGGCCGAGCTGCCCATCAGGGAAGCCATCTTTCCAAGACCACCGATCTTGATCTTGATGTTCCAGTCCTCGATCTCATACTCCATAGTGGCAATAAGTGTGGTGCGGCGGGGTGCCTGTGAGGCTTCAGCGAGAGCGGTTGTCGTAGCGGCTGTTGACGCGGGAGCGGCTTGCATTGGAGCTGTTGACTTCTCCTTCTGGGCCATCTCGCGGTGGTCAGACCGCTTCAGCTTGGACGCCGTGTCCTTCCAGAAACCAGCGCTGGTATTGACACCAATTTGATTGAACTTGACCTGATAATAGGATCGCTTGAAAGTCCACAGGGCAAGGCAAGCACACAGGAGTGGAACCACTCCAAGCAGTATAGACAGCACAAGCTGGTACCACCCGGAGCCCGCAGGCACCACCCGGTAATTCCAGGTGCCATCGTTCACCAGCAGTCGCCAGCCAACATATGGCATTCCAGGGCCTTGTGTGATGTTGATGACATTGTCGGCCAGAGTATCAGGCTTCAGCCAGTCAAGAACATTGTCACCGTCGACATCGCCAAACTGCGCTGTCTTGTCCGGCAGCCCGTTGGGGTTCATGCCCCAGACGTTGACTTGGATCTGGGTGGGCCACTCAGCCTCCAGGTCGAAGGCCCAGTTGCTGCCAGTGGAGTTGCCATCATCGATGGTAGGGTGAGTCAGCCGCATGTTGTTGGCCAGGCCATCATCGTATCCCCATTCGTTCCAGGATCCCAGAATGAAAGCATGCGGCCAGCGACGTGGCTTGTGCGAGTCTTGGTCGCCCTGCACCAGGTCGCCGTGCTGCACGTGGTCACTGCTGCTGGCCAGCCGGCTCCAGTATTGGATCACAACATGCTCGCCATCCCAAGCCTGTCGCGAAGTCCCAGACCAAGCCTGGTCTTCGAGGGTGATAATCTCACTGGTGTAGTCGAGCCACTTACTCCAGCTTGACCCCCAAGTGGTAGAGTAGCGGAACTTGTCGGCACCAGCGGCACGCTGGGAGACATAAAGCTTGTTGGTAGACTCGTCGCGATACAGGAGGTTGCTCGAATAGTTTCCTGTCTGGGGAAACACGACGGGATTATCGCTGGCGCCGATCCGGAACATGAAGCGGTCGATCGCATTGGTGTAGGTCCCATCCGCAGTGGAGGCGTTGGCGATTGTGAGGGAGTGCATCCCGTGCGACACATCTTCGAGATCAGCGGTGATCTTCCATAGACCGGCAGGTTGGCCCACATATTGCGCGCCTTCAACCGCGTCAAGGCTGACGCACGCAATAGTGTCGTTGCTGATCCGGGCTAGTGTCCCGTCTGACGATGTGGAATTCACGGAAAGTGCGCCAATGACGGAGTCGCAATCCATGACCTGGGAGAAATGGACCTCAATCGGAACAGTTTGTTTCTCACCGAGCTCGACAGTTGCTGTGAGCCTCTCGTCGTGTGAGGGAACGATACGCGTAATTGTCGGCGCCGGGTCGATAAAGCTTGCCTTGGGGATGTAAGCTTTGTAACCCCAAGGTTCCATGCTGAGGTTTGACAGGCACCCGCGCAGCCCCGTCATACCATCCACAATGGCTGATGAGTTCTGCAGAACATGTTCGTCGTAAGGATAGAACAAATTCTTCACCGTAGTCCCGACAGCAAAAGGGGAGACAAGAGCGTCCGCCTCATCCTGACAATCGAAAGTGAACTCTTCGCTCCTGTTAAGGTTGGAATAGACAAGCCAGACTCCCTGATTGCCATCAGCATCGGGTGTCTCCAAGTCCTGGGCACCCTCCAGTTGGTAGCGCCACACGCTCCATACTCCAAAGGTGCTGGGAACGTTTGCGCTTCCAGGAAGATAGACATCATTGGTTTGGTTCGAAAGGGTCTTGAGCATGTACCCATCATTGAGTACAGGATACTGCTGCCTCATCTCAAACATCCGCTTGATGACATTCCTGGTGGGATGCGACGGGTCTTTGTGGTCGAGGCTGACGGCGTCGTCATGGCAGCCAGTCCTCGCCGGACCGTCAGGAAAATCACCATAGTACGTGTCATCTCCAACGTGGTAACAGCCGTGAAGCTGCCACCCCGGACTGCTACTCATCGGCTGTCTGCCGTAGAGAAAGTCAGATGAGGTGCTGTCAAGGAGGTACAGGCTCTGTTCCTCGCCCCAAAAGAGTGCCGGCGTGCCGGGAATCTCTAGAGTGGTAATGAACTGTCCGAGAAGCTGTCTTTGGGTGCCGTTCTTGATGGCCGGCCAGCGGAATACGTCTTGACTGGTCATGCCGATCACTGCTCGGGGATCAAACTTTCCAGTGTTGGCATTAACAAAGTCATTCTGAACAAGCATCTGGTTCCAGAATTCCACAAAATCTGTCCCATCTAGGCCAGTATAACCATCAAGTCTGCACGCAGTGGTTAGCCTGTGGGCTTGTAATCATAAGTGTGGTGTCCAGAGCTCACCCAAGGAATCTTGTCATCCCACCGTAGATGATATAGCTGAATGCAGTACCATCCAAAGCAGACATTCCAACGTCGCGGATAACGTTGTCAGTATCCGTTATGTTCGTAGACAAGGCAGCAGCCGTGGCGTTGGTGGTGTAATGGTTGGGCTGCTTGCCACGGCCAGTGTACACCGAGGATTGAGCAGCGGTTCCCACGACTTCTCCAATGATGTAGAAGTTTTCTTTACCATATCGCTTCGCACACTGGCGTTGGTAGTCGGAAAACTCAGCCAGGGCGTCCACTGTCGATTGGAGCGCCTTGTCCATTCTGAACCCGTCAATGTCGAGCATGGCGATCTGGATGCATGAGAAATGCTTGATCTTCTCGAGAACATCACTGCGCCAATCCCGCAGCCTGTCTTGGACTGATCCATACTTTGCGAGCTGATTCTCGTACACAAATGACATGCCCGGTGTTGGCCGAGTCGCCGTACTGGTCGAACTCGCTATCACGGCACGTGGTCTGGTTGATGGTGATCTGCCAACCATCATCATCCCACATGCGAGGGTAGGTGCAGTCGACAATGTCATTTCCTGGCTCGAAGTCGACGTAGCGCCTATCGTACTTCCACTCGTACTCATACTCGCCACTGGAAAGCAGCGGTCTTGTTCAAGTTTCCCTTGAACCCTACGAGGTCGCCGAGCCTGAGAGGTATTGCATGAGCTTGTGATTGGAACTCGGGAATTTATGAACAGACTTACGTGGCCATGGTGTTGTCCAGGAGAACATACATGCCTCGCTCATGGATGGCGTCGATGAGATCTCTCCAGTCCTGAATGCGGCCATGATGTTGATCGAGCAAGGTGAGGTCCAAAGGGCTGTAGCTGTCGGCTGTCCAAGGCAGGTTGATAAAGGGGCTTCCCATGAGATAGATTGTCTTGATACCCATGCCATGAACGTAGTCCAAGTTATCGATCACTCCTTGGATGTCTCCGCCGAACCGGAGCTGGTTAGCCATCCAGTCATGTTCGAATCGGGTTCCGTTAGCGTCGTCGTTGGAAGGATCACCGTTCGAGAATCGGTCCAGTGCAAGGGTATAGGTTGGCATGCGCCAGTTGTCTGGCGACGGTGTATAGGTGTGACCTTCCCATTCTCCCCAATAGTCGAGAGGATGGCCAGCCTCTGAGTTCTGGTTCAGGTTCCAGTCGGCCAGCGAGGCTTCGTAGGGAAATGCGACCGTCCCGACGAGCCACAGGGTGAAAGTGAAACATGAGAAAATAGAGCGACCCATTATCGACACCATTGCGGAAGATAGGGCGTGCCACAGGGGGAAGGTTGGTGTCCGTGAAAGGAAGGGAAGGTGAGATAGGGATGAAGAGGACCCCGTGGGGCAGTCTGGTCGCCATGATGCACATATGGGGTCTATTTGAACCTTTCTCCTTTTCTGCCGATCACTATCAATGACATTGTCCTCCTCCCTACATGAGGCGATGTCACCGGTCGGGCCCTGGAGGGCGTCGAATAGTGAGTTTCCGCTGAGAATGACTCTCAGACAAGGAAAAGCAGCACTCTCTCGCTGAAATCACACATCTCATCCCGCACGGGAGCTTCGAGCGTCGGCCTCCGAACAGATTTTGAAGTGTGGTCGCACTCAACGATTTGATATCGAGGACGGAGGCTCCCGACTCTGCCCTATGGCGATGCCGTGGCCGCGCTATCTGGCAAGAGTCTTTTTAGTCCGGAAGATCCTGCAGCTAAGGACAGGACTGTTGTGGAACCGTTGGCAGCAGATTGCCGCGGTTGTACAAGATCTGGACATGCTCCGTCCTTGTCATCACAAGTACATGTATGTAGTCTGCCAGGCCTGTCAGGACCAGTCTGCGGCAAAAAGCAGCTAGGGGTCCCACCGGGGCCGCTTTTGTGCATGTGCTGCCAAAGAGGAATGGCGGAGAATTTCCAGCTGCGTTCCTGCATTGACACATAGTCGCTCAAACCTCTCACACCTGCGCTGCGTTGGCCAGAGGCAAACCGAGAGTTGTCGCGATGATGCAACTTGTGGTTGCAGCCCTTGACATGTTGGATGTAACCCGGGGCTGTGGCCGGCGCACTCTATTTGTTGGATGCAACCCCCTAACTGGCAAGAATGCTACACTGAGCACGGCAACGCAGATCGAGGTTCAAGCGTCACCGTGCATTAGGAAATGGAACTGCCGGGGAAGTGCCGTGTTCTAGACGCAACGGCCGTTCGGCCTGAGCGGGATTTCTTGAGGTGGAATTGGCCGGGCTGTGACGGGTACCTGACTGTCCTCAGGCTACGGCCGTCGCCACAAAGGTACAGAGCCGGGAACTACATGGGTGATAATGTGGGTGGGGGCGGCCTCTGAATATTCCCGAAGATACGACCACGATCTTGATTGCGACTTGGGTATCAAGCGCCACTTGCAGGGACATGGAATATCCAGGAATCGGATCGCCCGTCGAGAACATCCGACCGGCACGGCCAACGTGGATTCTCTCCGCAAGATGAATGGTTGCCCATCCGGCGCAGTGCGGCTCCAGAGTGTTTGTTGATATCCTAACCCCTACCCACGGCACTGATCTTGGTTCGGCCCAAGACTACCACAGTAGGTTGCTGCGCGGTATCTGGCGCCCACGAGAATAGAATTGATTCGACTGAAGGTGTGATATCGGATGTTAGCTTGCCGTTTTGGACAGGCTGCAGCTGCGTTGCCAGGTGTACCGGGCGAAGGTAAATGCGGTGATATGCCACCACTCGCTACTGCTGTGGACAGGATTGTTGATAGTCGCCCGGCGATGTTGTCTTAGCAGACGTGACGATCTTCTTTGGGTCTCGGCCTTCTGGCAGCTTCGCAACAGGGCAACAGGGCAGCAGGGCTGAAGCTCGAGCTCGAGGTCCGAGTGGGGCCTGAGAAAGCTGTGGGCGCTGAGGGATCATGTATATTTGTGTCCAAGATTGTGCAAGAAGCTTGACCCGAGACTTCCTTGGCGGAGCAAGCAGCCTTTGCCGGGCGCCAATTTGGTCGGTGTGACTTCGTCTCTGACGAAGACGCCATTTGGGACCGGGGTGTCTTCGGCGAGTCGGCAGTCCTGTAATCCAATCACCAACGGGACAAAAGTCAACTGGGGGTCACTTTTCCATGTCGAATCTCCAGCACCTGGACAAAAGTCCATCTGATTCCGTCAGCGTCAGCGTCATTCTTGGGTCATGGTGAACGCCGTCACTGGAGCTCGTAGTGGAGTGCGTTGTTGAGGGGAAAGGTCTGGACCCGGAAAACTTCCTGCTTGCTCATTTCCAGGGGAATCATGGGACGAACTGCGGAGCCAGGGTTCGGGTTTCTGTACCACCTGGCACGCGGAAGGCGCTCTTGAACCAACCCCCACCCAGAAGGAATAAAGTTCTCCACCCGCATGGTCGATTCTCGATCTTGCAGACAACTGACACATGCACTGCACTTCTCGCAGTGTCAGATCAGTTCAGTTTGCAGGATGCACTCATGTACTTCCCGAGACCAGCGCGCCAGAACATGCAAGCTCGCAGTTTTGCAGTCCCTTCGTGCATCGACAAAAGCAGCATGCAAGACGCAAGACGGGCAGTAATCTAAACTCGGCCACCTTGCTGCGCACTGCAGTGCATGTCTGACTCCGGGCGCACAGATGCTCGCCAGCTGTCAACTTCGCGTGGCATCCTCGCATCCGCTTGGTCCACGGCTACCAGTCGTCCCCGCCCGAAAGCAAGAAGTTTGTCCTGCCATGCCGTGGTAGCCGTCAGTTCCCAGTAAGCGTGGGATTGATTCTGCGCTGTGATGGGGACAGGCGGGGGATTCCTTTACTGTGCAGTAGTCCCAGTTACGCGGTAGGAGCCCACAACTTTTTCAACCACTTGGCTCTGGCAGGGTGGGTCCACGATCTGCACTCGCAACAAGGACAGTGCCCGTAGGGGGCCAGGGCCGGGAGATTTGAGGTCAGGGCGAGACAGGGATCGTGCTTGTGGTCTGGGCGCTTCTGAACGCCTGTATAGAGGACGTCTTCCTATTCGACATCACAAAGCCACCACCATGGCGAAGCAAAGCAAGTTTAAAACTATGCCCCATGTTTGAGGCAAAAAATCAGAGCGTGAGTCTCCGGCTCCCTGTCGGCGTTGAGGTGCTCTCATCATGATGGCTGCATTGTTTCCTTATCTCACGTCATGTTTGTGGAGCCAAGAAACGGAGGACGGCAGTTCCCTTTTCCTCCTCTTGTGTTATCGGTTTGCTGTTCCCTAGCTCCGGAAGCAGTTCTTTTTCACAACGCCTCGTTACATTGGCGAACCCTCGCTCACAGCTGTTGGTTAAGACTCCGTCAGCTTCAAGTTCCATACTCTGATAAGACAGGCCATACTACATCAGTAGTATCGTTTCCGAGATAGGGTCAACTCAGACCCACCACCATACTCAGTTGTGCCGTCGTATTGGATCTCCTTAGAAAAGTGCAATCGTCTTATCTGCGCCATCAGTCATATGGGAATTGAGGTCAGGGTGAGATGCTCATCACGATCATATAGACGAATGTGTCGACATGCGGCCTTCCCCAATCAGTTCAGACGTGCGTATCTCACACGCATCACTGTCGCCGAGTAAAAGTTGTAGCCGTATCTTCCTTACCAAAGCTTCGGTTCGCTCTTCTTGAAGAAGATGGACGCCGCTCTATATAACACTCTAATATAGGGTGTGGGAATTTCAGACCATCGTTCGTCTTCTCCCAAGTCATAGCAAGCGACCGGGTGCTGTGTTCTCATCCGGGGCCCGAAACTGTAGCATTTGATGACAGCACAGTAGCATTCGATTTCGCAGAAATGCTACTGAACTCAAAGCACCTCCACTAGACGGCGGGTTGACAACGTAGTTGGTCAGATTGGCGGTGCCGTCTATGCTGGAGGTGATACAAGCCAAGGACTGAGCATCGTGGGAGGAAGATATCATGAGAATGCATGTTTGCTCGCACAAGCTCTTTCCCAACAATTTTTGGCATGTGAATAAATGGCGCTTTGAGGCACACACAGAATGTAACCATCTGACTCAAATAGGAAACTCATGGGTAAGTAGCGCCAAGGTGTCTGCAATGCAACCGGGCATGTCGGTGACCAACCCAGTCGCCAGCCTCTGAGTGGCGACTTCATGCAACGTGGCTAAGCCGCATTTCCAACGGCACTGCTGCGATGTACGTCTACAGGGAAACCTGACAAAGCCTAATTCGTGACTTCTGTGGCGTTGGCGAAGGGTCCCTTGACTCTCCTTTCTTGTCTGTGCGTCACCACAAAAACAATACCAGCTTTTCAAGATAAAAACAAGAGAGAACAAGGTAGCTTCTTTATAGCATTATATCCCAAATGTGCTATAATAGTATAGGTTTAATTAAGGAAAGGATAAATTATAAGCTGTGATTAATTGGAGATTATTACGTTCTTTATAGGGCGTTGTAGCGATATAGGTAATCTTTTCCAGGTCGCCCTATATATGCTGTATAGTCACATAAGCCCTTGGGATGATTCCGTAACGGAGCAACCCATCCTTCCATACCTGCTGCGCTCAATATGTGGGTGAGATTATGATGACTTGTCGCTTCTTGCGCCACAAGCAAGAACAATTCGAGAAGGCCGTTACTACACAAAAGGATAGACATGAGCTCAAGAAGATAGCGCGATTTCCTCCGGGGTGCTTCGACGATTGGCCACCAGGTCAGGGGACCTCTGTTGGAGGTTAAAATATTCCGCCAATGCCAGCGCCCTTGTCAAGGAACGCAACAGGCAAGAATTGTTGGGAGCAAAAGGATATAGATCATACACACCATGATGTAGAAAGATCCTTTTAGCAAGATCGAGATCAAGACTCAAGGGGGTTCTCTTTCTCGCCACCTTTCGCTGTGACGACGGGCATTACTGTTGAGGCATCTTCACTACCAAATGCACACTCCTCTCACAGCAAAAATCACCCTATACTGGTGAGCACAAACGAAATGTAGATGATAATGAACAAGTAGACCTTGAAATAATCTTAGGCGGCAAATGCCATCGCTATGTGTTTGTAACCCGAACGCTCAAAATACACTCTACCGTACAACCCTACCAACAAATCCCACTTTCGACGAGTATGACCGTCAACAGCAGAAAGACGTCTCCACTATCGTACATACAACTCATCTGCTTGCATGCTCATGCGCAACACGAATCCAGCCCTGTGGGTAATCGACACGCTTTGAGAACTGACGATGGCCTGGGCTGGGGACTCCTGGTCTATTATCGCGAATGACTTCACCCATAATGACCGCCACAAGACGTATGGAATAAAAGACTAGCCCACACGTGTAGGAAATGACAGCTCTGGGCCCAAAATTCAACTGTTTTTAATTCAACTGTTTTTGCATTTCTGACGTTTCAGGCTTGGACGTATTTCAATGGAGCTGCTCGTACGGCTTCGCTTCAATGTATTGAGACAAAAACGCCATTTCAACAAGACAAACGAATGCAATGCAGGATTATTGTACCTTATTAAGCAGCAAATTCGTTGTCGTGAATTCCAAGTATCTACCGAGGTTACTGTGTGCCATTGAGTTACGCAATAGGCCCAAGTTCCGTTTGGAAATATTGCAATATGGATTGACAGGCCGACAGCATCTATGTCAGAGATGACTGGAACGCGGCCAGCCCTTCGGACCCAGCTGATGAAGCATGGAAATTGGTATTTGGACAAAAAGAGCCCTACGAAGAACACTCCCAACCTCATGCTCCAATGAATCACCCCATCTCTGACCCTGCCTCTCTGCTCGGATTAACAACCCCTCTGCGGATTTTCCTCCAGATGTTCCGCCCCAAATTTTCCGCAGCTTGCGCTCAATCGTGAATGCTGTGATATTATGGGTTCACTGATTTTGGGTCTAGGAGTCATCATTACTTTGTTACGTCTTGCCAACTCACCAATCCAACTAAAAGGGGTGTTTAGCAGTCTGAGAAAATCGGTTCAACAGTTCAATTTGTTCTCGAGAGACTGATATCTATACCAACAGAACTACAAGAAATATATACAACTTAAAGCACCTCATACACACTGTCTTTGACAGGGCCTTGCCGCAAATATACTGTTGCACACATACTTCGAGGCCATCCCGAGGGACTCACTCTAGTACCTCAGCTGGCCCCTCCTGAGCTTGGAGGAAGTCGAGTTGCTCGAGAACGTCGACCCGATATCCCCCCACTTGATGTTGCCAAACACCACATGCGTGCCCGGCGCGTTCTGCTGTATCAGGGCGGGATCGCCCTCGGTGGCATTACACGGCCCGTTTGCACCGCTATCAAGCCAGTTCATAAACTGCCCGTTGTCGTTCCACATGCTAAAGGCCAGCACCATGCCGCGGCCGAGGGCCTTGCCCATGGTGTCCAGGCTGCCGAACTGCTCGGCGCTGCCGTCGACGGCCGCGCACCACGTCGAGTTGACGCTGTCGCCGCCCGGCGCGGAGATGGCGCTCGGCACGGTCACGCTGCCCTGCTGGTAGATGCGCCGGATCTCGCTGAGGGTGCCCGACGTCGTCCCGTCGTCCGTGATGAACTGCGTGACCACCGTGAAGGGCTTGGTCGTGTCCACCGTGCCGCCTGGCGCCCAGTAGTCGTGGTAGCCCTGGTTGTACGGGTTGAAGCCGCAGCCGCCCTTGTCGCAGTTGGAGGCGTCGTCGGCGCAGGGGTGCGGCGTGAAGGCGGCGGCGACGCGGTTCGACTCGAGGATGTCCATCTCGTTGCAGCAGAAGCCTGACTTGTCCGTGTTGAGCGTGCCGTTCTTCCACGTCTGGACGGGGCACTGGGCGTCGCAGTATCCCGCGCCGTAGTTTGCGGCACCCGTGTTCAGGTCGCTCCGGCCGCCCGAGATGTCCATCTCGGAGAGGTAGAGCGCGCCGTTCTGGCCGCAGGGCAGCGTCGACAGGTCCACGTCGAAGGTGAGCTCTTGGCCGAGCAGCTGGAATGAGACGTAGTCGCTGTTGTCGTTGTCGAGGAGGTAGACCCGTGGCGAGACGCTGGAGAGCCCGGATTCGGAGGGCACGTATTGGGACAACGTCATGGATGAGCCCGAAGCGACGATGCCAGCCGCTGTGTAGTTGGCACCCTCGATGAGGCAGTTCTGGCTGCAGGTTGCCTGGTCTGGGCAGAGCGTCGAGTTGATGCCGGTCGAGGTCGTGCACGATGCGTAGTCTGCTGTGTGTATCCAACGGTAGTTCCAGTCAAGCACTACCGATGTGTTCTGCTCCACGCAACCTCCTGTGGTGGTGCACTTCGAGGTTGTGAGCTGCGGATGAACTTCGGGCGTTATAGTACCGGGCTGCTGGGCGGCTGCAAGCTGGAGCCATATCAAAGCTGCCACTGCGGCAGTCGGCCTTAGTGTGGGTGCCATCTTGGTCGATATCTTGGGAGATTGATTATCGATGGTAGACAAGAACTTGGCAAAAGCTTGTCGCGAAAGACGCTATTCCCAAGTCTGGGCAGTGCCTCGCTTTTTTTATTCCCACCACCAAACTACCCCTTCGGAGGCAATTCGCCGAACTCCGCTCGTTGTGCTGAAGTCGAATGCATCACTCGTGATTTAACTGACACAGTGCGGGCCGTTGGCCCTGGGGAAAATGGAGGCGTGCTAGGCTGGATCGGGGTTGCGGAGGGAGACGGACTCCTCACAAGCTCGGGAGGCTTCCTCCTGGGAAGATGAAACTTTTAGGGGACCCTCCATCTCATGTCGAATTTGCAGCCGTGCAGGGTTCGCAGTTGCATCCGGCGCTTGATGGAGCTGCCCCTGACATTAAGCCTAAATGAAGCCGTGCCCGAGATCCGGAGTCGGTGTACTCGAACTGTTCTACTTAGTTGAGACCAGGTGAGCACTTCACTAACCCCATTGCACTTACATGGAAATCTCGTTGTTCTGAGACTCAGTCTGGAGACAGTACATCATAGGGATCGATATGCACATTTCGGACGGATTTCAACAAATCCGGCTGCAATAGTTGGTCATGTACATCCCTCCAGCCAACTGAAGTTGAGAAAACCTAGACTTTGACCTTGAGTAAGAAGACGACCTTCACATGCGAGCAAGACCGAAGAGAGAGCATGACCTCACGAAGTCAATTCACGGCAAAGACAAAACGCAGGATGAACACTTACGAGTCTTGGTGACCGCGGTAGTCAGATTTCTAGTCATGCTGTCTGATGATATTTCTCAGCTATTCAATATCTGCTGTGCTGCCTCTCAATCCTAAGGATCGGTGGCAAACAACCCCACACTTTGGGCAGTAATCTGTAGGGCCCGGACTTCCCTCTGAGCAAGTCAGTGGGCATTGATCAGTGACTCTTTGGCTTCGAAATTCCTGAGAGCATTTTTTTTTCTCAATCAAGCTGGTAACTATTTCCTTGAGAAGGTGGCCTCCCAATATACACGTTTCCGACGGACAGGCGGGCTTAAAGACCTGAGAAACGAAATCCATGGAGAAGCCCTTCAAGCCACAGGCCGAGGCCGGGGATAACTTTGAGAGGTGCGCGCGTCGAATAGTACAAATAAATGCACAAATGACTGGGCCGAGAGTTTAAAGTCATGTAGTCTGCAGGCTTGAAGCTGTGAATCTGACATTTCCGCGGCCACGTACGTTAGATAATAATCCGTACATATGCCCATGCCGTGCCCTACAGCACATCGCTGCAAAAGATGTGTGTCAAGTCCACCTGTACTGGTCCTATCGCCAGTACCTTACCCTTTTCGTTTTGAATCTCTGTTGGGGTGCACCCAGGAAACAGATGGGGACATTCACTGGAATAGTGACATTGATTACATAGTGAGGAGCTGCAAGTCTGGGGCTCCCTTGTTTCTTGGGTATCTTCTCTTCTGCCTTCATGCTCAGCCGCGATATAGCAATTAGGATGATTCTCCAGTCGCACGACCAATGAAACCCCGAACAATCCTCTGAAGACGGAGGTGTGCCCCTACCCCCCCCCCCCCCCCCCCCCATAGAACTGGCCAACTGCCTCAAGGAGTCTTTCGTTCAATGCTACCATAGAATTGGTTCCGGGCTTGCTGACCAAATCGGAACACACGAAAATTGTTGGTGGTTGGTGATACCACTCCATAGACAAGTCTTGTATTGGTAAGATAATCTCATGCTACCGCTCGTTTTACTAGTCAAACACTGAGGCGTGTCTGCACCTAAAAGACAAGGCAATTATGGAATGGGTCCAGATAAATTGAGCATTAATCGAAACTCTGGGCCCCAAACCAGTCACACTTCCCCAATCTGCGTGTCAAATGCACAGCACAGATGAAATTGCGGTTCAACCTCGGCCCTCCCCACCAAATCCAGGACCAAATCGAGACACTCGATCCCGGCATGGAGGTCAAATCGCTTGTCATGACTCTCAGTGCGACAGCGGCGGGACGATCCGAGCACCTTGAAAAATGGGGAATTCGGAACCCACGGCAAAGGCGCCATTTGAGTTCAATGTCTCCGCCTCTGATGTAGATATTAATATAATGTTCAGCATCTGGTTATTGTAGTCTGGTTGGACGCTTGACTATTCGTGCCTCGGAATACGACAGCGGCAAGGGTGTTTAAGTCAACAATATTGCTATCCCGGAATGTCAATTTCTGAGGCTGGCCATTTGCTTCTAGGCCTGTTCGCCAAGCCTGGGCCAGCCAAACCGAGGGCTTGGAGCGAGCCGTGCCGAATGGTGACTCGTGTTCCCAGTCTCTTCGTGCTCAAGTGCAGAGCTACCCAGCGCGGAACGGCAGCAGTGATGGGAGTTGTGTGTGGAGGGCGGCATCGACACCCGTAGGAAATAACGTGATCGAAGTCACCGTCTCAAAGCTCACGGCAAGGTGGTGTGCTACGTGAATGAGAAGCAACCAGCTGTGGGCGCTAGCTGTGGCATGGGTACGCACATTAGCATGGACGGACTGGCACAAGTATGCCTAGCAGCACCGTTCGGCAGAGCAGTGAGGTGACACGGCCAGTGAAGCTCGTCGGGATCGGGCTGGCGCCGAGGAGTTGAGTTGAGCTCAAGCAAACCTTACAAACGAATGAGATGCTGTCCCAGTCATGGTTTCTGACTCGACACTGCTTGCTGCGCGATTGAATCCCGGGCGTTGGGGTCACGGCAATCGCACCGAAGACGGTGGGGATCCTATCACGGCGAAGATACCTGCGGTGCTCGGATCTGACCGGACGGTGTCGGACAGTCGGAGAAGGACAGCGGCGAATGGGGCACGCGGTAGGTTAGTCTACACAGAACTAGCCGCTGGTCAGAGGCCCAGCGGACAACGCGCCCCTACTTATTAAGCAGCTGGGGCCCCATTCTAGACTCTCCAGACTCTGTGCAGTACGTGGCCACACAGCGTCACATGCATGTCTGGTGCGTTTTGCAGACCGCATCCGCTCAAGACGGTGAAAACTCCCGAGCCTCTGGTCTCATCCGATCATGCAGCCGAATGCCTCTAGAAAGAATTTGCAGGCTTCCAGGAGATAACCCTTTATCACATCCCGACGCTACGCGGTACATACAATTAGCCCTGTCTTTTTTTGTCATTTCGGGCATGCCTATTGGCGAGGGTTGGCGCGATTAGACTTTGCACTCCGTGGTACCCGGAAGCTTGAGGCTGGACGACAAGCATCTGGGCTGCGAGGATTTTGCGTCGGGCAGCCAGTCCGTCGGGCTTTGCTCATGATGTGCAAAGGGCTTGCGGCATTACAGTATTGATGTGGACTGAATAACACGACACGATGGTATCATGCTTTGCTGTATGCAGGCGCAGCAGTCTACGACGGAGACAATCCCACTCGTGATGTGACTTTGGGAGCTCACCGTACATTCAGGTTCATGTACGCAAGCCTGGGACGCCAGCTCGGTGTCTGGATCGGCGTTCTCCACATTGGCATCGCTACGCTTGCATTTATGTCGAGTCATGTACATAAGAATACAAACTCAGCGACTACAATGTCTCCTTGCAGCGACCGTCCATCCCAGAAATCCCCAACCTTTAGAGTTTTAAGCAGCAACGCCTGGCTCCTGAAAGCCCTCGACGGTCCACATCAGACAAAAAGTAACGTCTGAATCCTAAGCTGAGAAAGCTGAGCCGCTCAGCTCTGTTCTTCTCCTTCACTCTCAGTCCTGGGGCTGCGGATCCGCATGTTCAGGTGTGACGCCGCCGACACGCTCCTGGAGTCGAGTGCTGCTCGCGAATGGCCTGACTGAACCGGCTTGAGCGCCTGAGAGTCCAGCCCGCCTGCTAATGAAGACATTTCTACCCCCGCACTTTGTCCTAGAGGAGGTGACAAGTGATGACTTTGTCATTGCGTCGCTTGCGTGGGGCTTCACGCTGGGATTCGGCTGGTTGACCGTGTCCTCGGCTATCGCCCAGACCGCTAAGACCTGGAGACGGTATGGATCTCGATCAATACACAACACATACATTTGGATGATTTGGCTGGAGGTTATTGTGTGTATCATCTTTTCGACTATCTGTTGGCTGTATCTGAAAGGAATCATACCACCGAGGTGAGCCTATTCCCACCCAGGTACAGGGACACCCCGTCCATCACATCCTGCTGACAGAACGTGCCATTGTAGCTTTGCCTTCTACTTCACCATCCTCACAACATGGGCTCTTCAGGTTCAGTTCCTGCTGCAGATCATCATCAACCGATGTTCCATCCTCCTCCCTGACAAGCGTGCCGCACGGTGCCTGAAGTTCTATGTCGCGCTCTTCATCACCGCGATCAACATATCGGTGTACTGCATCTGGCTGCCAGCGAGGTTGCAAATTTCGGAGCGGTATATTCATATCAATGAATTCTGGGATCGTACCGAAAAGGTCATTTACCTGCTCGTCGATGCAGCACTCAACCTATACTTCATAATAATTGTGAAACGCGTGAGTGTGCCCCGCTGTTGTTTGTTTCACTTCGGCAGTAGCTGATCTCTATCATAGAACCTCGTTGCGAATGGTCTGAAGAAATACAAGAGACTCACAAACTTCAACATCTTCATCATCGGCTTTTCTCTGTCTATGGACATTCTAATTATCAGCATGATGAGTCTGAAGAATACATTTGTGTAAATATCCCCAGGCTACGAGATCGATCGATATCAAGAGTTGGAGATCGTCACTACCACTGTTGGGGGGTTGATGCTAACTATACGCACAGTTATATGCAATTCCACCCTCTCGCCTACATGGTGAAACTTAATGTAAGTCTCATTCTTGTCCTTTCACGGATCCCCGTCTGTCATGTTTTGGAATGTTCCAGAATGTAGTATCACTTCAGGATCCATGGCAGGTGATTAACAGGTAGCAGATCGAAATGACCATGGCAGATCTCATCGCCAAGATAGCGAAGAAACAAGAGCGCCTCCCAACGTACCATTCAAGCTGGAACCGAAGGCCTGGCATCGGCTCGAGAATGCCCAGCTTCGGCAGCCGCAACAACACGATACAGCCCTTACCGCCCACGAGAAATGCCGTTCCATTCCGAGTGTGGCAGAGCAGTGTATCAGGAGGCATGGAAAGCGCCGCCGTCTCACGCAGGGGCAGTGTCAACACCCCAGCGAACGAGCTGACGTTCGTGACGGTCCCCGAGGACCCCGTCTGGAACGCCGCCGGGATGACGTCCGGGACTGACAACCCCAATATATCCGATCCGCCGTTGGAGCTGTACATGGTGAAGGAGGTGACGGTGGAATCGGATGTCGTCCGCCGGTCGACGTTTGCGCCGAATGGAAGCCAGGGTAGCTTGGGGGACAACTGGGACCGGCCGTCCCCGTCGTCGTCAGGAAGAGAGCGCACGGATGACATGGCTACTTTGCGGGATACTCCGCCGCCGGTAATATGGGACGGCTCTCCGTCTGTGTCTACTACCATTGCGACAGGGAGAAAGAACGATTGATAGATTCAGAAACGAATTTGGATCATCTTCGAACGCAGCGCCATGACCGGGAGTGACATTGATTCTAGATGTTATGTAATAGCCGCAACACCGCGACGTCCAGCCAAAGAGATGTGCGCCTCAGCCGAGTCTCTCGTGAAGCAATGTTCCTCGTGAACTTGGGCCTGCGCTCGGCTAGGGCGTTTGAGCGGCGATGGGGAGCTTTCTGACAGGTATGGTTTGTTGAAGGTGTCATTGTGGGCATGTGGTTACGAGCAGTTCAGGGTCTCAGGTGACACAAACACCTCTCAGCCGCTGCGCAACCAGCAAGGACGAGCTCAGCTGTCGGATTCATGCATGCTGGATGCCTCGAGACGTCTTTTTGTAGCCAAGTGATACGTCTTCCAATGGGAGACATCCACGCTTTGCGAGCGCGCCCTGGCTCCGGGGGACGCAGGGGCAACGATAACCCTAGCAGCGGATATATCCGCAGGCACATGTCTACTTCAAAGCATGGGAGTTTCTCAGACTACTGCTGGCCACATTCCACATCAACTGCATACATGGCTGCTTCATCATGATACCCTCATCCTCTGGACCCTGGACGACGTGAGGTTCGAGTCCTAGATGTACACCCTGAAGGCCTCAGCGATGACATCTTGTGCGACATCAGGACGATATCGCTCAGTGCAGGAGGCCGTGGCACCTTAAATGCCTTATCCTACCTTTGGGGGGGGGGGGGTGTGCGGCAGCGGCAGCCTGTCACACTTGATGGGGTCTAGACGACAGAGTCATCCAGTAATACAATTCTGAGCTTAGTAATACATGGAAATACATACGACTTCCCTGAAGGACCCTTTGGCAAGCATCCTACTTCAAAATGCATCCAAAGAAGCGCTGGCATAGACTTGCAGTCCCAGGATTTATCACAGTGCGATCGAGATTAGATATGTAATTAATGACGGAAATCGCTAAGTCACCTCTGCCACACATGACATGTCATACACATTTGGGAATCATGGTCTCGTCCCCTTCCTTGCAACAGGGCTAGGCTCACTGACATGCTCAGTCGTCCACTGCACTTCAACAGTTTGTGTGCACGTAATCCCATGCGCCGCGAGTAGAGACTCGTCGCTGTCGTTGCCCTTGCTGCCCGTGACAGTGACTAGGGGCTGTGGCGCAGAGGTATTGGGAGTCGATGGCTCGTGGCCGTACTCAGCAATTCCCGGACTTGCCACGACAATACTCGTGATCTTTCCCCTCGGCTGCATCTCGATATCATCATCAACGTCGAAACTAGCTTCGTCGTCAGGCGCGCGTCGTGCAGAGCCTTCGAGCCTGCTCCAGTGTCCATTGCCTTTGCGAGCGCCGCCCCCACCGATAGTCACCAGACCGGAGCGACTGCCAGCTCCATTCTTCCTTTCGTACCCCATGTGTGCGCTGTCTTTGTTCCCGGAAACCGCCATGGTTGAGGGCATGATGAATTTGATGACTGGGCGTATAATTGGTCCCTGTGAGGAGAGCCGTTAGTGCCAGAATCTGAACTTAAAGGATGAGATGGCGTACTAAGGTTGGGAGACACGAGGATACGATCCCACTGCTTATCTCGATTACGTTCCACGCCACAGGGACAGCCAACGTGAACGGAATGTCCTTTGGGCTGTATCCCAGGTACACCGTGAAGCGATAGATGCTCGTGAAGACGACGTAAGACCCTAGCATGAACATGAAGACGAGGAATATCTTCTGCGTCAAGTTGGTCTTGAGACGAAGGACGTGGGGCAGCGGCAGGCATAATATGGCGGCATCGCACAGAATACTAGGAACTGAGACGAGTAGCTGCACCATGAAAGTATTGATGCAGTACCCTTCCACCCACGGCTCCCAGACCTTGACCCGTGGCGTACACTGGAAGGCAGCGGTGAACACGCATGCGACGTTCCAGCAAGTGGAAAGCCCTCCGAACACATATGCCCACATTCGAACGGACTTGATTGGGAAAATTCGGAAGTAGAGGAACAGGAGAGATATTTTGTAGGCATTGACTCCTGTCAGGTAGATGATCTCTGCTCCAACAACAGTCTACTACCAAAGTCAGGTCTCAGTGTCTCGTCGACGTGTTGAATTGCGTCTCACCTTATTCAAATGTTGTAGCTGTGGGAGAGTCAGGCGCCCTGAGTGCAGGCCGACCCCTTGGTCTACCATCACAAAGTTGAAAGCTGAATTTCCGAAGAGCAGTATCAGGGCAGCTAGGACCAGCCAGTCGTCCACCCAGAACGGCGCTTTGATTTTCAGCCTCGAAATAAATCGCAAGGCCACGACAATAACCGCGATGATCGTGAAGATTATGGTCAACGTCCGAACCTCTTGCCTCGAGTCCTCTTCCAGTGGCTGGTTCGCGGCAAGGTCCGTCAACTCTTGGAGGTACGCCCTCTCGGCCAAAGAGCGGCTGGTGTCGTTCACGGGGTAGTACGCCGCGGAAACCATGTCGACGATATGAACGCCCGGTGCGTTGGACTCGAGAAACGCATGTGCTGCTGAGAAACAAAAAGTCTCCTTCGCAAAATAGAAATTGAGGGACTGCCATCCAACTCTCAAGAATAATCCAGAAGTGAAACCCTCAAAGTGGGGTGTTATACGTATCAATGTCATGATCCCGTGGCCGGTCCATCGCATCCGGGCCTCTTGCCCCTGATTTTCCATCATGGTGGGATTAGCGGAGTCTCCGGGAGACGTTGAAAGCTTCACAGCAACGTCAAAAGCCTGTAGGTGACATTATAAATGTTCGTGCCAATTGGCAGGTTGATCCCGGCGGGGAAGCTCGGACACGGAAAGCATCATCTATTATCAAGTCCACGTGCGGCTTTCTTACTGGATGGATATTTCAAGCGAGGCCGTCAGGCCGTTCGTGGGGGGTATGGGTCTGTATGCGGCCATGGAGAACGGTCGGTGTTCACAAGAATCTCCCGCCACTCTTCTGATGCTATATTTCACTGTTGCAATCCATTACTTGTCTTTTACCTGAGACAACAAAATTATACAACCCTCCAAGTGTGGCACAAGGTTCATTCGGCAGTGACATAGTCTAGCTAAAAGCAGTTCTCCAAAATTGGTGCGCAACTAGACCAAGTTTTGAAAAACCCAACACCGTGGTACTCGGCCGAAACTGCGAAAACTCTGGGATAAGCTCGCTTGCAAACAAACCAAGGGAAAAACCACACGTCCAGAGGAGATGATCAGGTGACACCTCCTTGTCCGCTACCGCGTAAAGAAACAATTCAAGACCACCTTAACCGCATCTTGGAGTACAAAGACAGGTACGCTAAATGTCGAGGCAATAGATCTCCATTACCCGTTCCCTTTCCATCTTGCCAAGCGAATCTCCTCGGACATGACTGCCACTGTCCTCTGAGCCTGAGTCGGATGCGGCTCGGATGTGGAGGTTTGGGCCCGGTTACCCACCCCAAGCTATTCCTGCCGGCGTGACACTCGGACTCGAGCCCTGCTTCTTGAGCGGCTGATGCCGAAAGCAACCCCAAAATGGACAGCCATCCGCCTGAAAATGTAACAACTCCACCCTATTGAGATCCTATTCAAGGGGTAGCCCACATCACATCGCATCATCACCTCGGCTTGGGCAATCTGGCACCAACACACTCGCGTATAAGTCTTGCGTCGATAGACCACGTGGTGCGCGCGAGGGCACAGTGGATAGCCAGCGACATTACTCGACCGTCCGTGCAGGGCGATCTGTGGATGATTCTGTTGTCCGGAAAGGGGCCCGAAGTTTCATCGCGGCGATACTGCGGCGCAAGCTTATGTGAACACGCGGATTCATCGCACTTCGCATCCTGCATACTGTATCGCCGACTCGCTACGGGGTGAGCTCCACCAGGGTTCCCTCCAGACGCACCGCACCATAAAGGACAAGTGGTATCGAGATGTGGCTATGAGACCGGTGGCATTGGGTAACCTGCAATCGAACAAATTTCGAAGAGGATTCTGAAATACCATTATACCGTGCTCAATTCATTACAAAGCGCCGACTGAGACCTGAAAGAAATATGACGACACATCGCAACACTTTGAAAATGTCCAAACCCACCATGATCATTGTCCCAGGAGCCTGGCAATTGCCTCCAGCCTTCGAGAACATCGTGAAGCTCCTGCAGGAGACAGGCTACCCAACGGTCCACGTCCCCCTGCCCACAGTCGGTGGCACCGAGCTTCCTCTCGCAGGCCTGTCCGACGATGTCGATGCCGTCCGCAATGTCCTGGTTCCTATCGTCGACAAAGGCAAGGAGGTTGTGGTCATCGGGCATTCCGCGGGCGGCATCTCGATGAGCGCCGCGGTGGAAGGGTACGATGCCGGAAGCAGAAAGGCCGCTGGTAAGAGTGGGGGCGTGGTCCGGTGCATCTTCATGACTGCGTTCGTTTTGCCGAAGGGCCAGAGTCTGCTGGGCATGCTGGGCGGCCAGCCGCTGCCGTGGATGGTGGTCGAGGTGAGTTGCGGAATCGACACCCCAGCGAGAAGCCACATCACAAGTCGAGCGGCGGCTAATATGAAATCAGGGCGATCGTGTTACTGGAAACCCTGGAATGCTTCCTCAGGTCGGCCTGAACGATCTCTCTCCCGAGGAGCAGACGAAATGGGCCGCCGGAATGACGCACACCTCTGCAGCCCTCTTTGCTGCACCGGCGCTCTACGAGCCATGGGCGAACGGCATACCCTGCTCATACATCTTCCATACAGAGGATAATGCTCTCCCCTTGGCATACCAGCAGGGCATGGCGCAACTCCTTGGCCCCGAGGCTAAGACGGAGACCCTGAAAGCCGGACACTGCTCATTCCGAGTCCTGAGCATTCCGGATCAGTTGGTGAAGGCCATAGAATCTACGATATAAACTCATATCCTTGACTGGACTTTTGGGGCGTCGATGCCACTTCAGAAACCAGCGACGTGGTTGCAAACTGTCAGCTGGTCCTATTGGACAGTCATTTACTCCGCATAAGCAGTGGCCATTGAACAAATATAAAAGGCACAATAGGACGTTGGGAAGGCTTGCTAGTTGTTGTGGGCTTGTTAGACAGAAGGTGTTTCAAATTTGGTGAACACAAGTCGTAACTAATGAATGAGATCTCAGTAGTTGATCAATTATTCCCAACGGAGGCTTAGGCCCTTCAGACCTGTTTGAAAGTGAATATGCGTGACCAGACCTAAGGCAAGTGATTTATTTCGAGGGACAATGTAGGATCCCAGGACCTGATGTCAGCCGTGTCATATCACCGCGCAAAGGATAGATTCACTTGCCCACAACAGATACAACCAGGGCAAGGCCCCCTTCACTCGGCCTAGCGTCTTCGAAAATCTGTCACCGGATGGGCTTTCCAAAATACTTAAACCCTCTGCTCGGCTGTCCAACTTTTACCATTTCTTGTCTCTTCCGTCAACTCTACCATGATGCCTGACATCAACAACAATCAGGAGTCCATCATGGATGACAGCATGTCTGCGAGCCAAGTTCCTGGCCAGGGCTATGCCCTGCGTTCAGGAGCTGTAGCGCTTCGGATACCTCAGGGAGCCATCGGACTCCCAATGGTCCAGTACCCCATCGACGATACCATGCCCGTGAAAGCTTGGGTGTTCGAGGTACAGCCTTCAGACCAGCGCCCTTACAAACCACTCCGACCTGAAGATGAGCGCAAAGCACTCGAGGCCATCAACCGCCATCTGCCGCCCTCGGAGCGGATCGAGATCACCCAGCCCTCCCGTACTGTTACTGGTATGGAGGTAGCTCTCAACCCGAGACCAAGACCCTACCCCGGAACCTCCCATACCGGTCCTGAGGACGCTGCCCAATCGACCCCAAGACGCTACCACGGCACCCACCTCCCCCTTCCTCCTCGAAGCCGGGATCAACAAGACCGAAATGAGGCAGCCAAATCCCACGGATCATCGAAGAACATCACACCAGCTCAGGCTACAGGAAAGGAGACGGAACCCATGAATTGGGCCGAGACGCAGAACCAGTAAAAGGAGCTTGCGCGGAGAGCAGGATTGGAGGGTTACGGACCGGCTGCCGTTGTTCCACACCTCATGGTCACCCGCCCTGATGGCGAGACGAGGTATCTGCAGGACCCAAACCTGTACGTCCACGGAAGGGATAGAGGCAGAATCGAGTACTTCTGGTAACCTGGACTGATGCTGTCGGGTCGGTCAGCCACATTCCGTAGAGGGTTCCTTCGGCAAAATGAAACACAACTGTACAATTACCAAAGTTCCTGCTGTGCACACGTGACTTCAAATATCCCGACGGATGATCGCCTGTGACATACTGCCTGCATGCATGATGCCCCTTTAGGGTAGTCACCTGCAGGATACATTCCATGAGATCCCTTTTCTAGACAATTTGCCCCAGGACAACCTCTTCTGTGCTTGACGCAAAGGAAAAGGTCACCCCTTTTAATGGCCTCGAAAGAGTAGCATGTCGTGTGATAAAGATGAAGCAGTACGACATTGCAGCGGAGGTGCGTCTCAAGACCTTTCCATGTACCTGACTTTTGTGACAGCTCAAGTGACACCTTCGTGTTCTAGCACCGCAGCGTGGCACAACAGTGGAGCACGGCAGGGGAGTAGCCAATCACATGTTATTGGCCATGCGTGGCACTCCTGTTCCAGTATCCAGGGCGCCGGGCGACCGCCAGGGTCGCAGTAGGGATCGGAGGAATCGGCCAGAACGCTCAGCCCTGTGGGCTACGCAGGTAGCACAAATGCGCCCATCAAAGAATGTCAGTTCGATCCAAGTGTTGCAAAACTCGAAGCATGTTTACCGTATTTCCATGGGGCTGGACTGGCTTGTTCGCTGGAATGTCCAAGGCCCGCGCCGGACGAGACATAGTGTGGACGCCATCGTGTCTGTTCCTGGCGCCAGATGACCGGTGAAGGTTTGTTCAAGCACCGCCACGTCTGGGGGCGCTGGCACGGGCTGAGAGGGTTGCATTCTTCAGGGGGCCCCTCAATGGTCCCTGGTTGCTGGGCGAAATCACCAAGTCGTTACCATGCACGTCGCACAGCAGAAGCGCCCCGCGCCGGTGAAGGGAGTCAACAATAGGGAGAAAATAGCACGCTAGGTTTGTTGACACTCTTGTAAATGGGAGGATGGGAGTTCGCTTAAAGACAGACAGCTGTTCCTCGTCGATCTTTATCATGACGGCTATGATGATCCGTCCCCTTGCTCTGGGAATCCCTCATTTTAACTATTTTCAATTCTAACACTCCTTTAATATGCAGTCGAGGCAACCAAATTTGCGTCTAACATGCCTCGTTTTATCGTCAGCACTCTTCCCTGCTTTGATCGCAGCCGAAACGGCTTGCTGTGCTGACGCATGCAAGACGTCGGCAAGTGTACTCTTCGGCGCGGGATGCCTCGTCTATACCGTCGTTGGGTTTTTGGGCATGACACCGCTCGGCCTCCAGCAAGCTTGCACGAACGATGCCGCCAAGATATCCAGTGCCTGCAGTTGCTTGGCTGGATCGGCAGCCTATTGCAGCTATCTCTCGAGCTCCGCTGCTGCCGCCGCGGCTGCACAAGCATCCACGCGGACAACGACAACAACTACGACCTCCTCGACACGATCAACATCGTCTTCGACTGTCTCAGCGCAGACTGGGAGCAGCGGGAGCTCTCTTACATCTAGCACGAGTTCATCGCAGTCCGGGACTTATTCATCGTCGAGTCCGACTCCAAGCACGACTCCATTCGGCACGTCTTCGTCGAGCCAGTCAAACGGCAGTTCAAGCCCGTCATCCACGATTCTATTTACCAGTTCGAGTAGTAGCAGCCCCATCAGCTTCTCTTCAACAACCCAGAAGACGTCTGAAACTAGCAGCAGCCCAAGCCTCACGACACTGAGCCTGTCGAGCTCCTTGACCTCATCGACGCTCTTAACCTCATCGACTCTCTTGACCTCATCAAGCCTCTTGACCTCGTCAAGCCTAAGTGCCCAAACATCTTCGAACAACATCGCGACGAGCGTGGCGGCTACGTCTCAGATATCTGACTCGTCCAGCAGCCTGACTGCTGCCTCTACAACTTCATCGGTATTTACAAGTGATACCTCAAAAAGTAGTGGCTCAGAATCGTCGTTGTCGGTATCCGCGTCGTCGGTATCTTCGTCGACAGCATCTCGAGTCGAATCCTCCACTTCCACCACTGGGTCACACAATGAACCGCTCAGCTCCAGCAGCGTATCCAATCAGGGAGCATCATCTACAACAATGGGTACTCCGTCAAGCCAGGAAACAAGCGTTAGTAATACCGGAACGAGCGACTTGGCACAGGGTGGTACGTCAAGTGGTGGAGGGGCGACGTCTACTTCGAGTGTTTCATTATCGAGCTCGGAGTCCGTCCCTTCCTCAAGCCATTCACCTACCGCCGAACCCAGCTCTTCCTTGAGCCTGTCGTCCAGCTTTGAGACCAGCGTCACGTCTAGTGCTTCTTCCAGTAAGGTGTTAAATACCTCACACCAACCGTTATCTACAAGTGATATTGCTTCGTTGTCAACGGATTCGAGCACCTCACACGAGCCGTCGTCTACAAGTCCCAGTAGCTTGCAGGACGGCATGACGGCCAGCACGAGCTCGAGTGGATCGGTCTCTGTTATACATACTTCAACATCGCAACAGTCTACAAGTAGCCTCATAGCCGGCGTGAATGTAGAGTCACATAGTGGAACATCGTCACTGACTTCAATTCCCACCGAGGCCGGCCAGACTTCACAAGGAACTTCAGAAAACCAATCCGTGACAACGACTGGATCTGTATCACAGCTAGGTAGCGGCCTTTCGACGACACCACCAGGGACGGCATCAGGTACAGGGGATTCAGCATCGTTACCGAGCTCAAGTTCCAGATTATCTTCTGATGGCTGGCAGACAACAGTGGAAAGCTCTTCGATGGACGGTGATATCAATTCGAGCGGGCGGAGTTATACTGCTACTTCAGTGTCGGGGTCTAATACAGGAGAACCAACATCACTACCGACCACAAGTTCCAAATTATCTTCTGATGGCTGGCAGACAACAGTGGAAAGCTCTTCGACGGACGGTGATATCAATTCGAGCGGGCGGAGTAATACTCGTACTCCAGTGGCGGGTTTTGGCGTCGTCGTCAGCAGCAGCTCCTTGATATCAACTACACCAGATTCAGCCGGCGAAAGCGCGACCCAGTCATCAGTAACAAGCACAGCCACATTTCAAGTATCTAGCGGGAGCTCTTTTCAGGCGTCAAGTACGGCAATGGTATCTGTCTCCTCTGAAGTCGATAGCAGCTACAACCAGATGACAACCATAGCTGGCAGTGGCACATCATCTGTCCAATCTATTGCTGGAGCATCTTCCAACGAGGCGTCCCAGGGCGCGCCATCCCCTGAGTTCTCGACGTCCCGCAACTCAGAGGAGTCCTCCACGAGCTCTCGCTCCCTTCTACAGTCGCAGGTGGTACTTGACAGCTCTACTCTGCCTTCCAATCTAGCAAGTGGCAGCCAATCAGAAACACCATCGGAGACAAGCACGTCCCAAAATAACATTCAAACACAGTCACTCCCAGATTTCAGTACCTCAAAGTCAAGTTTCGGTTCAATGTCACCACGCAAAAGCTCCTCTTCTTTTGTTCTCGGCCCGACAGGACCGTCACCATCAGATACCGGTGCTACATTGCTCTCAAGCTCCAGTCGTAGCGGGGACCGATCCTCAATGTCAGGAATTACTTCAACATCTGAAATTAATTTGAGCAATAGCCGGAGTCCCGACTCAGACGCTTCAAGTAGTTCCGTCCAAACCCAATTCCATATCACGGGCAATTCGGATCCATTCTCCGGTTATAGCTCCGGACAGCTGGGCACCACATCGAGCGACGCGACCGTAGCCTTTACATCGGAAAGTCTGTCTTGGGCTACTAATTATGGCAGTACAATGTATGGACAGCAAGTATTAACTGTTAGTGCTACTGAATTTTCACAGGTAGTGTTCAGCTCGAACACAGTGCCCCAGTATGGTCCCTCAGCCTCATCATCACTGAATTCAGGAGGTCAGGACGGGTCGATGAGCATGGATGGCAGCGTGTCCGGATCTGGTGCATCACCTATTGGCCTCGGGGTACAGCAAACCTCTAGTTTCGACGAATCAGGTATCAGCGGCCAGACCAGCAGCAATGCGGCCGGCTTGGGCGACTCCAGTATAGCACCGGGAGGGTCCTACCAAGCCGGGCTGGTTAGTCAAACAACAACAGGCACCGTAACGCCGGCCCCAAGTGCAGCAGCTCCGGGGAATCAGGTCGGCTCGGTCGGCTCGACCCGCGACAGTGGCATTTCGTCCTCGGTCATCATGGAATCAACGATCAGTGACCATGGATCGGGTGGCAATCAAAATGATCCAAGCAATTCTGGGAACGGCAACGCAGCGAGTGCAAGCCATGACAGCGCTGGTGCTTCGGGTATCACCTCCGGAGCCTTGAGCTTTGAGCCAACATCGTCTTTCAGCCTCCACAGCGTTTCTCCCACAGCCATCATTTCACCTGGCCCCCAACCAACAACGACCAATGACGCATCTTGGAGTGTACAAAGCTCATCGATGAACACTGACGCTGGTATTGGCAACGGATCTGGGAGCGCTGGCCAGGGTAATCAACAGCTTGACCCGTCATCCGACATCTCTTCTGGCGGCAGCGGTCAACAATCAGTAACTGGGACTGGAACAAATGCTATTCACATTGCCGAGTCAGAATCAAAGGATTCGTCCACATCAAATGGGCCACCTAGGAGCACCGATCGAGGTAATCAACAGCTTGACCCGTCATCCGGCATTTCTTCTGGCAACAGCGGTCAGCAATCTTTTACTATGCCTCAAACTAATGCTATCTACATATCCGGTTCAGCCTCAAGGGATTCGACCATATCAAATGGGATCCCTGGGAGCACCGATCAAGGAAATCCACAACTTAATCCGTCATCCGTCATTTCTTCTGGCAATATCGATCAGCAATCTTTGACGACAGTCCAAACAAAGGCTACTCACATGTCCGGGTCGGGATCAAGGGATTCAACGATATCCAATGGCGTATCTGCTACAGCTTCCAACCCCAACATTGCATCTCTCAGTGGTGGTTCTGTTGTCACCCCATCAGTCGATCCAATTTTTTCTAGTGTCAGTGGGCATCAGTCTGGTACCAAGGAGTCGTCGACCTATTTGGAGGCTTCTACGAGCGTACAAGAGAACAAATCGTCGTATACCAACCTGCCACAGAGTCAAGGCAGCTCTTTATCAGCACAAATTGGCGCTACAATGATTTCCAAAGGCGCATACTCATCGCCTGGTAGCGGAAGCCTTTCTGCTCTTGGATTTAACACGGCTCATGATGCTTCAAGAACTGGCATCGTGTCTCAAGGCTTGACTCGAACTCGGCCACCAGAAGGGTCATCAGAAACATACCAGCACACCGGCCCCAGCCTAACTATCAGCAGGCCTTTGGGCAACACAGGGACGGAGAATTCGGATAGTAACAGTAGATCAGCTATCACGATGCCCGCACAGCTCACACCTTCCTCGTCAGACATCTCTGGTGAGGCTGCTTCAAATATCACAGGTACTTCGCTTGTTGTCTCACCGGGGAACAATTTCCAGCGCACTTCCGGGAGCGCTACCACCTACACGCCGCCATATGGGCAACTCCCAAGTTCCGCTGTTACATTCGGAAGCCCGAGGCCCGAAGCCACCGGCAATGACAACCCGACGGGTACTCGAACGGGAGACTTTAACCCAGGATCCTTGTCGGATGAGGCGCTGTCTACGACAATCACCGAACCATTCCAAAAGACCGATATTTCTACGGACGTAGCTGTTGACAGTTCTCCAGTATCTGCCCCCAGAAGTTCTGACAACGGGGGCACTTCTATGCTTTCCATTTCCTCGCGGATTTCTTCATACACAGACTTTCCTGCCAACGCAGCGACCGCTTTGCCCTCATCAAGTCGGGGGCAGAGCTCTTCACTGATCACATCAACAAGAAGGAGGTCCAGCAGCGTTGACAGGCGCCTCATGACATCAGACGGTACCGTCAAGGTCAGCGTCGTCGTATCATACACTTCAACAGTCACCATTTCTTTATCTTCTGATCGTTTAGTCCCAAGTGGACAGAGTGGCAATGTACAGACTGGCAGCGGACAGACTGACAATGAGGGCGGCACAACACCACTAGGCTCATCCCCCATTCCATCCATTCGCCCACCAGATGGCGGCATTCTTTCCCCGTCCAGCCTGGCACAACCAATCACTGTCGCCTCAAACTCAGGGTCGTTGTGGTCCCGAAGGCCAACGCCCGGGCTGTCAGCCACACCAGATGCGCTGCAATCAACATCTCAAATGACAACAAGATCACCAAGTTTCATTCCCCCTCATAGACCTTCAATGTCCACTGAGCCGACGCCACAGAGCACAGCGTCGTATGAGTCACTGACATCCTCCAACACTTCGTCGATAACGCATTCAAATATCTCGTCGCTAACATCTTTAAACGCTTGGTCTCTGCCGTCTCTAAACACTTCGTCGCTGACTCCATTGAGTACTTTGCTGCTAAATTCATCAACTAATGCATCACCAACATCATCAGACACTTCGTCGCTAACGTCTCTGAACACTTCGTCCGCATTCCGTAACTCGACTACGAGCTGGTCATGCTCAATCACCATGATGTTATACCTCGTAAGGGAGACCACCACCGTCCCGTGGGGAATACCCGAGACAACAGTGACGGAAACGGGTGCTGATGTACCTGTCTTGTCGTCCATTTACGAGTGCCTACCTGTCACTAGCACAATTGTGACCGACCGCAGCACGACGTTGGCAGCCAGCGAGACCGCGACGGTAATCCGCAGGGCGCCAATTTCTGGTTTTCAAAGCTGAAAGAGAGGAAATTCGGGTGTAAGGCTTTGAGAAGTGGTTAGGACAAGGGTATCTTGTGTGAATTGTCAGGAGGGCCCCCGCATCAGATTTGAACAAAGAGTTGGACAAGCAGCAGACACATACTATCTGGAGGCAATGAAAACAACAAAAAGAAATTTGACACACTCGCGGGTTGAACGAATTACTGGGTGCTACAGCCTCACTTTCTTTTTTTTCGCCTAAAGGAGGGAAGGGAAAGGGCGCAAAACAGGGCAAAAGGTCAAAAAGACCCTCCGAAGAGTCAGAAAATACCTCCGTCTTTTGCAGACCATCGCTGATATTTTACTGGTTGCCGGCAAGGTTTGAACCTGGGATCATCGGCGCAGGTTGAAACCACACGTCTACCCAGATCGGCCACCCGACCAGGTCTTTCAGGTGAATTTCATGGTTTATCTAGTCGAGGCGTGCGGCGAAACGGCTTTGTAGCATTAGCAGATGAGCGGGATACCTGGGGCCAGTGCGAGCACACAGTAGATAGGGCAGAGTGCCTCACCAGCTGAAGGCCGTCGACGCTGGGCAGGATGCTCAAGGGCACAGTGAGATGCTGGGGAGCCACCAATTACTAAGTCTTAGCCGTGAAAATGCATGAATAAATTTACAGTTAATGCCATATCTCGCTACTGAACGTCTCCTGCCTACTCTTTACTTTATTCTGGACATGGGAATCCCCAACACCCTCGGCTCAATGCTAGTCGCCTTGCCTTCAACGGTCGTGACCAGGAACTCGTCCAAGCCAACTCCACCATATGCCAGTCCATCTACAGTGAACCAGGAGTCGCAGATGGGCGACAACGGCCCAGGCCCGACTGCCCTGGTCACAGTCTGGTAGACGGCCCTCCAAGCGCTGACAGTCCCGTTTGGAGTCTCGCTTTCCAGGCCAGAGTAGTACAGCCGCGCCGTGATGTTGGCGCCTTTGAGCTTCCCAAGCAGCGACAGCACGTCTTGCCCACTGAAAGACCACTCCTCGACACTGAGCCCGGGCTCTGTATCTTTTCCCACCAGGGTAATATTCGACCCTGTCGCCCCATCCGAGAAACTTCCTGCATACACCTCAGCCACCTCGTCGCTGGCCGCAGAACGCGCAGCCGGCACAAACGTGTCCACCAGGATGTCCCCCAAGATTCGAGTGTTTTCTGACGCGGACTCGCCCGCCGACAGCACAGTGAAGCCCAACTTCAGCTCAGGTATCAGCACCACGTACGACGAGTACATCCCCAGGTCGCCAGCCTTGGTCATCATCATCATTGTCGGCTCGCCCGGCGCGCGGTAGATCTCCCACGGTGCGCCGGCGGCGGCGTCCCGATTGGACAGGAACGAGTGTGGCTTCATCCAGCGCCTGGTCGCGGATGGGTCGAGCTGGGTCGAGCCGAGCATTGCCTTTCCGATCTTGCGCATGTCGTTTGCGGTGCTGAAATAGCCGCCTGCCGGGGTCAGGTCGAGAAGGTCGGCGAACCACCAGCTGATGGAGGTATTGTACGGGATTATGGACGTGTCAGGGGTGGATGGTAGGTGGTATGATGTCGACTTGAGATTGAGTGGCTCGACGAGGTGTTGGTTAAAGAGGTCGTGCATCGGCTGTCCGGTGATGTTTTCGAGGGCGTAGCTTAGGATCTGGAAGGCGCTGTTGGAGTAGACGGGTGTCTCGTATGAAGCGACGATGGGGTGCTGTGTCGGAAAGTCTGTGAAGAATTCTTTGTGCCAAGGAACTCGTTAGATACATGATCAGCTACGGGTAGCCATACAATAACAACACTCACGAGAGCGATTGCAGGGCAGCGTGACCAGTGTGGGATCACCACACGAAGAGCTGGATTTGTCGCTCTGGCTGGGTATGCCAAGGTCCCCAAATACTTTTGTCAAGGCTGCTGCGTGGGTTGGGTCCCTGCCGATGCCAGCGAGGTGGCTTGCCAAGGCCCCGACCGTGATGGACTCCCAGTCGACATCGCTCGTAGGGTCAGGCTGCTGCGTCTGGGATATTTCCTGGAGCTCAGGGATAAACTTGGTGATTGGGTCGTTCCAGGTCGTGTCGCCTGCTGCTAGAAGATACAGGTACACGGTCCAAAGCTTGGACACACTGCCCACGCGGTAGATGGTGTCCGAGTCGACCTCCTCGACGCCGGCTGTTCGTTGGCTCAGCAGTTGGGTTGGCGTATAGTGGTGACGGAAAAGTGCGTCCTCGTCATCAAGGGAGTAGAACTCCACAGAGAATGCGGTGGTCTCGGTGTCAAGTGGCCCATACGCTGTCGTTTCATTCCTGGCTTTGAGGAGCTGGTTCAGGACCGACTGTGCCGCAGCTTCGACATGCTTGCTGTTGGCCAAGCCCGTGGGCGCCGGGTAATTCTGGCCGTACAGCGGGCATGGCTCGGTGTATAGATCCGCGGCAGCAGATGTCGCCGCCAGCAGGATGAACGAGGTTCTGAGAGAAAAAGACATGTTAGAACTGGAGTGCTCGCGTTGGTCGTGTAGAGGTGAATAAACCATGGTTGAAGATGTCTAGAGAGCCTTTATAAGCATTGTAGAACGCAGCGACCCGCCAACAAGCGACTTGGAGTCGTAAATCCTCATCTGAGCCACATGCTAGGCTGCGAAATCGCTAATCCTTCTCACGAATGACAAGGTGAGCGCAGATTGATTAGAGGTGCCACGGCCACCGGCAAGGCGACTTTCTTGACTGTTGGGCAGGGATGCTTGTTGACGAGGTTGCTGAGGGTATAGACAACCACGTCCGAGCGAGACGTTAAATTTGGTCCGAGCTGTAAGCAAGTGTGAGTGACGAATTCTTGTGGCTTGTGCTGGGGCTGAGCTGCCAGTGCTTGGCATCGCACTGGGTGGGTCCATTGCGAGCGACGCTATCACCACTTCAGGCTTGGTTGCCCAGGTCCTTGAGTTGATTGAACATCAAACCCAGGCTGTGGCTGATCCTTTGATATATCGGCCCCGAATAACTTCCAAAACTTGCGATCCGGAAAGACATCCCATTTGATGATTATGTTCCTGCCTGCGGCTGCTTCCTGCTGAGGCATGCGCCACCGGGAGGACAGCTGAAAACAAAGTGCGATGACAGGGTGGAACAACACGGGTGGGCCACGCGTAGCTCCTTCGCGAGTTGGTCACTGCACGGACAGACTTCAGCGAACAAGCATCGATTTGATGGCCTTCTCATGAGTTTCAACGAAATCTTCTGCTTCCGGGTTAGGGTTATGAGCCTCGTTGTGAAAGGCAGGCAAGCCACAGTGACTCCGCAATGACGTTTTCGAATTTTTGGAAGTGTGGCTGTTATGGTAACAGTTGTACCGAAGTGATTTTGTGGGGTTCTCAACAACAGTTTACTTCACTTCCCCACTCCTCTTCATCTGCGATGGACTCACAAAGCTCGCCCACTCTTGATAATCCGTCCAAGACCAAGCGGACACGGAAAAGAGCGGCGAAATCGAGGCACGGCTGCGCAAAGTGCAAAGCCAGACGAGTGAGTGGTGTTGAGGATCACGCGGTGGTCCTTGCACCTGTCTGACCCTGTCACAGATCAGATGCGACGAGAAGCGCCCGGGCTGCGATAACTGTGCCAAGTTTGGATGCCCATGTCCTGGCTATCAGCAGCAATTACGATGGTCACACAAGCACCAGCCGCCCGAGACGTCAATCCTTCAAGAGACAATCCCCGGGCGCGATGACCAGCCACGGGATGCACCAGCCATCGGTCAAGTAACGCAGGCAGAAGATGTGTATACGCAAGCCCAGTCCAAGGTTCTTGCAAATGGGGTCGGTCCTCCACAAGACGGACCGATCTCCCTGGGTGACGACTATGACCTTAGTTGGTTGACCGAGGTCTCCTCAACTTGGCCAGCCACTTGTGGCAGACCATGTTGCCGAACCTCTATGGAGCTCCTTCGACGACTTGGATCAGCCCGAAATGTCAGATACCCAGCATGAACTAGCACCAATGTCCCGGATGAGCATTGTGCAAGCCCCTGTTCACTTGTCAACTACCCTGATCGAGTATTGGTTCCGACACATCTGTCCAGTGCGGTCGACGTTTGACTCGAGGTCAACAACAACCGCTCATTGCCTCGAGACTCATGGGCTACCTCTGAGGCCCTCTTTTACACAATGCAAGTCATGTCGGCTGCATGTCTGGTAGACACCATGCCCCAACTCAAGGAGGCCTTGCCGTCATTAAGAGAACAAGCTACCTTCGCCATCACCCAGAGAATTTCTCAGGTACGAAACCTAAGAGTGGCCCGAGTTACGACTGATCTGGTCTTTGCTGTATTGGAAATGGGAACATCATCACATTGGGTCCTTCCTGGGAACTCAGACTATCCTTGGCTTGAATCAGCTCGCGAATTGGTCTCTATCTGGGCTGTTGGGATATCGGCCGCGGATGCTTTGCTACACAACTATTTTCGTCAGGCCTTGACCTACTGGGAGATGCTTCTCACTGTCGTAGGCCGTGGTTCAAATTCCTAAAATATGGAGAAAAGACGACGAAAGTACCGTGGCAGACTTCGCCGGGCGATGTTTTTGGAAGACGGCGATCTTGACGCTACGACAGATGAGGATCAGCTTTTCAGTTCAGGTCTCAAGCCACTAGGAACGCTGCCTAATTCTTGGTGTGGAATCTCCAACGAGGTCATCGAAGTCTTCGGTCAAGTCCTGGCCCTCTGTTGCAGCGCGTGCGAACACAACCAGGACAAGACATTGCTCACCCTTGACACGACAAGCAAGGCCCTCTGTGATATCGCAGTCGCGCGTGAGCTGGAAAAGGAGCTTTTGAGTATGGATTTCGATATCATTGTGCTTTTGGAAGAGTTAAGGCTTCTACGTCGATACGCAAGATGACAACACCCCCATCTCTCATCTGCTCCAGACAGCCGAGGCATACCGGAAAGCTGGACTTTTGCATTTATACCTGACCTTTGATGACCTCATCGTCCATACGAGCAATGGACAGATGGACCAACCACCGTGGATGCTCCGTATTTTTGAGACCAGTTGGTTTTAGCTTGCGGAAGGAAATGGAGAAGGAGACTCCGCATCAGCGGCAGTGATAGGAAAGGTATTACGGATTGATTATCTCTGAGTTATATCATTGGTCCCCGGCGATGCAGCAAGATATAGTAATTCGCGGGGTTGACATGCAATACATTCACCCAGTGCCTTCAGTCTCGTAAAAGACTGACAGACGGGGATAAGGAGAGGAAATCTGATCTCCACAGTGATGTTGCGGGGGAGTGTTGGCTTGGATGTTCTTCTATTACTATTAATACTAAAATCCGTGGCTGTGATGCTAGAGTTTGGGATGTTTGCAATCCCCCCTTGACGATCTACACGCAAGTCCAAAATGCATGCTGTGACTAGACTTCCGCAGACACGAGTGATACAGCCCAGTCGAGACGCAGCGCCGTTCCGGCGTCTGCTATCTACCACCCGCTGCTTGCCCAAGCACCATTTCGCAGCCGAGCTGACCACGACCAAAAGATGAGTATGTACTTCCCGAGGCCCAGAATACTATACAAGCGTCCCAACTAACGGACTATCATTAAGCCGATGTTGAGAACCTCGCTGGAGCCGAGAAGTGCGATCCATGCCCGGCGCTCCTATGCTATAGCCCTTTCGAATAGCAACAAGCCGTCAAGAGTCCCGATCTTGGTCGATGGCAAGACTTTCGAGTTTTCTTCCATCTTATCGCGCGACTTCTGCCAATGCCCGTCGTGCGTTCACGAATCTACCAACCAGCGACTCTTCTCCGCCGCAGATATCCCTGCCAGTATCCAGGCCCGTTCCGTCCAGGTCGATGCTGCATCAGACTCTGTGAACATTAAGTGGAAGAATGATACCCCAGGGTCTAGTGAAGACCACACTACGAAGGTGAACGTGGCAGCTCTGCGAGAACTCAATCAGTCGGGCTCTCTTCCGGTGTTTGGCACAGACAGTCACGAGGCACAGATTTTGTGGACTAAGGAGCCTCTTGACAACTTGAAAGACTTCGACTACAACGAGTATATGCAAGATGATAAACAAGTATATGAGCTTATTCGTCAACTGAGAACTGACGGGTTGGCCTTCGTCACAAACGTCCCCGGCGAGGTGGAGTCGCTGGCCACAATCCCTACTCGCATCGGTCCCATTAAGGATACCTTCTACGGCCATACATGGGATGGTATGTCAAAAGCCCACGGCCAGCAGTCGAAACAAAACTAACGTGGTGTATAGTGAGTACCGTTCCAAAAGCCAACAATGCCGCGTACACGTCCGCCGATCTGGGTTTCCATACCGACTTGCTATACTTCCAAAACTCCCCACATGTTCAGCTCCTCCACTGTATCCAGTCTGCATCCAAGGGAGGGGCCAGCGTCTTCGCCGACGCCTACAAGTCTGCAGTCGACTTATTCCACTCAGATCCAGAGGCGTTCGAGATCCTGGCAACACTCCCTGTCAATTATCACTACAACCATCCACATGACAACGTGTACCGCACGACGAAGCCAGTCATTGAGTTTCGACCGCTCCGTATCGGTAATAAGGTCTACACCCGTGTTCATGATTACGTGAAGGACTGGAATGAGCTCAGCCTCAAGAATGGCGGCTCTGGATGGAGCGACGACGTCCTCGTGGATCACATGCTGAAGATCAACTGGGGCCCTCCGTTCCCCGCGCCCTTCTCGAATCATCAGGACCACATGCTCCAAGATGGAATCCCCCAGCCTCCCCTTTCGGCACTTAACGCCAAAGTGGACGCATGGCACGAAGCTGCCTCCAAGTTTAACGTAATGCTGCAGCGCCCGGAGTATCTATTCGAGCGCAAGATGAACCCGGGAGACTGTGTCTTGTTTGACAACACGAGGACTCTACACTCGAGAAGAGCTTTTGACCTGGCTGACGTCGGAAAACCGCGATGGTTGAGGGGGACTTATGTTGACAAGGATCCATACTTTAGCAGGCTGCGTGTGTTGAAGCATAGATTCGGATGACAAGTGGAGGTGTGTCTGTGCAGCCTGGGAATAATGAGGTCGTAGGGGAACTACGAAATTGGAAGGTGAATATCAATGGAACCAACTGCATGAACATCCCTGTATCTGCGTTGCGGGCAGGTTTATCAGGGGCGGGGAACCAACAAATGCGGCGCAGAAGTCGACAAAACCAACAGGCATGTTTCTGCAGATTTTACAGCCGGACTGCAGAGCTCTAACCCTTCGCTTTCCACCGATAGTAGGGTTTAACCTGACTCTGTCTACTCAGCGATGTCGCGCCGACGCCAGACAAGTGCTCACACGGCCGCAGGCGAAACGATCGCCCATGACGTCCTCATCATTGGAGCCGGTCTGGCCGGTAGCAACATGGCATATCGCCTGCAAACCAGAATGCCGCACCTGAGTCTCGCGATACTAGAGGCGCGCAGCGACATCGGTGGGACCTGGGACCTGTTCCGATATCCGGGCGTCCGCTCCGACTCTGACATGTATACGTTTGGATTTTCCTGGCATCCCTGGCGAAACAAGACATTCGGCGACGGCCACAAGATCAAGTCGTATCTGCACGAGTGCGTGTGGACGTACGTCTGGACAAGTGGCTGAATCTCAAGCATAAGGTGGTCAAGGCGGACTGGTTGTCTGAGACCCAGAGATGGACGGTCCAGGTTGACCACGACGGACATCCCAAGACCTATGTCGCCAAGTGGCTTGTGCTGAGCCCTGGCCTCTTTGACTGCCAGAAGCCTTTCCAAACCGTCATTCCGGGCATCGACAACTTCCAGGGAAAGGTGATCCACCCACAGTTCTGGCCGGCAGACTACGACTACACAGGCAAGAAGATGGTCATCATAGGAAGCGGCGCAACCGCGATCACGATGCTCCCGGCCTTGGTGGACAACGGCATAGAGCACGTCACCATGCTTCAACGCTCACCGTCCTATGTCGTCTCAACACCCAACCCAGACACCCAGGCGGGCCTAGTTGCACGGCTCCTCCCGAGGTATGCGGTCAAGTGACCTTAATCCCTGTACCTCACTTGACATCTAGATATTATATTTAAATATAACGTGCTATTTAGTCAAGTAACCTTAAATTATATTTAAATATATCCCAAATAAACCCTACCCCTAGCCATTAACCCTAACCCTAACCATTAACCCTAACACTAATTACTAACCCTAACTAACCCTAATTAATTCTAGCCAATTAAATATAGAAGCGAAACCGAGCTTAGTTAACATCTAAATATGATTTAAGGTTACTTGACATCCAGATATTATATTTAAATATAATATCTGGATGTCAAGTGAGGTACAGGGATTAAGGTCACTTGACCACGTCCCTCGCTCCTCCCCACCGCCACCGTCAACTGGCTGCGCCGCATGTCTTGGAACGTCGCCATGTCGCTTCACCTCCATGTGCGCACACTTCCCCTCCATGATGCGCAAGCTCATCCTTGGCGAGGCGCGCAAACAGCTCCCGGCCAAGACGCCTCTCGATCCGCACTTTGTGCCGGCGTATAACCCCTGGGAGCAGCGCATGTGTGTCTCCCCGGACGGCTCCTTCTATCGTGCGCTGCATACCGACAAGGCCGACGTGATGACTGGGACGATCCGGACTGTGACGGCAGACGGAATCCGACTCGATGACGGGAGGACGCTGGAAGCGGATGTTATTGTGACCGCCACGGGCTGGACGATGCATTTCGCAGGCGGCATACCGATCACTGTCGACAAGGAGCCTGTGGCCTGGCCAAGCAAGCTGGTATGGAACGGGTGCATGGTCCAGGATGTGCCGAACCTGTTCTTCGTGTGGGGCTATACCAACGCGTCGTTGACGCTATGTGCTGAGGAGACCGCGTTCAGTGCGTGCCGGCTGCTAAAGTGTATGGAGAGGGAGGGCAGCAATGTTGCCGTACCTAGGACTCCAGATGGCTTTGAAACCGAGAAGCAGGTCTTGTGGAAGTTGTCATCGACATACGCAAATGTTGCGAATCAGGATCTTCCCAAATACGGGAGCAAGGGACCTTGGAGACCAAGGGGAGTTGTTTTCCTTGATCTGATGCATGCGAGATGGGGAAATGTGACAAAGGGGTTGGAGTTTCTCGCGTAAAAATGGCTGATCGTGGAGTGCCATTTTGGAAATTCGATACTCAGTAGCAGGGTCGTCAGGGACTGGCTTAGTCTTACAGTAGTTGCCAACGACGATAAGTAAACCCCTCCTTTCAGAGGGAAATCTCGGGAACAGAGGGGGGACTCCTCATGAGCACGAAAATGCATGAGTGATACTGGTGGAATTCTCGCACATCCGCCTCGTACCTGACGTTCTTACGGCGTCGATGTCCAAATTGACGATGATACTCGGAAATCAGCAGAACGTCGATAGTTCGAGTTGGCCAACAGTCTGAGTGGCCATTACGACATTGACTGCAAGCCTAGAGACAGCACCCAAGAATGACCTACAACCAGACTATTTATCGAAATGGTCCGCAAGGGTGCCGTTCCCTTCCCGCGGCGCGAAAGCGGCCCGTTTCGTCCATATTAAAGCCGGCAAGAAACAACCAAGCACAGTACATTTCTGTGCAATGCCAAGACATCAGACCGCGGACGCTGCGTCCCCGAATTAACTCTTTCCGGTGCGGCGGTCGACGCAATTCCGGAACATTCAATCAGGAGGGCTATAGAGGGTCAGCAATGTCGCTGCCTATCTGTTAATCCGCCATTCTTATTGCACGGCGACGTGATGAGTTCGCTTGACGGCATCGGCATCTGGGCATCCCTGACCACGCTGCCGCCACGAGGCAGAGGTTGTACGGCGGCTGTCAACCCACCGCCAGTTTGGACTGCCGATCGATGGTAATCCTTGAAATCGATAAATGCAAGGCTGCCGCACTTGCAAGCAGGTCCACACTCTCTTGTTTCTACACCGACGTCTCCTCGAATCCTCCCTAGATCTAACACCGTAGCAATGATCGCTTCCGTTGCCCTCCTGGTGAGCGGCCTCGCCGCCACCGTGCTTGGCCATGGCATGGTGACAACATTCAAGACCGACGGAGTTCAGAATCAAGGTTTCATCCTCGATTATTACTACGCCAAGAAGAACGGCCAACCCGTGCCTGATATCGCTGCGTGGTATGCCGAGAACCTCGACAGTGGCTTCGTGGCGCCCAACAACTACGGCACGCAGGACATCAACTGCCACATCAATGCGACTCCCGGCACGCTCTCGACGACGGTGTCGGCCGGTGGCAAGGTCGAATTCGACTGGCCGGCTACGTGGCCGCACCCCTACGGGCCCATCATCACCTACGTCGCGAAGTGCGCGGCCGACTGCGCCAAGGCCGACAAGTCGCAGCTGAAATGGGTCAAGATTGAGGCTGTTGGCAGTATGTTATCCATATCATCGTTCCTAATGAACTCGGTGACTAACCCGACGCTTTATAGTCAACTACAGCACGCAGAAGTGGGCGTCGCAGACCCTGATCGACCAGGGCGGCAAGTGGACCACCACGGTCCCCAAGTCGCTGGCCCCCGGAAACTACGTCTTCCGCCACGAGATCATCGCCCTGCACGGCGCCGGCTCGCTCAACGGCGCGCAGAACTACCCGCAGTGCTTCAACATCAAGATCACCGGCTCGGGCACCGCAAACCCCACAGGCACTGCCGGCACGGCGCTGTACAAGAACACCGACCCCGGCATTCACTTCAACCCTTACACCACAATCACAAGCTACGCCATGCCCGGCCCAACGCTGTGGACAGGTTAAGTGGTTCGTGGGATGGGCTTTGAATTCTTGTATATATGATTATTAAGGAAGCATTGGGAGGAACAAGGGGTGACGAGACGGGCTGAATGGCATCGGTTGATCTCCACCTTGTTCTCGTCGTCTCATCCTTGATGTCAATTACCCGAATTTACCCACAAATGACCCCCATGACATCTTGGTCGACTGTGATTCAACACACCTAGCCAGCAAGCCTCTGCTTGATCTCAGCAACAATCAGCGTCAGCATCGCACTAGGCGTAGGGCCCTTCCTCGTCGCCTCCGCAACAATCGTATCGTGAAGCTGCCCGTAGCCCACGATGACCGCACAGTCCACGCCCTGCCCCTGGAGCTTCTCCCCGAGCAGCTCCCCGGCGGAGCGCAGCGGGTCCGCGCTCCCGACCACGATCAGCGTCGGCGGGAACTGCGCCGCCACCTCGTCCGGCATGGCCCTGGGCGACCCGAGCGCCGAGGCCCGGTCCTCGGCGCGCGGCATGTAGTTGCGCGCCATGGCGCGCACGATGGGCACCGAGATGAAGGGGCCGCCGAACAGCTCGTACTCGGATAGGGTTGGGGCTACGGTGAGGTCTGTCGAGGTTGCCGGGCAGATGATGACGTTGTATGGGATTTTGAATTCTTTCCTTTCGATGGACATTATGTTTAGGCCGGCTGTCAGATGGCCTGCGTCGAGTCAGTAAGTTGGTCAGCCAATTCAGAGGGACGATTGTGTCTGCTGGACTCACCACCTGCACTGTCTCCTGCGAGCGTGAAGTTCGTCCCTTGCAGACCCAGCGTCTCGCCGTTCTCCGTCAGCCACTTGAGGGACTCGTAGCACTGCTCGTGCTGTACAGGGAACTGGACTTCTGGAGCAAGAGTGTATTCCGGAAACACGACCGGGAAACCGGTCTGCAGGGCTAGATCGCGCACAATACTGTCATATTCTTCGATACTGTTGGCAGTTGGGTTGAGTTAGCTCCCTGCCCTTAACATTACTATTTGCTTACATACTTTCCAACAGACCATCCGCCACCGTGGATGAAGAAGATGTATGGCAGTGGGGGATCATCGGGTATGCCTTCGGTCTTGTATATCCACAGCTCCACACCACCTTCCACAGGCGCCATAAAGCTGCTTCGGTCCACGCCTCCCAGCTTTTCATGCTCCTGGGATGGGCCGAATGTTGCGAGGTACTCGGGGAGAGTGAGGTTTGCGAGAATCTCAGGCGACGTGGTGCTTGCCAACGCCTGGTTGAGCGGGTCAAGGTAGGGTATTGCAAGCGCAGACATGGTGAGCACTTTGCTTATGATACGTGGTTACTGTGGTTGTTGGATCGGTCTCTAGGAACACCACATGCAATTCATCAGGAGTTCGTTCAGGGTGACCCAGCATCTTTTATAATCTGTTACTTGCCTAAGTCGCTAGACTTTGTTTCCTTTTTACCTTGGTATCCTCCAGATCACAAGATCAGGATTTCATGAGTAAGCTGACCTGGGAAGCCAAGCATTTTTGACATTACTCTGGGGCAGTTCACATCTGGGGCGTATTATTATGGGGGAATTCACGTGTGGGACCACAGCTGCAAGAATTACATCTGGGATAGTGAGATATGCATGGACTAGCAACCGCGATCAAGGATGGTGATAGGAGGGAATGATGATATGCACTCGGTGCTGACTGGAACCCACCACATTCGCGGAGCTTTCGGATGTGCTCAAGTCAGCCCCCAACATGGCTTGGCAGAAAATCTGCGAGATATGCCTCACGCCGAGTGAGTAATTTGCAAGAAGCGATCTCATAATCCCCACGCCTTTCACCGATTAACATCCCTAGCCATTTGAAGATTGGGTTTTTGAAAAGCTCGTCCACAGGATCATCACACTGCATGTGGCACAAAGGATCACGCTAGTGGATGACCGCATCGCGCCCTATTCTGACTTCTCTTGTGGACATGCTAGCCTTCCTCGCAGCGTTTTGGGGGTTCGGACTACAGGACTTGTGTGGTTCGTGAATGCGGCAGCCAAGTAGTCGACATGTACCGCCTCCCTACCCCTTGAAAAGATCAGAGAGCCACTGAAATTGTTTCTACGTACTAAATGATGTCACTAGACATAGAACCTGGCTTCTGCCCTGGACTTCAACTGTTCCTTCGAAAGCATGCAATGGATTAGACGGAAGTGAGGATTTATGCGAGAGTGGCCAACAAATTCAATCATGAGGCAGTGTTAATTTAGATCTCGGGGCCATGCTGGACTTTCCACACCCGTGGCAGTGAGTACGAGACTCTCTAGATGAGGTGACTTGAACGCAAAGATCAACTAAATAAAAGAGACAAAGATAAGAAGATGCTACTTCGGAGCTCGTGACATGTTCTTACATCTAATGATTACTTATACTCACGCTGTCCAGGCAATGTTACTGGTTGAGGCTTAATAGGAATTCTTATTGGAAGAGTACAGACGATGTTTGAGTTGCAAGACTGTAAACCGAAGAGCTTCCGAGCTGACAAGTAACACTGGTGGGATGTGGACGGAAAATTCCGCTCAAGGAGCTTCTATCAACGTTTATCAAGTATTGCACATACTCAGACGACATGGGCCACGATAAATCCCGGCCTTTGGACTAACTATATGGCCTTTAAGACGAAGAGGGCAATCTTTTCCGCGGGGGTATGCGGAAGGGAGATCCTTCGCATCCTTCCCATCTAGCTTTCTGTCAGACTGCTAACTAGATCCTGCACCGTGCGGGGCCCAGCTGTCGTAAAGAGTCATGATTAATGATTGCATGAATGGTTGCTGATGTTCGTTTGTAGAAATCAACGTACGCCCAAAGTGGCGGCCATAAGGACACCCAGAGGAGGGCACATGTGCTTGTTTCATGAACGAACCATTCGAAGGTGGATCTGACGACAACAGGGGCCAGTAGGCTGACCTCGCTCCCCTGAGTGTGAAAGATGCGGCGCCAGTCCCCAAGCAAATAAACGAGGCCATACTCGAGGCCCTTCACTGGTGGAGAACGTTTCGGCATGGCCCGGATTGGCCCCCAACAGCCAAGCCGGGTGATTCTGGAGCCCTCGTGGCCAAAAAAACTCCCCATTGCCGGTTTTTGTTATCCAGTGAGCATGGTGCCATGTCCGGAACATTTCCGTGGGCCGGGCGGTCGGTCACCAAGGCCACCACGGCGCCGGTCCCGTTGCCGGCCATCGTCTGCGTCCGGGAGCTCGGAATAGCCAATCCAGAGCGGGCCGCCATGCTGTCCTTCTTTGCCGTCTTCAACTCGCCGGCCTCGTTATCGTTTCTTAACGGCCCCTGGGCAATCATTGATTTTGTGTAGTCCTCTCTTCGAAACCAACACGAGAGGCTTGCCTGACAGCACGCACAGAGACATGGCCGCCGAACATGGCCCAATGAATGGATACCTCACCAACTCTCCCCTGGAATTGCCGCAGGCCTGCTGACAGCCACAGATGGTACGAGGCAAGAGGCGCCAACGACCAACGACATACCACGAGTGTGGTGATTGACGCATAGTTGAATCGTATATAAAATCAGCTCGTCGCCATGGAATGGGCAATTTCTCCTCACCGCTCTCAACACACCATCCAGTCTCTTCAGCTTCGTTTTCTTTTCATTTTAATCTCTTGACGAGATACCTGCTCCTGGCGAGTTAGGTTCATTCATTGCCCGTTCCTACACTCTTTACAGTCCCTTTTTGACCAACTCATCTTCAATCATTGATACAACTTGCTGCGCAAGCATCCTTGACTGATTTGTTCCATTACTAATTCATAATGAGACTTCCGACTCTCGCTGCGATTTCCCTCGCCGCCTGCTCCGCGAATGCTGCTCCCTACGCTCCGCACCGTTCCCAGCGCACAGTCAAGCGCGCTGGCGTCGGAGATGGAACGAGCGTCATGTCCTTCTTCGGTCAGAGCACCGAGCCTGCAACACTCTCCGAGGTTTGCGAAAATGACAACTTCGACATTATCATCCTCGCATTCATCACCAGTTTGAACCCGCCCAAGCTTAACATGGGCAAAGACACCGGAAGCCCGAGCGAAGCCCAGGAGAAGTTGAAGGAGAAGGGCTTTGAGCTCTTCGATGGTACCGTGGCCCCTGAGGGAGGCAAGAGTATCGCCGATCAGATTTCTGGTTGTCAGAAGAACAAAAAGGTCATGATCTCCTTTGGCGGTGACGAGAGATACTCGAACGCCACCTTTGCTAGCGAGGATGAAGCCAAGCAGGCTGCTGATCAAGTCTGGTATGTATCAATAAGAACAAAAAGCCGATGCTGAACATATGCTAACAATACATCACACAGGAACCTCTATCTCGGCGGCACGGATTCAGACGACATAAGGCCTTTCGGCAGCAAGGTCAGGCTCGACGGGCTGGATCTAGACAACGAGTCAGGCAACGGCTCGTTCTACAAGGAATTTGTCACCGAGCTCAGGAGCAAGATGGACTCTGATTCCACAAAGGACTACTTCATGAGCGCGGAGCCCATGTGCGCCTTCTTCGACGATGCCGAATCCTCCATCCCTGACAGCGTGCTGCCCATGCTGGACTTTGTCAACGTCCAGTTCTACAACAACGAGGCCCAAGGCATCGGCGGCAGCGATTTTGACAGTACGATCAAGGCCTGGGCCAAGAAGTTCGCAGCTGCCAGCCCCAGCCCGAAGTTGTTCCTTGGCGTCCCCGGTGGTGAGGGTGCGGCCAGCACCAACATCCAGTCTGCTGATGAGATCAAGAAGACCATCAATTCGGTAAAGAACATGAACCTCACCGGATTTGGCGGTGTTGGTATCTGGGATGCTGGATTCGCCATGGCTGATGAGGCCTTCCCCGAGGCTGTCAAGAGCTCCCTCGGATAAAGCTCGCGCCTTTGATACGCGCCAACATGGTACCTTGTGTTGGCTCCCCTTGCTATCCCGGCCTCTTGATCGATCACACTCATTTTAAAAACAACGACTGAAAAGTCCGACTTTTCCATCCTAAATACAACCAACTACTGTGGCTCAACGCCAGATATCATACAATCGTTCCAGGCACCTTCCTTCGGAGAATACAGATGACCATACCCGCTATACTTTCATTCCAATACGCCATGATCGTGGCAATCATCACGCTCGTTTCACAAACAAACACAGGATACGTATTGTGTCACATAGACGTGTGCCATTGCGCGGCCCACCATATCACATTTTATTTGGTATATGGCCAAGTCTTGTAAATAGTGTGTCAGCTGTATATACATGAATAGATCACACTCCTTCAAATAGCTTGTTAACACTATAAACTCGGAGAACTAATTACCAGGCCTTCCCGCAACTAACATGGCACAAAAAGAAATGTGAGACGACCATGGCCTGTCCGGCAACGACAAAGCGCCACTTTTCTCCCTGTCAAATTCCATCTGAACCCCCAGATCAGCCGGCGGTTACATAGCACCTTTGGGGCTCAAGGCAAACAAGAAAGAATGGACTGGAGCTTTTGCAAAACAACATCCTGCTGAGCAGCAGCAGCATCCTTCTTGTTGCTCGCGACCCCAACACTAATACTGGCATAACACCCAGAGGTGCCAACAACGGTGCTCTCCGTCGGGAGCCGGGTGGACCCGCACGTCCGCACGTCTGCCGCAGTCGACGAGGAGGCCGAGTTGATGCGCGAGAGCACGAAATTGAACCGCGAGGCAGACGTGCACGTGCTGCTGCTCACAGTCGGGTAGTTGACGTTGAGCCAGATGCCATCAGGAAGGTAGGGCTTCCCGGAGTCGACGAGCGTGGTGGTCACGTTGGTGGAGAGCTGGGCGTAGACGGTCTGGTAGGTCTGCGTCGCGGTGGTGTAGGACACCTGCGAGCCCGAGGTGCCGCTGAAGGCGATCGCCGGGATGCCCTCGAGCGCGGCCTCGGCGGCTGCGCCGACTGTGCCGGAGATGAGGGTTGTGGAGCCGAGGTTTGCTGGTGGATGGTGAGTATCAGAGGGGTTGTGGGGACGAGGAGGGAGTCTTGCCTCCGACGTTGTAGCCTGCCACGGCGATATCTGGAGCACCTCCGAAGAACTTGGGCGACAGAGTCTGGATCCCATACCTGATGGCCGTGACAGGGTAGGAGTTGACATAGTTGAACCGGGGGTTGGAGCCGTCTGAACCGTAGGGCGGGCTTCCCGCCGGGCAGCTGTTGAACTCGCAGCCCGAGGTCACCGTTCCGGGCGTGGCATCGGATGAGCCGGTTCCCGATCTATTATCAGCCGGGGCGGAGATAATCACGCTCTCGCCTGCACTAGTGAGAGTATCGTAGAAAACGCGGATGTTCTTCTCGGCCCAGCCATCGTCATTTGAAAGGACGATGTTGACGGCTTGGGCAGCCAGAGGAGCTAAGAGGACGGACAAGGGGATTTGCATCTTGGTAAGAGATAAAAGAACAAGTGAGATGAGCTGGAGATGTTCCTGAGATGATGTGTCCTAAAGACAAGTCGGAAATGCTGTTATTTATAAGGGCCTACTCGGTATGGCGTTGTGAAATTGAATACCAGGTGAATAGTGCAATGGAAGGCTTCGGTGTGGAAACAAGCATGGCGCTCATGAACCCCTCGGCTTGAAGCGGGATCAAGGATTGATGCGGGAGTCATAATGTGACGCTGCATCACAGAGTCTGCGGATGTTTAGTGCATGAGCATGCAAGGTGTGCATGTCGATGCACTGTCTCCAACAGTTCATCCCACGTGTGCGATGGCAGGGATTACAGAATACAACTCTACCTGTGAGAGAGTTATACTGTAGGTGCGTTATCCAATAGGTAAGCCACTAGAGAAATGAGCACCTGGAACCAGCCACATTAATAGGCTGTCTGTTGCTGGTTGCTTGTTTTTCTCTATATCTGCCGATGGCGCGTCACACACCCATATTAGCTAAATGGGGCTAATTCAGCCGTTTTTTCCTTTCACTGCCTAACATAAGTAGCCTAACCCTAATCTATCTCACCCCAATCGTCAAACTCCTAGGCCAGTACCTAGACAAGTAGCTAGGTCACTTTGCCAATGCCTAGTCCCAGCAACCTCATTGTGAGGAAGGAGCACTGCACAGACCCCTTATGGGCATTAATAGGTAGTCCTTGGCCCCTTAGCCCTTTAGCACAAACTTAAACAAAATTATAATTAGAAACTAAATATAACCTTTTTATTATAAAACCCCTTAATAATTTGGCTTAAATTATGGGAATTAAACGCTAATTAATAACTATTATAAATATAGCCTTATTTAATAAGATAATAAAAGCATTACCATAAATTTATTATTAATTTCTTATTACTTGCTTTGCTTTTATATAATTATTTTAATATTTATTTATTTAAACTATTTAATTATATAGCTTTATAAAACTTTATAGCTAAACTTAAATAATTGTATGCTTAATAGCTTTTATAATTTTACTACTTATTTAAGTTTTTATATATTATAAAGATTTAAAATAATAAGCTTAAATATGCTTATCTTTTATAGCCTATCTTTAATAAAAATAATTTAATTCCTTAAGATAAGATTTATTAGCTATAAAATTAATTAATAAAGTAAAAGAGCCTTTTTATATTTTTTACCTGCTAGTAAGCGTTTTTATTATTTAAATTTCCTTTAGCATTTAATTTCTAAGCTATTTTCTTAATTAGCTAAATGTTGCTTTTTAATAATTTATTATATATATTAATTAAAACGCAATCTTTTTAAATACTTAAGCATTGCTAAATAATAAGTTTGCTAAGTTTATTATTATCCTTAAAAGTTTGCCTTAAAAATACGCCGCCTATATTAATATATAATTAAAACCTTAGCTCTTTTTTATATTTAAAGAGAAATGATAAAATAAAATTAAAAGGCTTTAAATTTAATAATAATAATATAGCATTACTTATAGCTAAAGATATCGCTAACTTTATTATATAAATAATAATATAGCTTTATAATTAATAAAATTAAGATTTTGCATATTTAATTGCTATAGCATTTATAAATATATTAATCCCTTAAGTTTATATTTAAGCTAAGCTTATATAAAATAGTATTAATAAATATTTTAACATTTAGCTAATAAATATTAACTATTTTTATTCTTATAAGTATATTAATTTAAATATTTAGTTTAATAAAAAGATTATAAAGTATTTTAATATCTTTTATTTTATTAAGCTTTTAAAGTATATTAAATAAATTTATTTTATAAATAATATTTATTAAGTTTAATCTTAATGTTTTTAAAGAATATACTTAAATAGCACTTTTATATCTTAATTAATAATAATTGCTAGCTGCTTAAGATAGCGATAGTTTAAGCAATTTATAATAAGTTAAAATTACATTTTATTAAATCCTTTTTAAATATTATAGCTAGCCTTAAAATAAATTACTTATTTCTTTATTAAATTATAAAGAAATAGGATATTACTTTATGTTTTTAAATTATTATTATAAATATAAAGGCTTGTAATATAAAGCTTTTTATATAGCTAATTATTATATTTAAATTGCTCGCTCCTAAGATTAAATTTAAATTTTAAAAACTTAATAAAGTAATAATATTGGAAAGCTTTTTAAATAATATTTAAAATTATAAAAGTATAATTCTTAACTTAGCTTAATAATAATATTTATTTACTTAAAACATTATTTATCTTTATTAGCTTATACCTATTTATAAAGATAGGTTAAATGTTTTCTATATTTTATAATATTTGCCTTTATAGCTTTAGTAATAGCAATTATAGCAATGCTTTTAAACATAGCTAACCTAAGCTCTTTTGTAATATAATTAATTATATATAGCTAATTAAACTTAAAATTAATTTTAATTATTAGTTTAATTAATTAATTAAGGCTAAATTTAAAATGCTAAATATAGTTAACTTTAGCTGCTACTAAATTAATACACTGCATGGCATTAATAATAAAATAAATAGCGATAATCCGCTTAATAAAAGCCATAACTAGGAAATTGCTAATAATAGCTTATCTTAAAAAACCGTTGCCTACTTGCCTTGCAAGCTTTATTTGCCATTAAACTATATTAATAAAATTAGCCTTATTAAGCTTATTATAATAAGTTTATAAACTTTATAAAGCAACTTAATATGCTTATATATTAATTACCTTTAATTAAGAAAATTTTAAATAAAGAGTTTTTTATAAATATAGCTATTAAGGCTTTTAATTATCCCTTTAAGGAAGCATTTTCTATTAATGATTATAATAATTACTTAAATATTACCTTCTTTAATATATTAGCATTATTACTATTTATTTATTATTATTGCATTAAACATTTTTATAATAATAATTTGTTAATAAATTATATTTACTTTATTTATTTTAAAAAGCCTTAACCCTAATAAAGATAAATATTAATGGCTTTTATAATTAAGGCATAAATTGCCAGCCTATTAAATAATTAAGGCTTAAATAGCGCGTTAAAAGATACTTTAAAGCAGTTAATAAAAAATTAAAAGGCCTTAATATCCCATTAAATATTATAAAGGGCGTAAAGGTAATTTAATTATTAGTAAGGATTAACTTAAAACTTAAAATAAGATTTAATTTTTACTTTTAAACTTATTTATATCTTTTTATTTAATTACTATTTAAATTATTATTAAATATTTATAATAATACTAGCTATAATTAAATAATAGCAAATAAATAATGGTTATAATAAAATTATCCCTTTTTATTAATTTATAAATGCATATCTTTATTATAATTATATAAACTTAAAATAAAAATTCATAAGTTATATAATTATATACTTATGCTATTATAATTCTTAAGAAAATATATTAATTATGAAATTATAGCAATTACTTTATTTACTTATAAAGTTTCCATAATTAAAAACTTAAAGGCTAATATACTTATTAGCATAAATATTATAAAATTAAAGGGTTTTAATATTATTAATTTAAAAGAATATATTAATATTAACTCTTACTATATTTAAATTCTTATAAAAATAAGAAATTATAGCCGCTTAATAAAAATTAAAGTATTTACTATACAATATATTATTATATTACTTAAATTAGCTATTTATCTTTTTATTAAATATTATCTATATACCAATAATATTTAAAACTTAATATTTACCCTTATATTAACTTAATTTAACGCTTATGCTTTTTTTATAAATATTTATTTAGCTTATATAATTATTAAGAATAAAATAAATAAGCTTATTATTATATTTAATAAAATATTTATAAAATACCTATATTCTTTAAACCTATAATGCTAAATTTATGCTATTAATAAAGATAACAAGGCTATATTTACAGCTTTTTATAAATCCTTAAATTCTTAATATTTAAAAATAATGCCGTTAAATAACTTTTAAATATATACCTTAATAAGCATTAATATATTTTTTAACCTAAACCTTATTAATTAAAATAAGCTTTTAAGTTTTTTTAATAAAAATATAGATATTTTTAAAGATAAAGGTTAGGTTAAAGCTTTATAAAATAAATAGCTAAAGATTTACTTTAAGTAAAACTAGTAAAATATAATTTTAAAAAAGTGCAAAGTTTACCTTATAATTTTAAAAAATGCTAAGGTTATTAATAAAACTTTAAATAAACTATAAGCTATTAAAAAAATTAAATAAATAACTTAATTTATTTCCTTTTTTTTTCTTTATATTTATTATTTAATAAATAATATTAAATAATACCTAAAAAGATTGCAAAGTAATTAATATTTAAGGATTAAACTATATATTAATTCTTAATGCATACCTTATAAAAAGCTAAGATTAAATTTTTTTAAAAATTATAAATATAAAATATATTATAGTTCTTAATATTATTGCTTTCTTTTATTAATAGTAAATCCATTTTAAATCTTAATAAATATTTATTATTATAATAGTTTATAAATAATTTATATTTAACTATATTATTATAGGATATTATAGCAACTTAGCCTATATATAATAATAAATAAATTAGCTTTTTAAAAATATATTTATTAAAGTATATACTAATAATATAATTATTACCATTAATGGCTTTTTATAAGATTATATTAACAATATTTATTTAATTTTTAATTAATTGCAATAAAAGAATATTTTAATAAGCTTAAAAAAATCCTATTTTATAATACTAATAATTATTATGCTTAGCCGTTATATTAACTCTTTTAGCCTTTTTATAATTAAAGAATGCTTAAAGGTTATTAAAGCCTTAAAGTTTTCCCGCTTATTAAAGGATTTAAAATATTTTATTAACCTTACAAGCTATATAAAATATAATGTTCTGCGTTTTGCAATAAAGATTAAGCCTTTTAAATAATAAAAAATAAATCTTTATTAATTAAATACTTTAATAAAATTAAAAGGTAAAATAGCTTAAAAGAATTAAATAAAATAAATTATATTTACCCTACTTAGCAATATAAAGAAAGCTGCCTTTAATACCATGAAATAAGATTTAATTAAGTTTATATTTATTATATACTTTAATTTAAAAAAGCATTTATTTATTAATTTCAATATATCTATATTTAAAATTAAAGTATAAGTTTATTATATAATAAACTTAGCTATAAGGAAACTTATAAAAAATAGCTATATTATTATATACTTACTATAAACTTTAATTAAAATAATTACATACCTTAGCTATACTTTATCCTTTATAAAACGCTAATATTAAGCTATGAAAATAAAACTTTTTAGCTATATATAAGTACTTAAAAAATATTAATACTAAATTAATATTATTAAGCATTATTTTATAATTTATATAAACTACTTAATAATTCTTACTCTTTTTAAATAACTTAATATTATTAACTTTATTATAACCTTAATAAATAATAAAAGATTAATTTATACCTTTAAATATATTAATGCTTTTAAAATTAATTTATTATATAAATTAAAAAGAAAATATATTATGCTAAATATATTATTATATATATTATTATTAAATATATTGCTATTAATTAAAGATAATAAATTAAATATTTTCTTAAATAATTAAGATAAATATTAATTATTTTTCTTAAAAATACGCTTAATAGCCTTTACAATACCTTTAGAATTAAATCTATAAAATGGAAATATATATATTAAAATATCTTTTAATTTTCATAAGCGCCTTTAAAATAGCTATTAAATAAACCCTTAATAAGCAAGAATTTTAAATATAATACAATAAAATAATGCTTTTTATAAGAATAAAGCCATCTTTTTATTTAAAATTTACTTTAGCCTTATTTAAAAAATATTAAATAAAAATAAAACTCCTTATCTTTATATTCCTTAATTATATATAATTAAAATCTTAAAACTTGCTTATATAGGCAGTTATTATAATTATGCTTAACTTAGCAAATTCCTTTAACCCTTTTATATTAAAAGATTATATTCCAAGCTATATAAATTTACCTATTACTACCTTAATTGCTAAGTTTTTAATATTAAAAGATATAAAGCTTATAAAAGCTTATAACCATTGCTTAGCCCACTATATCCATATTATTAAATTATAATAAACTTTATCCTTAAACTTTTCTTAATAAAGGGCTATAATTATATTCTCTTAATAATTTACAAATTCTTAAAGAATTTATTATTAATGCTTAAAAAATTAATATAAAAAGCTATGAAATAAGCCTTTTCTTTATTATAATACTTACTTTAAAGTAATTAAGGCTATTTAAAAATTATCCTTTTAAATTAAGACCCTAAATTCCTATTAAATATTTAATTATTAATATAAAAATTATTTAAAATAAAGCTGCTTTATATAACTATATATTATTTATAAATTAATAGTTAATTAAAAAAAATAATATAAATTATTAAATTTATGCTTTATTACTTTATTTATAGCCTTAATAATTTATAAAAATGGTTAAATACTTTATTATAAATATAATTTAAATATTATAATAGCAAATTTTAAGTAATTAAGACTTTCTTAAATAAAATTATTAAAGGCTTTATTTTAAATAATATCCTAAACATTATTATAAATTAAGTACCTTATTAATTGCTAAACCTTCCTTAAAGCTATATTTATATATATAATGCCTTAGCATTTATAATAATAATAATAAAAGCATACTTTAATAAATAATATTTTATAAAATTCTTTAAAGTTAAAGCATAGGTATTATTTTAATTATATAGAGAATATAAAATTTTATAAGATATTAGCTATAAATATAAATCATAATATATAGGCTCTTTTAAAGTTATAAAAAAAATTAACCGTTTTATATATCAACTTAACTTTCTACATATATAAAGGTTAAAGCATAATGTTATTTTTATTAACTACTTTAAACTATACTTTCTAAATTTATTTAATTAAGATATACCTTAAATTAAACCTATTTAAATTAAAAATTATGCAAAGCGCATAATTAATTAATAATACTTAAAACTAAAGGATATAAAATATTTTATTAAATACATTAAATTAAAACTTAAATTTTAAAAATAAATAACTTTATCGCAATTAAGACTTAATGCATAATTACTGCTTAATAAATTTACTTATAAATAATTATTTATTATAAACTTAATATAATAACTATTATTAATAATTACTATTAATAATTACCATTAATAATTATTATTAGTAATTGCTATAATAATTTATAATAATATTTACTTAAAAACTTTAAATAAAATAAAAATAAAATAAATATAGCATTACTTAAAGTATAATTTTAATTTTTTCTTAAGAATTATAAACTTCTTTCTTCCTTTTATTTTTTTATTTATCTTTATTTAATAAAAGATATATTTAAAATAATCTTATAATTTAAGCCTATTGCTAATGATAATAGCGAAAGGAAATAAAAGCAAAAAGCTATTTAAAAATAAACTTAAATAGCATAAATTTAAAATAAAGCATTAAGCCATAAATCTTTTTTAAAATTTAAAGCCTTAAATTAAAAATATTAATAATATTACATATTAAGATAATTAAATTAACTTAATAATTATTATAAAAAACTTATATATTATATTATAAATAATTCTTAATTTTAATAATATTAAAATTAATAAACTTAATAAAGCTATAAATCTTTTTACCTTTATTTACTTAATGTAAAAATAAAAATATAATAAAAAGCTTTTATAATTTATTAAAAAGTATAAAAAGAAGGAATATAAGTAATAAATATATATTTATAATAAATTATAAGATATTGCTAATAAAAAATTTAATTAATATCTTTTTTATATAAATATAAAAATAAATTAATTAATTAAAAAAGCCTTAATTTTATTATATTCTTTATAATATTTATTTAATATAATAAATTATAATATTTTTTCTTTTTAAGTTAAATTTTAATTTAAATTTAAAAAATCCATAAGTAAAAATAATTTTAATAAAAATATTAAAGCTATTAAATCTATATATAATAAAATTAAAGAAAACTTACTTAAAAAACTACCTTCCTTTAATAATTACCCCTTTAATAGCAATTTTAATATTTTTATTATATTATTTTAAATTAAAAAATATAGTTTATTAAAGAAAATTAAAAAAAATTTAATATAATGTTTATAGTAAGTTTATAATATAATTTAAAGAAAATAAAGTTTAATATATCCTTATAATTTATTATATTTTTAATTAATAATGCAATAACTTATTAATTTATATTACCTTTCTTACTTATAATAAAATATATTAATATTTATTTATATTTTTTATTAATAATACCCTTACTTTTAATAAAATAATAAAAATATAAGCAATATAAAATAAAAAATATTAAATTTATTATTAAAATTAATAAATAATAAGCTTAAATTATAAAATTATAATTAAAAAATATTAAATTAAAGATTTAATAAAACTTACTTTAAATATAACTTAATTTTAATATTATATATATTATTAGCTTAAAAAATTAATTAATTAAGAAAAATAAATAAATTAATATTTTAAAAAATAGCTATTATACTTTATTTATTAAAATAATTATAAATAAATTTAATGCTTTTCTTATTATTTAAGATATTATAAATATTATTATTAAATTACTTAATAATAAATATATTCTTAAGTTAAAACTTTTTATAAATAACTTTAAATTAAGTAAAAATATAAAAATAATTAATTATAAAAAATATAATAAATTATAAAATAAACTTTAAAATAACCTTAATACTTTAAAAAATAAAAATAAAAACTATAAAAAAAATAAAAATAATTTAAGTTTAATACTTTACTTAAAAAATAAAATATAAAATAATTAATTTATTAAATATACCTTTTAAAATTATTTATTAACTATAAGGGCGCCATTATTTTTTAAAGGGGATAAATTATAAGGAAGGAGCACTGCATAAACCCCTTATAGGTATTAATAGGTAATTCTTAGCCCCTTAGCCCTTCGACACAAACTTAGACAGAATCACAACCAGAAACCAAATACATCCCTCTTGTTACAGAACCCCCTGACACTCATGATAAGTCAGATATTTCTTTGCGTCCACTTTGAGTCATCCAAAACTATGGTATACTAGCGTAATTAACCAACGCATAGAAGCCTCCGGGTAGCCAGATTTTCAGTGACAATCGAGCAAACCCTTCTTACTTCATAGTCCAAGATTCATCCACTCCACCACTACATAAAGACAAGTTTCCCACGATAACAAGCGCAACACAACGACATGACAGCAGCAGTCATGAATAAGTCGGGACCTAGACCAGCTTCCAATACAGGTGCAATCAAGACGACTATCCTCATCTTATCTGATACGCACGGAATGGCTCTGGATGAGCACCTACCCTCCCCACGCGCAGATGTCGCTATCCACTGCGGCGATTTGACGGAAGAGTCCAAATTGGCTGAAATGCGAACAACTCTGGGACTCCGGAAGGAAATCGATGCACCTCTGAAACTCGTTATTGCCGGAAATCACGACTTCACTTTAGACATACCGTCCTTCAAACAGAAGGTCGAAGATGCACGGCCTCCTCTCGAGCCCGCGCTTGTGACAAAGGAGTACGGTGATTACGGTGAAGCAGAACGGCTCTTCTTAGAAGCACAAGAACACGGAATTCGACTTCTCCGGGAAGGCACTCATCGCTTCGTTCTGTCAAATGGTGCTGAATTGACGGTATATACAAGTCCCTATACACCGTCATTGGGCGATTGGGGCTTCCAATACAAGCCGGATCAGGGACATGCATACAACATTGAGAAGGGCACTGATATTGCCATTACGCATGGACCACCGCGAGGTGTCTTGGATCGAACCAACGGTCGCGAACGTGGAGGCTCCTCTGAGCTGTTCGCTGCCGTGGCTACATTGAGACCACGTATCCACTGCTTTGGCCACATTCACGAAAGCTGGGGCGCTAAGATGATAACTTGGAGAGAAGCACAGAGCCATCAGTCATCATATTTGACCGATATAGACAACGGCAAATCCGAAGTTCTCGAAATACTCAACACAATCCTACCGGGAAAGTACGACACGCCCGAAACTATAGCGCTCAAGGACGCGAAGCTCGTGAGGTACGGCAAGCAAAGACATTGCCACACGAGTCACTGCCATGACGACGGGTTTCCTCTGCAGGTCGAGAAGCAGACTTTGTTCGTGAATGCAGCGATCAAGGGTGGCGACGATGAGTTGCCAGTGCAGTTTCCGTGGCTTGTGACTTTAGAGCTGCCTAGACCAGAGGTCACAAAACAGATGGAAGCCATGCTCAACATTCATAATGGCATCAGAGGTGAGCGTAACTTCTGCGGAAAGTGAGCGAACGAGGAGAGTGAGCATCTTCCAAAGTTGGACGATGAAGAACTGGAGTGCGTTATAGGGGCGACGGAGTCTTGTCTGCCAGGATTCGGTTGATTGGCTATGATTGCAGTTTAAGGGGAGCAAGATGGCGCTGGTATTCTGCAGCTTTAACATTTATTCTTGATACATAGTTATCAAAGAAGAGATCTTTGGGCTCCTTCACCCCCTCACCTCCATGAGAACTGTCGATGCGGACCAAATATGGCCTTGATCGTTGAACCCATCCAGCTGTCATCCTGAGTGTCCTTGGGTATGCCATAGAATGTGTGAGGAGTAATGGTTGTGGGGGTGTTCAGATACGAGTTGCCACCGGAACTCTTGTTGAAGCCTCTGAACAGGAATCGTGGAATCGATCCGTCTCGATCTATAGATGCGTTATCTCGAGTAAAAAAAAGATTGGCACGATTGCTTTGGTTGCTCGCTTACTATGAAGGGTTGCCAACCACGAATGTGCCGTAGGTGATGGTTGTACCCCTGATCACAGCTGTACATTGTTGATGCCATTCTATTGTCTGGTCTGCCCGCCATGGAGTAAGGAATGGAAATTCTCACTTGGCTTCGCATGGCTATTAAATGTAGGTTTCGAGTGAAATTTCAAGGTATTTATCCCAACTGTTGCATGGAGCCTTGGACGTAATGCGACCAGATTATTGCCTTGCACACACAGCACGATAGGTTTCGTCATGCCGCCATTTTGAGTCGTTCATATGAAGTTAATCCATGTCAGAAACAAGCTCACAAAGATAAAGGATCGTAATAGTGTGCATGGAATGACACTTTCTTCAAAGGGATCGTCCAAAATTCGTGCGAGTACATGGTTTTGCTAGTCTGTCTGCCTAAAAATGTGCCATCTTGCCAAGGCAGAATCTTTTGACAACTTTCCCGTCGGTGCAGTCTGCTCGATAATCATTTCGGATAGCCTCAGCCACCATGTCAAGGACTGTTGGACAATTAAACAACAAGACACCATTGTTACCATGTTTTGTCCCCAGATGACCTCTTGTCTCACGTCGATTTGATTGCACGTGTCTTTCCACGCCTAGCTGGCTCAGGTGGGAACAGGGATTCGTAAAGCTTCAATGAGGCAGCCTTGGCGATGATCTCGTAGGTGATGTAGTTGAGGCCAGTGATAGCCTTAAGCGCCTGTAAAAGCAGATTTTAGTCACACTGGGAGCTCTACACATAGCAAGGAAAGCCATTGTGATCTTACAGTCTTTATGTCTTCGTAGCTGTCACCCTTCGCCGTCATTTCCTTCAGCTTGTCCTCGGTGTAGAGATTCCACTTCTGAAGCCTGGCTCCAGGAAGCTTCTGAATGTCCACCTTCTTCAAGCCCTCGCGCTCCAGCTTCTTCTTGACATCTGTACAGCTGTTTCCCTCAACTGTGACACTGTACTCGGTGTCGCGCAGCTTCGCAAGAATTTTAGCGTTCTGGTTCTGGCACTTTTTGGCGTTGAAAATGATTTTGACGTCTGAGCAGAGGTGGTTCATGCAGCGAAAGCCAGGGGACTGGACCAAGGGATCATGGATAACGGCACGGTATGGTCGGACGTCGGGACAGAACGAGACCACCTTCACTAAAACATGCCAAGTCAGCAACCAAGGCATAGACCAGTGGGGTCCAAACTGGGAAAGAATGAAGTGGTACGACCTCTGCTGATCACCTGGCACCAGAGCTACCGCATGGTGCTGGTCCGAATTGGGCGCAAGAAGGGAGACACACCGCGAGTGTAGCAGCACTCGTGACTGGGATATGGAAGCATTATGAGGAGCGGACTTACTCTTGGGGTCCGGAATGGTGAAACGTTGACCATCGGTGTGGCTCACGTAGTCACGCTGGCCCGTCTCCTTCTTGCAGTTCTGACAAAGGTAATGAATGATGACACACATCTTGTCCGGAGATGTTTGCAGCTCGTTAGACGTCCGTACATGCGAGACACGCGTGCTTCAGGACACGATGTTGTTCTTTGGTAGTAGTTTGCAAGGCTCGGACTGCAATGCAGGTGGGGCCATGGATTGACAGCGCGTTTGGGTTCAAGGCTTTTGATACTTCAGGGTCAACAGACATGTCTCCCGGCAACAAGCACAACCAGGCCTTCGCTAAACTAACAGCATGGGTGCCATAAGAGTGGGATCTCAAAATATGCTACCCACAGAAGAGAATAGATATAAAGTTTATTTGAAAATGAAGGAGGTTTTAACAAGAAGCATCATGTCTTCAGGGCAGCTTGTCATGGGAGACCTTGCCATTCCTACTACCCTGAAATCAGATCAATAATGTCCAATTTTACCAAACAAGTAGTGAGCCTGTGGCTATTTGATTCAATATTCTGTCACTACATATTTATTTTGAGATTTATGTCCTTACCAATTACAGAACATAGAAATACACTTTAGCATGCGAGTCAGCCTTTTATTTTCGGTGCCCCTTCAACCCCGGCCGGTGTTCTGAGTCCGGCACAGACTGTCGTCCACACATTGCATTCTTCACGGGTCCGAGTACAGGAATTATTAGCATGCAAGTAAATATAAAGATCTTAATATCTTGCATAAGCCTTAGAAGCCCATCGAAGACATCCATCTGGAAGGGTGCTCCAATTCCAAGACACAAGTCAAAACAGCTAGGTTGAATTCAGGAAGGGGGCATACAGGTACGCAAGGGATCGATACAAATCAACATACACCTCTAAGTCCTTGGTAGACCTGATGCCCAATAACTTTTATTCTTTCATTCACCATGGACCTTGTTCTTCCCAGTGACCAGCCACAGGGAACCGGAATAACTTTGATCGAGCACATGGCTACTGATTCAGTGGTTGTCAAGTACGTAGCTGTCTCTCATATCGATAACACATGGCGCCAACCAGAGACACAAACTACATCAGACCCTTCCCCACGACGCACTGAGTTCTTCAACCCCGCAAACAAACCTTCGCAGCCTGCTGCACTTCACTCCCAAGCCAACTCACATTTCCTTCCCAAACCACCTCAGTTTGCCAATTGCAAAGTTGGTGATCTGTCGACTGGTCCCTTCATGCCGACACCAACCCCGTCAATGATGCCTAAGGACAAGCACGTCGCCACAGGCAAGCCGACCGCGGCGATGTCCACCTCTTATTCTAGGGCCCATGGCCAGTCTGGTATGGATGACATTCGTCCTCGCAACGCGTTTGTGATCATAAGGCTAACATGCAACAATGGTGAAGATCCTGAGCGCGGTCCCACCAACACCCCTTCCACCCCTCACAAAGATGGTGTTGGAACTGCAGGGCAGCAGGCTCCCACCTCTCAGGCGCAGTCAACTGCGAATGCTTCTCAGGACAATCGCCAGCCTTTGATCGATGAAGCTATCACCGATGCTCTCGGGGGTGCTTCCACCTCAGCCATCTATTCGCTCAAGAAATCCTCGAGTGCCAAATCAAAGGGAGGAGCTGGTGGTGGCCCCAGCCGCAAGCGTGATCACGAAACCATGACTAATGCATCCCGACTTGCCAACGACTCTGGTGGAGGCAGCGCCGCACCACCGTCCAGCAAGAACCCAGCTCATGATGGAAACAACTCTGTTCAAGCCAACAAGTTCCAGCGAATCCTGCCGGGCCCTGCACAGCTTGGACCTGCTGGCCGGGAGCAGGGCTATTACGTCGTGAATGACCCGGCAAACTCTCGGCCCAGTCAAGCAGTCTCCGGTAGCCAGGCTGCTCGTGGAGCGAATCAAACTCCCATAGAAAGCCTACCGGTGATCCCTTTCTTGTCGGGTCAGGTTCTTGCCTGGCTGCCGACCTCTTTGCGGGTTGCAGCAAGCAGCGCCCGAACCTACGTCCAAACGATGGTTTATCACAACGAGACGTGGCCCGGAGCGAAATCTGGAGACCCGTTGCAAACGCAATTTGTGATCATGAAGGACGAGTCCGTGTTGCAGGATTGGGACACTTTCTTGCGGGCATTGCTCGAGGTTGCGAATGCTGCACGCGAAGGTCGGCTGCTTGACAACAGGCCTATCCTTCACAATAAGCTCACTGATGATCTGAATATACGAATTCCGGACCCTGATCGGCCTCATGGCGACAAACAGTTCATGCACGAACAGACTGTTGTTCCAGCGAACACGCAGCCCGGCCAGATCGACGCTTCGTCCACAATCATCATGGGGATGAACCCAATGTCTCCGGGACCAGGACAGGTGGGAGACCTGTCTGGAGACATCGAAACAGTCATGCGCATTTCTTCCCGTAACGAGAGTATTCGACAGAATCAGAATCTTCAGCTGCACAATCTTCTTGCCAGCCAGGGCCAAGCACATGCCCAGGGCTTTCACGCCATCCAAGATGCTTATCGCAGAGCTGATGAAGCTCGAGAGTGGGAGTGTGACCTCATTGCCAACTTGATCAAAAAGAGATCGGAGCTACGGGACAAGGAGGAGGGCTAGGTCATTGAACGCAATCAGGTAACATTGGTGCGTTACCGATGGATCATGTTGCGAAAAGTAAGGGATCACATCAAAATGGTATCCCGAATAAAGCGCTCAGACGGAAAGGTGTCCCTCAGACATCACGGAAATCATCACAGGCTATGAAGTCGGATTGACATGGCGGCTTGCAATTCCGGAGGACTACCGTTCTCGTGCATTGGTCAGCCTGCAGAGCTGCGCATGATTCATGACGGCTCCCACATCCGGATTGGGCAGTTGTCAGCCTTAGTCTTCCCTTGCAGCCGGGACGAAAGCCAGCATTTCTGGAGTCGACATCCGGGAAGCCTCCTCCTCATTCTTTTGTTCATTTTCTGTTGTACCCATACCAGATGCATGCCCCATACGGGCGTTCCTCTCTCTTCACCCGTTACATTAATGCCACTCTTGCTCATATGTTTAGACACCAACGGCCCCAAATGCACCTCCGGATTGCCACCAAGGAAAATAAAGCATCCATCAGATCAGCAGACAGCAGGATGAAACTCTATCAAGGGGTACAGGCGCAGCTAGTAAGGAAGGGACCGCAGGACCAAAAGATAGAGAGTCACTAGGCTGGCCTCAGGGCAGGTGAAGATGACTCTAAAATTTGAAATGAAGAGAAAGATCACGGACCTAATGCCCGAGACACAATCAGATTTGCTGTTGAGCCAGCCCACGATTCATGCCATCAACAATTCTTGGACGCCCACGTTGGACCCACAAGGATGGCCCTTCAGTCTGTGTGCCTGCATTTGATCCCCAGCTCAGAACCCCGGACCCCTCCCAAGTGAATGGATTGAAGGTGGACCCCACCTTGGTGACCACATCTTGGGCTGCCATAGTGAATTCAAACCTCTGCTGGGCTACTTGATGCTGCATCCTCGAGAGGTTGCTTTTGTCGAACCCTTCTTTTGTCATCCCACAGCCACGGCTTTCCTCTCGAGCCAATCCATTCAAACCACTGCGGCATCAAGGACCATCAACCCACATTACTACTCAACTTGTGCTCCCCAGCATCTTGCGCCTAAATCAGTGACAATGGATACTTCGTGAGTTCTTCAACAAGCAGGACCTCCTGCCCATCCACATCTGCGCCGTTTCCTGAAAGCTGACAACACGCAGGGCGGTCATTCAGCTCAGCTGTCAGGCAGCTGAGAGTGTGCTTCGCTTTCGGGCTGTGGGCTTTACGAGACGGTGAGCCATGCAATGGTCTCTTCGTCGCCGTGTCATAACATGTACTGAGGGGTGAAAAGGCCTGTGATCGACCTGCAGTCCTTCAGAGCTGCGATCGCAGCACAGATTGAGAAGGTCGCAAAGGACCACCGACACCGTTTCGAGATCCCCCTCTCAGAGGTCGTGACATACGCGGGAGTTGGTGCCGCACGTGCCGCCCAGCAATGGAACGACATTTCTCACAAGGAGTAAGCAGCCCCTATTTCGACAGTGGATGAAAATGGGGTTGACGTCGTTGCAGGAACCATGTCGTGACCGAATGGTTCAGAAACTGTGTCTGCAACCTCGTCAGCGGAGTCGTCAACGACATCGGACAGATGGCCTTCGAGGACCAGGGCATGAATGCGTGCATGTATCTCGAGCCGGACGAATACGACCCTTTCGACGTGCCCAGCTACACTAGAGCAGCGCCCGTTAGCAAGTCCTCGATTTACATTCGCAGCGGTGTAGACGACTACTACGGCTTCCCGCAGGTTGAAACTCAGAAGACCGACGACTCTTCAGCTGCCCGCAACGCGCACTTGGCTACCTCCAACTCGTCATGGACGACCTTTGAGCCGCCCCGTCCTTTCCGACATGAGGTCGAGAAAGGCTATAAAGCTCTCGATGAACTGGCGGCATCCCAGGAAGACACCTCGGCCCGCGCCGACTTCATCCAGAAGACCAAACGCCTCCGCAATGTTTCGGACCCCGTCCACGCTGATTCCCAAGACATGCTTCTCAAGCGACCCACCAAGCGAGCCCGCCAGGATCCATCCCCCTCGCGCCCGTCACCACTGTCAGCGGGTCCCGCAGGCTCGGCGAGCGATTCCGTGAACAAGGTCCAGAAGAACTTTCGCTGGACGGATGATGAGATCAACATACTGGTCACCTCTAGGGACTTCGGCCGGAGCTGGAGCGAGGTCGTCAATGTGAGCATCACCGAAGAGAACTTGGCAGATCACAATCAAGCCACATGAAATTCGAGCACTAGCTGACCCAGTCAATTTCTCTGCTCGCAGATGCTTCCCCGCCACACGTGGATGTCTTGTCAGACGAAATACCGCATGGTCAAAAACAAGGAGGGCGGCAAGTCGGATGGCCGGCCTCCAGTCGATGCTCCCGCTGTCCGCAAGCAGGGACAGAGTGACAAGGCCCAGGTGGTTCAGGGAGGCATGGAGGCCGGTCGTAGCGTCGAGGACAAGGATGAGACGACTACGAGCCGCAACGGACTGCAGGCAGTGGGCATGGACATCGACGATCACGGCAATCAGGGTGGGAAGAAGTCAATGGTTGCCGCAAGCAGAAATGCTGCTGAGCCAGAGCAGGATGTTGGTGGAGACCCCGCGGAGGAACCGACCACCGAAAACATGGAGTAGGCGACTCGTCCGGACTGATGCCGTGGCATCACGCTGGCATTTCAAGCTACGACGAAGTGTCCGACTTCCATCCCCTAGACTGTCAGTTTCATTGGACTCATTGGTTGCTGTCCGTTCACGTATTCTGTTTCCGTGGCAGAATTTGGTAAGTTGCAGTCTCTGCGTCCTCTCTCCCGAGTCGAGGAAGCCATCGAGAGAGATGCCACGCCCCCGCGGGAGAAATTAGCCGTTGGTTATGGCTTCCCTTGAGGAGACAACAAGTGTTAGCTTAGCTGCTCCCATAATGCCCATTGTACGATTATTAAAAACGGTGTTGACTCCTGGGGCTCGATGACTAAAAAGAAAACCTAATCATATTTCCAGACGCTTCTCGAACAATACGTGGGAGGAATAGGCTGCCTTTCGAGACGAGACGGTCAACTCATCAGGTCTCCTTGAAAACTCGACGTCCTCATAAGGGACTGGCAAAGTGGTTCCAGGTGTCAAGTACTCCCTCCTCAAGGACTGAGCGACTCGATCGATCAGAGACTTCAATACACATGGATTGGACGACTCGGCCTATCGGAGACTCCAATGCTCAAGGACCGGACGACGCGACCTATCGGGGCCTCGTATAAATAGGACGGAAAGTACAAAGAGGAACACAAAACAGTTCCAGACACAATATCTGCCCCCGGTGATGGGGTCTGGTATTATTATAATCCGATCCGATGCCTGCCGGGCCGACTTCGCACTATTTAAAGGCTGGGACTCTTCTCAGAAGCTTGGAACTTCATTCTTTTCCCATCCTCCCGACACTACTTCAAGGGCACAGAGGTCCCCCAGCGCAGCCCCAAGGGTACAGAGGTCCCGTAAGTGATCCAATCGTGCAAACAGGTTCATTTCACTAAAAATGGTTTCATACAGCAGGCTATGAATTCACAAGTCCCCTGGTGTTGGTTTGTGCAAGGCTAATACCTGGCACAAGGGCGGACACCCTCTGTGTCCAAACACCGTGCTCGAGTCCATGGGCAGCCTGGCACCATGGCACACAACAGGCCTTGGTGCCATGACAGCCATCGTGGACACCCGGGGTCTCAGACGACAACCCCGACCCCGGTGGGATGTGGCCTCACCCCGGGTCAGACCAGCAAACCCCTTTGCTTGGGAGCTGGCTCTGAGAAAGTGATCTGCTGAGATCAACGACGCTCCTTACACTAGCGCAGTGATTCTTTTGATCAAACTGCAACCTCTCCTGCCAGCTTGCTCGTTCAGAAGCCAACAAAGATTGAGCACTCACCATTGTCACCATCCTCCATAAGTCAAACCAACAATGGCGGCGAAAAAGATCTTCAGCGAGGAGGAGCTCTACGAGCTCTTTGCTCACGAGTACCCGGTTGCTCCGCTGCTCACAGAGGATGAGGCGGAGATGTATGGCTTGTCTGAAGCGCAGACCCAATGGGTCACCCAGCGGGCTGCTGCCCAGGAGCCCATCATCCACCAACCCGCCGTCCACCAGCAGCCAGTCCCCCAGCAGCAGGCCGTCCTCCAACCGCTTGTCATTCAGCAGCCCGTTGTTCAGCAAGCCGTCGTTCAGCAGCCCATCGTGCAGCAGCCCATCATTCAGCAGCCGGCCTTCCAGCAGCCGGCCGTCCAGCAACCTGCTCCTCACCGATCGTGCCCCGTCCAAAGCTGCACTTCTCTGACAGGAAATACCAGAATGGACCACCTCTACGACCACCTGGCCGAGGTTCATGGATATGAACGTGCACCGAACGAGTATAGCATCCTGCACCACCACCTAAAGAGAAAGACCCTATCCACACTCAAGGGCCTCTTCATTCGAGACATCCGCAAGCTCGCCTGGGACCAGGCCCGCCTCAAGGCAGTTGAGGAGGCCATCCGCCAACGTGACAACTCCTACGTCAGTTGTCACGGCCTTGGGCTCGCCATGCAACATTCCATCCCGCAGGCGAACGCAAGCAAGAAGCAGGGGCTCATCACCCTGCTCACCAACGTCCGCAACGAGATCAACCAGCTGGGCAGTCTCCACAACCACCCAGGCCAGGCCCAGAGCACCTGGGACGAGGTCTACGAGAACCTGGTGTCCACTTTCCAGCTCAACGGAAATGCTCAGAAGGCGGTTGTCACGCGGGCTTCGCAGTACTTCAGCAACACGCGGGCTTCCATGGGCGATGACATGAACGTAAACGTCACCCCTGCCCGAGTCGTGCTTACCGACGAGCTCGTGCTGAAGCCAGGTGCTTCTCTGCCCCCGAAGTAGACTAGGCGGTGGATGGAATCAGCTGGAGTTGATATTGAGCGGAGGCAAGGACCCTGGAGAGAACGGAATGAGGAATTGAGAGTGAAGACATTTGTGTCGAACGAGGATGGAGGTCTGGAAGACGAACCGGTCAAATAATAGGACACAAACGTGTCCGTACCAACGTGGCCAGCATCAATCAATCCCAAGGCTTCTCATAATAACCGTAAAGTCGCGAGCACAGTGAATCCCAACCGTGAAGTGTCAACTCTATTTCGCATGAACACCGATTCGATTGCCCCATGCTAGCAATAAGTGAAGGTCGAAAAGTTTACTTTCGCTGAGTAGTCCTCTTGCTCAGCCTCCAATCAGCACACTGACTAGGTATTCCCCTCAATTCTCCCACGACAATGCCTTCGCCATGCGAGGATACATCCAGTGATGCGCCTCCCTGCGCGTCACATTCCGACTAGCCAAGCGCTGCTCGGTAACCAGGAACGACCGCGGGAACCACTCTGGCACGCCCGCAGCCTCCTGACCACCAGCCTTGCCGCTCGCAATCATCTGGCTGAGTGGCCGCCCGCAGAGCCACGCGAAACACATGCCCTCTCCATCGAACGCCGCCGAAACCCACTCACCGACAGCCGACGCGTTCTTGACGGGCCGCGCCGCGGCAGATTGAGGGAGCAGCCCCACGAACGGCCGCGAGTCCCTCGAGCCGCCCTCGATGCCCACCCAGACGCGCTTGGTGCGGCCAGGGTAAACACTGGGGCCCGCCGCGGCCTGGGGGAAGCCGGTCCTCTCCGCGCCCCAATTCCCATACCCGAAGTAGCTGGGCAGCGCGCCGTTGAGGTACGACGCCGTGACGTGACTGGGCGGCCCGCTGTCGCTCCAGAGCAGTCGAGTTGCCCCCTGGGCCGCCCTCGCCCTCGCCGCCCGCGCCGCCGCCGAACATGTACTCGCCGTTGCGCGGCATCTGCACGACGTAGTCCAGCCCGTTGCGGAACAAGGACCACGCGCGGCCGCCGGGGAGTCTGCCGTTGCCCGTGTACGAGGGTCACGCGCCCGCCTTGGGGAGGCCGCTCCCGCCAAGCTGGGCGCTCATGTGCAGGAGGCCGCCGCTGGTGGCGCCCTGCAGCCCTGGGACGAAGTGTGGGGTCCAGGCGTTGGTTGCGTAGACGACGTGCTTGGTCTGGATCCTGCCGCGGGTCGTGAGCACCTCGTAGTTGGAAGAGGACGACGGACCGGTGAGTGAGGACACGTTCAGAGCGGCGGTGTTGGTGTCCAGGGAGAAGCTTGGGTATGTTTCCAGGAGCGACTTCAAGGAGTGGGTTATGAATCGGTAGGGCCAGATAGCGCCCGCCATCTTTGCTGTGCCGGTCATGATTCCTGTGACCTCGGGGATGAGAGATATCTGCAGCCTTTCTTAGCCTTTGCAGCCCAATGTTCACGCATGATACTCACGTTGCGAGCCTCTTCTCTCTCGAAAACAGCCCAGTCTTTAGCAATGTCGGGGACCTCCTTCTTCAAGACCTCCATCTGCTGGACGGCCGTCTTCCACTGCGCATCGTCAAAGAAGGCATCCATGCTGTCCACAACGCGCGCCTCGGCAGCGAGCCGCCCGTCTTCAGGAAGGGAATTGGCGGCCGAGATGAGAGCCTCAACATGGGCAGAGCGCAGTCTTGTGATCTTGGCCGCCTCTTCTTGCGTCACAGCCTCCTTGGCACCGGCGTACTCGGAGTAGGAGGATGGCCTATATGTCCACCATTCCGGCCAGTGGAGCCGGAACAGCCCTGCCGGGCCTCGAGCATGGCTATCCGAAGCGGCGTGGTCCTGTTGGCCTCCTTGATCAGATGCCATGCAATACTGGTGCCCGAGATGCCGGAGCCAATGATGACGATGTCGGCATCGGTGGGTAACTGGGCGGACTGGTGGTCTGCCACGCCCTCCAAAGGCGGCAGCTGCCAGTAAGAGATGTTTGGGTTGGCATTGGGCAGACCCGGGTCCTGGGCCAGCACAACAGACGCGAAAATAAGAAGTTCAGACAACCGCTTCATCGTTATTGTAAAGCTGAAGTTCGTCTCTGGTGTCTCGTGTACAAAAGAATGTCTTGTTTAGGATGACCCCATGGCTTGGGATCCATTGTGAAGCAGGAGACCCAAGAGGTATTTATCTTCGACCAGTCGACCAACGATGAAGGCTCAAGCGCATACACGATTCCCGGAGATATTTGCGTACGCATTGATCCCAGAATACCTGACCCTTGAGCTGAGATCTCGCAGAGTCGGCAAACACGAGGCGACATCATGCCTCCGCGATGCATATGCAAGCATCGATGTGCTTCTGCGGCCCGAGTCACAACAGCTATTGACAGGATGCCTCCTGAGCCCAGCTGTGATTATCAATATGATTCCATAACGGTTCGAGAGCCGTGGCTGAGCGGGGTTGATAGGCAGAAGCAGACAAGCAAATAATCCTCATTTGGGATAGCCAATGTGGCTTTTCCGTGCGTACGCGGGTGAACGTTTGGCCTCAACTCAGCAGATAGGTGAGAGTAATCTCCCGCGTTTTCAAGGTCTTATCCGCGTATAACTTCCACGAAGAGAAGGTCCTGCCGTACGGAGACTCTATCTGAGTTGTGGTCACCTCTTTTAATAACGACAGGCCGCATACAATGCGTCATAACGAGAAGGGCTGTGCGGGACTCCTGATGACCAAGCCTGGGCTTGTCCAATCAAGGGCTTTGGCGCGGACAGCTTTGCTGCCCGCCCGATGCAACCGGCCCTGCGCTGCTCTGAGAAGCTAAATGGTGCCAAGAGCCTGGGGTCTTGCGGACTGCATCATCTTGCGAGACATTTTCCACTTCGAGTTACAGGGTTTGCATTCCCTTCTTTAGTGCCACGAGGAGCGCAATACTACATTCTTGTGTAGTTGAGCAAGCTGTAGAAAAAGTGGATCATTATTCCAATGAGATTCAGCGAGAATAGACCATCAAAGCCCTCAAGAAACAGACACAAAATGGTGCAATTCTCTAGTGCTTCGTCTCATGACCGTTTCGATTACTGGTGTAGATTTTAGACAGAGCCAAACAACCGCGGACCCAGATCGCCTGTTGGAATATTTGCATTCATCTTGCCGTGACCGTACCCCTGCCACTCCGAGTGGCGCGGCTGCGCTTGTTTCTCGGCGCTGATCGTTGTGAGTTTGGGACTTTCTTTGCGGGTATATTCCAGGGCAAACTTACTATCGTGCTCATCGTCACCGTCTCGACGACAGGCCGGCTTGCGCTGAGTATAATGTCAGCACAACCTTACTTCAAACTTGGGAAGACTTACACTAACCTTGGAGGCTAAGGGAGGCTGGGGGAGAGGCTTCGCGGGAACTTGACACTTTGTTGGATTAGTAGACACAAAAAGGTGCGTTCAATGCGCATATGATACGTACAAATTGCCGAAGAAACTTGTCGCCGTACCGGGCAACGTCAAAGTTCTCGTCGGTCTCACTGTATGAGGTCAGTCCGGTCCAAGTGCACACACGATTCGGACCCAGTACGTACGCGAGGTGCTCCAGCCACTGGGCAATCTGGACTATGAGGGTGCTAGGAGGATTTCTGTCAAGGCGTCAGCTCAAGCCCAGTGCATGCCTCGTAGGACATCAACATGTACCCTGGCTCACGCAGAAAGACCGCATCCCTCCAGCCACCATCCAAGACAAACTTATACAAAGCACTAATCGATTGTTAAGACAAAGGTTCAAAAAGCTTCTAGAGAATCAGCTTGCCGTTCGGATTGGTAGATGGCCTGTGGATCATGTGGGCCGGGGTTCGGGCCACGGTAAGGAACGACTATCTCCACCTATCAACACCTAAAACACCCAAGCCTTTGGGACTTCACATACTCTGGGCAGGGTGCTGGGTGAACATATGTCGGTTCATCTGATATGAGGTCAGCTGTGGCCGAGAACATGATTTGCGCCGGTTGACAACTAACAGCTGTGGACACCGCGCAGACAGCACCGCAAAGTGTGCCGGTGTCATCGTCAAGGAGGCATCTGATCCAAGTCAGTCTAGTCCGAGCCCAGCCATGCGGTGAATACCCACACTCCCCCGGTGATTGGCGAGATGACAAAGGGTTGACTTAGGCCAAGGGTTTGGACAAGATCTATCCTATATCAGCTCACACTCGGCCTAGTCGGTGTGCGAGTGCACTTACTGGCCGTAGCTGCGTTGGTGGTCGGCTTTTTAGTTCCAGCTGGGCTGAAATCAGTCTGGTATCACTTCCAACTAAGCAGATCGCTCCTACCGGGCAAGGAAAAGGCAGGGTTGGCTCGCGGCCAAGTTCCTAGTCGGGGTCAGCATGAGGACAGTAAGAGAGGATTTACATCTTGCCTCCCATAATGCCGAACACGGGGTGTGTCTGACGGTCCTGAACTAAAGTTAATATGTATCTCGTCAAGGGCGAGCTAGAATGAGATCCATACCGCGGTGGTGAGTCTCATAACCCATTGGGCAGGTCGTGGGTTAAAGTCGGCCATAACTTGATTGTTCTTGAGTACTCTTTTATCAGAGTTCGAACTCAGTGCAAACACGATTTGGAATCAAAAACAAGGAATTACGTAATCATCAAGCATTCATGAGAAATTTTATTGGAGAAAGTGGATTGGAGCAACGAGGTTGGAGAGTAACATCTTTATATAAATTTTCACTAATCACACTATCTTGTTAAATCATTTCCCATTGGTCCGAACAATGCATTAGTGCTTCATACCCCTTGCGCATATGTTTCACTTCTATAACAGGGTAGTGGCCAGCGTTTACGCTCTATCACGCGCTAAGGAACTTTGCCAGAAGTCAAGATTCTGGCTTTGTGATACGAGGTGACGCATCGATATCAATACGGGGCACAGGAACAATATTAAGTCTAGCAATAAGTCCCATTCTGACTGGAAAGCCCCTGCTGACTGCCTTTGTCTATGTATAAACTCCAAAGTCAATGGTCTCCATGGCTTGAGACAGAATTATCGCCCACCAGGCTAGGGAAAGTGTAGTTCTCAGATGCAGTATCCCCAACCATGAGTTCAAGCGAGGCTGCCCACCCCCATCTGCTGAAAGTGATACGTCGAAAGACATGGATAGACGTCGTGCAGTAGTGAAAGAAGTCGAAACGGCCATCCGGTATTTATACAGTGGTAAGGAGCCCGACCGCATATCCCATGGCAGCACAAACAGGAGGAGCCGACCAAAGGTCATGATGAGTGCCGTCGCCATCTTAAATCCCATAAACGTTCTCGCAATCAAGAGAGTGAAAAGAACAGTCTTGGTGGAACCGGGCCTAGGTATGGACGGCTTCGTCGAGGCAACTTTGTTGCATAGACTGGTGCCGCCCATCGTCATGGGCTTTCCAGGCATCGCAGCCGGACGCGGCAAAAACTCCAGCTTCCGACATGGCCTCTTCGACGAAAGCATGGAAACAGTTTGAGATGGTACCTGCGAGTAGAGAGATAGTAACAGCCAGTCGTTATGAGCGTCCAGATCTTGCGCTCACTGGGCGGCATGAAGTTGCTGCACGCGCACGTGTACCAGTCCGAGGCGACTTCTAAGCGTATACGGCCGGCGCGGCTGGTACGCCTCGCTGTGGGCCAATTCCCACGTCGGCGCTTTCAATTGTCTACGACAAGGCGCACGTGCATTCGGAGGAGGTACGGACGGCGAGCGTGGCGCAGTAGAGGACCCAGAATCACTCTGCGTGGCTCAGGGCGTGCTGGCCGATCAAGGGCATCTGGGGCGCTGTGGTGGCGTATGCAAGCGGGGACCAGGGGCTGCGTGGGAGTGGGAATTGGAATTTGAAGAGGGAAAAATAAATAGTATGAAACACTTCTGAGCGCTTCCATAGATGTCCATTCAAGCGTGGAGTCTCTCGCCCGTGAGCTAGACGTGATGGGTGTGCTGTTGCCAGGGCGAGGCCAGGACAGTAGATACTGTGGCGAGTTGGGTAACCAGGCAATCAGAGCTTGAGTTGTGGCCATCCAAGGTGGAGTGAGAGGAAATACCAATTGCCTGTAGTTCAGGTTACAACTGAGAGCTGGATTGGTTTGTCGCTGGAGGGTTGAGTGAACGCCACCATTCTCTATACCGCAGGTACCGTATCACACCGGTCGAGGTGCTGTGCATCCTTGTCCAGACCACCTTAGGTCAACGTCTTCTTGCAAATGTTGCAGTGAATAAGCGGGGCCTGGAAAGCAGCAAGCAAATGCGTGCCGTGCCCCTGCCCTATCCAGGGTAAGTAAACTTTCAGTGGCCAGCTGCCATCAACCTGTCTGGCAAAATCCTTTCCGACTTTGAGTTCCACCTTCCTTCTGCCTGAGCTTGGCATCCACCCTCAACCTTGACTTGCACGGCTTGGCCAATCAGAAAGCATTTTCCTCTCGTGACCAGCAAACTGACATCGACCTCAACATTCATCATCGTCGACAAAGCTTTGCCAACATGCACTTCCTGCTGTTGGCGCTCGCGGCTGTGATGGCCTCTGTGTCAGCCATCACCGTCAAGCTTCCGCTCTACTCACGTGCAACGGAGCCCACTGTCCAGGGAAGTACCAGATTCCGCCTGCCTGTCTCTGCCAGACAGTCCGATATCGACGGTGTCAATGTGCCTGTCACGGACTGGTTCAGTCGGTCGGACAACCAGGTAAGTCAACGATGAGAGCTCTTTACTGCGGAATAAGTCGACTGATTTGATCACCCAGTGGTACACGACTTTCTCTATCGGCACGCCGCCTGAGGAGTTGTACGTTCGTCCTATTCTGACGGGAAAGCCACGCCCGCTGTTTTCAGAAAAGCTAACAATAGGTGACGCCAGAACTGCCTCGTTTGACACCGGCTCTTCTCGGTTCATCCTGCCGCGGGTCAACTGCACCACTGGCACGTGCGCCAACCTGACTCTCTTCGATCCCGACAAATCCAGCACATTCTCACCACTTCCCGGCACAGACGAACAGTCCACCTTCGCCACGGGTTCCGACTCAGTCCCGCTGCCCCGGCCAGAGGTGGTGACCTGCAGATCCGTGCATGACACGGTCTCTCTCGCATGGGGTCAGCTGAAGGTCGAAAACCAGGGCTTCGCCTTGTGCGACACGTACACCGGGGCCATGGGCGAATCGAAAATCTCGGGAATCATGGGTATGGGGATATATGACCCATCGGCCAACGACACTCCGTGGTATTGGAATCTCGTCGAGGATGGGCAGCTTGAATCCCATTTATTCTCCTTCTACATCCCACCTGCCGAACTCGTTGGCAAACTCGACGGCGGCCAGGTCACCCTCGGCGGAATGGATATGTCCAAGGTCGACGGCGACATCCACTGGACCAACCTTAGCGTCGACGCTACCCCCGATGTCTACACATACGTCCTCGACCAGTCCGCCATCTACGCCGATGGCAAGATCCTTGACCCAAGCGTGCCCAACGCCAACTTGCCCAACGCGACCGCCTTCGGCTACGCCTTTCTGGACACGGGCACCGCCTTCATGCAGACGCCTGACTTTGACACCGCCAAGGCCATATACGCCCAGATCTCCCCAAACATCACCCAGATAGACCCGGCAGGGGCCTGGGGCGCCCCGTGCGGCCAATTAGACAGCATCGCACCCGACCTGACGTTCACGCTGGGGAACCAAACCGAGGCGTTGAACCTCACCATCCCGAAGAAGTACTTCAACCTCGGCGAGTACCCAGGCCTGCCTGGGATTTGCCAGGCCGTCTTCAACAACCCCACGGATGGCAGCGAGACGTCTCTGGATGATGCTCCACTATGGATCGCTGGTTCGCCGCTGCTCGATAAGTACTACACTGTGTGGGACGGAGTTGACTTGCGTATCGGCTGGGGCAAGCTGTCGGGCCTGCCCGGCTTTAATGGCAGTGACTCCACCTGATGGCCTCGAGGTTTTAGTATCATGGGCTATTCGTGGTTTGTGCTTGAATGGTGGCACAACTTGTTTGCATCCGGCTGATGGGGTTTACCTAGCCAATTAGGACAAGATGGCTGGCATGGCTTGGCTGGGGAAAACAGGTAACGGCCTTCATGCGGGGATCGTCACTAGTCGAAAGGTAAAAGATAGAGAAGTCAAATACAACTCTGCCTTTGAGACATCTTTCATCCATGATTCTTGTACATGATTTCAGTGGTTCTGCCATTTCCTGGCCTCTGAATCTGCAATGTGTGGCTTCAAGTCATCATAAAGTGTCCAGTGAAAGCACAAAACAGGAACAAGCTGGTTGCTGCTCATAGGTATTTCAAAACAATATCTTGCATGTGGGATGCCTCCTGTTTTCCTACTTTTCCCAAATGACAGACATGGCGAGGATCTCCCTCTGCCCCTGCTTGGAGGATTCCACCAGGTCAGTTTACTCGTTTGTGGCTCAGAGGCTTGCCATGAGTGACTTGTGATATCTATGGACACATACCTAGAGTCATTTCACTTCGTGATGAAAACAAACAACAAGGACCACGGAGTCTAGTTAAAGCTATATTTCACCACGAGTTGCCTGTGAATTTGGAGCGACCAAATACGGGCGATTGATGCAACCAGCCAATTTTGTGAGGCAGGAATGACAGTACTCACTGCTGCCATTCCCAGGGTAGGGGCCTATGATAGCGTCACTCTTGTTTGTCCTCAACTTCACTTGCCAGCATCAGATGATCGTTTCCCACCATCGACTCCAAAATATAAAACCTCAGGATCAAACCCATCTGTGTTTCAAATCTTAAACACCTCAACATCATCTTCAAGAATCTGCGAGCTGTTGACTTTGCACTCCTCTAAATAAACTCCAGTCCAACTCAGTACCCATCTACCACCTCTTTGTTCCCTTGCCGACTACTCCAGTTGAATCAACCACCCTTCTCCTGCAACAGATCATCGAGTTCTCCAAATCTTCAAAAGGTGTGTAAATCGTCACTTCCTGTCGATCTTGAAAAGTCCAGAAATTCTAACTCTCTTTTGGGCATTGGTTGCAGACACTCGATATAATGGTCAACCAAGCTATACATCTGCTCAAGCAGTCCGGTGACATATCGGTCCGCCTAGCCAACGACAGCCTTCGAATCCCCGGATTCAAGCAACTCGAGGGATGTCAAACTACAGTGGACATGGATGCAGACCCCGAGGTCTTCATCATGTTGGAGCCCATCCAGATCATGGGAAGAAAGATCACCCTCACAAACGACATGCGAAAGAGCGCGCGACGGCTCCGATCCGTCTTCACTGCCAGCACATCGTTCTTCCAATGGCGCCTCCCAAACGGCGAGAGGATGCTCCGTGAGAACGGGATCGAAAACATTCCCAGCCAAATCTTCGACGAGATCAGGACTTCCCTCGCCCAGTCCGATCCGCACTTCCTGAAGTTCCCGGCGGTGGCTATCAAGAGATGCCTTCTTCTGTTTACAAAGAGCTTCTTGCCCCAGACGAAGTGGGCTGCCCCCGGCAAGGGCAACACAACTGCGATGGATTTTGCCCGTGAGGCTTAGGTAGCCGTCAAGCGATTCCAAGAAATGTTGTCCCAGGTTGCGCCCCCTTTGGAGCCTAGTCCTGCGCCTGGAAAGCCAAGCTCATCCGACTCCCCAGAATCAAGCAGCTCCATGGTTGCCGAACCACCGACTAGCCCCCGCCAAGAGGCCTCGCCATCGCCTGTGATCGACGGGACTCATGGTCCGTCGTCCTCGGTTCCTCAAATCCACTCTGAAGGCAGGGCTGCTCCCGCTGCTCCACCCATCCCCGTACCCTCGGCAATCTCTCGAGAAGGCCGTGGCAGAGGCCGGGGAGCGACTGAGTCCCAGGGTGGTGGCAGAGCCAGCAGCGGTCGGGGAGGAAAGAAGGCTGGACCAAGTCGCGATGACATCCCCACTCCAACGATGGAAGGCGAGCCCACTATAAGTGACAAGCATACCGCTGCGTTGGGCTTGATCCAGCTCAGCTGCGCCTCGTCATCTCGCCCAGCTGGAGACGCACCAGTCAGCGCAACGGCGACGGTCTCCCAGTCGCACAAGCCCGTGCAGCAACCTGAGGCCTCGGTAAAGCACATTGATGTCTCCGGGCCATCATCAAAGGATGTTCGCAAGTCTTCCAGGAGGAAGGCGAAGGCCTCATACCTGGCGCCGCTGGACAAACCCACCAGTGTCGATGACAGCCGAGATCCCTCCCCGTTGAGTCTGGCGGAGGCGGCCGGAGCCAGCCAGGGATCAGTCCCCTCCGCAAGTTTTGCTTCAATGAGAGATCCCAACCTAGAATTGGCAACGACCCTGGGCAAACATCCAAGAGCTCAGCCCGATCTCGTTGAGCAGAGTCACCTTCGCCCCACAACCTTCCGAAAGCACCATCACGGGGTGTCCCACGATGCACCTGAAAGTAGAAGCGAGGCGATGGAGCGAATGGAAGGCTACCTGGCTGGTGTAAAGGCGATAATGGATAAGCAGGCCGAACAACATCGAGTGGTCGCAACATCCGAAGAGATCCTCGCCATGCGGGTCAACTTTCTCCGAGAGCGTGTGCGGAACTTCGAGGAGGAGAAGACGGCAATGCTCGACATGCAGCGCCGACAGCTCCGTCCGGGATTGGTCACGCTGAAGATGACCCCGCGAGTTCAGGATCGCGTGAACCAGCTGTTCGGCTCAGACGGCAAGGGCGCTGGATCCGGCACTGGAGCCCCTGCAGCTCAAGCCCAGGATGCAAGGAGCATTTCAGACCTCCCGACTGCACCCCAGCCAAAGAGTCAAAACACCATCGGGGCTGATGGCACTGTGCCGCCAATGGGTTTCTTCAAACGCCCCACAGGTCGCCAGGAGTCAAACACGTCCAGCAACATGACTTTGGTTCCCTCCTCGGAGCCGGAGAAAGACGGCGATTCCAGCGACGAGGAGCCAGATTACGACGATGACGACAGCAAGGAAGATCCGGATTATGAGGATGAATCCAGCGACGAAAGGTCGGATGGGCCTACCGAATCGTCGTGGGCGGCTACTATCCCACCGTAGAATGACGGTCAAGGGCGGAAGGGACATTGGAGATCACGCTTGTCCCGATAATTCATGAGTGGGCATCAGGACTCATTATGAGAAAAAGAAGCCCTGAGAATTGTTCAGGAAGACGAATGAGGACGAATGTGTGTCAAGAAAGGGGCTGACATAGACAGATGACGTATTTTCATATTCTCTTTCGAGTGGAAAGATCAGGTATACTTGCGAAGAAGGAAAGAAGCCGGGAAGGGGGAACGGCTTTTCGTCGAGATAGTACCATTAGATTCGCTACAGGAATGGTTGTAGAATCCCGTCAGGCTTTGGCATTGGGGCCCAGAATTACTTTAGTGTCGTCCCCAGAACGTGTACGTATGGAGTGGCCGGTGACGTATTCCGGGGGTTCCTGCGAGCCGAAGACCATTGGATCGCCTCCAGGGCCTTACGTAGTGGACCAGCAAGGCAGTAGGTGGCCCAAGGTGCGTTTTCGTCACAGCATCGAATACAGGATTGTACCTACTTCGAATATGCTGAAGCACCTTGGTCATCGGCACACGAGGATGGGCACTAGGCGGCGGAACATAGTTGGCTCCGGATGAGGGCAAATTCTCCAATCGCACATGTAATTTTGAAGATATGTATGTATTCATCCAGCAGGCTACCTGCGTAATTCCATTTTCAAAGTATCGTGTCCTGGTTTCGTAGCATAATCTGGATGCTTATGACTGTCCCCATCCCGCGTCACCGAAAAGATCTTCCATCTGTTCCAGGGCTCTACACCGGGACCGTAAGCCACTCAATCCTCGTACAGGCCCTTAAAACGAAAGCCCAGACCGAAGTCCACTGGAGATCCCCCGTTTTGCCTGACATACCACAGCCCCTACACTGGTAGATCTTAGTAATCTGTGGGACGCTGGAGTAGAGCTGGCGGTGGCTTCGTCTAGGTCGAGACACAGGACAGCGAAGGAGCCCAGCATTGATTTCTTTTATTCGCGGCTCGCGCAAAGGCCATCCCTTTACCCCGTCCAATTACTGAACACACGCAGATTCTTTCTTCCGCCAGGCATTTTCATTGGAGACTGGTGGGAGCCGGTGGCATCCATAGAATATCTATGTGGAAGTCGGCGTGAGGATAACGTGGGTCAGGTTCTGTGGTCTCGATAGATACTCTTTGTAAGAGCATGAATACATATCGAGCGTTCCGCCGGTATTGCTTGTGAAAGTCGGCAGTAATTCTATCGCGCTGGGGAGAGAACCATACGGAGGTAAATCAAAAATACCTGCTTGTCTCAATGTCAGCATACCCAAACATTCCTGAACTATCGTTTCGGGAGAGAAGACAATGACTAGATGAGGAAGACTTTGCTCTAGCGGATCATTGCACGGAAGGCTGGACGGTCTCGAGGCAGCCTCGGTGGCATCTGGCATGCCCTCCACCAGCGGCCCGGCCATACCTTTCTCAATGCCCCGTCGTCTTCGAGGCCAGCGGTCTGGTACTAGTATGTAACTGCTCTTTCAGGCCGAGAATCGAACCTTCAATCAGCACAGCCCGGAGCTGGATCTTCCAGGGATAGACTCACCAGGAACCTAAAATGGGAGCTTGTACTGTTCCTGCCGTTATTGGTGCTTGAGAACATGATCAAAAAGCTGTCCGGTGATAGGGCTGACAATGAACCCCAACGGAACCCGTCAAACGACCCAGCTAGCTTCATATGACGTCACAGTGTATTTGCGAGTCGACGAGGATAACTACTGCCCTGCACATTCGTAATTCCCTCGTCCCCTAATGACTTCGTCCCATCTCTGTGGAAACAGATCGAAAGCCATGGACAAGCTGCACAATTATATAGGGCCGTCTTTTGTGCGCGCGGGGTACACCAGGAACTTCTATTATCCGGATCTGCTTTGCCTACTCAACAGTCAACAGCAAAATAACAGAAGCTGTTTCCTTCAGTCACCAACCTGCGACCCTCTCCACCCTCTCTCTACCCATTCTCTCAACCAGTCTTCTCAACCAGTCTTCTGAACACTCTCAAAAAGGAATTTGTATCAAAGACTGTCATCATGGTAAGTACATCCTGCACTTGCCACAATTATTCCCAGGCTTCGCAAGGCTTGTTCCCCACAGTCGCCCCTTGCCAAAGACCTCTTCACACTTGAGCCAATCCCACAATCTGTATTGACGACAGTGAGAAGAAGACAGCAACGCGCCACATCTCGCCTCTTCTTCGCACAAACAGGACCCAAGAAGACAGCTGCAAGCACTGTAACTGAGGTAAGATCCCTCAACCACAGAAGGCATCAACTCCGATGCCCTTTCTAACTGCCTTCACACAGTTGCCTGCAGGACCGTTCACTCAGTCGTACATGCCTAGATTGGCTTCCTGTCCAGTACTGGTACAGGCTTCAAAGGCATCGAGTCTTGACAAAGAAGAGTGGCTCTTCCCTTTGCCATCAGACAAGGTATGGTGGTGAAGACAACATGTGAGTTTACAGTCAACAGCCCCTTTGCCCCAAGGAATGTACTCAACCCGAATCGATGCGATGCTGACTATGCCAATCAGGCTGGTCTATACAATGGCCTCGACGATTCTTCACGCGCCTGTGTGACCAATTCCTTGACGGGTGAGCACAGTTTCCTGCCAAGATCGGATCTCTCCTTGCTTGCACAATCGCTCCCAAGTCCTAACTCCCACAATCAAGGTCAGTTCAGCCCTCCTGTATGAAATTACAAAGGGTTGCACTTTCCCTACCCCGCAATGTTTACCCCGCTGACAAGCAAAGGTACAGGCGCCAATTTCGCAAGACAAGCCTGTTGTGTGGCCAATCGTGGTAGCCTCCATTCTCCAGCTCCGATACAATTCGAATTACACCAACGACTTACACCGGCCTGAAGCAAGCCACAGCCACCGCAAGGCTATAGTGCCCCACCAAAGCCACAACCCACCTTTCAAATTACGGTCTTGACTTCTATGGCACTGCAATGCCTGCCACTTGGCGATCAGAGGATCGCCTAAGCGGCCATAGGGCTGCAACACCAGGGACGGCGTCCCCGTGACCAGAGGATCACGCATGCCGGTGCCGGCCTCCTGTCCCGGCCTGTACAACAGTGTACACTGCACAATGTACAATAATGTACAACATCGTACATCTTCGCTGGGCTCAACGAGCGGCCAGAGGGCCGCTCTCACCTCTCACCTCTCGAGATCCCCGCATGGGCCTGTTCGATGCTGCCACTCCACTCCAGAAGCGTAAGCGGAACCAGAGGGTTGCTTGCCTCTCTGTTGCAAAGCAGACTGGTGAGGAGCCTGTAACCCGGCCTAGAGAGGCCTGCGACAGCAGGACACCTCGACAGCATTTTACGGTGGGGTCCCCGTGTGGAAAGGAAAGCCATGTTGTTGAGCTCGGTTGGCCGCGGCCTCTTCCCGGCACTGGCAAGACCTTTACGCCAGATCAGGCCTTCTCAAGATCACCTCGACATTTGAACTCCTGGCGGTGCCGTCCTCCACCGTCATCTTTACTGCCCGCACCCAGCCACTCTTGGCGGTGCCGCCACCCACCGTCACTGAGGTAGTGGTCACTGCCAGCCAGGCACACCGCGCCTTAGACTGGCGAAGGTCCAGCAGTGAGGGTGGTCGGCTCATAGGAGCCACCTCACCGACGACGGGCTGTGCTGGTATGGGCCAAGCCCCCATGAACCAGTTCACTGATCCGAACGACACAACCGTCTTCGTCGGCGGCCTGTCGGGCTACGTGACCGAGGACGAGCTGCGTTCTTTCTTCCAGGGATTCGGCGAGATAACTTACGACAACCCTGGCGGCGGCGGCCTGCAGCCCCACGCGACTGGCTGCGGCCTCGCCCAGCTCGTCCACCACCATGCCGGCGCCATGGGGATCAACCAGATGCAGGGATATCCTACCGCGGCTCCCGGCGCTCGTTCGCGCAGGCAATCGGTGGGATGGCGGATCTACTGCGACAAGTGGATCCATGACGGATCTTGCGCCTTCACCCAGCAGGGCTGCAAGTACAAGCACGAGATGCCGCACGACCGCGAGACCCAGGAGGAGCCCCGGTCTCTTCCACGGATATCGGGAGTGGCGAAAGAAGAAGGAGATCAAGCAACAGAGGTTGCTCGCCATCGACGACCGTCCTGCGGCCCTCGACGCAGGCCCTGGCCACGTTGGTGATGCTGTTGTCCAGGCCAGCCCTACCTCTGCGACCCGGGCCACCGGAGGCAGCGGCAGCGCCGACCATGCCGCCTCCTCAGTCACACGGGAAGGGCTGTGGCTTTGTCCAGTTCGTCCACCGCCATGCTGGCGCCACGGCCAGCAATCAGATGCAGGGATATCCTAGTGCGGTGGCCCGGTTTGCGCCCTTCTTAGGGCCAGAGGGCCCTGGGCCGGGCACTGGTGGTGAGGTTGGGAGAGGTGTACTTTGGGTTTTGGAGACGAGGGTGTGTACAACAGATCTTGGATAACAGTCATCAAAAGAAGACCTTCTCAGCAGAACCGTTTGCGTCATTAACGGCGATTGCTTTTGTGTGTTTCACTCCCTTGTGTGCTGAACATGAACATTCATCAGACCCGGGGAAGTTCCTATACGCAGCTGCATCATTGACTCTCATGTCGGTCGCGGACCCGTGCCACCCCGTGACAAGCACTCGTGAAGCGGTGTTTTTGTTTTGCTTCTCGCTGACTTTCGCAAAAGCGTGACTGACATGTTCCTGAAAGACATCCAGACTTCAGTATAGCTCTTCCTGGAGAAACGGCCAAAGCTTCGAACAAATACTCGCCCGAAGATGCAGCCACACAGCTAAATGAGAACCTACAGAGCTCCAGAGACCAAGTCCTCCCGAGCCTAGAAGACCAAATTAGCCCAGACAATCAGCGCATTGATGCTCCCAGAAGTAGAACCACATATGAAAGAGCACGGCCAAAACGCAAGAACCGATTCCTGGTGGTTTGGGGACGGTTCGGTAGTCATGTGGCCAGGTATTCTGAGGGTCGAACGTGTTCCTCCTGCACTTCATCCCCCAACACAGCCTACAACAGCTTCGCCCACATGTCTTCGTAACTCATTCCTTACTATCTTTCATGACTCGCTGGTTTTACACCACGATGATCTTATTTAATCAGGCAGAGGAGGACTTGATACTGATGGAGATCGGGGTTTGAGGACGGAGCACCGTCTGCTACTGAGAAAGGACAGTAGTATCGGTCTGGGGGACACGACAAAGCAGGATTTGTGCTCCTGGATGACAACAGGACAGGCTATACATTTTCTGCAGACCTCTGGGGTACCGGATTGCTATCTTGTCCAGAGTCATGCTGGAAGTCACTTTATTGCGACAGCAACATCCACTCGCAACACACAGCTGCATGGTATTAGCGGTCTATCAGCAAGAGATGGTTGAGGTGTTAGGTTCTATCGTTAATTCCAGCTGAATGGTAGTAGACCCAGGAAGCCGAGGGCTTCTGGGGCATGAGCACATTCTACAGGTGTTTTGAGCAAGGATTCCTATCGCTTCGGCTTGCTGAAGACGGGCATTGTAGAATTGGGTGCCTACAAAGCAATGTCTCACGATTCACACTGATTTAATTAGCCATGTCACACAGGCTTTTGACAAGAAATGATGTAGACATGACATCTAGATTCAGGATACTTGAAAGAGAAGTCTTGCGGCTGCAGAACCTGCTGAGAGCATGGGAGGACAGCCTCAGGGCCTACCAAACATGGTCAATCGGGCATCAACGCCATAAGCTTGTTGATCATTCAGTGATTCAGGTTGGACCATAGCGTATGTCCAGGGATAGCTCAACTGGGGATGGCTCAGTAGCAATGTCTTCAATAGTCATCCTAAGTGGACTGTCCTCGAGTGGACCGGAATGTCCGAAATCGATATCCCAGGTCCACAGCAAATCAATATTTGGCGAGAACCTCATGCTGCACTCTGGAAGCTCGCTTTTCATACGGCCTTCCGTGCGACAACGTCCGATCTCCTACTGGCAACCCCGTCGGATCTGCTTGAGCAGTCACTGTGTTGAACGCCGCTGATTGGCTATATCAAGAGCGATTGTCTCTGTGTCTTTTATTGTGATAGCCGTAGTCGTGGGCCAAAAAAGTATTTAAGGGCTGCCTGTCAACCAAGTTTCCATCCACCTTTCCTAACAATCTTCCTACTTCACACACAAGCACAAAACACAACATTACCAACAGCTCAGAGGAGACCGACTTCCGTTAAGACATTATCATTCTAAGCATAGAACCCTTTGATGCATGATGGACGACTGAGGCCGTTGGGCTTGCATGCTTTCCCCAACACAGTCGAGTACCCAATCGCCCCTTGCCACAAATACAGAAACTGTCTCTTGTACGCCCAAAAGGTCAAAGGATGTTGGTGTCATTTCAGAAAATACCCTCAAGGAGGTCAAGGGTAAGTGGTCAGCCGCAGCTGTGCTCTTCATCACTGAAGCTAACGATACTTTCTTCTAAGTCCACGACTGGGCTTTAGTGAGACAGGTCAAGGTCGACAACACAGCGCACTCGGCCCACAACGAATTCAAACACACCAGACAAACCAAACACCTAGAGGTGATCGACTGGGGAGCTAGACTTGGGCATCAGAGGATGCCCATGGGTGAGACGCGGTGCCGGCCTGGCCAGATTCCAGCTGCCCGACCTGGGGCTCTGGGAAGGCGACCCGACGCTGTCAGAGTACTGGGGTCCGAACGGCATCACGTCGTTGGCGCTTTTCCAGCACCACGAGGATCACATCGGTCAAAACAGTGTCGACAAGGAGGATGGGTTTGACCGGAGTGGTGTCCGCGGCATTCCCCAGGGCAAGTCAGAGGTATGCAAAGAAGGGTCAAAGACAACCAGCACACGTGAAGATTACTGATACATTTTACAGGACCTGCTCGAGGAGACGCACATTCCGAGGTTATAATGAAGCTCAAAGGTGTCGCCGAAGCCATCATGCAGTTCTAGGGGCCCGTAAAGATGTTTGACGACTCGAAGGTCCTGCACTACTGGCTACCAGCACCAGGGGAACAGACGATAGGCTTGCGTGGAATAACAGGAATCATTCTGAATCCCGAAATGATGCGTGCCGCTTTAAACTCAAGTCCGGGCCTGAAGGTCCAGAGGGACCTTTTGCAAATGATGAGTCCAAGTTGGAGAAGATGGCCTGGTTGTACGACGACACAACTTGGTTCGACATGCTCCCAAGTCCCCGTGCGCCATCCAACACCAAACGGAAACCAACTACCAGTCCAGAGAACGAGTCCGAAGAGCAAGACAATATTCACGACGCGTCGGACGAAGGGAAAGACGATCTTTGCGGAACACCGATAGAAGTCAAAACACCTGAGCAAACTCCTGCCCAGGTGGACCAGTATGGTGATCCTCCAGAGTCGCCTGAAGAGTTTCGGATGGGATGCGTCAAGGAGAACGGAATCACTGGTTTCATGGTCAAAGTCGCAGTGAATTGAAGCTCGTCTACGGCCGAGATCACTGCCGTGGTGAAACGCTCACAATAAATGAGGACCCCGTGACGGCCATGTTTGTAGAACCGCCGACTGGAACTAGGATTAAAGGATTCTTCTACCGCAACGCCTGCTGGGTGGTTCGAACTTTCGGCGAACACGTCCGGAAGCCATGATCAATCCAATCATCCAGTACCCCATCGACGACCGCCTGTCTATTTTGACAGATCGAGAAGCAGCCTAAGGCCCCGGATCCAGCCAACTCAGTCCGGCCAGAAGATGAGCTGATAGTAATGGAAGCCATCAACCACCATCCTCCACCTTCACAGCAGACGAGACATTTATAGCGTCGCTGAAACTAATGGAAGGCCTGACCACAGACTGGGTCCCTAAGACCTCTTGCCACAAAAGCCGTGTGTATGATGTCCGCCTCCTGGGTGCTGAGAGATGAAATGTGTGCGCACACCAAAACTCGGCACAGGGCATTCTGGCCAAATAAGGTGCAGTGTTCTATTTCACAGAGAATCACCTACACAATTGTGCTGCCATCTGATGAGGCTTGCACTAGAATCATACGATGTGAAAGCTCAGCACAGTATTTCAGTAGTTGCAACGTTTGAAGGGTTCTAAGTATCACGAAAGGAACAGACATAAGAACCAACGACTGGCGTGTTCGTATAAAGCAGATCATGTACATTTGAGATCATGAGTATTTACACGTGAAGGTATAAAAAGGGAGAGGCTCCACATGTAGCCGAGACTCCCGCCATAATTCATCCAAGCCGACATCGCTTCCTGCTCCGCGGCAGCAAACCCATTTCAACCGCCCAGCCAGCCAGCCAGCCAGCATCCAGTTTATTTGTGGACGCCGTTTCCGTTGCAGAACGGAATGGGGTACTCGGTGCCGTTGCAAAGCATGATCGGGCCCTTGACCCAGGTCATCTCGCTGTAGGTCTGGCTGGAGTACGAGTCCGCGGTGAAGGGCTCGAGCTTGGGCGAGTCGGAGCACCCGGTGACGAGGTTGCCCGTGACGCGGCGCACGTAGGGCTGGCTCACGACGACGCCGTGCTGGCCCGCCGGCACCCAGAAGGAGAAGGTCTGGGAGTTCTCTGTTGTCCAAGTTGTGGAGACGGTGATGGACAGGGACACTGTCAGGATCTCGGGGATGACTGTGTATGAGGAACTCTCTGTGACCTATTTGTAGGGGGTTAGCCGGCACGTCTTGACAACGCGAGGGATATGGATCATGGCAACGTACGGAGACGGAGTTGGAGATACTGTAGCCCTTGGACACAGCAATGATGGCCATGCTCGAGCCGGTGTTGGAGATGACCGGTGACATGGCGACATCCCAGTTGTTGAAGTTGGTGTCCGTGAGGACCTGGACCTCGGTGGTGTCCTCACACCTCCTCTCAAGGGCACCAACATCCGACGGAGCGGTCGGAGGGCTGTGCTTGGACCTCTTGTTCAGCATCTCCCTCTTTGACTTCTGGATGCCATATTCGTAATCCTTCATAATCGAGTATGAGCCATCGTCGTTGGGAACAATGACGTCGTCGGGGGAAAGGATCTTTGGCGGCGCCAGAGCCTGGGCAGCGCCCAGGAGGGACAGGAGGGCGAAAGGCTTGATGTACATGTTGAAGAATGGATGTTCCTGTTGCAGGCAGAGCTGACTGGTTGGAGGCGGAAAGTATCAGGGGGCTCCCGGCCGGAAAAAAAGCTTCTTGGGAGCGGTTGCTTTGGATGAAAATGAGAGACGAAAGAGCACACAGGCTACACACGAGAAAAGAATGGAAGGTATCCGAAAATGGAAGTTAGCTCATGAAACAGATTATTTGACATCCGATCTCAGCCCTGGAGGGCTGAACCAAGAGTATTTAAGCTTGTGGCCGCGAGCGACGCTTGAGCCGGTGTGCTCCAAGAGACCGGTTCGATCACGCGCATGACGGGCCTGGTAGAGATCTAAATTCGGAGATGAGGTGGGCTACTGTACACGGCAAGCCTTGCTTCTCCGCCGCTGCGGTGCGGGTCCGAGTCATGACCTTGCGTGCTGGACGGCGGTGCAGTGGAAGCCCTCCTGTTTCAGACGGTGGGATTCCCGGCCGTCTGGGGAAACATGGACCAGGTGTGGATACGATAAGATGACATGGATCGAGCAGCTGGAGACCACGGCCTCTTGGCCAGCACCTTGGAATATAGAGCTTGACTCGCCCGTGGGTGATCTTGTAAACACCGGCACCACTGAAATGCTTGCACTTGGTCGGCGCAGCTCGCGCATGACTATTTTAAACGTTAAGCTTAGGAACTCCCAAGAATGTGTTTGAACACCTCCGGTTCATTTGCCTCTCGGTTCGTCCCGAACTGCGCCGCTGATAGGCCGCATCCAGGGCCAACATCATGCGAGGAGCTGTGCCTGTCAGGTGCATCGTGGTTTTGCGCGCTGATCGTCGGCCTCGTGGAGTTGTTTGACAGCTCTCCGAAGGCAGCTTCACCCTGCAGCCGTGCTACCCGCCGTGCTTGTTTGTTTAGGCAAAGATGAACGAATCTTCACAGCATCGTGACCTGCTATAGCTCACCCATGGCTTGTTGGGGTTATGTCATTGTGGTGCCAAGGCAACTGTGGCACACCACGAACTCGCCCGAGATGGGGTCGACATACCCAAGCTGCACTCGAGGCTTTTCGAGTGGCGCCTCTGGAAATAAAACACTCCCAGAATTTCCCTAAGTCTCACCAGATAATAGCACTGGCATCAGCCATTGCAGCCATAATTGAGGGACAGCCAGGACTGCTCAATGCAGCAGGAGCTCGCGTGGCTCGGAAGCACATGGTCCATGACTGGCGCAGGGAATCCAAGCATCATGTGCTAGGTGAACGACTCGTATGGCCGGGGGCTGATCCCTGGCGCGATAAACAAGCCGACAAAGGGCTTCCCTGAGTACCTTGATGATGCGCTGCCCATCTTGCCCAATTCATGGAGATAGACCGAGTCAGGGTTGAGCGGTCACTGGTTGAGAACCCTGCTCATCCGTCATTCCGGACCTCACTGAGCTGGACGGGAAGTTCTGGACTTTCGAGCTCCTCATGCCCAACGACTGTTCCCTGTTTCTTATCAGCGAAGCTCAAATATGCACGATAATTGAGCATGACTTGCCCATGTTCACAATTCGGACGAGGCAAAAGAAGTAGCCTTCTATGTCAATCAATGCTTCAGCAGGCAACAAATATGACGTGCTCTGGATGAATGTCTGTCAGTGGCGCTGAGAGCTGAGTATGCCCCGACGGAGACCGGTCTTTGGGATGAGACTACAATGGTATCTATTGATTCAGATTTTGGCGAAGCGATGCTCCTGAAGCAGTAGCCATTGCTCAGTGCAGTGTGGTTTCTATGTCCGTAGCAGCCGGCCATTAGCAAAAGTACAGGCGTGACCCGTCGTGGTATCATGTTTGACTGCTGGCGCCGTAGAAGAGGCAGGCGAAGCGAAAAGCAGGAGTCACCCACAGCCGATTGGTTTCTCTATTCCGAGAAGACAAATACATGCCTGATGCCTCACCAATTAGCACAGAATAATGCCTTGGCCAACATACCTGGTGCATCATCACAACCTTTCGCGCAGGTGTTGAGGTCCAGAAGATTTCATCATACCAACAGGCTCATCTAGTGCGCTGGTCGATGTGCCTGCACAGCCGGTGGAAGACTTCGAGAGGCTCGGTCGGCAGCTTTGTTGAGGTGTTCCTCGACTCGCCCAAATGTATATCCAGCTCTTGATATTCATCCCCAGAACGAACTTCTCAAGACGCCACACTATGCCCAACATCCTTTTCCGCCCAATATGCACTTGCGTGTGCCGGTATTTCCCTTGTTCCGTCTGACAACCTCGATTAGACTCTTAGAGGATCTATCGTAGCTGGTACCGGTGAGTGTCTGTAGGTTATGCAGCCACCTGTACGAGGGTTCGGCGCTGCGATGCATTGTTGCGTTGAGGAACGTTGAGATGGTCTATCCCTAAAGCTGGGAACGCGAGTAAAGGTCAATCAGTCGCGCTACAGCACATGTTAGTTGGGCACTAATCGGCCGGATAAAGGGAAAGGGAATAAATTAAAAGATACTTAGCCTTGAGCAGGTAATTCAGATAAATGCCCACGCATGTAGATGGCAGGTCACGTGGTAGGCACATGCTCGAAAACCTTCCTTGTCGTCCCGTTCGGCCGTGGGATTATCATGGCAACGGTACATCGTGCCACGGATGGCAGCTGCACCCGTGTGCAGCTCTGCTTGATTATTGGTCCCCTCCCACCCCTACAGTTCTTTTATCGACGACCCGTCGATTGGGTTGCTTGTGGTCAAGGGCCGTACGGCACTCGAGCTCATTTGCAGCTGACGGATTTCATCAACGCACCTACTTCAGGCCTGTTGGATGTATCTTCCGTTCTTCTAAAGTCGGGGTCTTTGGCGTCGGGTCGCCATTCCGGTTGCGCATAATGTTCTCTTCTCTCCTCTTGCTTTTATCCTCCTCATGCTTGTATCCTCCCCTTGCTTGTATCCTCCTCTTCCGTGTGTCCTCCTCTTGCTTGTATCCTCCTCTTGCTTAGATCCTCCTCTTGCTCGTGTCCCCCTAATTCCAGAGGTCTCTTCCCGCCCAGTCTTCATGCCCCAATCGTCCCATTATCACCGCGGTATAGGTTTGGCCTGTCGCTCTTCTCGATGGCAGTTCGGCTCCTCGATAGGAATGGCTCGCTATATTGTATGAGAGCTTGAATTGAGAGAGAAGCCTAGACATTGTGGTTAGCACAAATATACAGAAACATATGCCTTTCGCCAATGTCTGCGGCCGCATGCACAGTCAAACTGGCTCCATGCGCGTCAAGCATGCATTGGCGAGCCACGCCTAGGACGGGCTGTAGCCATCTTCGCGCTTCGCTTGGCAGTTCGTCCCGGTGGCTTGCTCGCAGTATCGAGAAGTCTGTAACCACCTGTTGAACGTGCAGATCGATGAGATCATCCCGCTCACCATGGGAACATGACGTGGTCCCGTGCCAGAAACGTTGTGCCCATCCTGAAGTGTATCGCGGAGCTTGATACAGCGAGCTTCTCGGCCAATTTCCTGGACAGGTCGATGAACAGCGCGGTGTCAGCTGCCATCTCGAGTAGAATAGTCTCGTCGGACGAGCCTTTTCCATTTTTTTGCCCAGGCAGAGCCCGATTCATTTCGCATTTCGGTGCGCAAATAGTGGACCGAGACTCAGGTCGGCGGCAACTGTGCTTCAACAACGGTAGACGTGATGCCTCAATCGTATTTCTGACTGAATGGGGCCCCGACGAGTCTGCTTTGCGTGGCATTGCACAAGAGGCATTGCACAACGGACCTGGATCGATATCAGCTTCTCCCACCCAGCTTCGGCCGATATATTTTTGACTTACCGGAACTCGGGACTGAAATGGATTGGCAATCTGGATTTGTGTCGTAAGTGATGCGTGGGTAGGCACGCATGTATTACTTTTGCATGGAAGTGGCTGCCGGACCGCGTTCAGAGACTTGATGTTGACCTGAATTGAGCCATGGTGGGCCGGCCGGCAAGGCTACGATAACGCGACTAACAAGGCTACTGCCAATAACCCCGCCGACGACGATAAGAGAACTAGCGCCGATAAGGCTGAGGGGTGGAATCACGACACCTGCTCAAACTCCATTCGTCCTTGTGCAACCAGTTTTCTATGATTTCATGCATGTTCAATTGATGTGATGATCTAATGCATGCTTTTGTTAGCATGGAAAGGCGTGCTCTTTGATCCTCATTTCGATCACCATCCATGACGACTTGGTTGATCACGACTGAGCATCAATGTGCAGCTATTAGCATTTGATCGGTTGCCAAGTCCTCTAAGGTATCTACTATACTACGGTTGCCGAAGGCTCTTGCATATACAGGTTGCCCTGCCGGCCAATTGTTCCGCATTACATTCCCTCCGAGTTGTTGACACCTCTTGCCATTGGCCTCGAACATGCGTGCATTTCAGTGACTGCGCCGGTTCTGGGGAGATGTGACGGACAACATTCGTAGGGAGTTTGGAGTTGATGATGCCAATTTTCCGGGGTAAAACTGGGCTCTAAAGTCTCTTTTACTGCATGTTAGCCTGTGTCGACGACGAAAAAGGGAGATCAGACCAGGATCACTTTACCTTGGTGACAACTTCGAAAGACAACGATTGTCTACTCCTCAACGGAGTCGATCACGGTGTCCTCGAGCTTTGAAAGCTTCTCAGCCGCCTTCTGGATCTTCTTCCAGCTCTTGACGATGTTCTCCGTCTCTCGCTCCTGTTGCTTCTGCCGCTCAATGGCCTCTTCCGCCTCCTTCTCCTTGGCACCGGAGAAAGGATCGTACTTGGCGTACTCGGCCTCCTTCTCATCTCGCTTCCTCTTCTTGTTCTCGGTCTTTTCCTGCTCTCTCTTCTCCTTCTTCTCCGTCTTGATAGCAGCTCGCTCCACCTTGGCATCATTGACGTACTTCTCGATGACAGGGTCGACGGGAAGCTTCTCGTCGGCATCGCCTACGCCCTCAATGTAGAGGGCGCAGGACTCATTCTTGCACTCGATGCCGAGCTTCTTCATGTCGGTCATGGAGGAGTAAACGAACGCCTCAGAATTGGAGAGCATCTTGTGGAGAGCGAGCTCGGTCGAGCAACCAGGGCACATCACCCGCGGTCGGGGAGGGGTCTTGGGGGGCGAGCTAGACTTGGACTTCTTGCGACCGCCAGAGGCCTGAGCAGTGGCAGCGGTCTTGCCAGATCCAGTATTCTTGCGAGGGGCCATTTCGAGTTTGTTTTGATTTTCTTCGAGTCGATGTACTTCTGAGCACGATGGAATATTCCCTCTGACAGTGAGGGTATAGAAGGTGGCTTGTGTTAGGTACAAGGTAGATTCGTGGCATTGGAGACTGCGGATTGACTGCGATGCTTGGTCGTATGAGGCTGACTTCACTTAGGTGGACCTGACATCAAGTAAACATTGGAGCACGGCCCGATTCATAGCACAAACGACAATTCACGTCACCCGTAGGGCTAGCCCCTGGAATGCTGTTATCTACAGTCTGATATTCATTGAGACAACAAACGGTTTATTCAAAGACCTTGGAACACAATCCGGACCCGAAGCACACACGGAGGTGCCTGAATATGACTAGACAAAGTATATCGTTTGCATTACCTACAGTCCGGGCTTGCTACGAGTGATCCTCTAGGAGTGATTGTTGGGACACAACCCGGACATCAATTCTACATTGTTGCTATTGTATCTTGTCGCCAATGGCCCTGAACCCCTCTCCATCATTCACAACAGTGAAGATGCCACGTCACATTGGAACATCAAGGCTTGCAGTCTCTAATACAAATCGTTGCCAATCACAACACAAGTTTCTTCTCTCCCCTCTTCCATCGCCAAGCGTGTTCTGACACTCAGCAAATCCAGGGTATCAGAAGACTGTATCGCCAAGACCTCGACACACAAGAAACAAGCATCATCAGCTATGTGCCCCCAGCATTTGATAAGACTAGATCAGAACGCCAGGATGGGACATAAATACAAGAAACCAGCAAAGCCCTCCGTCGCCAATGGTGGCAGACATCGCTGGTAAGACTGGTCCATGCCAGGACAACCCCGCTGCGGCCACACATGCTAATCTGTCACTTCACACAGTCCTCAATGCCGCAGGACCCCCACAGCCTCCTGCTTTGGCCACCATCTCTTCATTTGCAAGAAACATCCCCGGCAATGCTACACCAGGATCAACCCTTGTCAGCTGTGCGAGGGAGAAGAACGGCGCCAAGCCGAAGCCGAAAAGATGAAGGCAGCCCAGGCCAAGGCTCTTGAAGAACAGCAGAAGGCACAACAGAAGGAGGTGGCCCGGCAGAAGTTCAATCGGAAGAGCAGGTGGACAGATACGCAGAAGGCCGGAAGAATGACGGCCATGCGTGCCAAGTCCGGCTGAGCGTCGGAACATTCTGAGAAGACCGCTCCCTTGGAAAGGAATGATCTACACAAACATCCCCCTCAGCAATGATCAATTGCGTGATATGAACAACAGGGAGAGCTCAGGAGCTAAATCTTAGTGATATCGGGTACTACTGAGCCACTGCCAATGCGTGATATCCTCCACAAATGTAACTCTTCGATGCCCTGCCCTCATTTGAACTCCTAGAGCAATCAGAACGGCTGTCTTCCAACCCCGTTTTCTACCCCGTAGCATCAAGTTTGACATTTGTGGAATTAATCGCTGGCATCCGCTACATTCCTTCGGGTTCCAGGGCAGTACACACTGTTGGAAACACCCGGTCTGCTGAGGAAATTCATCCAGTTTCCGGCGAATCAGATCACGGCACTAGCCCCTGTCTGAGTTGACTGGCCGAGCTTCTGTTTTTCATCACAATTTGCATCCTTTTATTGCAACACGTTCCGTTAGCGACCTTCGTTTTCAACCTTCCCCGAACCTCACTCTTGCTCACAGGAGCTTCTGGATGGTTAGTTGCGCAAGTATCCTCTCCCGTCTTCCTACATCATTGACCTCAACCGACGCCTCGTTTCTGCCCAAGCCACAGCATCAGAAGGAACTGCTGGCTTCTTCGAAACGAAGTTGTTTACTCTTCGCGGCTTGGTTCTCTGCTCCTCTGGTCTTCCTTCCAGGCCAATCAAGATCTCTGCAGTTGCTGCATCAACAGGCAAGTCAAGAATCTTCCTTCTTTCTATCCGTCTCCGTCATCTTCGAACTGTCCATTCTTCCTCAACACGACCGCCCTCCATTCTTCTTCTTCCAACCATCTGCTAGCCGATACCACCCCTTCCTTCGCTTCAGAGCACGAGAACGTCAGTCAGGTATCATCGTGGATGCATCATCAGCCCGCTCTGCACCATGTTCTGCCCCCGTCATAGCCCCCTCGTCGTCGCGGTTCTCGATCTCGAGCTCTTTTTCGAGTCTACTTCACTTTGAAACACGTGCTCTCGCACCCAAACATCCTCCTCGGATACTTCCAGGTAGTGAATGAGTATCCCACCACTCGTTAGTGCTTCGGAGTATCCCCAAACAGACGAATACTCAGCGCCAGAAAGGCGTTTTCCGCGACCGCGAGTGCGACAATCTAACGATCATAGAAATTACTTCAAGTTCTCGGACAGCTACTGTCTAGATGGACAGTTTCTTCCCGTTCACACGCTGCCGGTCGACATGCTCCCGGTGGATGTTTCGTGGTAAGTCTATGACATCTTTCATCGTTACTTGCTGGGCTCCAAGCAAACAACAGCTTACCTGAGACCGCTGCTCGCCACAGCGTAACTCGTCTGCTGATCATCTTCACAAAGCGCGGTGGCTGTGCCACCGACGGCATACCTGTGGCTGCTCTCGAGTAGTAGTCTCGAAGGCTTTTCTGGAACACCTGTTCAAATCGCAAGATTTGTAAGTTCCATTACAGCCCTGACCCTCCTAGACCGCGTCATCACTCAAAAGCAACAGCCTCCCATCTTTCCCGCAGCATCTCCCTACCCACAATTTTGAGGCACCGGAAATCTTTTCTTCTTCGCTATCTGCCCAGCTATCTTTCCCACCATTTCCCCCACCGTCCTTTCCAGCGGTCATTTCGTTTTTTGCCAAATCATCCCCAGCCTCTGTCCAAGACACTCCACTGCCAGTCCCGGCATCTCCGTATTCGTCCCAGTTCCTCCATGGATTCTATCACCTCTATTGATCTTGTCCCTGACAATTCCATCTGAGCCGCAGGCTCTTCGGAACCCGTCGCTGTGATCACCATCGAAGATCACCCATGTAAGTCCAGCTCTGTTCTTCTGATTTTCATCCGAAGCGTACAATCTGGAAGCCTCCAAAACCCCACCTCCTGTGGCACCACTTCCCATCAGTCTCCTTTCTCTCACGAAACATCCTATTACGATTGCTTCATCACGAGTCACTCGTCACAATCACCCTTGTTACGCCCTCCAGCCTGAGCATCAAACACAAGTCTCCACCCCTCCAACCTACGGACCTAGTGTTGGTAACGTTGGCTAGCCGCCGCTGTCTGGCCCCAGGTATTGTCAGGTTCGGTATCCCATTTCGCTTGCTGCAAGTAGGCGAGACGGGAGTTGCCAGACTGTGATTATACTTGGCACACAGTGGCCCTGCCGTTTCTCGATTCCTTCTGCCCCAGGCATAGCACGGGCTAGGCGTTGCGGCATTCGGCGTCTTCATTGACTGACAAGGGCTCTTCATCGACAGACTGCCAGCAGCATCACTATCGAGGCATCTTGCTAGGTCCATCAGCAGGAGGCACGCCGCGCTGTCGGTACCCTCGGCGGCATCGAGCGCCGGCCCAGGCGCACAGAGGCGCGCCTAGCCTAGGCCAGACTAGCCCTCCAGAGGGGTAAGTAATATCGACCCTTCTAATTCGTTGTCGCTCTTGCGCTCGCAAAGGACTATCCAGACAGCTAATCAACTCTGACATCAGAGGGGTCCGAAGTTCTTTTGGAATCTCAAGATCGCTCCTCCGGGACTACACCAGGAGAGCAAGGGTGTCAAGAAGGGCCGAAGTGATCTCCCCAAGTCGTGAGATCCTTTCCCCGAGACGAGTGGACATCTGGCTCCAAAAGAATCCGGCGCAGGATCCCCAACGGACATGCACCCGCAGTGTCCATGTGTGAGTTGAACATAATACCTCTGTTGCACTGGCCAACGCTGCTGATACTTTGAGCTTCCAGATGAGCATCATTTCCAGACCTTTGGCCAGGGCAAGCTGTCCCCCAGCGCGGGACCCTATGTCGAGCAGTACGGGGAGTGGCTCAGAGGAGCCCCCTCCGGAGGATCGCGCCTCCTCCTCGAACGATCCCTCGTGGTCTCTCAGCTTCCAACTGGCGTAGTTCGGCTGCGATTTTGGACGGCCTGTTTGCACCATCGCCGTCAGTCTCGTCGGCAGAAACCTCTTGTGCTTCTCATGGTTCGTGTCTCTACCTCCAGCATGGTCTGTCGCTTACCAAGGAGCAATCAGACTCCTTGCAGTGGATGCTTCGCCGAGAGTCTCTCAAAGATTTGGAAGTATTCGACGAGACCGAGGTAGCTGAAGTCTATCTCGAGAAGCTGCATCTTCGTGTCCACCCACGCTGATGCCCATAGACCCGTGTACCGCCGCGGTAGAGTCGTGGCGGACAACGTCCGCTCGCCGTTCGAATCCCTGGATTAGAAAATCTGCTGCGCGGTTGTCCAACCATCGCCAGTAGCAGAGACCTTTGAGGCTACAGCGACCGCCCGGCGTGAGAAGATCTAGTGCGACAAGTGGATCCCCGATGGCGCCTGCGCCTTTACCCAGCAACGCCATTCCTGGTCCTGGAGATGACCCCGGAGTCTTCGCCGGTCAGAGGACCGGCTGGTAGTGCGCCGCATTGTCAAAACGGGTGAATGCAGCGTCCCCTGGCGACTGGGGCGGAGGTCGCAGCAGGCGCCGATCGACTCGTCAAGCCAATAAGCTCATCAAGACCCGGCTTGGGCTGGGGCCTGACAGGGACAGAGGTCCCGACCTCTAGGTGATGACCGGCTTGGAGTCAGCGCTTCTGATTGCGGAGGCCTTGACCGGGCAACTCCCCTCGGCATTTGCCCAGTCAGAAAAGCTCACATCTACAGAGATGTCGTTCCCTCAGAACAACAACGGCCTTCCCGGCGGCTCTACTCCCATCAGCGGCGGAGGCATGGGCACGGAGGCGTCCTCAGCCCTCGCTCCTGCCTCGCAGGGTCCCCCCGCTGGACAGAACTCTGCGAACAAGTCTGCCCGCACCATTCGGTAAGTCTCTTCGTTTCTTGACAGTCCAAGGCAGATCCTAACAAAATTATCACCAGGGTGGGGATGGGCGAAACTGAGTCGTGGATGGACGAGCAGTTCATCAAGTCCCTTTACCAGAACCAGACTGGCGACAACGTCAACTTCAAGATCAACCTTGGTGGCTGGAGAGGAGAGCTTCATTCTTGGATGGACGAGCAGTTCATCAAGAGTTGGCGCACGAGTTTTTGACCCCCATCATCCGGAACTTTGGAGGCTTTTCCGAGTCGCACGGTTTCTACAAGAGCAAGCCATTTCCAGGATGACTACGACAAGCCCATCAAGACCGTGCGCCCGAGGCAAACCGGAGGCTTCACCAACATCGTCCACGCCGGCGCCCGGGCGGCTCCCATGAATGCCCAGAGGGGCATGAACTTGAGGACACACTCTGGAGATCTGGCTCCGACATGAAGTAAGTAGAACTGTATTTTCTTGTTTTCTCCTTCCAGTCTGACCACATGTAGATGGGATAACAAGTTGGACTGCGGCGCGGTACGGCAATGCCATCGAGCAGAAGCATCCGCTGGCGATCGACGATCGCTCCGTCAACTCGGGCTCTTTCGGCTTGACCAGCCTCGGTTCGAGTGCCAGCATGGGAAGTGGTCTGAGCACCACCGTCGTTTCCTCCAACTGGTGTACTGGCCCTGGCCATTTCGAAGATATCCATCACCGGATGTGCCGGACTCAGAGGTGCCAAGGCCCTGATGGCCACGTCAGAGGACGAAATTTGTGGTATACAAGACCGTAGCCGCGAGTTGCTGGCAAAATCGGTCTTCCTTGCCTACCGGCTTGCTTTTATCACCATATCGAACACAAAAGATGAGGTCCACGGGCAGGAAGACCGACAGCTGAACTACTACCAGACGCTGACTGACATAGTTCAGTCAGTGCTGCGGGTAGATATCAGCCTGTACCAGATTGCGGCCCACCTCTCAGAACGACAAATCTAGCCCAACCAACGACCGCAGGGTCGACGATGAGCCCAACTCCGATGACGACACTCACGATTTGCCTGATGCTGTCGCTGATGCCGGATCCGTGCTAGCTGTCCAGGAGTGGACTCGGAGGAGACCTAAATGGCGCCAAAGGTCACCGAAGCCTGAGTAAGAATTCATGATAAAGCCACGATCCTTTCTTACGACCAGCTGACCCCATTCATAGGAGGACAACGACAAATAGTGCTGCCCGCTCCGGAGGGAGCGAGTTCGTAGCTACCGACGTCAGCCTCCCCTCGGTAACCTTCTACGCCCAGATAGGCGATCCAAACTTGAGGAGGAACACCACAGAGAGATGGATTCTCTCATGATGCCATTCGCCCAGAAGGACCTGGCGGATCATGATGAGCCGACATCATTGCCGCAGCTGGCCATTCTCGATGACCTAGCTTGTACCTTCAAGCAAGTGGCGGTACAGAACCACAGGGTTCTCTTCACCATCGAACAGCCAGAACATATGACACACCACAGCCCTGCCCAGCATCAGCATACCACAATCTGATGCCCGCAGAATTGGACTTCATGACGGAGCTTCGTACCGCCGTACCCAAGTCAGACGACAAGCCATTCTTGCTGAGGTAGTGCCGCCCAAGATGCATTCTATGCGTCCCACGGCGCGGGCGACCCGGGCACGGAGGTGCCGCAGAAGGTCGTCGACAGAATGCGTGCCCTGCGCCCAGAGATGTGCGCCCAGCTCGGCTACGATGCAGATGAGCACTATGCTCAGATGCACCGCGCTGGCTTGGCCAGGTTCCAGATGCTCGTCCTGGATCTGTGGGAGGGCGACCCCACGCTGTCGGAGTATTGGGGCTCACATCAGAGGATGCTGATAGCTCTCCTATCTTCCTCAAGAACTGGTCGGCGAGGACGCATTCTTCGTTTCCGAGATCGACAAGAAGCTGGACCAGGACGCGGCCGTGGCAGATGAGGGGCACGAGAGGCTCATCACCGAGATCTAAGAGTAGACTCGCGTGGCCTGCATCGTGGACACCATGCACTGGAGAGTGCAGAGTGAGTAAACAATTAATGAGTTGGTTGCGTGCGCTCCTAGGGGCAGAGGCCCCCCTGAGGCAAGGCTCCCACAGGGGAGCTCCCTCGGCCTCGCCCAAAAATCGAAGCTGGCGAGGTCGAGGGTCCTGCCTCCACGCCAGGCCCCTCGCCCCTGCACCTTCAACCTCTCACCGACGCGCCACCACCGCTCAATAACAACGAGCAACCAGCGACGATGGATTCTTTTCGCATCAAGCACGTCGTCAACGAGGTTACTGCCAACCTCGAGCAGCACCGGGCCCTGGCCAATTTCGACCACCATGCCCGCAAGACCCGTCGGGAGGTGGCGATCCTCCTTCTCGAGGGCCAGGCGGGCTACGACCGCCTCAGCATCGCGGTCCCCAACTACCAAGACCTGCGTACCAACGCCCAGCGCGCCGAGTGCGCGGTTTTCCACGCCGCGAACCGGTGGAATGCCGATAGGGCACTCTCGGGGGAGGTCGGGTAAGTCTCAGGCACTTGTCCTTGTTGTTTTTCAACGAAGCGAGAGCAGCTCAATTGACGATCTGCACAGGTTCGACATGAGCCCACAGGAGCTCGCGCAGTTCGTTTTCGACATAATGACCGACTACGAGGTCTACTTCAGCGCCCACAGGGGCAGAGTGGCGGCATACGCCAGCCACTACCGAGACGTTGACGCCATCCTTGACGCCAACCCGGATGTCGAGGCTCTAGGAGAGTAAGTAGCCAGCTCCCTCAAACTGGCGACCTCAATTCGATGGCACCAAGACTGACTCTGCCATCCACAGGCCATGGGAGATGACACCGCTCCCACTGGCGAACGGACGGGTTGTCTGCACCCGGTGCGGCCTCTCGATGGCCAACATGGACGTCATGAAAAGCCACCACCAGGCCATCCACCGCCACAACGGCGGCGCGGCGTGCTACGAGTGCACCTGGACCAGAGGGAACCGACCCAGCGACGTGCATGACCACCTCCGCTCGGTCCACGACATCTACCGCGCCGGCCACCCGGAGGCCTTCTCAACCAGCGTCGCCCACATCAGCCGCAAGACGGTGCCGCTGCTCCGGAGGCTGCTGGCCGAGGACCGGGCCACCCTCGCGGCGCTCGGGGGCCTGCCGCCTCCCACGGCCGGGATCCCGGACGGCTGGAACGGTGACAGGCTGGCTCTCGAGATTCGACATCAGAGGGTCCAGATCAAGCAGCAGCCGGGATGGCAGGCGGTGGTTGAACGACAGCGGGCCGACCGCATCGCGCAGTAGGGTGCTTGCGCCCCGAGGAGGTAACCACAAAGGTGGTCCTCGTACAGATCGTCACATGGATGGTTCTCAGAAGATGGTGCTCAGCAAGAAGGTTCCAGAAAGATGGTTCTTAGAAAGAGGGTTCTCAGGAATACGGTTCTCAGAAAAGTGGTGCCAAGACATAACGTTGTCGGATTGGCCTTCTTCCCACATAAAAGATTCCTAGACAGATGGTTCTCACCGAGGTGTTCTTATGCAGGCGTTCTCAAATCGGAAAATTCCCGGTAGTTCATTCAGGCAGAGGTTCCGCCTAAATACAGAGGCGATAATACAAAGCTCATTGATGGAGTGCATGCCAATTAGCCAAAAGTAGCGGTGCATCACAACTTGACGAATCAATCTGGGCGTTCGGACACAATTGACGCCGCCCAAGTATTTAATGCTAGACCAGACTTCCAATGCCGATACAGTTCATATTTGGCTCATTTACGGATCCCCTCAGTGACTGCATTGACGATCCCAGGCCACGCATTCCATCACCATGTTGCTCGTGTCGAAGTCATACACCACGGCCTTCGTCGCCTCCCTCGCCACTCTGGTCTCCTACGCAACAGCGCAGGAGGCGCCGTGCGACGCGTCCACACAAGCCTGCCTCAACGTGATGCAGGCCAATACGTGCTTCGCAGCCTACATCCGGGGCAACAACGTCACCGAAATGCTGCGCTGCGTAAACGTCAACGACCAGACACTTGCTAGGGAGGAGGTCAGTAGCCGCCATGAATACTGGGGCATGTCCTCCACTGACAAACTCCAGCTTTGCGCCTGCTATGGATGCACCGAGACCAGCATTCAAAAATTCGTTATCAATAGCAACATCTGTCAGTGATAGCCCAGAGTCGGGCTAGATTTGGCCGCTTTTTGGCATCATGGATCCAATGTGAGGGGCCAGAGGGTCAGCGCAGGACGGCGGAGGAGGTATCTGGGGGTGACGGAATAGTCATACGTCTCATAGAAATGTAATGCCTGTAGCTAAGCGAGGAATCAAGCGCTCTTTCTTACGGTGACTAATTATTCTCTGTCCTTTGTACGACTCTCCCGCCCGCCAAGCCTTCCGCCTCCGATGGGCCGGGTCGGGGGCCCCTCGTCCCGTACCGAGGTTATGCATCCCGATCAACGCGCCTAGTGAGACGCGTTACCCGGCATGACGACAAGTCCCCACCGAGAGGAATGAGGGCTTCAGTCAAGTGCTGTCCTCCCTTACTTAGTCCACTTCAGCACTGTCGCGGAGGCAATTCGCCAGCACAGAGACGCACGAGACCTCTGACCTACGTGTAAAGTTACTAGCTCCGCATAACATTTTACAGAAACGCGTGCGCACATCAGAAACCATGGCACCGCTCAAGCCGCACTGGACACAGCCGTCCCACCCTCACCTCCTGCAAGTCATCGTCAGTGACAGCGAGGCCGAATTCACCTCCAAGAGCGTCTCCACGGCCACCGCGGCCCCCTTCGGCGTCGTCGCGAAGCTGTCCTTCCCCCCGTGCACCCTGGCCGACGAGCCGGCCTACTCCACGGTCCAGATCGGCCGGAACAGGCACCTCGAGCTCAACAGCGATCTGCTGTATCTCAACCACTCCTGCGAGCCTTCTCTGGTCAGTCTCGCCCCCTTCGAAAGGATTCCGGGGTGAGAGGAAGAGCTTGGCCCGTTCCGAAGGGACGTGTTGGAGAGGGCGGGCAGAGTGACGATGCTAGAAAGAGAGAGAGAGAGAGACAGCTTTGAGAGGAAGTCATATGGTACCACGAGGATTTATTGACGTTCAACGCGCACCTATACAGATCATCGATACGGCCAACATGACCGTCCTGGCTGGGCCCCAGGGCCTAAAGCCCGGCGATGAGCTGACTGTGTGTGCGACCTCGACCCCCTTTTTCCCCTTACCAATCTTTTGTCTTCTGAGGCGGACGGCTCAACTTACCGCGGGGCGCCTCTGCCGTTGAAAAATGTATAGTTCTTCTACCCCTCCACGGAATGGGACATGGCACAGCCCTTCGACTGCTTCTGCGGCTCGGCCGCCTGCCGCGGCAAGATCGCCGGCGCCAAGGACATGGCGCCCGAGCAGCTCGAGGGCCTGTGGCTCAACGGCCACATCCGCGAGCTCAAGGACGAGCAGGCCGGGGCCGGGGGATATGCGGCCCCGGGAAGACGGCCACCGCGGGAGCCTCCTTCCTGCCGACGTCGGCGGGGCGGACGACCCGACCGCCCGAGCGCTTAGGGACGCCCTGGGCCACGCCGAGAAGGTCGTCGAGGCGGCCCGGGCGGCCCTGCTGGGCTACGCCGGCGCGGCTGCGCGCCGCGGCCCTACGTCTCGGGAGCTGGGCGGCGAGATGGGCGGCGACACGGTCGTGGCTTGAAAAGGGGGTCGGGGGAGTGGCGCTGCCGGGGGGTTGGGGGGTGGGCGAGGGACAGTGTCGTGGAGCGTCTGGTCGGCACTCAACTCCGGCTCCAGACGCGGGGACTGACTTGTTTTGTGCTCGGACTGCTTTGTTGATTTGTGCTAATTTGTTGTTGCGTTGCGAATGGATCTCAACATCCATCCAGACACGAGTGATTTATACGGCCAAGTGCCGTGCAGTGGTGCACATCCATAGGTGTAGGTAGCCAGACACTGCAACCGATATTATCCAGTTCAAAAGTATTAGATGCATGCATGTAAGACGGGGAAACCGTTCCATATTTGGGCGGCCAATTGGGCTTCATGTCAACAACACACTGCCTAGAAACAATATGTTGTTACACCGATAGTTGATCTACTATTTCGGATCCGGAAATATGTGATCATACAGTGGTGCTATGTAATCACACCGATGGCTGATTCTGAAATCATTTGTGCGAAACTGAGCACGTCATTGATTGACCCAAGGATACATGGTTCATTACAAGAAGTTGGGACTCTTTACAATCAACACTTGGAATGGCTCTGTTGTATCTATCTGATCACCTGAGATATAAATTGGATGCAAATGAGGTACGGTGCTAGGTGCATGATATTTAATAGTGGGAATGCAGGTCTGCTTCTACCGATCCAGCTCCCCAACGTAGGTAACCGACGAGATAGCAATAGCGCTGGGATTCAATACTTATAGGATCATAACTCCTTTGAAGAGTGCCTCCCAGTACCGTCGGATTATGGGATCCAGGACCCGCATGTGTTCCGCTCCTTCCTCACAAGCCGTCCCCCCCGTTCACCCACAGCTCCTTCTGCTTCAAGCCGTTCAAAAAGCCCTCTAGCCGCTCGGTTCCCGCGAGTGGAATATATGCGACTTGAGAAGGCGTATATACCGCTTGTGGAAACAGGCATGCGACGGTCCTGCCGTCTGTGACTTCACCAGCCTATTGATCAACAAGGCACACTACAACGTCCAAGCCTTCCTATCGGCTCAGAGGGGTCCAACTTCTTCCAAAAGCCAAACCAAGCCTCTGTGAGATCTTTATTCCTTTCAAAAGCCGACGCATACTACCACGACAAAAGCGATCCTTCAACGATCGCAAACGTTATACAGCCTCGATCCATCGCCTTGCACAATACCTCGACGGCCGATTCTGCCATTGCATTTCACCCATCCCAACATCATGGATCCTGAGATTGTAAGGATTCCTTTTGCGGACCCCGACCAGGGCATAGTACTGATCTATCCGACCACCCTACTCCTGGTCGTTTTTCATGTTTCTATAATTCTATGACTATGGTTACAACCACATTGCTAACTGTTCATTTTCATAAGTGGGCGGCTGTGGAGGAGCTACTTGAAACTGGGACAGGGTTGGAGCTTCATTTCTCCAGGGGTGGGCTCCCTCCTGATGTCAAGTGGCTGCGGGACGCCTTAGGCCACTTCATCCTACACGGCGAGAGCGGTGGCCCGCAGGAGAAGCTACGCTCTACCATCGCCGAATTCCGGGAAACTCTGAAGGAGGGAGGTGCCTCGCCTTATGTGGCTTTCAAGAAGGTCGTCAGCACGACTGCCCTTGCACAGGAGATGGACGCACGCCACGCCACCGGAGGCGGGCTCGACTTATACATGTCCAACAAGCTTTCCAACAAGGAGTTCTCTCGTGCCGAGCCCTCCGATGCCTTGAAGGCTGAGGCGATGGAGGCAGCTCGCCGACGCAAGGTGGACGAAATCAAGAAGCTGATGGCGAACAGTAAGAAGGAGGAGACCGGTGGAAGCCCAGCATCCAAGGCCGAGCAGGTCGCCGGTGGAGTTGGCCAGGGACACGAGGGTGAGTTGCAGACGCCTGAGGATGGCGATGAGATGGAGATGGATGGCAACACCAAAGCTGAGACCTAGCTGTGTGTGGGTGATGTTTTTGTTAGCCAGTATGTCAAGCCTGAGCAGTCCGGCTAAGTCGCAAACCAGCAGCGCCTGTCAATATCCACAGCACGAGGGATAGCAAGAGGGATCCAGAGAAAGACCATCGAACATGACTAGGGAGTTAAGAATGACACGCCTACGTCAATTTAGATCAGAATGCAAACCTAGGCCGTTGGCTGTGACTGCAGTACCCTTGGAAACCCTTTGGTCAATTTTCCTGCTGTCACTGCATACTTCGCTAACATGACTTGCATACAAGTGCTCAAGCCACTTCTGACAATCGGTCTCTATGCCTGTCTTGGTGATTCGCATCTCGAAGACCTCTGGTAGGCAGTCTTCGGAGTCACGTAGACTCTCCATATCGAATTTCGTCGTTGGGAGGAGGTTTTGGCAGACAGGGATCTACCAAGGAGCGTGCATCCCAGCACGTGCAACGAGATGCCGAGGTAGCCGAGTGGCCAGCAGATGCATGAGGGCAATCCGAGCCTGGTCATGTAGGAACCAGAGCAGACGCAAATTATCTCGAGGGGCACGAGGGAATTGAGGATGGATGATCTAATAAAGCTAGGAAGGCACTCGTGGCCAAAAAAGCAACAGGAAGGACCACAGCAGTTGAGCTGTTGGTAAGCATTTTCTTGGCATGCCCTTGAGCGGTCCTCCCGCTGCCAAGCCCTAGAGTCCCACTCCAGGGGTCCACGCATCGCCGCCGGGGCCGAGGCACTCGCAAATTTCCCGTCGCACTGCGAGTTAACGAAACATTTCGACGTCTACTCAAGTCTCTCAATGCTTGTCTAACAGACCACCACCACCATCACCACCACCACGAAAATAACAAAGACAAAGCGTCTCCAAATCATCATATCAATATGTCCACTCAAAACCCCAAGCCGGTCAAGGTCACGACCTTCCCCCTCAAGAACCAACCCGGCCGCGTCGTGAGCTACACCCTCCTGGCCGGGCTGATGGCGCTCGTCTCGCGGCGCGCCTTCATCGCCCCGGGCTCCATCCTGTACAACACCCTCATCAAGACCCCCGAGGCAGCCCCGACGGCGGTCAAGGTCCAGGACTGGGCGTTTATGCTCGTGGTCGGCGCACACTCTATCGAGGCGCCGCTCTTCGCCGCGACCAAGCTGAGGAAGCACGGCGTGCCGTTCTTCAGCGTGCTGTGGTGGAAGTGGGTGCTGGCTTGCTTCGTTGGGGGCGTCTCTGCATGGAAGCACTTCGCGCTGACTGTTGCCGCGGCCGAGGGGAAGAGGGCGTAGTGCCTCTTCCGGGATGGCATGGTTTGCCAGAGATGGAGCAGGCGGGCTCAGGAGCGACGCCTGGGTTGAGGGTTGGCGGATGGGATGTTACAGGGCCTTGTCACCAGTCAGCACTGGAGATAAAGCTGTCCGGGACCCGTTGAGAGTGGAGTTATTCTTGTGGCGGTGGCGGCCGATGGACTCGGGCAAGGGTTACCGAGGCAATATACAAGCGAAGATTCCTATGATAATTGATGATTTTCAGCTCGTACTTCTGAGCCCTGACAAGCTGATATCAGCCTGGGAGAATGAACTCAGCTTGAGACGCTGGGAAGTAGAAATAAGGGGTTGCATTCCGATTTGGTGCACTGGTCTGTATAATGGGCTGACATAAAGACTCATGTATGAAGGAGGAATTTCCTGTTTTAAAAAGGGCTTCCATGAAATCCCTGAAAAGGGGACATGTTTAATTCACGTGGTGCAAAACCTGAGGGCCTTGGCGTTTTCCAACTGGACTGGGCCGTCACCGCATGAGGATATCACTCTTCTGGTCCCGCCATGAATCATGAATGCTCATACTCAGCAAGGGTATATTTCAAGTTATGGTGGATGTATTCACACAACTTGAGGTGAGCTGGGGCAATATTAGAGTTAGCTACAACTTGGTGGCCGTCTTGCCGTCCTCGTATCTCGCGAGGAAGTCCTTGGTCGAGCACTCGTTGAAGCGCCCCCCCCTCCCCCAACCGGCTTGGCCGTCCGTCGCGATGATTTCCTGCTTCATCCGCCACTCCAGCATGTCCACCTACACAGTCTTGGCCATCAGCATGTGGTATACGTACACCGTCTTGCTCTGGCAGAAGCGCACGCAACACCCCAGTACCTGCTTGATGTGGTCGTCCAAAGCGCCCTGTTTCCGGTTGTCAGGGGGGAGTCTACGAACAGGGCTCGCGCCCCATTTTCCGGCTCGTGGGAATAGAATCCGCCCCCTCTCCCCAAACTAGCTAGGATGTCAACGCAAACCAGTGGTCGATGACTCCTGTCCATGGCACCGTCACTTCCTGGATGTGAGGCCACGTCCGTCTGGAGCCGCCTCTGGGGTTGAAGTCGGCCACCACCGCAACTACCCTTCTCTGGACACCCACCCACCGAGTTCCATTCGTACCGAAAAGGACATTCCGAGGAGCCTGCCGGATGCACAGCTGTTTTCTTACGGCATGTAGCTCTCCGTTCTCGACTCGTCGCAATCATCGTTAATCCATCCCTGTCTAGTCTTTCTGTGCCTCTTGATATGCACATTTGACGACACTCCGGCTCGGAGCCACTCATAAGGGGATCATCGTCCTCCGACCACCAGAAATGATGCAGCCAGACACGGGCCGCTGTGCTCGCCAGACTGGGCAAGCAGTGCAAGCAACAGTTTCGGGTTGAATGCAACTGGAGTCGAGAGAGAGAAAGTGGCGGGGGAAGATCGCCTAGAACAAAGCGACAGCGCCGATGACGCCGACAAAGAGGTCGCCCATGGAAGCCGCTCGAACGGGCGCACCGCCGCTGGCGGCCGGAGCAGAGGTGCCCGGGCTTGAGGCTGGGGTGGTGCCCGAAGCCCCGGGCCAGTGTCTTGGGGAGCGAGCCCCCGGCCCGCACGCCCCGGAGTTCTGACGCGGATATTCTTCCCCGGCGACATGAGAGCGCCATCATAGTCGGTGGCTGCCGCCCGGCACTCGCCACCAGAAAAGGATGAGCTCGGCTCTTCTGAGAGAATACATGGTGGTGTCCACATTCCCTCTTCAGTGGCGGTCGTTCTGACGTGCGGCTGTTAGGCGTTGAGCGCGGAGGCGATAGACGTGGTGACTATCTGTGTCCCAACTAATCTCTCTATCACCGGCCTCGACAGAGTTGCCGCCACCCTCAATGATGATAATCTCGACAGGCAAGCGCCCAATGCTCCAGGGGCGATCATAGAGGTTGAAAAGGTCGCTGTCTACCCAGCATCGGACTGGGCAGCGTCGCCGTCACATTTCGTGGAGATGATCTCCACAGCAGACAATTGCGGAGCCCACAATCGATCGTAGAGGTTGAAGAAGTAACCTCTCACTCTCGAATGTTTGTTTTGGAACACCGGCTCTCGCGCCGCAGTTGGTCATCATAGTCGGTTCAAATATGCTCTGGTAGCTTCTTCTCCAGGGCTGGCGCCACCGCGGACCAAGTTTCGTCTATGGTCTGTGTACCCATCATGATACTCGATTGTCGTGTTGGTATTTCTTGTCAAATCTATGGTCGAGAAGAGTGAGGCGCTGAAGATGGAACGCCAGAGGAATCGCAGGTGAGAGCCACGTCGGTGGAGAATGGATGTTTGTCGGGGAATTTGCGTCCGTCATGACAGGTCAATCTCCAGTCAGGTTCGAAATCCCGACAAGAGGATCCGCTCTGTTTCTTTGAAACCCATACAGCTGGATTCTCATTTAGTCGCCGCCATGTTCTTAATCTTGGCGCTCGTGGTCTATCGTTGAGGAGTGGCTCTCGGATCTATGCGGTCTGATAGTTGGACTAGTTAGCAAAAGCTGCACGATCTTGATGCAACAAACGAATGGTGGATGAGAACCTACCGGTGTTGGTGCCATTATAGTCAGAAACACTGACATATTCCAAATCTCCTGCAGAAGTACCACGACTTCCGGGGTCTTGGCGGTTCCAGTCCTTGCGTCGCGGCTGGCGCAACAATGAGCACGTCTGGTTGTGGCCGGCCAGTCTCACGCGGTCAATCTCGATGGCAATCTTCTCCCACTGCGTAGAAAAGTCAGATCATTGGCCTCTCGAGTTTGAACAGTGATAGAATTACGTTGAAGGGAAGGAACTCACGATGTACTCAACCTTGCCGACGGTGACCTGGGGCCCAGTCTGCATCACCACGAGACCAGCCACCCCAGCCATGTTCACGATAACTTTGTTGATATCGGAACGAAGCGAGTTCGTCCTCCCAAGACTATTTCTCTGATATTGTTTCAGAAGAACCTTCGGAGCTGATTGCTTCTCCATTCCGATCGTCAGGACACCTCAGATCGTGGATGGGATGCACAAGGGTGCAAGTTTTGGATGTGTAAAGGATTGAGTTGGGAGGTGGGTGCAGAGGCTTGGACATTAGCACCTCAGCCTCGGCACCGCATCGCACCATTCCTCGCGTGGTAACATCGTGGAGGCTGGTTCCTGGGTCACCAGTGGCATCTTGCGCAGCGCCCGGTCTGGCGCAGGTCGCGATGGGCAGGCCTGTCAGACCAGCTTTTGCGCTGAGTTAGACGGCATACTTACATGCAACTGGCGACCAATTGACGTACATACTTACGGAATACCAATATTGTATCAAACTCGATACCGAGAATGACGTTCTCCGCTGCTGAATAATTCTGAACTCGTGGCTAAGAACAGTATCAAGAAGTGACCGGGCTGACGGCTCAGAAGGCGCCAGATCAGCTGTAGTCTCAATCAGCCAATTTTGTCTGTACGAGGAACGGGACCCATACTGTCATGACTCTGCTGCTTCAAGTGTCTTCGAGATGGCGCATCGAGGATTGCTCGTGTACTAACCTCGTTGGAACAAGTCTTCCAATAGCCTCTGGTGCAACTTAGAGTATGAAGCGGGTCATTTCTTGTTGCTTGAACACTTCTTTGCGAAACCATCCTGCGAGTCGAGGATCAGTCTGTTCCTTTTAGCTGCAACTTGCTCGACGACTCTAGCTTCCAGCAGTGTGCCGTAAAGGTCGTCTTGTCTTTGGACCTGTGGGTTTGACACTGTCTGGATGAAGACGAGGACACGGAGACGGAGCTATTGACCGTAGAACGCACTGAAGATGTCGTGACGATTTTATCGTTGGTGTAGAAAACAGTGGTGCTGCGGTTACTGACCGAGGTGGAAGTCGGCCGAAATTGGCGGCGTGCTTGGAATGAAGGTGTCGGGCTTGCAGAAAAGGATGTGCTCGCCGACTTTAAACTTGCGTTTCCGGATGACAACATTCCAGCCACCTGACACGGTGACTATCATCATCCGCTTGAAGAACAGCTTGCAAGGACGACGAATCTCGGTGATCTCTCTCAGGGTCATCAGATCACTGGAAGATGAAATAGTTAGTACTCAGTGATGTCCCACCGCAGAAGAGCTGTGTATAATGTGGTTATTCGAGAGGTTTCGCACCTACTTTCGGTTCGGCTGATGGCAATGACACATTGAAACATCGGATAAAAACTATTATCAGCCACCTTCAGTGTCTTAGGGCGCCACCGTGGCATCCTAAGGGGGCACAGTGCCTGTGGCCGTCTTTAACTAGCTGGTGCTGTCTTCTCCGGATCAAAGAGCCAGAGGCAGAGCAGACGTTTCGCTGAAGTACTCTTCGACGGAGTGAAAGATCTTGTACTTTGCGCGGAGATTCGAGATTGATGGTGAGCAAAAGCAGGTGTGCTGTTCGAAGTTATGCGGATGCCAGTGGGCTGGAGGTACTCGACCGGGGCCGTTCGGATCGACTCGACGGAGCTCGCAAGCAGATGAAGATGGCGTTCCATGGACCGCTGTCCACCTGGATGGGACATGTGTTTCTGGCTATGGACTAGCAGGAAGTCGTTCACTGTTAGCTCGATCTTCCTCGCACCCAGAGCCTTCAGTACTGTTGGTGCTGAGGTCGACAGGGACTATTGGTGCTGGCCGACATACTTCATCTCTAAAATCCCAACCATGCTGTGGGACCGCAAAGATTGTGTCATGTTCCATAATTTCTTTTTTCTTCCGTATTGGTTCCGATTGTTTCTGGGTCATCACCACTGGCTGTCCGTTGGGGAGATTATATCCTTCAAAGAACTGGCTGCCCGGGGGCCAATGTTCTCTTCGATTGCCAGGAAGACGGGGGATTGGAAAGAAGGTAGCAATGGGGAGTGAGCTGCGGGAAGACGACTTTCTGTTTCGTATTGACAAGATGGCCACTTGTCGAGCTTCTTCATTCACTTCGCGGTCCCTTTTTTCGAGTGGGGTTTGAGCTTGGTGGAAGAGATCTGGTGGACGCTCGGAAGACCGCGACTGTTGCTCTGTAGAAAGTGATAGGCCCCTGTAGGTTCATAGGCCTCTGTAGGTATGTAGGCGTTCCTGCGTCTTTTGGCCAAGGACAGAAGCTCAGATTTCAAGGCACCTGCCCCTTCCACATCAGTATTCACCGGACAGACGCTCCACCTCCCTGAAAACCGCTGTCTCAGCATTCATTTCGAGTTATTACACGCCTCTCTTGACTCCCGAACCAGGTATTCCGAAATTATGTTACCATGGAAAGTCTGTTCCAGCTTCAGCACTCTCTATTCACTGCGAGACTCCCCGACATGCCTACTCCCTCCCTCCGTTCGCGCTCGAGCTCAGGAAGCCCGCTCCCGAGTCTTCTTCCTCAGCAAGGGAACCTTGCGACATATTCTCCAGCTTCGCCAACACAAGATGGAAGCATTCGTCCTTGAAGTCGACTATACTATGGTTCTCGAGCCATCGTATCCACGTTACAGTACTCTGTCCTGTCCGGTACGTGGCTCCTGGAAGATGGTTCCCTCGTATCAAATCCTCGGCAAACGCTAATGTTACGACACAGGGAGTCCCAAGCCAGAAGAAGATCTCTCGATTCTCAAAGGAAGATTCTGCACGCAAGAAAGCATTGAAGGGACGGAGGGGCTGCCGTTGTTGCGTGGAATGTGGCTTCTGGAAGCACGGCGATGGTTTCGTGCGCAGCCTGGCCAAACGAGGCTCACCACGATTCCGTCTCCGCATGTTCCGAACCTGCAACCACTGCTCTCGACGTCGAAAGAGCCTGGACGAGGACGAGCATTTCGACCAGTATGGTGGCCTTGACTCGGATCCATAGGTCGGTTCCGTTTGCACGCCCTTGATTCATTCACCCACCCGCAGCGCAATCAACCACTGACGTCAGGCACTTCGGTGCCCCATAGGTCAGCGATCAACACGAAACGCGACACTCGGGACACAACGCGCGGCGCGTCGGGTGCAGAGCCCGCAGCAATGAACTACGCGTACTGGCACCAACCCATGATTCTGATTTTCGAGAACGTGGGGGGAGAGCGCGACTACTATAGACACACAATGATACCCCTTTGACGCCTGCTTCTTTTTACTACGTCTTTTCCACATTCACCCATATGCTTCAAGGCCTGTGGTTGACCTGATTGCAACCAAAGCTTGTCCCAGCCCAAATGCATCATCATATTACAAAGCAGCATTGCCTCGACTCGGTACTATCCTATCCTCCTCGTCCACGCCTGTTCCCACCGGGCACAACGGTTCTGTCGCCCTCAGACAACAACAATGGAAGAGCATGGTACGTGCCGACGCCATATTGAAAGTGGTATGATCTTCCGAATATGATGAAAGACTCTCTTGGCTTGTAGCCCGAGTTGCGAGGTATAGAAACTTTCGTTGGCAGGGACACTTACAGGTCTGATCTATCACCTAGTGCCTGACCGATCAGCCGGGACTCTTCTCCGGTGATGTAGTGTATTGTGCTAATTAGTCAACACCGGTATAGAGAGCTCTCGCAATCAACGAACAATCTACTTCAAGTTCCTAAATGTCATCCTATAGAGACCCTCACGACCCACCGATGACAAAGCCGAGCCCTAGACCCTCGAGGTCGACATATCGAAATCAGGCAAGCACTGCTCCCACATACCCTTGCTCGCGATGCTATCGACTACGATCTCCTCGCGCACGTGAACGCTCGCTGTGGAAATCACTCCAGCCGACACAGCCGGAACTCCACTCCCGTCCACTAAAAAGCCGCCGGCCCCAATTCTATCACGAACAGACCCGAGTACAACCGAGCATTTTGGAACGAACCAAGTCTCAAATGACTTTTCCATGATTCGGTGCGAATGTTTCTTTTGAAAAAGACAGGAGGGAGGTGAAGGCAAAGACTGCCAGATATTCACAGCATGGTGGCCACCTGCTGACTGGAGTATCTCGGGCTCTTCACGGTCTTTCCAACAGATGGGAGCCGGCCAGGCTCAAGAAAAGGCTACAAAGTTGAAATCAACACGGCTAAGATTACTGAGCTTCACCTGATCCGGATATCGGTCTTGTGTCTAGTTCGATCAGCCTGCCCAGGACTTCTAGCGGGCACTGAGCTTTGAGACGAGGCTCCCTCTCGTAATGTTAACCCGCGACGAGACATTACTGTTGGCTACCATTATTCGATTGATAGGGCATAGCTCATCCGGGAAGCTCATTGATGTGCTTCCAGCCTCAACACTCCCCGTCGATTCTACAACCTAAGTAGTCCTTGGCTCGTCCTGGTGCACAACACGATCTGTCCGGAGGCACGACTTTCCACGACGTGGGATAGTCTCAAAGACTTAATTGGAGAGAATCTATTGATGATAACCAAAGGCTGTTGATTAGATGCAGTACATCTTTTGCATCTGAGGACAAGCAACCACATCTGGCCCAACAAACAAAGGACGTACTGTGGCATGATGGTGAGCAGCCAATTCAGCACCTTGAGTCTTCTCCCTCGGTGCACAAAGACATACACTTTGCCCGCAAATTAGACAGGAATACCATCACATAATACGTTGAAGGACAGGACTAGCAATGCACTATCATTTTCTTGCCTTCCCTGCGGCGCAGCTGTTTCCTTTGGACTGTGTCTTTCAGTGACCTGGCAACACCATCGTGGCTTGCTGCGGACTCACGGGGATGTTTAACAAGAGAGGCTGAAACAAATCGTAATGACGGCCCGGAAGCAGACTCTAGCAATGCAATTACAACCCGGAACTCCAAGTACTGCTAGGTTTCGGCAGTAGGAAGTAGTGTGCTGGTGTCTCCTAAGTCTTCAGTCAATATAACTGCATAGTGATGTATATATCACCCCGAGTATTCGTACTCTTGCCCGGCTCCATTTGCTTGCTACCTGACAGACACACGAACTCTTCTACATGTGAGGATGTCTCTGGGTCGTGTTCCCTGTATCTTGATCAACTGACTATCTGGATCGTACCATGATATAGCCCCCATTGCCATGCTGTTTTTGGCACAAGCGTTGTTCGAAATGGTTGGAGCGCCACTAACGGAGTGGAAATCGGTGCGCGGGTAGCGCTGGCCTGAAGATCGCGCTTTGCACTGCTCGTCTCGGCCGATCGTTTACGGAGGATGGTAGGAGGACGCGTGTTCGAGAGAGGAAAGCTGCTGAAGATTCTGCAGAGCATTTCGGAGGAGCTCCAAACCAGCTGTAGGGGAGTTCGCCGGGAATCGACGCTTGCTGCCTGGTAACTCGGCATTGGCTGAGATTGCTTAGCTACTCTCCATGCTGGTCGCCAACGCGTTTAGACCTCGATCTTGTTTTGCTCTTCGAAGACTGCTCTTCAATGTAATTGGGCCTTGCGAGTAGGTGGAGTGGTGGTCGATGTCAGATCAAATTCAGTTGTCCGTTGTGGCCAATGGCTAGCCTTCGACCATCCCGCATCCAAAGGGATCAGTCCAACGATTGGTCTCCTTTCATAGTAATCCAATGAGCCCTCTTCCAAATCGCCCAACGGAACGAAATATCGGACTGTTTACCCATACAGAGCCCTGTACGTATAGAAATGGACGTCAGAAAGTGTTTTGATTGGTGGTATCGCGGTCTGATCTCTGGGGAGTGTGGAGTTAGATCAAATTTTGCCTTGTATGGAACGCTGCCATAGAGGAGGGAAATTCAGCTCTGAAAATTATTTAAACCCTCCTCTTCTTCCCCAATTCACTTCAGATTTCCTTCCTTCTATATTTCTATCCATCTTCACAACATCTACTCTGAGCATCCGTGGCCAGTCCAGTCAGGGCTGGAGACAACCCACTCTGGGGCAGCCTCCTTGACGGCTTCCAGGGCAGCTCTCGTACCTTCCTCAACTTCAAACAAGCGCTTGAATCACCCAGTACCTTGAACAGGCTTCCTCGGGCGCACCCAAGAACCCGGTCTCTTCCACGACGGCATCGCACGCATTATCGCCATAGTATCCCTCGGAAACACAGGTCGAAGATTGAAAAGGCGACGACCTTCGTAAGTGTCCTTGTCTACTTGTATCCTTTAATCAAGAACTCGATTTCCCGTACCCTTGCTCTGAAACTTCAAGTTTCAGCGCCCGATTCTACACACCATGACCTATCCACATTGCCTCCATCTACGGCTGTCTCAGGCCTGGCTCCACCCTTCTCAAGACGTCAGGTCTGAATCATAGTCTCCAGTTTCACTGAAATCTTCGACTATCATCGTTCCACCGATTTTCGACGGGTTGGCGTTGCTCCGCGTCGATTCGATTTATCACAAGGCGACGTCTGAGCGCCCTTCGCACGAAACTGACAGACTCATCACGAGTACCAGTGTCAAAAGCCCAAGTAGAGATTTTGGCTCTCGTCCTGCAGAACAGTGGCGAGTTCCACGCGCCGTGGAACAAGCCGAAAGACATGGACCGGCCGGAGTAATTATTCTATTCAGCTTCTCCTGACAGCCAGTCAAAGTCTGATTTTCCATGTCTAGCGGCGTCGACGGCAACTTGTGTAGCTCGTCTCCCTGAGTACTGGAACGGTATGCTCGAAAACAGCAATCATCACGACCTTACCCGCAGACCAGAGGGTCTCCCACTTTCACGACTGATGCGCAGGCAGCTGTCGAAAGAACAGAACAGCGGGCTACATCACTGCGGGGCAGAACGATCTGCCAGAGGGCAGCATTGGCTGGTATACATCGGGGGGGGGGGGGGGGGGCATTGTCGTGTAAGTAACCCTACCAAACCTCAAGCACCTGCATCATAAGCTGCTCTGCCACGTGTATGCCATTATATATGTAATGGGAAGATAGCTGACAAGGCCAGACCTCCTCCGCCCCAGCATCGGGCGTGACTAGGCTGATACACTGCGGTTCTACAAGAACGCTGCGCAAGACGCTTTCTCGAATTCTTTCTTCTCCGGCCGAAGAAAACTTCGCGTTCCCCTTGCGGCTATGGTTGCGCAGCCGATGCAGCTCGTTTCGTCTCTTGAGCCCGAGTCGCCAGGGTCACTCTCGGCAATGGCGTGTAGGGCCGCGCAGAACCTCCTTGGGTGCTGCATTTCGTCCGGCCTGGCACTCGCAGCACCGCCAATGGTTGCAGCAGTACACTGGTCAACGGCGGAGCTCAATCTCAGTAGAGCGGTTGTCCCGACGTTGACATTGCCGAACGCGAAGGCTCCTTTTTCACGAGCAGCAGCGACTGCTTGGTTGTCTGCACCAAACTGGCCGAGTCCGCGATGAATGTCCATCCACCGGCAAGCTGGTGAACCATTGGGGATTCTCCCTTGAGGACCTAGAGAGCGTGGGTCCTACACTGCACTGCATTATGTCTGAAAATTCCAAATAGCTAACAGTATACATCTATAGGAGAAGCAATTCCAGTGCACCCCCCGGACGATTGTGCTGTCAGGAGTTGAGACGCAATCATTCTGCGCCCCCCCCCCCCCAACGACCGCTGAGCTAGCCTGTCCAGAGGGGCTTGTGCCGTACCCTGTCTACAGATGCAGCAGGCCCAGGGACATGAAGCCATCTGGAACATTGCGGGCACATACCACATGGAGGCCTTGCTCCTCGATCTCGAGCAGTACCAGGAGGCAGTTTGACTACAAGTCGATGCATCTCTCTGACAGGAAATGGAAGATTGGATCACCTCTGGGACCACCTGGCTGAGGTCCATTGCTACGAACGTGCAGCGAACGAGTACACCACTGTGGACAGGCACCTGAAGCGAAAACACATCTCCGCCCTCAAGGGTCTGTTTGTTCTAGACATCCGGGAGCTCTTCTGGACCACGGCCCACATCACTGCGGCCGAACGCACCGTCAAGCAACGTATGGATACGACCAAGCGCATCTTGACTGCTCCACAAAATCAGAGTTCCATGCCAGAAAGGCTGTCCTACTTTTACATGATACACTTCTTCGCCATGGAACAGACTTAAATGATCACGCCAATGGCACAGTAACCCTAGGCCCGCAACCGCGAAGGCTCTTGGACGAAGACATTTCGCCCGCGCCACCCAACCACTTTCGCGACTATCTTTCAGAGGAGAGGAGCAAGGTTACGGCCGAGACCGCACCGGTTACATCAGCCGCAGACGGTTCCCGAGCGGAAAGCCCCAGCTCTAGAGGAGCTCTACATGTGAGCTCCGTGTTTGAGCTGTTCGTCCGAGAGGCGGGAAAGGAATCTAAGCCAAAGCCCGCAACCACCTCATCTTGTCAGGTCAGGCATCACGGAAGCTCCATTGGCTTTGAGGCGAAAGCTGCCTCCAGAATCTCGCCGACGACGAAGTTCAGATGCCAAATCTCGTGACGGAGTTCTGACCCAAGAAACGGCCCAAAGGGGCCCATCACCTTCTGCCCCGTCAAGGTTACTTTAGCGACACCAACCCCGGCAAGTCCATTTCTCATCAGCATGGTTGTCTTGTGTGAGTTGAATCATCACATCTGCGATGGCGTCTCAGCCGAGGAACGCACAGCCTTGTTTGAGGTCACCTTTCACAGCCCCGGCAATGGTGAACCTGGCTCCAAGCTCCAATGGTTGAATAGTTCCTGGAGTTAAGGGTGGGGATCAGCCGACTCCAATAGGACTGAGCACGCTTTCTCTGATATACACAGAATAATGGCAGAGGCCATACAGCGGCTCCTGTCGGAGCCATATGGGCAGCGCCCGCAATCCTCCCGATCGAGCCATGCGGCCTGCCTCTCATGGCTGTGGTGGGCCACGAGATGGCAGACTCAAAGGAGTCTGTAACCTTGAACGAGGTCCAGACCAACTTCTTGGCACTGCTCGTGATCAGGTTCGAGGCCACTTCAATGAATAACCACCACACAACGTGGCCGACCAAGGCAGGTGGGGTCTATGATGCTCAACAAAGCCCAGAGGGGCTTCCTGGCCCTCTTGATGAGGACCGTTCATCGTGGCACGCAACAGGCTCAAGACCCCGGATAAGGCTCGGATGAGCTTCCGGGTCTTTGTGGCCAGCAGCATCAAGAGCAAGCCCGACATCGACTTACTCCTCTCCCCTCCCTTCGGGCCAAGACACTCATCATTCCACGTCATCTCGGAACAGGGTGAATGTCTTCTCCACTCTCCTGAGCCTGGATCAAATTCATCCCTTTCACGTCTCATCAAGCGAAGTGCGGTTCTCGCGAACATTTGGCCTCAGAGGATGCCATTGTGGCCCGGCCAGCGAATCGCCCCCTTCCCGTCCTACACGGCTGGCGGTGCCTGTTTTCCCAAATCAGGAGGCTAAGCCTAGAGAGGCTCTGATCACCTGTGGCAAGAGCCACGTCAGCATGGCCAACTTGCCGAATGCCGCACGGCTATGACCCTTCTCACTATCCTCTGCTTCCTGAAAAGCTGGGAGGTGCACGAGGTTCTCATCACGTTTGGCATGGGTCATGTCAGCATGGCCAACTTCCCTGTCAACCTTTCCAGCTACTTTGACGCGCCGAACTACCTTCTGGCGTCAGGAAAGGTCACCCTGCAGAGACGCCCAGAGAGGATTTAGAGAGTCACAGACACCCCCTGAGCTACTGTGATCAATGCATTGAACCTGGATTCACTGCTGCCTTTAAGGAGGCTGTCTCTTTGGTTTCGGCGTCCTGGCCATGGCTTACCACGTACACTGCTACCGATGTTGAGACATTGCTATGGATATTCGGGGTTTTCGAACTTATTAGCCGCAAGAAAGCATTATCCGATTTCCTTGAGCAGAGGCTCAAGCATGTGCAGCAAGCCGAAGAGCAGCAGCGAAGAGACATGGTACACACTGAAAAGTCGCCATCTCTATCCGGCTCCCGTTGATACTCGTCTTTCAACCAGCTCCGTTCCTTGGCCTAGTCACACTTCTTCTCGAGCAACAGCTGGCGGCAGCAACATCCGTGACCATCTCAAGTCATCGCCCACCGGACGACGCCTCACACAAATGGTAATGGGGCCCATACGACCGGGTTGATGCCTTCAGAGACGGCCAGACTTCCCAGAGATTCTTTCTCCCAGCGGACACTCCGGGCCTGATCCCAAGGGTTAGAGGACCCGAGTATGTCTCCAGGTTCCAGCATGGGTTGACGCTTCTCAAGGAGCAATCAGACTCCTTGCAGTGGACCCTCTACATGGACGTCGTTTCCTTTGAAAGAAATTTAGCTGAAGTTGAAGTGGCACGTTTACATCTGCGTGTTCACGCTGATGCAAATAGAGCCGTGTTCCGCCGCGGTAGACTCGTGGCGGACAAAGTGGGCTCCGGCAAGACCGCTGTGTGCCTGGGTTTGATCTATGCCCAAAATAACACCGATTGGAGGGACTGTCTTGGTATAGATAGACAAATGAGCACTCAGAGAGGAGGAGGTGTGGTCAAATTTCTTCCAAGTACATTTAGTAAAGGAGTCTTTGATAAAAATAAAGATTTCAATAGTTGGAAGGCCCAGAGCTATAGAAGTCTTTTCACCACATTGCATTTACTACTTCATGATCAGCTCTTTAGTGCCCCAATGAATCCACGGTGTCAAACCTTAACATCATTACTTAGATGGCAGTACCATGCCCTTACATAACGTCAATGGTATTCTGTTCGCCCATGCTATGAGGCAGTGGTATGTCAGCAATATGAGTGGAGATTAATGGATAGGATCTATCTAGGGTTCTTGACTACTAATTACAACTAATTACATTGTTCCCGGTGCAGTAGGATGAAGTAAATCTCTTCTACATTATCATAACCTTATGGCATTGGTGAATGAGCTCTGCCTTCAGGAATCATGGCTATTGACTAATGATTATTGACTCACTCTTGCAAACATACCTATGTAGTCTATCAAGTAATGCAAACCTGCGATAATAGGACAGCTTCCGTGAGCCAACCAGTGGACATTCATGCGCAGGGAGATGACCAAGAGAGGTCAAGCTACCTCATTATGTGCCAGTGCACAAGAGACGTTTACCGGCCGAATAGATCATCCGGACACTTAGGGGAATCCAAATACAAATCTGTGTGGTTCGCACAATTGTGTCACGCAAATTCAACTCGATCCTTAGGCCCAACGGCTGCTACGCGGTTGGTTTGATGTTCTATTGGAGGCCAACATCTGGACCGTCTGTTCTTTCCTTACATGAATTCTCCTTGTTGTTGATTGTTCAATTGTATCCCCTAGCTGCTACAAACAATATGCAGTCACTGCCTCCAGTCACTGATCCGGTGATTAGTTGACAATACAATGAAATGGCGCTATCTTGCCCACGGCAGGTGACTCCAAAGTACTTAAACCCTCGACCTTCAACCACCTGCTGTCCAGATTTCCTTCCTTTCTTCTTACTTTCTGATACAACACTCAACTCTATCAGCTCCTTTCTGCCGTCTGCCTTCCGGCTTCCCTTTTGGTATTCAACCTGCTGCCTTCCTCCAGCAGCTATCCTCCTCATACCGGTCATTCTGTAGCAGGTCCTGGAGCAGATGCTCCATGAGCTGATACGCCGTTGCCAAGAGATGCCTTTTCCTACACTGCTCTCTCCGCCAACTACCCAAACTTAGGTAAGCTTTCAGGTCCTCACACGCTTCCTCGAGCCCTGGAATCACTTGGGATTACCCGACGCTCCACGTCAATCTGAAACCTGTGGCCGACCATCAACTGGATAATCTTGACTTCTTCTCTAATCTTCTCTTGCTGCAACAGACTACTGTAAATTGTGGCAACCACAGGGACAGCAACTACTACAACAGCAGAGGCTGCTATTTCCATCGGCCAGTCTGGCGAAGCTAGCAGCTCCCCGCGAACACCTCAGCTACACTACAAACTGATTGTTAGTGTTCGGGCCCAGAGGGGCCCGCCCACCTCATCACAATCGAGCGAGAGCAGCTATTCAGGCTTTCGCATCATGGCAAACAACGAAATGGGTTTGGGAAGGTCAAGGCATTCCTTGGGTCCAGAGGGACCCTAATTCTTCATTCACCCTTGTCGCCCCAGGAGACCGACTCTGCCGACCGTGACTGGACAGCGAGTTCAGGTTTCTTGACCTGCACGATGTCGGTCACGCTGCTGACAGCCACCTCCGGACTCCAATTCGCCTTTGATCCGGCCGCAGCCCACTTCGAATGGAAAGAGAATCTTGCGCCATGGCCCCAAATCGACATCGACCAAAGTAAAGCGTGTGCCCCTCCTGATAGCCAACGACCTCCAGTGACCATCTCCTCTGTCCAGAGCCAGTCAGGGCCCAATGGCCAGCTGGCTAACATCCAGCTGGAGGCTCAGCACGTGGTCGCCGCGGGGCTTTTCTTCGGACGCATTTGGATATCACCCTTCCAGAGGGAAGGGTAGGATTGAAGGAAACAAGGATCACGAGCCTCAAGTCCATTTGCCTGACCCGCATTTCTACAGTATCCTGGAGGGTGGGCTTCCTTTGCCGGACTCTCGTGGATTTGAACTCCGTTACCTCAAGCTGTCTTACCTGAATGGAGCGGAGCATCAATGGACGCTTGAGGAGATCTGCAAGCAATACAAGCGGCTCGGAGGAGCCCCCCTGAAAATAGAAGTCGTGATCCTCGGCCGGGGACTCAACCTGAAACTGCCCACTCCTTGCAGTAGATGTTTCTGCTCAGAGGGGCTGCGTTTCCTTCTCAACCTATCCCACCTGGGTGCGAGAGATGAAGATCATTGCGAGAAGAGAAACCGCATGGGAAACATTCGATTCATCACTCCTAAGGAATGCTCGCTTTGGTGCCTAGGTGGTTAACATCAGCGTGGGACCGGACCAGGAGGAATTCACCATCCACAAGAATGTCTTAACCACCGTTGTAGGTGACGGTGTCTTCCCCGCTGATCTTTCCAAACATGAGTCGATTCAGCCTATCTGCTTCTCCTGGACTTGAACACGACTTTGAGGTTTCCTTTTCGATGCACAAACCCCGCGACTTCTTGCGTCGAGTTCACGACCCAACTGAGCATATCTGCTGACTTTGGCTCAGAGGATCGCCACAGTCAGTCAGTTCTATAATCACCGAGCAGAATATCAAACCATCCTCTGGCGTCGGCGACCAGAGGGTCGCCTCGAATTGCTGCCACCACATCACCGTCGAGTGCGTATCCGACGAGGACCTCAGGAGCATCATTGCCAAGGCAGCGGCTTCGATCTTCCGTTCAGCGATGGACTTCATGAGAAGACATTCTGCCGTTCTCGGTCCAGTAAGACGAATAAGGACAGCTTGTTCTGCCAACGCCTCACGGGTGAGAACTTGGCACAGGTAAGTTATACGCTATTATCTATCTGCGAAATAACCACGCAACTAACCTCAATATTCTCTTTGGTTTTAGAGGCGCCAGTTTCACTGTCCAAGAAGCAGCGGGCAGAATTGCGAACCCGAGCCCGAGATGTGCGGCCGGGTGACCGCAAGGGCAAGAGCATGGCGGTGGCGCCGAGGAAGTATGACGAGTACGATGTTCGTTCCGCCGCTTTTCTCGTTGTCATATCTCTCCCGAATCGACATCCTGTTCCAAATCGTCTTCGTCCAGTACCATGGGGTTGACGGCGAGTTCGAAACCGACTACGTCGATGTGCCGGCCAGGGCCCAGAGGGTCCCACGGAGCCGGCCGCCCCCTTATGGTGTTCTGCGGAGCCCCCAATGCGGACATGACTGCATTCCCCACTGTCGCTCAGGTCGAAGACGCCCTCACGGCTGCCCTGTCCTCTGCCACTCGAGACGTGCAGGCTCCAATGGTCCTCGCTCCTGTGACCACCAATTTGGGCGCCGGCTATGTTCACTGTCTGGTTGTCGTTACCCATCGACAAATCCCGCAGTCGGGCCAAGCAACAGTCCGATCCCAGGTGCCCCATGCGAACAACAGCTCTTCAGACAATCCCCCCTGCCGCGGTCTCCGCTTTCGACAAGTCTAATCTATACTATGACTTACTTCTACGACACGGTACGCTCGGAGACCTACCGCTTCGTTGAGCACGTAAGAAACAATAAAAGAAAAACATAAATAGCCCGAGTAACTATTCACCGCCACCACCCCTATTCGTCGAGTTCAATTTGCGTCCCTTGAGTCTTCTTTGAACTTCTGGAATGATAACGAAAGGGGAGCGGACGCTGCTGGATAGACGGGTTCACGAGCCAAAATTGGGGTAGCTAAAACAGAAGGGGGGGGGGAAGAGGGGGAGGGGGGAAATAACGAAGAGGTCTACAACAGGGAGCTGTCAATAATACCCGTTTGAGGGTTTCACGGACTGATCTTAAAAGGGCATAAATGAGGGACTTTGAGTAGTTATACAGCTCCGGAACGCCTTCATTGATTTGTGTTGGTGAATAAAGAGCGTCAGGACACTCCCAAACCCATAGACGCTGCGAAGTCAATTCCACCTCGACGGATGTACTCCAGCTCCGTGCGCACCTCGTTCCCAAGTCGATAAAGATGCCCGGGTACCTGCAATGTTCTACAGGCTATTCGAACCCAGTTTTTGGGAGGAACATAAATCCGCAGAATTTTGGCCGCGGCCGGCTCCCAGGCTGTTTTGGTCGCCAGGAACATGGTTTCAAGGTGCAGACGTTTGGACAGCGTCCCTGAGCCAACCATACTCACAGTCCCATGTTTCCTTATGATCAGGACAGGCAAGGCGCGCAATCTACGCTACTCTTCCAAGGCTTTCACTCTGTCGAGCAGAACAAATCGACGGTCTACACAGCGCACAACACCGTCTTCTCCGGCCTGCCAGACCGGGCCGATCTTGCGAGGCTCCGACAAATGAGAGCAAGGGGCCGGACCCAAGCTAAAGACACCTGACAATCATTGCCCCTAACGACATCTTGAGCACTTCCTCCTGCATCCATGTCCCTCACGTCATTTCGGCCGCCGATGTACCAAAGGCATGCTGTCCAGACTCGATCGATGAAGTCCACTCCTGCTTCGACCTTTGATTGCTGCGAACGCAGTAAGTAACTTAAAGTCCGAAAACCGGCAAACTGCGATAACCTTTCTCTGACATGGGCAAAGCCGCAGCCTGTCGCCGATGCCTAGCTCGTGGAACGCCGAGCCATGCCGGGTGTCGGTGCCACGCCGTCATGAGCAAGAAGACCAGCATCACAACAAGGCTACAGTCAATGTTGGCGTCGCCCAAACGCCCGGGCGCTGCGCCCAACATTCCAAATTGCCATCCGATCACAAGGACTTCAGCCCAGGGTACCGTCTCTCTGCGCTACTGGCGTCCCGTTTTGCTGCCCCGCCTTCCGATGATCTCCCACTCATCCACGGCTGTTTCTGCTCAGGCCTGCGACGAAACCATCACAGGCCTAGGCAGCCGTGCCTCGTGGCGACCAAGAAACTGTGTGTGGATGCAATCACCCATGTGCTGATATCAGTCCAGGATCGAGCGACATGGAGCGCGGTGTCGTTGACGAGGGGCTCTGTTGCAGGTAGCCCAACCAACGCCAGCCCTGTAGCCATGCAAACCAGCAGCCCTGGGTGAACAACAAGTTCCTGTCAGACAAGGCTGTGATTGCGAGAGATCCAATTTCAGACAGCCTCCGCGTCCAGGGGACCCGTGGACGAAAAAGCAGACGAAAAGCAGATTTCCCAGCACAAAATTAGCAGGCACCTTTCCGGACCTATATTGAGAGGCTCAAGCGTCACTCAACTGTCGTCTTGTTTAACTTGATACTCGGCTGCCCGGTCGTAGCCTTCTCATGGACTTTGTCTTTGACAGTGCCACCGACCTCTACAGGGCTGATGGTGCAGGGCTACATCGGGACAACAAGCTCTGGCCTGATGGGATGAGGAGTATTCAAGATGCCTGGCAGGTCAGGATATTGGTCTATTTACATCAGTCTGGTCGGATGCATGATTCAATGCCACTTGGATCCTGAGCCTCTTGGCACATGGGCATGGCTTCCCACAACTAACAAGAGGGGTTTGATCCAGGCCTTTTCTCATGGCTATGAAGCTGGAACAACCCATGATGAGATCTTAAAAAGAACGCTTTGTCCAATAATCCAGCAGAGGAGGCATTGCACAGGGGCAATATCTCCATTGGCCATGCACCATCCATGAAAGGGGAAAGATTTGGGCAACATATTGTTTTCCTGCATCATGAACTCCAGCAGGGAGGATGCTTCGCCTCTGCAGTTCGGGTTTGGGATCACAATTCCGCATCGTCCTTGTCAACTACTGAAGATTCCGAATGGTTTGTGTTGTCAAAAACAGCTGGTGACTCCGGCGTCAGGCAGCTTGGGCAGAATGGCTCTGCGCCTGTGGTCCCCGGGTCTGGGAGCTCGGTGGGGTGCGGCAGAGAGTTGCGTACGTCTCTGGTATCTCGCCCGGCTTTCTCAGCGCTCGGGGACAAAACGACGATCTCAACCCGAGGAGCGACGAACCAACGACGCTCTCACCTTCAAGCATTCGTGAACCTCGTGGTCACTCAACGAAAACTCTTTCCAAGACCATCTTCTCTTCATCAACACCACAACCACCACTAAAACAACGAAACCATCATCAAAATGGCATCGGAGGACCGTACCGGAATGAGCTGGTGTGACAACTGTGGCAAGTGGAAGGCCGACAAAGCCTTCGTCCGGGCCCGTTTCAAGCGCGGCACCAAGCTGTGGGAACGCTACGGCTTCGTCTGGAAGAAGTACAAGACCTGCAACAGGTGCTCCAGAGTGTACTACCGGAAGCCCGAGATGCCTGTGGCGGAGTTCGTGGGGGCGTATGGTGCTGAGGAGCACAACGAGTACGTTCCGCCATGAGCCTTGCCAAATTCTTTCCCGGAAGCATCTGCTGACATTGCTTTGAAAACAGCTCCGAGCCCGACCTCGATGACGACGACGACAACGAGGAGGTTGAGACGGAGGAAGAGGGCAGCTAGGAGGGAGGCAAGGAGCAGGGTACCGCTACGGCGGCCTGAGGATCTGTTGTCGCTCTTCTTTGAACACAAAATACCTCCGCTGAGGAGAGATGAGCCAAGTGCTCGCTGGCCCTGTGTGGCCTCTTTCCGCCAGAGACTATTCTGGCAATCCATACAAAGCCTCGTGGCTCTTAATATGAGAGATTCTTTACCATGCAGTGGTGAATTTGTTGACAAATTGTGAAGAACGTCCCTTTTGCTCTTGTGTTAAGCCAGACCCTGTAAGGGGAGCTGCCAACTATCTGGGTGGAGTGAATCTTAGTCTGAGGTTACTGGAGCATTTGCAAGTTCTCTTCATTGTCAAGCCAGAAGTGATTTGGCCCCTTGCAATCCACTTCATACTCTTTTGTAAAGAGCAGATTCACTTCTATTTGACGAGGGGCTAGTTTTGTTTGCCTGCCAGGCCTCACGTGAAGGGCTTCCTTGCCTACTCTTCGACCACCCACCTCAACGAAGCTCCACTGGCCAACTCTTGATGCACTTGCTCACTTCCTCACCCTCCAAAAATCCGTCAACCTCCCACAAACATCACCCCGACACCTTTCAATCCTCTGCTGCCACCCGCAATAATCTTCTGCTTTGTCTACTGAGTTGTTGACCTCTATATATCAGCTTTCGCCATGGCGACCACTTCGACAGCGAAACCTCTGCTCCATCTGGTGTTCGACAATGTCCAAGATGACGAGACCATCTACCAAGTATGTCAACCTCAACATTCCTCAAGACCTCATCTAATACTTCCTGTCCAGCGTTGTGTCATTATCAAGGCACGATACTCCCCTATAGACAAGTCCCCATCCATGACGACGGTCCAGCAAATGTCCCCCAGCGGAGACGAGCTATACCCGCCACAGACCTGGCCAGTGGCAGAGGGATACACCAAGATCATCGTCATGCTCAACCCTGGATTCAATGTGCTCCACATCCACCCGAACAGCGATGCCACTCAAGTCACCAAGCTGAGGCTGAACTATACTCCCATTCTGAAGCAGCCACCCCTCCACCTAGCCGTGATGTTCGGTAGCGACTCCGACCTCGACATCGACTTCGAGCCTAGCAAGGCCGTTCCTGGCTTCGATGATAGGAGCTCAATCGATTCCGCTATCAATAGGTTTCGCATGACCGCCTACCTGTGGCAGGCCATGATCGCAGAGGACATGCGCATGAGGGGCCTGGGCCGGCGATCCTTCCGCCTCGATGAGGACTGGGGGATAGACACAACCAGCGCAAGTTTCCTCCACGCCGTCCAGCAGGCTGACATTTGGGAGGCAGGAGCCGCGCGGCAGACTGCGAGAATCCACTTGATCAAGTCGGACCACACTGTGGAAGAGATCACAAACGCGAAGATAGCCCAGGACAACCCGCTGGGCAGGAACAAGAAGACGCTGCATACCTGGTTCACAGAAGCCCTGAAGACTTCCGGAATAGGTGTATTCACAGATTCAGCGAGGCCTATCATAGCTGGGTTGATCCTCGACTCCCGTTGGGTGCAGGAGGACCTATTCGTGCATGGCCACGCCGCCATGGGCTCACACAATCCCGTCGGAGTCTCCCTCTGTGTCATGGGCAGCCACTTGGAGTACTGTTGGCCCCAATACCTGGAGGAGATCAACAGCTACCTGATGGATGCAAGCCGCCCTGAACACGGTGAAGTGTCAACCGCGAACGCGGAGACCGGCACCATGTGGGAGGTTTGCTCTATTGGCCAGACCGACTTCCTCCACCAGCTCGGCCACGCATTTGGCGCCGCGCACACCACGGGGATCATGAGGGGCGGCTGCGCCCGGCATTGGCCTCGCCACTTCGTCGTGCGGACAGCGCCCGATAGGCTGACCGGGGAGGACGGCATAGTCGTGAAGCACGGCGAGACCGCGAACGAAGCCACATTCGACATCAAAGACTTACTCGCTTTCTCCCTTCTGCCGCAGTTCTGGCTCCCTGACGACCCTAGACTCCCAATGGACCCTCTCTTCGCCCGCTACATGATGCCGTCCGTCCACGTCGAAGAGCTCGAGGACGAGGAGGGTAACCTGGAGAAACAGCTTGTTGCGTCCTCTCCAGCCAATATCGTCCGGGTCCTCTGGAACGGAGAGCCTAGTGAGAGGCCTTCGCTGGAGCATCAGCTCATCGGAGCCAGGGTTCCAGTCAGGCAGATAGAGGAGTCGTTCTCCCGCGACACGACGTTGCGCCTCTCCATCCTCGCCGGCAACGGTAAGGAACGCGTGATCCCCAACTTCTGGGACCTCGTCACGGACCCGTCCACCATCCGCATCCCCGGCTCCGACGTCGTGCTGCACCGGCGCTCGGTCATGTGCAGGAATTTGGAGGAGGGCGTCGATGGCATGCAGCGCAAGACCCTCTGGCGCTGGGCCACGCTGCTGAGCAAGCGAATGGAGCACGGCACCATTGCTCGCGCCAACGAGATCAACATTCGCATCGGCTGCTACCTTCTCGGTCTGTACGTTCGCTTCGAGGATGGCTTCCGTGTCAACTGTGGCCCGCGCTTCCACAAGATGATGGGCGGAAAGTATCAGAAGCACTTTGACGGGTGCATCCCGGAACACCTCATGATCCCCCGGAGCCAGGAGATTGTGCGGGTCGAGGTTGGGCGGGACTTGAGTGTCCTCCGCGGCGTGACTACTCACCTTAGCAATGGCGAGGTAAAGGGTGCGCTCTCCGGCGGCGCCCCTTTTGAGGAGCGCTGCATGTTGGGTAGGTGCCTGACTACTTTCTCCCTTGGACTCTTCATATGCTATTAATGCTGAATACGGCTGACTATTGCATACTCAGAGGCTTCGAAGGGAGAGCGAATCGTCGGGTTCTACGGCCGCAGCTACTTCGGCGAGAAGCTTGACTCCGTGGTCGAGTTCGGCATCATCACCGCGCCCAGGGATGTCGAGCTCCCTGTGGAGGTATACGACATGCCTCAGCTCCAGAACACGGACGGAGGACTGACTGCAAGTCGTCCCATCTGGCTTACTGAGAAGTTGGCGCTGACTTGATATAATCTAGGAAGCCGACTACGATCGAGATGACGACCCCGACGCCCTGCCGAGTAATGAATCCGACCTGGACGCCGAATCCAACGACCCCGATATCCCCAACGATGCGGACGATTCCGACCACGATTTCATCGGGGCCATGGCTGGGTTGGAGATCGCTGCACTGGACGTGGAGGATTGAAAAGCTGCCGTCATGGCATCGGTTTATCTCAAATATTCAGAAGTCCATTTAAACGCATAAGTTCTAGGGGCTTAAGCTTCCTTAGTAATTAAAGTGGCTGGGGTGGCAATGCAGAATTAACTTTTTATGGCTTATTAAGGGTGGTTTTAAATATGTTTAATGGATATTTAAATTTAAAATGCAAAAAAAGTTTAATTTAAGTATTACTTTATATGGGAATATAAAAAACGCCTTATAAATACTTTTTAATTTAATAATCTTTTTAATTAATAATTTTAATATAAATAATATGCTAAATAAAAGAATTAATTAAGCTTTTTTCTTATATTTTTTTATCTTAATATACCTTTATTTTATAAAATATAATAAACTTAATTAAAAAAAATAAATTAAGAAATACCCTTTTTACTTTTAATTACTTATATTTAATTTTTAAATTAAAAAAATTAAAAATTTTAAAATTTAATAAAATAATTTATAATAATTTATAAAACTTAAACTTTTTATAAATTATCTTTTAAACTTAAAAAAATAAAGCAAAATAAGAATATATTTTAATTATTTTTTAAGATATTTTTAAGTTTTAATTTTTTATTTTTTATATAAAAAAGGTATAATTTAAAAGAAATAAATTAATAAAAGCTTTTTAATTTAAGAAAGGTATTTATATAGTTAAAAAAAATTTTATAAAAAAAAATTAAAGTTTAAATTTAAAAGGGTAAATAAGTGCGTTAAGGCATATCTTGATCCTTATAAGCGCTGTTATTTAAATATAAACCTCCCTGGCCGCGAAGCCGCTTCTTTTTCCCTAGCCATACCTTACGTAAGTATAGCCCCTAAGCCACACTTGGCTTCGCGGCCAGGGAGGTTTGTGAGTCAGAGATAAGCATCGGTCGCTCTTTGTCATTACCTGACACGAAGTAGGACAAGATCACAAAGAGTTGTGAGGGAGGGCCGCAATCACGTATACTGAAAAGGCAAGATGGCAAGTTGCTGTTTGAGGCGCTTTGCAAGCCAGCAAAGGGGAAAATCACAGTTTAGCAGTGTCCGACGTATAGACAGAACCCAGAAATGCGGTTGTCCTTCTTCTATTAGCAGAGCCAGGTTTGGCCAGTGCATCATTTGTGGGTGTAGGTATGGTGTGCAGTGCCACAGCACCTGCTGCAGCACCAGCACACCCGGGCGCCTCTGATAGAATAATGTCAACTCTGAAAGTCGAAGATCTTGTTATGAAATTGAAATATTTGTAAAATCGGGCCAGTTTGTGGCACTAGACAAGGAAGCCTCAGTGACAAGGTTTGTATGCAAGCCAGCAGCTACGGTGTTGTTGGCAAGAAATCGTCCACGGCTCGTGACGAGACTGTCGAAATGAGGGAAACGCAGGAACAGCAGGCACATGATTCGCCATGGGGAGGAGGAGTGCATGGCCGAACAGCGCCAAGGCAAAGAAAGATCTGCTTGTAAATCGGTGAGCACCGCTGCATTTCCTACACTTCTACAGCAATGAGTTATGAGGCTGTCATGGATTCAATGTGTCTGGCTCTAGCAAGTCATGTACACATTAAAACTCACGGGTTAAACATGGGGCATAGTATGGTTCCATGGGGCAATAAATTGTGATTTACGCTATCGCTTTTATTCCGTTGACTCCCCGGCATAATTCATAGCCGCGGCGAGCGTCTTAGTCGACGTTCTGCCTCTCAGTCTTCCGTGAGTGACCTCATTAAGTTGTCTCTCTGTCGCCCATCGAAGCTTCAACAAACGGGTACTGCTCGGGAGCAATGCTTCGGAGGGTTGGACAGGCTTGATGAGGCTGAAAGGAGAAGCCATCACATGCTGCTGAAATGAGTGATACCTTTTGGACCCTCTGGTCCCTTTTCACCACCTCTGTGGCCGAGCTTGCATCGGATGGCCCATCTCGTGTGATCGCGGGTCCGGTAGGCAGCTGAAGATGAAATGAATGGGGTTCGCGTTGGTCATCAGGTGTGAGGAGCTTGTCGAGAAGTGTATCTTTGTACTGACTCTTCAATGCATTTCTTCCATGAACGAGTGTGAAGTACTTCAGCACTTCGTGCGCGTGATTGTATGCATCGATGATAACACGTCGCCATTCTCCACAGTGGCCCGGAAGTATTCGCTGCGGCTGCAGAGAGTGTTTTTCCTTGGAATGAGAAACCAGCATGTAAAAGACCAAGCCGACCTGAAAGAAACATAGTGAAATCAGCTGATAGGTTGTGATCAGCTGGGCGGCAGGTGAGGTATTCCCGTCTCTTTGGACGAGGTAGGAAGGTCAGAAGGCTTAGGTCAAAGGCACAGCATGGTTGCCGGTTCTCCCAGGCCTTCCACATGTTGGCCAGCGCTTTGGAGCCTGCACTCTCCATATAATAGGTTCCTCCGAACCTGCAGGGGCAGGAGAAGGGGCGGTTGTCCCGGGCCTCCGCCTGGTTGTGAGTGCATGTGCATGCGCATTCTCCTCACAGTGAATTCCTCTGAATTCATGGCGTATTCTTCGTTGCTGTTCTCTGTACTAGAACGGAAATCCACTCAGGCAGAGGCGGTCCCCACTGAAAACTGTCGCCAGCCTCGTAGCCAGGAATTGCGTTGGCATCGAAGCGAGTGTCGAGGTCAGAGGACATTGTCTTTGTGTGGCGGGAACTGGTTGCAGGTCTTGTATTTCTTCCACACGAAGCGATCTGGAACAGTAGCGCAAGGCGGGAAAGGTCCCTCGTCTCGTGGCAGAGCACTGCATGGCTTTCCGAGTCGCCGTTACGGTACGCCTGGTTGCAGTATACCCCTCCAATCACTTGGCCACCGTTCGTCCTCGGTTGGGATGAGTTGCACCAAAGTCTGCCTCCTGCCGTGGAACAGTTGGCACACTTCTGTCTTAGTTGGCTCAGAGGAGCCAGATCTCGTCGAGAAATGTCGTTTGTGGCCGGGTCCCTCTGGACCCGGTGATCGGCATGTCTTCCTGCTGTTTCCTGTGCCAAGTTAGCGTTGCTCAGTAGTCGGTCATTAAGTTCCTCGGGATGGATACTCACAAGCTAAGAGGGTACACTTCTTGCCTCTGCAAATAAGAAGCTATTCTTATCCAACCTCGAACTGTCACGCCTCTACTGTAGTGGCTGCCGGAAGCCCTGCTGTTGAAAGCCCTGTGGTTTCAAGCCCTGCTGGATTGGCTGCTGGATTGGCTGTTGGAGCCCTTGGCAGCGAGATCAGCGGGCTCCAGTAGGATATTGCAAGTCGAAGCAGACGGGTTGTTGCTGGCCATGGCATCTGCATTGGAAGTGTCTGCCACATCTTTGTACGAGGAAACTTTTGAGTTGTTGTCCATCCGGACATTGTTCCTCTCCCTCTGGAGAGGAAAGCGTCACCGTGCTCAACCGTGAATAAGAGGGTTCCACTGGCGCAAGTCCTCTTATTCTATGGAAGCGCAAGGATGGCGATCGGGGGAGGAGGAAGTGTTGTACGACCAGCAGCAACAGACCCCGGAGGGGGTAGGATAGTGTCTGGCGGCCCTCTGGACGCTGAAGAAGCCAACAGAGAGTATTAAGGGCGTGCTACCCCTGCCTCATTGGACTAGTCGTTGACACACTGCTCTGAACTTAGTGTTTGTTTGAAAATATTACCCTGGCCTCGCTGGGGTAGTAAGGAAATCTAGAAGGCGACAGCCGCAGCAACTTACATGGACGGCATGATGGTGAAGACCATCACCCATTCCATGGAACGAGAGAAGGTTCCATGGATGGTCTTGTTGGAACCCGTGGTTTGTTGTTGGAACTTGTTGTATCTTGACTTTTGGTTTTTCATGGAAGAAAGAATACATTGATCGATGGCAAGGTTGTGCAGTTGCAACATATGCATTAAAAAGAAAACCTCTTGGTCCGTGCGCGTGGATGAAGTGACGCTAAAGGGAAAACCCCACTGCGGCAGGCAGAGCCTTAGATTTTGCAGCCATGGTGATTGTTGCGGATAGCTTCAGATGTTGTTTTGTGTGTGCTTTCGGGAAAACGTATTGCCTTGTGCCCTCGCCTAGCCTCCCACTGACTACTCCGGCCGGCTCTGGAGTATATTCACGTGCTTAGCCCGAGATACCACACCCTTTGGGTTGGCCCTCCACATGGCATCGGAGGCCAGATACGCTCGCGACCGTTCGTCCCGTCTTTCTTCCTAAGATAAGTACAGAGATACTATCTCGCTTACTCGAGTACCCTGCCTCCTCACCTTCGCATCACTGGCCATGATCCTTTATAGCTTCCTGCGAGACTCAAAGGACCGCCTACGGTAACGCTGACAACACCGTCTTCTACGAGTGCCACTTCCGAATACAAGAAGTGGAACAGGACATAACAGCAATTCGCTCGATTTACCCGAATACCACACAACTGCCACATCCGATAAGCCTTTCCAAGCTGATATCGAGTTGATGACGTCGCCCGTGGCTTCGCCTATTCGTGAGCCACACGCCCGCTGCCAGAGGGTTATTTTGACGAAGGCCTTTGCATGAGAGCCTATCATTCACCCGAAATAAACGAAGAGACCCAAACAATTCGTTCTGTTGTGAGCAGGACTGCGAAACCTCGTGCATGAGACATGTTGCGGCATCGCATGCATAGTCATGGCCTAGACTAAGAGTCAAGCTTTCAGAACCATGTAGCACCTACGTCCGATTGGCTCCATTGGCAAGCCTATCAAACATGCAGAGAATCAAGCGCCCTTGGCTACCGCAATCGTGTCCCACCGCGCTGCACGACAAGGGCCTATCTGGATCGGCGCCCACTCGAGTTTGGGCAGGGGCCCTGATGCTCCCTGCTATCTCCGTATCGCTAGCTCGCGAGAGCACATTGATATGGAACTATTCCTGGCTACTCTGCCTCGTTGGAGGCTCTTTACAAAACGAGGAGGATTGTCCGGCTTTGAGTTCAATTTCTGGCTACAGACTCAGAGATTCGAACTCTAGCCCCCGAAGGGAGTGGAGTGAACTGTCAGAGCAATGACAATAGGCGAGGTAGGACATCCTGATCGGCATGTCTAGCCTGGTCCGGTGCGAAATACCGCATGATTCAAGATCTTGCCTTCGAAGTAGCAGACATATTATAACTGACGGTGATGGCTACAGGTCCTGGAAACCGGGTGTTTCTAACGAGTTCCGGCCCATCATTTTGAAGGCGTCGAAGTAGCACCTAAATCAAACAGGCGAGCCACGCCCCAACTCTCGGCAAATGATCCCCAATGGGACCATCTCGAGACCCCAAGCCCCAAGGTGAGCAGACAGTTGCCAGACGAAGCTCCTTCAGTCGAGGTACCCGGTCCTCATCCAATCCTAAGGCAAGCAATGCCACACGCGCTTTCGAGATATTTGCCTATCTCCATTGTCTCCCCTCCCCAGAAAGCCCGAAGCGCGACGAGTCTTCGCGACACCGACCATCCCTTCAGATTCCCACGATTGCCAGAGATTCCGGAACAACGAATCGTCAGTCGGCACACCCTTCGTTCGAGTTGCACGTTCTGCCATTCCACGTATTCTTTACAGGGGAGCAGTGCGGCCACTATGAACTCGGAATCTTGGCGAGGATTTCATAACTCAAAAGGTTGTAAGACTGGAGTGCCCGGCAGGAAAAGCATCTTGAGAAGAGGAGGAAATACCAATGATACACAGAGGGAAAGAGTGTGTTTCCTGGGTCATTGGAATACACAGGCCATACAGAAAATAAAAGGGGGGGGGGGGGGGGGGGGAATGGGAATGAGGAGATGACTGCCGTGCGCGGCGTAGGACGACCATACCTGTCCAACAGCTGTGCCATCCTTGATGGGCTCTCTTACTCGACGGCTCCTACGCATTGCTAATCTTCAGCTAGGTATTCCACAAGCGTCCACGTTCTTTTTCTCAGCCGCATCCAATGGTACATACAGGTATCTGCATTATCATTGCGGAGATAGTGATAGTGGACTTGCCCGCAAGACACCGACGATGTTGGACGCAAGAGCCAGTGTACGCGGCCGTGCGAGGAACACAGGGCTGAGAACTTCCGGATCAAGAAGAACACTAAGCTTTAGCGTCTTGGCGCGGCCGCCGGCAGAGCTCAGCCTTAGGCACAACCACGGACCTCCCGGTTTGAATTGCAAAATCCTCAAGACTCCGAACATGCGCAGCAATAAAATCTAACCAAATAGCTACTCGGTGATGGCTAAGATCCGGACAGCATTCTATCTGGCGAATGCAAGCCACAGATGCCATACGTATGCACATTCCAAACGTAACTTGACGTTGGAAAGCAAGCGAGTGCCAAGATGGCTAGCTATCAGGGGCAAACAGAGCCTCATGGACTCTCCCAAAGGAAGGCGAATCTGGAATTCAAAGCAGGCTCGTTGCTTCTAACCGTCACCTTTTCTTGCCTCTATCGGTAACCCAGGCGCCGAATGTGGATTCCAGCCGGAGCCAGGCTCTAGAGGATCTCGAAACCGACAGGAACCAAAACGGCAGCCGCTCCGAGGACTGCAGCTGACAGTGCGAGCCTATCATAGTTCTTATCCCTACCAATATACGGTGAACCGGGCAACTTCGATACTGAAGATTCGAACTACCACGCGGCCGTTGAACATACGAGGGTCGTCTCATCGTCAGGTCACGAACAAGCATCTCCTAAGTTAATGCACTGCTCGAAAGGAAAGGGAATGAATTCGTTGCATACGGAAGTAATCATTGAGCCAAGGAGATACTTCGCATTCAAAATGGTTCAATCATTACCGCCTCAACGTCCTATTGTGCGCCACCCAGCAAAGCAGAGAGAAGATACCGCACCGATCCCGCCTCGAAAACCCATCCGGACCCTAAATTTCGAGCCTGCCCTCATCGACCCCCAACGCCTAACTCGCTGAGAACCCCGTGAACACCGATACATAAGCATCCAAGAACGCCGGTGGGTCCTCAAGCCCATACAGCGAGGTTTGCAGCTGCACCGTGAGCAGCGTGTCCCTTGCCGAGTCGTCCGACATCTCGAGCAGGACGTTGTGCGGCGTGCGCGCGCGCGATGCCCAGATCTCGGTGAAGGATGCGCCGCCCATGGTCCCTGTCTCCGCCGCTCCCTGCCGGCAGTCAGACACAACCTGGAACAGCGGCGCGTGCTGCAGCTTGCGCAAGTGGGTGGACGCCAGCCCGAAGCCGTCAAACACTCGAAGAAGCATCGCCTGCTTGGGACTCGTTGTGGAGCCAAAGAGCGAACAGTTCATGACTGCGTATGTCGTTTAGTAATCATTGCCGGCATGAATACGTAAGTCTGTTAGATTCGGGACGTAGACTTATATGACCCTGACAAGCTCAAAAGCACCACAGGCTTCCTCCCTCCCGCGGTGAGTCCGACACTGCACCCCACAACATGGTCGAGATGCATCGGGCGACCGTATACGCTGTCTGAAGACGAACAGTTTGTTTGATGATTTCAGAACTAGGGGGCGTTCGATCTAGCGATTGAAGCTGGTAGTAAAGGCAAGAGATAACCCACATTCTCACCACAGGCTCGCTGAAGCGAATGAGACACAAGATGAGCAGCTGATCTTTCCGTGGCAGTGACGACCATGTCAAGGGTGCCTGCTGTTCTGACATCTTGGATCAGTCCGACCGCACTGCGCGGTGATGAGAGGACTGATACTAACGGAAGACAATGAAGCCTTCAGTTTCCAAAAGTATGTAGTGAGGCATCGTGGCTTTCTCATAAGGCACCGCGAGATTGAATCACCAGGCATCACTCATATTACAGGCTCTGTACTGATGCCTGGTGCCCATCATGATGTTTCAGGACGTTTTCCAAACGCCCTTTTAACACGGGCCTCAAGGCCAATGCTCACACTGGTCATTCTCGGCTGGTTTAAAGGCTGGATGACTAAAGACAAACCAGCGTCCAACGACGTCGTATGCCAAGGAAACAGTTTCAACCCCTTTCGGATTCATCGAATGAACCAACTACGGGTTGAACCTGGCTTGATTGAGCCAATACGTCAGGACCCATCTTCTCCACAGAAGATTACATGCACTGCGATGCTCAGCTGAAGGGTCAAACGCATGCCCGAGTCCGAGTCAAGCGACTTGACTCAACCACGAATTTTAGCCAAGCTACGACAATACGGGGGGCTTCTACGAGCGGAAGAACGACGACCAGAGCGTCCAGGTGCAACGCATTGCTCCAGTAATGCCGGCGCAGATGAGTATCCCATTCCCATCTCAACCTAATTTCCCTCCGGTTTCCATGCTTCGCCTTCTCACTGGTACTATTGACGTGCACTTCTGACTTCAAAGCTGATTGCTCTTCGAGCGGTCTTGAACTTGAGCCTCTTCCCGGGCAGCTGATGATTATTGAGCAGATTTCGACCACACTTTCCCTTATATCAGGTTCCCTTCTATACAATCGCGACGACTTCCAAGCAACCCAATGGCTCCCGTCAATGCATACGCGGATGATTATGTTCTCAGCGTCAACATGGATTCCACACAAACATCGCCTCTCGAGTAAAAGAAAATCCAGACTGATGAACTGGCACGAGTATTCCAGACCATCGCCGACCACAGCGCCTCCATAACGCTCAAATTGTGTCATGTTCCTTCTTACTTTATCTAACGCCATGACCATTGTTATTGTATTCATTTTGGTCATTCGAATCCGCCTTGGAACGAAATAATCACAAAATTCAACACTTGTCACTTATCCCCCCTGGCCGATATAGTCTCCACCACAGAGTTTGTGAACTCCTTTTCTGCGGCTATCTTGACACCCCGTTGTGTTGTTCTCCGGCGCCGAGGTATCACGGGTTGATGCCAATCAGACAGAGGCTGATTAGGGGTTTCACAGTCTCGGTGAACAAGGTTTTGGGACCGGACGATCTTTACTAAAGAGCCCCTGACGTGGACAGAGAAAGTGCTTGGGATAAGCTGTTACCGCGTGAGTACCTGCACGCGGCAATGCCTTGGCAAGGCCATGAACTCACAGATTGCTGACCATATCATTCGCATGGCTCGAAGTCGGTCGAGGCCTGGTCATGATCCACAACGAGTCGGCCCTACCCGAGCTGCCGGGGCTGAACCAATCGCTCCCCGAACACACGGCCTGGATTACCGTCACGCACCAACTGCATTGCCTTGTGAGGAATCCCCCTTTATTCTCGACAGAAATACCAGCAACCCCCCGTCCCTCCAGCGGGATCACATTTGGGCCATAATTGACCGTTGAAACACACACCACCGAAAAGTATTCGACCAAGCACACCTTTTACCAGCTTTTGAACCACAAGCCCGACGAGCCTACCGTGGAGTCTAATCTGGAGCACCTCAACCATTGCTGGTAGTACCCACGGCAGGGACTCATGAGCAACGCCGATGTGACGCTCGAGTGGCACAAGTACGGCGAGGAGGTTGGGACCGGCAGGGGATATCAGCACCAATGCAAGGACTGGGCCGCCATCATGGCCTGGGTTGAAGAGCACCGCATGACCAACGACTATGGCATCATTAGAGGTGGCGGAGCATCAGTCCCTCTATCTGACCCATCAAAGGTCTTGGCATGACAAGGCTCACATGAGAGCATTTCCGAAGTCGCAATATACGGCCGCTCCACCTTTCTCACGACTTCACCGTCTCTATGTTTCCAGCTCTTGTTCGAGGACGTATCGTCATGCTCTCCTTCTTATGCGCCACTGCCAACGGGTAGTTTGAGCAAAAGGCTGTGGGTATTTGGTTTGCACAAAGAGACGGCCTTTGCAGATCAATGAATAGCGTCTGTGTTACAAACACTCTCTATTGGGTCTCTTTCTTGACGGGAGGATCATACGGCAGGACGGGATGACAGTGCTTTCGACATCGCAGCATTCTCATCAAGTTATGATCGTATGCTGCTATCAACAGTCAGCATTTGCCAGAGAAGGTGTAAGGAACGGGATTTAATGGACAGTAGTGGCATCCTGCATATCAACATCATGTATCCTCATGGCTGTTTGGAAGTATCCTGGCGCTGCTTTGGTATGATATCGTAACGTCTGCATGGCTCTCGCTGGTCTGACCGTGTGAAGAAAGGGGCCCGACTTCCTTGTGATGCGCTGTTTGATCTGGTCAACCTCAGAATTTCACCTAATATGCACACCACCAGTCTGCTACATACATGCCTCGAGCTAGCCGCCTAACTCAAGACTCTGAGATCAGCTCCACTGAGATAGTACTTTATCATGTCTTCAGCCTTGCCAGGCTTTTGGCCTCTGTCCAATCGCAGTACATCGTTCTAATTCTACAGCAGAACCGTGCATATTCTTCTCACCTCCAACCCACAACAACCTACAACCTGTGACAACCTGCATATGTGCAACCCACCACAACACACAACTTACAACCTACAACCTCCTTTGACCTACAACCTCGTCCGGTCTAGACCCTCTCCCAACCTACAATCTCCAACCTACAATCTTCAACCTACAACCTTCAATCTGCAACCTTCTCCAACCTCCAACTCTTCAACCTACAACCGTTCAACCTACAACTCTTCAACCTACAACTCTTCAACCTACAACTCTTCAACCTACAACTCTTCAACCTACAACTCTTCAACTCTTAACCTGCAACCTGCAACCTTCTCTAACCTACAACCGTACAACCTACAAACTTTCAACCTACAACCTTTCAACATACAACTCTTCAACCCACAACCCTTCAACCCACAAACCTTCAACCTACAGCCCTTCAACATACAACTCTTCAACCCACAAACCTTCAACCTACAACTCTGCAACCTCCAACCCTACAACCTACAACCGTTCAACCTACAACTCTTCAACCTGCAACCTCCAACAACATCAAGGGACTGGACCAGTCCTCAGACTTTCAACCCACAACAATTTCTAGGGATTCGACCACTCACTCTCTCCACCTCCAAGCTACAACAACATCCAGGGACAGGACCACGTTTCCAACCTCTAACCTACAACAACGTCTAAGGATCGGAACACCCTTTCCCACTCCTACCCACAGCAACATCTAGGGGTTGGACTACACTTTCCATATCTAATCTACAAACACAGTCCTGTGCCAGGGAATCTCTTCCACCTCCAACCTACAACATCTAGGGACTGGACCACTCTTTTCATCTTTAACCTGCAAATACAGTCCTGTGTCGAGGAGTTGGCTCACTCTTCCTACCTCCACCATACAACATCAAGCCTATCTCCAGGCACTGGCCAATTGGTTCCACCTCCAACCTCCAACTCGAAGCCTACATTGAGAGATCAGCGCATTACTTTCATCTTTGACCTACAAAGACACATCTATGTCCAGGGACTAGCTCATCTCAGCTCACAGCATTACAGCCCACCGGGTTCAAATCGTGGTCACTCCCAAGTTCACTAAGGACTATTGAGGGTAAGTCAAACGATCCACCTTTTCAACCTCGGTCATACTCTTTGGAATATCAACCAGGAGCTCAGCGATGAGTTTTGGTGATACATCTGCTGCTGAACTCATCAAAGCCGATGTCATATTCTCTGACTATTTTGGCAAGCTGGTGAGAAGTCTACTCCTGCGAATTCCTATATGAACGACTTACAAGGACAATCGCACCATATCTCCTGATTTGCACATCCATACATCACTTTTCCTTTTTGGACTCATCGTCCCAGCTGTCCACCCAGGCCCGACTTAAACACAGTTGCGGGAACTTACACACAAATCTTTTCCAGCCGAACTCTTCATCAGCAATCGTCCGAGTGGGCAGGTCTGACACTTTCTTCTGTTCCATCTGGAACCATCCCAACTGTCATACCCCCCTACTTCAAGAGACCTCCGATCTCCTCTCTGACAAAGACCTGACCTTATCTTGCAGGATTCCAGTCTACCTGCAATCTTCGACTCGTGCTTCCAACCTGCGCAGGTCTTACATCGTTCAAAGACTCGAGTACTCTCTCAACTCCTACTTTTCCAACGTTGATTCTTCCAACATCGATTCTTCCGACATCGACCTCTTGGACGTCAGCTTTTTCAAGGTCATCTGTTCTGGTCCCGACTCTCTCATCCTGAAATCCTAAACTTTTCCAATCGCTGCTCTTCCAACCTCAACTCTTGCAATCTGTGCTTTTCATTCGATCAGGCAATCACCTAGCTTCCCCTTTCTACTGACCATCCCTTTCACAAACCCATTCCTGGATTCAACATCATGTCTGAGGCCGATTCCAAGACTATTCACGTGAACCCCCAGGTTCAAACCCCACCACCCCGAGCTTACCTGTCGTCGCTTATGCCCGGCAATACCGTCGGCGTCCCACTTCCCGCCGACAACATGAACGCCCCCGCTGCTGGAGCAACTGCTATCAACCAGGCTCGCAACCAGGACACCCAGAAGCCGTTCCCCGCCATCCCTGATGAGGAGGTTGAGGAGGCAGACTGGATCGCTCGATGGCTGGAGAAGACAGAGATGGAGCAGGCCGATAAGTACAACCGGACCGTAACGATCTCGCCTCTTCCAGATGACGCGACTGTTGCCGACGTCCTGCCTCGCATCCGTGGTGGCGTGGACTCGTGCTACGTCAGCCAGTTCGAGGAGACCCGCGTTGCCGTTGTCACCTTCAAGCGTTCCGCAGACGCCATCACCTACGCTGACTTCTGCAAGGAGACTCCGATCTGGGGCCTATGGACCTTCCAGATCTCCCGACCCGGTGTCCCGTTCACGTGGGAGCGCCGCGCCAAGGTCAAGCTGTACAAGGCAGCGCCCGGGATGGGATCCGTCTGGAAGCGTGGAGATATCCCTACCCAGCCCCGGGACGTCGTTGTCGCGGGCTCCCGCTGCCTCAAGTACACCGGCTGCAAGCCTCACGAGGTCGCCAATATCTATCGAGCCCTAGGCCTTCAGTACTCGCAGCACCAGAGAGACCAGGTTGAGGGAATGTGGCTGGACGGCCCGGTACGCGATGGCAAGGGAGACCCCGTCCGCGGTACCCTCCACGTCTGGTATACCAGTATCAAGGCGGCCCAGGAGGCCAAGGTCCGTGTGACCTCGCTCGAGTTCGAGTACGACCCTTGCTCCGACTCGCCTGAGAAGCTCCTCCTGTATCTCGACGAGGGCGATGACGTTCCGATCTTCCGGCACCACGAGCCTTTCGTGAACCTCGTGGACCTGGACCAGAAGAGCATTCTGACGGGAATTCGCGAGGGCCTGGTCGACCCTGCTCAGGCCTACTGGCGGTGCCGTGTTGTTACCCAGCCGAAGCCAGATGTCATGGATAACCTGGCCGCGCGCCTCCAATGGTCTCTCCAGACCAACGGCGGACGGCAGGCGATGTCGACTTTCCCGGGCGCCTACCAGCAGCCCGGCGTCATTATTCCTCCAGCCGCCCTCAGCGATCCCTTTCTCGACACCCAGCCTATAGGCACGGGCTTCCCCCCTCAGCACAACCGCGATATTCCTGTCTACAGACTGCCCGGAATCGACCAGAACATTCCAACGGAGTATCAGCCATTCGCGGCCAGCCGAGCCGTCCCGCCGGGACACCATCTGTCTCCGTTGGAGACCTACGTCGCCCGGACCCAGGAGCGTCAGGCCCTGGGCTTCCCTCCGTACCACAATACGGACCAGAACAGCGTGCTCTACCGCACCACTCAGCCTGTTTATGACCTCACCACGGACACCGACAACAAAAACAACAACAGCAGCAGTGACGGCACCGGCACCGGAACCTTTGGCGGCATCGGCGTGATCGGTGACAACATCCGCACCACCAACACTAACCTCGCCACCAACAACTCTAACCTGGGTGGTGTCAACAACAACCCCGAGAGCGGACGCCAGCCTCGCTCGGGACTCTATGATTCCTAGGGCGATGATGACACCCGGACCAATCTGACGGATGCTCCGCAGGACATCCAGGTTCCAGGAGACTCTGCACCCACCACTGTATTTGCTACATCTCTCATTTCTGATTCTTCATCTCTTACCCAGGGCGCGACATACGCCGTCTCCTTGCAAACCTCTGTTGCCGGTCACAAGATGGACCATGGCTATGCTGGCAATTCTAGCAAGGAGGTCTGCGCGGACAACTTTGGCACTGGCTCTAATTGCTCTATCGAGCCTACTGTCGTTGGACTGCGTGGTGGCGGTAAGGCCACAAAGTCTGACAAGACTTCGTCGACAGACACAAGTGAATCTGTCGACGCCCCTCTCACTTCAGCTCCTGGCAAGTACTCCCGCAAGGACTTGAGCACCCAGGATGTCTTCTGGACCTGCAGCCTGGAGGAGTTCCGCGCCATGAGCGACGAGCAGTGGGCATCATTCGGCACTGCCTTCTACGTTGCTCCAGCCGGCTTTGACACGGCTACAAAGCACGTTGTCCAGCTTGAGTGAAAGGGTTTGGGACTGAATGGACATGACGGCAGCCTTTGAGTGGCACTTGGGCTACTCTCCTGGCTGGCATGTCCTCTTTTTGGAAGGCCTGCACGATATTGATACGAACCCGGAATTAGCAGGTATGGCCGTGGTCTTTCCAGCGGCACTTGGGCTGTGTGTGGCAGAGACATTCATGGCTGGCAATACCGCCGCCGTCGATGCGAGACACCTGCGCTGTGCCCCTCCGGGCGTCTGCTTTACCCGGGCGTGGCCCGTCCATAAGCATCACATCGAAGGACCAAATCGTACACGATGCCCCGGGATAGGGAAGCAGTCTGCTTCTTGGTAAGCTTGATACGTGGGGCTTACGGCCAACATCTCTTACGACCAGCATGATTTTCTTGGAATTTTTGGACCTCATTCACAACCCAGGGCATTTCACTCGACACCCTTGGGAAATCTGCTCATTACCCCTCAGACATCCAGTAGCAATCTCTAACCCAGCACGGGCAGATACCGAATGACATTTTGCAATGGTTTAAGTAAAACTGAAAGGCTTGCTGTGTGAGGTTGTTTCTGTTTTTAGGGGACTCTTCTCCATGATTGCTATGTATTCTTTTTGTGTATTTACAAAACCCAACCAGGACACCAGGACGCCATTCAACCAGGCCCATGAGTGTGTCAATGTGCTGCCCAAACTCCGAGAGCAGCCAGGTTGCTCAGCTCAGTGGAAATCTTGTAAGTCAACCACCAGGATTGCACCAGACGCCGTCAAAAAGACCGCTAGAAGTGTTGAGGTGTTGCTCTTGCCATGCTAGCAAATTGTGCCACGATCTCTGCCTCCATAGCTTTTCTCCTCTCAGTTGCGGCCGTCTCATTCTCGTCAATAACGAGAAGCTCATCTGGGCCGTCGTCAGCGTCCGCGTCCCCACCCAGCGCATTGCCGTGCTCAAGCATCGTGTCACTGGTGGCGTTCAGTTCCACGCCCTCGAAGGCATCCGCCACACTGTTATACCCTTTGGCCCAATCGGCAAGCAGATTTGTGTGCTTCGTCTTCGCTGGCCTTTTCGATTTGGGTCTATCAGGTCGATTGGCGCCACGTTTAGCCTTCTTCTTGAGGTATTCCTTTACTAGCTTCTCTGCAATGTTCTCCCTGGGCTCCCACGTTGGGTTCAGGTCATCGGGCCAGTCGCCTTCCCATCGCACTTGAAACCAGTGCACACCATTGAGGATGTAGTCGTCTTCGAGGCGCTTGACCACGTAGTCTTGCTCGCCTTGGACAAGGTCTAGGGCGGTATTAGGTGAGCCCACAGCTTCTGCTACTCCAGTATCCATTGGGGTCAACTCGGCCTGCTTCTTTTTGCTTTTCCTTGACTTTGTCTTGGCAGGAGCATCTGCAGAAACAGGTGAGTCTTCAGCTTGTCTCTTAGACGGCCTCCGGAATGTGCCGCCTATAGGGGTAAAGCCGTTGATATGAGATGGTGGGGGGTTCGCAGAAGACGAGCGCCGGCTGTGGACTTGGTCTGCCTGTGTTGAGGCTAAGCCCCCTCTTAGCTGTGTATCTGTCGAAGGAATTGTAGCATGAGACTTGGAAATCCGTTGTTTTAATGCCTGCGAGTAATGTGACGGCAGTGGTATTGGTGTAGTGGAGACCTGGGGCCTCGTCGGGACCTTACAGGAGCGGCTTGGGGAGCTGGAGTTGCCGTCTCTCGCTCGTCTGATCAGGGGAGGCAGGACAGGCGTGGCCGTACGATGTACGGCCACACCAGATGCAGTCTTTGAAAGAGAGCTGGGTGGATTTGCAAGGGCTGGCCTTGCGCTGCTGGCTCGAGAGCATTCCTCGCTAGATCTTCCAGGTACAGCAGAGCTTAGGCGCAGCGAGTCCAGTTCTTCCCCAACACCCATGTTAACATCGCCGTCCGAAACACGTCCGCCCTCACTGGGTAGTTCCAGTTGCCTGTGTATTGCCAACCCTGCGTTCTCACTTTCTCCTTCCAGCTCTTCCAGCATCTCCTCCTCCTCGGCCAGCAGTTGCGCTGGCCTCCTCTTTTGTGGTGTCGATAACGATGGACCTCTCCTCCGCTTGTGGATGATCTCTTCTTGTTCACTGTTCAGCTCGGGTTCCGGTGTCGGCTCGGCTACCATCATCATCGCTCTCGGAGGTCGTCCTGGTCTGCGCTTGGCGCCTGGCAGCAATCCACCGTCAATGGGTGTAGCCACTGCCTTGCCTTGAGCAGCCTCATGTTTCTTGGCCTCCCTTTCCTGCTCGCGCTCTTCCTCGCGGCGCAGCGCATCTTGGTATTCCCAGTCCTCCAGAGTACGAGGCGAAACATAGTCGAGGATCTTGCTAGCGTCCACGACAGGCCGCGCTGCAGGGAGGTCAGGCCAGCCTACGATGTAATAGCAGCGTCGCTGTCGAAAGTGGTCGGAAGGATGGAAGTGACCGCGGGGAAGGACGACTTTGTCGACGATGAACGCGTTGCTGTCGTGAACAGGTCGCAAGTTGATTCGAGGTGGAACGGGGCCACTGCCAGGTCTGTACTTTGGAAGCCGGGGACGAATTGGGATGTGGAATTGTAGTATGGGCTTCTCCTGCTTGGTATCGACGATTTCCAAGGACCCTCGTATGTCAGAGCGGAACCGCTCCCAGCACGCCTCGTGATCTTCCATCGCTGCGGCGGAGGCGGATATCGTGACCGAGGCTCGAGCAGTGGGATGTCGCAGACGCGCCGCCGACTCGGGCGCCCAACGAGGGGACCGAGCCCACGGGGGAACAGACCCCTTATTCTGGAAAGAAGGGACTCCGGAAGGCGAACAATACCCTTTATCGCCCAAGGGCTGAGCCCTTGTCCACCTGCTGCAACTGTTAAAGGGTTGATCGCAGCGGCGCGTGAGGTCGCGACGAAGTGGTCAGTCGATTCGCGCCAGCCAGGTGGCTTTGGGGGGGTAAGAGATGCTTGATTACGCTAACTACTGCAAAACAAGGCTAAGGTGGGGTAAAATAGTGATGATCCACCTTATATTAGGTAATTTAACTAAAGTTAAAGGTAAAAATTAAAACTTAAATTAATTGCTTTAATTATTTTTTAAAAATCAAGGTTTATAATATTATAATAATTATATTTATTTAATTTTAGTTTATTTTATACTTGTTAGTTTTATGAATTTAACATCAGCAATATTAATAAATGAGCTTGTTATGTTTCTTCAGAATTGTGGAGTACGTGCAGAAAGAAGCACTGCAGTCTGGAAGACCATACAGTTGACATTGGGAAGGGAACTAGCTCCATCTGCAGTTCCAGGCGCGGCAGGCACGGGACAGCTCGGGTGATCCTGGTGCAGATGCAGGTGGAGGTGGAGGAGTGCAGGAGCGGGACCGCTGGAAGAGCTTCGAAAGCTTTGGCGTCGACCGCACACCACAGCTCCAAAGCAAATCTTCCATCCGCACCGCACCGGCCCATCAACGTCACAGCTCCACCAAACTTTTCTCGCCGGCGCGAAGCAAATATCCACCCAACCTCCCTGCTCCAGAGTCTGCTGGAATTCTCAATTGAGAAAACCTACAACACGCTTCCCAGACGGTGCACGCGCGCGCACGCACATACTCACAGACAAGCCCGCAATGATCGCCTCCACGACGACGGTCATGCTCCGCTCAGGCGTCACCCGCGGCGGATGCGCCCTGCAGCTCCTCCGCAGCACGACCAGCTGCCCCTACTCGACCATCACAGCCGCCTCGCCCTTCGCCAGCGTGCGCTCCAAGCTCTCCGACTCACCTTCCACATCGAGCCCGGCCGGCGCCAGGCCAACACCCGCCTCTTCCTCGCCCGTCCTCACACTCTGCCGCCAGGCAAGCACACCATCGACAGCAGCAGCGGGGCGGCGGCACGCCTCCTCCTCGACGCCAGACCAAGAAGCCGACGTAGCAGCCGCGACGCGCGCGGCGCAGCGGGCCGAGGAGTACGCGCGGTCGAACCCGGACATGCCCCCGCTGGACTGGAACTCGTTCTTCCAGCTGCGCAAGACGCGGCGCCGGTGGCAGGTCGGCTTCAGCGCGCTCATGTCGGTCGGGTTCGGCGCGGCGGGCGCCGTGGTGCTCGGCTCCGGGGCCGCCGACGCCCTGACGGGCCAGATCCCGCTCGACCCCATCCTGACGCTCGGCCTCATCACGCTGGGGTGCACCGCCATGGGGTGGGTCGTGGGGCCCAGCGTGGGGAACGCGGTGTTTTACCTCATCAAGCGCAAGTACAAGGCGCCTATGACTGTGGTAAGTAGATCGGTTGCCTTTTCCGTCCTTCCTCTCTCGGGTGGACTAGACGAGTGGATGGGATGAAACGCTGACAGAAGACCCGTTGTACAGAAGGAGAGCCAGTTCTTCGCCCGGATCAAGAAGAACCGCGTTGACCCGTCCAACTCCTCGACCGGTAACCCGGTGCCTGACTTCTACGGCGAGAAGATCTCCAGTGTCGCCGGCTACAGGCAATGGCTGAAGGACCAAAGGGCATATAACAAGAAGAGGACGACTTTCATTTGAATGATGTCACTAGAACTATGTCAGTACAGCAGTGAAGCCAGAGGTCGCATGGAAATCCTGCTGCGAGCTGCTGTTCAGACAACTCCCCGATTCCTTGATAGGGACGAAATGGCAACCGTTGAAAAGTAAGTGGATGGTTGATGGCCTCGGCCGATCCAGACAAAGGCCAAGGTCAGTTTGGGGTGGGAATGGATGCAAAAGCACACAAGTATGAGTCTCATTCGCCGGAGTTCAGAGCCTCTCCATAATTGTACTTGTACCTACAGCGCCGTAATGCCGCAGAATTGATGTGACATCCTCCTCTTTGACCTTCATGTTTGTGTATTTTGAGGCCCGGAAGTGAATCAGCTTGCCAAATTTCCTTTGCTTCAGGCGCGTAATTCAGCCTGGTATTGTGGGATAAGCCAATTCTGGAAGCAATGGCGGATCTATAAGAATGGCAAAGTACTGTCAACCTCCTGCTTCCAAGCCATCATGCCGCCCTTGATATCCCCGATAAATCTCGCACCACCCCGGCCCAGCCCAAGGTCCTTCAACTGCTTGGCCACCAGCTGGGAGTCATTGCCAACCCTGCACACCACATAAATCGGTGCATGCCCCGACAAGTTTGGAGGTATCCAGTCGGGCAGCTCCGCCTCAGCAGCTGCATCATCCACACCCTCGGGCCTCATCGTCCTCCCTGAACTTTGGATCCTCGAGTACGGGATATTCACAGCCCCCTCAATACTCCCAACGTCGAACAACTCCTTCTCCCTGACGTCCAGCAGCACATGCCTCGCCTTGCCCTGGCCCTCCTCTGGTGGCTCTTGGACCAGCAGCCCCTGATAATCACGAGCCGAGAGCCTCTCCCCATCCTCAAGCACACTGACCGGCCCACTCAAGCCCCCGCAGAAGGCAACATAATCCAAGCTCCCGCTCCGCAGTGTCTCGAGCGAGAGACGCGCCGTGCCGCCCTCGCCACAGGCGAAGCACTCCCTCCGGCGCGCACGCATCCGTACGGAACGGAACGAGGGCGCCCCAACCGCCGAGCCGGAGAACAGCAGCAGCGTCGGTGACAGCGGTGCCGCCGCCGCCGCATCGGGTGGGATCGCCGCCGCGGGGAGGTGCAGACCCGCAGCGACGATCTTGATGGCCTCGAGGGCCTGCAGCACGCCCATGACGCCCACCACTGGCCCCAGGACGCCGCCCTCGCCGCAGCTGACGACGCTCTCGGGCGGGGGCGGCTTGGGGAAGACGCAGCGGTAGCAGGGCGGGGCGGTCGTCGTCGTCGTCGTCGTGCCTGCTTTGCTAGTAGATGGCATGGGGAAGACGCCTTGGGGGGTAGGCGGGCAGTTGAGGACGATGAGCTGGCCGTCGGTGCGCAGGGCGGAGGCAGAGACGAGGGGCCTGCGCAGCAGGACGCAGGCGTCGGAGATGAGGTAGCGCGAGGTGGGGTGGTCGGTGCAGTCGAGGACGAGGTCGTAGGCGCCAACGATGGCCTCCGCGTTCTGTGGGGTGAGGTGTTCCCTGTGTGGGATGTACTCGGGTAGCGGGTTGAGCCTGTTGCTGCACTGTTAGATCTCCGTGCAATATGTGTATAATGGCAAGGAGATGTACTCTTTGCAGTAGGCCATCAGGCTGTCCACCTTGAGCATGCCCACCCTTGACGTGCCATGGGCGATCTGACGGTGTAGGTTGGACGGCTCTACGACGTCGCCGTCCACGATGCCGAGCGTGCCCACTCCAGCCCCGGCGATGTATGCCGCTGCCGGGCACCCAAGCCCGCCGGCGCCGACGATGAGGATCTTAGAGAACTTGAGTCTCTGCTGGCCTGTAACTCTATTTTAGTAACAGCATAACGTGTGTGGATGAAGTGGTCTGACCTCGGATGCCGATATTTGGCAGAATCAACTGCCTCCCATAGCGTTCGTACTCGTCAGCCTTCAAAGGCCATTTCCAAGCCGAGCCATCGGTACTGCCAGCGCCAGTTTCTGCTTTTTGGTCCTGGTCCTGAGCCTCTTCATAAGCCTCAGCTTGAGTAAGTTGATCTCGCAGATTCCTCAGCTCCTCCTCGGCTTTCGAAATCTGCTCACGCAGCTGCTGTGCGCTCTTTCGTGCAGTGTCCATAGCATGACAGACCAAGCCAGACAGTCGGGAAATCAGTTATGAGTCTGATATCTTGGCAGGGAGTGCTTAGGGCCTCTCCTACGGGTAAGTGAGCCGTTAGCTGAACGCCGTAGGGCTGAGATGACTAAAGTCCGGGGTACTCTGGTGCTGTGGAGCTTCCATCCCTACCCGTGCTACAGTGGGATCGACTGCCTGCCGCCACATTCCTACAGAACACCCTGATCTAGCTGGCTTCCCTGCATTAATTTTTTTGGAGGCTGTTGATCCTTCGAATCCTCATTCACATGATAACGCCCATTTTCGAAATTTCCACGCTCAACACCTCGACCACGCCATACACCAACACTACTCCCAATTGCACCTGTCAAGCCCTACAACATGGTAAGCACCCTCGTCATCCGTTAAAGGTGCAACGTTCCTCAGCATTACTAACACCAAACCACCACAGGCCCCAACAGCCCCAACAAAGCGCAAGACCCTCCGCGCAAAGGCGACAGAGCGCCTCGCCAACCCCCTCGCCCCGCGCAAGGTGCACCGCCCCTCGGCCCAGGTTGACGACTCCTTCATCGAGTCCAAGCGCGACAAGCGCCTGATCAAGCACTCGTCCTTCGTCTCGCGCATCTCCAAGCCCGCCCACAAGACCCCGACCCAGCGCAAGAACCTCAAGCGCCGCGAGAAGCACCGCCAGGCCCAGGCCGCCACCAGCCTCGCCTCCCTGTCCGACGCCCTGCCCTCCCTCACGGCCGACGAGGTGCGCGCCGGCGAGACGGAGGCCGCGGGCAAGGTCCGCCACAAGTCGCTGAAGAGCACGCCGGGGGCCCTGCGCAAGAAGGAGCGCCTCGTGCGCGGCGAGATGGAGCGCTTCGGCCTCAGCCTTGCGCAGCTCAGCACCGTCAAGGAGCAGCCTGCCCCCGTGCCCGCTCAGCAGCAGCAGGTGGATATGGACGTTGAGAACAAGGACGGCGAGGAGGAGAACCGCGCGCCCGTGCAGAGCACCGCCAACCGGTTCGCTGCGCTGAGGGGGTTTATCTCTGCTACGATGGAGCAGAACCCGGCCTTCTCACGGCAGAACGGCCTTGCTGGGAGACCAACTTGAACAAAGCGCAAGTGGGACACGACTAATAACATCTATAGCTCTCTTGCCGGCTTCTTACGCGGCGCTGATTACCAGGGCCAAGTAGAGAGAGAGCAGGCGTCGAGAACGTCAAATAAACCCGGCCCCAGTTTCCTGGGAATGGAAGCCAAGCGAGGCGTATCCTGGGTTCGTAAGAGTTGGATGAGGTCGGGTGAGGCTCTTTGGGCCAAAACAAGACCTCAATACGGACCGGGCACCGGGACAGAATTAACAGAGCAGCTCTGAAAGAGATTCTGAAAGAGGCAAAAGCTGGAACTGGGCAAAATGTTCAGACACGTCGATTGGTACAGTGGACAACATTCAAGCAGGCAGAAATCAACAGCCAACGATGAATTCTTGGTCATTCGACCACTGACTGTCATTCGTGCTTCATGACCGTCCCGCAAACTCGTAGCGGGATGCGGTATCCAGACTGGTGTCCTGATAAGAGCCTGCTAACAAAAAAATGTTGCTCCCATGTCCCCATCCTCCCCATGTATCAGCTCTACGTGGACGCCGAATTTCACAGCGTCCCGTGCGGGCAGAGATGATGGCTTTCCCCGCTTTGATCGCAGATGATCAGTACATCTGATGGGCCGAATCCATCATCATCGAGGAGACCAAAACTCCGGCGAACTCTGCCCCTTTGGAAAACGCCTCTGCTGCAATTGACCATGTCTGCTGCCGTGTCTGCTTCCAAAACAACTCCTCAAACGCTTCCCGCAATGCAATACCAAGTTGCGTCGCGCTGCAGTTGTTTTGACAAGAAGCACAAGTTCATATTGGAGCCTCGGGGCATGATCATGATCCATTTCAAAGAATGATGGCATCGATCTGCCTCCGATTCACAATTGTGACATCGGCACCTTGAGACCACTAGGGCCACTCCAAATGCTGTGGCTTCTTCTTCCCGAGCCAAGCCTCGTAGGACTCAGAAGACGCTGCTCCGCGTGACCTGATCACTAGTCGATCCGCGGCGCACCCTCCTGCTTGGGAAAAGGGCTAGCACTACGGCGCCTCTCGCCCTCCTTGCGCAGGCTCTCGATGATCTTGATCATCTCCTTGCGCGCGCCCGTGGCATCGATCATCTTATTGGACATGCTCATCGAGACCTTCTCGCGGGCGTTTGCGTTGAGCAGGCGCTTGACGAGCAGGTGGCGCATGAGGATGCACACGAAGACGCCGCAGTCGTTGCCGTTCTCCTGCTGCGGGCAGTCGTTGATGTTCTGGAAGCGCAGCGGCATGCCCAGCAGCGCCGCCATGCGGTCGCTCGCCCGCGCGCCCTCGCCCGCGTTGGCGCCCCCCAGCGAGTCGTAGTGGAACGACACCCCGTCGATCTTGGACACGAGCAGCAGCGACCAGTGCGACCCGTCCGGCTGCGTCCGGCTCACGGCGTCGTTGATGGGCAGGAACACGTGCGTTACTTTTGTCATGTCCGGCAGGGCGGACCGGATCGACGCCGGGTCGTTGCGCATCAGGAGGTATGTCATCGATGGCCGCAGCAGGCAGATCCGGGCCTGGGGGTATTTGGGGAGGATCTCGTGCTCGAGCCACCTGATGGAGGCGGGGGTGTCAGTAAGGGCTGCAGGCTCTGCAGGTCGGCGGTGCGGGGAAAAAGTGAGGGTATCACGAACTCCTCCCAGAAGTGGATATTCTGTAGAAAGACAGCGTTAGCACTCGACCTCTCGAACCAGAGCCAGGCCTTTTCTTGTACGCACATTATCAGTCAGCCAGTCATTACGTAGCGCCTTGATATCCTCATAGGTAACTATTGTTTGTCAGCCGTGGTCGGTCGGTCGAAAGGGTAGCACCTGGGTTGTCGCATACGGCAAATGTCGTGGTCTGCGAGGGAAAAGTCTGTGTCAGCTCTTTGTCACACGCCAGGCAAATCTAACAGCGCTGGGGCTCGACTTACATGACAGGTAGGGCGCGGTGGGCGAGAGCTGGTTTCCGTGCGCGTCAGTCATCTTGCAGTTGGCTCTGGTCACTCTGGAGTGGTGTTTGCGCCTGCTGGGGTCGTAGCTCGTGCAGCTCCAGTTCGCGTAGGGGTTTCTTGGTCGTGGCGAGGTGCGCCGAGCCGAGGAAGAAGACGAGGAGGCAGGAGGGTAGACGCAAGGGTTGCCGGTGCTGCGCCGACTAATTGCCCTCGTCGTTCTTCCGACGCTCTTGACGATTTTGTCACTCGCTCGGTGCTGTGGACCGAGGGTGCTGCGGACGAGCATCTCTGTATCGGAGCCGTTTCCATGGCCTGTGCCGTTGCAGTCCATGCGGTCGTGGCGGGCTGTAGCTCTTGTGCGGGTGCAGCCCAGACCGCGACCGCTGCCAGTGCCGACGCGAGGGTCGGGACTGAAGCTGGCTGGGAAAGTAGAGAGGACAAGATGGGGTGAAAGCGAAGCTGGAGCGCTTACAGTCTCGCCGAACCGGCGGGCCACTCTATCTCTGAAGGGCATGGTGACGCGAACCTTTGCCGCCGAGGGTGGGGAGATGGGTGCTGGTAGGGAGGGCGGGTATTCGCGCGACGAGGCACGACTTCCACGTGGTCCGAGGGGTGATAAGGAGGGAGAAGGGGTTGATCTCCAGGGGTGCCTCCCTTGGGATGGAGGAGGGTCCGAAGACAAAGCGGAGGACCGAGGAGGGGAGCTGCCGAAAGGCGCGGGGGAAAGGCTGTTATTAGTAGTGGTGGTAATGGTAGAAATAGCGGAAGCAGTACTTGACAGCCGGCGTGACCTGCTGCTGCGACTATCTCGGCTGCCGCCGACACGGATACGGCCAGGCTCGGAGAACACAGTGATGATATTCGTCGAGGTTGAGGACGGGGGCGAGGGCAAGGGCGAGGGCGGCGATCGCAACGAGTCCAAGGTGGCTTGGGCTTGGGCTTGGGCTTGGGCCTGCTGGGGGACGTCGACGTGGGGCTCGCGGTCGGATAGGGCGACCAGTCCGAGGCGGCTTTCAGAGCAGGGTTTTTGTCAGATGCAGTTCCCGGTCCAATTGACTAGGGGTCGCCCAAGCGAGTCGAGGCTTGTTGAGATTGGGTGGATACGCGCAGGTTTAGTCGAGCAGAAGAGAGAAGCCAAATAGACAAAGTGCAAGAGAAGGCCAAGGGCTCAGTAAGGTCCAGATTCAGATGTTGCTTGCTAGAACAGAGTGAATACCAAAAGTGCTGAGCAGATGCTGCGGGTGGTGATGCACGTTGACGCTGGTGAAGTTTGATGGTGGTGGTTTTGGTGGTGATGATAGTTAGATGCAGACAGCTGACCACGGTGCCTAGGTAGACAGCCAGTCTCGGCCCAGCTTTCAAAAGCCCAGACAAAACCCAAACTGCGGGGGAGAGGCAAGGCGATTCAGATCACGACAGGGCAGAGAGGAGAGCGGGCAGAACAAAACACAGAGTGCCGTTGACAAACGACCGAACAAACTCAAGTTCCAGAACGCCAGAACGTCCACTGGAGCGAAACTTCCGTCTGGTCTGGTTCTGGTGCTTTTGCTTTTGCCATTGCTCGGGGTGGGCCACTTCGGTCCACTTTAAACAACGGCAGAACTGGCGCGCCAACGCGGAAATATTCCAAGAACAATGGGGACCAGATCGGCTCTGGAATACTGTGTATCTTCGGCTGGTGCCATTTTGTGAAATGCAATTCCGATTCAAGAAAAGAACGACGAGGAAAGTCATCACCAACCCGATCTCGCTACTTTGGTACGGTCCCGTCATGACAGTTGCATGTCGACCATCAAGCAACAACTGCGTGGCTGGGCATCACAAGAACACAGAAAAAGATGGAAAACTTGGTTTTCAAATGAAGGATGTCAGCACTTTTCTTTGACTGTTGTATCTGGTGATCCCCGTTCCTGCTCATACACGCCAACAGGAGGAATGGCACCGGCCGAACAAGCCTGTCATCCTGCCTTCGAGTGACGTAACACAGCTCACGCTCGACGCCGACGACCTCTCCCCTCGAGATCAGCGCGGGTGCAACTGCGGGGTTCTCTACCTCTCGCCTTTTTTGGCACCGCTCTCGTCTAGGCACCTACCCAAGCTTCTCCGGCTCCGTGGTACGCAGCTCTTGGGGAGCTGCGCCACGACCATTCTGCGCCCCCTACGTCGTCAGAACCTGTGGCTTAGCCTGCCGAACCGACGCGACGCCTCAATTGGCGACTTTCTTAACGCCACCAGAAGCCGCGATGCCCTCACCCTGACCCACTTGCCATCTTCTACAGTGTCGTGGGCATCAACTTTAACACTCAGGAAAGGATTCTGTGCAATTTAACTTAGTCTCGTTTCATCCATTTCCCACGTCGAATCGGGCTGTCATCCCTCACGTCTACAGAGCGGACCTCGGGACATGGTGTTGCAACAAGCTTATGACCGTGTCAGAGATCTGCCAACCACCAACCTTAATAGAGCACAGATGCTTTCATCCACAGCATTATCCCCCCGGGGAATTCGGTTAGAAGCTAAACTTCAGTCGTACATGAAGCGAATATGGTCTTGCATTAGGTAGAAGCCATCCATCTACATCCCCGAGCCAAAGTCTATGCCTCTGCCTTTCACTAGCTATTTTGAGAACACCCACATTACCACTGAAACCCCATTTTCTTGCTTTCGAGAACATGTTTCCCGCAAAGATCCCGGTGCCCCGATCACAGGTTCCTAGCCTCATTCTCCGTCATCCACCCATGTCTCCCCCCGGCAAACATTGGCAAACAGGCACGCCTGTTCCTGAAAGACACTGCGATATCCCTGCATCGGTCAAGCTTCTGTGATGGTCTGCAGCAATTGCTTCAGGTGATTGGTGGGTGCGTTCTCCCTCACATGGGCGACAGTCTCGTCAACGTCCACCGACTCCAGCTTGCCCAGAAGCGTCCCAGCAACATGCCGGGCTTGGCCGTAGGTCTGGACATATTCCAGTCGCTTCTGTTCTTGTTGCTGCGTGATGAGCGCCCTCTCTTTCCTGTGCTTGTGTGCTATTTTTTCGACCACTCGCTGGCCATCCTTTTGGTAGTCATCAACTACATCGTCGATCGCCGCCTCGCTTGTCTTGAGTCCTCGCAGGATGGTCTGTCCATGTCAGTTGGAGGGTCCGTGGCATAACACAGCGCTAAAGGCCTCAGCTCACATTGACAATCTTGTGCATCGTCTCCCCAAGGCTGTTATCGTATGGCTCTGTTGCCTTCTTCCAAGCTTGCGCTCTTTCGTCCACCTCAGAAGCCCTTCGCTGATCAAACGAGTCACTGAGCCAAGAATTTGTTGTGTTGCCCACGAGACATCTCTCTCTGCGTTCATCGCTCGGGAGACATCGGTCAGGAGATTGTGCTTTCTCTGGCCCCAGGGCTGCCAGCATTCTAGTACCCACGTCGTCCAGTTGTTGCTTTTCCTGTAGACGTGGCCCAGCGCCCGGGGCTGCGGATCGGGTTGTAGCTGCATGAGTGGTTGCAACGGTATGCTGTCGAGGGGCAGCACGCTTGTCAGATGCAGCCGGTGCCACCAGTCCAGCTTCACCGAGACCACGATCTGCCGATTCGTTGCTAATCAAACGTTGGACAAACGCAGATGTCCCAAGAGACTCGCCCTTCTTACCTGGGCCGAAGATATCATCACCGGTATCGCCACCTCTTCCTCGGGAGTGGCTGTCTGGTTCATCGACCAGATTATTGATATGCTCTGTGCCATGATCGGCCCTTACTGCGTGGGCAGAGTTGTGCCTTGGCTTCTTGACAGGCCGCCCACAGTCTTCTGAGGGCAACTTGAAGGCCGTAGAATTCATGCGCAAAGAGGGAAAGATCCCTGACTGTGGGTCCGCCTTTGATGCCAGTGCCTGTTGAATGGGTGATCTTTCTTCGACAGTCATCACGTCTGGAGGTTTTCGTTTCGTGAAACGGGGGATGATGACTGCAGGCACATCTTTGGGGCGGGTTTGATAGTTAGCATCAACTCCCCCCAGTACGGTGCGCTGCTCTGGCAGAAGCCGGTGTTCGATATCAACCTGCGTGGGTGGCCTGAGGACTTTTCTGTCACCCTTCCCCTCGAACACTCTCGCCACTTCATGGCTCTGATGTTTCGGGGAGTCGACTGTCAAATTGGCTGCGTCATCCACTGCGGTGTCAGCTTCAAAGTCGCCGTTGGCGGATTGACCAGATGCGTCACCGCGTCCAGCTTCGTCGACGAGAGTTGTCATCTCTGCATCGAAATCCGACACGATTTCCTTGGTTTCGGCCTTGGAAATTGGCGCATTGTCCGGAACTGCCTCCGCAACAGTCGGCTGGCTTGCCCGCGCAGTTCGGCTGAGACCACCTTTAACAAGACCATTGAAGTCATTTGTTGGACTGTCTCCGCCTTGGACTGCTGTGTTCAACTGCATTTTCGGGGCCTTCTGGCTCCCTTTGGCCTGTTGGTTCTTTGTGGCCACAGGATATTCTCCATTGATTGGACCGGGTTGCTGAACTTGTGACCGCGAGTCGGCGGTCGCTGTTGTCTTGTGCGGCCTACCGTTATTTTTTGGCCCACCAAGCCCGAATGCAACAATATTTGGCTTGCGACGAGATTCCTTGGTCTGTTTTGCTGGTTCCGACGTTTGACCAACTTTATACGCCTCGCCTCTTCCCACACGGTCAGCGTTGGAGGACACAACAGTTTCCTGTTTGATTTCGCCTTTGGCATTCGCGGTTTGATTCACGGCAGCTGTTCGTTCACTGGTAGAACTTTTCTTCTTGGACTTCTCCCCGGACGACTTGAATTCCTTCTTTGACTCCAAGTTAGGCTCAGTACCTATTGCGACGGCCTGAGTCTTCTCGACTGCGGTCTTCTTGGGTGGCTGTTTCGGCTGTCTCTTTGCTCTTTTGGCGGTATCGACGTCGTTTCTCTCGTCTTGAGCGTCATGACTCTGTGCATTCGGCCTTGGATTTGAATGGTTCTTGTCCTTCCCCTTGACTTGTTTGGCTGCCTGGCTTCTAGCAGCGGTCGCTCTTGTCCTGCGGCGTGCGTTGCTGGGTGTCATCTTTCGGGAGCATTCGAAGTCCTGGTCATCTGTGTTGTCTGACTCTGGGAACGACGAAGTGGAGTCAGAAGATACTATAATGACGTCCTGCTTCTCATCCTCATTTGAAGAATTTCCTGATTCAAGTTTCTGGCCTTTCATCTGAGAGTTGTGGTTGGCTTCATGGGGTGCTTGGGTGACGACCGAGGGTTCCTCTGTAGGCAACTTGTCTTCATCGTGTTCCTCATCTGAATGGGCCTCTGGACTCTGATGAGCTGGCGGCACAGGTGCGGGTTTTGCGTTTCTCGGACGTCCCCCGGCAGTAGCCTTTGTCTCTCGTGCATTTGCTTTGGGTTTGGGGGCTGGCTTCTTCACGGCTTGCTTCTTCGCTGGAGCTCTTTTTTTGGCTGGAGCCGCCACAGGAGAACTGCTGTTAGATGCTGGTAGGGAGTAGTCATACTCATGTGATTTATGGATGTCCGGCCTTTCAGCCCCGGTCTCTTCCTCCAACTCAAGTCCAGATAGTTTCACTTTGCTGTTGGCAAGGGCCTTGGGTTCCAGCTCGGTGTCTTTGGTTGATGGCCTCATCTTTCCCTCGGTGTCCGTCGTACCTCGAGTTTCCAATGTCCGCTTTTGCGTCTGCACTGGCTGGAGTGGTTTCTGAGAATGTGCGATCTTCGGGGGATTACGGGAAGTAACTGCAGTGGGTGGCTGTTTCTTAAGCGATTCGAAGTTACTGAATGGATCAGACGACCCGCTCATGCTCCTCTCTGGAGCTGGTTGGGCTGATTGAGGCGGGATATGAGCACCCAGGAGGCCATGGAGAGTTGGTGACTGATTGAAGACATCCCGAACCTCATTATCATCTCCGTCCTGTCCTGGATCGATACCAGAAGACGTGGAGTCAAGATGAAGGTCACCATCGAGCTGTTCTCGTGGATTGGGCGTGACATGGCTGTCGCTCCGCTCATCTTCTTCGTCAATGAACGAGGCTTTCGCTTTCTGCTGGACTGGACGGCGACGTGGGGGTGCTGTCCACGACTCTTGTGTGTGAAGGGGGGACCCGAATGTGGCTGATTTGGGGGTGACGTTGGGGTGCGATTGTTGGGAGTCCTTGACCACATCAGGACCTGGCGTGTCCATTGTGAAGAATGTCGCTGTGGGCCAGCGATTGGACCATCTGCAGTGGAGGTGCCTGGGAGCAGCTGACGGGGTTATTGTTGAAGCAGTCTTTCGGCTACGACACGAGGTTGGGAGATCTCCAACAGTGTGCTCGCTGTGCTGGTGGGGCAAGACGCTCCAGAAGAGAAAGGGGGCACATGGAGACAAGACGGTGTCGACTTTGGTCGTAGCTCGCAAAGGTCCAAAACTCAGAACTTGGGGAGGGTTTGAAACGCAGAGGTGCGGTCGTGCCTGCCTTTCGTATGTCGGAACGCAGACGCATCTAATACACTAGGCGAGGGCAGTTACGCAGAAGCGACCACTTCGATGAGGAAGGAGACAGGGTGCACTCGCACCTTCCGTGACTTTCAATCATCGCCCTTGATCAGTACCACAGCAAACGACATGCAGAACAACAGCTGTATTGATAACCACTGCAGCGAGGGAGTGGGCTTCTGTCGTCTTCCAGGCTCAAGTGAGTGTTATCGCAAGGTGGGTGAGATAGAGGGTCCCCCGTCCTGACCCTGGGATCATTTTCCAGTCGTCCAATCTGATAATTTCGATGCCAACATGGAAGCGTCCTGACTTTCGTGTTGGTCGTCCACTGGTGCAGTACGATCTTCCTTGCATTTCATATGCGCAACAATGCCCCCTTGGTCGATGCAGCCAGCTGCGCCCTCCAAAGCCTGCCCTCGTTAAGGATGAATATCTCGCCCTCCTTACCGAAGCAAAAGTTGGCAGCGCCGCCTTCAACCAGGATCTTGCCCAGTAGCACGCCCCCCGACGACCACACGTTGATGCCATCCCCACACCCACTATACACGTTCCCGTGCACGTCGCACTTGATCCCGTCGGGAATGCCCGTGTCGGCCATTGCGAAGAGCCGTCGGTGCGTGAAAAATGGCTGGCCAGAGTAATTCGCCACGTCAAACGCATATCTGCAAAAATCCATCATCAGCAGTCGCTCGCCTCGTAGTCCGCGCCACTCTCGAACAAGTCCTACTCACATGGTAGACGCCCTCGTCAGATCCGTCGTCCCGTCCCCGTGGATCCAGTCTGTGTCCGTCACATACACCGTCAGCTCGTCCGGGCTGAAGCAGATCCCATTCGGACGACCAAAACCATCTGCTAACGCCCTGACGCTGCCCTTGCCACCGACACCGCCCTTTGGATCGAAACGGTAAACCTGGCTTGGCAGTACTGGCTGCGGCCGGATCCCCTGCTCGTATCCGTATATCGGGTCTGTGAACCAGATCGACCCGTCGCTGTGCACCACCACGTCGTTGACGCTGTTAAACCGGCGCCCGTGGAAGGAGTCAACTAGCGTACGTGTGGCATATGGAGGCCGAGGCTCCATGTGCACCAACCCTCCCGGCTCGGCCGACGGGTCAAGCCCGCCCTGTGCGCAGAACAGCACGCCGCCCTCGTAGTTTACACCACCATTCGCCATCGGAACGCCCTCCGGGTTGATCTCTTCCACCTCGGCTGTCGTCTTTCCTCCCGCCCTGTTGAGCTTGACCCTGGAGATCTGTATCTTCTTCCTGCCCGTCTCGGGGTCCGGATACTGGTTGCTGGTGATGAACAGGGTGTCGTCGGCCGCAATGAAGACTCCCGCCTCATGCGCGAAGGGGTACTGATCATGCTCGTGGAGCAGCTCTAAAATCGGCGAGTCCCCAAAGAGGGCTCTCGCTGGCTCCTCGTGGATGGCGAAGGCAGACAAGCCTCCTGCCATTTTTGCAATGCCGGTTGTCAACCTCAGCCGGCCAGGTCCTTTTCGCTTCGGTGAGCTGTCTCGTGTCGCGGGTCGATTTGTCAAATAGCGACGTTGGATGAACACAGTAGCATGCGTTCGTTTCAGGACCGGGCACGCGTATTCTACAATTTCTGCCGAACCTGAGCTTGGCGAATGGCAAAGTAGAGGCAGGGTCTCTGCCTTTATCTGACCTGACCCAAGTCGATCCTGTCGGGAATTAAATCGAAAACCCGATCTCGCTGGAGATCGTCACGCATTTCCACCGAATAGGATCATCCAAAGCCGACGCCGCCTTCGCGTCGATGCTTGCGCGAGTCAAGCTTCGCGCCGTACAGACCCGGGACTGCGGACGGTCAACAGTCTGGCATGGCAGTCAGGTTTATCCGGCCAAACGTTCATACGACAATCCTCGGCGCTGGCAGGGATTGGTCGAGGCCCTCGATTCGAGGGTCGCCAATGAAGTCTGAGTGGCGTGACCTTACTGTCTGTCTGTTATTACACAAATACTACTTCGCAATGCAGGAGCCTTCAACCTTTGTTTCCTGTCTTTGTTTCTCGCTCCGTCAGATCCGGAGCGGGGTCCCGATGAAAGCACTGTCCACGGGTGCCAAGAAGCACGATTGGCCGGCCCGGACAAGCTTTCGGCTCCCGTCAACCACATAGATAACAAAGCGTCTCGTCGATCAACTCAACTGTTCCAACTCTCATTGCGCGGATACGTTTCAGCATGAGGTTTCACTCTGTGCGCCGAGGTTCTGAGAGGCAACTTCACTTGTAATTGCAAGCTATTTTATGCCATGCAGGAAATAGTCAAATTGTCTACTAGTATATAGAGATCGAAAGAATTCAAAGGGTTCGTGGAACACGAAAGAGAATGACAAGGATCGTCACGCAGAGCATCTTCGAGTAAACACTCTCTCTCCTAAGCCGCAATAGAGATGTGTCACCGCTATGCGTGAGCCGGTAGGACCCAGCCATGGCCACCTAACCGCGCAAATAGCTGTCATGGTAAGACGAGAGCCCATAAACGAGGCACAGATATCTTGGTGCCAAGGTCTCAAGTGGCCACCACGAGGAGAATTGTCACCAGTCCCGGCCCGTGTCTCGTCAACGCGGCCCGTGGTATTGAAGCTCTTCTACTTCCCGATCGGTGGGCAGTCCGTCTTCGCCCCGTTCTTGGTGCACTGGTTCCACTCTCCATAGACCCCATTGCAGTACAGCACCACGCGGCCCTCACCATCCAACCCGATGCCTAGGAATGTGTCTATGAATTCACAAGTCAGTTTCGAGTGGGCAGATCACATAATATCAATGTCTTGTGTGGTTCTGACTTACTCATATCCGTCAGGGTGGTCTTCTTGCCCGAGCCGGACACGTCCGTGCACACGCACTGCAGGCTCGTGCCATTGCAGGTAGGGCAGAGCGTGAAGCCCACATCACACTGGCAACTGCCCAGTGCGCCGCCGCTGAATAGGAAGAATCGTCAGTGGATCATTTTCTCCGGGTAACCAGCTCTCTCCTCTCTTAATCCATTCTGTTAGGGACCAGGCAGGAACTCACGCCTGAGACGGGACCAAGTTGCCGTCGACATTGGCCAGGCACTTGTTGATATTGATGTGGGACGTGAACAGGGCGGCGCCCATGTTCCGGGCGCCATTGGGCTCGGGCGAGCACTCGCCCGACACCTGGAGCTCGCTGCCCTTCTGGTCGAGGCTGTACACCTGGCAGAAGTCCGAGAAGCCATTCTGCCGGATTGGAAAGTTGGTCATCCTGCGTGTGTTGCCGGCTGCGGTGCCGCTGGCAAGTGCGATGGCGCTGATGATAAGAACGTTGAAGGTCTGCATTTTCGCAAAAGGTATAATTAAGGTCCTGGTCAAGTGTGATTTTGACAACTGAAAATCAACGGAAGGCGTGAGCTTTGAGGAACTTGCTCTCTGTGCGAGGTGAAATACATTTAAACTAGGCATTGACGACTAGATCTGCTGTCCCGTCTCGACACGGAAGCGGCTCGGCGCAGTCTATGGAATATGTTGTTGGTGACGGCCGCCATCTTTCAGCGGATGTGGGCTGTCTAGGAAGGATAATGATTCCGTGGGGTGTTGGAATGAACAAAGAGAGGCTGCATGACCGGACCGGGATGATATTGGTGCTATTCAAAGACGTACTCGGTGCCGTGCCTTGAGCTGAATTTTCACTAATGGGGGAGACAACAGTAGAGCGTAAGAGATTCTCAAGTCCAGGTCTGGATCAAGTCTGCGCGAGAATTATCGAAAATATAGGGACTGAACTAAAATTGATTTGATATTGTGGGAAATAATGAAACAAAACAGCATGAACGGACTAACAGGTGATGAGGTTCGCGCTCCCGCGGGCTTAGAGCACTAGTCCGAGTCTCTCTTAGGAAGGCGGAAAATACTGACCAAGCTCTGGTCAGTGGTGAGTGGTAGGCCATCGGAGCCATCTTGATCAGTGTTCAGCCCATCAAACGAAGAGAACTCCTCATCAGCCCGAAGCTCGACTTTCAACAGCCCAGCCGGGTGAGAGATAATCACATATGACCCTCCCAAGCGGTCAATCAGGCCCTCCACCTGCTTGGTTAATTCCATGAGATGCTTATACCTGTCAGGACTGTAAATGAAATCCTCCTCCAGGGGTGTGGGGTCAACGACGGTAATCCACGTGTGCAATTCCCCAAGCCCTTTTGCTTTGGCCTTCTCGACCATGATCGCGAGGGACTCTAGCGAGCCCTGATAGCTCTCGAACCCTTGCAGAGGGACTTTTTCGCTCTTCCCAAAGGAGAGGTGAGCCATGAACTTGTCGAATCTACTGCTCGTAGCCGTGCCTGAAGACTCACCTGTGTAGCGACCCTTGACTGCCACAACCATGTCTATGCAGCTTGTGATTTCAAGAGAGCGGTCCGCTGATGGTTGGTATGTGATGAGGCGGTCCGTTTCCGGCGTTCCGGCACGAACTTGGTTCAGAAACACAATGATCGCCATGATGAAAATGCTTGAGTCGTAGTTGTGTTTGAAGTCTTTGTGTGGTGAATGGGAATATTGTTGCGGGTATATTCCTTACTGAGGACGGACTAGATACATCCTATATTGAGAGAAGCTCATACCTAGGTACGCTTTATAGCCAAGTTACATTATCTATGTATGTCAATGGTGACTAGCTGTGTACGCAATTGAATTGTGAATCGGGTTGGTCCTTTGTCCGCTGATAATTGTGCAACAAGACTTGCTCATTGACACGCACATAAACAAAGCACGTAAAAGGGATGATTCACTTAGGCAGAATTTGGGTGCTCAAATTAGCAATGCAATCGATACAAGGCATTTATCACTACGGTACCCCTTCCCACTTGACATTTTGTCCTGGTTTGAGTGCCCGAGGGCTGGCGACTTGGGAACCGTTAGAACCATTGACTGAATGACTATCATTGGTGACGGGTTGTATTTCCAAAGCCTGAACGCATGGACTAGCACACTCCAGTCACTCACACCTGGTGGAATCTTACCGTGACTAGACACTACGTTCAAGACTTGGACCATCGCTTATTTGTCATATCTAGCTGTGATTTAATGGTGTTTATGGGAAGACGTGGCTTCTGCTTACCTAGGAATTGCTGACAATAGACTTGGCGAATGTGTATCTTTGTGAAAGCCTCTGCTGAAATCAACAGCACCAAAACCAGTGACTGTTACTGTCGTTGAAGATTCTACTTCTAAATGGCAGTTCCTGTTTCCGTAACTCCTCTTTCGACTCATATTACACAAAGGGGTGGTCCACATAATCCAAGAAATCCGGAAACCCCAGCAACGGTTCTGTCACCAATGTATCAAAGCGTATATCTCCCATAAACTCCAACTCCTTCTGGTCAAAAAGAACCTCTGTGGATACAAATTGAGCTTCTGTTCTAGGATATTGTTCAACCGGTGGTGTAGATGTCTCTACTTCTGCATTGCCAAGGTTTCTTTCATCTTCAAGACTTAAATGCAGCATCGGCTCCATGACGTCCTCGACATCCTGGCAAATGTCCGTAGTGAACAGCCTGACACACCACTTGCGGACTGCCGACAAAATGGAGTGAAAGGCTACGGGAACTGGGATTCGCCCCTCTTCTTGGTCCCTGATCGACTCGAGCCTGCCCAGCAGCTTTGAAATGGCACTCACTGGGTCCAAGGAGGACTCCGGGTGCAGGTCAGCAAGGCTGGTATGAGTCCTCACTGACACATAACATTTGATCAAGACGATCAAGGCGTACATCACCCTGGTGTAGGTCACTACTGGCATGAATCGAAGCGTTTCGACGGGGAGGCCGAGGAACGTGCGTATAAGAGACTGCGACGACAGGACACACGGTATAAGCGAGCTGGCAGCGTGCATTCCGACATCGGCTCGGTTTTGAACCGACAGAGGCAGCGGGAGTAGCGCGTATGGAGGCCTGAAATCTGACGTGTCATGTCCCTCGTGAAGGGCGGGCTCCTGGAGGGTGATTAGTATTGTCTGATAGTGTATCTCCATCGTTGCTGCCAGAGATGTTAGTCAACGCCGCCACCTTTGCATCATAGGAGATGCGTAGGTACAGTTCAATATGTCTCCTGTGACTGAACGCCTCCATATTTCCACCTTCTCCATGCAACCTTTCAATATGAATCTGGTCCTGGCGTCCGAGATGTCAACCGTCGACTTGTCGTCCATAGAGACAGCCAAAAGACTCTCCTCTGCAATTCTGTGTAGCTTGATCCATTCGACGAGCCTACAATCGTTCGGATGTATGCCTGGTGAGAACTCCAGAGTCCCGATGCAGTCATCGACCCAAGGGCCGTAAGGCAGACTTGTTGGTCGTCGATAAGACATGGCCATGCTGGAAGAGTCATCAGTCTGGGTGTATCATGCTAAGGCGGAGATCTCCTCCAACAAAGTCTCGCCTACCTGGAGCAAAGGAAATAGGCCACCAAGAAAGTCCTGCAAATCTCAACCAACTCTTGCGAGGGCGACGACGGATCACTCGGTGTCAGGACCGCGAAGCGCTTGTCATTCGAGGAGCGCAAGTCGGTGACCATGGTCGCGGCCATGTGAGCGTACTGGCTGAACCGTAAATAGACTCATGTTTCCCCACTCTATTCAAACTGTCTACAATTCGTCCAAGCAGTCCCTCGACGCAACCCTTGAAGACTACATCATCGAACAGGTAGACGTGGACCCAGAATTCCCCTCCAATTTCTTCGACGGGCTAGCAGTGGACGAGAGCACGACCCTTGGGGCAGCGCCGATGAAGGTGCCCGGGGCATCCCACGCGCGCATCACAGAGTTCCAGTCCAGCATGCTCTGGGGCGGGATCACACACTCCGACGCCGAGGACCTCCAGGCGGAGCAGCCGGTCCCCGGACTGCCCACCGTGCACTGGCTGGCCCTCGATAACGACACTCTGGGCGTGAAGCAGCTGATCATCGAGTTCGACACCGAGGTCATCGTCGGTGACGCACCGCCACGGTGGACGACCAGCGTGATCTAGTGGGTCGCGCAGCACCTGAAGAAGCCCATCACGCACCTCTGGGTGAGGCTGAAGATTTCAAAACTAACCCATTCTTTTCCAACACCGTCATGCTTACTCGTAAAACCAAAAAAAAAAAAAAAAAAAAAAAAAAAAAAAAAACAGCCCACGCACCACCACCGCGACCACAGCGGCGGCGCCAACGAGTACGTCGCGGCGGGTGCCCAACTCATCGTGCCCGAGATGGCCGCCGGGTACTGGTCGAGCATCCCGGGCGCGCAGCTCGTCACGTTCAACGACACGCACCCTTACGTCCACGCCGACAGCCGCACACAGGCCTGGTTCCTGTGGCAGCCCCAGGCGGCCCTCGGCCGACTCGCCCGTGGCCGTGTTCGAGGCGGACGTGTGGCAGGCCGGCATGCCCGCCGAGCAGTCCGACCAGGCTCTGATGAGGCACTGGCTGGACCGGCTTGTGCAGGACAGGTTGACGATGGATGCCGTGTAAGTTTCTTATCTGTGTGTGCCGGATGACAGTGTCACTTGTGCTGATCGAGGAGTGCCGCAGTGTTCTGCCAACTCATGGTCAGGTCAGCCCGCTGGCTGATTTGGTCAATATTACGGGCTATCCGTACCCACAGTTCTCAGTGGAGGATTGGAGATTCGGTGCCGCCATGTGATGAGCTTGGGGGATGTGAGCAAGCGGGCGAGTGACATGTGATATAGATTGGACTGTGGACTGTCAGGCACATGCTCGCAGTGGGCTGATGCACCAAAGCATGCACCAACGGTGCGAGATATCCAAGCCTCGCCGCCGCCGAGGAATAAGAGACACAACTATGCCATTGCACACAAGGATGGAACTAGGCCACATAGATTTGTGAGGTTGAAGAGACCATCGGCAGCTAAGGAACTCAACCATTCCGTGCGACTTCCCACTCATGGATCCATCATGTCTGTCTGTCTCGAGATGCAAACACGTGGAGCATGTCATCGGTATGGCAATGGACAGAGAAAATATGGCCCTGAGTCGGTAGCTTCACTAATTATCTAATCTCTTTTCATGTAACCAACAAAAGTACAAGCACGGCCTGTGGGCCTGTTGTTCCCAATGATGTCGCCCAAACGCCATGCTAACAAATACCACAATGCGGATGAATGAACGGCAAGAATGACGAAACAAAAGCACTCGACTCACTCAAAACCTCACGAAAAACCCCCGTCCCCATCATCACAAAGCCCCAGGTTAGCCAGCAAGCTCCCAGCCTGCACGTCAATCCCAGCAGCCCTCTCGTCCTCGATCCCAAACGCGAGGAACAGCACATCATCCACATAGCCATGGTACTTGAGCCCCCCCGTCTTCCACGCGATGCTAGTAACGTAGAACATCTCGGTAGTATCAGCCCGGCCCCCGGTGCCCCGGACCGTCCCCCTCCCCGAGATCCACACCGGCCGCGAGCTGACGGCAAACATCTCGAACGGCGCCCTCTGCCGGAACACGGCGACGTACGGCTCGTAGACGGAATGGAAATCCCGGTACGCCTTGTGGTGCACCACGGCAAAGATGAAGGTGTTGGTGTCGTCCGCCACGCACCCCGGGTCCGCCCGCCGGCACAGCGTCACCGACAGCGAGTTGGTCGCCTGGTGGACGCTCTCGTGGAACCCGGGCCCCTGCTGCGCCTGCGCGAACGGCAGCGCCGACACGTCGGGCAGGTACCGCGCCAGGCACGCGCCGTCGTGGCCCGCCGTGTGGTGGGCGAGGTCCTCGCCCACAGACCCGTCGCTGTTGAGGCGCGCAAAGGCCCGGTTGGGGGTGATGTCGTAGTGCACGTAGTGCACGTTGTCCGAGTCCCAGAAGAGGAACCAGTTCTTCTCGACCGCGCCCAGGGGAGGGGGCCGCTGGAGCTCCGCGGGCGAGGCGAACTCGTGCGCGAAGGAGCCTCCTCCTCCCCGTCCGGGCGCTGCCGCCGACCCGACGTCGACGCCCCAGTCCGGCACGAGGCCGCGGAAGTCCTGGATCCACTGGCCGAAGCAGTTGAAGTTGGAGTTGGACCCGTAGATGGTGTAGGGGTCCCGCGGGCCGTAGAAGACGCGCGCGTCGTGCGGGCCGACGTTGAGGTTGAAGAACTCGAGCTCGCCCGTGCACTTTGTCACGTCGCCCGTGGTCGGCTGGATGGGCACCGTGGTCGGCTCGCCGAAGCCCCGCCCGTCGGCCCCGATGCACGTCAGCGCGTCGTCGATGAACATGGCGTTGCAGACCAGCTCGAGCGAGGGCTCGACGACCAGGCCCTGCCGCAGCCGGGTCTCGTCGTCGTCGTCGTCGTGGTCCCCCCGCTTCTGCGCGGTGACGATCCACGCGGCCTCGAGGCGCGGGTGCGGGATGATGTTTGGGTTGAGGACCCTTGCGCTTCCCATCCGGATGGGGAAGTACTGCCTGTCCCTGGTGGAGACGGAGAATATCTCGGTGTGCAGCACGCCAGAGCCGCCGGGCCTCACCTCGGCCGGGGGCTGGAACCCGACGATCTCGCCGTTGGGGCCGATGAACCTCGACGGCCCGGACGGCCTCGACGGCGGCGGCGGCGGAGGTGGAGGTGACGATGACAGCAGCGGCGCCTCGTCGTCGTCCTTTGAGCCGTCCGTTAGTGCGCTCTGCGTCTGCTGCTGCTGGAGGGCTGCGGCTGCCTCGAGTGCCGAGGGCGACGCCACCGCGAAGGGCGATGTGTACGAGGGCACATGCGGTGATGTCGGCGAGCCGCCGTCGGGCCAGTCACCCACCTGCAGGCCCAGCAGAGTCTCCGTGCCCGCGGGCCCGACGAGCCTGACGCAAAGCAGCAGCAGCAGGATCGCTGAGCCGAGCACCAGCGAGAAGCGCCTGAGGTCCCTGACCAACATCCTCTATGTCCTGTTGTGCCTGCCTGCCTCTTTGTGTGTCTCCGTTTCCTGGTGGCTGCTGCTTTCCTGCAAGCGAAAGGTGTCGATTATTCTCCCGCTCTCTCCCGTCTGAATCAGGTCGTATGTGTGTGGGTTGAGGGGTGTAGGTCTAGGTAGGGATGGGCTGATTCACGGCTTATGGGACAGCACGAAAGGAAAATGCCTGGGCGGCTTTGTTTTTGATGATCCGAACTCTGAGAATGGGCGAACCGTGGGCGAGTCCGAGAGGCAGAGCTCGATGGATCTTGAAACACCACGAAACCAAATGACATGCGCCATTACTCGACCACATGGAGTCAATTCAACTCGGGCCACAGCCTAATTCTACAATAGCAGGCAGATGACAGCTCTCTTTTTTTGTTCGGGACGTCATTGCTGATCGTTCATCGCATCCTTGAACCAGTCACAGAACACCATCCGGCCAATGGTTGACACTGACAGCCTGGGCTGCCATGGCAGCGCATTAAAACATCGGGTCTTGGGAATATCACAATTAGAAATAAAGGCCGAAAACTATGACCATCAATCTGGGAATGTCAAGGTCGACAAGTGCCGGCGCCAAGCTTTGCCCCAGCGCCTACGAAGAGCCACAGACAGGCAAGCGGCATGAACTGCCCATACGCCGGACAAGAGTCCGTGGGCAGAGCCAGTGTTGGGGTGGACGTTACATGCCTGTCCTTCTTGCGTCTTGTTTTGGGCGGCAAAGGAAAACAAAAAAAAGCAAGAGGCGGCGCGGCGGAAGCTTTCGCTTGACCCTCACCCACCTTGGCCATTCTTCCCAATTCCGTGGCTGGCTGTGCTTTCACATGTTTCCTCCCGGCCACACGCCTCCCATTTCTCCGCCTCGGGGGCCGCGGCTGGACCAAGGGGCTGGCCAACCCACGCGGTCACCGCTGCAACTGCAACACACCACGAGGGGATCACCACCCGCTACTCTGCAGTAGGCCCACTGGTCACCACCCTCCCTCTGTGTGTACATGTACATGCACCTCCTTCCTTTTCCCCTCTCTCTTATCATGGATGAACCACCTGCCCGGGAGCGGGGAACGAGTGCATGCCCCGAGTGACCGAGTGACAAAAAGTGACAGAAGGCGGACGTGGCTGGGGGCGCTACTGCACTTGGGCAACAGAGGGAGGGCAGCACTGCCGAGGCGAGGGCGAGCGCAAAGAAGCTTCGGTGCTAAGGGGATCAGCGCCCCATGCCTGTCTTTTCAGCACAGAGCACATTGGGTGTGTGGGGGGGGCCTCGATATTGCTCACTGTTGGAGGTGGGAGGAGGAGGAGGAGGAAAAGTGACATTTTCGGTGGGCCGCGTTGACCTAGTCGGGTGGGTACCTCGGGCGTCGACAGAGCTCCAGATCAGCATGGACATGGGTGCACGTACCCCTGCCGAGCGGCGCTTCTAGCCCAATAGCGGAAACATTGTCCGTGCCGAAGCCAACGTCCCCCTGTCCAACCCCAGGTTTTCGAGACGGAAAAGCCCCGGCCGCCCGGGATGGTGGGGACGTCATTCCTCCAACTGCCTCTATAGGCCGGGTGCGCTATCGAGATTGCGCGACGCTATTCTCCAGTCTGCCAGGTGACGCTGGTGGACTGCCATGATGTCGATAGGCAAATTGGGGAGAGTTCCTGTCGCGAACCGCTCGCAGACAAGAATAATCTAGGGTTTCAGGGGCGCCTTGCCGGGGACGATTCTAAGTTGCAGATGGAGGCTCACAAGGCTCGACTGGGTTTTCGGATGAAACGGAATGTGCGTCATGAACTGTGAGCATCGCCTGTTTCTGCATACCACGAACCTCTCTGGCGTTGGGTTAGTGCACACAGAGATGGTGTTCGATTCGGCTCTGCGAGCCTAAGCAGACCTCGCAACGCCTTTCCCTTTCAAGGAGACTCAAGATTCTGCCCTGTCCAACATTTCCTGCCTCAAGGCGACGGTGCGACGGGACGACGGGTGCTATTCATGGCATGACTGACCGGTTGTCTGGGTCAATGAACTATATTTCGTTCGGATCTAGTTGAATAGTATAGGTACATCTCTTAGCTATGCCACGGCGACCTTCGCCTCTACAATCAAGCTTCCAACTTTGGCGTCTTGGGCGGCAGGCCCGGCGTAACCCTCGTCTCCGGACGAGGTGCGCTCGCGTCTGCTGGCCCCAGTGTCTTCTTGTAGAACGACTGAGCGAACTTGACTGCCGGCTCGTCGATGAACCTCGTGACCATCTCCGCGCACCAGAATGTGACCGGTAACAACACCAGGTGGGGCAGCAGGAACGCTACCTCTAGCCCCATGGGCCCCACCATGGGCAGTGGGAACTTGTTGACCCACTGTGGGATATTCTGCGCCTGCTCCAGGCCGTTGGCCCCGGCCCAGCCCACCGCGCTGTAGATCCGGTCGCCCAGCGTCCACAGCACGGGCCCGTGGACGAGGTAGAGCGAGTACGACACCCGCCCCAGATACTGGCAGAAGCGAGTCTCGAAGAAGCGCTTCAGCCAGTGAATGCGAGGCACGGCCGAGACGAGGAATGTGGCGGCGAACAAGAGGTAGAACCACTTGTAGTCGAAGGCGGCCTGCGGCTTGAGGAAGGAGAGGTAATACCAGCCCCGGTTCTTTCGTAGCAGCGCGACGTCTGTCGTCTGAGAGGGAATGCCGCCGAGGTAGAGCGCGACAACCAAGAGATGGTAGTAGATGAACTCCTTCAACGGGGCCAGCCTGGCCAGGAACCTCGGGAGCTGGCCCTTTGCTGAGAGGAGGTCGAGGTCCGCGAGGAACATTCCCATCATGAACAGGCTGCAGTACCACCCGTCGCAGATGTACATGAAGTAGAACATCAGGCCGACGGTGCACCACAGCCTGGCCTTTGTCGTCGCCCGGGATAGCGCGAGCAGTGTTGTGTACACCGCTATCGACCCCTTCATCTCGACTGGTATGCTCCAGAGGTGGAAGTTGTACGTGAACCACGGCTCGCCGCCCATGTTGAAGATGAAGCTGAAGTTCTTGAGCTCCGCGTACCACCACCAGATCTCATCCCGCATGTTGCTCTGCTTCTTGGCCCCGTGGATCCAGAGGCCGCCGAAAGCATGCCATGTCAGCATGTAAAGAAAGGTCGTGCAGATGAGTGGTATGTATAGACGCATCCACCTCCTAAACAAGGCAGAGCCCAGGTTGTCGGCGAGCTTGGCCTGATCTCCAGCCTGGATCAGGCTTAGAGGCTTGACAGAGAGGACGTAGCCTGATATTATGAAGAAGTTGGCGACGGCGAAGTGGCCACCGTTAAAGAATAGGCGTATTCCATGAAAGCTGGCGAAGCGATGATGACCCTCAAAGCCGAAGGCGTTCTCAAAAATGTGGTTTTCCTGGGGCGTGTGAGCCCAGAGCTCATGGTGCTGCCAGTAGACCAAAAATGCGGCGAAGCCTCTGAGGCCATCAAGGTAGGCTGTTTTGCGCAGCACCTCCGGTTGGCCAGCTGGGTTTGCCTTGGGCCAGATGACGGCCTTTAATCGCTTGAGTGCCCAACTGGCCTTTGGTGAGTGCAGCATTCTCGGTGATGCTGGTTTCCACTCCGCCAGTGATGATTTCCATGACTGCTTCTCGTCCCAGTCTAGGTGCTTGATCTCATCCCAGTCCTTGCTGTCCAGAATGCCCAGACCATGGTGTTTGGCCGACGTTGGCTCTCCCATACTGTTTCTTGTGGATGAGGTCGAGGGAGGACTTGTTTCCGGCGACTGTGCCAACAAGCCAAGCCCCAGGTCTTTTGGCTGTATAGAGAGTGGGAGAGGCGGTGGGTCCCTCCCTGTCCGTCTTGATGAGATATTGTCCAAGAACGAATTCATGAAGGCTGCAGGCTACTGCGAAACCTCGGCGAGCTAAATTGAACGTTTCGACGCGATTTGCGCGGAGCAATGTTTGGCATTAGCCACCCCGATGGTGGAGGAGTAATTCCAGAACCCAAGACGTTGGCGTTTGATCTACCGGGGAGCGCGTGGCTGTACTCGTTTCTGCGCAGGTGCTTGGGCTTCGCAGATTCCTCGACGTCGTGACACCAAATCCCCTGGATTCTCGGAGATTGGGTACAAGGAGTGTGGGTTCTGCGCAGACAGATCGAAATGACTTTCACAAGCCAAGAGCTGCTTTGGGATCGGCCCGTATAAAGCTGATCAACCCAGGCACCGAGGTCGAATGATCAAGAGTGCCAGGCCTCGCGGATTTCCAGGCGGGGGACAGTTGCGGGGGAGGACACCACCTTGTCAACTCGCCAGGTCATGTAGGGTGGCAGACCTGGGCGCCTTGCAGATCAACTGACGCTACTCCGTGCGCGAAGCAAGGTACAGGACGGCGCGTCAATCCTGCTCGTGTGGGTGTGCGGGGGATCCCGCGGACTAGAATGCGATAGTGGAGGTGGTGAGAACAAAAGAAGTCGAAGTCCGGGGAGGGCTGCGGGGACTCGAGAGCGGTTCGCGCGGAGAAGCTCCAACGGTTTCCAGACACAAAATAGCGCACGCTCATCAGTGACGCTCAGTGGTTGCCACGTGCGAGCTGGACAATGGCATTCAACTAAGTTTCATCGATGTGAAGAGCATGACGTCTTGAGCCAGTACAGGTGGCTGGAATGCCCAATATCTGTTGTACACTCCTATATGGGCAATGACGTGAGATGGTCATCTCCTAGTTACGGTACCTGGATATGCAACGACACAGGTGCTGTTGGACAGTCGTCCAGCCCGTGGTCTAGTTGAGATGGCAGCACAACCTCCTCAGATACGAGGATTACCACATGCACGACGCTATGGGTGAGTGAGTGGTCGAAAGGACAGAAGCCACTGCTCGGCGGGCTGTCGGGCTTTCTCGGGCACCTTGACCGCATAGTTAGTTGTAGCATCGAAGTCTTCGGGCCTTAAGGAGCCTCTCCCGTGCGCAGCTGGACAGGTTGTGAAGAACGAGCAACGCCGGGGCGGCCGATTGCGATTGGAAGATGCACATGCGTTCCAGGTGTGTCATACCGCGGCCCCGCGAGACACAATCGCCAAACGCGAGATGAGCTTGGCCTTGCGATTGGACGTTTCCCTTGCCCCAAGATGGGGGGGCAGATAGCGTGAGCTGCAAGGGGTCCACTAAACAGACGCGGCAAGGATGCTCTTCTGTCACGCTTGTTTAGCAGCAACGTCTGGCGCTGGGTTGCCTGTCAAGGCTGCCAAGGCCCTTCGATCTGGCCCTGATGATGGCCTGGCGTGAGCCAATCCTCGCCCGGGGCCCGTTTGAGCCCATGTCGGCCCAATTAGGAGCTGCATAACGGTCGGAGCCGGGAAGATCGCCAGTGGTGTTTCCTGTTTGTGGGTACCGCCCCGGCACTAAGTTCTGGCGGGTTAGCTGAACATCCTCCTACAGTAGAGAAACAAGCATGCTTGGAAAGGTCTAACGACAGCGACTCGACCCACCCGCCCTGACCTACTGTACGATTAGTCTCCCCGCAGACAATACTGTTAGATGCTGGCTGCATCTTGCATTAGGCTCAACAGCCACCTAGACGACAGCTCGTGTATCGTCTAGCCCGGCAGACTGCGATAATCAAATCATGTGTCTCGCCGAGGTGTTCGAGAGGCAACCTAAGAGATCCGGAGCAGGCGAGGTGCCTGTGAATTCGAAGTTCGTGCATGCCAGCCGTCGAGGCCAAGGAAACGGTCTTGCGATGGCAGTGCAGTCGACGAGACGTCTCGACGAGTAAGGGCCCGGAAGAGGGTGAAGATTGCCAGACTGGGGATTTGGTGCGAGGCACGTCGTACGACGGTCGCACGGCGTCACTAGTCAGCGCGATACCACCACGGCGGCTTTGATCTCTGCCCCTCCAAACCGCCAGAGTCAGTCCGGATGCACACCCCGCTCACCACCCACGGTAACGCTGCCTCCCAGGATCCTGCGCGAACCATCGTCATTGCTCACCGATCAGATGTCGTTGTTCCGCCCAGCCATCCCCGCCTAGCCCCGGCCACCCTGCCAAATTAAGGGCTCCCTCCCATGCGTCAAGAGAACGCAAGTCGATATGCTGTCGTGATAGTCCCGCACGCGAAGTAGATCCCCGGCAACGTTGCAGGCGGCGGGAGGTGGGTGACCGCCGTTCCTTAATGGCCTGTGGCCTCGGACACTGAAGGCTGCGCACTTCGCCCATGCGCCAGAGTGGGCCTGGCGAGTTCTTCCGGCATCACACTGCATTGGGTCATGATCCGACGAGTTTGTTCATAATTGAAGCTCCAAGGGTCTGTCCGGCGCCTCGAAGCAGTGTGCCAGATATTGGGCGAGTTAGCGCAAACATGGGATGAGGCTTACCTACGGCTGGAAGGGGGGCCATGCCGGCCATCTGCACCCGGAATCCTGGGGTAGTACCCTCCACCACCCTCAAACAATCCCTGAAGTCATTTTCCCTTGGACTCTTGTACTGTACCTGCGGTACCAGATAGTCCAGCCTGTGCCCTTTTGATCCTTGTCTCCATCTTCCAATCTTCCCATCTTCTGGCCCTCTTGTACGCAGGTCATCCCAATTCTCAACGCTCTCGCGCCTGACATCTCGGGTACTTCCTAGTCTTCTGCTGTTCCCAAACAAACATCTTGCCAATACTGGGACAACCAGACAACGAGTGAAAGTGGTTGATCTCATACATGGCTCAACAACAAAGTGGCTCGTGAACATCGACGCTTCGCCCACGATACAGCCACTGGCCCCGCCACACCCTCACGATGCACTCCCCAGCTTCTTCAGCATCACCGCGATCGTCCCTAGGGACGTGGTCGCCCACCACCCCGAGTTTCTCTCACAAGTTCAGGAACCGTGTTCCTACGCAGATGAGAAGATGCATACCAATCTACCTGACTTGCGTTCTCGTCTTTCTCCTCATTCTCAACGCCGACTTGTTCACGGTGTCGATACCCAAAGGAAATAGTCCGGTCTTCAGGCGTGGTGGGCCGAAAGCAAAGCAAAGCTCGAGTGCTACCGCGCCAGTGATTCCGACTACCGTTGGCTTCCCAAAGAAGATATGGCAAACATGGAAGGTGGATCCGCTGCACTTTGAGCAGCGTGACAGCAACACCGCGCGGACGTGGTTGCTAAGGAACCCAGACTTCAGATATGAGGTTCTCACCGACAGTAACGACGTCGGCTATGTCGAGCAACACTTTGGGCCCGGAGGCTTCAACCGTCCAGACATTGTTGACCTGTATCGCAACATCAATGCCACGATTATCAAAGCAGACCTGTTGCGGTACATGGTCATGTACGCCGAAGGCGGTGTGTATGCGGACATTGACGTCGAGGCCCTGAAGCCGGTATCGAGGTTCATACCAGACCACAGATACGCGGAGGAGGACATTGACATGGTGATCGGCATCGAGATCGACCAGCCGCAGTTTAAGGACCACCCGATTCTTGGGAAGAAGTCCCAGTCGTTCTGCCAGTGGACCTTCATGGCGCGGCCAAGACTTCCAGTCATGATGCGTCTCATTGAGAACATCATGTCCTGGCTGGCCGACCTTGCCAGGCAACAAAACGTACCGATCTCAGAGGTGGTCATGGACTTTGACCAAGTCATCTCCGGGACCGGACCGTCTGCCTTCACTGCCGCTATCCTGGAAGAGATGAATGTCAACCGTCCCAAGGACATCCCCGAGATCACATGGAATGTGTTCCATGACCTGGATGAGTCGAAAATCGTTTCGAGGGTCCTTGTCCTGGATGTTGAGGCCTTCGCGGCTGGACAGGGGCACAGTGACAGTGGCAATCACAACGCGCGGGGCGCGCTGGTGAAGCACCACTATCACGCAAGCAACTGGCCGAGCCGCCACCCACGGTTCAACCACCCGGTCTATGGCCCTGTGGAACACTGCAACTGGGAGCCAAACTGCGTGACGCAGTGGGATGCCGACACAGCTGCTTTCGCCCTCATGACCGAGGAGGAGCAAAAGACCCTGGCCGAGGAGAAAGAAGCCGAGCGAAAAGCCACGACAGCGCAGCAAGAGCAGTTCCTGGCGAGGATCGCGCAGCAGCAAGAGGCGCTCCAGCAGCCTCTGCACCTCGGACAGCAGCACCTTCAGCCACCACCAGCACCTGCACCAAAGCCCGAGCCCGAGCCCGAGGCTGAGACACAACCGGAGTGATTATGTCTCGTTCTTTCAATTTATTCTGCAGCATTATACACAGGACTAGGGTTTTGGCCTCTATTTCGGAGCTCACGGCGTTAAAAGAGGACGAGGCAGCAGTGTTTCCCAGTCAGAGTACCGGCAGACGATGCATGCCATTGATGCCGTGGATGTTGGTTGGGCTGCTGTGGTTCGGTATCTTTCCTACATAGATGGAGATGTCGTCGATTCAAGCTTCGCCATGCTACCCCATGTACCTCCACTGTGGAACCCCCAGGTTTGGTGAATGACACAGTGCACCGGGGGTGGAGCATTTGTTGCCATGCAACAAGGGTGAACATCTTGTCTCCGAGGCATTTGCTCCGCTGTAGACTGGTGATCTGGTAGACATACATGTTGGCTTTTCATGTATTCAGATGGAGTGGGTGGCGTTGTTGTACTCGGCTCGCGGCATGTCTGTCTTATGGGAAAACGCGGTGCAGCCGTGGCAGCTCCACAAGACGAAGAAGATGCTGCTCCTGTCTGTGGTTGCTGGGCGATGAGCTTGCCCTTGCAAACATTGGCAAATATGGCCAGTCGGGCTACCACATCGGAGCTCGACAGCTGGAGCAACCGGGAAGGTCGGTTTGGTTGGATGGCACGCAACAGCGTCACCTCCACGATGGATGCAATGTGTCAGGGCGGTTTCGAGCTGGTTCGTGCCGCGTTCGGCAATGGAGAGCATTCGGTGACAGAAGGGCGAGGCCTGGGCAAGGAGGTATAGAGTCAGTGGATCGAAGTAGATTGGAAGTCGGAGAGGAAAACCCGCATGACGCGAGATACCCGTTCTAGCACAAGATTTTGTCAACCAAGACACATTTCCAACTCAGAATTGTTGCAGAATGAAGATGCTGACATGTTGAGGTGTAGGCATCTTTGGTAGTGAGACTGGGGGAAAGTCGAGACCTACCTGTTGGGTTGTCTGACGTAATAGTAGCACAACGGAAACTGCACTTCGAAAGAGTCGTGGAAGTCGCCATCCCAAGGTACTGGAATTGGCAGGGCCCAGGCACCTGCTACGAACCAAGCCGCCTAATGAGCTAGTAGGAATTATTAGACAGTGGGCATGACGTGAGCATGAATTCCTTACAACCTCAACCTGCACATAATCTTGAGGGTCTACACAGACTAGCCAGCATATGAGGTCGTCCGCAATGAAGAATTGTGTGGAGTAGGGAAGTCATTTTGTTGAATCTAGGTATTCAGTACCCAGACGGGTGATCAAGGTGGATTGACACAGTCTGCCTCTCGCCTTCCACTACCATCCCACCCGCAGGAGAAGGTCAGTAACGGAAAACGACACTCGTCCCCGGTCCCTTCTATGCTACCAGCGTCAACCATCAAAATTTAATGTGTACAAACTTTTGACAGCCCATTTCCTCATTTCCACTGCTTCGCCTCTATGAGCTACTCATCGCCTCCCATTTCAGCCTGTGCCAGCCGCATCGACATCGCCCGCGTCCTATCCACAGCTTGCTGATCGCCCGGCGTCGACTGGGAGGCATCAACATCAAAGCCAACAGATCCACGAGCGCTGCGAGTGTGCGAGTGCCGGACGGCCTCCCCCAGCAACAGCGACTCCAGCGTGCCTCCGGCCATCTTCTCCTCCTTTAGCATCCCCAGCGCAGCCGCCCACATATCTCCCAGGTATGCCTCCTGCAAGTCGATCTCGGCCTGGTCCGCCTCATCCGAGGCGGCGCAGCGGTTCTTGTGTTGAGGCCAGTTCCAGATCTGGCAGTACTTGCCGCAGTAGATCGCCTCCTTGCACTTGGCGCAGATGAGGTACCGCTCGGGTGCCCTGCCGCAGTCCGCGCACTTGGGTGTATCGATCACAGGGCTCAAGCGCTCGCCCACTCCCTCGGAGCCGTCGTTAGCTGCGGTGGAATCAATGTCACTAAGCTGTTGGCTCAGTCCCTCGGAGCCATTGTCGGCTGCGTTGGAATCAATGTCGCTGTCCGCCCTCTCCGGGTTTGTGCTGAGCATCTGGGCAAGCATGACCGGATTCGCAGGCTCGTCGCTGCGCCGCGCGAACTCGCCAATGTTCAGAGGGGATTCAACTTCGGGGTGGTCGACTGAGAAGGAATCTCGAGAAGTGGCAGTCTCGATTGGGTTGGCTGAGCTGAGGTCGACCTCGGGATTTGGCTCGTCGTTGTTCGGCTTCCGACGCTGCCGGGGACCCGGAGTATCAGGATTTCCCTCATCTTGAGACAGCTCCTTCGCACTTCGCTTGGTGCCACGGGGCTCTCTGGGCTTGGCTGTGGTGGCCGTGCCATCCGCTGCCTGTGCCTTCTTCTTTCTTCGACCTCGGATGCTGTCATCAAAGGCGCCGTCGAGTTGTGAAGACTCAGAGTCTGTCTGCTCGGAACCCAGATCCTTGCCGATCTTGCTAGTATTCTCAACGGAGCGCGAGGAGCTACGGAGAGTTCTGGACCTGGTTGCCATCCTGGCAGGTGCTCGCTTCCTCAATGCCTCGGACGGAGTCGAAGCCTTTGTGGCTCTGGTGCCATCATTTGCTGAGTTCCCGCCAGCAATGGGACTGGACAGGACGATCTTTTCAATATCAGCTACGAGCTCGGGGATCGGGGACGTATTCTGCTGGAGTTCGGCTTCTTGGAGGATTCCGTCGGTTCTCCCATCGTGAATGGAAAGCTCATCATGGTGAGTCAGGTGAGTGATGAGATCGTGCTCAGATGTCGCTCGAGTGGACATGTCTTGCAAGTCTGGCTCCGACTCCTGCTCTGCATCAGACCAAACAGCATCGGGCGAATATGGCGTGGTGGCGATAGCTTTGGTCTTGCTCCCTGCGGGTCGAGAGGAGACATCGGCCGTCTCGTCCCCAACACCAGGCGTCATACTCGCCAGCCTCATGCTTCGTCGTCTAGCCGTCACAGATGAGGCATGTTGTCCCTCTTCAACCTCAACTGATTTCTTGTCTGCATTGTTCTTCGTGCCCTCTGCCTCAGAGTCGCTGGCAAGCCGTATAGAACCCCTCTCTGTCTTGACCCATTTCCTGCTCGCATGACCTTTGATGGCTCTGTCAGAGGAAGTGTCGACTGAGTCCTGATGGGGCGCAGTAGTGTGATCAGTCTGAACTTCAGGGCTCTGGGTGGGCTTTGCTTTGGAAGAACGGAGGTTGGGAAATAGTGGGAGCGCGAGGCCTTCCTCGTCTTTCTTTACGACTGCCTTGGTCGCATTGGTGTCGGGAATCGCGAGGTGGACATCGTTGCTCGAGGATGCTTTCGAAGTTGAATCTATCTGGGGGCAGCTTCCCTCGCGAGACGTGTCGCTCCTGTTCTTGGCTGACTTGTAGTGATCAGAGTCGCGTCTCTTACCCGTGGTAGGTCGTTTGACGCGTTCGTCCTGAGGAGGCTGGCCCGTCAGCCTTGTACTCCTTCGACAGCTTCGCACCACCGATCGCGTGTCCATGTTGCTTTGAGTGCTTGTGATGTTACAGTGGTACTGAGTGGACCCTCAAAGATGCTTGAGGCGTATCGAATGGAAGATCATATGCAGATAGCAAAACCAGTGGGAGATTGGAAGGATGCGATTGGAAATGTGTGGCAGCGGGGTACAAAAGCCAAGTGCAGTTGGTGATGAAAAGTCTCAAGCCAGTCAGTGACTGTTTTCACCAAGCATACCTAGGTACTGTGAATCTGCCTGCCGGCTGCTGCTCCCTGGGGAATTGAACCTGACCAGATCGCACCTTTGCAGCCTGGGCTCCATTTAATCCAAGTCAAGGTGAAGAATTCCCTCGTTTGAATTGGTGCACACAATCCTCCAGTGAGGACTGATTCCAAGTTTCAGCTTCTTGACCATGACCCTTCAATTACAAATATGAGAGTTCAGAGAGATCCCCATCGAACTGTCTGGAACCACAAGGAATGTTATACATTGCACAGCGTCTTCCTTGCAGTAGGCTTGCATTTTATGCATTAATTATGTTGGGTATCTTGGTGTGGTGAGAGATTCTGCCACGTGATGATGGATCTAAATGCTGAGCTTGCAGCCTCAGAGAAGAGTGTCAAGTGACACGGAAGAAAAGAAAAGAAAAAGAAATGCAACCCCTGAGTCAAAGCGTTCCTCCTGATGATCTCGTCAGCCATTCCTTCCCATCTCCCGGCCCGTGATTTGAGTGCACCGTGAACGATATCTCAGGCGAGGATGAGACTTTAGGCGGTGTCTGCCTGATTCGGAGCCTCCCACTTCTTGACTCCAATGACTCCCTCAAAGGTCATCATGGACGCGACTCGAAGGCCCTCCTCCGGACCGTACTCCTCCTTCATCATGTTCACGATATGAAGAACCAATCGGAAGTCCTCAATCGCCATGACGTGACCCTGTGACATGTACTTGCAGACCGTGCGTGGTTGCACATGATAGCCTCTCTCGCCGTCGAAGTCTGTGAGAAAGCTGCGCATCTCCCGGCCGAAGTTGACGGTATCGCTTGGAATGAAGCTGTCGGGCTCGAAAAAGAGGATATGGTCCCCGACTTTGAATTTGCGGCTCCGAAGGACAACGCTCCAGCCACCTGACACGGTGACTATCATCATTCGCTGGAAGAACAGCTTGCAAGGACGCCGAATCTTTGTGATCTCTCTCAGGGTCACCAGCTTTCTCTCCAGTGACGCCACCGAAGGTCCGGGGTTGATCTCTGTGTCCATCTTGGTACTGGGACACGTGGTTGTTCTTCCTGATGGAACGATGATCTTGGAGAATGACGTGTTCCGGGCTGAACAGCAGGGTAATTGGTGGTGCTGGGTCGCATCAGTCGAGGAGAGGAGGTTGTACTGGTGTCAGCTTCAAGCAGAAGAAAAGCAGTTGTTGTAACAAAGGTGTTGGCCCCTATTCAGAGCAGGTGAATGATGGTTTGCAGGGGCCCAAATTCTGGAGAATGCCATCTGAAGTGATGAAAGGCGTGTCGAAATTCAAACGTTGTTGTGATTTGATCCCCTAGAAAAGTGAAAGGTGCCGTGACGAGGGAGTCCTTCTGCTCAGGACAGCTGAAAGGAGCTTGGCAGCATGTCAAAGCTGGCTGGGCCGCAGCTGTTCACGGCTCCGACCTCACATGCGCCGGCAGTCGTCAAAAATCGGGCCTCTGTGACCTCCGAACACTACGGCCCGGAGCGGAGCGGCACGGGGCGACGCCCCACTTTTAAGGGGGGAGAGCTCCGCGGCAGGCGCCGGGCTCGGGGCCCACATGAGCTATGATGATGAGGTCATCCTGGTTTCGTCAAGTTCCTTCTCTCCAGCGAATGGGCTTAACGCTTCACCGACTTACAAATCCATCTGCTGTGAGGCAGCTGTGGGGTGAAATGAACCCACACTTAGCGAGCAACGACGTAACATTGTGTTGCGTCGTTTTGACTTTGAGCTGTATCTTCCAACAAGCTCTGCGCTAAACCCGTTTCCCGACCGCTCTCCGCACTTGAAGAGAAACCCAACAAGAGAGCTACAACCATCACGTCCAGCGCAACTTTGACCAATATGGCTGAGCAGAATCGCAAGTGGCAGACACGTCAGGATGGCCTTGACAATGTTTTCCAGGTCACGGAGGCGGTGCCGAAGCCTGGAGCGGGCGAGGTACTTGTCCGTGTCAAGGCTGTCTCGCTGAACTATCGCGACACGGAAGGTAAGTGACCGCTGGATGAAGTGATGCTAGATGATGCGTGGAGGCTGATGCATTTTGCAGTCGCGATGGGTCTCTACGGCCACCACAAGACCATCGATGCGACCTCCAACCAGCCACTCGTCCTCTGTTCCGACATGTGCGCTGAGGTGGTTGGCGTTGGGTCCAACGTTTCATCCTGGAAGACGGGCGATAGAGTCATGTCGACTTTCTGCCAGGACCATCTGACCGGCCAGATCAAGGCGCACCAGATGGGGTCCGGACTTGGGTTGCCCTTGGAAGGCGTCCTGCAGGAATACCGTGTGTTTCCAGAGCACGGATTGGTCAAAGTACCGGACTATCTCAAGGATGAAGAGGCCAGCTGTCTCCCCGTTGCGGCCGTGACGGCCTGGATGTCGATCAACGGCCTCCGACCTCTGGGGCAGGCGGGCGGCGAGGGAGAAGTTGTGCTCGTGCAGGGCACCGGTGGTGTCAGCATCACCGGGCTGCAGATTGCCAAAGCAAGCGGCGCAACCACCATCGTGACGTCGTCATCGGATGAGAAACTTTCCAGAGCGAAGGAGCTCGGCGCCGATCACGTCATCAACTACCGGACGACTCCCGACTGGCACGAAAAGGTCATTGAGCTCACGGGCGGAAATGGGGCCGACATCATCTTGGAAGTTGGTGGCGCCAAGACCTTACGGAAATCGTTCAAGTGCGCGTCGTTCGGTGCAGTCATCAACAGCATAGGCTACGTGACGGGCAAGCAGGACGACCCTAACGATGATCTCACGAATATCAACGTCCTTGCACTGACGCGGACTGTCACACTCAAGGGCATAATCAATGGTCCCAAGGACAGGTTCGAGGAGCTCTGTGGCTTCTACGCGAAGCACCAGGTGCGACCAGTGGTGGATCGTGTGTTTGATTTCGACCAGGCAAAGGAGGCATTGCAGTATTTGTATAGTGGGTCACACTTTGGGAAGGTTGTGGTCCGCATTGGTGCTTAGCAACGTCCGCCTCACACGATAGGAACGCGAATACAAGTCATCATGTTCGTTGCAGGCTCCATCACCCTGTTGCAGGTGCCCACTGGTTAACCCAGGTACAGCTGAACGCTGTTACTGCTTGAGTACGGAGGAAAGCTTGGTCCCGCTCATTTGTCCTAGGAGAACCGCCACTAACAATAGTAGAGTCCGGAATGGCCTTGAACAAACCATACTAGTTGACAGAAACTACATCAGTACCGCACCGGCTTTGTCATAAACAGCGCGTGTGACCCGGTCGACTACACAAACCGGACAACAATCCGGTAAGCTATGACCACACATATGTCACAATGTTGCAGGTAATATTGCTAATGAATGTGGCCTCGTGGGGAAACCAATGCGTGATTTTTTGGTGAAGAGAATGGTTGTCTCCAGACACACAGTGTGTGCTGTACTTAAGTCAAGGCATTATCGCCCGTCGCTCAGTCCGTACACTGATAAAGCTACTATGAACGGACCACGATCTAAAATATTTTAACTTTCAACCTCTCATCAAGCTAGAGACTAGTCCACAGATTTCTTGATATTTTTTTTTCAACCGATAAGGCAGTTCTTGATTTCCCAAAATAGACTGTGGTTACTCTTCTATAACTTCATCTTGATCTTCGACCGCTAAGATCATTCTCGGCTCAATATTGCTTACCTTCGACCCTGTCTTCACAGTAAGCGCCCCTCCGTCCCTCCCACATTCCAACTCAAGGCGTATTTTCTGAACCCATTCAAGGTCAGCATGTTGCCACCCAAACCTGGGAGCCCCTTTTCCATACGTACCCTCCCGGTGTCAAGTCGCCAAGACACCGTGCTTGACGACAAAATGCAAGCCAAGTACGAAGCCTCTGTCTTGACAAGGAAAGCCGATTCCGAGGGCTGGTCCGATAATGAGCTCACTAAAGCCCTGAACGACTACGCGGTTAAGAGAATCCAGCCTGAATGCAAGCCCGCGCCAGTCAGCTCAGCGGAATCGTCGAGTAAGGTGGATTCAGAGCAGGTGCAGCAGTTTCAGAAGCGCCAGGAGACCGTCCGCATTATGCGTCAGGCCGAGATGGAAGGGTGGAGTGATGAAAAGCTGGTGGCTGCTCTCCGCCTCCGGAACTCGATCCATTATGAGCTTCTGAGCACGGTCCCACGCATCGGAAATTCCTAGGTCTCAGATGGTGAGATTGCCAGTTTGATCTAGCATGGGAACTTCTCAAGGAACTAAGCACCAGATACAGGCGACTTAATAAGCTGACAAGGAGACAGCCGCGATGGCCACTCGATCAAATCTGGGCCACTGATTCGGCGTGGATGGCATCATAGGGGTAGTACCACTTCTTGGCGGTGATAGTTAGTGGATGACTGTTACCATTTCTTCATCATGCGGAACATCAGAGGCAGGAATCACAGAGATGATCACTCTATCAAAATACTGGCGTTGAGTTTGTGAACCACAATGGAGACGGATGGAAATTTCATTGCTAGGCAATGACAAAGTTGCAATGGAAATGAGGAAGTTCATTCACCGTGGAAGCTACAACTCTCCTTTGTAGCAAGCTTGCGGACCCTGAATAATGAGCGTGAAGTAATGGAATTTTCCCCTAGCACCGGAGAGGCGAGCTGTTATTGGTTCAGGACGGTGGAATAATCTAACTTTGCCTCTTAAGGAATGACATGTCGACCCAAACGCTGGTATTGGTGTTTCGAGCATCATTAGCCTCACTGAAGGTGAGCTATCCTTTCGCGTGTACTGATTTCAGGCTTCATGATTCACACAAGGATTTGGAACTTGGACAACAAGAATTTCCAAACCAATTTAAAATGGAAATTCCGACTAAAGCCTCTGGGGCCGTGGCCGTTGCAATGGCGGACTGACTGACTGACAAGAATGCGTACGTCAGGCGAGTTCACAACATTTATACATGCATTACGTATGACTAACTGTCTTAGCAAAAAACCGTCTGTTGATGTACTGAAGCATCGTGTATGGCTACCATTATTTTGGCACACACACTGCTTTTTCAGTCACTGCGCCGGCCATTCACAAACCATGCCACCACTAGCTGGCTGCGAAACCTTCCAATCTCAGTGCCACATTTTGTCTAAGCTTACCGTCACTGAGTAGAATGAATGGATGTACAGTTATGTCACTGAAAGGTGGGACTCTCAGCTTCTGGTCAGTGTTCAAGAACACTTTTTCATGTCCTGCTCTGCCATTATAAAAAGACAGCATTTCAGCCTTTGCGTTCATTCTTCTTCAGAATCTCAACAGGAAATCTACACCCAGCAAAAGAAAACACTCACAATTCCCAATATCATTCATTCACTTTGCGCATTGAGCAATATTTCACCAGGCCTGAAAGTCTGAACAAGTTCATTGAAGTCACAATCCAGCATTGTACGGCAGCAGAAGCTCGATTGCTCTCAAAAACAGTGCATACTTTGTGCTCCCAAGGTCATTAGGAACACAACCTAGGTATTGAGACTCCCCTTTCAAGAAACTACCCAGAAACCAGAACATATTTCCGTGCCTCTGAGGCAGAACAGGTGGGTTCTTTCTTGAGACCTATGGGGAGGGAAGAACACATCATTTGACTGACTCTGCGTCGTTACATAGTATCTACAGTCCATCAAGATGTCGGCAGATTGGACTTGCCCCATATGCCAAACTTACAACAAGACGGCGGATACATACTGCCAAAAGCAAGGATGTGGCTATGTGCGTGGGTCTATGAAGTAGGGACGGCGACGGCTGAGGTTCAGGAAAACAAGGAGGTGGTCCGGGGCTCAGGTGTGAGGATGGAACAGCCAACCTCTTGCGAGTAGCTAAGAAAATGAAAATTCTTTTTCAGTGAATGACATGCCCACACATGCATGTGTAGGGAATACTGCATCTCGGACATATTGCACTTAACTTGTACTTTTTGGTGAATCATGCGGTATCAGGTAGGTGCCGTTGGCGGACAGGGACTTGAGATCAACGCATGGATGTCGCAGATTAAGCATGCAGGTCAGATGATTTTGAAGTCGTTGCGCTTTCTTTCAGGCATTTGGCTCCGGCGATTGTTTCTGATGCCTAGGATATCTAGGTATGATAGTCCATCTTCTGTAGACGTTCTCCAATTAAACTTGTTGGCGGCATTTCGCACTTACACTACGCTGGATCGACAGAATCCTGTCCTCGAGACATCGTTTCTCTCTTTGTCCCTTCTCTTTGCTCTTCATCACCAGGTCTCAGTGAAATGGCTACTAACTAAGGCGCTACGATGAATGATATAACGGACATAACACATTCAGAAAGGGAAGTCATTGAATTGTTCTTTTTTATTTTTGGCCACAGTACAGCTGCCAGTGGTGTTCAATACGACACTAAGCAATAGTACACCGTCACCCACAATCCAGCCGGCCGTAACTACGTCCGTAGTGGTATCGACGGGATCAAGAAAAAAAGAAAAAGAAAAAGCCAAAAGACCACGCCATGTGAGGTATTAAATTATGATGATATCGTGGAACATTGGTGGCATTTCACGTGGGAAGCACAAGTCTCGGAGAGAATGGGTTGGGATAATTAATTTTCGTGAGATGATTGACGCGGCAGGGGATGACGTTGAGGCTCACTGTCTCATCGGGCAACCACTCAAGACAGTCTACAACTATAAGCGGCTTTCTCGCCAGTTCTGGGTTGTCTTGAGATGAATTTGGATACATTTGTACGAAGGGAATTGTATGTACGATAATTAGGGATCAATCAATTCCAAGCGCCCCGTCCAGCCAAACTCCACTGCCACCCGAAATCGTGTCAGTATGTTTTGATAGTGCCGCCTCATTGTTACCACCACAACGACGCAATGAGCAGCAAAGAGAACTTCGAAGCCAATATACCATCGCGACCTCTAGCTTTCCCTGCCTCTGCCCAACTCAATTGTAGATTGGGTCGTCTGAGTCTGGTGGGTAGCCCAAGTTGCACTGCCCCGAGCAGGAACGTAAGTATATAATCTATGATATCAAGAATAGCAACTAATTGACGGGGGCAACTCACGCAAAGGTTGACTTCCTCCTCCTCGCAGGTCTCAGCGCCTTCAGGGTTATCCTCGCAAGTATATGCCAGCCCCGTCACGGGGTCGTCATACGCATAGATCTCCGTTGTAAGTGGCCGGCAGACAAAGTACTGGGAGTCGCAGTGCCCGGTTGTGGAGTTGAGTGAAAGGTCCTGGCTCAAAGCACAGCCGCTGTCATATATCTTGTCTAAGTCATCGTCAGCACAAGCACACGAGGGGTTTTCCACGACGCTGTCCAGCTATACGGGGGCGATGGGCAGCACGGAAGACATCGAGAGGCTTGGGCGCATCGGCTCACGACCCAAGTGGCAGTGCTAATGGAGAAGTACGGCAGGCAGGAGAAGTCACGAAAGAACCTGGAGCTTACACTGTGCCATGCCACCCCCGAGGTCTCGGGGCTCGGTCACGCCTAGGTCAAAACCATCGCATGCAGCGTTCGCGAGCCCGTTCAGGCCCAACACGACGATATTGACGACAGCGGATGTCTGAAGCTTCATCTTGACTGTAAAGACTGGCAAAGTTTGTCTGGCTAGAAAAGACAGAATGATACTGACGAGCGAAGGTGGTGCTTCTCTTTGCTGCTCAGGCGGCTCATGAGCCTCCGAGCCTATTTAATACTCATCTCTTCGCGTCCCTTTTGCAGTGTTGGCCGCCTCGGCTAAAAGTCAAATGCACGAGATCGGGCTCATTTGAGATGCGTGCAGATATTGACGATGGCGTAACAATAATGCAACGCTTCTGCACAATTCTCTGCCTGGATGCTACATCGCAGTTCCGCAATGAGGCAGGTGGATGGTTGAACAGGAACAATAGACTTGTGTACAAACATCCCTGGTAGCCGCTCGTATCCGCTCAACCCCGGCATCCATGCGGGAGCGCAGCAAGGATCATATTGTTGCCGGCCCCTCATTGGGCAGGGCCGATCGATCCGGGCCTGGCCCGCGGGAAAATAGGAAAATATCAAGGAACATTTTGTACTCACCCAGAGGGAGCCCCCAGCTAGCTCCAGGGGCGGGCGGCGGATGTAGCGGCAGCTCCACGGCCGATTCGGGACGAGACAGTTCGAGAGCGTCTGTTACACGCCAAAGCTTGTCTATGTTGTTGACCGGTCTACAGTTCTGACCAGTCAACTGATGGGCATGGATTGACCTCGCTTGCATGACTTTGGTGACACCTTCCCGCCCGCTTCCAGACTGACGCGCTGAAGGAGATGATCCATTGATTCCCTTACAATTGCCCTATTGGCCCTAGATCCCTTTCTGCCACCTCAATGGTCTGTAAGTGGAGGTGCCAGCTGTGTTCTTGGTGCTGTGGACTTGCCGTTCAGTAATCGGCCCAATAATGGGCCGGTTATGTCGGCTGTACCTCAGTGCACTGGTGTGTGTGAAGGCCAAGGAACGACGCCATCAACGATGCTTTCCGTGGGTTGTACGTCATGTCCATTTTCGAAGAGTGCTATATTCTACTTCTCTTGAAATCTCATTCAAGTTCTTTGCCTCGTCCTGAGTTCAGAATTCGTGAGAAGTTACATTGGAATTAGGCTCCATTCTTGCTCTGTTTAGCAAATAGGTGTAGATGCACATGTAGTCGATGTCATCCATCATGGCACGCAGGTTACCAGAGCACGCTGGATGTCTGTCGAGATCCGGGCACATGTCGAAAAAAGATCTTTCAGACGGTCCGGCCAAGTGACTCCTTCAGACGTCGATGCGTAAAGGCTTTTCTTCGAGAGCCTCCGCTCTCAGGAGCACCAGAATTTCGCAGATGTTCTTGCACCATCCATCCGAGCGATTGCCGACCGGAATTTTAACTGACTTCTCATTTTTACCGCCACGTATAAGATCGCTCTCATCAAGGCCTGATTGAGCCCGAAGCTCTTATACCCAGAAATGAAGCTCTCTGCTCCGTGACGTTTTCAAGGCTGGCAGGAGTCGGAACCGTAGAGTTTGTCTCTTTCCAAGACGGGTCTTACTCTGAGAGCAGGCAAGTAAGGGAGCTCTTTGTGGAATGCAAAAGGCGATCTCCCATCTGGACGCTGTGCATGAGTTAATTCTGGATCGAAGCCTAGAGAAATTTCAAATGCCGCCACTTCGAAGGCCCTAAGAGCTTTAATCAACATTGGGTGGCAAGCCACCGGGACACTGAGCGTCGTGGACCTGAGCAACGGTGATCGATGAGGCGGCGAGAGATGACTCTGACACACAGAGGTCGTGTTTCGCGAGGTTCTCTCACACACTGCTTCCATCTCTGATATAGCTGCGGTGAAATGACTGATAATGTGACGCCCCTGAGCCTTCGTTGTGGCTCAGTCTCACTCGCTTTGGAATTACCTTGCGATTAGCGGGCGGAGCAGAATGCATCTTCACTTCATCACACCCTTCATTCTGCCTCGCAATCAGTCTTCTCGGAGTCCTAAACGCTCAAATTTTTGATTGCAGAGGAATTGTATGTTAGTGAGCACCTCATCTTGGCCCCTGATCACCTTCGGGATCGGCTTGGATACGGTCATCCCGCAAGGTAAGGCGACCAGATCCGCAGCACCTAATCGTGCCGTGAGGGCTAACGCAGTCATGTCTGAACTCAGATTGCTATCAGAATGAGTATCTTCCGCGGAACCTGGAAGATTAATAGCTGAGATCATATTACTTAATGCTGCTATAGCCGAGTAGGTCCAGCCGCCGCAGTCGGCTATCTTGATGTCCAAATTGCCTTCGCTCAGCAATATTACGTCCACTCGATATCGACCTCACCTCATCACGAGGTTATTCAAAGGTTCCCCATGTGGATAGGACAGAAGAATGAGATTGATGCCTATCACTCGCAGAAGAATTTCCAAAACACGCGTGACGAAACAACGGAATTTCGTTATCAGATGGCGAGTCTACCAGCACTTTGTCTAGCCATCTAATCGGTGTCTGCCGGCCTCGTGTTGCAGTCTGACAGAATCTACCTTCATTCCGAGAGGATTGAAACTCGGAAGACGAAAGACCTCATAACCGTTACAGGCGCTAATAGTCAGCAAATTGTGTGCTTCAGCAGCTCGAAATCTTGGATTAGCTTCGTATTGAGGAGGAGGTGGGCGATTTCCACATGCCCCAGTGCAATCGTATCAAGGAGTGCTCAGTCCACGATGCTTCTCCCTCCTCAAGATGCGGATATTGAGCCCTCTCCAGGGGCTGTCGCAAGCATGTCTTATTCGACGATTGGACGACGTTACGTTCGTTATGTCCACACGCCCATACGAAAATCTCCTCAGACTTTGCAAGCATGGAGGCTAGTACCGCCAGCCCCGACTGATCGAGAGCTTGCTATAAATTGTTTAAGGATGACTTCTGGTCACTGCGTTGAGACGAGCAAATGTGTGATATTTTAGCAACTTTCTGCTGGGCTGCTGAAATTAATGAGCCATAATGTACCTCTTGGTAGATGAAGGCAATCTGTGACAAAGATCAAGAGTGCAAATCATGAAGATTGGGCTCCGTCTGACTGTATCGGCAGAATAAAACTTCGGAAACGAGATCCCCCTTCTTATACAGATCCGCGGGCTTCTCAATGATCATAGCAGTCGCAGCGACCTCCCCAGAGCCTACAATCGTCGCACAGTACAGCGAGCCTCTCTTGAAGCCTAGTCAGTCGATCAAAGTCGCGGACTCCCAGAAGCCACTCCGTAGTTCCAAGTTTCCGAGAATGTAACCAATCTTGCTACAGCATCTACTGGGCAAGAATGTTTTTGTTCCTGAGCCATGACAGAACTTTACGTTCCAGGTCGCCCTTGGTAATCAACATGTTTCACTATCTTGGCTTCGTTGTCTCTCATGCTGCGGTTTGCAAACAGCTGCAATCGGCGGGAGAGATTCTTGGTATGGAGAGGAATAGGCTGCATTGTCCCTGCTCTACAGATCTGCATAGTGAAGTTTGTCAAATCGACATCCACACATTGACAAAAGACTGCGAAGGCTTCGACCTTGCAGGGATGTCACAGACTTTCCGCCGAGTATCGGCGCAGTCCCTTCCTAATTCATTGGAAGATAACGTGTAGCAAGTTACAGACACGGGACCCGAAACTTATTATATCAGTGATAGTAGACGAGTGGAAATAAATCAGTGTGGCTAGGGATTTCAGACAGAGGCAGCGGCTAATTGGTGTGATATGATAACGAGACTTGATTTCACCAACTTACCTTACTGATATGCCACACAGCCTCGAGTGGAAACTTGTGTCTCGAAGAATATTTTCTATTATTACTCATCACAAAACTGTTGCTCAGCAAAATTTAGATTGATCGGGATGATAGTGTTTCACAGTATAAAAAACGACAACGTGCTTCTTCGCAGTTTCCCCAGAAAGGTCCGGGGTCCGGCGCAGCAGATCGAGGGCCAAGAGCGGCCCGCTGAGGGAATCCTGCTTGAAGGTCTAGCCTGTTCTTGCAGCCAATCGGCGATGTTGGGAGCATGCACCTTCACAGTCGTGAGACTCTGGGGTGCTGAACGGTTGCAGTGTCCTCACAGTAAGGCGCGACCATTCCATGTCATGCAGCAGTCAAAAGCTCTCCTACTAGGATCACAGCTCTCATGCGAGCCGAATCAAGCCGCTAATACAACTGTATGTGGTTAGGGTGTTAGCGGAAGTATGTTCCACGACGCTGCTTTACGTCTCCAATCGGTCGAGACTCGATCAGACTCAATGGGTTCACATTAGCGGCAAACTTTGAGCCGCAAAAATGAGCGTGCACGGAGCCCGGGGAGATTATCTGAGGTGCTTTGTGGTTGTAATACTTGTAAAGTAGGATCCCACAATAGCTGATGAACAATGGATGTTTCCCAGATTACTTTTCCATATGATGCCTTCCGAATTCAATTCATAGAGCAAGTGAGCCATGCCCATGTTCCAATAACGCACGAGTTTCCCAATATCACTGGGGATCCGGCCGCAACTTGCTCGTGATGTTGCCACTGGGCGTCTCAACCTCCCCCACCACCTCAAACCCAAAGTTGGAGTACAGCCGCACGCCCTCTGGTGCAGCAAGGACATATGCACAGCGCCCCGGAACTTGATCTGTCTCCTCACAGACGCTCTGTAGCATCATCGACGCGATGCCACGCCTCTGGAAGTCCGGATGCACGGCCATAAATGTCAGGCGACATATGTTGTCGCGTCCCTTGAGTATCCGCATGCGCTCTGTCCTAAGCTTGCTAGAGAGGGCGAGCCAGGCGTCGACGTCGAATGTCTCTGGCAGTTGGTTTCCTCGTGACTTCTTGGTCGTGGCGTTGGCGTTGGGAGATTTCCCCTCGATCTCCACTTGCTGCTCCTCCTGTTGTTGTTGCTGCTGCTGATTGTCTGGCTGAGACGAGTCCTCTGCTTTCTTGTCTGTTGTTTGCGCCGCGTGACTGCGCTCCCGGTCGATGACCTCCCACCCGCAGAAGCCAACTGGCAGCAGATGTCAGTCGCCAGTAAAGATTTAAAAGTGGGCGTTTTGGTGGGAAAAGTGGATTTTGAGGGGGGGGGGGTGCTTGAGTGGGTACATTGACTTATACCATAGCACTCCACCGGCTTACAGTGGTACAACATGTTGTACGACGAGGGCGAAACTCCGTAAGTCTCCAGAAATATTGCGCACACGATATACCTTTATTTTGGTGCATTGAAGTGCTTACCTTTGCGCAATTAGGTTCACTGGAGACATCACACTGCAATTCGCTTCGGGGCTTTCGGTTCGGGTCGACAACACACAATACATCGGACCAAATGTCAACATCGACAAGACCACGGGGGCTTTTACGACCAATAGCTCGTCATCTGCTTCACTTTGAGACGGCGCAAGGCAAAGAGAGAAGCAGGCGTGGCTGAGCTTCATCATGATTACATACCCGCAGGAAGTCGTGCGTCGAGCCCTATGGCAAATGTTGCCTTGAGTAAGCTCATCGATGTCGAGCCGGCAGAAGCTCAGGCGGAAACTTTGCACGAGCTTCCACCAGATTCCAAATCCTATCACGAGCTTCCGTCTAGAGGGAGTGGATTCAATGAAGGAGAATTACGTGGAGAACCTGGTCTGGGCCTTGAGACTCCGAGGTTTAAATTGGCAGACAATACGGCTAAGCACCAGATGTAGGGTGAGGTGGATTTTTATACGCGCCAAGGGAGTATCATGGCACTTAAAGAGTAACAGTAATTAATATACTTTTAGCCATACAGTCCGTTAATGAAATACACAATTGGCTTTACTAGGGCCAAGGCAAATCAGCCTGGAATGAGCGCAACCCGACCCAACGCTAAACGCCATTGTCAATAGGGGGCTCACAATTGGCATCTCTCCCATGGCCTCGGACGTGATTCGTTCCATAAAAGGCGGCGGTGACGCCTATGATGCAGTTGATTGCGATTGCGCATGCGCCGCACCGGCTCTGTGCAGCGCGATCCTACCAGGCACCGCCTACACGCACTTGGATGAGCCGGACATGCAGAACGAGGTCAGGCCACAGCAGCTGGGACAATGGGCGGCGCTTGGCACCGGACAGCGGTCTTATATTCCTGGGCCGGCTGTTTTCCTCAGCTGGGAGTATTTCAGTGGGTGGATGTCAGTGTTGCAGGTGCTTGTTGATGGTGGTACGTACGTAGGAGACATACTTGAAGTAGCTTTTATTTGATTCGTGTCATTTGAAGCTCGGTGGATCAAGCTCTCTTGGGAGTTTATTGCTTTGCAAAATACCTAGGTAGTGGAAGTTCTTTGTAGCCCAAGTCTCCGATCAGTGTGCACTGAGCCAGTCGGCAAGACATTGGAGCTGCCATCGGCAGTGTAACGACGAATGTTGGCCTTTAAAGCCGGACAGTGGCATTCCTTAGAAGATCTGCCTCGCCTAAGGCATGCTGAATGACAATTTTGGTCCTATTGCCTACTCCGTGCTGTTCTCGGCATGCCACTTATTCATGGCACCCAGGTCTCCCCGAATTCTGACCTCTTAATTGGTAGGTATCAATGGAATGTATCGTCTATGAGTAGAGTGCGGTGGTAGATCAGGTATGTAACTTGGATGCCTGGCCAAAACTCAATAGAGTGGGCGATCCGAAGTTGCCAACGTGCTGATGGTCTACAATGAGCATGTCTCAGCATGACGTTTTCGTGCTTCAGAAATCTCATTTCTATTCGGTTAATTTACTCCGAAGTCTACGCACAAGGGATGTGTTCGGCACATACCATCGTGCACTTGTGTGTGGAGCCACGATGAGATGCCACGAGCGAGTCACCTTGGCGCTGTCACTGGCATTCAGTCCTTCCAGTACTGAAAATTGGGATTCTGCTGCCCTTATACATGTAGCATACCTGCTTGATAAGTATAACTCAGTGCTGCAAGTAAACTTGTATAAATGGCCAGTCAACAGCTACCACGGTTGCGCCGGACGGGGGAGAGTGCCTCCCTTTACGGCATCTATGGATTTCCCCAACTTGGCTGATTGGGGACGCCGAGATGACCGGCAGTCAAGCCCGCCCATTAAACGGTGTGACGCGAGCTTGGCTGCGGCCGGGCTGCAGGACGTCGGGGGTTTGGCTTACGTGGGTACATAGGCACGCAGCCCAAGCCCGACCAGGCCGATGCGTGAGTGGCTGCGTTTCCGGAGCTGAGGCAGTGATCACCGTAATCGCTTACAAGGAGGGTCACACTGGCAGAGACAAATCACACGTAAGTACAACATCTCACAGAGACTTGAAGAGCGGCCACCCGAACCTTTTACAAGAACCTTTTTCGTTCCCTGAACTCTATCGACGTCTCACCTTCGTGCTGCAAAGCGGGCCACCAGCTGCGTTCGCATGCGAAAGTTCTCGGCAGATGGGGCCTCGAGAATGAGCCTCGACATCCGCTCAACATGGATACATATCTCCTCAAAGCAGCCGTCCTCTACGCGCTGTCTGCCACGCAGCAGACGACCACGCTAGTCGACGAGTTCCTGCAGAACACCTCCTTCGCCAACTCGGACCTGGACCCGCTCGCGTACGAGCTGCTCGACCTCCGCACACCACTCGAGCGGCTGGGGGACTCGGAGATAGTGATACCGGCACGCCTGCAGCCGCCGATCCTGGCCATAGTTCGTGGATGCGGAGATGCGCTCGCCCGCGTCGATGCTGTGCTCAACGAGTGCGCCGACGGCCCGCTGCGGGAGGCGCTCTGGGTGGCCAAGGTCCCGGAGGTGCGGGATTTGAAGGACGGTTTGCAGACATGCCGGCGGGCGCTGCAGGTGAGAACTGCTCGCCGTCTCGGGTTGCTGTGCGACAGCTTGCTGACGAGTATCTGTAGCTCGCCTTGGAGGTCGTGAACCTGTATGTGCTGGCATCCTGACTCCCGAGATTGGTCGACACCCGCGCTGACCAAATATAGGGCGGCGGCCAAGGACATCGGTGCTGATGCGGATGGACTCTCGACATATCTCGACCAAGATACGTCCAGGGTCCTGGCCTTGATCCGCCGCACGATCCAACAGGCCCAGGAAGGCGAGAACCGGGACGGCCTGAACTCGACTCTCAAGAAGTCACTCGACGACATCCGTCTTTACGTGCAGTCACTGTGCAGGTCAGCGACTAGGGACGAGTCGACGCCTATTACTCCGCCGACGACGCTGATGAAACCATTCTTTAAGGAGAACGAGGAGTTCGTATCTACCAAGTCGAAGCTCGACAGCTCTGCCGCTGACTTGTGCGATAGGGACGCTTCAACGGTCGTGGTATCAATGATGTCTGAACCTACTAACTCAGTGAGCCCGACGACACCTCCCACGCTCCTCGGCAGTTCGCTACGACCGGCAAAGCGGTTGAGCAGCGCGTTTGGTAGGTGGTCACTGGGCTCTACCAGGAAGTCCAACTCCACCTCGGCCCTGAACTCGACAGCCAGCTCCATAGTCTCTCGACCCTCCTCGGCGCTGTCATCCATACATTCACCAGCTGATGACGACGCATCATCAATCAGCAGCGCGCCCAAGACGCCCGGAGCATCTCGACAGGCATCTTATACTTCTCACGTATCCTCACACCGTTCACACAACTCCTTCCGCTCAAGCATATCCAGCCGAGGCTCTCGAGCACGAGCAATCCCGCCTACTTCGAGCCCACATTCGCTCTATCCTCCCTCTCCCCCCGCCAAGAATCCCCGGCGGACAACGCTATCTTCCATGAATGAGAGCATCGATGGGTTGCCCTCACCGCCAACACCAAGCGACAACAGCTTCTCATCACCCTTCAAAGTTTTCGACCAAGTTTCTATTGCGGGCTCTACAAAGTCACACTCGTCCGATCGGCGAGAGTCAGAAGGACTCACGCCTCTACCACTTTTCGCCGTGAGCCCACCCGACAAGATTTACATCGAACCTAGCGAAGTGCCTCTCCGCTATAACCAACCGAGGAGTACACCAACTGCACCCTCTATCGAACTAGTACGGACAAAGATGCTTTCGTTCAACGAGAAGGGATCAGGCCACGCCGTGACAGCATTCCACGTGGACGTGTCCCCAGCGTCGTACATCGTGGCAAGCAAACACGGCGACAAGACCATGAAGATCTTCGGGCTGCCGCTCTCCAACGTGCAGTCATCCATCAAGGTCAACTTCTGGGTCAGCATGCAGCCGCGGTCGCGCGACTTCTTCGTCAGCAGCCACGCGATCCTGTCCGAGACGAGCGCGCTCATCGCCGTCGCCTCCGGGTTCGGCAACAGCCTCGAGGTCTGGAACTGGGAGCGCAAGAAGAAGCTGCAGTCCATCGACGCCGCCTTCCGCTGGGCGGCCGTCAAGGCCGACATCTACGACGCCAAGTTCCCGCCCCTGGCCTGCTACCGCGAGACGGGCGACGCCATCGACCTGTACCCGGTCGCGGCCCAGGACAGCAGGCCCGGCGGCGACTCCAAGCCTTGGAGCAGGAAGCCCTTCGGCAAGCCCGTCTCCATCGAGCTCTGCAGGACCGGGCTGCCCCACGTCCCCAAGCTGCCCGAGCTGGCGTTCTCAGCCACGTCGCCGCTGCTAGTCGCGGCCGCCGGGCCCCGGCCGCCGCGCGCGGGACACCCGCCCCCGCCACACTCCGCCATGCTGATGACGTGGGACCTCAGCCGCCCAGCAGGCCCCGACGGCAAGCCCTCGTCGCGGCCGAGCCGCGTGTGCATGCCGCGGCAGAAGCAGCTCGAGACGGCGCTCCCGTGCGGGATGGCCACGCACGGCGACCTGGTGGTCTCGATCTGGATCCCCAACAACGTGCGCGTGATCGGGCGGCCGGGCGCGTGGCAGGTCGAGCCCGTCGCCGTGCACGAGCGGTGGGTGCTCGTGTGGGACCTCGCGGCCGACACGACGTCCGTGTTCCCCATCCCGGACGAGAACACCATCGCCTGCATCAGCCCGGACTGCCGGTACGTCGCGTACCGGCAGGGCCCCGGGGCGGACACGGGGCTCGGCGGCACGAGGAACTGCCTGGTGATACTGGACGCTCTCCACGGCGGGAGGGAGCTGTGGAGGATCCCGACTTTTGGCGGGGGGATGACCATCGCGGGAGGGAGTGAGCAGTTGTTGGATTTGTCGAGGGTCACTTCGATTTCCTTCTCGTCTGACGGTAAAATGTTCTTCGTGGGCGATGCCGATGGTTCCGTGGGCGTTTATGAAATACGAGGAGGCGAGGGAGGCAATTTCAACATGGTCCAGAAACAATGGTGAGTGGTGGATATTTTCCTTGGGCACAACTCATGTCATAGGAACATTTAGATGTTCAATTACCCACACAATGGAGGCAGTACCCGTGGCCCCATGTACGAGTAAGACAGCAGTTCGACAAGTTGATCTAGCCGACGTTGATTTGGCAATAATACTCTTGATCTTCATATACGTATATAACTTTTCTTGGACAGAATAAATCTATACATCTCTGGTATTTAAGTCATTCACTTCATGATCTCGGGGCAGCTTGTCTGGAATCCTGCCCGAGATACCTCGTATATCGCAAGTCTAGCTTCCATGGTGAGGATCCAACCACGGCCGAGAGAGTCGTGAACTAATCCTCTATGTTGTGTTAATGTCAACCGCTATCGTACCTATGAAGTAAAACTTTTCTCCAATTTCGATGTGATGTTCTCCGTGACTGAACAAGCAACATCATCTGCCCAGATCTCTTTCAGCGAATCACCATTGGCAACCAAAGTTTCGCACCGGTACGTCTCCAAAAGGCCGCGGCTTAACTGCGGTACGATCTCTGCGGAGAGGTATTGCACTCGTCCACATATCCCTGCTCGGATGTCTGCCAAAGGGGTAGCATCTCAGCATCCGCGGCCCACGTCGTCGAGCTTGAGTCCTCGAGGAGTATCGTAGGTCGGTTACAACGTCGTATTGAATTCACGATAGAACTATTAAATCTAGGACCGGCCTTCGGCTCTTCGCAGATTAAGGAAACAACCAAAGTTATGGACGGAACTAGTCGGCAACATTCGTGCCGTAATGACCGGACAACTCTCCGCAAGATGCTCGCTTTGAGCGACGTGACAACCCATTCAATCACGGTATTCCCTTCGTGGGATCAACAGGTTTGGTTCATAGACTTGTATTAATGGACCATAGTTACCATTAGTGCCATGCGACTTCAGTAGCCCTTTTGCATGATTCATAATTTCGGTCCCTCCATCTCAACAGCCAGTCTCCCATCAGAGACCTTTTAGGATTGAGGAACCAGGATGACCCGCTTGTACGAGGACAGCTTCATAGGCTGGCCATCGTGCACAGTCAGGACGATATGCATCGTCTATGTAGGCATTCAGTCAGCATGTAATCTCCGTGGCAAGCCGTGGCATGCGCCATGAACAACAGACTTACCTCATTATCATTAGGCGTGACATTCACAACCGACCCAGTGGCATCAAGGGCGTCAAAGGTCACATTAGGCGAGATGCGCGGGATATCACCCTCGAGGCGGAACGTAGGCTCGCGGTAGTGGAACCAGTCAAACGACAGCTCATCTCCATCCGGGTCCCAGGACTCAGAGGCGTCCAGCACGACAGACTCGCCGATCGTGTACGGGATCTGAAGAGTGCCACACGACCCGTTGACGACGGCCACGGGCTGGTGGTTCGGCGCGGCGGCAGTCGAGTTGGCCGCGCCGCCCTCGTCGACGGTCCACTGCATGCGCGCGGCAAAGTCGTACTGGTAGGCCTCCCTCCAGCGCCAGATGGAGGCGAACTGGCTGAAGTAGGTCTCGTTGTTGACGCCGATGGCCCAGTCGGCCGCGTCGCTGAAGGTGCCCTCGGCGCCCGACGACACCATCAGGATGTAGCGGCCGCCCCAGCCGCCCCACTCCGGGTGCTCGGGCGCGTTGAGCCCGTTGGGGATGAGGCCCAGGAAGGACGGGGTGTCCCCTTCCATGATGAAGGACCAGTTGAGGTAGTGCGCGCCCAGGGGCCCGATGCGGATGTGCTCCTCGAGCCACTCGTTGCTCACCAGCGACGAGTCCGGGCCGCCCTTGTCGAAGTGCCGGAAGAGCTCGCCCGAGATCCCCTGGTGTTCTTGTCAGTAAAAGATGGGGTCTAAAAGGTGGAGGGATACTGCGTGACTTACGTTCCAGGTAGCGATGGCGTACTCGCTGAAGCCGTGAATAGACACGATGTAGAAGAGCGTGGGGAAGTTGGTCCGGATCCAAGCACCGGCGTCGTCCTGGTCCGAGATGGAGTGCACCCGGATCTTGCGCACGAAGGCCGCGAGTTCCTCCTCGCTCCTCTCATTCCTGACTTGGTTCAGCGCCTCGGCCAGCACGTTGGCTCCGCCCCAGGCAAGCACCCAGAGAGGCTCCTCGCTGGCATCCACGCCAGCGATGAGCGCCGTCGACGCGTTGCTGGGCGTCGGCTCGTCCAGCGCAGCTAGGCCGTACACCGAGTGTCCGGTGACGAGCTTCGCTGCGACCTCATCTGCTGGGGGGTAGGACCCGGCCTCGGGGACGTTGCTGTTGAGGGTGTCGACGACCTGGCTGTAGCCGTCGAAGACGCCGTAGATGGAGGGCGCGTCGATGGAGTCGTTCTTCCACGTGGATGTGACGGCGGCGATGTTGACGATGTCGAGCTCGTTGGCGTAGGTCAGAAAGCGCACGAGACTCATCTGGTCGTCCGGCTCGTTGGAGATGTCCGTCATGACAAACACGCGCGTCTTGTTCTCGTACTTGGCCGTCTCGCACAGGCCTTGGCTTTGGCGGGTCCGGCCGTTGCCGGCGAGCGCCGAGAGGGCGAGGCCGGACAGGGCGAGAAGCCCCCGGAGGGAGAGAGCAGCACCACCCATTGTTGCTATGGTCAGCTTGTCAATATGGGACAACAGGTACGGTACAAGACTCGCGAGAACAGGACTGACCCTCAACTGCGGAGCGAAAGACGGAGCCGTTTATATCTGTGAGGCCGAGGCCATCTCCCCACGACTCCATTGCTATTACTCGCGCAAAGCAGGCACTCGATAGGATCTCCTCACCTCTCGTCGCCTCCCCTCCCGAGCTCGGTACATGCTAGCTCGACTACGGAAATGGTACCCGAGGAGCTCACTCACACGAAGAGCGCGGCCCGATTAGCAGTAGGGCAGGCGACCATGACGATGGGTTCACGGGACCTGCAAGAGTCTTCTGCGTCTTTCCCCACATATCCCCGCGTCTTTCCCAGGAACAAGTGTGGGGTGCAGCGTGATGGTTCCCCATACTTTGGCACCATGTTCCTGGCGGTGACGAAATTGCGGGAACACTTCTTAGCCCTTCTTGGGGGCGCCCTCGGCTTGCCCCAATCGGCTGCCAAACGCCGGCGTTCTGGAATTTTGCACGCCAGAAAATACCCACCTGGTACCCGCATCTTCCCACGACCATGCCGGTAGCTGGACGCAGGTAATGAACCCATCATCACGGCATTGGGCTTCTGTCGGCCTGCCCGGTCGGATAAAGTCCGTCGTTCCGAGCTGAGAGTCGTCCGACTTAACTGTCTCTTTCCTGCTGCCTCTCACTGCAATGAGTACTAGCACACGTGATGAATGGTCTGTGTATGATCTGACTGTTGTAGTCTACGTCTACCTATGTTCGGCCCGTTCTATCCTTGCTTGTCCATTTCGTCTATTCCGTCTTGCTCCGGTCGACCCGCCCAAACTCCATAAGCATGGTTCCGATGTCTATAAGCCCGTATCCGATCGGCCTCCGTATGTGTCCGGCGCCAAATATCTGCCACTCTAAAGACCCATTGCGCTCATCCACACAGGCTCTGTCTCTAATCTGGGTTTGTGTAGATCGTTCGCCGTCACAGGACTGTCGTGAATACTTCGGCCGTAGATGTCGTAGTCACTACTTCCTGGTCAGCACTGCTGGGGCAAAGAAAGGACCGAATCCCCATGTCACATCACACTTACAATGTGAAGCAGTCAATCTCCTCCCTCCTCGGGGCTTGTCTGTTGACCCACACCGCCGCGCTCCTCGGTGCAGCTGCGAAGACACCCCATCCCTCGTGGTCAATCACGACCTCTCCCCAGCAACCGCCCAACACGTCTGTCCATCTCTCGCCGGCGTGTTCAGGGCCAACAAACATCGTCTTTGTCGTATGAGTCCAGCCATTGGTCATGACCACAGCCATGCCCGACGTGCCGTACTGTGGGAAACCTAACCTTGTGAAGCCAACCGAGTGGGGGTGGTCAAAGTAGTCGATCTGCGGCCCATACGCATACAGTTTGCGAGCCAGGACGATCTTGGGCAGGAGCTTGCCCCCGAATGGAGGCTCAACGAAGCCATTCCCATCCGGTCGGGGGTAGCCGTAGAGGTGGCCGTAGAACACGCATGGGATGCCGAAGTCCGCACGGAGGAGGATGCAGGCGTACGCCAGGGGCAGGAAATACTCCGCAATGGGAGCTGCCAAAGACTGGCCTTCCATCTGGATTTCAGGGTCAGTATTCTTCCAACATAAGCACATGATCAAGCTCAACGAACCGTATCATGGTTTGCAACAAAAGTCTAACGGAGTGTCAGTCAAAACATTTTCGTTGATGATGGCGAAGAGTCTTACCACCGCGTGCCTCGGCCTGAGAGATGCCAAGGAGCCATCAAAGACTGTACGCAGATCTGCTCTGTCCTGGAAAGACAGCCTGGAGAAGTTGTTGACAAGTCTGACATCAAAAAGCGAGATCCGGTCCCCCACGAAGCTGATGAACTTGGACAGCACATTCGCGTCATCCCGCCAGTACTCGCCAACAATGAACCAGTCCCTGCCGACGGTCCGGTCGATATGATGAACAAGGTCTCGCAGGAAGCTCGCAGAGTAGTGTTTGACCGCATCCAAGCGCAGACCACCTAGCCTGACCTGGGATGCCAGCCAAGTCACCCAGTAGAACAGATCCCGTCGGACCTCTGGGTGGTTGTGGTCCACATCGGCGAACATCCTACACGAGAGCTCATTAGCGATAAAGCGACTAGCAGGCATGGGCGCATGCATACAGATAGTCATAGCTGCCGAGCTCCTCATCGACATCCTGCGCCCACTCCTTGCCCTGGAACTTCCAGATGCCCTTTGATCGCGTCTTGTGGTCATAGTCGATCCCGGTGAAGTGCTCCTTGTTCCACTTCAGGGGGCTGTAGGCCGAGCCCCGTCCGGGGAACTCATAGCCGGACCAGGCCTCAATCACACACGACTCCTCGCAGACCTGGGTTCGATCTTGGACCTATTTCAGCAAACTGAGCCCACAGAACCTTCTCCGGGAGCCGGAAAAACACCCCCTCATATCCCAGATGCACCGAGACTCACCTTCGCCGTCGTACTTGGTAGCCACGACCTCCTCGCTGTAGTCCGCAGCCGCCTTGTGGTTAAGCACCGCATCAAACAAGATCCGGATCCCACACCGCGCCGCGCCCTCGGCCATGGCCACGAGCTCCTCCTTGGTGCCCCACTTGGTGTGCCGCGACCCCTTCTGCTCGAACTCGCCCAGGTCGTACAGGTCGTAGATGTCGTACCCGTTGCCCGTGTACCAGCCCGCCTTGCACGCCGGCGGGATCCACATGCTCGTGACGCCGAGGGCCGCCAGCGCCGGCAGCGCCTTCTCCAGGCGGTTCCAGTGCTGGTGGTCCGCCGGGACGTACCACTCGAAGCCCTGGAACATGGTCTGGTTCTGTGCAGCACCGGGCGGCGGCGGGACGCCGACCGGGGGGCGTGGTGGTATTACCGGCGGCTGTGCGTGGTGGTAGGGGGGGCCGAAGCCCTGCTGCTGGCCGTTCATGATCGTGGGTGGGAGCGATGGCTCATGTCTTCCGGGGTAGGTGTGATAGATCAACGGAGGATCGATGAAGGGCTGCAGGGGGGGGCAGGCCGGGGTGTGAGCTAAATATGGCCGTCGGCCGAGTTCGAGCGAAAGAGTCTGCGGCTGTTGAGGCCGAGCTGGACAGCTCCAACAGGTCTCCAAAGCTCTGACGTGAGATGCACGATAACGTAATCAGTCCGCGCTGCACTGCACAGCCCCCTGAGCTATTGTCGACGTGTTTCTAGGCTCAACAGACCGGTTAAAGACTGTGGAACAACTGACGTTGGTCTGACTCGTTCATTATTGTTGACCGCTCAATCAAGTTATTCAATGGGTACACTTGTCCGCCCTATTATCAATGCATTTTAATCCTAGATTTGTCTTATTCTGAATTGTTATTGTAGTAAGAGCTCCTTATCAAAGTATTAGTGAAAATGCCTCATAGCTTGACATCAAATCTAGGAATGCTGATCAAATTTGACAGACTGATAAGAAATTAACAAGCCACAGTAATCTCTTTATAGTGAATGCGACTTGGGTTGAAGGAATGAGCATGAGTAAAAACCTGTCAAATACGAGATTAGAGAACTATCGATGGGATTCGATCCAAATACAAGAGTCGGGAGAGGGCGTTGTGTAGAAAACTCAACATCATCCTCTTTCTCGGGGCACTCAACTTTTCGCGATTGTGGACACATAATCTTCTTTTGGCTCAGATTCCGGACTGCGTCGAAAATTTACTTGGTGCTCCCAAATCCCGCCATTGTCCACTGCAGCCAACATTAGCTAACATCCTGTAGAAGCTCACAAGGCTGATTTGATAAGTTAATTGTGGCCCATTACAGCATGGAAATTGTACAGCGTCATTCCATAGCTGGCATCAACTCATGAGCAAGACTGGTATATAGGCTTTCTGGTGGGCCAGTAATCATAAACGTCATATGGCCCTCAATCTGTCACTGTTTTTGATCGTGTCGTGTGTCTGTGGCTCAGCTGAGGCAGTGTTGTGAGCGCTAGCTCGCCCGCAGCGCAATACATACCAACATTTGTGCTGACATGCACCGGCCTAGCCTACCGAGTAGCTTGATCCAAGCCGGAAGGATCACTGCCGGCTGCCGGACACAGGCTCGAGACGGAGAGCCATCTTCAATTCAAATGAGATATCACGCCGATTTCAGGAGATTGGGATTTCAATCTATCCGACCGACGTAACAGTCGGACTGTCTGTTGCGGTTTGACGTCGTGATCGGGCCAACTTACAAAAAGTGAGATTACTGAACACGACTCTGAGAGGTGTTGAGCATGCTTGAAAGGGACGGGACATTCACGGTAGGAGATTGCTTTATAAAACTCGCTCTGGTTCCGAGGAGACGACAATACTTGCAGATTTTCCGTGAATATTCCACATCTCTTTTCATAATTAAAGTCTTTGAGTCCTTTTGAAACAGTCGAACAATCTGACTACGAGATTACCATCTACACCAACAATATGTTATTACTGCAAATGTTCACGGCAGTGACATCGGCTCTGGCTGTACATGCTACCACTCAGTCCACATTCACCAGACTCAATGCCAGCACCACTTGCGACAAGGCCTGCAAAGAAGTCGTCCTTCGCGTTTCGTCCTGGGAAGCGGAGCAGAGAGCCTCAGACTTCTCCTTCTACACTGTTCCGGAAAACTACTAGGTACTCATCTGCCCTGGGGCCAGGATCTGTGCTGCGGCTCGAGCAGACGACAAACCTGACAAACTACACTGTCCCCGCACCACTGACCATGTCGCGGATACTCTATACCACGGAGGACCTGAATGGGACTGTCATCCCAGCATCAGCTTATATCCTATGGCCGTCAAGCCCTCTCGAAGTGCCCGTGACCAGCTCATCCTCGAACAGCTCAGAGTGGCCCATCGTCGCATGGGCCCATGGCACCTCGGGAGGTTTATCTCCCTGCGCGCCGAGCAACTACCGCAATCTGCAGTACCACTTCCAAGTTCCCTTCACATTGGCCCTGCAAGGCTACGTGGTCGTGGCTCCAGACTACGCAGGGCTCGGCGTCGGCAGGCTTCCGGACGGGGAGGAGATAGGGCACCCTTGGGGAGCGTGGCCTGCACAGGCAAACGACCTCGCGAATGCCGTGTCGGCAGCCCGCAACGCATTTCCCCAATATCTCGACGCCAATGGTCCCTTCATCGCCATGGGCCACTCCCACGGCGCTGCGGCCGTGTGGTCCTTCGCAGAGCGCCAGGTCAGCAAGCCCGTGGCGGGCTACAGAGGCGCAGTAGCCCTTGCTCCGCCGACCGGCGTCATCGACCACGCCCGGAGAGCCCGTTCCGACCACGCCGAGAACAAGACCCAGCTCTGGACGAATTCATTCCTCAGTTTCCAGACACCGCTCATCAAGGGCGTCACCGCCGCGTACCCGTGCCTCAACCTGTCGGGCATGACCGAGCTCGGCCGGGACAGGTGGGTCAACGTCCAGGAGGCTGTGCAGGGCTGCCTGCCCACCAAGCAGGTAGCGAGCACCGGCGCGCCCTTGGCGGAGCTGGCGCATCGCAACTGGACGGAGCACCCCGCGGTCCTCGAGTTCGAGAGGAGGACTGCGTTTGGGCGGAGGCCGTTCAGAGGGCCCTTGCTGGTCATGTCCGGCGACTTGGACGCGATCACTGATATTGACGGCTTGAAAGAGACAGTCACGGATACTTGTGAGGCTCTAGGCACCGGAAAATCCCAGGAGAGTTTGCATTTCGTCGAGTATATCGGACTGAATCACTTCCCCGTGATCCAGGCCAGCCAGGGTAAGTGGCTTGGTTGGGCAAGGGAGCGATTCTTCTCGTCTGGAGATGCGAAGGTGGGATGCAGGGCGGAGGTTGTCAAAGGCTTCAGGGCCGAGGTTTCCATCAATACGTTATTTCCGAACTTCTTACTGGAGACCACGGGCGATGGGAATAATTGGAAGTACTCCCTTTGAATCGTTGCGCCCTTGGTACCATAATCATATGATCTCTGGGTACTTGTATCTTCGTCTCTTGCTTCTGATCCTTGCACGAAAAGAAAGAAAATGGTGCTTCATTTTCCGTCCTTCGAACTGCAGATCAAATGGTTTGCGACATAGCAATGCCTGATGTGTTCCAAGAACCCGATCCTCGAGTAAGCCCGCCTCTTTAGAGCAGTCAGTACCCAATGAGGGTCACAACCGGGTGGCACCATGCTGTCGATGGCAGATTCCGGGAATCGAGGTTTCTTGGACGACGTCCACTCGCAGCCGTTGCAAAACAGACCGTCCTCAACCGAATGGGACCTTGTGAGCGATGGAAAAGGAATCGAGGCGATCCCAAAATACCAGTCATCGGGGCGCAGCCGGAATATATTACGATCCTCACGTAGTGTCGACAAATCATCATACTTGCCAGAGGCTACTAGCTCGAGGGTACCTTGCAGGTACCTATATTCGTGAGCACGCGCCCCAGTACAAGTCCGGCCCTGACTGCCTCGGACAGACTCTCGAGGGAGCCATGGACCGAGATTGCAAGCTCGATGGCGGCGCGCACGCTGACAAGCTTGTACCGGTACCAATAGAACATTAGCGAGAGTACGTATGAGTTCGGGACGGTCAAAAGGCACGGCAATTGCCGGACCTGCTTGCGCGAGAGCGCAAACACCTTACTGGCGGTCTTGTGGGGAATGACCCGCAGCGTTCGGTTGCGCCGCAGGCACTGCCAGCAAACCCTCTCACAGGTCGGGAGGTACAGGTAAGGGCCGAACGCGGAACAAATCGCACATTGCTCGGTCCGGAGGGCGGCGTTGAGCTGAGACGCGGTATGATGGCGTACCATTCTACTCTGGATGACGGCTTTTAGCGCGTGCGGTGCATGGCTCATCAGATCTCGGTATGCAGGGAGCGATTGGACAGATCTCCTCGCCCGGATGGAGACCCTTGAGAATCGAGTGATGGACCCGAGATCGAGTTTCTTAAGCAGCTCGTGTAACAGTTCCACAGGCAGAATGACGAGAAGGCCAAGCGAGGAAGGGTCGCCTTGGGCTTGCCATGCTCTCTATGGTCGGCGACAGGGTGCGAAGCCTGTAGTTTATGGCGACTGCGGTCCCATGCGACATCTTGAGTAGGTAATCTGTCAATGATTTGAGCGTAGGTGGCAACAGCAAGGTCAGTGTTGAGTACTTTACTGATAGCTCGCTGAAGAGCTGAGTAATGAACAATGTCGAGCATTCTGGCGGCTGATGACATCGTGGATGAGAACAAAGGCGTTACCGTAGAATGTGTGACTGGACGAGAAAAGATGGATGTGGTGTTTGTCTCTCATTTCCTGTGAAATATTCCGGTATTTCTACGGTACTGCCTAGAGTCTCCACTTTAAATGCGGATGAAGTCCCACAGCAGGCAGCAGGGCATACCCATGTAACTTGAATTTCGCCCACCTTTTGGACTGGAAACTGTTTGTCACTTATCTTGACTCGGCAATTGGGTGGGTAGGAGGTTGAGAGAGGGAGGTTAGGATGTTAGGAGAGGGAGGTTAGGAGAGGGTCATGTAGACTGTGTTAGTATGGAGACAAGCAAAGATTGCTGCCCTGATGTAGTCCTTGAACCAATTACTAGAATAAAACCACAGGCAAAAGAAACTTGCAAGACTGAGATGATGGGAGTATTTTTGTATCTTTACCATTTTATTTTTGTGATCAAAACATCCCTCTCAGCTTCCCAACATCAGTCAAATTGCCAATATTGGTAAAGGCATCGTACGCCCTCACTGCCCTACCAGGGCCGATGGCACTGGCCACCTGGTCCATGAACTTCTTCTTCTTCAAGTCCTCGACGGTAAGCGGGTTCTCCTGGCTCCCAATGGCATGCACGATATGCTTTTCCAGCTTCGTCCCATCGTTGAAGTTCACCGTCACATAACCCTGCGCATTATCCACAGTCGCGTCGGTCGTCACGTTGACCAATTTCCGCAAGCTGACCACCGTCTCGTTCTTGACCACCGAGTCTGTGAATTGCTTAGGCGTCGCTTCTCCGTAGAGGAGACCCACGGCCGTGGCGTGATATATGCTGAACTTTCCTTCCAACAGTTGTTTCTAAGACCCCTTTCACACATTCTCTTGTAAGGCTGCCTAAGGCTACCTAATACTTTGTTAGGTACCTAGGTCTTTGTATGTATTTTCTTACTTTAGGGTAGAGATTCCTCCCTCTGATCTCTGGGAAGAGAGAGAGAGGGTAGGCGATCTGCAGAATGAATACTCATTACTGAAAACTACTCTAACCCCGTCTGCGGGTCCGTCTTGCCCGTGAGGACGAGGACCTGCGGGTTCACATGGAGCTGCATTGACTCTATGTCGGATATGGATTTGCCCTCTTGCACCGTCTGGTTGTGCAGCTGGATCGCGCCGTCGATGGACGGGTGCATCACGATGCCGCAGGGGAAGGGCTTGAAGGTGTTCTTGAGGACCTCCCACGTCTTGCCGAGCTGGTCGAAGTAGGCCGTCGCGTTCTCGCGCGTGCTGACGACATGCAGCCACCCGAACTTGGCCTCCAGCCCCTGCAGGGAGCTGGTGTAGTTGTTCTTGGCGAGCAGAGCTGCGAGCATGCCGCCCTGGGCGGCCCGGCCGACGTGGAAGGATTTTGTGTCTGAGCCGAAGTACTCTTGCATGCCGACGACCTGGGTCGCTGCTATACCAATGGCGTTCTGAGTGACGACTGTGTCGGATCCTAGCAGCTTGCTCACTGCGACCGCTGCGCCGATCGAGCCGGTTGTGCTGGTGATGTGCCAGCCCACGTCGTAGTGCTCGGGGTAGACGGACAGACCCAGCTTGCATTCTGCTTCGACACCGGCGACAAACGCTGTGATGAAGTCCTGGCCTGAGACGGGTGCTTTCCACTCGGCCACAGCAAAGAGCGCGCTGGCGACTGGTCCAGCAGGATGAATGATGGTCTCCAGATGGGTGTCATCGTAGTCATCGACGTGTGAGGCGATGCCGTTGATCAGGGCCGCAGTCTGCGCATCCGCGTACCCATCAGTTATAGACCCATTGGCGCCGAGAATGCTCGACGTCGGAGGACCGCTAAAGGCGGCAAGGGTCGTGTTCTGTGCTATCTGGGGTGCATCTTGGATATAGCCTCCAATAGCACACCCGGCCCAGTTGTAAAGGCTCTTCACGGCAGCGTCGACTACGCCAGTCGTGAGATTGGCGTATGTCAGGTTTGTGGCCCACGTTGCAAGCTGTAGAGTGGCCATTGTGGAGGTTTGAGGGGATACTCCGCCATCGTTGGCTCCGGCATAGGATTCTTCTGGTATTTGTACCAGCAGCAATTTGTCCCCGAGACGAAATTGTTGCTCATTCGCCCACAGCTACGCAGTGACGCGTGTTTTACCAGCCGCTCGGAGACTCGGCAATCGACTGACGTGAAGTCTTAGCGGCAGCGATCTCTCTCCGGTCCAAGAAGGAAATGGCAGGTCACATGTAGCTAAAGGACCCTTAGTCTTCGGTAACACTGTGATGTGGGGTAAACTCCTCGAGTGTGCTGTTCATCCTGTCTCTGGGATCGATTATTCCCGGGTGTGTCGGGGTAGTCGATCTGGTGGGTGGAAGTGGCGAGCGGTGCTAATGGGGCAATTCTCGGCCATGAGTCGAAGTTTAGGAAGCTCTTCTCAATGAATTCCCCTCGTTGAGCCTTTTTGCATTGAGACATTTCCCAACCTTTTGCGTCAACAATACACGATCGTTTACCAGCCATAGTTAGCTGCCATGATCAGAATGAGAGTTCTGTCTACGAATGAATTTTTTCCCCACTCACAACTTTACGTAGTTGAGGAATTCTTGCTACGATTCGGCTACAGACAAGAATTATCTGCGTTACCCCGTGGTCTATTCCACACATATGATTCTGACAGTCAATTGTATCCAATGAGAAGGCCCTGATCAGTGTTCGGCTGTGTTATTATTCTTGACGCTGTCACCAGTTGGAAGTTCACCTGCCATGCACTTTCATGTTTGCAGTTGATCAAGAAGTCACCGGCTTTGGAGGCACCTCTTGTAATCACCGTAAATATTCTCATGACGATAAACGCTTAGCAAAGTCTTTATGATAGCTGGTGAGACATTTCACATTCATCGCACACTAAGTTCGGAAGTACTGCTCCTCCATTCTCCATCCGCAGGAGTCTCTGAGCGGAAATTGCAGTGTCTGTCAAACTAAAACGAAAACACCATTTGTGGCATGGTCCCGCACATGCATCAAATAACCATGACTTTTCCCTCATCCCCAGACATCTTCAAACCAACGTTTGGTAAGCTTCTTATGTGCTCGCCAACAGTCGAATGCACTGTCGTCCAATTCCTTTTCTCTCATGACCTGAGTTCAGATTGTTTGGTTCCCCTGGCGGGCAATCAAGGCGGAGCCACAGAAGTATATCGGGGCATCCTTTTCTAGCAGTAGATCACAGACATCGGCGGCACAAGTCTTCACCAAGTCCTGCACGTACTGCTTCGTAGGACCTGCTCTGGAGAATGCCGGTATGACTCGAAGGATACCCGCCAAGGGACCTTTCGTGAACGTGTTGAACTCATCTTGGTACAGAAAGTCATGCTGATTCTGACAACCAATGAATAAGATCATCTGCCCGACATCTCGTCCAAGTGATTTGAGTCGTGCACGTTCTTGTATTAATGCCCGGAAAGGCGCAATGCCAGATCCAGCAGCCACAAGAACGATCGGTGTTGCAGGTTTCACTGGTAGCTTGAAGGTAGTCTGCCGAATCTGTGCATAAATCGTGGGCGTACATGAAAGATTGTGCTCCGATGTGTCGGAATGATTCGGCGCGGTTAGAAAAGAACTAGTAAGCCCTGGAATTGTAACACTTGGGTTGTTAACCAGTGCTGTTGGCTTATTTGCCACAGTCAAGCTGACTTGACGAGGAGATACCATAGCGGAACTTGAAATGGAGTAAAGGCGTGGCGCCAACGGGCTAACGTGGTCTATAACGAAAGACAGTGACAATGGTTTCCAAGACGCCGAGGAGTCCGGTGCAGTGGCTTGTTCAAGAATCCGACCAAGTGCTGCAGAAAAGTCTCTTTGCTTGTAGTTATAGCCGACAAGTTCTCTTTGACAAGAGAGGTGGAAGCCATGCGTGATAAGGCCGAAACTGTCTCGCGTGAGACAGGCCCACAAATATCTAGATAATGGCGGAACAGAGCATCTATGGTGGTCCGAGTGGGAAGTTTGGGTTGGGTTCTGCCGTCACGTGGTGAGATGGTGATGACCGTGTCTTTCTTTTCGTATAGTTCGAGTAGCTGAAGAACCACTTGAACATCATGTGCTGGGTTCTCGGGCCAGACCGCGATGTGATCACCCGTCTTGTACTTGACATTCGAGTAGGAGGACAGGTCGACGACAACCTCAACGCAGCTTCTGTTGTGCTCATCATAGTGTGCCAGCAGTTTCCTGGACACTATGGGAAGCTTGACGACTTCTAAGTTCCTCGGATCAAATCCGAGGTTCTCCTGAATCAAATCTGGATTGCCCTGTTCTTCAGATTGTCTCACACAGGGTTTTGAGGACAACGTTATCGTGCGAAAGGTATATTTAGGTTATGCTCCGGAGAAGTAACAAGTTGGAGCGACGGCCCGTGTAGGGGCCTATCTGAGAATTTTCCTTCTAAGATCATGATTTGATGCGACTTGCCATCTCAACGTCTGTTACGTACATATTAGATTAACCATTTCATTGCCCAATTCTATTATTAGTCTCTTATTCTCATTTTGACAAGTCACAACATCTGTGCTGCGAGGCTGCTTTTGGTTATGGGCACTGACCCCAGTTTGAAAAGAGAACATGGAAGTACTGCCTATCAGCACGTACACCAGTAGGGAAATACTCAGACCGTTGATCTGCAATTAGAATTGGCAGAGTAAGCATTCTGGTCGATCTCGGGATTCAGAGATCCTGACCGAGGACATATGATTTGCGAGCGGACGTAGCACCCGCCTCAGCCTAAATCCATTAATATAGAAGTAATTCAAGATAAAGGGCCGAGCCACTGCCCAACGGCATGTGAAATTTATTTGTCATCAGAGATTCGTAGCAGAGCTATGCTCGTATTTAGGAAACACGGTCCAGGATGTTGGGGAACTCATCCTGTTTTCTCATTTAGTATCCGACTTGACAGCCGAGTTTCCCCCAACCTGTACACAATGCAGTGGAAAATTCTCTCCCTAGCACTCCTCGCCGAGTATTGCTACGCCCAAGTTGGACGTATGCCGATGTTGCGGTTCAGCTGCTCGCAACTGGTTGTCGAAAGGCTTGACCCTCTAGTCAACCCTGGCATGAATCCATCGCCTCACGTGCATCAGATCGTGGGTAAGTCTTCAGGGTAACTTATTGACACTCACAGCTTGCATTCATCCTCTTCATCGAGAGCTATTTCGAGGAAGTCTTACTAGACCACCCTCATGGAGCAAAGCTGACTTCAGATTGCCACAGGTGGCAATTCTTTCAATGCTTCCATGGACCCAGCGACACATGACCTCCCTTCAGCTTCTACATGCACCAGCTGCACATTCTCTGAGGACTTTTCCAACTACTGGACTGCAGTTCTATATTTCCGAGCGCGCAACGGGACTTACAAACGCGTACCTCAGTATGCCAGTGAAGGACTAACCGCCGATGGTGGCATCACAATCTATTACATCGCGTCGCCTGATGCATCTGTAAACGTCACCGCGTTCACACCAGGTTTCCGCATGCTCGTCGGGGACGCCGCGGCGACCTCCCCAGGCTCTGCACCCAAGGTGTGCCACCGCTGCATGCCAGCGACGGGAGACAACAGGAACCTCAACTGCGCGGCCCCGGATGCTCAGACCCTGCCCACGGGCTTCTGCGTCGGCGGCATCCGGTCCGTCATCACCTTCCCCACGTGCTGGGATGGGAAGAACACGGACAGCGCGGACCACATGAGCCACGTTACGTACCCGATACCAGACGCATCGCACAACGGGGTCGGTGCGGAGGGTGCTTGCCCGTCGAGCCATCCCGTCAGGATACCCCAGGTCATGTACGAGGTCATGTGGGACACGCGGCCCTTCAATGACAAGAGCCTGTGGCCGGAGGATGGATCGCAGCCATTCGTGTGGAGCACTGGTGACAAGCAAGTCTCTATTGAATGCTGAAAACCAGGCTGCAACGCTAACCATGACATGCAGGCACGGATACTCGCAACACGGAGACTACGTCTTCGGATGGAAGGATGATTCCCTTCAACGTGCCATGGATCTTCGATGCGATGGTGATGTCTGTAGTGGATTGGCGAGACAGTCCCCAGAGGAAGCGATGAAGTGTACTAAGCAGCGTGTTGTTGATGAGGACATCGATGGCTGTAAGTCTATATCTCTAAAGTGGATTCTCTGTTCTAGCTGACCTCTTCGTAGGGTTTACCGAGATCCCAGGAGCCACCATGACTTAGGTACTTAGAACTATTTGCGTTCCGCTGAATTCTAGCATGGGTCATTGAGGAATGTGCACATGACTGAGAATGGATTCTAATGACATGATATGCTGTGTTCCTTATGCGAATCTCTTGAAGGAATCTTGAATGACTTTGGATCTTCATGTCACCTGGGCAGTTCTGTGACGGTGGGTTTGTGTTGGTGACAGAGACAACTGCATTAACACTTGACTTGAACTTGCAAGCAATCAGCAAGGGAGAAAAAGGGTGACTCTGGATCAGGCTGGGCTTCTCCTTTCCCTCACAGTACAACTCACACACAAGCCAGTTCGCTCAGGACACTTACAAATACACTTCTACATCTTTTACTTCAGCGCTCTGCCCGACCGCAATTGCAGCCATGCCTCTGGTATTGCAGATATTGCGCTCCAGGGCTTTCAAAATTAGATTCGACACTACGCCTCCATAATTGAGAGAAATGGTAGGCATGGCAAGCAAATACACGACTTAAAATTCTGCTTTGGTTAAAAGAGTGACTAGAATGGCCTTGGCGAATATGTACAGTTTCACGGCTACTGCGGAACACACCCACATGCGCCAATTCCTAAGATCGCCACATGCAGGTACGCAGCGCATTCACTCCATCCTGAATTTGCACCCCACAAACCGTCAGATAGACTGCCCTAGAGGCCAAGACGATAGTAGTGCAGATCCGCACGCCAGCCCCAGACGGCGCCATCATCATCATCTTAGAAGCTCAGCTTCTGTCCAGCGCTGGCGGTGACGCTGCTCTTGACGCTGCCGGAGCCGAGCTTGGAGTACGAGTACGGGACGCTCGTGAGGGTTCCTTGGCGGCCGTGTTGGCGGACCCGCCGAGGTTGACGTCGTTGACCACGGCGTAGCCGACCACGTCGCTGTCGGCCGAGTAGATGGCCTTGGTGCCGCTGTTCTCGAAGACAGAAGACTCAACCAGCAGCTGCGCGTTCTCGCGGGTGTTGATGCCGGTGTTGACAGAGGAGAAGTAGCTGCTGTACGCGGGGGAATCATGTGTGTGGTCAGCCGACTGGACGCAGAGAGGTAGGGAGGCGGAGAGTCCTTTGGGGTTTTCTTTGCTCATGACTTACTTGAAGATGTGGCCCGTGCCGAATCGGAAAGATGGGGCACGCGAGTTGATGTTGCTCCAGTAGTTGTTGGCGTAGGTGACGTGCAGGTGGCCGGTGTCTTCGGCACCGTTGGAGTCGGAGTGGCCGACAAGGGACGCCTTGTACTGTACAGATGGAGTCTTTGTGAGTATAATATATCTCCTCTCCGACTATTCAAAAAAATGGAGTATTTCTCTTTCCCTGAGTGAACGTATGCCGGTACTTACGTGGTCATGAATGTAGCTGTTTGAGATGGTCACCCACTCGCTGGCGTGGGTCACATCGACCAAGCCGTCGTAGTAGTCCTTGTCGTGGTCCAGGTCGCTGGACAAATCAACGTGGTCGACCCATACGTTCTTGGATGCTTGAATGGTGATTGCATCACCGTTGTCAGCGAGGACCTTGCTGATCTTCAAGTTTCGCACAATGACGTTAGATTGTCCGTTGATGGTCAGACCAACGCCAGTGAGTGCTGCCATTCAATTCTGGTCAGTCATGTCAAAGGAACTTCCTTTCCGTCAGGAAGGTTTAATACGTACAGGCGCCGGACTTGCCGATAATGGACTTGTTAGAGGTGACCTTGACCTTGGCGGATCCCGAGATGGCTCCGCTGACGACAATGATGGCCGCGCTGCTGGAACCAGCGGCAGCTGTGAACTGGGCCAAAGTAGACACAGTGGTGGTGGTGCCTCCACGGCCTCCAGTGGTTCTGGAAAGATGGTATCAGTCAAACTGCACCATGATAGCAATGGGATGGACAAATTATGTGCATACCCTCCGTTCTGAGTGGCGTAGCCGACGTCAGCGGCGTCGGTGATAGCAGCCCTCTTCTCGATGCTGCGTGGGTCTACGACGGCATCATCTTGGACGGTGGGAGTAGGCGAGGCTGCGACACAGGACGCCAGAAAGGCCAAGGTAGACAGAATCAAAGTCTGCTTCATCTTCGTTGTTCAGGAGCAGTAGTTGCGGTATTGGAGCGAGTGTTCGGCAAGAGGCTGGCAGGATGTTGATCTGGAGTTTTCGAGACAGTTCTTGGTCATGGAGGGTCTCTACGTCGTCCTTATATGTCCCCATATATGAAGCCCTCTCATTGCCATATTAGATGAGCTTGTCTTGGAAGCACACGAGCTCATTGCTCAAGATGATGTCGACCTCGCTATCCATGGCGTAAACTGGCGGACTTCAAAATTGCACGAATAAAAAAATCTTCCAGAGAAGGCTTTGAATATTTCTAACTCTCGAGAGACGAACACCACCACCACAGCCCCAGGGGCGTCTGCAGCTACGGGATCTCCTCCACTGGACGCGTCAGTAATAACATGTTTCGCCCATCTGCGCAGCGGCTTCCCACGGGCCAGTAAACTGCATGTGGTGCAGGCGAGGTCCACTTCGACGGCTCGTTACATTCCGAGGCTCGCTATGTGGGCGGGGAATCAGGATGGCAAACTGATGTGATGGGAAGGGGCATTGACAACATCTAGGAGACCCCGGAAAAGACGGCCACCTGTGTGTAGGGTTTCCGGCACTCCAGCTGCGACTTCTCGGTCATAAACAGGGCAGTTGGTCATGTGCGAAGTCTAGCCCAAATGGCTCTGTTGCGCCCGCATGCAGGTTGTATAAAACCAGATGACTGAGAGCCTGTCGTGGACGTCTTGGCATCGTCTTATAGCGTTGGGTCCCCTTGCCAGTGCAAACATCGAACTGCGAAGGTGAAACATGGGACAACCCTTGTCCTACCATCCTCATCTTACCTCGGCCGGTACCTTGGGCACCGCTTTTAAGGCCCCCAAATTTGTTTTATAAATCCTTATGGATCCGAGAAAATTGAGGATTGACTATGGAAATATTGTACGTACTGTGTCATGCCCAACGAGTGTTGGGCAACGACCAGGCCCTCATTGCCTTCGATATACCTTAAACAGTTGACAAGGCAGTATACAGGGCAAGGTCAAAAGGACTACGCTCCACAAGCAGGGTCCTAGTTTGACAGTACGGTCATAGTCTAGCAATAATTCAAAGTTGGAAGTATGCTTGTTCAACAACCGGAGGCTGCATGCCGATGGCTTCGATTGCGGGGAAGAATGCGAAGATATCGTTGGAGGAGAATTTGTCTGCCGTTTATTACTGGGTAGGCTAGCCGGCGATTTGAGGTGGCTAGGAGGTTCGTCCGTGGCGATGGCACCTAACTAGCAGATCTGACACGATCACAGATGATACCACATCATGCGTCCCGAGGCCCTCAAAAGCATCGAAAACCCGGATATGGTGCCCTGTGGCGTACTTTTTAGTCAGGGCAATCTCGATGTTGCATTTTGGGCAACGGTCTATTAAACCCTTCGGATTTCATCAAGCGAGAGCAAATCCTCGTGAAAATCGCCAAAGATGATTGCGTTTGGTGAGGAAAGTTTTGTATACACATGAAGGTAAGTAGTAAACGAGATCGGAGAATGGTGCAGAGATTGCGCTCATTAGAACGCTGCCTTGCGAACTGCTTTGTGAACAGCCTTGCCGGCCAAGACGTCTTTTGGGGAGTTGTTTTCCAGAGGAGCAGCCTGGTTACAGAGAATGATCCACGTTGTCGAGAACTAGCCCGAACATTGTATGAAGGCATCGCCATCTCGTATGAATATTAGCAAAAGTCCAGCAGTATCATCGCCTATGGGATGTTGTGACCGTTCCCTAGGATAGTCCGTTGTGTGTGTTTTTGATCGATATGTTATACTCTCTATATCCTGCATAATTTGCTCCCAAAGATGGTTGCAGACGTCCGCAAACATCGGGTCAAAAACATCACATCTCGGTCTGAAAGGTCCTATGCTCTCCTTCAAAACTAGTGACTCGTGCACAGCCAGACCTGGTAGCACCGTAGTAGTGTAGGAGCGCTATTGATTTACTCCAACCCGTATCTTCAATCAGCGGCCCATCATCTCGCTGCACTCAGTGGCAGCTCATCGGAAAAACGAGTCATAGCGTCTTGAATCTTCGCGGCGAGCGACAAGTTAGCGTGTCTGACGGCCACCACCCAGCCGTAGCTACGTGACCCCAAGGCGTACGTCTGTTCATAGTGATGCCGACAGTAAAGATTACCCTATGTGGTCCTTTGCTATACAGTCATGGATATAGTTTGATGAGCAGACATAAACATGAGCTTTGAGGAATAGAAAAAACTTCGGTGAGTTGCGCATTCGCCCGACGCAGTATCTCGATTTCTAGCAAATGGGGTCCCTCTCAGGCGGTTGACATGGACTCTGGTTTTGATGCAACAATTCCTGGATATCCGCAACCCACGGATACAAATAAAGACTGCTTAGAATACAAATCTCTCGGGTGTTATATATGATGTGACCTGTTGTTCTCACAGCTTATTCTACAGCGATCGTTCATCCGTCTTTTCTCGGCCGACCACGATCAGTTCCTCTCGGTCGGCATCTTACTCAGCCTGATTCACGGGTTTTCCAAAGATGCAATTACTTCCTGTTTTCTGCACCGGGTAAGTCTCATTTGATGATCGCACACCATGTCTGGTGAAATGCCGGTCGTTTAACGTGGTCTTGTATCAGTGGTGCGTGAGGCGCCAGGAGACCCGATGAGTTAAGGTAATCAGACCAGACCCAGATCGAAGCGCGTGTGCTCATGCGAGCAAGCTTAGTTCTGGGCGTCGAGGCCATCAGTTACCATGTTCAATGTGAAGAAGTTAGGAGGGCAAAGACTTACTCTGCATGCAATCTGCATCGCTGTCATCACTGATCTGTCACCTGGAACATCGGTCGGACTCTGCAGGTCCACAATGCCATCAATAGCTCAAGGCCAGCTCGGAGACTTGCGCCCCGGTTCACCAGGGATATGTCCCATCACATTCCTTCTTCCTCTGGATCACCATTTGAGGGGCCCTCTGTTGCCTTTCGCACAATACCCTCAGCCTGGGTGATTCTTTTGCCAATCTCATAGAGCGGATCGTCATCATTTAGCTCAGCCCCAAAACTTCTGAGCTGAGTGTTCAGGTAGTGCAGTATCTCCAAGGCAGAGTTTGCTCTGTCCTGCGTGAAATAAGCCCAAGCCAATTGTTCCTGGAGGCTGACCGATTCTACAGCTCTTTGGTCCCACACAGCTTTCGATCTGACATGCCCCAGGAACGCTTTTGATACTTCCTCTGCCTTTTCAGTGTTAACCACCATGAGTAATGTGAAGGTGTCTAGTGAGAACCGAAGTACATCTGGATGATTGTTGCCCAAGCGGAAAGTGATGGCCTTGTGTATAGGTATGAAGAAGTCTGTAATGGAGATCGGAGATGTCAGTGCGGACGTCTGTCGCACAAGTTGCACAGTCTGTAGCCCTTGTCTTGCAGAAAGTACCAGTGGGTGCTCTGGATCGAGTGCTTCATGAGCGTCATGATACAAATCATGGTAGAGCTTCTCAACCAAAGCCATGTCGGTCCCCGAGATCTCGGTCATCGACTTTGCGAGGCGGAGACCTGCTCTTAACGTGAAGACATGAAGTCTTCCGAACGACCTTGATGTGTTTCTGGTATCGTAGATGATTTTCCGAGTATCAAGCAACAAGTCCTGATGACTACTGGCTGTGCGTGACTCCGCTTCCGCCCAAAGCTCCAAGGTAAATAAAATGTCAGGGTGCGTAGATATCCGTCCTGGGTCGAGGGTTGGGTATTCATGATCTGGGCGAGGATGCGTCCATCGCGATGCTATCGGCTGCTGACAGAACTTCCCGGACCAGGTACTGCAATGACTTATTCGAGACTGCATCTTCCTTTGCAATGCCGAAGGCGACCATTTGATTCATCAAGGCGTTTGCAAAGTATTCTTTGGCCAGCGAGGTCTTTCCTCGTAAAGAGTAGGCGAAGGCCAATTTTGGAATGTACTCGAGTGTCCACGGATGTGTGGGTCCCCACAATGACTCGGCGGCGTTGTAGGTTTCTTGAAGCAAGAGCTCCCCTTTCTCGTAGTTGCCTATCCAGACATTAATCCATGCGTGCTGGGCCTGGAAACGAATGGTCCGCTGATCCGTAGCCCCAAGCGTCTCTTCCGCACGAGTACAGAGATTCTCGCTTATCCTCAGAGCCTGAAGCGGCCGCGCCTGAATTTCGCACACGGAAACCAGGACGTGGATAATGTCGAGCACAAGTGGATGGTGTTCACCCAAGTGCCTCTTGATGAGGTCACTTGTCTCTGAACAAAGTGTCTCGGCCTCTAGGGCCCGAGAAGCTCTGGTGAGGAGGAGGGCCTTGAGACATCTTGTCTCCAGCGAAGTCAAATGAAACCTCCCTAAGTGTTTCTCAATTTCAGGAAGATCCTTCGATATCAACTGCAACGCGTCTTGGACCATCCCACGAGATAACAATATCTTGGCGTGAGTCAAAGTTTTCAGGCTTTGGGACCTGTATTTGGTCTCTTCGACCTCTTGTACACCTCGCTCTCTGCCATCCTCTTCGGCAATTAAACTGACGGCTTCAGAAAATGAGCCTCGGTATCCTTTGAGAAGTGTCAGACCTCTGTTGACTTCAACAAGCAACTTCAATTGGCGCATTTCTTCCAATGCCATTTCTTGGACTGGGAAGAATGCCGTGCCCACCAGGAAGTTTCGTAGTTCTGTGAGTCGGTCCTCCGCTTCCTGGAATTTCCCCATCTGTGTCAAGGCCACTGCGATGTTGTATGACAGCTCAAGGCTCAGAATGAATAGGTTTCTGAGAATATCCTGCTCCGTCTCTAAGTCCTGCGATCTGGACGTGTCGACCCCTGAGACTTCACTTGGCCTTCTACTAAACCCGGGGGCCTGGGGAAGATATCCGGTGTCGCCTGCTTTGTCAGGTATCCGCCAGGCCTTTGTCACTGCGCTTGGTCCTTCGAGTAATCCAAAGCAGATCATGAGAATGTTTCGTAATTGTGTGTAAGCGTCTCGATACTGGCCTCTCAGTATTTGAATGACGGCTCGCTGCATTCGCCACTGGAGAGGGATGTCGGTCCGTTCAAAGAATTGATCGCCAGCATCCACACACCATTTGCACAAGACGTCCGCGTTGTCCAAGTCACCTTGTATCAAATACTTCCGGGCACGGTGGAATATAACCCGCCATTTCTCCTCGTCGTTCGATGACCTCGTAACCACAGGTCTTGAAGTAGGAAAGCTGTATGGCCGCAGCCGTTGGAAAGATTTGCCTGCCTCTCTTGTGATGTATTCTGGGAAAAGAAAACCAGTTACAGCACCTTGTGGTGCAGATGAAGACCTATGATGGGTCGCTTGAGGGCGGTTTCGTGGATTGTTCAGTTTTCCCTGGCTTTTTGGGAAGTACAGGTGCGATTCAAGCTCATTCATCTCTTTAGAGACGAGGACCAGGCTTGCCACCGCGGAGCGTTGGTCAGACTGGGCGGTTCTGTCAGTAGTAGGACTGGCGATCTGAATGAAAGTGTTAATGCGGCTGACATCGGCATTCACTGTGACCGCTCTTGTTGTCGTAGTGTTGTTGCGATGCCGACGGAGTAAGGTGTTGACGGCGCCTGCGTGCTTCTCATTATTCACAGGATGTGATCTAGGAAGATTCGAAGTCTGGCGCATATCAATGACGGGATGATGAGGGTCCAGCACCCAGGTGTGGCCGGACAGATGCTGGTTAGCTGATAAGCCTCGGAACCGATCGTCAATCCATCGCAATCGCTGCTTGAGACCAAACAGTCTCCTCTTCCCATCAGTCTCCCGGTCTCCCATCCCCTCATCTTCAACAGCATCTCGGTTTGCCAACCAGTCATCCCCGAGGACAGAGACCTTGGACAAAGTATCCACCCATTGCTCTATGTAATTAGAGTAGCTGACATCAAGACTTTGGCTGTGAGGGAAGTCCTGTAAGAATATAACGCCCTCTACTTGCCGTATATCCAAGAGCTTGTCATCTTCTGGCACTGGGCTTCGCCCATCCGCCTCAGCCAAAAGACGCTTAACTAGCCAGGAGGCGATTCCATGTGCCAGAAAGATTATTCTCGGAGGTTGCGACAATGGGCTGGTTGACTTCCGTGAAATGTCGGTCTTTAGAAATCCCAAATTAGCTTCTCAAATATGACGTTCAAGTTCTTGGAACATATTCACAGGACTCCAGCGTTACAGAACAAGTTGTGGGAACACTCACAAGGGCCTGCTTGACATGCTTTCGAAATCGCGTATATGTCTTATGGAACCGGCCGTCCCCATCTTTGATCAACTTCACTATGTCGAAGGGATAGACATAAGGCACTCCGAAAAGCCTGCGTTTCTCGAGATCCGACGGCTCAAATATAGCTTCCACAAGCTGGTCAAACGCGGTGTCGATGTTCTCGAACCGCTTCAGGCCGTGGGCGATGATGATGCTTGCGTGTCCTGTTAATTTCCATACGGCTCGCATGACATCAAGTGTGTAAGTAGCATGTGCTGGTACGAGCTGTCATACATGAAATTCGCAGATGTCCTAGAGTTTGCCTTTTTCTGGCTGCGGGCTGGGTACTGAAAATTTCACAACGATCAGTACGATACCCTCGTCACGCCATATCTCGTGTGGTCTCATTTTGGAGCTGGTTATGTCAACTCACCGTGGGCGTGAAGGATAATGTTCTAGCCTTCAAGAGTGCCGTTTGTGTGGATTTCGAGCCTGGCATCTTGGATTGTGTTGTTGTGGGAGAGTTTGGGTGAGGAAACAAATGAGACCGGGGACTCGGGGCCTCCAGCTGTGAGAAACTAGCCAAGTACGGCGGAAAAGTCATGTCATTGGTGGCTATGCATTGTCAGCGCCCGGGTCAGGCGGAGGATGGCCGTGGGGGCACTGGATTTGATGAGATTCTGTGGTGGCACGTCGGTTGGGCTGGGGGCGAGACACTCCTGCGGGTGAATCAAATTGCAGCAAAAGTAGGGGGTGGCTCAGGGCCTGGACATGGGCTGAATGGCATTCGCGTGAGACATCCATCCCATGGCTGTGGTTTCTCGTGTGGCGCGCGCTACCTCAGTCCCCATCCTCGGCCATTTTAGTCTGATCGACACCACCCACTCACTCGAGTCTGCCAGCTCACCCCTCAGTTGCTGCATTGTGGCTGCCCAGCCGTCCATCGATGTGTATGAATAGCGGATTTTTCCCATGCACTCGAAGCTCACTTGCATAATTATGTGCTCACCGAGACGGAAAAAGCAGCAAATCATCCTTCTCAATCGGATGAATGTGGAACCCACATCACGCTGCTGCATGAACGGTCTGTCGAGAAAAGCCTCGGGTTGACCGCTATTTTTGTAGAGTTGAGCCGCAACAGTATCGAAAGAGATTCCAGAACAGCGAGGTGTCGATCAAACCCCGCTCCAATACCCTACCATGCACTTTCAGTTGAATAAAGTCCATACATAAGTGTCTCGGCCAAAGCCGCATAAGTCTTCTTTCTCTAGACATGGAGCACTTTATGGAATATTACGATTCATTTGTTGATATCACGATTCCATGTCACGTCACAGCGCATGATAACTGTTGCGTGCGGTCCCATGACGACTTCTTTGACAAACACGGGTACGAGCATGACGACTTTCTCAGATTCCCGGAACGACACGGCTGGACTGTCAACCCGAGCACGTATCACCTGCAGCTCGCCGAGCCACAGCCTCCCGGCAACAAAATCATTGTGAAAAATGCCGAGGAATTCATCCAGTCATGGCTATTCTTTTGTCTCATCACTTGTATTGTCCGAGGTGATGAGCCACTCCTAAAGTTCAAAGATTTGATCTCCGATAGCGTCACAAGAGCTGAAAATACTGTCGCAACGAATCTTCGCACCAAGAAACTGAAAAAGGCGCTTGCTATTTGGCATCAATGGGCCGATCAGAATCGCCAGGAAGCCAAGCTTAGACTAATCCAGTCCGACCTCATCCTTGAACTGGGTCGACAGGTAGTCCGGGCAAACCTGGCCGAAGAAGCAAAGCGTACCACCAAGCTTGGTATATCACCGAAGACATCGCTGGCAATCATGATTCTTGGAGAGACTTTATCAGCCGCGAAGCTGGAGATCATGGAATCGACGGGGACAAAGGTGCGAGGTTGGCACGAAGACGACAATGAGGGCTGGGGAGGGTCCGAGTTTGTCTCCTCGGAAATCAGAAAGTTGAAGTTTTGCCCTCATGTCGCAAAGATGCTCAAGGTACAAATGGGGTCTAACGCGACTCTGCTGCTTGCCGCTACGAGACACTATCCTGGAGTCCCCGACCATGGCGCGGCATGTGAGAAGGCCCAGAACTGCATCTACATGTCAGCAAGCACTGCGACAACTCCCGACTGGATCTCAGATAATGGCACAATACCGTCTCTATATCGGCCGCAATGTCATAAAACACATGACGGACTGGTGGAACAGCTATGCCAAAGGGGCAATTGCTCGATGGTGGGCCCAAATATGGATGATGTGTACAATATACTGAGCAAAGTCGACGACAATGACGAAGGCTCCGAATTTCCCTTGTTCAGAATCCAAATGAAGCCCACGGAAATCGTCGTTGTGGTGGAAAAGTGGTCGCATGCTGGTCAGAGACCTGATTTCGCGACCATATCTCACGTTTGGTCTCAGGGACTGGGGAATGAAGACAAAAACGAGGTCCATCAGTGTCAATTGAAGCACCTTGCCCATCTCCTCGAATTACTACAACCTCCATTAGTCAACACCCGAACAGACGCGAGCCCTCTTTTCTGGCTTGACACATTCGCCATCCCCGTAAGGCCCAAAGCTGGGGATTCATCGCCACGCATGCCGGGGGATTTTGACGATTTGAAGAAACGTTCAATTCGACAGATACGCCATGTATATGACTCCTCTACTCATTCTATCATCATCGATAAGGACCTATGCAGCTATGAGGCGGGTAATCGCCCAATCAAGGTTGCCATGAGGCTGTTGACCAGCAGCTGGATGAGAAGATTGTGGACGCTTCAAGAGGCATTTCTGAGTAAGAAAATGTCCATAGCCTGTCAACCTGACCATTCAAGCTCCGATCAACAAACAGATCCATTCCCAGGCTGGGACTTTGAAAAGCTCATGGAGAATCTCGCGGCCAACGGCAAGAACGTTGAAGCTCACAAGTCAACGCTATCCATGTCGGGCATCTTGATTCGACAGCTTCGTGAGAACCTCATGGTATCTGAAAGGGAGGTGAGGAACCGGCCAGGCGACCCTGATAGCACAAAAGGATCCATACTCATTGCGAGTGCTTGGCGGTCCGTAAGGTGGCGGGTAAGTTCAACTAAAACTCGTTACGACGAGGTCCGCTTACCATCTTTGACCTCAAAGCTTTTTGTACCATTTGTCTCGGTTTTCACACTTGCAAGAAACACGACCAACGTCAGGGGTACTGATACACGCTAACCTATGTGATAGAGCACTTCTCGACAAGAAGACGAAACCTTGGCGCTAGCAACCCTGCTGAATCTCGATTATCGGGAAACTGATATCTCAAAAGCAGGCGGCATGAAGAAATTCGAACCAGGATCCAAGGAGGCCATGAGACAGCGTCAAGAAATGATGAAGGAGTTCTGGCAACTCATACATCAACATTGGGAAGGATCCATCCCATCTGGCATGATCTTCCTCCCGCCGCCTCGACTGTCAATCCCAGGCTTTGGTTGGTCTCCCGAGACTTGGATGACAGGAAAAACTGAGGATTATCCGTATCCTTTGGCACGCATGGACTATCCAACGGACCTGAAGCGCGAGGGCCTCATTGTCCGATACCCTGGGGTCATCCTGTACAGCTCAAGTTTTGCATCACGACTGGCCAACTTGGGCACGGGGGAGGACGGCTTCAACTTCCCCATCGATAGGGAGCTGAATGAGTGGTACTCTGTGTCCGCCATTGAGAAGCCCTCCATGGACGTCGTACAAGCGAGTAACAATGATACCGGCAATCCGAAAGCGCCGAAGAGGTTCTCTCTGATAATGTCGCGACCAAGGCCTAAAGATCGTAAGGAGGTGGCGCTGCTCGTAGAGATTTACGGAAGCCCCCGGCGGCGCAAAGAGGGCAAGGAACCATACGATGTGTACCAGTGTTGGATCATCTCGAGGGTCTGGGTCCGCCGAGTGAGGCCCCAGAAACTGAGCAGCTTTGGCGTGATCGGAGAGCTCACTGATGAGAATCAGCGCTGGTGCGTGGATGATTATAAGCCCCGGGTGGACCAAGAGAAATCCAGTGTGGTCGGTACGGCCATGCCCGTGGACACCTTAGGGAACCCGAACGATCCTAATGGCACTCTTGGCACGTCCACTGGCAGTGGCAGATTTGCGAATTTCTTTTCATTCAATAAGTCAGCAACATGGGCACCAACAAGCAAAGGGAAAGGACCCATGTAGGAAAAAGACCGGCTCTCCGAAACCTCTAAAGTTAAATGTGGACCGTGTACAATATTGTACCTATTTTCACTGATTTACTGCTTGGGGAAACATAGTACTACAAACTCAGATGTTCCAGCGTGTGCATTGATGTAACCATGAGCCTTCCGATAGGTCAATATAGTAGAATTGGGCTGTGTTTTCAAGTTTCTGCCCTCGCTGGATCGAAATGCGAAAGGTGCCCGGGTATTTCACCGTAGACTTCAGGCCTCACGTTTCTCAGGAATCCCCCACTCCAATGTGCTTCCTAGCCGCCTTGCAGCATCGAGAGTTGATGTAGATAGCCAGTCACCTGACATGGAGTAAGTTTGTGGTTGGACAGCTATCTGCTCCTGGACTGCACGTGAACTTTGGGTATCTGCTGCCGCCCCGTACGCCGGGTATCGGGACTGCATGTAAGTATGTGCGCTGCTTGCTGCCGGGTGATCTCGCATCGTTCTCTGATTTGTGGGTGGAATTCCTCCATGATCAATGTGAACCGGACTTATCGTGGCCAACTCATCCGCTTCGGGTATTTTCTCGCGGGCTGGCACTGGACTTGGTCGCTGGTCCATAAGTCTTGGGTTCAATCCTTCACTTTGAACCTTGCCTTCTTCATCGCGATCGATTGACAGACGACCTTGTATCAAAGCTGGCGATGGTTGGAAGAGATTCTTTTCAAAGCGTTTGGGGGTTCCACGGGCGAGTTCGTGCTTCATTCGCTCGTCATCGTAGGGGTCCTTGTCGTTCTCTCCCTTCCCATGCCACCATTGCTCTTCGAGCGGACGAAGTTTGCCCGGAAAGAACTCTGTGAGCAACGGCCCAGCCTGCTCATATACCGTCTCGAAGTCCATCAGACCGTCCATGACCTTACGGGTCTTGATAGTGTCGATGTGTACCAGAGGTAGATTATGCCTCTTGGGTTGTCTCTCCGTCGCCGCGAGCCACGCGTTCTGGAACATGCCGATAGCACCAATACCGAACAGATACCAGGTGTGCCGTTTTGCTGCGGCGACATTAATGAGAAGCAGCAACCAAAACACAGAGAGCATTGAGCTCAGGATTCTTGTGATCCAAAACCCGACCGGCATTCCATGGGCATTGATTGACTTTCGCAGCATCGTGTCCCGCCTCGGCAACTCCTTCTTCTCATCGTACCTAAGTTTCTGCTCCGAAAGGCGGCTGAACTTCTCCCATGGCCTGCTCGTGCGAGGGCTTCCTGATGCGCACAGCTCCTCGAGGTCCAGGCAGTTTCCTCTCCCGAAGATGACTATCACGTCTCGAGATCCATTCCCAGATGTCAGGGCGTACATGGCGTTTGAATGCTGTCTATTAGGGAGCTTTTCCGCCCTCCACTGTGGCAGCCAACCCGTGATCTGCACCAGCATTGTCCCAGCCAAGAGTATCATGATGACAGTCCATTCACGGTACAGCGCGATTGGGACCACCGCAAGGGCCAGCTGCACAACCGTAATCAAGGCGCCCGCAACATGGATCCAGCCCCACGAGAATGATGTCGGGCCGTTGGAGTTCAAGGCTGCCTCAAATACAGAGATCCGTATGCCGTTATCCCCTAGCGGGTCAGACCGTGACAGGGACGACTCAAGGTCGCGTAGGATGCGCCCAACCACCCAGTTCTTGTTTTCCCGCTGGTATCCCGATTCCAGGTTGAATATTTTGACGGGGTAGTCTGGCGGCGGTAGCAGACGACCGTCCCCGATGATGCTGACGAGAGAGACGAAGGCATAGGCAACACAACCAAACGAGAAGCACACCGGTGTGTAGAGCTTCCCCGTTCCTTGCGCGAGCGCCTTTTGCACCACGTCGCCCCCGATTATCATGAGTATGGAAGTGACGTCGCTGGGGCTAGCCCACTGGGCTTGCAGATCAGCCGCAGATGTGTCCATGACCCCTCACTTTGCACTTTGTAACTAGAAAGTCTTGTACGTAGAATAGAAAGTCGCGTAGTGAAGCGCAAGTATTGCGAGACCTTTTTTGATAGAATCGAAAAGTTTTCAGGGTAAGCGGATAGGGGGATGATTAATCCAGGTATGTGTTGTCCCGGAGAAGCGGCCATCCTGCTTTTGTTGGCGTTCTAGTGCTTGTCGCACAGTTCTGCCATGCCATCAGAAGATGATCCTCCAATAGGTCAGTTTCCTCAAGCCTCCGCCAATAAGTACCCATGGTTTTATGCCGTCACGTGTACAGTTACATAAGAAGCATGCGCTGACGCAGGTTCGCCCTGTTCAGGGATGAGCTCAAGACCACTTGACACGCACACACCGCATTTGGCTAAGTCTTTTGTGGGGGTTCACAAATGCCAAAAGGGCCGGAGCCTGCATATGGTGGCTGCTTCTGTAATGCAGTCGTGGCAGTGAGTAAGGCGTTTTCAAGACAACTAAGACAATTTGATCCTTTTGATTGGGTCCAGGCAGGATCACCACCCTAGACAATTTCATTCATTTCGAGGCTTCGTCGCTTAGCTCTTGGACAACGATGCAGCTGTGGAGAAACTACGGCTTTCCTGCTGTGCTCTTATTTACTTATTGCAATGTATATTAGCACTCAGATCATACGCTAAAGGATCTTAACAGCGTCAGATGTGATTAGTCCCTGCGTACAAGCTTGCCATCAATGATCATTGCACGAGATGTACAGTACTTGCATGTATCGATGGAAACATTTGGAATGGTAAGATAATTTATACCTCTCGTATCACCCTTGTCTGCTTTGCCAACTGATAATGACATGGTAGCCAGTGCGAGCTGCGAAGCCAGCGATGATAAGCATGGAGTCTCAGCATCGGTCCCTCCTCTCCGCTCGGGCGATGCTGATCTTCTTGGCCTAACTCTAGATGAAGAAGCCTTGGAAGCACAAGTGCAAGGATAGAGACAGAGTCGGTCAGCCTTGGCCGGGAATCTGGCAACACAAGGCTGTACTTCTAAGTGCCTGCTCGGCCTGGGCAACATGGCGCTACTGATTCCCTGCTTTGGTATCCATATTCCACCAGTAAAACGCAATCTGAATTGGATAGGTCCATGTGTAAGATCTTGTCTCAAAACTGCATCTCTCGGTACCCATCTCACAGGATATCCGGATTAAGCCGCATCATTGCCGAGCAAACACTACAGTCCATGTAGTTGAGTAGGAACTATTGCACCGCCACCAACTTTACGTAAATTTTCTGTATAATGACGTTTATCATCTCCTTTTCTCCGGAAGACTCATCGCCAGCTGTTCAAACTGTTCTTATGAAGCTGCTAGTACTCCATCCCGTTCAAGAACATGGGAATAGTATCGTGCAATACCGCCGCATTTCTTTTTTCATAACCCACTAGAATGTATACGCCACTCTTTTAGCCTAGAATATAGTCTTGGAAAGGGTCTCAGACTTCTTTCATGGACTCTTGAAGATGGATTACCGTGCCTTTAGTGAGTGGTCTAATAAGTATCACTGTTGACGTGACCAACGCCTTGAGGTCTGAGTCTTCAGAGTGTGCCCTGAAGCGTGTCCGTAAAGTACTGGGTGCTTGTCTCGCCGCGTAGGAGGCCAGGCCCTGGTACCTTAAGTTACCTTGCAATTCTGCGGACTCTTGAAGATATCCTAAATCTTGGGCCCTCCACTTACTGCTCGTATTCACTGATCCATCAGATCCAGCAGTCGCTTATTAGCCGTATGAAGATATCTCGAGCTTAACCCTCTAGAGAAGTACCACTTCCCACCAACTCACCCTTGAGCAACCGGGCGAAACGCAGCAGGAAGTGCCCTTAGTATGAGACTCGTATATCCGATGCACTATAGAGTGGCTGACCTGTTCCCGTGCGGCTTCGCTTGCTCTAGCTGCGAGAACATGTAGATAGCGGCGTCGACGGGCTTTGGGATCATTCCACGTTTCTCCTAGACTCTCGTCGTTGAGCCAAGCGCCATGATGTTCCCCACGATGACACCTAGGTCCTGCACAATTGCAATCAGCCGATCCGTATCCGTATCAGCAGTCAATTGCTGAATACTATGGAGGGGTGGCGTGCTCGTCGTCGATGAGCTTGTCAAGTCTCGGCCCCGGGCCTTCAGATACTCCAAAAAATCGGTTTAGGAAATGAAGGATCCATTTCGTATCAAATGTGTAAATACCACACCACCGTATGATTCACAATCGGCGGCATCCTACTACATGGCCACGCGCGATGCCTCGCAAACTGTCTAAGGATTTGACGAGTCGTTCAAAAATTGTGTCAGAGACTAACTGGGTGAGATAGGCTTGGTTGCTGAGCCTGCTTATGAGCAGCCCTGTGACATGCACTCCCAGGGGCGAACACGGAGCGTAAACGGACCAACCGGATTGGGAACACGGACCATGTCATCTTTGGAGGAATCCTGCGTCTCTTCTCTTCCGTAGCGCCTGGCCTTAGGAAGGGTTGTACTAGTAGGGCTGAGGGGGCATCAAGTGACTGCTTGGCCCCAAGGAGCCTCATCCAAAGCCTCATCCAAGCTGTCGGGACACAACTGGAAACACTTCTTACACTTCGGCACCAAAAAAGGGGTGGGCCCCCGCAAGGCATTTTGGGTGTTGTAACGAGTCTGACAGGCTAATGGCGGGCGGCCGCGGTCTGGATCAAACCAGCGTGGCTGAGCCAACCAACCTTGCAGGCCATGTGCAGCCTATTAGGCACTAGGCAGCCAGGCTTTCTGTCAGCACATGTTTGAAGACTTATCAGAGTAATGTAAAAACCCTACACCACGAAATAAATGGTAGAAGACCTCAAACAAACCCTTCATGGGAAAACCAAATTGTTTACAACCTACGACCACGAATTGCCAAGAACCACAATGATCCAACCTATTTTTGACAAGATTTCAGTTTCAGAAACTTCAAACACACCCATATTGAAGGATTCGACGGACCCCATGATCGTCCAAAAGTCTTGTCATCCGAGACATCCAGAGCGAGTCGTGATCACACCGACCACCTCATTGCAGCTCTTCCTGGAGATGGACATTCGGCTGAAGACCCATGCACAAAACCCGAATGCATCTACCACAAAATCCATCACAAATCAGCAAGCCACACGAAAACAAAAAGCCATCGTAATATGTGGTTTTGCTGCGATCGGGAAGTCAACCTTCAAGGCTGCGTGTGACAAGGCATACGATGGCGATCGAGTGATAGACCTCGACTCGAGTCTTTTCCCAAAGGGGCCGACATGGCCGAACAACTATCTCGAGGCAATCAGAGAGAGACTAAGCGAGAAGTGCATTCTCATGATTTCGACACACAAGGACATTTATAGTCGGCTGCTCGAGGAGGGTGTCGCCCTCATCCTGGTTTACCCCAAACGGGAACTCAGGGCAGAGTGGTTGGAGAGAATACGGAAGCGCGAGGCAGATGCCGGAAGTGATGCAGCTGCAAGCATATGCGGTGTGGTGAATGACCGATGGGACGGGTGGGTCAGTGAATATGGCGAGCAAAGAGGGTGTCTAAAGTACGAGATGTCTGAAGGGGAATATCTCCAAGGGGCCGTGCATGAAGTTGTTGACCATTTCCATGAGGGCTTCTCGAGCTCAAAAAACGACAAATATGAGCTGGTGGAGGACTGAGACCAAGAGCATGTTTGCATCCCATAATACGACTTAACGAGACATGACTATATAAACTAGACTAGACAGCTTCACAGCAACATGTGTAGAAACTGACAATATGCAACACCTCAAAGTTTACTATGTGATAGTAAGGCATTATTGGCTTTAGTTGCAGGCGTACAGTTTTTAGGGGCTTCTACATGTATGGAGCAGATTTAGCATGAAAAAATGTTGTCAGTACTGGACGAGATGGGTTATTGTCTCTGAAATAATGCCGATATGGCAGAGGCGATGAATGTTTAACATTAAGTGATCGAGATTACAGGTGCACAGACTTTTACATTCACCAGACGGAGGCGCTCAAACAATCGCCCACTTGGTTTCAAATCGAAGTATGAGTCGAGCCTTCGTTCAGTCTAACATCATCAGGACATTATTACTTCGGCCTGGAGTTATGTTGACCTCATAGCGATCAGCCCATGTCTCCTGGTCTAGAAAGACCAATCCGCCATAAGCTTTCACCAAAGAGTCTCAGATGGTCAAGAGACCGGCTGCAGGCGTGTTGCGATGCCCTCGCCTATTAGAGGACGCTTAGTGGAGTTTTGCTAAATCAAGCCTATCAATAACAACCACCCTGTGAATTAGATCTATTCCCGTCTCTTGTATTTATTCATCGTGAAACTTTGGAGCAGGCCAGGGTCATCATGTTACATCACGAATGACGTCTTTCATCCAGGCTGCCGAGAGCCCTAGACGACGGAATGCCCGCGGAATCATTGACCTCAGGGGGGTGGAGGCTTGTGGAGGCACGTTTCCCACAAGCCTGGTGGTGTCCCGGCCCCTCGGCCCCTCAATTCGGCCCCTCAATTCGGCCCCTCGAACCAGCCCGAAGTCCGAACCGAAAATACGTTGCAAGGTGCTTGGCAGCCTTCGGGAAAGGGGTTGGTCCGGCGTGCGCTGTATGCAGACTCAGACCTGCTCTCCCACGACTTCTGTGAAACCCACCAGCTTCTTAGCCATTTGCCGTCACAGGACTTGTTGTCCCATCTCGGTCTTCAAATTATCTATGCCTTCGACCGAGCCGTAATAAATACAGGGCGATTGGTCAGTCCAACGCAGCAACCATGGACGCGCCAGACCGACGTAGCCCGAACCGTCTGTCTGATCCGTCCTCGTCGGCGTCGTACCCATGCTTGGCGTGCGGTATGGTTTTCTCCCGTAACGACCACCTGAAAAGACATGCACAACTCCACGCCGGCGAGCGGCCTTTTGTCTGCCCAAAATGTGAGAGGCGATTCGCCCGGAGGTAAGAGACGCCGTGCTGCCCCATCTTGACACGTGCTTGCTTGCATAGACGTAGGGCGACTGGTTTTAGCTGAATGCCAATTTTCAGCGATACATTGCAGCGCCATATGACCATTCATTCTCCCCAGCGCAGGCTGGACCAAACTGAGCCCCATCCAAACGGATCAGATCGCAACCGCCGCAACGTCCGTAACCAAGCCAGAAAAGGCCCATCCTGTGCAGCCTGCCGGCAGTCAAAGCAGCGATGTGACGGCGCGGTGCCCTGCCACCGGTGTGAGCGACACGGTCGTCCATGCCATTACCCGCCCAAACGCTCGCGACAGGTACGTTGTCTCACATCCAACGGCCCAGGAGCATGTTTGATACATCCGATGCAGAGGGGGCCAGCACAGCGGACTAGTCCGCAAAAGCAAACGGATGGGTCTGTTTTCAAGGTTGCATCTTCTTATGTTGACGTTGATGCTGCGTCTGCCCAGGCCGAGAGGCGTTCCGAGAGATTACACTCCACAATGGAACGCGCTCAAGACCTCGACTCCGTGTGTTCAACAAGAAACGACGATTTTGTCATGACGGACGGACTCAGGGGAAGCAGTTCGTTAAGCCCCCTTCCGGGCTTTTCTGATCATGCCACAAATGAGCGTCCTCGGTCGACTTTTTACTTCGACTCCTCTTGGCTATGGTTATGGCAAGATATCGGTTCTCAAAACGAATTACCAGAATCAAGCCATGGCGAAGTCCCAATGAGCCAGTCTGGATCTTTGCGCCATGATGCCAGGGGCGGCCAAGACGCAATCAACGCGAGTAACCAGTCCCTCGCTTCTCATCAACTTTGCACAGCGACATCGGTCGACCACCTCGGCTTCCCAACACCAGCATCGCACTCTTCTTTGGGAGTATCCGATAATCGGACAGTAAACACTGGCCAGGAAGCACATCCCATCCCACGTGAATCGAACTCGCAGTCCGCGATGCCCTCATCATCTCCGTCTGTTGGCTTGGATCAGCTCAAGAGACCGGATAGTGATCGTGAGGCACCTGATGTAGAGGCTCACGCAGACGCGTGCGATACGTATGATGAATACGGCCATGTGTCACTACATGACGATGTCTCCGACGATTGTTCTAATCCCGGTAGCGAAGCTTACTGTCGGGCCAAGGCATTATCGCAGAAAGCGTATAGCGACTTGTGCCTTTGGATAAATGCCCCATGGATGACCGACGCACGGTTGAGTGGGGCTTCTCAAGGTTATAAGATCCTTCCCGACCGGTACTCGATGAACTTCTTTCTTCAGCTGTACCTTGAGAAGTTTCATCAGTTGCTGCCCATTATACATAAGCCGACCTTCGACCCCAACAGCGCGCCGGTCCTCTTGGTTCTTGCAATGGCTTGTATCGGGAGTCACTATTCCGATATACACGAGGCTGCAGGATTCGCCAAAGAGGTCGTCGATGTGCTTGGAGGGATCATTTCTCAGATGGTAGGTCCATCTTCGCTAGTGAATGCCTCCTGGTGGACGAACTGACTCACCTGATTAGGTTGACGACGACGAAGAAGACGTCGGTCAAGTCTGGTTTGGTCAGAGTGCAATTCTCACCCAAGTCGCACTCTCCTTCACCTGCCAAAGGCCCTTGTCTGAAAGGGCGCACTACACCAGGAGCACTCTGAATCTCATCGGCCGAAAAATAGACTGTTTCGGCAAGGCAACTACCGCCCCGAATCTCTACTCCACCCCTCAGTCCAATGCTGAAGATGTATGGAAAAGTTGGATCAAGTGGGAGGCAGAAAAGCGAGTTGCGTATGGGATTTGGGTAAGTTGGATATGAGTCGATTCTGGCCGAATCATATCTCTTTTTGTCCCTCTTTGTCCCCGCTTCAACCGACGTACCATCTAACGTGAGACTTCGAACTAGTTGATCGACAGCCAGCTTCGGTTGTTCTTCAATTTACAAACATTCATAACTACCGAGTGGCTTCAGTTTCCGCTTCCATGCCACGAAAGCGCTTGGGAAGCCGCGGATGCGGTATCTTGGTTGGAGCAATACCATCGTAAGATATACGACCCGATTGCGTACATGATTTGACTCGGAGCTGATCGCTCATGTACTAGCACCCGAGCCAAGAACGATTCGGCGAGAGCTGGAAAATCTCTACAGGGGTACAGATATGGTTAAGGGTTTGGGCCAATTCGCGTTTTTGATGGTGCTCCTGGGATATTTCCGCGACAACTTGTTCTTAATACAAGCCTGTGACGCTGGACTGTCCACAGTGTTAAATTGTGACGGAACACCTATTGTTGGCCAGTCCGACATTCTCCAGAACGAGGAATTTTGGGAAATGTTAAACCCTGCCAGGCGATCAAGACCTGGGGGCATCAGGATGGAGAGGCTTCTTTCTCAGCATTATCACGCCATTGGCATCCTCTTGCGCTTCAGATTTGATGACCTTCTCGCCTTCTCGGGTTGGCGAGTCAGTAAGTCCAAGGAAATTGAGACGCGTATGCGGCTGTCGACATGGGTTTTGGGGAGTGGAAAGGATGCGCGTATCGCCGCCTCGCACGCGGGCAAACTCTTTGGCATACTTCGCCATCACCCCACCCAGGGTTATCACGAGCCTCCGTCTATTTTCCTGGCGTCACTCTCTCTATGGGTGTACAGCATTTCAAACAGCAGGTCTTTATTAGGCCCCTTCGGAAGATGCCTACAGCCACGCTGCTGGAGCCAGAAGAATTCCGAGCAAACCACGAACACGGGGCCGTTGAGAATTGACGAGGAATCAGATATCAAAACAACAAGGGAATGGGTGTCGAAAGGGTGCCATATATCCGGCTCTTTGGGTGGTGTTGGCGGCCTTTACGAGCCCGAATTCAGTGCCCGGATCCTGGACCAGGGCATTCGATTGATAGCGACACTCGGTTGTTGGGCAGTCGGCGGATCCTTTACTGACATTCTGAGGCCTCATCAGGCTCAGTCGATAACGAATGGATGATGGAGTACTTTGTATCGCCTGGGGGAGCGTATCAATGTGCTCGATTGAGCCCCTAAACGATTGGTTTCCATTGAAGCTAGTCGTGATTTGCGTATCTCGGCACCAATATCTAGATACAAACCACGGCAGGCTATGCTATATTCCTCGACGAAGATACTTACTCACGGACAGAGACATTAATCGGAATACCAGGCCTCTCACACTCAAGTGTGAACACGTCGACCTTGCGGGGAGGAACGAAGTCTTCGGGAAGGCTCATCTTGTATTTCCGGAAGAAGTGTGCCAAGATAATGTGGATCTCCGCTGTAGCCAGACTGTTGATGTGCGATATTGGGTTAGCGACCGACAGGTCCACGAGATTTTGTGCCGTCAAGACGCAAAGGCTAAATAGCTGAAAGATATCTGCCCTGATGAAACTTACTTTTGACCCATGCACATACTGTTTCCCTTGGAAAAGGTGACTTGATACTGTTCGAGTTTTTTGGCATCTGGGCCAAGCCAGCGATCAGGGATGAAATGTCGAGCGTCTGGTCCCTAAACGCCGTCGTTGGTGTGCACTGTGTGCGCAGACATGGAAACGATCGTCTGTTGAGAGCATGTAAGTAGTCAGCAACTTATGATCCCGCGGCTGAAAGGCATCCGCTTCGCTGTGGACTGGATACCAGAACCGCTGTGGATTTCGGCTGGTGGGAGTTTAAAGACTTACGCCTGGTGGAATGGCCTGCCCATCGATAACGAATGGGACACCTGTAGCTGGAACTACTCGGGGCAAGCGACCCGGAGCTGCTGAGGTGAATCGGAGGCTTTCCTTGACACACGCCGCCTTCTGCAAATACATGTGAGCAGGGGCAACAATAGTCATAATTTCGATGTGAGAGTTGCATGCGTGCCAAATAATCGATTTTTTCCAGTTCAAGCAGGGGAGAAAGCGAATTCCATAATTATCTCTGTCGTTAAAAGCCTGTGAAGCCGCCGAAGCCCAGTCAGACATTGTGTCGATCGGAACGAATGTATGCAGACAGCAGACACGCGACGGGCTGGTGGAACATGACTTCCTGGGCGTAGGGGAACTTACCTGAAGGCATCGTATACGTTGATATCCTGCCGATGAGATAATCTCTTGACTTTTGCATCCAACTTTGACAGCTTTTCTCGTATCAAAGGCTCCAGCTTCAGGATTCCAGCGCGAGAGACATTGGATTCAAGAGACGCCGGTGCTCTTTGTGCTTGGCTGCATCTGTCTCGGAGAAGAGGGTATAAGGCGCATTGAACGACAAATAGAATGGCTCATATTTCGGAAAGGGATCGACCTGCTTGTATATGTCCTTGTAGACCTCAGGGTCGGAGATATGTAGCTCGTTGGGACCGACGCGCAGAAGTTTTGTGTCTAGAATATGCCACAACAAGTCGTCAACAATGAGAAGATCCAGACAGCCTTAAGAGGCCAAAGACTAATCAGTCAGCAAGGGCAAGTGGAGTCTGCCGGACTCACCGTATACCTTGTGCAGAATTTCGAACGTTTCTTCCGGAAACCCTTTCATGGCTTCATTGAACGCCCAAGCCGTGGATATGCATGCTTCAGGGTGACCAGGGAATTTGCTCAGAGGATGGAAATACCGGCGGTATAGCCCTCGAACAAATATGAAACCTTTGTAAAGTGCACTCAAGACAACAATCAGGATAAGTGCTTTAGTGAGTGACCAGTGTTGCTCGATTTCAGCCCAATGACCACGCCACTCGCCATGCCTGGGTATTGTGAGAAGCTCGGAGATCGCCATGATTTTGAGTTTGAATGCTAAATGGACGAGAACGTCCCAAAGCTACGAGAGATAACGGAATATCAGACAAAAAGGTAGTGCCGGGGGGGGGGGCGACTTTTCTTCCTTTAAGGTCGTGAATTTGAACGGTCTGACAACTGGTGCAGCTCTGATGATTCACTCGTCTACGGCGGTTTAGAGCAGACACTGTTCATAAACCTCAAATTGGCCACTATACCCACCCCCAGCTTCCACATCCACTCTACGCACATAAGCATTAAGTTTAAATCAAACTTTTTCTTTTTTCTTTTTTTTTTCTTTTTTCTTTTTTCTTTTTTCTTTTTTCTTTTTTCTTTTTTTCTTTTTTCTTTTTTTTTTTTTTTTTTTTTTTTTTCTTTTTTCTTTTTTCTTTTTTCTTTTTTCTTTTTTCTTTTTTCTTTTTTTTTTTTTCTTTTTTCTTTTTTCTTTTTTCTTTTTTCTTTTTTCTTTTTTCTTTTTTCTTTTTTCTTTTTTCTTTTATTGAATATTAAAAATGCTTTTAAAAAAAATAATTAATAATAGTTAATTATAGTACGATTTAAACTTAGAGCCTTTTGTTTATAAGGGTAGGTATACTAAGTATGGGGTGGGTATGTTGCCAACTGAGGCTTATGAACAGTGGCAGCTCTGAACCACCCTACTACGGCGAGATGGAGGCGGGCTTGGAGTGAAAGCCGGGCATATATACATGTTTGCAGTGGAACAACGGGCTCGGAATCGTTGTTACACCGAACATGCAGCCGGCAATGCAACCCATATTTTGCGGAGCCGCCTGTCGTTATGCAGTCGGCCCCTCAATGAGTTCTCCGAAAGGACGGGGTCGGCCGTGAGTACGGGACCGACTTGGCTCTCGGTATTTGACATTTTAAGACATCGGCTGTTGGTATATCTGAGCCGATGCACACCCCGAGCATTGAAAAAGCACCCTTTCCTTGAGTCAGTCTGCTGGACAAGCAGAACTCACCTCCAAGGCATCTCCAATCACGAAGTCATCCGGACAGCCAAACGACCCACTCACTCACCTACCACCAAAGCACAATACTAGGCGTTCCCTATCACGCGTTATGATGTCATCTTTCAAAGTTATCATCGTTGGTGGGGGCTTGGGTGGTTCGCTACTTGCCAATGGCCTTCTGAACAACGACGTCGACTTCACTCTGTATGAGAGAGATTCGGCTGACTCGAAGCGTGAGGGCTACCAGATTCGCATGGGCGATGCGGCCTTGGAAGGCTTTGAGGCTTGCTTGACATCAGATCATGCAGCCGCTATCACGAGCAAACTCGGAATGTCCTCAAATCTCTCATCCACTGCGCCGATTCTCTGCACATCCCAATTTAAGGTCGTCCTAGATCTTTCACAGTTGCCATCCTATTCAAGATCAGCTGCCATCAACCGCGTCGTTCTTCGAAATCTCCTTCTGGCCCCAGTGCAGAAGGCCAACTATGTCGAATTCGAGAAAGCCTTCTCTCGATTTGAGATCATCCGTCAAGATGATGGTCAGGAACGTGTCAAAGTTCACTTCGCAGACGGGTCCTTCGACTTGTGCGACGTTCTGGTGGGTGCTGATGGCAGTGGCTCAAAGGTTAGTTCAGACTGTTGCCGGAGGGGGGAAGAGTTTGAGAAAGAAAAAGAAAAAGAAAAGATATTGACACATGAGCCCGTTCTAGATTAACAAACAAATTGGGGCAAGAAACATTGTAGACATTGACAGCCACTGGTGCTTTGTTCAGAAGGGCAGCCTACCACCCAGTCGTGTAAAAATGCTTCCTCCGCGATTGCTCCAGGGACCGATAATTGTTTTCTCTGAAGGGTACAGTTTTTTCTTTGCGCGTAAGTTATTCGCAGACCGAGCTTCCTGTTCCTCCTATACCCCACGCAATACTGACGAGAGCGAAACAGTATATCTCCCGCCTTCCACCAACGGCGTATCCAAGGATGCCAAGCAGCTCGAATACAACATCGATGAAGCGTCGTTCTATTGGGGTCTGAATGTGCCCAAGGCAAAGTTCCCGGGACTTGACATTTCAGAGTCGGGAAACCACTTGAGGGTTGTTCTCGAGGCCATCAAACACTGGGCCCCGGTGTAGTACGTTCGTCCAGGATTGAAAAAACCCTGCAACAATTTCCACAATGAGACTAACCCTATGCCTAATTGCATAGCCACACGATGGTCTCGATTGGCGAGCATGACGGCGCCACCCCCATCATATCACTCAACCTCCGAGCAAGCAAAACGCTGTCTAAGACGTGGCGCCGTGACCTGCAACCTCAAAGCCCCGAAGAAGGACACCCCCGCGTATGGCTCATGGGCGACGCGATCCACGCGATGCAGCCAAACAGGCAAGTGCAACTTCGCGAGCTGTCGTTACAGTATCAAAAAATGTCGAAGGGCACACAAGCTGACCAACCTTTGAAGAGGAATGGGAGGAAACCAAGCCTTGAGAGACTGCGTCGACCTTCTGCCACCACTGTTGCAGCTCAATGAAGCTGCCAAATCAGGAACCTCGCCGTCAACTGTGGAAGTGAAGAAGGCCTTGGCTGTTTATGAGTCAAAGATGATTGATCGCGCGTTTGCTTGGGTGCAAAAGAGCGGCGGCGCTTCCGTTCCAGTACGTTTTCTACCCGACTCCCTGTTCAACTTTTCGAAAAGCGTCATGTTTCTGAAACGTATCTCTGCCTCACAGGATTTCAACTTTGATGGGTATCTAGGAACCGCAATCTATCTTCTCGGTTTATTACTACTCCCTATTTGCCGACTCGCTTACTATTTGAAGTCGAAAATATGGGGGTAGGAGTGGTATCAACAGAAATTTGTGCGGCAGGGCATTAACAAGTCGAGATTGCGGGCCCTGGCAAGAGCTGGGCGATGTTCCATTTTCCGGCATCTGCCCAGGTAGAGATTGAATAGAAACTTTGACAAACACCATTTAATCATGCGTCACATGTGTCACCGTCTCCTGTTTGGATGTGCGGTCTGAAAATGCGTTCTCGCTGTAGTACATGTATATAATTCTAGAAAATACCCTATTTTAAGCATGCTTTTGAACCTTTTTTTTTTTTTTTTTCAACCGTATCGTGTCTGAACAGAGGGCAGCCAGTCGACGAGAGCCTTCGTGGTGACATCTCAGGGTGAGATCAAATACATCCCAACGCCTGACCTTATACATCTCACGGCTTGGAGAAATCAGCGTTGTTTCTCTATACGAATGATGAAGCACACCGAAACAGTTGGCTCCGGCTAGTGAATAATACGATCTATCTTTGATTTCCCTCGCGGCTTCACAAGTATGTTCAATAAATTCTGGCGCCTCCATCTACTTTGATTCAGCGGCCCATTCACATAATAAGCTCAGAAATGATCAAAGTGATGCAAAGAGGCCAGATAGCGGACTAAGAAATACCAATCATCGAGAACTGTACTTAAAAATTTCTTATTCAGCTGCGTCAAATCGCAGAAGGGGGTCCATTACCTAGGTAGGCAGGTCAAACACGCCCTTGCCTGCCTGTCTCGGGGACGCTGGGTGGCGTTTTGCCAGATTCGGCCATAGCTGAGCTGAATACTTCCTCCCTACGGCAGATTGCATGTTTTTACACGGTGATGTTTCCAAACAGGGTCTGGTGACCTTCAGCCACGGTCTCGGAGGATACCAGCAGTTCGCCGGCGAACTGCTCCACCTAGAGTCGGGAGAAATCCGGGACAGAAGCTCTTAACGATTCATTAAATGGCGACAGAATTTCGGTGTGAATAAGTGGACTGGTCTATCCACTTGCTTTGTATCAGCGCCAAGGTAACAGGGATGGGGGCCAACTTGGTGATATAATAAGGCTGCAGCATCGGGTCCTCCCCAGTCGCTCTTCAGAATGTAGCACCACTCAAGGAACTTGGTGAACGGAGATCCCCATTCATCCGTATAGAAGCTCGTATGGGTCATCTCACTTCATTCGAATCGCCCCTTAGTCACCATGGAACCCGCAGCGCGAAGCATTGAAGAGGTTCAACAGAGCGAGATTGGTAGACCCTCCTCGTTTCTCAAACTTCCAAGACTAAGGCACCAGCGATCGTTACAGGATCTCATTAAAGATAGCTTTGACTCCCGAGATGATAGATCTCTTGCGATGGCGGCGCTTCTGACACAAAGAGATGAGAACCCAGATTTTGACGGCGCCACCATCGAGGCACCAACCTCAGACACACAGGACGAAACGCTTGAGACCCCAGCCGACTCGGCGAGTGGCAAGAGGAGTAGCCACGATCACAAGGCGCCGGATTTACACGACAATACAACAATCGCTCATGCAAGCCTTTGGAGCAGACTCTTCAAGAGGTACGACTGTAACCTGTGTACGGACATTATCAAAACTTGAAACTCATGCTCAAGGGGAAGAAGGAAAGCCGTACACGAACAGCCAAAGACTATATACAGCCATAAGCGACGCCAGATACTGAGGGAGGTTATTATAGTCCATTTCCTGCCAGTCTCCATCAACTTTACCCTTCTTGGGCTATATTTGCGGCAGGTCTCGTGGACACCACCCTGGCCGACGACCAATGTCCTCAACACCTTACAGCTTGCTGCCAAGATCCACGAAACCCTTATGATCGCATCTTTAGCCACCGTACTACTCCATCACATTAGGTACAGGCTGCTATCTCCAGGTCAACGGGGGTTGCCGCTGGGCCTGATCACCTCGCCATTCCGCCTGCTCGATATCACGTATCTCTGGAGTCGGGAGTTCTTGGCCACCGTGGGGAACCCCGGGAGGTTACGTCCCTCGGAAGTCATCACGATCGTCATCCATGTGTTCCTATTCACCCTCGCAGCGGTCCTGGGTCCGGCCTCCGCCATCAGCATGTTACCCAGACTGGGGGGAATGGGAGCTCGCAAAAAAGATTACGAATGCACCTTTCTACAGCATACATGATCGATACTACATCTATCAGGTATACATGGGTGCCGAGCTATCGGATATTTTCCCAAAAGTAATCACCGCAAGCTTCAATCCCGAAGCTTGTGATCATAGCAATCTCTCGCTTCCCCAGACCAACAACTGTCCCCGTTTCGGCTTGACGGACATTCTCCAGGACATTTTCCTTTCCGAGACAAGTGGCTCAGATTTAAATGTGAGCCCAGCACAAGAATGGATTTCCTGGCCTGATTATAACATCACGATTCAAGCACACCATCAAGCCGTTCCAACCCGGGTCATAAGTTTGGACAGATCCCCGTTTGAAGTCTGGCCGCAGGCTCCTCCTCATCACGATCATGGGGCTGTTGTGGATGTAACGATGCCCACTGATGCTATACTATTGTTGACGTCGAACTTGATTTCTCACTACCTCGAATGCTGGGTGGATGCCATGCCGAACAACGACTACGGGACTCTCAGCTTCGCGTCAGGAGGAGAATGGCCTGCGCAGTTTGAACTTTATGTCGGACAGCCAGAACCCGGAGGACCTTCTTCGGCCTGGAAACAACCCTACGTGTCTTCATTTTGCTCAAAGCCAGGGGTTGGCCATGCGACCTCTAATTCCATGGCTTTTAATTTTCAGTCACACGAAGGCACACAGCAGTACATAGTCACTCTGGATGCTGAGCTTCTGTCCAGGGTGTTGAGCGATACAGGTGTGAGTTTTATCAACATCTCGGACCTGAACACCACGCCGAGCTACACGCCCTCGGCAGCGTTGGCCTTCACGTCCCAATCGTATACAACCTTGTGTCTGGTCAAAGCATATTGGATAGATTCCAAATTATCTGGCCCTCAGTCCGATGAAGCCTTGAACAGCGGACTTGCCTGGGATTGGCAAGCTATGGAAAATGGCCGTCCACTGTGTAACGATTGTCAATTTCGTGATGAAAGTGTCTGGTTCAGCTACAGCAATGCCACCGAAATCATTCACTTGGACTTGGACTGGTTGAACGTTCTGGATCGTGGAACTGGTAGTGATAACAAACACGGCTTCTTCGACAAGGTCAGACAAGCTTGTTTGGGCTCATCGATCCTTGGCGACGACGATCCAGACAACGCTGGAAAGAACCCTGATCTTATATTCATTGCAGCCGGGCTGGGTGCTGGAATCGCCGAGGGCCTTTCGAAGTTGCCATATCGTGTTGGCATTCACGCACTGGGCACGCTGGAAGACTTGCCATCCAACGCAATGACTTTTAGTCCATGGACCTCCTCTGACTCGTTAGAAGCCTTTGGCTATCATCTTGACGGAAACTGGAGCAACTCAACTCTCACGCCGTATCAGATCAAGGCTAACTCAACGCGCCTGGACTTTACCTTCAACCAAAAGCTGTACGGCTATGGCTTCAGCGGCGTCACGATCACCCTGGCGTTTGTGGTGCTGTTGCTTTATGTGACAACCGTCCTCGCCCACATCTCGATCATGACTTTCGGGACGAGCTGGAGCAGCAGAGCCTGGAAGACACTCGGAGTGTTTTGTGTTTTGGCACTGCAGTCTCCCACACCTACGTCTGTGCTGGATAATACGGGAGGCGGCGTGAAGGCCTCAAGAACATGGCAAGCACGGGCGTCTGTCCTGGAGCTGCAGCATGGAAAACGGGTGGGCATCGTCATTGCAGAGCCCGAGCAAGCGGATCCAGAAGAAGGCTCAACGTCGAAGGTGCGGCCGGATTGGATGTACTCGTAGGGTATTCCAAATTCCGAGTTCATCGAGTTGTTGCAGAGCAAAAGTGCGTGTATGGAACTCTACCCGTATTTCACCCCACCAGACTTTGGACAAGCAAATCGGTCTCTAGGTATCTGGGCTTGTTGTACTTCTCTTCTCTTTGTTATCTAGTAGGAGGGAGTGCTTGCTCTCGTCAGGAGAGGTCTCCTTTTTTCCCTTCACCTGGTCATCATCTTCCTGTCTTTGATTTCAAGTAAGGCACTCCTCTCGTTGTCAAGCAAATCCCCTTTTCCCCGGTATTGGAATTGTTTTAGGACAGGAGGGCAAAATATCGTTCTGCAGAACTTGCTCGAGTAAGACTGAGCATACAGCCAGCAAGGCCAAGTCCTCCAACACCAACGACGTGTGCAGAGTGTTGGCTCGACCGTATGACATATTCTGAAGTTTTCAATATGCATCTCTATAGCACTTACATCGAAAAAAAATAAGGCATTGCTCAGAGTAGATCCCACGGCTGAATTAACAAGCCAGAAGAGGGAGCGTGGGCTACAATGGCCACTCTGCAGCCTCCGGGCTGTCCCGTAGCAGCACGACAGGCAATTTGATCTGCACGTAGACCGGCTCCAGTCGAGGAAAGATCGCCCGGGCCGAGCTTAGCTCGCGGGCCACAAAACGCATTGCCAAGTGAGGAGGTATTCGAGAGCCGTGGACTACGAAACGGGCGAATTGGATGGCTACAATCGCATCTGGTTGGTCTACCCAGATATTCTCAGCACGAAAACCCCCCTGCAGTTCCACAAGATCAACCTTCGCAGATCCTCCCCAGATTCTGAGGGCCGTTGTGGTGTGGACCACTTGTACTCACAAATGAACAACAAGGGCAATATTGTGTTAGGAGGGACCATGACTGAACAATGTACTGCCTGCCACTAAAAGACAACCAGCCCAGCGTCACGTCGATAACGGGAATCCCGCTGAGCTGACAGGCCTGGCCGGGGGGGTACAGTGCTACTACAAGGGCCTAAGGACACCGTCGAGGCAAAGCTCATACCAAGCCCGGGACGCGCACGCGCGCTCGGATTTGTCCAAGACGGCCCAGACCGCCTGGGGACAGGTGTAACGAGATCAGGGGGGCGACATCTGTCCAAGTGGGCTCGTAGCTTGCTTGAACCCAGCTGCACACGCGAAGGGAGCACGCAACGTTGGAGAATCCGGGGTAATGGTGCAGTGAGGAGGTGCACCATCAATTGTTTCGATTGTTTGCCATCACCGGTGCCATTGCTGCACATGGAAATTTCACAAAAGGGACGAGGGCAAAGTCCGTTCGCGACCCTGGCGCCGTGGACAGGAGCACCAAGTGAGACTGGTGGCTTGGGGGTGCGAGGGCGGTTTGCAAGACAGCCATTGCACCATTGCAGGCAGGGCATATGTTGGTGCAACTCGGTGGAGTGCTTCATCTGCCTCGCCAGGGCACTCCCTCGACGCGCTTGGAATGCGTCCGCTGGTACGCCAGGGCAAATCAAGATGCAATCAAGATTTCTGGCCGCTGCGGACGGGCCTGGGTCGAAGTTGCAGTGGCGGTGGCCCCAGCTCGCAGCGGCGGTATTGTGGGTTCTTGTCTCAACATGGTGCAAATTGAATTGAATTGAATTAAAGTTGCATGAGTATGGAGACGGGGACACACAAAAGTCTTGAGAGGGCCCCGGAGGGCCTGTCAGGGCAGTCAGGGCAGTCAGGGTCTGCTCGAGTGATCGGCAACGTTTGTGGGCCGCAGGGCAGAGGAAGAAGAAAACAACACCGCAGCTGCATGGCGTACAGGTGTATTGGCTCGTCGGGTCCGGTTCAGTACGCCTCTGGACCAGCTCGTATGCTCGTATTTGATCCTGGCCAAGGCGAGCCGGACATTGGCGCTGGCATCATTGACTGAACGCAGGTGCAGGTGACGTGAGAAGTTCAGATGATTTGACTTTAGACACCCTACTATTCCAGTAGCTGCAAACGCAAAACAGAAAACAAGCGGGCGGGCAGGTCGAGCATGGGAAGCCGCTGAGATGCCAGGATGCAGAGGGTTCGCTCCTCGAGGAGGGGGGGAGAGGGAGGGAGGGAACGGTGGGCTTAGGTAAGGCGAATCGGACGGGCTAAATCCGGCACGGCCTTAGCGAACCACTCATAAGACTGGGACGGTCAGGCCCCACCTCCTTCCTCCCGCCAATCGTGTCCGTGTTCGCTGGGGTGTCGTCACCCACTTGACCGCTTCCAGCTCAGCGTCCCCGGGCTGACAGGGGGCGGGGACAGGGTCTGCCGTGGCTGGGCCTCGCGGTGGAATGGAACGATTGGAATGCATGGAATGGAGTGAGGTACAGAGATCCGCGAGGTACGCAGTGCAGGTGCAAAGTACATACGTGCATGCTCCCTCACTCACTCACGCGTTCCCTTCACACCTGCCCGCCTACCTCGCAGGCAATAGCGCTCCATCGCCCATTTCCCTTGCCGGTTAGCTGACAAGGTGAGCCAGTGTACCTGCGCCTCTCTTGTTTGTCTTGGTCTTTTCTTGTCCAGTCCTGTCTTACTCATGCCATCTTCCGTGTCATACCTACCATAGTCTGTTCTACACTACCATACCCACTGCCAAACGCTCATTCTTCTCTACCGCCGTCTCCTCTCCCTCACCTCCCTCTCCTTCTCATGGGCCTCATCGACGACCTCAATCCGACGACACACCACGCTCGTTAGCCAGTGTAACGCTACAACCGGAGGACGGTCGTCAAAAGAATAGAGGATAAAAAGAAGAAGGAACGCTCGCTGGCTGACGACGACCGCTGGTTTCACTCGCTTCAGTCCGACGATCACTGCCGCGCCAAGTAGCCTCGACCTTCCTCCAGCCATCCACAATCCACACTCCGAATCCAGCACTCAGATCCATCCCATCCGATCATACCAATCCACGGATCCGACGGCCTCTCCCGCACAGACTGCATTAATCCATTCCGTCGCAACCCCCCAAACGCAACCAGCACCATCAGGCCAGAAAAACACTATTTGATCATCCTCGTCATCGTGATCATACCCTCGACCCAACCTCCCCCGTTTCCCGCGACTCGACTCGACTTCCTCCCGACGCTGCACCACAGCACCTCACCGGATGCCCGACGCGACACAAACGCACGCCTCGACATCGACACGACACAGCACCGCAGGAGAGACTGGCATTGAGGAGATTTTCGCCACGGAATAGCGTACATAATACCAAGAGGCGACGATTGACAAGAACATTCCAACCATCGTACATACCTACACCGATTGTCCCAGACACCACCACCACGCGCGGGTTCCGATTCTCACACCACGATACCCCGTCCGTTCGGCTGCAACGCCACAAATTACTGTTCTCAGCAGTACATCTGCATTGAATCGAATTGCATAAACACCATACAATATTGTCCACATTTGTAATATCTAGTCTTTTTCAACCTTCACGATGGGTATGTTGCTCCCTACTTGGTCCTCCCTTGGCTCCTGGCTCCTCACAACTGGCCCTTTGTCCCCCATCCTCCCAAACTCCAACCCACTGAGGGGCTCAGCCAGCGTCACAACGGCCAAGCCGCCTCCACATCCAAATCAGACCTCAAAACCTGAATCTGACGGGTAGGCCACCTGACTGACCTGCCTCTCCTACAGCCCAAACGACCATCGTCCCCTTCTCGACCCTGCCGGCCTGCGTGTCGTCCTGCGGTCCCCTCTACGACGTCAACGGCGCCTGCGTGCCCCCAGCTGCACCAACAGCCGAGGCCTCCGCCTACGATGCTTGTTTCTGCTCCGACGCCCGGCTCGCTCCCTTTTCCACCACAACAGGAGGCGTGTGCGATGCCGCCTGTGCCGCAGATCCTTCGGGGCTTGCCACCCTCACGAGTTGGTACCAGAGCCTGTGTGCGAATGTGGGTGAGGCAGCGAGCTCGTCATCGTCGAGCAGCAGTGGAAGCTCCGGTAGTTCCTCATCAAGCTCAAGCTCAGGTGGCGGCGGTTCATGGTAAGCAATGCCCCAGCCCCTCAAGAAAGACTCCGCGAAACAGCTGACTAACACATCAACCTCAGGATCGACGGCCACTGGCGCTGGGTGGTCTTCATCATCGTCATGGTGCTCGGCATCGCAGGCATCTGGATCGGCGCCGCCCTGTGGCGGAGATCATATCTGCGCAAGAAGGACCGCCAGTACGCCTTGGGCAAGAACCTCGCACAGCGGACGGGCTCGGGCCAGAACCCTTACGGCGGCCCGCCCGGCGGCACGCCCACACGGTCCCAGGGTTCCATGCACCCCGGACGACCCGGCGTCTTCATGCCCGCCACCATCTCCGAGGCCAACGTCTACGATACCGAGAAGCAGGGCAAGACTAAGAACAAGTGGCGCGTCAGGACATGAGTGGAGTCGTGAGGATGTCCAAGACGTTAGGGGAGCGGTAATGACAAGGCCGATCTACGACTATTGGGCCCATAAGGGGGACACCCCGTGGAGGCGGCATTTGTTTCTGCATGTCATTCTAGGCACTTGCCTGGGGGAAGATCCATCAAGCTGTTCTGATTGACCAGACCACTGGGTCGGATTACCTCCAAAAAGAAGGGCTGGCTGGCGTTGTATTCTTTTTGCTATTTTTGGTGTGGGCTACGATGTCCCTACTGCACCCAGGCGGCGTTTTACTGTGGGGACCTTCGGCTGTTGGTCTTCTTTTTGGAGGGGAGGAAGGCAAGTAAAAGAGACGGAGGAATATTTAACGAACTCAAACATGTGGTTTGTTATCGGCTTTGTCTGGTGATGCTGGGTGACGAAGGAGAGAAGGATCGCTATTCAGCGTCATCAACACCGCCATCATCGCCAAACACTCTTCACACTACGAATTTCCTATTCTTCTCTACTGGCTACAGACCATCTATATACATCTCAATACCAATACCCCACCGTCCCGCCTCCCGCGCCGCAGCCGTCGTAAGACGACGGCGGGTGGGAGGAGAAGGGACGACGGTCAAGAGAAACTCAGCTTTCATTTCGACGCCGCAAGCCCGCATCTGCCAGCTCCTGCATTTTGAGCCTATTTTGAGCCTGTCAATTGGGGCCAGAAACACCTCCCAGTGACTCAAATCCAATTGCAGAGGGAGAAAGTCCCGTTGCAGCGGGGGAAGGGGGCCAAAATACCCACCTCTCAGGTCCTCCCACCCTCTCCCTACATCCAATGCCCGATGTGGGCGGGGGTGCAGGCCAGGCCTGAACAAACTCCCAAAATTTGAAATGGAGCCCTCCCCCCGTGACAGGTGAGCGAATGACTGACTGTGCTTGTTGATTTTCGCATATCCCCCAGACTCCCAAGGGTGTCCCAGCCACGGGGGAAATGGCCCAGAACAGGTCATGCCCAAGTGCTTGTGATGAATAATGCATGGATCAAAGCTCCGGGCTGGCGACTGGGCGGCCGTCATTTTGCATGAAGTTGAGGTGCAAGGGCTGCCCCTGGGCCTCGAGCGACACCCACACGAAACACATTTTTTTGGCAGCTTCGTCGGGATTTCTTCTGCATGCAGGGAAGGATTGGAATGGAATGGGAGGAAGCCTTCTGGAAGTCAGCGCGTCAGGCGTGCGCTGTGATTGACATCGGATCGTGGACGGCATCACGTTCGGGATGCTACACCTTGCTCCGCCGAGCAGGAACATAGACATTGCTAGCTACTTAATGAGATTCGATTCTTATCCAGGATTCCATTCGATTTCTATAGGTGATGATGAGAATACGTGCCTGTCTATGCTATGATTTAAGATGTTTTGATCGCCTTTGCCCACTCTTATGCCCAGCGCTCTGTCGTGTACTCGTGTGCATGCATTCCTCCTCTTCGCTGTCGTGTTCAACCTCCTTTTGGTGATACTTACTCAGGTTGTTGATCGGCAAGATAGCCCCTGAATATCCAAATGCTCCCTTTCCATGCGAACCTCAAGTCGAGATGCTCAGCTTGCTCAGCCTAACAACGTCCCCACTCTGGTACTCGGCAGCATCCATGTAAAGGTCAATCAGGCAACTAGCCGACCAGGCCTGGGTAGGGCACTATTTTAATGTTGTCAGCATTTGTTCTCTGTACATCCCGACCCATTATCTTGGGCAGCTGTACTTACCGAATCACCACAGAACTCCCCATTCTTCTGCGTCAGCTCCGCCAGCCCGGCCCATGGACTCTCCTGGATCATTCGCTTGCACCCCATCAGCCTCTGAGTGACCTGCTGGAACGCCTCGGTGCGGCCTTCCTTGTCTTGAGGATCCCGACGAAGCAGATCGAACTTGAGCAGCGCACGAAGGAAATAGCCCGTGGGCCACAGCCACTCCGGTCCTTGGTGGTAGTTCCTGCCCTTGGACGTCGCAAAATCGGTCGAGTCCTCAGAGTTGATGTAGTACGGGCGGTAGTTGAGGTCCGCAGGGTCCAGAGTCGCCATTCCAGTCGGCCCGCGGAGCGCACCGTCGGTGAGCACGAGGGCGTGCAAGGCGTGCTCTGGGTCGAAAAGATCTGGCGCAGCGGTCATGCTGATGGGATAGTTGGGTCTCAGTTGGTAGTCCTCGTACTCCTTCCCAGATCTGTACAGGTCCTTGTAGATTCCGCGACGGTTGATGACGTTCGGGTTCACGTCGTACTTCGAGTCCTCGTCTTTCGACAAAGGCACGTAGTAACATCGCTCAAAGTTGGCCTTGATCAGATCCGCCCACTCCTTGTAACCAATTGTCGACTTGTCAGCCTTCGTCACGCTGCTGTACTTGAACTTGCCCTGCGCGCTCAGGTCCTGCGCCCAGCGCAGCGTGCTGTACAGTAGACCAGTGATCTCGACGGCTGCGCCATCACGAGGGGTGCCAGGGACACCCTTGGAACCCGCCTTTTCGGACTCGCCCATCTTGTCCATCCATGTTCCGCAATTTGACTGGTTGCCGCCAAAGATGAAGCCATTGGCCCAGTCGACCTTGATGTCGATATTGAATCCCTCATCGCTCATTTGTGAGTCAATCTGGGGCCCTGCATTGGCCTCGCGGAAAGACATGCCCTCTGCGTGACGCTGTAGGGCCTCCTGGATAATGTCTTCGATAGTACTCTCCTTTGAATAAGCACGAGGATCTTCTACATCGAACCAGGTGTCATCGTATGGCAGGAACCGGCGCTTGGTCGTCGCCTTGAGGATGTCGGTGCCGTTCGGTGCAAGTTTGGTGTAGTCCTGGATGTTTTGCAAAAAGAACCAAATTGAGTCGCGAGAGTTGTATCGTGGAGTGTTGCCAGAAGCAAGCAAATTGGGAATCATTCCGTGTTTGAGAACACTGGCAAATGCGAGGATGTGCTCCTTAGCCTCATCAAACCGCCCAGTGCCGAGCAGAAGGCCTCGAAGAGAGATGAAGACATCACGGCCCCAGCAGCGCGCCCATTCTACCGCAAAATGAGGCAGACCAGCTGCTAGAGAGGGCACCAGGGTCTTGGGGTAGAGGGAGCCGGAGTTGACGACTCCGAGCTCTTGTACGCTGACCATGGCCAAGCTCTGCAAGAACCACTGACCTCTCTGCACGTTGTCATTCATCAGAGAGATGCCGCGTTCCCAAGCCGCCATATACGCAGTCCGGATAAGGAGGCCAAAATACCGAGGCAGGAGGAAACTGGGAATTTTGCGAATCGCATCAAATCGCTCCTTGAGCCAAGCGGTGGGCTTCTCGAGACGGGAATACAGCTCAGCCTTGGAGGCACGTTCCAGGCGGCCGATGGTGTAATCTAGAGCCCATTGTCCATCTCGGAGGTTTTGGCACAACGGGTGGGCGAGGTTGTTGTCCCGGATGACATCCTTCAAAATACTCCACCACCCCTGCAGTCCGGCATAAACGAGTTTTCCATGACCTGGAATGTCATAGACGCCGTCCTTACCACCGCTAGCATCACGCTCTTCAGCCTCGCAGCGGTAAAGCAGGAAGTTGAGATCAATGAGATCCAATTCTCCAAAGGCCTCCTTCGCCCCCGACGTGACGAAGGTATCCAGGCCCGATGAGTGCTCAGCAGCGGGGATCCAAGTCTCGAAAAGTGCGATACTGCCAGGAGGGAATTTGTCACGGACCGTAATCGTTGTGTCATCCCCCTTGACATCAATGCGGACACCAGGAAGGTCGACAACGCGGCTAGGCAGACCACGCAGCCACTTCTTGTCTTCGAGCACCTCTTTCTTGGCCTCCTCGCTCGTATCGACCTCAAGCATCCAGCTTCCCAAGTGCCTGACTTTGGTACCAGCAAGATGTACAGGGTTGAAATCACCGTTGCCGTTGCCGTATCCTGGGAACGCGGTGTGTGCGATGAGGAAGTATCCCTTGCGGGACTCCGGGTGCACCCGATGAACAGTGACATACTGATCTTCGTGGTGGATAAATGTCTCGTCATATTCGTCTTGGCCCATCAACGTGTGAATCTGGTTCAGGAGCTTCTTGACACCGCCGATACCGTTCTTACCGCCGCCAACCTTGATTTCCTTGCCACTCGATGATTCGGACTGGTACTGTCTCGTCTCGCTCACCAGGTCGACAAGTTTGGGGTAAATTTCATCGTAGCCCATGACACTTCCAGTCGCGCTGGCACACATGTTGACAAGTGCAGCGTTGGGCAGAGTGTCTCGAGCGTCGCGCTTTTGAGCAGGGGTCTCGTTGTCATGAGTGCAGTCCATGAACAGTGCTTGCACCGGCACAGGCTTGATGCGGCGAATAATCTCCCTGGTCAAGTCTGGCTCACCATTTTTCGATGAGCCATTTTGTCCTGTTGAAGAGGTGGGCGACCTGTTCTCGCTCCTGGAGATCTCGTCCACCTCGAAACTGCCAATTGGACGGCCGCCGTGTCGATGGACCAAGCGACTGAGCTCACCAGTGCTCCAAGCTTGCATTGCCTCACGAATCAACGAGCTGAGTCCAAGCCTCTTCACAAAGACGTAGTCCATCTCTTCAGATCCCGAGAAAAGCTCCGCAACCACGTAAAGATCCGGGCGGATCCGCCGGGCCTCATCGAGGATGTGCTCAGCAACGTGGATCGGAGTGGAGTGGCAGTTGTCGATCCGGAAACCGGCAAAGTACTTGGCCAATGTGCGAGCATACTTGGTCATATGGTCCCAAAGGAAAGGGCTATCTTCGGGAGACTTGCCATACCGCAGTTTGACACAGTCACCCCAAACAATAACCTCACGATGGAGGTACACTCTTGAATCCGGTCCGGCGTTGTCAACAAGCGCGTTGCCGCCCCAAACCCAGCCGTTGTTTGCAAGTGCTAGATCTTCCTTTTTGTGCTTGGCCGTCTTCTCATTCTCAGGCAGTCGGGTGAAATATGACTCGATCAGTGGGCTCTTGGCCCCGATCGGGCCCATCTTAGGGCCATGGTCATCCAGGCGACAATACTTGATCCGGTTAAAGAGCTGGTCAAGGATCACAGCAGACTCGGTGTCGTACTCCTGGTAGAAAGAGACATTGACAACGTCCAGTCCTGCAGCAAGCTTACTCCGAGCATCAGCCTTCTGCGCGTCACCTGCCGACTCAAACTTTCCAAGCAAGGCCGTTATGTATGCAGCACCGACTTCGGGCTTGAGCTTCCGTCGAAACCGCTCGCCCAGGTGGTTCGTGCCATCAAGGCCAGACCTTACGAACGCTGCTTGTTCCTCAACAGTCCCAGTTGGCAACTTGAGGGAGGCCTCATCCACCCGTCCCTCAGACCAAGCTTTGACACCAGCATCTGCGTCACGGTCAACATCGACGACGTAGTACTCCCACAGCCGGATCTCGCTCAATACGTTCTTGACTGCCTCCATGATCTTCAGAAGATCGTCGACAGCCTTGATCTCGGTCGGTAGACCGAGCTTGTCCAGCTTGTACCCGAGGTCGAGCAACTTGGTGTCCAGCAGGTACGCCGACTCCAGCCAGGGGGCGGTAGTTAAGTTGTAACCGGCATCGGGGTGCTCCTGCAGCCAGTCGGTATTGTTGGCTGTGTGGTTGAGGACGATATCCGTCAAGCTCAGCAGCGAGTGCTTTCGCTCCAGGCTTTCTACCAGCTTCTGGACATCATTCTCACCGTCCGGGAAGCTCACGGGGTCCCATGAGAGCTGGTCGTAAAGACTATAGGGCGAGTTCGACTCTCCGCGGACCTGCAGAGGGGTGAAGTGGATCATGTTGTAGCCCCTGTCGCTGATGCCGGCGAGGTGCTTCTCCCAGTCATGAGGGTACTTGCCCATGAACTTGCTCAGGATGGAGAAGACGGACAGTGCCGGCAAGGGCAGCGGCGAGCCGTCCAGGGTCAAGCGAGGCGCTACGTCGATGTAGTAGAGGGGGGATTTCTGCTTCTCGTCACTGGCAGAGGCATCCTTGAGCTCGGTGGACAGCTTCGGCAGGGCTGCATAGGTGATATAGTAGGTGTACGGGCCGGGCTGGTAAATTGGGATAGAGATCTCTATGTCACGGGTGAAATTGGGAACCAGCCTGGTCCAATTGAGAAGGAAGTCAGTCAGTAAGAGGGCAATTGGGCGCCGGGGCAGCTCATGGAGCTGTTGGTAGCTGGTAAATTGGTCATGACATACGGGAACTCCCTGAAGTTGTGACGCTGGAACTCATGTCCCTTCTCGGGTATGTTGACCCACAGGCTCCCATGGCGACATATGCTCGAGGTACCCTCGATTGTGAAGCGGATGGTGATGGGGTCGTGTGTCTTTGGCGCAATGTAGACGTATTGGCCGGCCACGTCGGGCGAGCCGTCGTCGTTGAGGGGCAGCAGGTGAACCTCGTTAGACACCATGGTTTTTGGGATCATGTTGTCAGGACGGAAAGCTGCCCCGCGCAGAGCTGGGCAGCACGAAGTTGGGGGGACGCGCGCATGCACACACACGTGTTTGGAGAGGAGGGGCACAGGCCTGGCTTGCTGGCAGTGGCCCAGCAAGCTGCAAGCAGCAGGAGGGGGGGTCGGGGGATCGGCGATTGACGGGCGGGCTGGAGCTGTGCCTAGCTGGGGTTAATATGGAGAGTATGGAGTATGGAGAAGGGAATACGGAGGTCTGTACAGCTGTCGAGGGGAACCGTGCAGGTCAACCCCAATTCAGGACCCAGGACCCAGGAGAGGGAAAACTATAGAGACAAAGAGTTTAGAGAGGAGCAAAATCCAAGATGCAGAGCAGTAAGAGGAAGAAGTGTTGTCAGCGAGGGGAGAAATAGACTTGCAGACGGGAGCTAGAGGAAGACGATGCCGAGCTGTACCTACCTAGTAGGTAGTAAGGCAGTGGCAGTGGTACTACAGGTAGCGCGATCAAGGTGTACAATGCAGTGCATGGACAAGCAACAAAAGAACGCAAGAGAAGAAAATGCAGAACTAGAGTAGCTAGCTCATGGATCTTGTGGTCTACCTGAAGCTCCTTCCTTCCCGCTGCACGAGAGATTAAGAGGCCTAGCCACCCATCTAGGTAGGCGCGGGATGGAAGCTTTGTGGAAGGCACGGCATGATGGATGGTCGAGGCCAGGATGAAGAGAGCAGGTACCAGCTCAAGCCGCAGCGCAAACCTAGGTACTGCTCAGGCTGAGGTACGTCGTGGTGATGATGGTGGACCGGTGATGAAACCAAGGTCAGGTCAGGTCAGACCAGGTCAGGCCAGCCCAGGCCAGCCCAGACCGGACCAAGCCATGGCAGCAGTTCAACTGGGGCCCCCACGGGGCGGCCAGCCTGGTTCTAATCGCAGCAAGCTGGTGGGTATGGTCTTTTTCTGTTGGTGTGCACCAGCAAGCAGGGCAGGCAAACGGGCAAGCAGGCAGGCTGTCAGCATGATAGCGCCGTGGGTGAGATGGGATCGAGATGGCGGCCGGCCTCGAGTGTGCCGTCTTGTATCAAATGATGGTGACCTCGACCTGTCGGTAGATATCTCGCTGCACCATCGTGAGAGCCTCCACCGGCAAGATCGACGATTGCCTCACTTTCGACGCGCGACTGAATCAAGCAACCTGCTGTTTGGGAAGCTAGTCGAGCCGTGGGCAACGCGAAGAAGAAACAAGCCAGCTCGACGCAACGTTGGCAAGCCCCCCATGCAGCAGATGAAGCCGTGCTAAACTTGGGACTAACGCCGCAGGCAAGGCCAATGCAACCGCAAGACCATGTCTAGCGGCTCGGGAAGAAAAACCTGTGGGACGCTGCTGTGCTGCTACTGCGACGATATGCGGTGAGACGATGGCGCTTGGTACTTTCTGTTGGGGGAGCAGAGCTGGCACAGCCTGCAGGAGCGTGTCGTTGTTGCGACAGGAACAGGAAAGGCTCCTTCGGCCGGCTGGGTGGCCTGCCTGCCTAGATGTCTGACTCCCTGAGGCCGTCTGCAGCGGAAGATATGTTTGAGATACGTTTTGCAAGCTCGCAGCGGAGATATTTTGTCAGTGTCTGTCAGGATGCAAATCCCGCAAATCCCCATGTGCGACGGCCCAGGACGTCATTACCCGAGCCCAGCTCTCCAGTCTCAACAGCTGCCATGCTCCACCCCGTAGCCCGGAGCTGGAGCTCCTTGACTCGACAAGGATCCTCGTGGAACGGCCCAGCCTCCTGCTGAGTGGGACCTACTGCGACCAGCTTGCTCGCACCTTCGCGAGCAACTGGAAGTGATAGATAGACTGAGTAGTTGATTGACTCGTGAGAGGGCGAGGAGAGCATCAAGATTAAGCAAGGCGGCTCCGTAGAGTTTGGTTGGGCACAGTTGAGGTAGCAGCAGCATATGTCATGTTATTTCTAACCTTCCTCCGACGATATTTACATCGCTCTCCGACAGCTGCTTCCTGATGACATCCACGGCATTCCTATTCTCCTCTCGGATGAAGTCTTCCGTCTCAGTCCTCAGCTGGTCAAAGTCGTCCTGTATCCCAGTCCGAAGGTCATCCACCTCCAGCCACACTCGATCGTCCACGTGGCGCTCTATATCTTGGATTTGGTCTTCAAGCTTATCTAGCCTGTCCTCGTACTTCTTCTCTTGCTCGGTCAATCGCTGGTCGACCCATTCTTTCATGCGTGATTCCATCTGTCCCAGCTGCTCCGTGAAGATTTTGCTGCAAATTCTCTCAATGAACCCGATTTCTACGCCCTCGGTAGCGGAGCTGCTGAGCTTCCTTTTCTTGGAACCAGAAGCAGCCTCGGACTCTGAACCCGAATCAGCACAAATATATTAAGGTATCTGAACGCGGGTCCGTCTTACCGTGGCCAGGAGGCACAATTGGTGGTGGCGGCGGCGGACCTTCAAGGTCGTCGTAGGACGGGGGAGCTTGGGCTGTAGCTCCATCACGAGGAGCAAACAGCTCAGGGCTGATAATCCTGCCATTTTGGCCCTCGTAGGCACCACCGCCATCCGTAGCCAACCCGCCTGAGCGTAGCTCGTGCCGGGATAATGATTCGCACAGCCACTCCAGCTGAGCCTTATCCAAGACAATATCTGGAACATGTAGAGTGAAAGAAGTTTGTTGGGCGAGGATTTGAGCGGAGTCCAACATGGCACCGTGGACTTTGTTGTTTGGACGTAGAGGCCAGTCAGGCGCCACGAGGTCGGCTGCGCTGGAGAGTTCCAGCCGCACGCACACCAACTTATGGTCCTGGAGCCGTCTGGACTCTGTCGACAGCTCACTAGAGTCGAGGGCAGCGGAGTGGATTCGCTCCGGAGGGATATACAGGCAGAGACTCGTCTTCCCGGACACGGGTTTGCGGAGCTCGAGCTGGATTCGGATTTTGAGCAGGGCGGTCTTGGAGGAGCGATGGAGATCAATTGTAACGGTCACGGGGTTGGAGCTGGAGTCGCTTAGATAGCTCGGCTGACCATCCTGTCCAGCCCATTCTACCACAGCCGCCACGGGGGTCACCGTCTCGGGAGTATCGGCGGGTGACGGCGGCGACGTGGCCATGACGGTGTCTTCGGCTTCCCTATAAGCACATCAGCAAGTAACAATCTACAAGTCAGCGTGGTCGACCCTGCGTCAAGCCCGAGACGCTCGTCTCAACACAGAATCACACCCACTCCGGCGACGGAGCGGCCGTGATTCTGGTGAGGACGAGGTCGAATCAGGAACCCAACGGCACGAGCAGGCCGCCACAGTTCGCCAACCGGCAGCTCTTGGGAAGCCCCTTCCTAGTGACCAGGCTCGAAAGCCTGGGCCAGTGTAGGTGCGAGAATCGCAGACAGGCAGCTTTTCCAAGGCCCCGCCCAACGCCCAGGAGTGTTTGAGTCCTGTGGCTTGGCTATTGGGAGCGAACGACGCAGCAGTCTGCACGTGCTACTCCGATGTGCGATGGAGTATTTGACGTTTGGCTTGAATCGATGGCAGCGGGAGAGAAAGGGTGAGGGAGGAGGATGCGCGACGAGAGGTCGTAGGTCTGCGTGAGTGAGATGACAGTGCCAGGTCGCGAAGTCTGGCCTGCAGGTGATGAGTGGTAGAAGCGACTGGTCAGCGACCTGATAAATGACAAGTGCTTGATTAGATTATACTGTCGTGGATGCGATGCAGTCAGTTGGTAGGGAGACGTTTTAGCAGTGGAGTCGCGAGAGCAACTTGAGGAGCTAGTCTAATTGTTTGGCCCGTGCGGCTGCCTGGCAAAATGGGTGGCTGGGAAACGGGGCTACCCCAGCAGATTATGTAAGCACAGAGGTACTAAGGTACATCCGAACCTCGGTGAAGACATCCTCAAAGACAGCATCCCACGAGTCTCCCAAATTCTTCCCTGTACACAATTGCTTTGGTGGTACTGACGGATTAATGCTGAGAGTATTGATAGTCCTTGGAAATTCGCCAATTCCTGTATATCAGAATCCCTCTCTTGGTCACCCACATCCAGTCTGTGGCTCGATGTGAAGACAGCTCAGCCGTGCGCTCCCGCATCCCAGGCAGTAAGTCACAGCCGTGCCAGACCCCCAGAACCCAGACTTAGATTAAGAGAGAGTTCCTGGAAGAATTTTGCTTTTCTTTCCATGTATTTTTGGCTTTTATGGACGAATACGGACCGTCGTTCTTCTACATTTTGCTGCGACCGCCCTACTGAGGAACGGGTACCGAACTTTCGACCAGAGAATGTCTCTACCAAACTCTAATCAGCATGATTACTGAGCTTTGGTCAGCCATCGTATTTGCACATGACATGCTAGACTCCGTGTTTTGTACAAGCGCTGGGCTCCCTGCCAAGAAAAGGAACCTAAGAAATCTGCGCAAGCTTCTGGGCTCCTCGGCGAGAGAATCAAGGGTGGAACGTGAAGCTGACCTCTAAGCCGCGGAGCACCAAGGAAGCCAACCCAACACGAGCAGTACCATTTAATGCTACGCGGTTTTCTTCCAGCCTGCGCGTGAGGAATTGCCAAATTCGACATACGAGGCCACTGTAAAAAAACCGATTTATCACGATGTGGGCTATAAGGTAGTTAAGTGCAAAACGTGCTGCGGTAAATCACTCGCTCGCAAATCCCAACACTATCATGCTCAACCGGTCCAAATATATTGTAGACGTTGGGAATAAAATGCCAGTATTTACGGGCGTTTCGTCTGTTCTTTTCTGGTCTGTAAGTTGCCTGGCCAGCACAAATATTACTCCCAGTTCCCAAGGGTGCAAAGTCTTCTCAGGTCTCTTGTGCAGATGGCTCAGGCACCATGTCCTTGCATCCGAATTCAGGGACGCCATTTCCTCAGGTCCAGCCACTGGGTTCGTCATCACAGTCTCCTACGGAAAACACCCCCATGTGCATAATCTGATTAATCTGATTAAGCATAACTTAATGCCTGGGTCTCCAATAAGGGCTATCTGTAGGCACACGGATAAGGCAATCAACCCTGGCATCACTGCCTGATAACATGGGCCACAGCACGCAGAATAAGACAACGAAGCCCTGACGGATGGCGTAATACATTGCTGAGCTGTTAAGACTCCTGCCATCTTAACTTAGAAGAGGCGGGCATCAATGCGTGGCTCGCTCGTAAATCCGAGCTTCGCCGAGATTCAGGAGCTGCTTGCCCTTACAGCCTAATCCACATGACGCACAGTACATACAATTCTACTTAGTCAGGCTATCCTAAAAGGGCCAGGAAAAAGCGGATGGAAGCAGGAACATTTCGCCATACGTCGAATCGAAAATGTTTCCGAGCAACAGTACTATCTCCATCTCGGGGTCGTGTTCGTATAACATCAGCCCGCAGCCGCACTCCGCCCTACACTCGACGCCGATCTTTGCCCGTCAGGGGCCATCTCAGCCACGAAAATGGCAAGACGCACACGTATTGCTGTATCCCATTTTCGCGATGATGTTCACTATAAACAAAATGTCAATATTTGGCAGAGTTGAGCAGAAGGATCTTCATTCGGCACTTGAAACGATAGGATCGACAACAGTGTCTATCCGTCTTCCTATTGCCGCCTTGCGTTTGCCATCTTTCTTTCCGGACGGCATACGCATAGTTTTTCATATTCCTTCATTTCGTCTTACTCTTCTTTGCAAAAACAGCTGTGATGGGAATTCTTCGAGCCCGCGAGGTTACCCTCTCCTGCGTCTTGGGGCTTCTCGTCCCAGCGGCTCAAGCAGCACTCTATGATAGTGTGCTGCAGACCCCCAATGGTCCGGTACAAGGCTATCCAGCCTTCAACAGCAGCCCTGCGAACATGAACCTCACCCGTTGGAGGTAACGGTCTGGAAGGGCATCCCGTTTGCAGCCGACACCGCGGGGGAGAATCGATTCCGGCCTCCGCAGCCCGTCGTGCCGTGGAACACAACTCTTGACGCCAAGGACTATGGACTGGCATGCGTGGCATCCGGCACCACACACGCCGACATTGGCGAGGACTGCTTGAATGTCAACGTCTGCCAACTCCACCGACGACAAGCTGCCAGTCGTTACGTGGAGCTACCCTGCCGGAGGCTCCAACGCCGATCCTCCCTTCGATGGCGTCGGCATGGCAGTCGCTCACTCAGAAAATGGTAGGGGTTGGTGGGTGACGCTCCGCTGTGATCGCTCGCTTACGCCCGCTCAGGGTTAGGAGTCATCAGGAAAAGTCTCTGTCCTTGCTCTTATCGATGGTCCCAAAAGCTACACTAGTAGGGGCATTTGAGGATGTCACAAAATCGCTGCAGCATGACCTTGATGGACTGGAAGACTCGGCCTTTCCGACTGACCAAAAGAACAGCCTGAGAGCACTGGAGCCAGTCATGCGGTATTGCAACACAGTCTGCGACGCATTTGCGACAAGACTCGCCGAGCTCACATCTCACTCGGACCAAGACCACATCACTTGGATTGATCGGTTCCGCCTTCGTTTCAATGATGGCGACATTCAGATCTTGAAAGAAAATCTGGCGCAATGTCAACGCACTTTGAACGATGCCTTGAGCTTTACAAATCTGTACGTATTGCTCCGAATACAGCAAACAAAATGTGACGGACTGATAAAGAAAATCGACGATAGGCGAACTGCGAATCGAACACGTGTGGCCCTGGACGAGCTCGCCGCTAATTACTCTCAATCCGTCAACGACATTGGAGGCCGAATCCAAGGCCTGAAGCTTTCATTGCAAGCTTTCTCTATCTCTTCTGTGAGAGCTGCCAGAGAAGATCTGGATGAAGTTCTCAATGTGTTGAAGGAGCACAACCGCATCCTGAAAATATGTTTGCAAGTCTATCAACCTGCCCTGAAAGAGACGAGAAGCTTGACAGGCACGACCTTGAGATACGCACGCGCTTTTGATACTGCAAGGGTGGCTACTGGCAATATCGATTTCCACGGCGACGCCCCCTCAACTCACGTTGAGAGTGCAGTAGCAAGCGATCAGGCACGTATTTTCACTGGGAATATGGGTGGTGAGGCCTCAAAGACGTTTTGGAATTGAGGTAAGGGCTCAGGTTAATGCTTTAGGGTCAGACCTATGATACAATTGTGACAGCCTTTCTCGGGCCACAAACAGAATTCTTCGTCCAGCGTGAACCGAGAGTTCGAAGAAATACAATTACATACCAAGTAACTTGTCATGATTTTACATTCCTGTCGAATTTCGATGTGAGATCAGAACCTCAGTCTTGGGCCGCCAGTCGGTCCACGAGGCTACTTGTAAGCTGCAATACAAACCACCCCGAGCACCCTTAACACCCAGACTTAAAAGACGAGGGGATAAGTTACCATTTGCGACCCATGAAGTTCTTGAGAGGCTCAAGAATCAGGGTCAATCTCATTCTCACAGCGACAGTCCCGATGTCTCAGGCCTGCTGAATTTGTATGAATACCTTGAAATCTCTGGCCATCGTGGGGACCTTGGACTTCCAACACACCGCCCCTGAGCAGTGCTGGTTCGAGCCTCGAAATTCTGGGGTGCTGACGGCTGTGTGTATGATATGTTTCTTATGGCTCTACAGGCCCATATTCGAATTTCTGGCTGTCACTTACGGAGCATCACATGGGAAGAGCATGCGTAGACATGAGGAGATGGCTATAGAGACGCTGATCAGTTGCCGTTTCTCGGTAAACCCGGCGGCGGGCTCAAGATACCTATAATCAGGCCCTTTCTTCAACCCTGTTGCAAGCGGCATCTTTGGTTGAAGATAAAATCAGCGTGACGCTCCTTGAAAGAGGACCGAAGCGTTGAAGCTGATGAGAATAGAGGTTGCAAGGATACTCAAGGATGACAAGTCCGGCATCCAGGCACAGCGCTCACCCAGGCCACAACGCTGCACTTGACATCACCATCAACCAGGACCAGCGTGGGAGGCTCTCCGCACGCGGGCCTCGGTAAAATGTCCGGCGTGCCGGCCTAGCTCCCGCCGCAACGCTAATATTAAGCTCCCGGGCCGAACCCGGGCCTATTTCCATACGATGCTACAGTTACTTTTCCTACTCTCTTAACGACTTGTTCCAAAGACATTCGCGATGAGCAACACCGAGCTAGTGACCGTTGCGCTACCCCAGTCAGCCATACTTCCTAGCACTGTCGTTGAGGACCATGAAAGAACGTCCCAGCGACCCCAGGACGAAGAGAGGGATCCGTGGAATGGCAGACGAAGAGAGCAGGAGCTTGCGCCCGTAGATGGAGGACCAGCTGCTTGGAGGCTGCTATGCGCCGCCTTTATGTTTGAGGCATTGCTATGGGGTATAGTCATATCGTTGATCGAACTCGACAGAGACTGACAGCAATTGAACACAGGTTTTCCCCTCTCCTTTGGTGTCTTTCAAGAATACTACTCCAGGATCCCAGAGTTTTCCGGCAATCGCTACATTTCCGTTGTCGGCACCATAGCATCCGGTCTCGGTTACCTTGGAGCACCACTTATCATGCCTTTTATCCAGCGCTATCAGCGGTGGCAGCGACAGATGATCTGGGTTGGGTGTACGTCTCATTACTTACTGGGGCATTGAAACATGACTTTCTAACCTGACTATCAGGGTCAATTTGCATTGCCGGACTCGTCCTTGGGTCCTTTGCATCCACTCTAGAGGTACTTATCCTCACTCAGGGCGTGGCTTACGGCGTTGGTTTTCTCATATTCTATTACCCCATCCTCAGTATGGTAAATGAATACTGGATCGCTCGTCGTGGCATGGCCTACGGTGTTCTTTGCGGTGCCTCTGGTGTCTCAGGGTCCGTCACGCCATTCGTGCTGCAGGCACTTCTGGCAAAGTACGGGTACAGAACCACTCTTCGCGCTGTGGCCGTGGCTCTCACCCTGCTCACCGGACCGTTTATTCCTCTCCTGAACGGACGTTTGCCGCCCTCAGAACGCGCCAGTGTCCGCAAAATTAATTGGACATTCTTACAAAGTCCATTATTCTGGGTGTATTCGGCTTCAAACATATTGCAAGGACTTGGCTACTTTTTCCCTTCTCTATATTTGCCCTCTTATGCATCATCACTAAGACTCGGCGACAAGAGTGGTCCGCTTCTACTCGCTCTGATGAGTGTTTGTCAGGTCTGCGGTCAATTTGTTTTCGGTCTCTTATCTGATCACAAAGTACCACTGAACATTTTGGCATGCTTGTCAACCGTGGTTGCAGCGACTGCTTGTTTCACCATGTGGAGACTAGGCCAGTCACTCACAGTTTTGATTTTCTTCGCCATGGTATATGGATTCTTCGGGTCAGGATTTACTGCCATCTGGGCAAGGATGAGCACCGCCATAACCGACGACGTGACAGCGACACCAATTGTCTTCACCTTGCTCAACTTTGGCAAAGGTATTGGAAATGTGCTCGCAGGGCCTGTTGGCGGGCTTTTGGTTTCCAAACAGAATTCGGCCGGAACTTCATCAGCGATGTCTTATCGTTGGGTCATTGTCTTTACGGGGACCTGCATGTTCGCGAGCACTTGCATGATTTGCTTGCGATACACTAAATACCTTGGCTTTTTCCTTGGTCGGTAAAATGGAGCAAGTGGCAAGCAGCAGGAAATTCTTGAAGAATGGGATCGCACATGGAGCAAGCGAACATGGGAGCTTGCCGTGGCGTAATGGAGTCGCTCCATCAGCCTTCCATAGGTACGGTGGAATGCGCTGACGCGAGTGGATTGAACAAGGCAAATAGAGGCGTAGCTCTGGACAGAGCGAAGCGGCCACGTACATGGTTGATAGGCACGAGAATTAAAAGAGTGTAAGTGAGTTGGATTAACTATAATAACGAATGTGGTTCTAAAAGAATCCATCCTTCATATCCCTTGTCCAGAGCGCACTTGGCCATAAGCAAAGGTCACCCTACGCGCTACAGCAGTACCGGCAGAGACTGATCAATCGTCCACTGCATGTGAATAAACACCTCACAGCATGGCAAACTTCTCGCCGACAAGGCCGACAACTGTGGCACAGTTGTTGTCGTAGTTCGGGATGACCTTGAAGGTCCTGCTGGCCTTGTCCCACGAGGTCCTGTGCGTGTTCTTCTCCTTGCTTCTGCTGCCGCTGCCACCCAGGCCGATGGGGATACCAAAGACACTGATGCTGCCGCCGGCGCTCGTCGTCTCCTTCAGCTTGGTGTCAAGAGTCTCGGCAGTCGAGGCGCCGACGCTGATCTCGTAGCCCAGGCCGCTGATGACGACGACCTGGCTGACCCTGGCAAGAGTCTTGACATCCTTGGGAGCATCTGAGCGGAGCTTGTACTTGGAAACGTCGATGTTCCTGTGAGGAAGGAGTCAGGCATCGTCCACAATAGGGTTTCTTTCCAATCAGAAAGGGTAAAACATACCATGATCCGAGGTTGATGGTAATTGCCTGGAGATCGTCGTAGGTGATCTTGACAGAGACCTTGGAAGACTCTGAACCGGTCTGAAGGGTGGTGGACTCAGAGGAGTGGCTTGCGCCTGCGCTGAACGAGAACCAGCCAACGCTGGCTCCAACACTGGCACCACCCTTGGTCTGTCCGAAGTTGTAGTCGGAGGTGTTTTTACCAGTGTCAATTTCGACTGTGATCGACTGAGATGGATTGTAGTCGCTGCTCGTGGCCTTGCTCATCGCATCCTGCACGAACTGTTTGTAGTGTGGGGCATCGTACAAGGGGAGGCGATGGAAGGAGGGAGGGGCGATCTTCTCGTTCTGAAGTGCCTTTCGGATGAGTTCTGCGGTGCTGAGGGTATTACCAGTTGCAGCGTGCATGTTGTAGCTAAGGTGTGTTAGTTTAGCACAATACCGTATCGTGTGCCATTGGATCGGTCAGATACGTACCCGTCAAAGTCCAGCTCTTCGTTTCTGCCCTTGCCGAGTGCGTCTCTGTCCGCCTTGACTGTGACAGCCATGGGACCCGCTTTCTCCAGCTGGATTTGGGTAATCTTCTGGGTGATGGCATCGACGTTGTCCTTGGCGGCCTTGAAAGCGGGAGTCTTGCCGCTTTCGACGTAGACTTTGAAGCTAGTGTCGGTTAAACCCATCTCCGTGTCCTTCTTCCACTTGGCAAAAGCCTTGTCCTGCTCAGCATTCATTGCCGCGGTGTAGGCGTTCTGGTCCCTAATGGCATCCAGAAAAGCCGCGTCCAGGGCTGGGTTGGCTTTGCCTCCCTGTGCCAAGTTAGCAAGAGCTTCCGCAAAGAGAACACATGTCCATACCAAGTCCACCCAGTTCAAGTAGCTAAGATCTCACATCAGCACTTATGCCACGGCCTTTCAGTGGGTGAGGGCACACTTACGAGCCAATGGCCTGATCGAATCCATGAAGGGAAGAAGGGCTGTAGAAGACATTGTCGGTGGACAACAGGTTGTTACCGATGTTATACAGGCCCTGATAGGTATACTCATCAGGGATGTTGTTGCCAGCCAGGGGACCCTTCTGGGCCTCGTTTGCTAGAAAGAATAGCTTGTCGCCGGAGCCGACACCGACTTTCTGCCTGATGGCATCGCCGTACTGGAGCCAGAAGAGCTGAGAGACCTTGTCGGCAGACATGTTTGAAGAAGGTCGAAGAGTTGAGTAGCGTTTAAGTTTAGATGTGTTAGTTGAAGAGCTTGAAAGTAGATGTTTGGTTGAGACGAGGGATGAGATTTGAGATGGAATTGCAGCAGATTTATACTTGAAAGCTCAACCCATTTCAACCCATTGAACTCTGATGTGTGCTCATGTTCTCCGGCCTTCGTCCTTTCGAGACTTTCTTCGGGAGCCAAATTTTCCACCAAAGCTGTCACGGATCGAATCTGGGTCAGATCAACATGTCTGCGACATGCTCACCGCCGTCAATTGAGTACGTTTCCCAGGAGGTGCAGGACTGGAAACGCCTTCTTGATGATGGCAATGGGCAATTGATAATGATGCAGCTGAGGTGGTCCGGGATTCTGACCGGTCAACTTTGACTTCAGATGCTTGACTTGGGTCCTCAATGCCGGCTCGTACCCAGGAAAGGCTTCCCATCGCGACCAACAACCTGCAAGCGATTCCAAATGAACCCATACTCTGCGGTGCAACTGATGAGGACGTAGCTGACGTGGTCGGATCCTGACCGGCCAACTCTGAATTCAGGTGCTTGGCTCAGGCCGTCCATGCAGGCTCATACCCAGGAAAGGCCACTGATCGTGACCAACATCCTGCAAGCGATTCCGAATGGAGCCATGCTCCGCAGGTTGCTGCCTCGCGATTTTCCTGCTCAGTCCGTAAGTTCAGTTCCTCTTGGCATGTATTAACGTTCAAGATATTTGCCTTCTTTGTGATATATACTTTTGAACGAAGTGTCCTGTCTTCTGCGACCAAACATTGCGGAACACTGGTCTGGCGGTGTAGCTGAGGTCCAACTTGGGTGCATCGTCACATTGGGACAAAGAACAGGCTTCATTTACAAGACATCGGTGCAGTGAATTGGAACTATCATAGCCAATACAACAGGTCTATGCGCAGATCAGTGTAGACCCATCACTTGGGGCTGGCTAAGTTGCTTCTGTAGTAGATGGGCTGAAACGTTGCAATAAAGGACAGTTCGGAATTCCAGCCAGCCACAACTTGGTAACACTGCAGAAGAGGCTTTGTCTCATTAACGAGTGACAGAAATGCCGGCTGGCTTGAAATGCAAGGCTCTGCCGATCGCCTCCTCTAGGCTATTCAGCTGCTTTGTGATGTCTGCTAAACCACATTCCGGCCAGCTCGTCCCGAGTTCCCTCATCTTCGCGGACGCAAAGCGCGCCCAATCGTTCGGTGCAGATCCTAATGTATAAACTGTCTACTACGTGGTATCTGGTCTGGGGATCTTGTTTTAAACAGTATTTTTTGAATTAAACCCCAAGAGAAAATCGGAGGCAGGTGTTTGGATGAACAATTTTGGCTCAGAGCCGCTCACCAGCACTTGGGTACAGGAAGAATGATTTTGGTACGATCAATTAGTGTTGATTGAATATGACGAATTCCACCTCCATGAGTCTTCTCTGGTTTAAACCTGTCTTGCTAAGACCCCCAAGACGGTAGGATAAAGATTATTAAATTGCCCCCTCACATGCAATTCATTCTCACCATCCCATGGCTCTGGGTGAGCCCTTGCAAATGGGAATGTCTGGAAAAGCTCGCTCAGAAGTTCATCCTCCAGCCCGTTGAGAGCCAACGTGTTCGGTTTTGTATCACGCTCTTTCTCGTTGCCGGTCGCTTTGACATTTTTGCTTCGAGGAAATAACTTCATAAACAGGTCTTCAGGGAGACGAAGCACGAGATCCGCATTGTACGCCAGCAGGATCCGCGTTGTCTGGAATACTCTGTCCTTGAGATGGGAAGGTGCAGTTCTAGCCAACTCTGGCAAGATTGAGCGGAAGCCTGGAATATTCCTAAACGCATGGTTAGCCGTCCATCGCCTCTATATCCGTGTTCTCTGATGGCGAGACTTACCACAAGCCGCGATTGACATCGAAGGCTTGTATATCGGTGTACTTCAGCATCAGTTTCCACTCCCCAACCGTATCGCGAATTGGATCGATGTCTTTCTTGCCGAAGGACTTTTCCATGTTGTCAAGCTGTGCGAACCCAAGGTCTTTCCATGTCCGGGTGAACCCTTCAAGGAGATCAATCCGCATCGAGCTCTGGTCGTCTCCTTCGCTCAGACCTCTGTTGGCCCAGTCTTCACCAGTGAAGACGAAGCCTGGGAGAACATGCAGTGGCCGATGCACCACGTCCTTTGGTGGCTCTCCCTGTTTCGCCAGCGTGTTGATGCTGACATCGTGCATGGCGCATGGCATGTTACTCCTATGTCATTGAATTTAGTACCAAGTATCGGAATAGCATGCCAATGTCACTCACCCGGGCACTTCATCGTGAGAATTCAGTGCAGACTCCAGGAGTTCTTTCTGTCTCAAGACATCGCGGGACCCCGTCTGCTGAGCGCGTTTTAAATTCTTCTTTGCCCAGTCTCTCTCCTCGCAGGCATCGCGGTAGTCGTAGCCGTACTCATCAATCCACTTGTCAAGGGTCATGGAAGGTTCGAGCTGGAGAGCCTCTTTCCACTTGAACTGGGCCAGCTCGAATTGTAATGAGGCTTCTCGTTTGATCGCCCGGTATTTCTCTTCCGCATTCCTCAGTTTCTCTTCGTCTGTTCTGCTGGTCTGTGGCCATTGACACAAACTGTCAGCTAGCATAGCAGCACAAGTAACAGATCACTTACGTCTTCAACGTGGTCAAGATAGCTTATGAAACAAGTCAAAATTCGATTATGGACCTTTTTTGACCAGCAGCAAAGACTCACCTCTGTAAATATTGGACAAAAGAATGTCCGCCTTCGCTCAGGGTTGGACTACGCTCATTCTGAATAGAATCCGCAAGAGCGAAGACTCGGGAATTGATGTAAGCATCATGCATCTTCATTGGAACGCCTCCCTGCATCGATGTCGAGGTGAAGAATGCCTGGTCGTCACTAGACATGTCGCCGGCTCCCCCCATTATTTTCGCCCGCAGAGCGAACGCGTACGCCTTGAAGAGTGGGCCAAAGGACCGTTGCAAGCGCTTTGAAGATTTATGAACTGTTTCTGGTGCTGAAAACGATCTGGAGAGATGCGGCTTTTTGACCAAGGGGGAAAGGACTGCTCCTGGTGTGCTCGAGCGTGTGATCTCACTCACAAGCACCCTTGGAGTTGTAGTGGAGATACCAGGCATGTCGAGGGTTTCAAAAAAAGACAACGGAATACGAAAAGCGACCAGGTGAGGCAAAGGTAAGCAGGCAGACCTAGGAAGCTTTTTTGTGTTGGTGACTGAAGAAAGAGGCGGTCGAATTGAGCGCTGCTTGTTAATGAAGGCGACTACATTTATGTAATACGTCCAAAGCCTGCGTCTGGGGGAAAATAAAGGACAAAGCGGGACTATACTTCCTCAACAAGAGACCGAGCTCAACGCCACCGAATGGATTAGCTCCCCGACATTACGTATGTGACAGTTTGATCCAAATTTGGTCGATTTTTCAAACATCTGCAGACAACACCTGAACACTCCTGGGCAGCGAGCACAATGAACATGGATCCACGTCTTGTGGCTGACTGATGTGAGGAACATGCTTTTTTGTCTAGAAACAGTATAGCTAGGGCGCAAAGGCCCCGGCAGATAGTGAAGGAAATAGAGTCACCATGATATAGTGTCTGTTCAGATAGAAAAGAACGCACGAGTTGTCATTCTCCCAAGAAGGGGGTATCTAAGCCTCTGTATGTCTGTCTCCCTTGGCCCGAAGCGAAGTGGGTGGTTTTCTCGGGTATGGGTCATCCAAGAGATACATATGGGGAACCTGAGATCATTCCTAAAATGTGGTCTTTACGAGATACCTTGGTTGCTGTTCCGGCATGCTATCCAATGCTTGGCTGTAAAAGGCCCGGATTTTATTGCGCGCACTCACATCGCAAGGCTTAACCCAATGTGCTCTTTAACCCCTGGATTCGACTTCGACTACTTCCTCTCCACTGTTGGTGCTCACCATCACTGCTTGGATCCCAGGGATACAATCCATGGGATGCTAAGCCTGGCCCCTCCTGAGCTTCAAGAAGCTTTACTTAAGTATGCGTTGACTATAATTCAGATACTCAGCTTGTATACCAGCAGCTTTTTGTCACGTACACTTCCCTGCAGCATAGGAGCGACCTCCTAACATTCACCGGTAGGGCAGTCGCAGCAACGGAAGCCACTTCTCAACCTTGGCCTGGGTTCCTGACTGGCGTACGGGAATTCCTGCATTGCACGGCCTTTTGTTCGCAGTTGGGTCAGCTCCATTCCGGCTCAGAAATGGCTTTCGGAGCTAAACCTCACAACTCCCTGCGCATCAAAGGTGTTCTCCTCGATGAGACCATTTCCACCCTTTTGATTGAAGATATTGGACACCTGGCCGAGGTATTTGAGAAGTTCGCAACCATAGCGGGAAAGAACACACCAAAAAAGACAATGGCTGAAAGCGAGAAATCCCAAATCGAGACAGCGCACAAATACATTGACGCGATGCATCAAGGTCTCACGGCTGACCGCCTCGTTGACCCACCGTTGTGGGTGCAATCTCGAGAGCAGCTCCGAAAGGACGTCTTCCAAAATCAAGACTTCTCGTCAGGGTCTGATGAAAGTCCACCTTCGTGGTGGCTCGCTTATAAGAGCTTTATAGACGTTTGGTGGCTAGGAACGAAGCTGTTTCTGACGAACCAAGGCCACCCGGGTGTTTGTAAATGGGAGGTTCAATCGGGTATGCTTGTCATCGCAAACGCTTCCCCGACTGTGCTACGCACCCCAAACTGACTAAAACGTATCAGGCGAGGCTATTTTCGTACCTCTTGGGTGTCTTTCTCCCATAGCTGTTCGTCCAACAGTCCCCGGGGGAAATACGTTCCAAGTAGTTGGCCCCGTTTTCCTTGATGGCGTAATGGACGGAGAGGCCTTTCTTGGCAAACTTCCAGATCGCTGGAGTGTCCAGTATGACATTTCGGCTGGATCTGTTCGTGACAAAGTCCTCTACAAGAATCTGGAGACAGGTACTATCGGCAATGCAGACCCCCGTTTGGACAAGGTGCCACTTCCGCAAGAATGGGAGCCACTGACTTGGACCCGAGGAAGCATCGACCCGAGAATCTGTTGCCGGTTCAGGAACAAGCTTACTGGAGAGTTGACCAATTACGATCCGAGGATGACGAGCGAGGCTCTCAAAGAGCGGGGCGTAAACATCAAGGAGATTATCCTGGTCTGAGGATACTGCCGAGGTAAGAAGTTGTGACTTATTTGTTCTTTTCTGTGATTTCTTGGATGTTCTCGCGTCAAAGTCTTTCTTACATAAGTATGGATTTCAGCAGCTCCTGAATCTGCTATGTGGACTCTAATCGACAGAATTTACATAGTCAAATGCCAAAGGTGTCGATGGCGGAGGGCGTCTTGATAGCTGAGGTCAGGTTGTCAAGCAGGTCGCCGAGACGAAGTCTTCCTCAGAAGATTTGCATATTAGCTTGCTATGGATACAAGCCATAGCCTGCGAGTTGATAGATGATTTCGTGGGAGTTGGTCAAAAGAGTGATGTAAGTTTCAGGTGTTGGAATCTTGGTGAACAATCGTACGCTTTCTCTCATCTAGCGAGCCACACTCGATCTGCATGCAAGCCCACCACGTCTTGTGTGAATTGTCCGTAACTTTAACGAGTCAAGCAACCTATTCTTAGTGTTGTCAATTCTGAGACAGATTGAACCCACCCACCCTTTCGGTAGAACCGGCACGACGAATTCCACCCTCCTCGGGCGGACGAAAACGATGGTTATGCTGAAAAAGGAAAAGCGGCTCCACCTTAAAAACTTAACATCTTAGTTAAATTAAATTTACTCTCTTAGGCTGATAATTAAATTAAGAAAGGGCCGGCCAAGGCAAAGGGTTAAGCGTAGCGAGTGGGCGGTAGGCCTTGCTTAAGCATTAATTAAGGCCTAACTTAGTACTCTTTATGTTCCTTAAAATAAGCAGATGCGTTTTCTAAAGTCATCTTGGAGTTAAAGGAATGCCAAGATCTAAAGGTGGGTTCGCTAACCATCTATGGCATAACCATCGTTTTCGTCTGCCCGGGGAGGGTGGAATTCGTCATGTCGCGGTAGAACAACCAAGTTCACATGCAGCAGGCAGGGAAAGGACCCGCCTCGATACAAGTTGGAAGTCACAAGAACAGATGCCTAGATTAATAGCGTACCAAATCAAATTGATCAAAAGGCACTCAGCCTGGCCGAACGGGTTCGAAATAACTCCGAGAGCAGTCTGCCCAGGCCAAGCGTTGTAGCAACGACGATCTATATATACATGACACGGACTGAATCATGCCCATCCCCAGTCGCGCGTGCTGCTCAGAAGCTAGCTCACATGGGACAACATATCCACTGATATTTATACAAGCGTGATGCCCTCGATTTACACTGCGACAGATTATCGATCTCGCTCAATTTTTACTGACAAATTAAATCACCAAAACGAAAATGCATTTTACCACCTTCTTCACTTTCCTTGCCGTGGGATACGGCGCCATGGCGTAAGTCTTTCGCAGACCATCACCTCCGTGACCTACAACACAAAAGACAAAACAACATACTTACATGAGGAACCAACACGAACAGGCAAGACCCAAAGCAACCGTCCGAGACAGGAACAGTTATGTCCACGCCACCCAAGGAGCCCGGCACGAGCTTCTTGTGCCAAACGTCGGAGTTCAAAACCCTCGACAACTCAGAGGGGATCTGCGGGGCGGCCGGCGGGAAATTCAACCTTTTCTCAGGAGTGAGTCCAGGCTAGGCCCAAAATATACTCGGGTACATGGGAAAGTGGCTGAACTGACCTCTCGTGCGTGTACAGTGCTGCATAGATACCGCCGCCTCAGGCACCGAGTCGTCCTACACGCAGGGCTGCAGCGACAACGGGGGCACCGTCAAGAAGCTAGACTCAGGCTCGTGTGACCTGGCGGCATGAGAGACCTACGCGGGAGGAGAGATTTGGCTGGAGACTGGGCATAGCGGTGCTTTACAGATCTTTCTTACTCCTCAATTGTCGTTATATGCAATACTCAAGCCAGAGACAGCAATTATATATTACAAAGTTGCACGCCAGCGCTGGCAGGAGACATTGTGGTTGTTTGGATCCATGGCCGGAATGGAAGGATAAGCGACTTGCTTTCCGAAGTGAACCCCAGCTCGATAGAGATTTGCTAGTCGACCAGAATTAAGTGGAATGGCCACAGGTCTTATTTCCGAGATAACATTGAAGGCAGCTTCTCTACAGAGCGCCCGCGCCCGCGGCCTGACAATATTATATTCATCATCTTACATGTGTCTCAGTTTAACGCACATACGCACATACCCACATACTCCCATGTGCCATGAACTTCCCGCTGCTCCCGCTGATCGACCCTCTAAGAGAAGGAGACGAGGAGATGGGCCTCACCATGATCGGACTCCAGCAAACCTCGCTGCCAACGTGGGACTTCGCCATATATCGCACAGCCTACGGCGACAACGCAGCCTAGGCACGCTACCTCGACAAGCATGAAATGAAGAGCAAGGCCGAGAGCGAGCTGTAGACCGTGAGCCGCAATTATATGCCCGGCCCACGGCTCGTCTGGGCGGCGGAGGAGAACGAGAAGCCGTTGGGGTGGGGGGGGGGGGGGGGACCAGAGCGCAGGTCCACCAGCGATTTGCTTCATGGGGTGCCGCACGATCTCTCGAGTGCGATGGACCCGGGGCGGACCATGAACAGACTTTCTGGGCTGATAGCACTGTACCAGCCCAGGCCGGGCGGCCACAACGACAGGACAGCAGGATAAGGAACCAAGACACGGTCCAGGTGAGGCATGAGTTGCAGAAGAATGAGAAGAACAGCATAGACAAGGTCACTCAAGCTGAGGGACGATCACGTGCCTCCAGTTTGCCAGTCAATCCACCCCCAGCCCCTTTAATAGAGCAAGTGCCCATATAACTGTAGGCCGGCAGCAAAAAAAAGAGCCCGCCCGGGGTCTTCGGAGCGACCCGTCATCCCGCCCGCTCCGCCCGCCGATCCGGGGAGGCGATGGATGGGGATGTTTGGGGTTGTGTTGTCTGTTGTGTGTGTGTGTGTGCGCCACCGACCCCACGCCTCCTCCACACCCAAGTTTTGAGTATCATCAGGGACCTGTCATCATTACATCGGGGGGGGGGGACAATCGGTGGTGGTGCTTGTTCCTGTCCAGTCTTGGTCGCGTGTCCAGCTTGCTTGCTGTCTGTACTTTAGTACTTAGTCATTCTTCTGTTCTCCCACTCTGCCCCGCACCTTTCTTCCTACTGCCGTTTCCCTCTTCTTGCTTCCCTACAACTGCTACTATTGCGACTTTGTGACTCGAAGTCTCACGAATTAGCCCAGCCATGTCTGTTCCCTCCACCTACGACGAAGAGACAGGGTTGGTCGGAAGGTGAGATAGATGGCTTCGTCCTTCAGCCAGGAGGCTCGCACTCGCCTCCGGTGCCATCTCGGACTCCACCGCCACTACCACTCCGATGCTGGAAACCCCGGCAAGGAAGAGGACACCCCGCAAAAGCGGGAGGGCAAGGTCTGCTGATGAAGAATGCTTGATAATTCTCTATTCAGGCTCTCCTGGCCTGGTTTTGTCTCTGTCTGTCTGTTTGGCTGTTTGTTTTGTTTTTTCTTTTTTCAATGCTTTGGATACATCAATCCTGTCTAAAACTCTTTTTCTTCTAACAGCACCGCGGGTCCATCCCCATACCGATCCAACTCTCTTTTCGTGTTCTCATTTCTTCTAAGTCTCCGAATATACTCAATTCTGCAGAGTCATATTCTCCCTCCTGATGATCCTACATCGAGTGTGTCGGCCATCTTTCGTATGTGAAGGGTAAAAGAGGGGACAGAGAGGAACTGTATCAGCAGCGGGGAAACAAAATCGCCACCATCTTCGCCCCCTCAGCAAGGAACCGACCGCGTCGTCGTATCGAAGCGAAAAGATCAAGCAGAACTCAGAACTCCATTCAAGACGACTCCTCGAGCCGCCGAGGGCAGGGGTTTTGTGTCCACCCTAGCCACCATCACGGCCTGACAATTCTGTCCTTTAGTTGGCCGGGGCCAGCTTCGCGGGCTTCTCGCCCAGGCCATTCCTGTTGCGGAAGAACATGACGTGCTTGCCGGGGCCCTCGGCCTCTGCGCAGGGCTCGACCCACTGGCACATGCGGGCGGACTTGTACATGGCCTTGATGAAGCCGATGGGGCCGTCGGCGACGTCGGCGCGGTAGTGGCGGCCCATGACGGGCTTGATGGCCTCGGTGGCCTCGTCGGCGTTGTAGAAGGGGATTGTGCTGACGTAGTGGTGCAGGACGTGCGTCTCGATGATGCCGTGCAACAGGTGGCGGCCGATGAATCCGAACTCGCGGTCGATGGTCGCGGCGGCGCCCTTGACAAAGGTCCACTCCTCGCCGGTGTAATGGGGCAGGGACGGGTCGGTGTGCTGCAGGAAGGTGATGGCCACTGGAAGAACAACAAGGGTTAGCTATCGATCACGAACGAGCGAACGAACGAGCGAACGAACGAGCGAACGAACGAGCCAAACATCTCGACGACGCCTCGGAACAGAGGGACAGAGGAGCGAAGGGGAGAGCACTCACCGAGCCAGTGGTTAACCCAGAGGTATGGGATGAAGTACCAAACGAGCATGTTGGTCCAGCCGAACTTCTGGACGAGGAAGTACAGGGCAAGAGCAGTCAGGCCGACACCGATATCGCTAAGGACGACGAGGTGGGCGTCCTTGTTCTCGTACAAAGGGGTACGGGGGTCGAAGTGGTTAACGCCGCCGCCGAAGCCGTTGTGCTTGCCCTTGCCGCGGCCCTCGCGCTGGCGCTCGTGGTAGTTGTGGCCGGTGACGTTGGTCATGAGGTAGTTGGGCCAGCCGATGAGCTGCTGGCCGAGAAGCATGAGCAGGGTGTAGATGGGGGTCTCCTCGGTCAGCTCGGACAGCTCGTGGACCATCTTGCCGAGGCGGGTGGCCTGCTGCTCGCGGGTGCGGGGCACAAAGACCATGTCGCGCTCGAGGTGGCCGGTGGCCTTGTGGTGCTTGCTGTGGGACATCTGCCACGAGAAGTAGGGCACGAGCAGGGCCGAGTGCAGGACCCAGCCGACGACGTTGTTGTACAGCTTGGAGGGCGAGAAGGCCTGGTGGCCGCACTCGTGGGCCAGAACCCAGAGGCCGGTGGCGAAGAGGCCCTGCATGGCGGTGTACAGGCCCCAGAGCGCGAAGCGGAGCGGGTACGAGGGGATGTACTCTGGCGTTACAAAGTTGTGGAAGAGGTAGAATGTGGTGGCGAGGCAAGCCATGTCGCGGAGGACATAGCCCATGCCCTTGACACCATCACGCTCAAAGCAGTGCTTGGGGATGGCGTCGCGGAGTTCCTTGATGGTGAAATCTGGGACCTCAAATGGGTTGCCGTACGAGTCGATCAGCTTGCCGTACGACACCTTCTCCTTGGTGGCATCGAGCGAGGACATGGACGAGAGGGAGGTGGACGAGGCCGACGGGCGTGGCGAGTCGGAGGGAGAGGCGACAGTGGTGGATGGGGCCGAGTCCGAGTCGCAGGTGGTAGAGGTGACCGTCCTCCGCAGGGCCGGGTTGCCCTTGGAGGGCACAGCTGTGGAAGCCATTGTGCGAGGTGGTATATTATTGACGAACAGTACCTCAGTGGCAGTGGTGCTGCTGTTGGTGTTGGCGTGGGCTTTGGTATTATTGTTATTATCCAGACGTGGCCGGCCCGAGGATCAAAACCCAGAACTGGAATGAGGCAGGAATGCTCCGTGCCGAGTTACTGGATGTGCGAGGATAGATGTGCTGGCACCCTAGTCTTGTGTGTGAGTGACCGTTGGTGTCTCGGAGGAAGAAAGACTTCTAATAGTAGGAGGGAAGACAGAAAGAAGCAAGGTGCGGGTGGGTGTCCTGTGTTCGTTCCTAGGACGCTCAAGACAAAGCCTGGGCTGGTGTGGTGTTTTAGGGGAAAGGGAGGGCCAATCGAAGGAGGAGGAAAGCAAATTGGTGTCAACGACGGCTCCGGGAGAGAGGAAATAAATCAGAAGGAGGGAAAGGCTGAAGGGCTGGACCGAGGATGTTTTGTGTGTGGCAGCAGTGAGCAGGTACGAGGAGGAAAAAGAACTTCGTCCAACTTGTTGTGCGTGTGTGGTGCACCGTCTGGCAGTCTGTCCTCTTTGGCGTGTAGTAGCGCGGGTGCAAGGTACATGCGAGTAAAAGGTACTACCAGATACTAGATAGATGTGTAGAGGAGGGTGGTATACTTTTAGTTTCAGGTACGCCCAGGCCCTCACCAAGGGTCCCTCCCACTCTGGTCGCCCTTTTCTGTCTGGCTGTCAGTGTGTCCCACTGAGCCCCCGCGTGCATGTGTTGTGCTGGCTGTGCTCCGAGGCTTCTTTTTTTTGCTCATGGCACGGCAAATCCATCGATGCCCCCCCCAGGTCTGAGTGCAAATCTGCAGCAATTGGGGGGTCGATTATCCCGGGCCAGGGATTTCTGTTGGGGATCGCCCCGGCCGGATGGCAAAATGCATGTGGGGGCCCTCGAGTTTCAATTCCCGGCCTGGCTGGTCTGGCCTATGTTTTTCCTCAGCCTTGGGAGGGGCATCAAGGCACTGAAGGGGACTCAAGGGACTGCAATCCAGCGGCACAGACCGCCAGATGGAAGGTGCGCCCCGGTGCGATTACGGTACGGGCACACCGTCTGGACCAGTCTACAGCAAACGGCCAGCCAGACGGACGGATGAATGGTCAAGCTCACGGATCTCGCACCGACAAACCAACAAGCCGCAAAACCAACCACATCGCCAGAGGTCGAGATGCTGATGCTGACGCTGAGGTCAGCAGCAGAGCACAGTCATGAACATGTGCATGTGAAGGTGCATATTTTCGTTGCATCTGCACATGGGAGCTGAAGCAGGGCCCGAACACGGTCCGGACCTGAGCTGGATGGAGCTGGAGCTGACATATGCCGTGCTTGGTTGTCAGGTCGTCCCTGCCAGTCCCTGCCCGTCCCTTTCCAGTCTGCCCGAGGCTGCACACAGTCAGTATGCTGCTGCTGCTGCACAGCCGGCTGCATAATGGCCTGTCAAAGTCGTCTACCCAATACTGATTGTCACGGGCTTGAGCGAGCCTGTTCATTTGCCCACAATCCGACAACCGGCTCCGTCTCAGGGTCCGTCGCCTCGCCTATTCTCGCCACCGCAAATCGAAATTCGCACCTGCCCTGTGCCTGCCTGCCAGAATGCCGAAACGAGCATCGCCCCTGGGGGGGCATTTGCGCATCCACTCCCGGCAAAGCTCAGTTCCAAATTGTCAATGGGGACGGACCCCCTGGGCGATTCGAATCAGGCAGGGAAAGAACCAAAGCTTCTAGCGTCTCTCCTATTCTGGATTCTGCACATTGGCCAGACACCAGACAGACCGAGCTGGTGCATAAGGAAGGGACCTCCGTCCGGTCTCTGTAGTGTGTTGCCACCGAGCGCCCACGAAAATTGGTGTCTCGGCAGACGTTGGTCCTGACCCTCCTGACGCCCTCACCGCCACCGTTACAAGCCCTCACAGTCTCAGCCTCGCAAAAGACAGCACCTTCAGCTACGATATCACATGCAAGCCCCGTCAGATCAAGCTAGGTGGTCTGGGATCAACACAGCTGATTGGGACACGACTCATCACTGGCCAGCAGCCGGATCGTCCCGACCTCGCGGGAGAGGTGGTTCATTGTCGCTGGTTTCGCTTCCGATCACGACCCTCGTCATCGTGATGACGGCTGCATTCCCTAGTCTTTAACTGGCAACATTTGCCTGCTGTGTCCCGCGGTTGACGAGCGCGAAAGCGTTGTGCCTAGCTTCTTCAGGGCCACCGGCGTCAATGGGTGATGATGCTGTTCTGTGTCAGGTCAGGTCAGGCCCGGTTAGCTTGCATTGATCGGCTCTCTCACATGCCAACATCCTCCCTCCAACTTTTTTTTTTCTTTTGCTTCTGCTGCAGCCCATCTTATCTTATCCGTCCGTCGAAGGAACCAGGGGTCCTCCAGCCGACCTTCTTGGGAAATGTGGGGCATTAAATCTATTTTCACACCCTCCCGCGTCCCTCAAAGTCGGTTCCTTTCAGCATCCTTCAACGCCCATCAAAAACACATCACCGCCTCGTCTGTTGCGATTTCTCCCATGGTATCGACAGATCATGATGCCATGTCGAACGGCGACCATCACCTATAGGGAAATCCGTCAGGTGACGGATGGCAGTGGCCCGGTGTTGGCAGAGCGCTGTGCGGTTGTCACGACGTTTTTTTCCCTTCCTGTTCCCCAGCTGCTGCAGGGTCCAGACACAGATCTGCGTGCGCTGTGGGATTTGTTGGGAACCCGGATTTGTTGAGCCTCCCCCTTCCAAGGTTCTCCTGCTGGCATCCTGCCAGGGCTGCTTATTACTTGGCAACAGCGGTTCCATTTCAAGCCACTGGCCACCTCTCAAGGCCCAGGAGGCCCCAAAAAAAGGCCAAGGCATACCCATGCTCGCCATGCTCGCCATGCCCACGAAAGCTCGCGGGGGTGGGGTTCTTTTATTCCTGAACTGGACTGCCCTGGGCCTAGCGATGCAACCTGCGGAAACATTGAACCAACGGCCCTCCTCCGAGTTTTGTCCACTTCTCCGCCACCACCTCGGCCATCCTACGGAATTCGTGAAGCGTCAACCGCACCAGTGGTGGGACAGCAACACCTCACCCAATTGCTAGGCCAGCGTTGTCATCCATACCCTCTGCCCCTCTGCCGCGCGCTTTGATCACGGGAGGGTCATGAGCTCAAGGCCTACAGCCTTTGACGTCTCCATTCCGATGGCTTGCATTGCGATTCCGTGCCATGGTCAACCAGCCAGCCTGCCCAGCTCAAGCAGCATGACTACCAGGGCTTGCTGAGCCCATGACCGACCTCGATGCATATGAAAACTGGTCAAATCAAATCCTACAGGATTGCCTGCAGAGTTGCACTGGTTCGGGGATTTTCGCGCCTACAACGACCAAGCTCGGCTCTCAATTAAGCCTTTTCTTCACACTTCGGTTTCGGCGGAAAGTGTCATTGGCAATGGCCTCCTATTGTTTTCGATTCCCACGCCGTCGTGTTGCCAGTGCACACTGACTACCGTCATAGACCACATCGTGCGCTGCAGGTCACCACACTGATGGTGGCCTTGGGTCTATCTTCAAGGCACTCTCAGGAAAGCTTCTGATGGTCTGATACTTCGATTCCAAGGCGCAGAACACATAATGATAATGAGCTAGATGTCGAAGGACACCACATTCTCACTTGTCGATCGGGGGCGAGCCAGGCCGCTGAATTGGGTTTGTGCCATCGCGATAATTGGCTTTGCTTCACCATCGCTGGGCCGCCAACACAAACCAGCTCCGAAGGCCGACCCGTATGATGGAACGGGAAAGAAGCCGCACCTTCGTCAATGGCCTCAGGTCCCAGTGGGCCCAAGTATGATCACCCACAATGGCCCAACGCCGAGGATATCGATGCTGATGGGCCGAGCAAGGTTCCTTGGGTTTCAAGGTGACCAAGGCCACTGGCGGAGTGACACAAAGTTACCGTCTTTTGTCGAAGCCGTCATGGAGGGCCTTTGTTGGGTGGCACGAGACTCAGGCTTGCATTGGCTGGCTCCAAGTGACTCGCTGCGAGTCTCCCTGGAAATGAAGTCCCAGCGGTTGGGACTACATCTTAATGTTGACAACAGATGCATCATCTCCATTTCTTGTCCGGCGAATCTCACGCTACCTCTATCAGGCACCTTCATGAATAGTGGCTGCACTTTCCAAGTCCCTGTTTCGAACGGCTCCTTCTCTTGCGGCAAACCTGCGAAACCTTCGTACCAGAAGGTGACTTTATCACGTGGAGGCCTTGCGTTGAGTCGCCACCGAAGATCCGAGGCCCCCCTCTTGCAACAGCACATCGATCCGCTCGAAGTCCGGAGTTGACCGAGCCAGAGCTATTGGCACCAACGCAAAACATCGATGGCAGCCCACAACTTTAATCTTTGACACTGTCAGCAAACAAATTGACGGTGGGCACAATGCCCCCAAAGGAACAATACGTCCGGTGCGGGAGCAGGGCTTCTGCTAGACCTCGATGGCTTGCCCACCGTGTGTGCAGCCTGGGAGGCACCACAGAGTTTCTCAGCGTCGTCCATTAACGAAAGCGCTAACAGGACAACCCTTCTACTCTTTGAGATTTCCGAGCCCCTTCAGCTGGAACACTCGACCCTGATACCTGTTCGGCTGGAACCAGATCTGGGATGATTCCGTAGAAGAGGATGGGTGTGAGCATGGGAGGCAGCACCAGAAACCCATTAGCACGTGGATTGCGACCTACCTTCTTCAACCACAACCCGGGGCAGTCGAACGACTGGCAATGAAGCAACCCAGCCAAACCCAGAGGAGCCTATCTTCCCACCCTCGTCGTCATCGAACACAAGTCAGCCAGCCACACGGCAAGGTAGCGCCGTGCTACCGTTGTCACGACCGTCACCGTGCCTTTGTACCGAGTCACTTCTCTATTAGCCGCCGGCGGCGCCATCATGCATGCGCTTCTTTGGCCCGGATTGGCCCTGTCAGCATCTCCGTGCCCAGCTTCGTACGGTGGCCGCGACTCGGCTTCGAGGTTGTGGGGGATGAGGGATCAGGCGATCGGGACATGAGCGGGCGAGGAGTCGTCGTCGTGGGATCGAAGAGCTTGTGTCGCGTTACGAACTTGGCTGGATGTGATGCTGGTGCTCCATCGGAGTACCGAGGCCGCTCCCGTCAGACATGAATGGATGCCAGGTGCGCTTTTGGTCTGGGGCAACGGGCTGGTCTCGTGTCGCCGTTGCTGCCGCTGCCGCAGGGCGTTCTGTGCGATCTGGCCGGGACGAGGGCTCTCCCTTTCGGGGCAGCGGTGCGAAGTACTGCCCACATGGCAAACAGCCCCTCTGCCGGGTTCGGCCGTGGCTCCTGGGACCCGTATCTCGTTAGGCTTGGCTATTGAAAAGCAGACTTGAGTAAATAAATTCCTAGCGGATCTGCTGGGCTCTCCCCAGGACATCGCCAAGCAGAGGCAGTGACCAAACGCCCACTATGCTAGCAACCATTACGCGGGTGAGGCCATGTCCCGCAGTCAAAGTCCTCGAATGCGTCATTGCAGCCAGCCAGAGCGTCCCTTGAGCAACTGGCGTCACTCGTACTCATCACCAGCAGCCCTAAAGACTGCTACTCGGAGTTGACCCAACACCTTGAGCGAGGTGAGTCGTGTTGGCAGTAGGGGCATGCGGCGCCCGAGCCCATCTCATGTAACAGACGTGTCAACATCGCTTGGAAACACTCGCTTCATCCATCTCAAGAAGGGCGAGTACAATCATAAAGGATGAAATCCAGCGGTCCAGGGCCTGGCCTCGTCTCCGCCCTGCTCTGTCTGGCAACACTCGATCACATCCATGACCTCGTCCGTCCTCCGAGGGATAAATGCCGGAAGGACGTTTACCCAACACTTCAAACTCAAGTCACTCAAGCACACATAGAAAATAGTACGGAGAGCATCTTTATCCAACAGAATATATTTCCAGACCATTCGCCGGTGGCCCCTATCCAGGACCACCGGCCCAGAGACATAAATACAACCCGGATGTACTCCCTTCCTCTCCTCCTCCGTCCCAACCCGGATCCTGTCTTCTGGGTTTAGACCTTTTCTCCTGCCCTTTCCTTCTCTATGTACCGTTCTTCCACACCAGTATATCGGGCGGCATATACAGCCTCATCTCTCACCCAGCCACTTACTCCATCCCGCTAGGTGGAGTTTCATGTACGTGTGCGTGTACGTTCTCGGTTGGTTTCGAGCCCGTACATGATATGTACGTATCCGTGTTATATCTGTCTGCTGCTCTCTTTCTGCTTCTCTCTGCCCCTTCCCTGATAGGTAAAAATGACCAAGGGCTGCACATCTGCTTGCTTGCTTGCTTCATCCTAGCGTCGTCCCCATATCCGCTCAGCACTTGAGTGGAGGAGACGACTTCGGGGTTCAAAAACAACAAAAAGAAAGTCCAAAAAAGGCCACACAAAGGCGCCGTATGCTGTATGGGAAGAAAAGAAAAGATGCACGTCATGCAGTACGCGAGCCCACAAATGTCCGCAGATGCTCTACCTCGTTCTGGAAGAATCGCTTCGAAATATCCCCAAGCCACCACCGAGCCAAGTGCTCTCTTTCTCACACTCTCTCCGCCTCCATTCCGCCCTCTGGGCGAGGATTAGGATATTAAAAAATAGGGTGTTGGGAGAAGGTATGAAGATTGTGTATAAAAAGGTGTCGAGACCGTGTCGAGTCGTTCCTCATCATTACGGTTATGCAACGGGGGGAAACACAAAAGGAGATGGTTGGTGCGGCGGTCGTGAGACCAGGCTTTGTAGTTTGGTTTCGGCTTCGTGGGTCGTCGGGTAAATGCATTCAGCACCAGGCTGTCGAGTTGTGGTTGTCTCCCTTTTAAGAGTTGTGCTTGCCGGCTTCGCGGACGGACTTCATCCACCGGTCCTCGTCCCCTGGCTTGCCGACCAGCTTCTGCTTCTTGCCACAGATGGCCGTCTTGACCTCATCCATATTCTTGGTGCTGAGCAGGGCCATCTCATGCTCCAGCAGGACTGCGACACCCGCCCTGACGAGAACGGAATCACCCTCGAAAACATAGACGTCCCACAGCCGAGCTGCCTCGTCTAATGCTACGTGCCCAGTGAAGAGCGAAGTGAAAATGTCTCCCAAATAAGTATCGGCATCGTGGTCAGGTAGGGCGGTCAGATGAGCGTTGAGTTTCGGGGATTTCGTTGCGAGAGTTTGGAGCAGGAGGTTATAGGCGGACGACTTGGCGCCTTGGTCGTCCGAGTAAAAGCTAAGCGGGAGGGAGCGGTTGAGGATGTTGGCTAGGGCAATGAATGCTTCGGTGGGGTTGGGTAGGTTGAGGAGGAGGAGCGCCGCGATGGTCTGGAACAGATGTTAACGATCGGGGATTTTATCTTCGTGTAACCAATGACTTGGAAAAAAAGGAATACTCACGTTGCAACCAGTGACGTAACCGATATCACTGCGGTACATCGCATAGGCGCTCAGCACGTCGAGCAGACTCTGATGCAGGGGTCCACCAGCTTGGAAGATCTTGAGGTCCCGCCAAGTCTGCGCCTCCACATCCTTGCGGATGGTACGCATCCAGCCCACCACCTTGTGATCCTCGGGGCTGCCATGGCCGGCCTTCTCACGGGCCTCGGCCTCCTGGGCCCTGGCCAGGGCGGCCTCGAACGACTTCTCCGTAAGACCCAGATCATTCCCGATTGCCTTGGTCCAGACGACGCCGCGACTCCTAGAGGCGACGCCCCTCCACCAGAGCTCACGGGTACGGCGCTCGCGGATCGAATCGTTCCAGCGGGGGACGATCTCGTGCTCCCAAATTTGCATGATGCTGTCGGCTGCGGTGTCCTTGTTCTTGGACATGGCCTTCTTCTGCTCCTCCCTGCGTCGCTCGTTCTCGGCGCTCCTTTGCATCATCTTTTGGTATTCCTTCAGATGACGGCGTTCCTCGGCAGGATCCTTAGGTGGCAGCCATGAGGGACGTGTGCGAGAAAGAACTGCCTCCTTCTCTTTCGAGATGGGAAGAGGATCAATCATAATGTTGCTGCGGCGCAGGGGTGGCAGCTCTGCGAGGGCAGACTTGTGCTTTGGGCGTGAGACCTCGGTGGTACTCGCCCGACGGGCCTTAGGTATCGACCCGGTGCTGGACCTCTGCGACTTGACCTCGAGTTCCTCGGCATGCTCTTCCAGCTTCTCGGTGAGCTCCTGGGCTTCCTTGTTAAGGGCAGCCAGGGTCACGTTCCAGCTGCTGGCGCGTGTCAGGTGCGGACTTGGCATGCCTTCGGACAGAGGAGACTTGAGCGAGGACAATGCCGTGTCGGATTTCCAGGAGGGCGACCGCAGTGCACCGATGGAGCCGCTTTCGCCGCCAGTTGCGGGGGTACCATTGCCGACGCTCCTAACTCTGGGCTTCGGTGAACGCTCTGGGGAGTTCGACTTGGAAGCCGGCCGGCTCATTGTGCGCTCGGAGTGGGGCCGAGGTGACAGAGGAACGTTGTCCAGCACAAACCCTTCGGGAATGTCATCACCGTCGTCCTCGTCGCATTCCCGCTCCAGCTCGGCTTCGGTCTTGCGCTCGCGTGTCGACTGCCAGCTGCCTCTCCGTGGCCTGAGTGTCATGTTCGAGGGACTGGGCTTGATCGAAAGGCTCGGTCGGAGTTGACGCATGTTGGGACTAGGGGTGCGGCTGCCCTTGGAGGCGGGGACTGAAGGTCGGCTGTTTGGGCGGCCATTGTTGCTTCGGGGCTGCGAGGTGATGTAGGATTCGGAAAGAAGCTGGCTTGTGTTGGTGCTGCGCACGTTCGATCTCAAGTTGTGAGGCTGCAACGCCGGGGCACTGGGCCGCCTCTTCTTTGTTGTGATCTCGCGCTGTGAGACTTGAGGGCTTCGCGGCTTGGACAAAGAACGCTGCTGCTGCTGTGGTTTGGAGAGGCTAGTCATGGATTTTGCGCGCAAGTCGGAAGCGTAGGAGGCGTCGTAGGGGCTGGGGTCGCGCTTGGGCTGTTGCATGTCTCGGTCGTAGTGAGGTGCATCGTCATCGAGACCGATGTCCTCGAAGTTGCTCACATCGGTGAGGACGCTCTCGCGGTCGGAAAAGGAAGAGTGAAAGGAGGACGATTTGGAGGATTTCGAGGTAGTCAGGCCGGGAGGTGAGCCGGAGCCGGGCAGAGCGGCGGGCTCTTCAACAACGGGTCGCTCGTATATCATCATCTTGTCATTATTTGCCGGAAAAAGAATAGCTTGGACTCTGGTCTTGAAAGGACGGGTGGTGGTCCTATTCGAGGCGGAGGAATTGAGGACAGGGGGCCCTTTGAACCGGATGTTCTCTTAGGGTGCTGAACGAGTCAAGCCGGCGGTGACCGTGACTTCCCCAGGATAAATCTGCACCGTCCGTCAGGAGCAAGAGAGACAAGTGGTCGCGTGCGTAGGTCGTCGAGTGTTGTCTGCCCCGTGTTTTTGTGTGTCGGGGGTCTGGAGAACGGCGTTGGTCGTACCCTCTTCGATGTACCCGTTCGCAGGAGGGGGGACTGACGTGGTGGAGGCCTTCCTAGATCGGGTGACTGATTGGCGGGTTCACCGACTGGAATTGAATCGTCGACGGGCAATTGGAGCAGGGGGCTGGTAGCCGGTAAGGTTCGAAGATGGGACGACAGACGCAAGAGGCGCAGGATGATGCGGCTGGACTTGAGACCCCTAGCTCGTGGCACGGAGGGGTGCGGGTGTTTGGGGAAGTCTGAGTGTCTCACGATCCCCGGCGATCTGATCTGTGCAGGGTTCGGTCGCAAGCCAAGAGTCGACTGGACTGACGTTGGTGTGCGCGTGCAAGCGGACGAGCGATTGATAGATGGGCACCAAAGAAGAGCCGGCGACTGGATGGGACGGGATAATGTGCGTCCGTCGTATCGTAGCAAGAATGAAGAAGAGACTGGACAAGCGAGTGTGGGTTGTAAAGTGTGGTGACTGGTCGTCTAAAGCGATTGTATAGTGGATTGAAAAGGCGGAATAGAATTAGTCTTAGATTTACGCTGGTGGTGATGTTTTTTGCGGAGGTGAACAACAACTGCAACGACTATTACTCTGTGTATTCCGAGCTATCCGTAGGAGAGGCGAAGAAGGGGATGGTTGGGGGAGGGTCCAGGAGCGGACAAGAGTGGAAACGAATGACAAGAGGTTGGCGAAGAGGATGAGGAGGGGGAGTAGAAGGTGAGGAGGGAAGAGGCAAGGCGAAGTGAGGTGAGGTGAGGTTGACGAGGAGCAGGTCCAGAGCAGCTCGACTCCAAGGAGAGAGAGAAATGGGAAATGTCATAAGCAGGTAATCAATCAATCAATCAATCAATCGGTCAATCAATGGGTCTGGCAGCCAGTCAGTCAATCAACGTTGGTAGCAGCGGCACAGCACAAGCACAACGCAGCACAGCATGGCATGGGCATGGTACGTAGCACACACTAGCTCTCCTCCGTCTCCTCTCCTTCCTTCCTTCCCCCTCCTCTCTCTTTCTCCTCTGTGTGCCTCTTCCCCCACTGTCTTCAGCAGCAACAACCAAGATAAGACCCGCTCGTCAGGATCAGGACGGGGGAGATGCACCGTCCCTGCTCCTGCTCGGGGACCCAGAACCTGGGACCTGAACCAAAACCAGGCACAGGGAGGCATGGAGCCAGGGAACCACCCAGGAACCACTGATGAGGGCCACCGCCGACCCACGCAGCCAAACAGACGCCCGTCCAGCCCGTCGCCCTTCCAGGCGGGCAAACTGGCAAGGCCGTCGAAATTACGGTGTGGTGTTGTGCAGTAGCGTGCACGGGCCAGGCACAGCGCTTGTCGGGGATATCCAAGGCATTTTCTGCAGCATCCGCAATCCGTCCTGCAATCCTGCATCGCCGATTCGATCCGCTTATGTTTTTTGCCTGCTCGCTGATGACATTTGGGTGCTGAGTACTAGTACGCTACCCAGGTAGTTTGATTTGACTTATCTCCAACATGCATGCGGGCATCCAGTCAGGCATCACCCCAAAGAAAGTTCAGACGGTGATGTCGCGGGTGACGCGGATCAGTGAAGGATGGGACGGCACCGTGATCGATCCCGTTTTGAAGCCCGCCTTCCCGAACACTGACGTTGCTGCAGGAAGGAGCGTTCGTATCTGCTGCACTGCATGCGCGTATCTACTGCACGGAGCAGTCCACCGAAGACCTCAGTACGAGGTCTACAAGGCGAAGGATGCATTGAGAGGCTCCTCTGCACCAACGCACATGTCGAAATTACCACGCGGCCCCCCCTAATAAAAAAGACACCATCACCAACCGTAATCAAGCTTCCCGCCAGATGGATACCGCCCAGCACAAGCGATGTTCCAGAACACCTCTGGCCGCTGCCCTCGATGGGGCCGTCGACGGGCCTAGCTCTCTTCTTATTTCCTCTCCATCCTCAGCCCTCAGCCCCCAACTTCGATTTCTGTGTACCAAGTCAACACATCCCCGCCTGGCCCTGCTGGCTTGTCCGGCTCGCCCGCTCATCTGCAGTTCTCGTCCCATTTCCATCAGTTTTGTCATCAGCCTCTTGACGCCGTCGGCGGGAGTGGCTGCCGACGCCAGGCAACGGTGCCCAGACCTTGCATTGCATTGTGCCTGGATCCTGCACGGATGCTGGCGATGATGGAATTCATGATGAAATTTGGCTTTGACAGTGCTGCGTTGGCAGTCTACGGCAGGGACCAGGACAGGTACCCGCGTCCAGGTCCAGGTCCAGGTCCGCGTTCAGGACTAGGGTCACAACACCAGATGGCTTGCCTCACGAACTTTCCGACTAGCCTGCTTTGAGCTAATAAGCCACCCGACTTCGCGCTGCGGGCACTGGAGGCGTCCCTCGAGGTTGCCCTGGTGAAAGCCACCTCAAACGTCATGGGCAGCCCTCTATCCGTGCTCATCCTAACGTGCGGCACTCACTTTTCTGTACCAACTTTCTCTACTCACAAGCCGTCGAGAAATCTCGCTTCCACACTTCTGGAATCCTGGATCGGAAGACGTCGCGAGTACCGAAAGGACTCCCGAAATTACCGGTGATATCAGGCAGCCCAGGCCAGTCCAGTTTAGTTTGGCGCCGTCCGACTCGCCCTTTCACCTCCTCTCTCCTATCTCTCTGTCTGCCGCCAGCCGCCCAACCGTCACTCTGAAAAGGAGGTCAGCTTATTTCCCCGGCCCCGCCAATCAGCCTGCCCGCTCAAACATCGCCGAAATTACCACCTCTCTCTTTTTTTGTTCACTCCTTCTCTTCTGCGTGCGCCCGCAGTCCGTCAGTCCACCCCAGTCGGCCCAGCCTGCCAGCCTGTCTCTCATTTTCTTCGACAAAGGGTCCCTAGCCTGTCAGCCCGTTGGATTCCACGGTCCGACATCACTCCCGGGCAATCAGGCCCCATCAGCGGTGGGTTCCCCCAGCCCTGCCGTGTGTGCGTGCGCGCGCATGCATACACAGCACGGCTCCTCCAGGCTCCTCCAAGACCCTCCGGGACCCTCTACCGTGGCGCAGCAGAGATCGTGGGTGTCGATCAGCTTCAAACCTGCCGGTCTCCTGCATATCCTGCATATCCTGCACATCGTGATCCTAAGAATATGAAAAGAGGCCTTGACTGATCACTGAGGGACTGCCTCGCTGGAGGAGAGAGCAAATATCCGGCACAAAGACGGCGCAGACCAAAAGGGCTCTCAAGAGTTTCGCAAGCACGTGACAGGGTGTCGTCGCAAAGCCCATGCTCGTCGGTCAACCAGGCCTGTCGTGGAGGTACCCATGCTTTGTTGACATGGCACTCGTACCACCTTTCGGAACAGTAGCAATCGCGGAACCACAACAACGCGCCTGGGAAAAGCTCGACCGGACCCCGTCTGGACCCCTCATCAAGGTTCATGACTTCGTTCCAACTTCGAACGGCCGACCGCGCAGCGAGGCTTGTGTGTTTGCCCGCCCGCAGCCAAGAGAACTTCTTGTGTGTGCCCTTGCCCACCCGCGCCGCAAAACCCAATACCCGCACCTGGACCCTGGCTACTTCGTACCCGCCGTTATCAAACTCAATTGTTACCGTTCATGCGGCACCAGCGCCCTTGCTCAGCCTGCTTTGCCAGTTTTGCCCAGGCACATTCCCTCTCTCCGTGTTGACCTGTCATATCACGCCTGACTAGCCAATTCCTACATAGTAAAACGGCCGAGGAGCTCTGGCATTCTCTAGTCAATCGCCTCCGGAGTTGCTAGTTTCCTGGCCGCTCCCAGCTGGCAGCTGGTTGTTCAAGCTATCTCGACACCCGCTCATGCTGCATCCTACGTCCTCGGCAACCCTGTCAGACTACTACTCTCCGCTTGTGCCCAGAGACGGTGTAGTCCTCCACTTCTCCTCGGCATACACAGGACTATGTACGATCAATCCTGGCGATGGCCTCCCGGCCGGGTAGCAGGATCTTGGTTCCCCACGGGTCCCTCTACCAGCCCAGCCGGGAACCCCCTTGCCGGATGGATATACCTGCGCCTACGTTGTCGACAGATGCCCAGGGCGAGATGTGTTGCATTTCTGGACCCGCTTTGCTACCTGGACAACTGAATATACTGGTAGGGGCCATTCGTGGTTGGTGTTTCGTTGATAAAAACCGGTTCTCCATTGCGCCACGGTCTAAGTAAGGGACCAAAAATGCAATACGAAGTGTAAAAATCCTTGGCCGTGGTCTCGTGGGCACCGGATTCCCTTCTCAACTGGACACTGCCACCCGGTCTTGTGTGATTCAACTCGATAGCCCAGTTTGCTTTATGTCCAACTCATAGACTCCAGCGTCCTCCATAGGTCACGGGGCCGATGGCTGTTCATGTAGCTTGTATGCTTCGTGGCCAAGGTTGATATTACTTGACCATATGTGGGTACCCTAATGGCCAACTTGACACCCGTAACGTCCTCAGTGGCAAGAGACAGAATTTGTAGACATGCATACAAAAATTGGCATTCAGATATACAAGCGACCCTCACACGGAGGCTGGACATTATGGTCTTCGGTGCCAAAGCCCAAGTGCAACACAACCTCATCCGTGACAACGCCCTCCAGGATACCAGGGTTCGCAGGAATGGCGCCCCATCTGATCCTGGACGTCGCAACTTCTTCCAGCAGGGTCGTCTCCTCGTCTCCCGCCACGACGCCTGACAGCAACTGCTCTTCATCCTCCTTCGCTTCCTGCTGTTGCCCAAACTTGCTTGAGGGTTCTGACTTGGCCGAAAAGTGGTAGGGTGATAGAGGTCCTTCGGGCACAATATCGACGCCTTCGATCGAAGGTACCTGCTGATATGACGATATGGAGCTGGCGCCTGTGCTCGTAGACCTCAAAGTAACATTGCTTCGGCTGGCTGGCTCGCTCCGTCGAGCCGAAAGTGGCTTGCTCCTCATCGCTATGGCCGGGACGTGGCACGCGGCAGACATGACCAGAGAGTTTGTGCCCCCGGAGACCATATCGCCCGACAGCTTGCGGAGGCTGAAGAGTGCAAGGGAGATGCACAGCACAGAGGAAATGACGAACAGGGCGAGGATGGCCGATCCGGACACGCCCACGGCGATATAAGAGTCGTCAGAAACGCCAAAACCGGCGGCCATTGATGCATCCTGGTTGATGTTCGCCCAGAAACCTTGAGAGTACGGTCAGTAGGGGTAGACGCTGAGAATGAGGGCATTGCTTACCTCCTTCTATGATTGTTAAGAATATCGCGTTAGATAGGACCCAATGGAGGACGATACTCATGCCTATGAGCGGGATGCTGTACTTGTACGGCAGTTGGAGCCGGTAGTGGCTGACTTGTTGCCCCTTCGGGTTGGAAACGCGCAGGGGCTTGTAAGAACGGCTGTAGGAGTTCCACTCTTCCTCGACTTGGATGCGGGTGAGGAAAGAGTTGAGGGCGAAGTAGCAAAAGGACAAGATGAGCTGAGGCGTGTTCGCCATTAGCAGGGCACCGAGGTAGGTAAACTGAATAGCGATGTTTGTGGTCGCAGCTTTCCCGAACGTTCCAATCCTACATGATGTCAGAGATGAGTAATTCTTCGCGCTCTATTCCGAGAACACTGGTGCCCTTAAGTCGAAGCATGTTACTCACAGAGTTGACGCGCCGTTGCCGGTCACATCCAAGCCAAGGCCGGTGGAGATGAGAGCCATCCCAGCTATCAGGATGCTGTAGGTTCGCACCCAGACAGCTCGCGAGAGCACTGATTTGAAGCGACGAGGGCAGTGTCTCCACCTCCGGGCCATCGGTCCGTGAAGGAGTCCAGAGGCTGGAACTTTCTCTAAGCTGTCGTATTCAAGGCGGTCGGCGTCTGTGAAGCCCATGGTGGCCAGCCCGACTGTGTTCGGGTCAGGCTGCGAGATAAAGGACGAGATCGCATCGCCAGGGGTGACCAGTGAGTTGTCAGTCAGCCCGAAAAGAATGCCTGTGCATATGGCGCCCTTAATGAACACGCAGCCGATCACGATGAGGAGCAGCGGTGGCGCAAGCCCGAGCTTGCAGGTGTACTCCGGGTTCGGTTCCGCCATGCAGTGCTTCACGGGCAGCTCACTGAACTTGGCGTCATATCCAAAGGCAGACGGGATAGTCATGCTGGCAGGCCGGAAAGGAATCACCCAGTCTCCCTGGAGCTTGGTGGTGCCGATCCAGTCAACACCGCTCGGCTCGCCCAAAGCCCCTGAGCATCCGGATGTGCCCTTCGGATAGTAACCCCACACAGGAATGGAAGAATCGCAAATTTTGCCGAACGAACTTTGCCCGTCGCTTCCATATCTCCAGATTTGGCATGGTGCCGAATACCAAAGAGAATTTAAACTGTCGGGCGGGATCTGGGGGTCCCAGAACTGCGACAGGTTGCTGGCTGCGCTGCCGCTGAAGTTGTACACTTCAGAGCGGGTCCATCCCGGCACTTCGTCGACGACGACAACCAGATCACGATGCTCCTGTCTTGGTTTGCAAAACTTGTATTCGTTGAAACAATCTGAAGGTGACAATAACTCCCAGGAGGCTGAGTCTTGGGCTGCCCTGGTGAGATTCATCGAGGCTGAGGACTCATTTTGTCCGAATCCCCAGGACCCCGCTGTTGTGAGAGTATCTTGATAATCACCTGCATTGATGGAGATATTTGAATAACTGCAAGTCAAGTTGGTTCCATACGGCGCAGACGGACAGCCGGACCCAGTAGCCAAACTGGCGCCCGGGACGAAGTAATCGACAGTCTGATCCACAAACCCCGGCGTCGCAATCGTAAGGTGCCAGTTGGAGCCTTGGTAATCTATCGGATATACGGCGCTGTTGAAGAGGAGATGGATTGGAACGGACGTCAAGAATAGCCCAGCCCAAGCGAGGATCTTAAACCAAGACAGAGCGCCGAGGTTCTTGAACGACGAGACGCCGATTTCTAATGAGTGCAGGGACCGGTGCGCGTGGTCGAGTTCCTTTCGTGTGGGCGAGCTGACGATTTGCATGAAGAAATTGGACGAGGCTAAGACGCATGTCGAAAAGATGTTGATGACGAATTGTAGAAACAAGTCCAAACGGTTGGAGGTGCTGCATTTGCCCTGGAACAGAATCTTGGCCTCCGTGATCGTGCTACCGGGCCGCGAGAGTGTGAATGATAAAAGACATATGGTTAGAATCAGCCCACACGAAATGATCAAAGAAACATTGAGCATTCCGAGACGCCGCCATCTTTCCTTGGGAAGTCGTTCCGAGAGGCCCATGGCAAGTCGGCGCCCAGTGCATCTAGATAAGGCTCGGGCCTGGAGGCAGTGACAGCTTAATGTACTTAGTTATGAAAGAGGTTCGAGTTGTAAATGCGTTAATAAGAATGACGGAGAGTCAAGCCGCAGGTCAGTGGCCGCGTCGAGTTCTCGTCTTCCCAGAGGAGCAGGCTGTGGAAGCTGTTCATGCATCATTCCTTTAAATTAGATGCAGAGCAAATCTGAGTAACAAGTAGCAAACATGTGTAACGTTTCTAGGTGGCCAGTGTCAGCAGATCTGCACACTTCGTACTGCACTCCGTTGTGGGGGCTATTTATTTCATCCCAGCCGGCATGTTCAACGGAAGAGCTGACGTTTTAGGTCTTACATGTACACTGTGAATCGGTCCAATCCCGTGCGTACAACCTTGCTTTTTATGCTATTTATCTAAAATAATCTATAAATGGGAACTTGGTTGGCGCATTATAGATTAGAAAAGTTATAAGCTAATTAATTAATCGCTACAGGCATTGCTTTAAAGTGCAGCGATAGCTATATCGCTATGGTTTTTAAAACCTTGTAATTTAATTAATTAAACATTATAAACATAATAAAAAGCTAAAAGTTAATTAATAATAATAGCAAGGTTATATAATATCCCTTTATAAATTTAAAAAGTTATTATATAATAATAAAAATTATGATTATATAGTTTAATTAATAAAGGCATTATAATAATAAAATTAAAATCCTAAGAACTAATAACTTTTTAATTAAATAAATTAAAGAAACCTTATTATAATTTAATTTCCTTTTAAGCTTAATAAGCTTTTTTTTTTAACTTAAGCCATCTTATTTTACCTTAAAAAGGGATTTTCCTTTTTTAAAAGTTTTCTTAAGGCTAAAGTCCTTTTATTAATGCTATAATACCTTTTCCTTTATAATAAAGAGCTGCTTAAACTTTATATTATAAAGGCTATAAGTATAAATAATACTTAAAGTAATTTATAAAGTTCTTTTTTATTTTTTTATTAAGCTAAGATATAAAGAATTAAATAGCTAAACTTAACGCTATAAGGGCTATAAGTATATTTTTTATATAAATTAAATTTTTAAACTTATTTTTAGCTTTTTTTTTAATATAAGTATAATTTTAATAATTTTAAAAAGCAATACTTTTTTATAATAAAGTTAAAAATAAGCATAAGGATAATTATAATAAAATTAATAAAAAGCACTTTTTTATAATAAAGTTAAAATTATAAAAATTATAAATATATTTCCTATATAAATTAAATTTTTAAACTTTTTTTTAGCCTTTTGCTTAATATAAGTATAGCCTTAATAAAGCTAGCAAGCAACACTTTTATATAATAAAGTTAAAAATAAGCATAAAAATAAATATAATAAAGCTAATAAAGAGTATTTTTTTATAATATTAATAAGTTATAGCTAGTTAATAATTTTTTCTTAAAAGTAAGATATTAAAATAGGTAATTTAATAAAGAATAAAAAGGAGATATTATTTAGCCTTACTTTATAATAATAATAAATAAAGCTTATTATAAATAAGAAGAATTTGCAAAATATTTATTATTTTTAAATTAATTAATTTATATATAAATTAATTAATTAATTTAATTTTTATATATATTATATATACTTAAAAAGCAATATTATTAATATTATAATATAATATTAAGGAAGGAATAACTTTTTGCTTTAAATAACTTTATGCTTTGCAAGATACATAGGAATTAATAAAGAAAAATATTAAAAGCTTATATATATAATAAGGTGCAAAGCAGGTTTAAATATATAAGAAAGCTTAGCTTATTATTTAAAATTATAAAAAGAGTTGGTTTTATAAGAAAGGTATAACTTAAGTTAAATATAAATAAGAATATAATATAAATAATACTTTAAGGCTAAGGTATTTAAATATAATGCTTTATATTAATAACTTATTTTTTTAAGAAAAAATCTTAAGCTTATAAATAGGAAAGCAATAATATAATAAATAGTTTTAAATAAGGAAAGATTAATAAAAGGGGAGTTAAATTATTAATTAATAAAATAAGAATTTATTATATAATAACTTTATTTAAATATTTCTTACTATATATAATTTTAATCTTTTAAAATTATTATTTAATAAGTATTAAATTATAAAGCTTATAATAAGCTTATTCTTAATTATTTAGGATTATTTAAGGTATTAATAGCGTTTTTTATTCTTTATTTAAGCATTACTTTTATTATTAAATAATAATACTTAAGTAATAATATTATGCTTATAATAATAACCGTTTAAATGCTAAATATACTTTATATAAATATTATCCTTAAATTTAAGGATAATTATATAATTTTAAAACTTAGTAATTATAAGGTTAATATATTTATTAGCGTATAAATAAATAAAGAGTTTATATAAGGTAATAATAAATATATAGAAAAGATTTAAAAGATAAATAATCTTAATAGCAAGGAGTTTAATATCTTTATTTAAATATATATAAATAAGGATATTGTATAATTAAAGCTAAAAAGTAGTTATTTCCTTATTTTAAAAGCTAGTTAATATATAATTATAAAAAATATAATAAAAAGGGTTTTAAAATAAATATTAATAATAAGTTTATTTAGTTAAATGTAATTAATACTTATTATTATAGGAAAGATTGTATAAAGCTAGCTATTAATAATGTACTATATAACTTAATTAAGTAGCATTATAATTAGGAAAGTAAAAATAGCTATTATATAATAAAGATTAATTATTATTTATAGATTTTAATATTAAAAGGATTATATAATATAAAGAAAAGACTTAAATATATGTATTGCATAATGAAGAAGGGAAAAAGAAGAAAAAGGAGCGGAAAAGAGAAAGGAAGGGTTTTATATTAATAGGTAAAAGGCTACTTAAGTAGCTAAAAGGATTACTTCCTTAAATAGCAGTTAATTAATTATATAAGTAATTTATTAAAAAATAATTTCTTTTCTTTCTTTTCTTTAAGTTAATAATATTATGAAAAGTTAAAAAAAAGATATAATAAAAAATTAAATAAATAAAGGGCTAATATTAACTTTGTATTAAAAGCTTATTTATATTACTTAAGTATAAAAAGTTGCAACATAATATATAAAGAGCTAAAATAAAGTTTAGAAATTAAAATAATACCTTTTATTTATTATTAAGTTAATTTCTTTCTTTTTTTTTTATAACTTTTAATATTAATAACTTTTAATATTTGCTTTTAATAAGGTTTTAATAATATAGCTAATAAATATCTTAAACTCCTTATTTAAATAGCATAAAATTAAGTAAAGAGTTTAAGATATTTATTAGCTTTTTTATTAAATAATAATTTTAACATATTTATATTAAAAGGAGTAATTTACTTATATAAGAAGATTCCCTACTTAATAATAATTATTATAAAGATTATAATTTATCTTTAAGAAAGAAATATTAACTTAGCCCCTTTATAACTTTATTTAAAAAAATATTAAATATAATATAATTTTTACTTTTAAATTCTTAAAAGCTAAAGATTTTAATAGTATAAAATTTGGGTTAATTAATAGCTATTTAATTTTAAAATTTATTAAATTATAAGTAAAGCATTATTTTTAAGATTAATTTTTATATATAATAATAAGGTAAGTATATTATAAAGATATAAGGCTTAATAAACTTTTTATTTAAATTAAATAAGGAGTTTATTAATCTTTATATAACTAAATATAAATTCTTATTATTAACTTCTTATAATAGCCTTAAGCAGTTTTTATATGCTTAATAAGCTAAATATTATAATAATTAACTTTTATTTAAAAGAACGCTATATATTATTTAAATAAATTAATTAATATTCCTAAT